CTAATGGTCAGGGGACCCTTTACCTTTACCTATAAAGAGTTTTGGATTTGATATCCCGTTTTATCAGTACCCGAAGGAGTCTCAAAGCGGCTAACATTCTCCTTTCCCTTCCTCCCCCACAACAAACACTCTGTGAGATGAGTGGGGCTGAGAGACTTCAGAGAAGTGTGACTGGCCCAAGGTCACCCAGCAGTTGCATGTGGAGGAGCGGAGATGCGAACCCGGTTCACCAGATTATGAGTCCTCCGCTCTTAACCACTACACCACACTGACTCTATATAGCCCAAAACATCTGGGGGGCACCAGGTTGGTGAAGCCTGATGTAGATAATGGTGAGCTAAATGGATTAGGAGCCCAACTCAGTGTAACGAAGTTTCCTGTGTTTCCAGCTGCAGTTTGGCGACAGTGCGCCTGCTTTGCATGCAGGTTTGATCCCTGACAGCATCTCCAGTTAGAGCTGGAAATTTCCCCTGCCTAAAACCCTGGAGAGCTGCTGCCAGTCCATGTGGACAGTACTGAGCTAGTCATAGAAATCAGAGAATTGTAGAGTTGGAAGGGACCCTGACAATCATCTCGTCCATTCCCCTGCAATTCAGGAATATGCACCTGCCCCATACGGGGATCAAACCTGCAACCTTTGCATTATCAGCACCATCCTCGAGCACCTGAGCTACCCAGGCAGTCATCTGATTTAGCGTAAATACAGCTTCCTATGTTCCTTCCTAACACGTAATTTTAAGTGGCCGGCACAGAGCATGTGCGTGCATGGCCCTGACCCTGGGCCAGCTGAACACTGTCTCCCACCTAGGGTATATACCTCTACAAAATATCCGAAACGCAATGAGAACTAGGGTCCTCCCCAGACCCCTCATAGAGATGGGGAAAGGCAGCACCAAGTCTGGAGAGGAAACATGGGACTGGGGAGGTGAAGGAGCATCCCTGATGTTCACGCAGGCCAGGCATGTGCCTGGAACTGCTCTTTGGTGCAATTGCTCAGATAAACGTTTGGTGAGATAGCTCTCTCCGGAGTGGACTCTAACCTGGCTGGCGAATGAGGAGAGGGAGGAGGCACCTGTGGAGTGTGGAACCCAAAGGAAAAAGCCCATCTGAGATTAATTAGTAGCTCAAGCGACCCTGACTTGACACCAGAAGCACCTGCTGCAGGTAGCAGCTCCTTGCAACGAGGGCCAAGTCAGGACATTTTTTTCATACCTGAATTAGGAAATCCAAATGGGCTGGTAATCCATATTGAACAACGCTTGAGTCTTGGAGGAGAAGGCTTTCAATGGCATCGTGCATCTGGATGCCAGTTACACTTACACACACACACACACACACACACACACACACACTCTACTGGGAACATAGGAAGCTGCCTTATATTTGCACCACTGAATCCATCTAACTCAATATTGTCTGCACTGACTGGCAGTGCCTTTCCATTGGCCCTGCTAGCTGTTTGTTTATTCATTCATTTATTTATATTTTATTGAGATTATTATACAGTAGTGAGTTAAAGTAAATAAGGGGAAAAAAGAATAGAAACGAAAAAAGGAAAAAAGATACATTAATTTTTAAAAAGCAGAGGAAAACACCAATAAAATAACAATAAAATATAATTAAGGTTACAAAATTATATTGTATATATGCAGATGGATAAACTTGTTGTTTCCCTCAAGTATATGTTGATTCATGTGTCCCTATCAATATGTTTCAAATATCGTTAAATTTGTCCATGTATAATCTTCGTCTGAAAGCAATCCGTTCATAGGTTCCATTGATCGAAAAGGGGGACATATTTTTGTTCTTCCAATGTATCAATATCACTCTTTTTGCAGATGCGAAGGCACAGAGAATCCATCTACGTTGGCCAATTGTCAAGCCCTATATATTATGTAAAAAATATTGTTGGCACTGCCTGGCAGCATCCCTCCAGGATTTTAGACAAGGTTACTTCCCAACCAACTCCTGCCAACCTAGCAGTTCAAAAGCACGTCAAAGTGCAAGTAGATAAATAGGTACCGCTCCGGCGGGAAGGTAAACGGTGTTTCCGTGTGCTGCTCTGGTTCGCCAGAAGCGGCTTAGTCATGCTGGCCACATGACCCGGAAGCTGTCCGCCGGCTCCCTTTGCCAATAAAGCGAGATGAGCGCCGCAACCCCAGAGTCGGTCACGACTGGACCTAATGGTCGGGGTCCCTTTACCTTTATTTCCCAGCACTATAGGGAAATGCCAATGGAGATTGAACCTGAGACCTTTTAAGGGCCAAGCAGCTGCTCTGCACCACAGAGCCTTGGCCCTTCTTGTAGGAGGAGACACAGCTCAGCAGTGGCAAACAGTTTTATTGACTGCCCCTTGTCCAATTTTCTTTGCATTCTAGTCTAGATATTATTATTACTGTTGTTGTTGTTGTTGTTTTGCATTCTAGTGTTGATTTTAGTTTTTACTTTGCAAACCACTCAGAGATTTTTTTTAATTAACTAGTCTATAAATCAGTTGATTAAATAAACAAAATCTCAATTTTCAGCCCAGGTGAAGAGAAAAGGAAAGCAGGGCCCAGTCCCTGCCAAGTGGGGGTGCCAGCTTGAATAAAATATGGGGAGGCAGGTAAGCCCGGCCCCACATAATTGATCACAAGACATGGCCCACGCTGTGGCAGGATGGAGGCTGGGCAGCCTTGGTGCCAAGTGTTACCAACCTTTCCATCCTACTGTCCCCGTAAAGTTGACTGTGTTTTTAAATGCTCTCTCGGATCCCAGGATAGCCACAAGTTGGATGTTGCTAATCAGTATCTGAGAGACGTGCCAAAGAGGTCTTGCCAGGTAAATATTCAAACTAATCTTGGTTTAGAGCTAAGCCCAGGAGCCAAAGAATTTTATTTGCACAAGAGCCCTGCCAGGGAAAAGTCGGGCAGTCTTGGTGCCCTCTTGAGACTGGGCTCAATAAGTAACTGGGAAGTGGGGGGGGGGGCGGCTTGTTGTGCTGTTTCCGACTCAGGGATCCTTATCACTGCAGAAAGACAGCCTGTCTTTCCCACATCCAATCCTCTCTGCACTTGGCAGTCTAGGAAGGATCAGTTGGTGCTTTGATCCGCAGTTCTCTTTGTGGCTTAGGAAAGTTTTGTCTCCTCTGTTGTTGGCTTTGCCTTACTTATCTAAGAGGAGGACAGGAGGGCAACAGTGGGGCAGGAGGCCACAGAAAGAGGATTTAGTGCTGCATTAGGTCTGAAAGAACGAAAGATATGAAGAACATGAGAGTCTGGCTGCTGAATCAAGCCAAAATGGCCCATCTAGTCTAGCATCCTCTTTGGCCAGCCAGATGCCTGCGGGAAACCAGCGAGCAGGAATCTGAATGCAAGAGCCCTCTTCCTTCCTGTGGCTTCCAGCAACGGTGTATTCAGAAGCATGTTGCCTCCAACTGCAGAGGCAGAGCCTAGCCATCATGACTGTTGTTGTTTAGTCGTTTAGTCGTGTCCGACTCTTCGTGACCCCCTGGACCAGAGCAAGCCAGGCACTTCTGTCTTCCACTGCCTCCCACATTTGGTCAAACTCATGCTGGTAGCTTCGCAAACACTATCCAACCATCTCGTCCTCTGTCGTCCCCTTCTCCTTGTGCCCTCCATCTTTCCCAACATCAGGGTCTTTTCCAGGGAGTCTTCTCTTCTCATGAGGTGGCCGAAGTATTGGAGCCTCAGCTTCCAGTGAGCACTCAGGGCTGATTTCCTTCAAAATGGATAGGTTTGATCTTCTTGCAGTCCATGGGACTCTCAAGAGTCTCCTCCAGCACCATAATTCAAAAGCATCAATTCTTCGGTGATCAGCCTTCTTCATGGTCCAGCTTTCACTTCCACACATCACTACTGGGAAAACCATAGCTTTTGCTATACGGACCTTTGTTGGCAAGGTGATGTCTCTACTTAGGGGCCATCATGACTAGTAGCCTTCAATAGCCCTCTCCTCCAAAAATCCAATCTGAGATTGTAGAAAATGCCCTGCTGCATTAGGGAAATGGCCCGTCTGGTCCAGCATCCCCTTCTCACAGTGGCCAATAAGATGCCCCCCAAAGATGCCTGCAAACAAGACCTGAGCTAAACAGCAGTACTCTGTGGTTTTCAACAGCTGGTTCAGGTGCGTGCTGCTTCTGACAGTGGAGAGAATAGCCCATTCTTGGATTCTCAAAGGCAGAATCCTCTTGAGTGTTTTCAAAAGAAAACTGCAGTTGTATTGGTAAAGGGAACTCTGACCATCAGGTCCAGTTGTGGCCAACTCTGGGGTTGCGGTGATCATCTCACTTTATTGGCTGAGGGAGCCGACGTACAGCTTCCGGGTCATGTGGCCTGCATGACTAAGCTGCTTCTGGCGAACCAGAGCAGCGCATGGAAACGCCGTCTACCTTCCTGCCTATTTATCTACTTGCACTTTGATGTGCTTTCAAACTGTTAGGTTGGCAGGAGCAGGGACTGAGCAATGGGAGCTCACCCCGTCGCGGGGATTCAAACCGCTGACCTTCTGATCGGCAAGCCCTAGGCTCTGTGGTTTAACCCACAGCGCCAACCCGAGTCCCTCTACGGTTGCATACACAACATATGTTTAAAGCACACGGTTTCCCACCCAAGAATTCTGGGAACTGCAGTTTCCCCATCACAGAGCTACACTTGGTTGATCTGCCGCTGCTTGGAATTGTTTTCATACTTGTACAGAAACTGCTTTGTTTCTGTTTTACTTGTTTTCCACTACGATGATTCTACGGCTATCACTCGCCCCAAGACCTTTCAGCAAAGGGCAGGTAAGAAAGCTCACAAATGGATAAATAAAGCAGAGCAAAACAAACAGGAGGGTTGTGCCAGTAATAGCAAATAAGCGAAAGTCCTTGTACGTGGCAGTAAATGTTGTCATAGTACTTGGAAATTGCTACAGTAATTAACCACAATACCTCCAGGGGTTGTGCCCGTTGCCAAGGCTGATCTAAGGAGGCCATTTTCCTGGGCTGGTCTGGGAACCTCAGAGGAGAAACCCAGCCATTAGCAAAGCCTTGCAGAGAGGACATAATTACATCCAAAGGCAAGGAATGCCTGTCTCTAGGCTGAAGTCCGTATAGTTAAAGCTATGGTTTTCCCAGTAGTGATGTATGGAAGTGAGAGCTGGACCATAAAGAAGGCTGATCGCCGAAGAATTGATGCTTTTGAATTCTGGTGCTGGAGGAGACTCTAGAGAGTCCCATGGACTGCAAGAAGATCAAACCTATCCATTCTGAAGGAAATCAGCCCTGAGTGCTCACTGGAAGGAGTATGTATGTATGTATGTATGTATGTATAAATAAATAAATAAATAATGTGCCCTACTTTACAGAGGATAGTCTTCTCTTCTTCTGGAAGGGCCCTCAAGTCCAAATTAGGTTGAACGATATGAAAACCCTAAGAAGGGAGAGCAGGAGGAGAAGGAAAGGCCTTGAATTGACCCCTGGGCTGAGCAGACAGCTCACCTGGTCACACTCTTTTCCATGAGAGTGTTGGGTTTTTTTAATGATGATAATTATGTCCCAATTTGCATCCGTGCGTAGAAATAAGCATCTTCAATTTTATGTGAATCTGTTTCCTCTTGGTTTTTTTTTGGGGGGGGGGTGAAGTGTAAAACTTGTACAACACCCAAAAATAGGAAGGGAAGGGATATTCATCACCACAGGTTTGCATATCATTTACATATGCTGATGTATGCCCACCCTATTGCCCTGGGGCCTTGCCAGGAAAGCAAGCAAGCAACAAGGCTTTCATCCTGGTTGACCTGGTAAGAGCATGTCAAGAACCTTTCTTGTGCATAACTGCACTATGGGATGGGACTGTTTTAAAAATCCATGATGCCTACTCCCTTTCTACCACTTTCTGTTGCCATAGAACCAGAGGGACTAAGCTGTGGCTCTTTAGATGCTGTTAGTCTGCAATTCCCGCCCTCATCCCTGGACATTAGCCATGCTGGCTGCTGGTACCTAGAGTACAACAACATCTGGAGATTGGCCAGAGATATTCCCCACCGCTGCAAGGGAGCACCCTGTCCCGGACTCTCCAGGCTTTTGCCAGAAGGATGCTGTGGCCGGCACCACCATTTCCCAGCTTCTGTGTTGCTCCCAAAGGAGAAATTTGGTAGCCGCCTTAAGTCGGAGGCTTCCCATATAAAGTTGCCCTTCCTGTTCAGCAATGGCGACAATCTGGAAAGAGATCATGAGGTTGACTTGAAAGGAGGGGAATGCCAGGACATTCTGTGCTACTCTGAGAGTACTTTGATCAGTTTAATGGTATGAGTTCCAAGTCCACAGATATGAAGCCACCCACAACATTATTGCTGTTTGTAAAAATTAAAAAAATAATAATACTGTAACCAAAGTAACTGGGAGATTTATTTAAATAAATATGCACTTGTTTGCATCCAAGCACACCCCCCCCCGGTGCATCTCAGGTGTCCCTTGTGGCCCTGCTGAACCTCTTATGCCCCACATCTTAGCCTGTACAGCAGTCAGTAGACCGGAGCCCTCCAAGCATGTTGGATCGCTCTTTTTTAATTGACCAGGCTATAGCCTAGAGCAAAACACCTTCCTTGCTTTTATTTATAGTTTTATTGCTCTTATCTCTTTCCAAGTTATTTCCTTTGGTCATATCTGTTTGCATTTACAATTCTGAGTTGTCACAAGATAGCCAATTATTAGTAATAGCTATTGATTTTCTTATAAATTAGTTGATGCACATTTGTGGTAGGTGAAGGTTTCTGCATGTTTCGTAAATAGTGATAGAGATAAGTTCTTCGCTCTTATGTTTTCATTAATAAGAATGTGTAAAAATAATTTTCATGCAATACTCTTTGCTGAATTTTATTGTGTTATCTTTCTTAGTAGGTTGTGCAAATAACTATTCTGAATAATGCTTTTTTACGGTAGAGGGCACTGGAGACGAGTTTATGGAACCAAATGTGGAGAGGTGTCTACCACAGCAGTAGACTCTCCACCTCTAGCTATTTCCACTTTTGTCCTAGTAATAAGCTGAAGCTGTGTACACAATATACCTTTCTTCTTCTTCTTTGGCGATCACTCGTAGCTGAGTAAGATTGTCTTCCATAAACACAGTTTTAACAATGAGTCCATAAATGACTGTGGAGGCCAGTTCTGGATCCACACATCCTTCCACAGTGGAGACATTGGTTTCTGGGCGGGAGTTGACCATGGTGTAGATTTGCCAAGCGTGCCTTCCTCTTAGCACGTTTCTCCCTTGCGTCCTGAGTTTGAGTGTCTTCAAAGCCCATGACACCTTTGGTAAAGGCTGTTCTCCAATTGGAGCGCTCGCAGGCAAGTGTTTCCCAATTGTTGGTGTTTATACTACATTTTTAAAAATTTGCCTTGAGACAGTCTTTAAACCTCTTTTGTTGACCACCAGCATTACGCTTTCCATTTTTAAGTTGGGAATAGAGTAGTTGCTTTGGAAGACGATAATCAGGCATCCACACAACCTGACCAGACCAACAAAGTTGATGTTGAATAATCATTGCTTCAACACTGGTGATCTTTGCTTCTTCCAGTACACTGGTATTAGTTCACCTGTCTTCCCAGGTGATGTGTAACATTTTTCGAAGACACCGTTGATGGAATCTTTCAAGGAGGAAATGGTGTTTATAAGTGGTCCATGTTTCACAAGCATACAGTAAGGTTGGTAGGACAATAGCTTTGTAAACAAGCATTTTGGTTTCCCTGCGAATGTCCTGGTCCTCAAACACTGGGACATGGGGCACCCGGTGTTCCAGACTCAGTTTGGGAAGATTGCCGTAAACATTTGCTATGGGCGACATCATCCCCTCAATTGGCTCATGTACAGTCTGAATGGAGCAGAGATCATCTTTAATCCTTCTGCAGTTCAACTGGGAGAAAGGCATCGGGTCAGAGGCAGTACCAATTGCTGGAAGCCACAGGAGGAGAAGGTGCATCTGGTTGGCCACTGTAAGAACAGGATACTGGACTAGATGGGCCACTGACCTTATCCAGCACAATTGCTCTTAGCTATCAATGGCTACTAGCCATTGGCTACTAACCACAGTGGCTACTTTCTACCTCTGCCTCAGAGGCAGTATGCCTTTGAATACCAGCTGGTGAGAATCACAAGTGGGAGAGGGCTTGTTTGTGTGGGCGTGGCAGAAGTGGCATCTGGGCCACAGCAAGACAGTTCAGGACAGAATGGCCGCACTATTCAGCTTCACCTATCTCCAGGCTCTTTGGGAGTTCTTAAGACATGGTGAATGATGACATGTTACCTGGCATGGTTTAGAAGTGTTTAAAGCAAGAAAAAAGAAGATTTAAACAGAGAGGTTGCATTAAACTGGCCGGCAGCTCACCCTCTCCCCAACAAAGACAAGGCAGTGATATGCTTTCACAGGGAAATGGAAAGATCTTAAGATTGCAAACCACTTTGCTGCTTCTTTTAGAAACTCCACAGGCAAGAGCATCCTCCATCTGCAAGGGTTTACTGCCTCCAGCAGAGTCACTGGGGAATTGCAAGATGTAAATATTTTGGGTTCAGGAGGACGCCAAGATGCTTAAATAAAAATTATTTCGTACCACCAAATCCTATAATATCAGGGCAGTGTACCATGTTAAAACATAAAGCACCACTTTTATAAAACAATTAAATACAGTTAATCATTAAGGTGATGGACTAATTGAAAATAAAAATTAAACTGCTGCAAAGGCCTGTTGGCTTTTAAAATAGCCTTTGAGGCACCTGAAAGTTAAAAGTGAGGATGACTGCTGCATCTCTGTTGGAAGAGTGTTCCATAGCATGGGACCAGCGGCATTCAATGCCCAGCTTCCAGCTGAGACCAGCCAGGCCTCTGTAACATGGAGCAGAGTGTACAATGTTCCATGTAGAATGTCCAGCTGGCATCTAATTTATCACCAATAGAGATGTACACAATCCAGTTTGAGATTCATCCTTGACGGAAAAAACTAGGCAAAGAAAGGTGGTTTGAAAGCCACTACCATAAGGAACCATCTCATCTCAAACAGAATCTGCTATCCAACACTGCGGATGGCTGCTGCTTTAGAACAGCCAGTCTTTCTCTACACATAGCGTGAGCAGTCTAAAGGAGACAGAATAGGCAATTAAATTTTTTTGACAGGTCCCTCCTACATCAAATGATTTATTTCTGTTGTGTGCATCTCCCCCCCCCCCCCATGGAACAGGAACATCTTTGGACACGGGTTGGATATCATTACTTCCTCAGCAAGCTGGCTCCGTAACCCTAGCAACACTCCTCAGTGCAACCACGTCATGCTGTCTCCAAGGCAACAGTTGCTAGTGCAATGACATCATGGTGTTGCCATGGAGATGCTCCATGAAAGTCAAGGGGAAAATATACTCTAAAGTAAATAGGGACTGATGTGGAGGGGAGGGGGGAGATGGAAACAGGGAAAGGGAGGATGAAGAAGAGCTAACAAACAAGGTTTGTAAGGCATCAAGAGGGAAGGATCATCATGCATCTTTGCCAGGAGGAATTAACATATCCCTTGGCCCGGCTGAAGAATTAATCATTGTGCGGCCCTGTTTGGTTTTGAAACAAATGTCCTCTTCCTGCCCTCTGTAATTTCCATAATTGTTGTTGTTGTTCTCTAAGCAATTGTGTTTGGGAATACTTGCTCACTTGCAGCACACCCTGAAGGCTGGTTTTCTCTACAGCTGGTTCAGTAACATCCAGAAGAATATATTACATGCTTCACATACCAAACAAGTTTAATACATAAATTAATGGGCAAAACTTAAGGGATGAATTTTGATTAGCACCGGGAGGCAACTGGAAGCCTGTGGGAACCTGCTGAGCGCATAAGCAAGAGCACTGTTAGAATTAGGTGTTTAGCTGCAGAGTCGAGAGGTTCTTTCTACTCCTCGCCCACCAGAACCTCCATAGTCCAGCAGGGTAGTTACTAGCCTGGTAGTATTTTTCAGTCACACCAACAAAACCACAATCTATCTCAGATGTTCATGCCTGGGGTCTATGAAAACTCTGGAATCTGTTGGTCTCTCCAAACCTAGCCATCATGGTCTCCCCTGGCTCAACCCCAACCCTCTCACTTCCACTTTGCCTCTACTCCTAGGGGCCAGGAAGGATCTTCAGGACCAGTTGCTGAGATGTGCTTGTGCTTCTCCTGCAGACATTGACCAGAACTCAGAAGACTGTGCATTAATGCCCAGAGGAATGGTGCAAACATAACCCCACCCATTCTAGGAGGGATATTTAACTGCCTGCTTAGGGTGCTCATCAAACTAATGAAAAAAGTTATGGGCTTTCATTCATCCTTACGTACCAGCAACATGACTCTATGAAAGCTTCTTCGCCACTGAGTGGAATTCAGAAGCATTAAAATCAAGAACACGATTTGCCATGCAATGAACTCTGACCAAAAGCTGGGTTTGTCCCATGACTATCCATAGTACCATAAGTCCCAGACATACCTGCCTTTCTGTCTTTAGACAACAATGAAAACCTTTCTGGTTGTGGCAAAGAGATCCCCCCACACCCCAAAAATTATGTTACTACTTGAGATTTTTTAAAATAACCTCAAAATAGGGTGAGATAGCATTGACTTATTTTAGCTAACAAGCCGTTGTAAAAGATTTAACACCAATCAATAACCACTGCTGAAGGTTTTGCTTTTCCTTCATTAAAGAGAGTGTTTTTCTCCTAGGAAATTAACATTCCACTCCTGATTCCTGCTCTGCTCAGGCCAAAGAGATGGAAAATGAAAAGCAGGTTTCCTATTTATTGAGCAACAGCATAGTCTTAGGAACACAGGAAGCTGCTTTATATTTGGTCCATTTACTTCGGTATTGTCTACACTGACTGGCAGCAGATCACCCAAGTTTCAGATGGGTTCTCTCCCAGCCCTGTCTGCAGATTGGATGTGGGACCATGACAAACCTAGACAGCATCTTAAAAAACAGATATCACCTTGCCAACAAAGGTCCGTATAGTTAAAGCTATGGTTTTCCCAGTAGTGATGTATGGAAGTGAGAGCTGGACCATCAAGAAGGCTGATCGCCGAAGAATTGATGCTTTTGAATTATGGTGCTGGAGGATACTCTTGAAAGTCCCATGGACTGCAAGATGATCAAACCTCTCCATTCTTAAGGAAATCAGCCCTGAGTGCTCACTGGAAGGACAGATCCTGAAGCTGAGGCTCCAATACTTTGGCCACCTCATGAGAAGAGAAGACTCCTGGAAAAGACTCTGATGTTGGGAAAGATGGAGGGCACAAGGAGAAGGGGACGACAGAGGACGAGATGGTTGGATAGTGTTCTTGAAGCTACTAGCATGAGTTTGACCAAACTGCGGGAGGCAGTGGAAGACAGGAGTGCCTGGCGTGCTCTGGTCCATGGGGTCACGAAGAGTCGGACACGACTAAACGACTAAACAACAACAAACATGCAGAGCAGGTGCTCCATGACAGAGTTACAGCCCTTTCCCCAAGTCAGCCCGAATGCAGTTCCCAGAGCTTCAGACTCAGACTTTTTATGGTAACTCAACATTTTAAACCAATAAAGCTTTGCTTCCAAAATTTTGGGAAGCCTTCCTCAACTGGGTCCCCTCAATATGTTGTGGACTACAACTCCTGTCACAGGCAGGCTGCATTGGGGCCTTTTTAAGCATGCAGTGGAATTGTTGCAACTCTAAACATATGGCCCCAAACCCCTTCATATCCACTTGTCAGAAATTAAGGACTGGGCTTCTGTAGCCTATGCCCTTTTAAAATGTGTTGGGGGGATTGGCTTGTTGTTTTTATCTTTATTATGTTTTATTTAGTGGTTTTATATTCTGATTTTATTCTGTGAACTGCCCTGAAGCCTGCGGGTATAGGGTGGTATATAAATTCAATAAATAATAATAAATAATAACAATTATTATGGCAGAATGGTTGTGTCTCATGTCTTAAAACACTTGAGCAGCATTCTAAAAAAACCAACCACCCCCAGTTCAAATCAAGAGTCCCCACCACCACCAACAGGACCTAATTTGGCAATGGTAGGGGTGGACTAAATTCAGGAAAGACCTCATGTGAAGGGCACTAGGAATATCCCAGGCTAGAAGGAGGAATTTATGTCTGCTCAGTCTTCAGGCAGCCTCATTGGGCAGATTCTCATTTCTTGTTGCTATGCTAGCCTCCTCATGATACTCCAATTGTGTCAGGCCAGATCTCTCTGCAGCCTGGGAGAGCTCCACCTCTGAAGTGCACATGTGTGACATGTATGATAAGGAACTGACTTTTATATTATTGTCTCTTGTTCCCAACAAAGGAATGTTCCAGGAATCTGCCCTTAACTTCCAGAATGTGATACTCCAGTAGGTAACTAGGTCAAAAAGAAGGGTGGGATCTTATGCGATTGGTCATACTTTAAAGTGAAGCTGTGTAAGGTTGGCATACCAGCAGAGTTCTATGGCACCCATGGGACAGAAGAAAACCTCATGCCTCATCCACAAGCAGTAAAATCAGTCAGGCATTCATTGCAACTGGGGCAAAATATTCACTCTGCATTTCCCTGTTACTGGAACCCAGCTAATCAGTGAGAAGGGGCTTGCAGGTTTAACAAGCTTATTTAATTCCTATAATTACACACCTTGGGAGTATTATTTTGTAAATATTTGAGAACTGAAGGCTTGTAAATTTATTTGCTCCATCTTGTATCTGCCAGCAGAAGCTGTGACAAATCACTACGAAGCCCGTTTTTTGAGAGGCTAACATCCTTTTTGAGGTGATGGCGATTTCCTCTGAGACATGCTGTGGCCCAGAGATTCAGCAGCAGCAAAAGGAACATCTGAGGAATGCAGGTAAATCTGAATATACCTTTGCCCCTCTCTAGAAATTCCTATTTCATTGTACTTCGTAAGTCACCTTGAGAACTTTGGTTAGTGGGTGGGTTTAAATACTCTCAAACAAACACACAACTTCTTACAACTTATCTCCCCCAAGCAGCAGTTTATTTTCTTTAATTCCAAAACACTTAATTTAGAAGTCTGGCATCTCATCATCCATCTTAACATCGGCTAACATTGACACTGCGCTGTCAGAATACACAGGCAACTGAACAGCCAAAGAATTTACAAAAAATAAATCATGATTCTTCAAAACTGCAAAAAAAGCTTACAAGTATCAAAATCAAAACCTCAAGATGCATTGCCTGAAACCAAGTCTGTGCACATAAAGAGTGAAACACAGATTGTTATAGAACCTCACATTTTAAAATTGATGAACAGGACAAAATCAGTTCACATCTGCTTAGAGCCACTTCCATGTTTTGCATGTATAAGATGTACTGCTGAACTGACATAATCCACTCCAAGCAGAAAATTTAAAGATTCAATTTTCGATCAATTCTCCTAAATCATTTCCACTCTTTTATTAACCCATATAATATGAATCAAATGAAACTAAAATGCCTCATTTTAAGTTTCTTCCTGCACAATATGCCACTATGATAAACAGGGCTGATACACCATTTAGTCCAGCAATGCCCATGAAGCCCCATCTGAAGCAGCATCTGGCAGACCTCACAGCTGTGCCAACAATACATTTATGCTTAGCACTAAATACATAGTGTGATCGTGGCAAAGAAGTATTGGTGATGGTGATGAGGTGGTGGTTGATGGGAAGCCGTGATCTGGGGAGCTCTTCAATTGTTGCCTTCCCCTGCCTCCTCATCCTGCTGGTCACTTGTCCAGAGAGTGAGGTTGTCTCGAAGGAGCTGCATGATAAGCGTGGAGTCCTTGTAGGAATCTTCGTTGAGTGTGTCCAGCTCCGCAATGGCATCATCAAAGGCTTGTTTGGCTAGAAGGCAGGCCTGCTCAGGGGCATTCTGGATTTCATAGTAGAAGACGGAGAAGTTGAGTGCCAGCCCCAGCCTGATTGGGTGCGTGGGCTGCATGTGCTCTTTGCTGATTTCAAAGGCTTCTTTGTAGGCAGCCTCTGATGCTTCCACAACGCTGTTCTTCTTCTCACCTGCAGCGACTTCTGCCAAATAGCGGTAGTAATCACCTTTCATTTTCAGGTAGAAGACCTTGCTCTCATATTGAATGTCACTGCAGTTCTTGATCAAGAACTTGTCTAGCAGGGCCAAAACATCATTGCACACTGTCTCCAACTCCTTTTCAATCTTCTCCCTGTATGCTTTAACCTTTTCCAGCTTCTTCTCATTCCCATCAGCCATGGTTTTCTGCTCTATGCTGCTGATGACTCGCCAGGAAGATCGCCTGGCACCAACTACATTCTTGTATGCTACAGACAGCAGGTTCCTGTCTTCATTTGAGAGGGGCTCATTCAGCTCAGTCACCTGCAAATGCACATAGAGATATTAAGACAAGTTTTGGGGGCCAAATATACCATCCTCCAAACCATACCACATGTACAAGTTTCACCCATATCTATTACAAAAGCCAAAAGACTCTCTGGGCCCTTATGGTTGCAGAGAAACTAGTCTTTCAACATTGGAACTTCCATTCCATTAATCAATAGAAGGACAAAAGACCTCTCTATGCTCTCTGAACATGGAACACATGAACAACAGTTTTTCACCTCATCAGCCATTTGGAGGTTTAAAGTAACTCTGCCTTGCATTGATGAACATAGCAAGGACACCGTAGGAAGCAGACAATGATTCAAGTGTATCTCCACCCTCAGGCAGAAGCGGAATGATTTTACATTATGTATTGAGAGGACAACATTCATATCATAAGCGCAAAGCAACATCAATAATAATGACAGATTACAGGGCTGGAAAATTCTCTTGCACTTAAAATTAAGGTGTGGGTGACTAAGAATTTATAATGTTTATTCCTACACAGATCTGCCACCTTCAATTTTTATGCGTTCAAAAGAGGCTAGAATAGCAGCTGTGTTAGTTTGCTATGAAATAAATAAATAAATGCCGTTAAAGAACGGGACCTAAGGCCCATCAGATTTACTGAGGCAGAGGATTTGTGGATGTCCTCTGAGCCCTTTTTCAGTGATTGCTCATAAAAACATAATCCTAGCACCTTGGAACGCATATTCAGCCCCAGTTGATTCATCTTTCACAGGCTGAGAAAAAGGATCCCTGCATTGCATAGAGTCACATCAGCTGAGAATCAGAAATGCAGCTATAACTTCCCTGAGTCTGTGACTGCTTAGGGAAGGAATGATCTGGCTGCTAAGACAATGGAAACTGCCCTGCTGAAAACTGGAGGCAGCATGCAGTAGGAAGCAGGAGTAGAGCAAAGAGAAATATCTTCTAGCTCCCCAGCATCCACTGTGGAAGTGTGGAAGGCAAATTAGCCCAAAGCCATCCTGTTGTGGGAAGAAGATATTGCAACTTCCACAAAGAAAAAAATTAGAAGGGTTGAGTGCTATAAGTGACCAACAAAGGGAGGTGCAAACCTTACTCAGTGTGAGACATAATTAATGCAACAATCAACCAGCTACAAATGTGCAAACCAAGAAGTAACATCACAGTTTTTCTACAACATTTAACTCAATTTGAGGAAGAAATATAAATAAGGAAATTTTGTATACAAAAATGCATGTGATTTTCCTAAAGCTTTCATAAGAAGAATTAAAAACATCTGTATTATTAAAATTGATTTTCTTTCATTTCCGTCTCCTAAATTACAGCTATATGAAATTCCCTATATAAGGAATCTGGAAATGAACAGAGTCCTCATCTTGGAAATGTAGATATGAACTCATTGTCTACGTCACTAGTTACGTGGCATGTAGCAGTCCTGTCCACTAACAAATAATTCTACCTATGTCTCTAGTGTAAATAGCTAGCCATATGTGTGTACGGGACGAATGGAACACCCTTTACTAAAATCTAGCTCAGGCCAAAAAAAACACAAAAAACCCAAAGCACTTCTCCTTTCAGAGTACTGCAAAAGGCTCAATGACAAACAAATAGTAACCCCACTGGAGGAATAATGCACTTTTTACCAAATAAAATTCATTTATTCCTATTCACATTTATAACTCATTCCACCTTTCATTCTAACAGAATACTGCTCCACAGCTCCTTTACCACAGGGGTAAGGGTTAGGAACTAGTTAGACAGGAGGGTGTCTTGATTAAGGGAATGCTGCCCCTACCTGTTACTGTCCATTTGTCTTCTGAAAGGATAGATACAGCTCCACTTTCACAGTATGGCTCACTTCTTGCCTACTAAATGTAGGTGATATGGGTCACATTCAAGTAAAGTGGACAGCTCTCCACACAATACTATGCATGCTTTCTTGAGACAAAAATCCTCACAATAAAGCAAAGAGTCTTAAGCTGAAAACCTTTGACTGAAGTTTGTACATGAGAACCAAGCCTCTGCAAACCTGCTTACCATGGCAAGTGTGGTGTTCTCTGATAAGCATGACACACAGCCAGCAATGCAAGCTAAAAAGGTAAACCTCTGCCCCTTGCTGTCCTTTCTTGTTCTGGAGCAGGAAAGAAGGGTGCAGAAGACTGGACACAGCAGCCTGAAGCTATGCCAAACCACTCTCCTGATGGGCAACATTGCTTGGAGGTGCCACTACCTCTGACTAGTGTTGCCCAACCACCTATTCTCGTGCAGGTGCCCATTGGGCAACACTGCTCAAAAGCACTCAGAAATCCTCCAAACACCTTCACTCTGACCTAGCATGCTACCCCCAGGGGCTTGCATACAAGATGGGGCTGGCTTTTACACAACACTGATAAGAATGTGCAAGTTCTCTATATTTCTCTTTGGAGTGGCAGCATGTTCTAATTTCACTGTTTATTAGGATCAGCATCTCAATTTCTCATGAAATAGGGAAGAATATGTAGCAGACAGCAATATAAGAGGCAATATAAATTCCCTTGTGAAACATCAACCAATATCATTTCAAATGGGGAAAATGTTCAAACCCCACCCCACCACCAGCAAGATGATCCTGTTTAGACATGCAGAAAGCATTAAGGTTACTAGCATGGTTAAATATGGCTGCACCTGAACTAGTAGCACTGATTTCAGCAAGAAACAGTTCTAAATGGATGTCCTTACCCTAGAGTATCAAACCATGTTATACAATGTTGAATCTGTTCTAAAACCAATAATTAGTATGCAGAATTGTGGTAAAGACTCCCATCACTTCTAGTCTCCAAAAAGATGAGGCCAGAGTAAGGCAGAATCAAATGAGCAGTTGAAAGGAATGATGTTATAACCATTTCACAGTCCTACAATAATAGTTTGAGCCCATCACATAAATGGAAAATTATGCCAACAACAAAGATGACATTGGCAGGTACTGTATTTTGTAGAGTGAGACAAGCCATCCCTTCTATTAACAAACATGCAAGCCCTGTCCCCATTTTATATACTTCTCTAATCACCTTGGCTCCAAAATCTAAATTTTGCCTGAAAATGTATTCCTCAGCAGAGGCTTAGACACCCAGGGCAAGAAAGGAGCAAGCATGTGCTGGCTGTCACCATTAACACAAACCACAGGGTGTTGACACCCTCTATGCAGCAGGCCAGAGACCTCTGGAGTATGTGCACACCCTGCTTCCTTGCAGTGCACCTAGTGATTCGCACTGCAGGGCCCTGGAGAGGGAAAGCAGGAAGCACTGGAGAATGATAGTGCAAATAACTAAGCCACACATTAAGATTAGGGACTTCCTCCCAAACCTTTTGCACCCCTCTTGCACACACCCCGACCTTTACATTCATCAAAGGTGCACTATCAATACCCTTTTCCTCCCTCGCATAACATAGCCTATAAGAGAAATCCCTAGCAGAGGTTCTTTCTTTTACAGATAGCCCTAACTCCCCCTCCCCCAATCCTTCTCTTTCCTCCTCCTCCATTTATTTTATTTTTGCACTTGGTTTTAAAAGGGTTCCAACGGAACCTACAGCTTGCCAACATTTGTGTTCTTCCTTCACAGCCTTTACCTAGGAATGTTCTGTATGGTGCCCCTTGTTATTAAGAGTCAGGGTGTCTAATCATTTTAGTATATGTAAAGAATAACTAATGCAAATCTAGTGCAATTGACAACCTCCAGATTTAAGGCAGATGCCTTTGAAAGAGTCATTTCCTATATCTTTTGCCTTGGGACAGGTATCCACACTGATCTCTTTTCCCTCCCTGTTTCCTTTCTTGCCTCTCTAACTCTTAAGTAAGTTACCCCACAATGCTTCAAGTGATATGGATGTTTTTTACTACCCTTTTTGTAGTAAACTGCATATTCAATTACTCTAAAACTGCACTGTTGTCTTGAAGATAATTCCCCTTCAGAAAACATGTTTGCTGTGATGCACTGCAACCCTTGGGTAAAGATCCTAACACATGTCATCCAGGTATGCATGTGCACTACTATACATGTGTAGTCATTCTGGAATTATGAAATTGCTCTTTTTATGGTGGGAATTTCAAAAGTAGGTCAAAAGCAGACAGGAATAAACAGCAATCCAACCCCACAAGATGCCCCAGAGCTGCACCATTTACATGTCAGACTATTGCTCAGACTGACAAATGGATCTTGAAGCAAAAGTATCCAAAAGTAGCTGTTTTAAAGACTGAATCCCCACTGCTACTGAAGCCTGCCTCAGAGCAGTAGGGTGTGCTTGTGCTACAGTAGCTCAGGCTCAGAGTCAGCATGCGGCAAGACAGATGGGCAGAAACATAATCATCCAGCACTGCGACTATCTCCAAGGTTGTGCAGAGGAAAGAATCTGAGGTAGAATCAAGAGTGTTAACAGACAGGAAGCAGGGAGGAGGGGGTGAGTGTGCAAAATCCCCCTGCAAGCAAAAATGGGGAAACTGGGTAGTCATAAATACTATTCAGTCAGCATACTTTCATGGAAAACTCGTAATGCCAACGTATGAGGGGAAACCCTCCAAAGAACTCTGTCAGTTGATTTTGGTCCCTTGGATTTGATACTCACTAGAGCAAGATAGCAGAGTGATGATGAATGCTGACCACCTGGATCACACAGAAGAAAACTGACATGCCCTGCATTTACATGCAATCTGGTATTTTTTTTGGTGGGCCAAATAAAAAGAAGCCTGTCCAGTGGCAATAAGAAAAACAGACTTGTATTAGAATCATGTTATGTTATAGAATACTATCAAAACTTAATTAGATTTTAATCCTTTTTTATGCTGCTGAATATTGAAATGACAACAACAAAAGGCAAAAATAAAATTCTGAACCAGTTATTTGGAAGGTTATTGAGGCAAGTACTATATAAATGCAAAAGGGGGCTGCTGGAAATAAGGGAGATGGATAGCAGTATGGCCAAAAGGCCCTTTTTCAAAGTGGTTCAAGATGTTTTAGAAGCAGAGCCTCATTAGCATGAGGGACAAACTGTTAGGAAGCTCTCCAACAAAAGCCACATGAAATAGAACCCTTTGACAAACCTTGCAGAGAAGAGCTTCCCAGCCAGATCTACCCCATGGCTCAAATCAGTCTCCATCCCACTCGAACAGTGCCCACATCCCCATTGCTCCACCTTGCCGCATGGCTCAGGGCTTGTCCTCAGCTTCTGGCACACACAGACACGCCAAGCTGTTAAAGGGCACTCCCTTAGTGCACTACATACACCCACTCCATCGTTGACAATGCCCATGTCAGCTGATAAGCAGACAGGGAGGGAAATGATAAAATAATCTGACTAACCCCACCTCAAGAAAGCCACACACACTCCTGTCCTGCCTAGTCACAACATACGTGTGTGGTGTGGTGAGAAGACTAAAAGGGGCTAAAAGACCCTTCCCCTTTCCCAGCTCATTCCCAGAGGATGGAGACTAACAGGCAGCATGCCTTAGAAGGGAGGCTGAGAGGAGAGATCTGTTCACTGGCTAGAACCAGTTCATTCTTTTACAGAGGATCCCCACCCACACCCCAACTTCTACTTTCAGAGGGAGGGCTGAGAGAGGGTGGGGGACACCTAGACCAGGCCTGAGAGAAAGGGGCCACAGCAGCTGATTCAATGGATAGCACCCACCCCCTCTGAACTCCCCCCTCCCAGCCTCTTCCCAGCTCCAACTACAGAAAAGAAGAAGAAACCCTCCTCCCCCAGAAAGGCTTCCACAATACCCTATTAAGATCACTTAATAGAAATAAAGGGGGGGCAGCCTCAGAATAACAAGAACCTAAAAGAGACAGGCATCCGCCTTAAGGGTTAGGGGGACTGAGGAAAAGGGAGGTGAGAAAGAGGGGGGGACACATTTGGAGCGAGAAGTCTTGGTCACCATCGCCGACCCCCTTTCCTCCTCCAGGGGGGCGGCCGCCATCCTCATCCTCCCCGTGGGTGGGTCTGGCGGTGGGTCAGCAGCAGCAGCCCCTTCTTCTTCTTCTTGGCTCCCCTCGCTCGGTCCACTCACCGCTTTCATGGCCGAAGCCATGTCGTCGTATCGCTCCGCCTGCTCGGCCAGGCGGGCTCGCTGCAGCAGCTGCTCGCGGTCGCTCATCGTCGTCGTTGTCCGGGGGCTGAGGCGGAGGCTCGAGGTGGCGGTGGGGTCTCTGGGCTGGGGCTGTGCGCGCCCTTCCGAGGCGAAGCTCCTTTCAGGGCCGGCCAAAGACAGAGCGAGGCTGAGGAGGCGGCGGCGGCGGCGTCGCCTCAGAAGCAGCAGCAGTAGCAGCAACGGCTCTCCCTCCTTCGCCTCTTTTTTACCTCAGGCGAGAGAGCGCGCGCACTCTGACTGACTGGACCGACTGGCTGCTTCGCGCACGCGCAGCTTCAAACGTCTACTCCCTCGCTCTCGCGCGTGCGCGCTCCACACACCGGCCAGCGCCCGACAGAGACTCACCCACCTACATACATACACACGCTCACTGCATGACACTGTGCGCATGCGTCAGAGAGGAAAGCGCCGCCGCTCAAGGGAAAGGAGGGCAAGTTGGATTCCTCGCTGCGATATTATATATATTTTTTTAAAAAGCTGCGCATGCGCACGCTTGACGAGGCATTCCCCTTATAGTAAAAAAGCGGGCGAAGTGGGCGGAGCCAAGAAGACCGCAAGGGAAGGGAGGGGTTGCGGAGGGCGCGTGCCCGTGTGTCAGCCCATCAGTCACGCGCGTGAGCCGCGGCTGGCCCCGGCGTTCTATTTCTAGCTGACGTCATCGGCTATAAATAGCTCCGCGGCGCTGGACGCGGGAGTGCGCGGGGCGGGGAGAGGGAGACCGGAGCATGCGCGGTAGCCGTGCTGCATTGCAAAAGGGGTGGGCGGGCAGGCATTGCGGAGGGAGGCAGGGCGGAGGAGGAGGGAGGCGTCCCACGAGGAGGGTTGGTAGATCTGGAGACTGACCTCCCTAACACCTCCTCAAAAAATCTCTTCCTCGGTCGTGATGCTCAGTGGTCTCAGCCTGACCTACCTCGCAGGGTTGTTGTTGCGAGTGTGAAATTGGGGCGGGAAGAGCTCGCTGAAAGAAGCGTAGGATTTGAAATGTTCTCTTCTAAGTTTGCTGGGAGGTGGGCTTTTTCGGGAGTGCCTTTCACAGGACATTGTCTGTTCTCTTCTGCAGAGAGAAGCCCTTCCTTGCAAAGGTGGCAAGAGCCTTTCAGAGGGTAAACAAGCTTTAAAGGTAAAGGGACCCCTGACCATTAGGTCCAGTCGTGACCGACTCTGGGGTTGCAGCGCTCATCTCGCTTTATTGGCCAAGGGAGCCGGCGTACAGCTTCCGGGTCATGTGGCCAGCATGACTAAGCCGCTTCTGGAGAACCAGAGCAGCACACAGAAACGCCGTTTACCTTCCCGCCGGAGTGGTACCTATTTATCTACTTGCACTTTGACGTGCTTTCAAACTGCTAGGTTGGCGGGAGCAGGGACCGAGCAACGGGAGCTCACCCCGTCGCGGGGATTCGAACCGCCGACCTTCTGATCGGCAAGTCCTAGGCTCTGTGGTTTAACCCACAGTGCCACAAGCTTTGCCTTTCAGCTATTTTGAACTAGGACTCCCACCTGCCCAGCCTGATGGGGCCTAGAGTCCAAAACGTCTTGAGGACATGAGGAAAAGTGAAAGGGTGTTTGTGACATTCAAGGGCAGCAGGTTGGGAGGCAGATATTGGCCCTGGGCTCAATGTTCCCCCATGATCCTGAGTGAAGTGAGTTCCGAGCCTCCAACTCGCCTCCGCCTGGCTTGCACACTTGATTTTTTTCTCCTTTCATTTGCCGGGAAAGCATGACTTATTAATGCACAGCTTGTCTCTAAGTGCCCATTCCTCCTTCTCCCTGGCACTCAGACGTCGGGGCTGCAGCCTGAGCCAGAAGAAGAGTCACCCCCCATCTGTTGCCATGGTTCAGGAGGAAGGGAGAAAAGATGGATATATTTGTCTCCGGTTGCTAAAGGCAAAGGAGGCAGACCAGCCTTTCCGCAGAGCAGGAGCAGGACTATGTGTGTAACATCAGCTCTCTGGTGGGACTAAGTCTGCACGTTCTTATATATCGTCATCATAGGGGTTGTCTCTGGGGAGGGCTGTTCTCCGCCCCCAGTTCTTTTTTTGCTAGAAGATGATGGTTTAAGAAGGAAGGAGAAGAATCAGCCCCTTTTGGGGGTTTTTTCCTCTGTTTCCCATTTTCCCAACCCTCTACATCAGTTTACAATTTTTGTTCAAATCCTCAAATTCACAATTTCCACTAAAACAATTCATATACAGTGGTACCTCGGGTTAAGTACTTAATTCGTTCCGGAGGTCCGTTCTTAACCTGAAACTGTTCTTAACCTGAAGCACCACTTTAGCTAATGGGGCCTCCTCCTGCCGCTGCGCCCCCGGAGCACGATTTCTGTTCTTATCCTGAAGCAAAGTTCTTAACCTGAAGCACTATTTCTGGGTTAGCGAAGTCTGTAACTTGAAGCTTCTGTAACCTGAAGCATCTGTAACCCAAGGTACCACTGTATTAGGGGAATCACATACAGGCATGCATTGTTGCCTGTACACATTGCAGTGTATTTTGGATAAATACACTGCAAAATAGTTTGCAATTACCATTTTCAAGTCCTCACAAAAATTTGTCAGCATTTCAGGGGGTATGTTGCCTAATACTGTATACTTTTTTGTTCTTGCAAATAATCTGCTGTAATAAAATGCATTTTTTGTACAGTGGTGCCTCGCAAGACGAAATTAATCCGTTCCGCGAGAGTCTTCGTCTAGCGGTTTTTTCGTCTTGCGAAGCAAGCCCATTGACGGATTAGCGCTATTAGCGCTATTAGCGGTTTAGCGGCTATTAAAGGCTTAAAGGCTTAGGGGATTAGCTGCTAAAAGGCTATTAAAGGCTATTAAAGGCTTAGCAGATTAGATAAAGGGGAGGAAAAGCGAAAAAAAAATCTCTAGACTCGCAAGGTATTTTCGTCTTGCGAAGCAAGCCCATAGGGGAATTCGTCCTGCGAAGCAACTTCAAAACGGAAAACCCTTTCGTCTAGCGGTTTTTCCGTCTTGCGAGGCATTCGTCTTGCGGGGCACCACTGTATGTCATTTCCTCTAGCATATAACTTTTATACACACTGTTGTTGGAGACCTAAATCCAGAGTACAAATTTCAAAGGACCTCTGTTTTGGGGAAATGAGAATTAGGTTTCCATTAAAATGGCACCCCCTAAAATTTTTTTTAAGCAGGTTGAATACTGTTCCATTCATGTTTTCCCTGCTACATATGTCCTTAAGACAATTTGCATGAAGTCTCTCTGTGTCTCCAATTATAGGTTTGAAAGGAGGGCAATTTTTAAAAATCACCTTCACATTAAAATTTGCATTGACTAATTTCTATGTGTAGGCATCTCTGGGCAAATTAGTGTGTGTGTGTGTGTGTGTGAGATCAGCAATATATTTTACAAGGCATCCAAGCCTAGTCCTAGCAAAGTTTTAAAAAATTAAGGGAAGGGAAAGGGCAAAAAAACCCAGCGTTTGGTGCAAAAGACACCCAGGCTCAGATCCCAACCAAGAGCAGCAACCACGATACCACCCATGCAAAGAGAGGCAGCCATTTTCAAATAAATTTTATTCGTAATTATTCCTTTATAACAGAAGGTCCACGCAGGAGGCAAATATCCCATTGAGAAACATTTAAGATGGTGAAAATTACCGGAGGGACCACAGAAAGACGAGGAAGGAAGTCGAGTCTTGAAACATTTAAATTACTAAAACTATTGAAATGTATATAACTGAAAATTACAAAAAAAAATATTAAAAGAGAAACAGTTAAGTTGAAACTGCTGGCCCTCCAGATGTTGGTGTCCCACCAGCCCAAAGCAGCAAGGCCAGCGATCCAGGATGATCGGAGATGTAGCCCAGAACATCTGGAGGGCCTCACATTTGAGTTAAGCAAATAAAACCCTCAATGGACTCATGATCTGGAATCCTGCTTAAAAAGTAAACAATTTGATAAAATGACTGCAAAGGCCATATAACAATCTTACATTTCTATGGTCTCTGGCATGTGGCAAATGCCCCTCCCTTTCTCTTGCCTCCAAAGAGACACCATTTCCATTATTTCAGCTCACAGGAGAAGTTCCACAACAGGAAAGAGAGCAGAGTGGCTTAGGGCATGCTAACTGCTGGGCACACCATACCACTGAAATCACATTATTTTCCCCCAGGGAATCCTGGGAACTGTAGTTTACCCACACAGCTACAATAGGGAACCTACAGTTCCCAAGATTCTTTAAGGAAAGCAATGTATGTTGGTCTTGTTCTCCTCCTGTGAGGCTTGGAATACACCTCTGTCCAGCTGGAACCTCTGAAGGCAGCTGAGCAGATGCCCATCAATGAGAGCTGAAACTTGACAGCTTATCAAACGGCCGAAGCCTTCCTCTGCAAACAAGCTCTGCAAAATAGTTACAAGAAATCTTGGAGTCCTTAGCAGACCCCAATGTCGAAAGTGGTTCTGTTTAGACTATGAACCACCTGCAAAGAGTTCCCTGGCACTGTTTTCCACAGATGCAAAGGATGGAGAATGTGGGTCTTCGCAACTGCAGCACATAGTACGTTTTGGATCCAGCACAAGGGGAGGCAGGAAGGGATCAGTGGAAGGCTTATTAAAAAGGAAGATCTCCCCTCCATCGCCGCCCTTTTCTTTTCACTTCCTAGGAAAAACATGAGAAAATGGGGAAGGTAAGTATGCAAGCATGTTCAAATGACCAAATTCCAGAGTTTAAACGACACCCTGCGTGATGAAATCTGCTCCCCCTTTTCTCATATCCTATGCTATCTTACGGGCACCCCTTCCACAGATAACTCGTCCCCACGAGCTTGTACAGCGGGCCCGTAGCTTAGCACTCACAACAGCCTCAAGCTTTGTTCTTTTAAAACTCGAGAAATGCCGCCCCTCGTTGCTTGACTTACGGGCCACTTTGCAAGATGGCAACCGCCTTGTGAAGTTGGTGGGCTCTGAACCCCTGGAGGGGCTGGATCTGTGTGATCCACCAGATTCACCTGGGCTGCGTGCCATGTGGGTGCTGCTGTTACCCCAAGGAAACGTGGCACTGACGGCGGGCTCCCTTGCCACCTCCCTCCCTCCCTGTTCTTCGTGATTCAGACATAGGGAGTGGCCCTTCCTGCGAGCCCCCAGCGTGGGAGGCAACTGCCCTAAGCTACCCAGCGCAGCCAACTTTCCTCGTTTTCCACCAGCCAATGTGGCAAAAAGATGCCAGAGCTACACTAAAGCAGCAGCCCAGAGTGCACAGAGGTAGCACATTCATTATTGATGTCCTTAAAAGCATTCCTCCTCTGCTAATGGCCGCTGAGAGGGCCACATTCCAAGACGAAGAAGAAGAGTGCCGTCAGGTAGAACATGGACAGAGGAGAGCCCTTTCGAGAAGGAGCAGCACCCCCCCACCATCTGGCTGAGTGGCGCAAGCCTTCCTCCCACCCAACACACTGCAGAAAATGAGTTGCGCCAGTCCAGCAGGGCGGGGCAGGATTCAGGCTTGTTGGATCAACTTTGGGGTGTTGGGTTTTTTTTGCTAGGACCCCACAAGCTGCCAGCCAGACCCAGGTGCAAGATCCCAAGTCCAATCCCAGCCTTGCTTCACCCCCTTGAGTGCTTTTGCCTGGCTGGGAGGTGACCGTGGACTCTCGTGTGCCTGGATTTTATTTTTATTTTTTTATTACATTTGCACAGCGCTCTTCATCTGCAGATCTCGGGATCCAAAGCTGGAGAAAGGTGTGGGTGTGTCTGTGTCTAAACTAGTAGAAAAGTAACGTTTGCATTCTTTCCTCCCCCTACGTTTGGCCTCCGGTAAGTTACCCTAAGAGGAATGTGGCTCTTGGGCTGAAAAGCCTCCCCTCCACCCCCGGCTACAGCCATTCTATAAGAACACCTACCATATCATGGGGCCAGTCAATGCCTCTCTTAGCCTAACCTACCTTGTTGTGGGGATAAAATGGGAAAACAATGTACATCACCTTGTGCTCTTTGGCAAAAAAAGGGGGGACGTCAATGCAAATAAGAAGAAACTAGTCCTTACCTGCTGTTGTGCCAAGGCAGGGCTATTCTCTGAGCAGGACAGGGGCAGCATCGAGGTTGGCCAAGCACAGTGATAGAAGAGCTGAGGAGGGGAGGGAGAAATATTAGCTGTGGTTCATTGTAAGGGGTTGGACTAGAGGATCTTTGGGAGTCCCTTCCAACTCTATAATTCTGTGATTGGGTGACTAGTCAACAGGCTTTTTTAACTGTTTGGATTTTCCCTGGAAAGGGTAAATCTGGATTATTAATTTGGGGGGAGGGTGTAATACGAGTTGGCTTTTTTGTTGCTTATGTCATGTGAAAAATGTGCGTGTGAGAGGAACACCCACCCATAATAAGCATCTGTTTGGAAGCACCCTCCGTTTCCTGGTGCTCAAGTCCAATCAGCATGGCGTCAGGTGGTGCCACTGCCTCAATGGTGCAGGGCGGGAACCTGACGCAGTTGCTCCTCTGAGGCTACAGGTTCATGGATCTGCAGCTGCTCCATGAGGAATCCCACATTCTTCCACCAGACTCCTTTCTCCTTACCTGCTGCAGGGCAGGCGAGTTGACCAGGGCCACCATCACTCCTTGTATCTAAGCACCAGGCCATCTTTCTCCAAGTCCTGCTCACTGACTGTCTCTGACCTGACGCACCTGGAGGCATCCTGGCACAACCTGCATTGAAGCAACCCACACACACACGGTTATCTGGTTGTCTGAATACTTATAAACCACACTTCCATATAAAATATCTGTAAGGTGGTATATGAACCAAAAAAACACAGTACTGTTTACAAAGACACCTCAAAAGCACATCTTTTGAATGTTGCTTTTAAAGAGTTGCTTTTGCTGATAATTTTTGTGTCTTATTCTCTTTGTAAACCAGTTTGTAAGATTTATATACCACTTAATGGTTTTTTTAAAAAGTAAAAAAATAAAACAAAACATTCTCAGAAGCTTAGGAGTGCACACCCTCTTTGGCCTAGGCTAGGCAATTTTCAGTTCCCCAGCTGTATTCTCTGCAAAAAAAAAGTTGAGTCATATTCCTGCCTCCAGAAGTTGGCACGATAATAATAATAATAATAATAATAATAATTTATTATTTACACCCCGCCCATCTGGCTGGGTTTCCCCAGCCACTATGGGCGGCTTCAAACAGAACACTAAAATACAATAACCTATTAAACATTAAAAGCTGATTCTCGCAAGGATGTAGATGCTGTGAGGAGGGACCCCTCCCAAGTACCTGCCAGTCTTGCCAGGCCCCAAGGGGATTGCTGGAGAGCTTGAAAAGCTTTCCTGCTTCATGGCTCTGCGTTCCTCTTCAGCAGGGCTGTGAACCACTTCACCTTTTTGGTCCACGCGTGGCCTCTTCTGTGGGGAACAAGGAACCATTAATCTCTGCAACAACCCTGTGAGGTAGGTATGTCAGGCTGAGAATGACTGCCCCAAGGTTAACCAGTGAGTTTCATGGCAGAATGGGGATTTGAACCCATGTCTCCCAGGTCCTAGTGCCATAACTGGTTCTCGTTCTCTTTCTTTCTCTGGGTATGTGTGCAAAAGAGAGAAGATGATTCTAAGTTCTTGCACTGTGAGAAAAGGGAGAAAAGCTTATTTCTGTCTGCTTTCTTCACACCATGCTTGAACTCCTAGGTTTTTTTTAACCATTTTAAATAAAATGGACTATCTAGTAAATCAGACTGTGGCTCTGAAGATGGAAATTGCCAACAGAATTATCTGAATGAAGCGTGGTCCTTGAAACTACTGTTTTTAAAATGTGGTTTGTTTGGGTCCCTTTTTATTTTATATCAATACTAGGAAGGGCAGACAGGAACAAAAGTACAGGCACCAGCGAGTAATAGAATTCTGGCCTTGGGTTCAAATCTCAGCTTCTGACAAATTATTTGGTAGGGTGGAGTTGTTTTATACTAGCACAATCAGGAAATTAGGGGGCGGAGAGACAAAACTTTCTCAGGTGTGAGAAATTAGACAACTCCCTGGAGGAAAAGTTACTGACCATTACCATGGCTAAAAGGATTGTCTAGACTAGAGTCTGGGGTCTCTAGCCAGCTCCTCTCTGCAAATTGCAGGCTCCAAATTGGGGAAAAAATGAGGTTTTCATTTAAAACCACACCTCAATCATGACCTCTCAGAAAGTTTACTCTTGTGGTGATGATGAACCGAGGACTGAGAGCCTCAGGTGTGCCACTCCGGGCCCCTTGGAGGGAAAAGATGGGGTATAAATTCAGTAAACACAAATAAGGCGACCCGTTCCTGGGCAACTCACCAGCGGCACCCGTTGCTCTTATTAGTAGCAGCTTCCCCCCCCCCCCGCTGGCAACAGGAAGGCGTCCTGGGGCGCGCCGGCCTCACTCCCCCGCACACGCGAGAAAGATGCAGGATCAGCCCCGCCCCAAGGAAGGACCCGAGCACGTGGGTGGGGTCGCTCAGCCCGCTTGCAATTGCAAAGGGGGGGGGGTCGGAGCGCACGTGGCAAGGCCCGGGGCGGGGGCTTTGAGGTGTGTGGGGGGGTCCTCCAAGGGATACAGCTAAGGGGGCAGCAGAAGGTCCTAAAGGTGCTGATTTGTTCCCAGTTCTTTATTACAAAGACCTCAGCTCCAAAAATCTATGCCGATTGATTTTTTCGTTTCTGTAATATCTTTTAAAAATATTTGTAAGCGGTGTACAAAAAAAAATAATGAAGCGACAACAGACGGCTTAAACAAAAACATTGCAAAAATACAGTTACACGCAGTACAAATTCAGGTAGGTAGCCGTGTTGGTCTGACGTAGTCGGAATAAGTACATTAGAAAATTATCCAGTAGCACTTTAGAGACCAACTAAGTTTGTTCTGGGTATAAGCTTTCGTGTGCATGCACACTGCTTCAGATGCAGTACAAAGTTACTAATTCATAGGAGACAATATCCATTTTCCTTCTGATACACCCACCCACTCAGCCTCTGGGATCTCACACAGGGTCCAGAAAACTCTCAACTCACCTACAGAAGCTCCAGAAGAGTTGCCGTGCCTGGAAAAAGCCAACATTTAGTGACTCGCATGCAAGACTCGCCATTTTATAGGCAGCTCTCCCCGCCCCCGTGGATGGTATTTTCTCAAGCGGCCCACAGCTGTGTCCCATTCAGCTGCCCCCAGTTCCAGCTGCAGCATGTTTGTGGAGTTTCCCAGGTGTTTCAAAGGGTTGGGGAAAAGGCCTTCTCCACTCACAGCTGTTATTCATGCTCTTTCCTCTCCTCCTACTGCAGCTGCTTAGAATACTCCCTGAACCGCAAAATAAATGGGGATTCCCTATACAGTGGTACCTCGGGTTACATACGCTTCAGGTTACAGACTCCGCTGACCCAGAAATATTACCTCGGGTTAAGAGCTTTGCTTCAGGATGAGAACAGAAATCGTGCTCGCGGCAGCAGCAGGAGGCCCCATTAGCTTAAAGTGGTGCTTCAGGTTAAGAACAGTTTCAGGTTAAGAACGGACCTCCAGAATGAATTAAGTACTTAACCCAAGGTACCACTGTATTGTGTATCCCCATGATCAGTGGACTGCCCCACTTAAGCCACAACAATGAAGTTATTTATCTGACTACACCCCCCTGTTGTATTCTGGGGGTGGTCTTGATCTAGAGGATGGGAATTTCAAAAGTCTTTATAAGCCATTGCACAGCATTTTGTGGGACCTCTTCCTCTCTTGCGTGTGAGGGGAGCACCCTGTTGCAACAGATTAATAAAGATCAAGCTTACTAGCTGCTTTGCTTCTCAATATTCTCTGGTTGGCCTCTGTTATTTTCTCCTACCAATAGGGAACCTATGTAAGGACTCTATATGGGCTCTTGGATACCCCATAAGGGAAAAGGGCATATTTTTATTTACAACACCCCCCCCCCCGCAAAATGCTTATAAATGCATGAGAGCAATAGATAATAATATATATATAATAAGTGAGTGGGGGGGGCATTGCCAACACATCCCATGCAACCCAGTGTTTCCTATGTGTGCATGGTACCACTTTGTGGTTTTCTGCAGTCAAACGGTATATAAAGCAGATGTCAACTAGACAGAGCTAGTTGGTGACCTGGGTGTGAACTGGGAGACAAGGGTTCGAATCCCCACTCAGCCGTGTAGCTCAGTGTTTGATCTTGGGCCAGACACTCACTCTTAGTCTAGCTTACCTCCCAGGGTTGTTGTGTGAGGATAAAATGGGAAGTTGGAGAACCATGTCTACCACCTTGAGCTACCTGGAGGAAAAGGTGAGCTATAAATGTAATCTTCATCAACTGGAGAGCAAACCACATCTCTCTGAGTAGCCCAGTTATACAGTGGTACCTCGGGTTACATACGCTTCAGGTTACATATGCTTCAGGTTACACACTCTGCTAACCCAGAAATAGTGCTTCAGGTTAAGAACTTTGCTTCAGGGTAAGAACAGAAATAGGGCTCCAGCAGCGTGGCAGCAGCAGGAGGCCCCATTAGCTAAAGTGGTGCTTCAGGTTAAGAACAGTTTCAGGTTAAGAACGGACCTCCGGAACGAATTAAGTACAGTGGTGCCTCGCAAGACGAAAATAATTCGTTCCACGAGTCTTTTCGTCTTGCGATATTTTTCGTCTTGCGAAGCACGGTCCGTCGCAACTGCGCCTCTTCAAGTGGCTTTTAAAAAAAAGCGCAAGACGTTTTTGTCTTGCGAAGTAAGCCCATAGGGAAATTCGTCTAGCGAAGCAACGCAAAACCGAAAAACCCTTTCGTCTAGCGAGTTTTTCGTCTTGCGAGGCATTCGTCTTGCGGGGCACCACTGTACTTAACCCGAGGTACTACTGTATTTTGAAAGCTACATGGGGGCTGGAGCACTTTTTGTGGTTTTGAAGCACCTTTGTCTGTGGAGAGGGAGCCTGCAGAAAGGCTCTCTCCTCCAAACCTTCAACCTCATGAGAAAGTGAACCGATTCCCCACCTGGCAAAAGGGATTTATTAAAAGCAATAAATAAGAGAGAGAAATTCAGTCTCTCTGCACACACCTTCCCGAGCAGAAGCTTCTTGGAAGCCAGCCACACATCCCAGCATGGCAACCACCCACTTTGAAGGAAAGCGCTGAGTAACACAAGTCAGGCAAGGATTGAGCTTGGTGATGTGAGAATGCAGCTCCATCATCACTCATGCATAATTGCTGACAGTCCCAGGTAGTTTTGGGAATGTGAGGAAATGGATCTACTCAATTTTTGGACATGAACTGATGCAGAAAGATGAGATGCGCTCGCTCTCCTCCAGTTTTGCTTATCTAGCTTCAAGGAATCATGTTGGAAAGGTCCCCAATCCAATTTTTGCTCAGTGCAGGGTCTTATAATACAGGATCCAGCCATAGCAACAATGACAAATGGCCAACCAGCCTCTACTTAAATGCCTCCACCAGCTAAGGAATAACCCATCCATCACCTTCTGAGACAGGCTTCTCCATTGTCAAATAGCTCTTATCCTTAGATATTTTCTATTACAGTGGTACCTCGGGTTACATACACTTCAGGTTACATAAGCTTCAGGTTACAGACTCTGCTAACCCAAAAATAGTGCTTCAGGTTAAGAACTTTGCTTCAGGATGAGAAGAGAAATTGTGCTCCGGCGGCGCGGCGGCAGCAGGAGGCCCCATTAGCTAAAGTGGTGCTTCAGGTTAAGAACAGTTTCAGGTTAAGAACAGACCTCCGGAACTAATTAAGTACTTAACCCGAGGTACCACTGTATTGTAAGGGATGCGGGGGCGCTGTGGGTTAAACCACAGAGCCTAGGACTTGCCGATCAGAAGGTCGGCGGTTCGAATCCCTGCGACGGGCTGAGCTCCTGTTGCTCAGTCCCAGCTCCTGCCAACCTAGCAGTTCAAAAGAATGTCAAAGTGCAAGTAGATAAATAGGTACCACTCCGGCGGAAAGGTAAACGGCGTTTCCGTGTGCTGCTCTGGTTCGCCAGAAGCAGCTTAGTCATGCTGGCCACATGACCCAGAAGCTGTATGCCGGCTCCCTCGGCCAATAAAGCGAGATAAGCGCCACAACCCCAGTCTCGGTCACGACTGGACCTAATGGTCAGGGGTCCCTTGATCTTTACCACTGTATTATTTTTAGCCCAGGTCCAATGCTTTGATTTCTCTCCACTGGTCCTCGCCTCCCCTCTGGAATGGGGGTGGTCAGCCCTCATTTTTAAAAAAGAAGAGAGTCTCTAGCTCTGCTAAACAGTTATGAAGCAAAAAGTGTAGGTAATCATCTAAGCAATTTCTGTGAAATGAACAAACCTGGCTGCTCCTGAGTCAGTTTTTAGCCAATGAATGACGTCAGATAGATAAGTGAGGAGTTTGCACGCCAGGCAACAGTAAAACCCAGGTTCCTAAAGAGGTGCTATTTCCACTCCCCTTTAATGTGCTTTTCCTGCTTCTACTGTATCATCTAGTTGCTGGATCCAACCATTTGCAGCTCTGTTTTGCTGCCTGCCAGCAGCCACATGCAAGCAGCGAGAGCCAATGAATACGCCACCCCAACAATGGGAGGAGAACTGTGTGTTTTTATTCCATAAATATTGTACAACATTTTACATATGCACAAAAAACTCCCAATGAGGATTTTCAGAAGATGAAAAAGGTTCTGGTCTTCTTCCACTGCTGTCTGATGTCTATCAGGCTGTCCTCCATTCGGGCGGGAAGTCGCCTTCCCATAGTAAGACTTATCCATTTGCACCTGTGAAAAGCGCCCATTTGTGGCATCCTGAGACCTTGCTCCCAGGAGCCTGCCTAGGATTTCTCAAGATGCTCCTTGCACCCACTCTTCCAGGACAGCTAACTGCAGCTACATTTGACTTCTGTGGCTGGTGGGGATTCTTCAAGGGGCACTGGCGTGCATCTTTTCCAGACAGCCTGTCCAGAAGGAGACCAGCCGGTTGTCCTTGTTCCAGCAGAAGTCAGTGAAGTCCTTCAGTAGCCGGTCAGCAAACTTCTCATCCCCTGTGGCGCTGGACCGCCACGTTTTGGTCAGCATGGTGTTGTAGGCCCAGTTATAGCCGATGCGCTCCTCGCAGAAGACATTCTGGTTGGTGGAGCTGGTGGAGTTGCGCCGCCGTCGCTGCTGCCCAGAGAACTTCCGTTTGGAGTACGGCAGCTGAAGAAACACCGTCCCTGAATCGAGAGGAGCCCGTTTTTTAAAAAAGCAGCAACAATCTCATATTGCAGTTAGGTTAGTGATGGATACATGTCAGTGTATGATGCATACTGCGACCCTGGTCAACTTACAGCAGAATTAGCAAGCCTGCTAGTTCTGTTCTTAAAATGAGCTTGCCTCCTTTGTAAAACCTGCTTTGCTGAGGTTTTTGCAACCAACTCCAGCATGAGCTAGCAGTACAGCTTTTGCAAAACATCTCTTCTCAGTCAACCTTATTGCCACAAGCTTGCTCAAAGAGGGAGGGTTGGTGATCGCATTTTATTATTTTATTACTTAAACCAGAAAGGCTAGTCAAAAACTTTAGGCCTCACTATCAGGCACTCTGAACTCCCCCCGAGCCACACCCCTCACCGGGCTACCCTTGAACTCTAATAATATTTCTTGCGTTGATTATTATTATTAGTAGTAGTACCCCACCCACCTGAGTGGGTAGCCCCAGCCACTCTGCGTGGCTTCCAAGACATATAAAAGCATAATAAAACATTAAAGGTTAAACAACTTCCCTATACTGGGTTGCCTACCCTATATAGGGCTGTCTTCTAAAGGTTATATAGTTACTTATTTCCTTGACATCTGATGGGAGGGCGTTCCACAGGGTGGGTGCCACCACTAATAAGGCCCTCTGCCTGGTTCCCTGCAACTTCACTTCTTGCAGTGAGGTAACTGCAAGAAGGCCCACGGTGCTGGAATTCTGTCTAGGCTGAATGACGGTGGTAGAGACACTCCTTCAGGTATACATGGCCGAGGCTGCTTTTCCCTTCCCCACTGCTATAGGCCCTTCCAGCCGAGGAGCAAATCAGATGCAGCAACACAAGCCTGTTGCCAGAACTTTGAGAAAGAGCTTGTGCCATTGGACGAAGGAAAGCCGGTGGGTGGGGCCCCCAGGGCAAGGCAAACCTCGCCCTAAGCTCACTCTCCTCTGGAGAAGGACAGAGCCCCTACCAGCTGCCTTCCAGGGTCCTCTCTAGCAACTTACTCATTTTCTCTCTTTGGTGACCGGTTGGTGGGCGGGCTGTAGGGGACTCAATTGGCCGAGGCACTTGGGTGTTATGGGATTCCTCTACAGCACACTTACCAACCAGTCCCTGACCAATTGGAGCCAAGAGCAAAAGACACAGTTAGAATGGAAGAAAAGGGTACCTCTGAGCACATTCTGAGCCTTGGAAGTGGTTTTCAGAACCAGGATTGAATTGATGTCAGAAGTCCAATCCTGGCTACTTTGAAGCATTCTTTATTTCAGAAGCCTAGTCTTGGTATGAGAAACTGCACCCCTTGCTAGTCTCTTGCAAATCAGATTGGCACCCCCTCCCCTTGGCCAGTCTCCTTTCTGCCCTCCAAGTGCTTTTTTCCTAGAAAAATAGGTGCCGGTACTCACCATGAAGTTGTTACTGTAAGTATCACACTTTTTAACAAAAAAAGGGGGGGTACTGCGTACCCTTGAGTGCCTCCTTTTTAAAAAAGCACTGTGCCCACCCCTGACCTAGCCCACTACTCTGCTGCAAAGCTTTGCCTTCAATGATAAAGCAGTTACAGTGGTGCCCCGCAAGACGAACGCCTCGCAAGACGGAAAACCCGCTAGACGAAAGGGTTTTCCGTTTTGGAGGCGCTTCGCAAAACGAATTTCCCTATGGGCTTGCTTCGCAAGACGAAAGCCCATAGGAAATCTCCGAGGACCTCTTTTAAATGCTAGCGGTGGGGAGCAAAGCCTTCCCCCCTCCGGCCTTCAGAAGAGGTCCAGGAAGGCTGGCGGGGCCGAAGGCTTGCTCCCCACCGCCAGCATTTTAAAAGCAGTCCGGGATAGCAGGAAGCGCTTCCCGCTATCCCGGACGGCTTTGAAGGCAGGAGAGGTCCGCGAAGCCTGGGCGCGCTGATCTCAGCGCGCGCAGGCCCGGCATGCCGGCAACTCTCCGCAAGCAGCGGCAGCGCTGCCGCTGCTCGCGGAGAGGTCCGCGAAGCCTGGGCGCGCTGATCTCAGCGCGCGCAGGCCCGGCATGCCGGCAACTCTCCGCAAGCAGCGGCAGCGCTGCCGCTGCTCGCGGAGAGGTCCGCGCGAGCCTGGGCGCGCTGATCTCAGCGCGCGCAGGCCGGCATGCCGGCAGCTCTCCGCAAGCAGCGGCAGCGCTGCCGCTGCTCGCGGAGAGGTCCGCGAGCCTGGGCGCGCTGATCTCAGCGCGCGCAGGCTCGGCATGCCGGCAGCTCTCCGCAAGCAGCGGCAGCGCTGCCGCTGCTCGCGGAGAGGTCCGCGAAGCCTGGGCGCGCTGATCTCAGCGCGCGCAGGCTCGGCATGCCGGCAACTCTCCGCAAGCAGCGGCAGCGCTGCCGCTGCTCGCGGAGAGGTCCGCGAAGCCTGGGCGCGCTGATCTCAGCGCGCGCAGGCTCCGGCATGCCGGCAGCTCTCCGCAAGCAGCGGCAGCGCTGCCGCTGCTCGCGGAGAGGTCCGCGAAGCCTGGGCGCGCTGATCTCAGCGCGCGCAGGCCTCGGCATGCCGGCAACTCTCCGCAAGCAGCGGCAGCGCTGCCGCTGCTTGCGGAGAGGTCCGCGAAGCCTTGGCTGGACAGCTTTTGAAGGCAGGTGGGGGGGACAAAGACTTTCGCCCCCGCCAGCCTTCAGAAGAGGTCCAGGACCTCTTCTGAAGGCTGGCGGGGGCAAAGTCTTTGTCCCCCTGCCTGCCTTCCCAGGAGCTTTAAATTGCCCCGGACAGCGGAGAAGTCCTCCGCTGTCCCGGAGCAATTTTAAAATGCCGCCCGCCAGCATTTTAAGATCGCCCCGGACAGCGGAGAAGCCCTCCGCTGTCCCGGGGTTTTAAAATGCTGGGGTGGGTGGGAAGAAAAGCCCTTGTCCCCCAGCCTTCAGAAGAGGTCGGGGGACAGACTGTCCCCGGACCTGGTCTGAAGTCGGTTTCCCTAGGAACGCATTAAGTGATTTTCAATGCATTCCTATGGGAAACCGTGCATCGCAAGACGAAAAACTCGCAAGAAGAAAAAACTTGCGGAACGAATTAATTTCGTCTTGCGAGGCACCACTGTATTGTTTGCTAGGGGCCTTTTGCTGACTCATCTCCTCATTCAGCATATTTCTCTGCTGGATGTTCTGGTGGTTTTATACAAGGCCAGCTGCTCACAGGATGCTTTGTGTCTTGAGGGTCACAAGCCCAGAAGGAGGGAAAAAAAGAGTATTCACCTGTGACATGAATGTACTGGGGTTTGTTCTCTGAAGGGAAGTTGAATGCAGAGGCAGAATATTTATCTTGCACAAACCCAAACCTAGAGAGAAGAAAACGTTGCAGAAGGAAATTAGCAAGGAATCGCGGAAGGGCTGTACCTTTTCCTGCAGAAGGGTCCCAAACTCAGTCCCCAGCAGCATCTTCAGGTAGGGCTGGGGAATGACTCCTTGCCTAAAACCCTGGAGAGCCAGTCTTGCCACTCAGTGGGAGCACTGCTTAGCTAGATGGGCCAATGGAGGACAAGGCAGCCTCCTAGGATAGGGCAAGGGCAGTAGGTCAGGGGTAGAGATAATCTGCTTCGTCTGCAGAAGGTCCTGGGTTTTTCCCTTGGCATCCCCAGGTGAGACCCCCTTGCCTGAAACCCTAGAGAATTCCTGACAGTCGGTGTACTGAATTAGGTAGACACAGTGCTCTGACAAAGAGTAAGGCAGGTTCTTCCTATGTTCCTAAGTGACAAGAGGAATGACTGCATTCTGCACATGAGCAGGAACCTGGCAGCTTGTTTGCAGAAGGTTGTATAAAAGCGAAGACTCCTGCAGAAAACCTTATTGATCTCATTCCCCATGCCTGATCACTCTCCCCCGCCCCCCAACAAATGATTGTCCTTGTGGCTCAAGGGTTAAACAGACGCTCCTCAGCCTGCCCTCTTCTAGGCTTACCTGTGTGCAATCACCTCCTGAAGGAGATGCATGCGGTCCCAGTAGGTCTCTGGCTCAAAGCCTGGAAGAGAACAATTGGGTGACTTTCCAACCCTGCTAGCAGGATAGGATCAGATTGCACCTAAAGACGTCTGCATGTGTAGGGAGGAGGGCCCGGTTGTTGCACCAGCCCTCCTTCCTTAAAACACATGCATGTGGGAGGGCCATAGCTTAGTGCTGGAACTCATGTCAGAAAGCAGCAGGGGCGGATAGGAAAGACCCATCTCCTTCTCTTCCAGAGATGCTGCTGGTCTCAGGGGAGACAGTATTAATACTGGGTGGAGGGAGGAAAAGGGTCCATAAATAGCAACACCCTAGTGGTCCCAGGCCCTAAGGAAGTTAGATTGGCTTTAACCAGAGCCAGGCCCTTTTCAACACTGGCTCCGGCCTGGTGGAACGCTCTGTCTCTTGAGACCAGGGCTCTGCAGGATCTGACATCTTTCCGCAGGGCCTGTAAGACAGAGTTTTTCCGCCTGGCCTTTGGCTTGGAGCCAATTTGATTCCCTCCCCCTCTTTCTTTTTCCTTTCTCCTCCTGTGATGAGGCTGCATTTTAATATTTTAATGTTTCAGTATTTTAATCTTGCTTTTAAGTTGTATTCATTCAACTTGTTTTTATTATTGCTTGTTAGCGCCTTGGCTGGGAAGGGCGGGGTATAAATAAAAAATGATGATGATGATGATGATGATGATGCCATATTTAGAGGTTCTAGTTCCAAGAGCTGGCAAGACTCAGGTTGGAGACAGACAAATGAAGCAGATTAGCTTTCATAACTGGGCATTCCCCTTTTTGGGGATCTTTGCCACTTGTTTGCAACGAGGAAGCCCCTCCTGCCTTTTGGCTCATCACCGGACAGGGAAAAGCCACCGGCTGTTCCCTTCCTTTCATGTTCCCAGAAAGCACCTTAAGTCTGAAATATTTTGGGGTGGGAGGGAGGTAACTATGGTAACAGTGGAAGCAATTGCACAGCAGAAGTCTGGATCATTCCATATTGGGTGTGGGGAGGGGGAGGCAGGCGGGGGTGGTGGAATGAGGGATGTGACCACCTGGCAGGACATTCATCATGAAGTCTCAAATGGCGAGGTGGACACTGCTTTAAGGCAGTCATTGCTAGAACAAGAAATCCATTTGTGGTTCTTGGGAGACTACAGCGCCCCACTCCCCTTAGAGTGTTGGAAGCTGCCAAATTCCAGTCTTCACCAACCTCCTGTTCTCTAGAAGTTTTGGACTACTGCCATCACCCCCAGCTAGCATTATGATGCTGGGGATTGATGGGAGGTGTAGTCCAAAATGAGATTCTGTCTCTACTTAAATGGCATCAGTCACACCAGTTGCAGTAGAATGATCTGCCCTCAGAGGAGTGCACCTGCTGCACCTCTGTATGAGTTGCTGCCCTAGGCTTCCTTCTAGTCAGGTGAGCAGGAGGCAGATCTGGAGGCAGATCATCCTCTCAGATCCTACATGCCAGACAGCTGTGTCTGGAGTCTCGGTGCAAGAGGGACAGGGGCTCAGATTTTTAAACCAGGAGGGGGAAAATACAGCACCTCAGAAAAAACACCCCGCATACACCAGATGACAGGAGGAGGAGGAGGAGGAAGAGGAAGAGGAGGAGGAGGAGGAGGAGGAGGAGGAGGAGGAGGAGGAAACCCATTAGCTTTTGATGAAGGCAGGAACTAAAACTGGAGGAGGATCCAGAAGGAGAAGCCTAAACAAATCTATGGGTAACTTATCAGGGAAATTAGGACACACACACAATAATTTAAGTGAGTGTCTCCCATGCCAATCTGAGACAGGGCAGGAAGGAGGGAGAGACTGAAAATGAGGACTGCATGAGCACTGACTACCTCCTTGCCCAACTCCAAGCTCCACAGTGAGCAGAGTTTTGAAACTGAGCAAAGGGAATCTTCTCCTGTCACCAGGAGGTGCAAACAACACCTTTCCAAATTTAATTATTATGATTTATTTGGGGGGGAAATGTATACTGCTGGGTCAAAAAATTAAATCAAAGCAGTTTACAGCAATAGAGGCATAAAACCAGACACGAAAAAGTTAAAACCATTGCAGAAGTGTGCACTTAATTGTCAGCATTGGCCTGGCAGAATAGAAGAGTTTTCAGCAGGCATTTCAAAGCTGGGGAAAAAGGCACCCGCTGAATCTTTATTGGCAGAGTGTTCCACAAGACTGAAATTTCCCATGCATCCAACTTCAGATTCCACAGGACCCAACCAGAGCCCAGAGCAACACTGCTGGGCTTTATGCCGGGGGGGGGGGGCAGGGCAGACCTTCCACTCTCACTTGAGTCACCAAGTTGCCACTGCCTCCCTCTCTTCCTTACCATCAAAGAGGTGCTCGGTGCCCTCCTTCACCAGGCAGCTAATGTTGAGAGGGATAAAGAGCTGGGCTCGAAGGGGGTCTCCGTACAAGTAACTGGGCAGCGCAAACGGGCCTTCAAGGACAGGAACCAGCAGAAACCCACAGGAAGTGGCTTTGCGATGCCAACCTTGGACCTGGGAGGAGAAGGAGCAGAGCCACATTGAGGAAGAGAGGGAGAGGTAGAAAGGCCTAGAGGAGCCACTTGCCAGGGCCCATATGAGGGCACAGCAACACCCCAAACTTGTGGTTTGCGACCAAATTCTTCAGCAGGACAACGTAAACCTAGATAACGCCACAATTATAGGCGTAACTACAGCAGTGCTGTTATTTCCTCGCACCAAAGAAACTGGCCTAACCTTCGATTCTCTAATGCCAGTTCTCAGCAAGGACCGTTCCTGCCCAACCCTCTCACCATCTCAAAGAGAACGGCCGCCGTCACAGCCATCCAGTGCAGCTTGATCTCGAAGGCGGCGTTGAGGGAGAAATTGCCGTGGTAGTAGCAGCTGCACCACTCCAGGCGGTCCGTGCGGTTGTTGATGTCCACGTCCAGCGTCACCGTCCGCTGTTCCGGCACTGTGGCAGCTGCCGTGAGTCAGGGAACCAGAACAGCAGGAAGCCGTTAAGAGTGGGGGAACTACAAGGAGGAAGCTTCTAATGACAAGCGCAAGGGACCTTGGCTGAACAGGACTTATCTCTGAGTAAACAATACAGAAGGGTCTCAGCAATGGGCCTGATTCAGTACATAAGGCAGCTTCCTATGTATGCTCAGCAGGGGTTGCTGGTTTTAGGGGCAGCTGTTTTAACCAGCCTTTGCCAACAGTGGACTGGACCCCCCAGAAGAAGGTAGGCTCTCCTTCGCTGGGGGTTTTCAGATGAAGGTTGGATGGCCATCTGTCAGCCATTTTTTAGCTGTAATTCCTGCATTGCAGCCAATTGGACTAAAGGACCCTTGTGGGTACCATTCCAACCCTACATTTCTACCCTCCATTTAATGCAATTTTTATTGAGGGGGGGGGATCAGAACATTGGAGATGGACTACACCCAATATTATATGGTGGCAAGATGAACAGTTTGGTTAAGTCATATTTCACGTTCTGCCCGAATCGGAGATTAATTCTTATCTCTATTTGTTGGTGGTCTTGAAAAGTGAGGCCACAGGATGTATTTGACCATCTAAACTTCCATCTTCTCAGCCCCACTCTGGAAACTTGTTGAAGTAGTATACAGTGGCACCTCGGGTTACATACGCTTCAGGTTACAGACTCCGCTAACCCAGAAATAGTACCTCGGGTTAAGAACTTTGCTTCAGGATGATAACAGAAATCTCATGGCGGCAGCAGGAGGCCCCATTAGCTAAAGTGGTACCTCAGGTAAAGAACAGTTTCAGGTTAAGAACAGACCTGTAGAAGGAATTAAATTCTTAACCCAAGGTACCACTGTATTGCAATTAGATTTAGATTACCCAGCCCTACAATGATCCTGCTGCCCTTGAGATGTTCTGGGCTACTGCCCCCAACCAGCATCTGGAAGGTGCCTGCTTAACAGTGCCTGGTTTAAACCCTCTCTTCCTCTTATGCACACATCATGAACTCTGTGGCGTTTCTGACAGCCGCAAGGGCTAAATTCTCCCCATACCACCTGCGGCCATCATCTCACCTAACAGCGCAGCTGCCTGGCTCCGTCCTCCAAAGCTGCGGCTGAAGGAGCTGTGCCTGCTGGCGTAGGAGGCCGGGCGGCTGGGTAGCCAAGGCAGAAGGAAAGCCGGGATCTCAGAGTGGAGGAGCTCCTCGGCTACGAAGGCCACCTCAAACCACTTCCGTTGGAAGGCAGAAAAGTCGTCCTTGGCAGCCGTGTGCCACATGGCTGGCTGCTGGATTCCCACTGCAGGAAGAAAAGGAGGAGAGATCCCTGTGAAATGGCGTGTTGCGTCATCTCTACAGGATGCCCAGTGCTACCATTGCAAGACCAGCATCCCTGAGGAAGCCCCCCCCACCAAACACCCACCCAAGCCTCCACAAGGGGTGCAAGTTGCCTTTCACCACACATAGCCTGACCTCGCTCCTGCTCCTTGTCTTCCATGATCTTGTAGAAGTAAAACCCATAGATGAAGGTGCGAAGGGCCTCTCCTGAGGCATGGGTGATGAGCTGCTCGTCCAGCATTTTCTGCAGACAGAAGCAGGGTTAGGGTCTCCAGGGCTGGCAGGAGAGCGTGTCGTCTCCAGGGCCTAGGGGGCAGGCTCCCCACCATCCCAGTAGGGGTCCTCTCAACTGCACCTTGTATTCCACCCCCCTATAACTTGAGTGGGTGTTTATGTACGCATTCAGCACTATGGGGTGAAGTGAAGAGCTGAAAATATGGCGGGGGGAGGGGGGCTCCACCTTCTTCTCTTGAACACTGCCTGGGACCCCTCTGCCCATTGCTGAAGTCTGTTGCCTTTCCTATTGCCCAAGGGAGGCACTTTTCATGCCCATTAGCACCCTGGTAAAGCAAAGGTCTCAATTGCAGCTGGTTCAGGGTATCAAGCCATACAGGAATGTGTGCACGCTCTTCTCACCTGCATGATGTCAATGGCCATGGCCTGGGTCTGCACACCTTCCACCATGTTCACCAGCCAGTGGACCACCTCCGCGCTGATGAAGCAGGTCGGGGAGAGCCCCTTCTGTTCTGACAGCAGCTGGATCCCTGTGCTGAAGCCCAGCGGGAGAAGGGACAGAATGTTAACACAGGCAGGGTTAATATTGTTCCCCTTGCCAGCCCTTGACATGCAGGTGTATCCACTTGTGGTCTGTTCTTCTGGAGAAGGATACTAAGACTATCTGGGCTGGGGAAGGCTGCAGCTCAGTGGCAGACCATCTGCTTTGCATACACAAGTTCAATCCCTAATGGCAGTGCTAGGTAGGGCTGGGAGAAAGACTCCGGTCCAGAGAGCCACGGCCCGTCCATGTAGACGAACACTGAGCAAGCTGAACCAATGGTCTAGCTTGGTGTCATGAACCGGATGGCTGCAGAGGAGTGGTGGGAGGCACCAGGTGGGAAGCCACCAAGGGAAGAACGCTCAGAGCTCGGGAAGTGGTGGTGGGGCAATGATGAGTGGTCCGAGGGAACAGACTGGAAAAAGGTGTCAGAGGTTAGTGAGCTGGAGGAGTCTGTGACAGAGAGGAGTCCAGAATCAGAGGCAGAAGAGGAGGCTGGAAAGAGTGGGGGGGAGCAAGAGGCAAAGCTGAATCAGGCTGGCGAAGAGTCACGAGTGTCTCCCCCTCCTGCTGCAACAAACTCTCTTCCCGCCTTGTCTCCCAGAACCAGGAGAGGCAGTAAAAGGGCAGAGGAGAGGTTGGTTGGATGCATGCAATCGCAGTCTCCAATTGCTTGGAAAAAGCCCTAGAGAGGAGGGGACTTAGACAGGCTGTGAGGAAGCAGGGACTTTCAGTGTTGGCAACTGATTTTCATGGACTAAGACCAGCAGGAATGAGCTGCTCTGTTCACTAGGCCTGACACTCAACCAAGTCTGTGGAATTCGAGTTAACTCCAACTCTTTTATCTCCAACTGACTGGCACGCTCCTGAGACACTCAGTATGAGGCTGCTTCCCAGTTACATCGACCCTTTATTCAGAAGCATGAGGACTAGAAATCTTATTTTTAGGGGCAGGGCCATAGCATCTGCTTTGCAAGCAGAAAGCCCCCAGGTTAAAGTTCTGACAGCATCTCTAGGTAGAACTGAGAGAGACAACCCCCCCCCCCCCATTTGAAACCCTGTAGTCTCTGCCAGCCAGTGTGGACAATACTGAGCTAGATGGACCCATGACCTGACTCTGCACGGGGTAGCTTAATGTTGACTGCCTAAGAGGCGAGAGAGAGAAGTTGCCCTTACGTGGGGTGCTTCATGGCTTCAAGGATCTCTATCAAAGTAGAGGATGAGGTCAGGGAGCTTGCTGAGGATGGCTGAGAGCTGCAAAGTTAAAAAAAACAACACACCATATAAATATATTTAGCCGCCAGCTCAATTTGACTCATTTCAGGCAGCCTTCCCTAACTACTTAAGGCCCTCCAGCTGCTTCGAACTTAAGAAAAACCTGCTGGATCAGGCCAAGCGGGGGTGGGGCGGGAGTCCGTCCTCCCTCCTCGCACTGGCCAACAAGATGCCCCAGTGGGAAGCCTACAAGCAGGACCTGAACACAAGAGCCGTCTCCCCTCCTGTGGTTTCCAGGAACTGGTATTCAGAAGCATTGCTGCCCTCCAAACATGGAGGCACAGCACAGCCATCATAGCTAGTAGTCATCAGGAAGCCCCTCCTCCACGAATTTGTGCAATCCAGTTTTAAACCCAGTCTAGGTTTGCGGACTCCACTGCCCTCTGTCCCATAGTTTAACTAGCTATGCGCCGCATGAAGAAGGACTTTCTTCTCTCTACCTTTGTCTCTTTCCTTAAGTCTCTCTCCATTATCAAGAGTCTGTCCTCCTTTCAAGGCCGTGCCGGGCTTCGGAAAGCAGGAGCCTAAACATCTACCAGCTTCTGTAATTCAGGTACAGTCGCTCTGCTGCCCATACAGATTTTACAAAAAGTTAACTCTAGACAATATAGCTGTGTCATCTCAAGTCTGGGACAGCCCGGAGATTTATTTTATTACATTTATTTCATAAAATTTATACACCGCTTTATTTTGTTTGTTTTTAAACCTCTCAAAGCGGTTTACAAAAAAGACGATCAAATTACCAACGAGAAAAACAACCACAATTTAAAACTTTCAAAAAGTGAAAATAACAATAGGCTAAAAGCAGATTAAAACTTGCACTGACTATCTAAACATCTGGATAGGCTTGTCTAAACAAAAAATGTATTTAAGAGGTGTCGAAAAGAACATAGCGAAGGTTTCTGATCTCAAGTGGCAGGGAGTTCCAAAGTCTAGGTGCTGCCACACAAAAAAAATGAAATCTATTTCTTACAAATGAGGAACAGTTCTGCTGATCAGAGTGGCTAAGTGGGAATGTATGGGGAAAGGCAATTTCGTAGGTATACAGACCAAACAGGCCCACAATGAGCCTTTTACCTGTGGCAACCGACTCACCTGTTCTCAATGGAACCAGATGTGGCAGATCCCTGGTCTCCTAAGTTCTGGGAGCTGGCAAAGGCTTGGCTGATGCTCCTGTCTGTGGACTGGCTTGCGTTGCTCAGCGCAACGCCCTCGAGAGTGGCAGGGGCTGTCTGATCAATCGAGACCTGAGGAGGAAAAGAAAGGCAACTCCTCTGTGGGCACAATTCATTTATTTAATTTAGCAGCATTAATCTAAACCGATTGCTATTGAAAAGCCATATATGAATACAACATAAAAACCCAATTATTATTATTATTTTTAAAAACAACCTCAGAGATACAAAACATGAGAACAGTATTATAGAAACAGGCATTCAGTAATTTCAGGTTCCAGTCTTCTAGATCAGGGAAAACCTGGGCAGGAAGATTAGACTTTAGAAGACACCTGGAGCAACCAATACATGATGCTTTGCCTATGGTAGAAGGAAGGCATTTCAGAGTGCTGGGAAATGCCCATTTTGGAGTCACCACGCTGTGGTATTTTGTAGAGCGCAGCACCACAAGCGCAATTCCCCAGACCATCATCGAAAGCACATGGCTGCCCCCAAAGAATCCTGGGAACTGTGGTTTGCTAAGGGTGCTGGGAATGGCCGATCTGTGGCCCCTTCCTCATTCCCTGGAGAGGAATCCTGTCGCGAGGTGATGAGAGGCCAACCTATCTGGCAGCGGAGTTCAGGGTCCACAGAAGAACATTAAGAAGAGCCCGGCTGAATGAAGCCAACAGACCATCTTGTCCAGCACCCTGTTCTCACAGGGGCCAACCAGATGTCTGTGGGGTTGGAAACCTGGAAGCAGGACCCAGGCACCAGAGCCCTCTCGCCTCCCGAGGTTTCCAGCAACTGGTCTCCAGAAAGCACTGCTGCCTCCAGTTTTGCTCCTTTCTTGGGACACTTACTGCTTCCTCTCAGCTCATGGGAAGTGTTTTGCATTTCACAACTTTACTGAAAAAAACCAGAACCCTGGATTATGAAATTGTACGAGTTGCCTCTTCTGTTTAAGATAAGCCCTCAAGGGAGCCAGTGCAGTGTAGTGGTTAGTATGTTGGAGCTAGAATGTGGGAGACCAGGGTTCGAATCCCCACTTAACTATGAAGCTCACTAGGCGTGTGACCTTGGATGGGCCAATCATTGCCTCGTAGCCCAAGCTACCATATTTTTCGCTGCACAAGACGCACCCGACCATAAGACGCACCTAGTTTTCAGAGGAGGAAAACAAGAAAAAAGAAAGCAACGCAAAGCCTCTTGAGCAAAGAGGGAGGAGCACTCCAGCTGCGCTCCAGAGGCTTTGCGTGGCTATCCCTGAAGCTAGAAGAGCAAGAGGGATCGCTGCGCACCGATCCCTCTTGCTCTTCTGGCTTCTGGGATAGCTGTGCAGCCTGCATTCGCTCCATAAGACACACACACATTTCCCCTTAAGTTTCAGGAGGGGGAAGTGCGTCTTATAGAGCGAAAAATATGGTATCTCACAGGGCTGTTTGAGGAGGGGAGGAACCATGTACGTCACCTGGAGCTCCTTAGGAGGAAAAAAAGGTGGTTTGAAATGCAATAACATAAAATTTGAGTTTTCGGGGAAGGGGAGAGGAGCTGAGACGTTCTCCTCCTCCTCTCCTCCGACCAGTCAGGCTTGCAGCTTGTGTGATGACACAGAACATTCCCCCCCCCCCAAGGACTGGAAAGTGGGACGATCCAAGGGAAGGCTTGGGAGTTGCGGTGGAATGAACAACAAAGAACCTTCTGGAAGGAATGCGAGCCTCAAAAGCCTCCACGTCAAAACGAGGCCAGCTGCCCCCAAAACGGATCCCATCTGCTGCTAACAACACAGTATGTCAAAGCTTTGGTAGATGAGGCACAGGGGTGCATGCGCACAAATGAAGCACTGAAGGCCTCAGCCGGCAGCGGGGCTAAGGGAAGAGAGGGAACCATCACAGTCCAAATTAAGGTCTTAAAATTAATGATTGTCTTGAGCACCTATGAATCTGTTCCGACGCTGAGCAAAACTTCCATCTAATTTCATAAGCAATCGTTAACGGATACCATCCTCCTAATTCCTTTGAAGGGGTGGTTCAGTGGTAGAGCATCCGACTTGGACCTGGGAGACTAGGGCTCAATTTCCCACTCAACGACAAAGCTCACTGGGCCTGGCCTCAGGTCTGTCCCTACCTGTCCTACCTCACAGAGGTGTTGTGGGGATTCAATGAGGAAAGGGGGAACCATGTACGTCACCTTGAGCTCCTTGGGAGAAAAAGGTGGGAGATGAAGGCGACAAATGAATAAAATCTCAGCCGCTTTCAAAACCCTCCACCACCATCTCTAAATCAGGGTTCCGAGTTGAGAGACAATCTGTTTTTGTTTTCCCAGAGGCGTTTCAATTCACACCACAGTCGAGTGATTTGCAACCTTCATTATCTTTCTGAACACAAGAAACCCTCTTCAGGTTATTTAAGCAGTTATTTAAGTTCTATTGACTCTTATTTCACTTTGCAAGAAGGCAACAAAAAACGATTAAAAAGGGAGGGTGGGGGAAAGAGGAACGAATAGCGTCATTGCAGCCCCCTCCCCACCTGGGGACGGATGGTTTCCTGCAGGCCCAGCTTATATGACACCTCCCCGCTGCCCCACACTTCACACCCTCACACCCTCCCCCCTCACCACCTACATGACACTGTCTCAGCAGCCAGGAGGAACAGATGCTCTGCTTGGAATTGCAGAGCCAGCCTCGCCCTGGATCCCCTCCAGCCTTCTCTGAAGAGGAACGAACAGCTCTCATTATATATTAACCGGTACTGCATGTTCCCAATGGCACTTTCGTCCTCCCTCCACCTCCTGCAATTCCAGCATCCTCTGCTCTCAAAACTGTTAGAAGCAGGTCACGCACCGCAAAAAGATCTTGCCTGGCCGCAGAAGACGGTGTGAGCCTCCTGGGATGCAGAACCCTCAGGGCCCAACAGGAGAGAGGACATCAGGCCAGCGGCCCATCTAGTCCAGCCTCCAGTTCCTCAAGGAGGCCAACCAGTTGCCCCTTCTGGGAGACCTGCAAGCAGGGGATGAGTGCAAGACGAGTCTCCCTTTCTGTGGTTTGCAGAAACTGGCATTCAGAACCATCGCTGCCTCTGACCGTGGAGGCAGAACAGAGCCGTCATGGCTGGTGGCCACTAATATCCTTATTCTCCTCTGTTGTTTTGCCTGACCCTCTTTTAAAGCAATCCCAGCATCACTGCCTCCAGTGGGAGGGAGTTCCATAAGAACCCAGGAAGAGGAGAACAGAAGTGGTAGCGGAGGGAGAGATAATGGGGCTCCGCTAAAAAGACCAGCTGCACCAAGGGACAGCAGGGGCCTGTCAGGAAACTGACCTGCGTGTGGAAGGCAGACGCTGTGCGTGGGCTCCGGACATACTCCACAAAGAAGGTCCCATCCTGAAGGCATCAGAGCAAAAAGCCGTGGGTGGCAGCAGCAGGAACAAGATGGGGAGGAAGACACACGTTTGTGCAGAACTGTCACCATCAGGAAGAGGAGGAAGGGCAAAGGAGGCGGCAAGGAAGGGGGAGGAAACACCTCCAGCACCCAGAGAGGGGCCTCCCCCAGGGTGAAAAGAGCAAGCACTTTGAAGCACCGCATGCCGGGCCAGGAGGGCTTCAACACCCTGAAAACAAAGTCATTAGGGATCCATGCACCCTGGGAATCAAAATTCTGCACTGAAGAAAGCAGGAGTCTGCAGCATGCGTGACCTCTGCATCTTGAATCTGCTTTGCTTGCCACGGGAAGAGCGAAATGACACAGACACTTCTTGCAGGCATGAAACATCTAACTCCACCATTCCTCTGGTGTCTGGGATTTCGTCAGGCATCTCCCACATGCTTTCCTCTCAGGCATGAGGGCTAGAAACTTGCCCTTCAAACAAACGGACAAGCAAGCAAGCAAGCAAGCAAGCTGAGATTCCAAGCAAACCAAATTTTGTGCTCAATCCCTGTCCACATTCTGGATTTTTCCATTGCCCTGACCACAAGGTCCTAGCATAACAGCATGGGGGCTCTTAATTTCAAGAAGCAAGGAAGGTTGCATAGCAATGGGAAGGCATGCAAAACACACCCGCTTTCCTGCAAGCACATCATCCATTCAAAGTATGGGGAAGGGGCGCAAGGGGGTGTCTTTCCTGGAGCGGGGAGGTCTACTGTATGTTGCCAAGGGAAACCCACAAGCAGGACTTGAGTACAACAACAGCGCTCTCCCCTTCTGTGGTTTCTAGCAACTGGTATCCAGAGGCATTTACTGTCTCCACCAGTGGAGTGAGAACATAGCCTTATGCCCCTCCATCGATTTGTTGAATCCTCTTTCAAAGACTCTCATAAGCTGTTGGCCATCATTGCCTTTGGAAGTTTAACTCTTGTGTGAAAAGGACTTTCTTTCACCCATCCTGAATTCTCCAACATTCAGTTTCACTGTATGTCCATGAGCTGCAGCATCTCTCCTTGCCATGCATAACTTTATTTCTCAGTTTCACTAGGAGGGTGGAGTTTCTCCAGGTTTTTCACATGTGATCAGGAGAGGCCTTTGCTCCATGATGGTGCATCTAATGCCTTTCTTGGTGCAGCAGTTTCCTAGATACGCAACCTGGGTCTTAATAGCCAAGGTAACTCCTAGCATGGTGTGACTAAGCATGGGAACTGCATTAACTCCATCTTAAACCTTGCCTGAGGATACTTTGCCAGTTGGTAGCAGAAGCAAGGCACTGGGTTTCAGCTTCAGCCCATTCTCTGCAATACTGGGATAATAATGCGATGCACTTTTAGAACTCCCAAGAGCTCCAATCCTCTGCCCTTCATAGAATCACAGAATTGTAGAAATGGAAGGGACCCTGAGGATCATCTAGTCCAATGCCCTGTATTGCAGGAGTATGCAGCTGTACCCATATGGCAGTGGTGGCCAAACTTGGCCCTACAGCTGTTTTTGGACTACAACTCCCATCATCCCTAGCTAACAGGACAAGTGGCCAGGGATGATGGGAACTGTAGTTCCAAAACAGATGGAGGGCCAAGTTTGGCCACCACTGCCATATGGGGATCGAACCTGCAACCCTGGCACCACCACGCTCTAACCAACTGAGCTATCCAGGCCGACGATGTTATCAGAAAAGGCATAGAATGCCAGCGCATTCAGCTTATTTTAATTTCAACCTGGTTAACTGCTCCGCACAGCCGATAGATCACACTGAAACACCAACGCAAAGGCCCTTCAGCATGGTGAACATTTACAAAGGCTTGGGAGGACGGCTGTCCGACGTCCTTTCCAAACCGGCTCCCTGTTTCACACCTGCACCCTCTCTCCTTTAAAGGATGCACAAATCCAGGTAGCTTGGCTGACCCAGAGAAACTCCCTGTCCACCCGTGTTTTTGTTAAGTTTTGAAGAAGCCAGTGTAAAACCAAAACAAAAACACAGCAGCTGGACCAAGCCAAAGGGACTGGATGGATTCTGCTGAAGTGGAAGGGCTGCAAATAGTTCCTCACAGACACTCGTTTGCACAAGGCTACGTACACATGTACAGTGGTGCCCCGCAAGACGAATGCCTCGCAAGACGAAAAACTCGCTAGACGAAAGAGTTTTCCGTTTTTGAGTCGTTCCGCAAGACGAATTTCCCTATGGGCTTGCTTCGCAAGACGAAACGTCTTGCGAGTTCTTGCGAGTTTGTTTCCTTTTCTTAAAGCCGCTAAGCCGTTAATAGCCGCTAAGCCGCTGATAGCCGTGCTTCGCAAGACGAAAAAACCGCAAGACGAAGAGACTCGCGGAACGGATTAATTTCGTCTTGCGAGGCACCACTGTAAGAACACAAGAAGAGCCTGCTGGATCAGGCCAATGGCCCATCTAGTCCAAAGAGAAGACAACCACAAGCAGGACCTGGACGTAGCAGTGCTCTCCCCACTTGTGGTTCCTGAGTGTACTGCTTCTGACAGAGGAGGAGAGCACAGCTATCACTGGCTTGCAGCCGCTGATGGTCTTGTCCTCAGTGAACGGGACGAACCCCGCTTTTAAAGTCATCCAAACCGGAAGCTGTTACAGACACCACTCAAGATTCCTCATTGTGTCTCTTTACGTTTTCCCGGACGGTGTGGTCAAACCCTCTGGAATTCCCTCACACAGACAACAGAGTCATGACCCCGCATGGAGCGAGTGAGGCTACAGCTCGGCCGGAAGAGTTAGCAGATGGGTCCATGCCAGCAACATGCATGGGGCAAACGTGGCCTCTTTGAAACCAAGCCCCAGAGGCCATGTCCTTACCTTGCGTGGACTGTCCACATACGTTGGTGTCATGGCGATGCTGCTGCTGTTCTCGGCTGGCTGGCTGGAGCTCTTCCCAGCAAGTGCTGCTGCTGCTGCCGCCGCCTGCTGCTCTCCCAGGGTCCTGGAGAAGAAAGTGCAGGCAGAACAGAGGGATGAACTCACACTTCTTATTTGCGGGCAGTAACCACAAGAACAGTTTGGCTGCCCACTTGACCCTTTCAACCTGCATGTGTGTTTCTGCGCAGAATGTGGCCTGTTGCACAAAGTCACGTCGGTTGCTCTGGTTCAGAAATTATTGATCTGATGTGGAGAGATCTTTCCTATATGTGGAGAGATCTTTCCTATTCTAATTAATTCAAGAGGGCTCTGGAAGCTTCTCTGCGTGATACAAACAGGTGCAAGCTGGAAGTTTCTAGCTGACACGTAAGTTCCTATTCTGCCTAGAAACAAGCAGAAGGTTCATGATGTTTGGGTTATTCCTTCAGAGAAGCTGAGCACAGCTGGCTTAAACTGGTTCTGTTATCTCTTTCTGTCAAGGTCATGCTGAATATAAATAATAAGGCCAGAAGGAGCCTGGGATTCACTCTTTTCTATCTCTTTTTCCTTCTGCTGTGGTGTTCTGTACATAGTATGCTTAGTGTTAAGGTTTTAGTCTTATTATAAGTTATTGTTAAGTCAAGCCTGCTGCAACTGGATTTCTTACGGACAGTGCCAATCCTCAATGTATTGGATTTGTGACCGTTATGCTCATTTGCCTTCCAGTAGCAGTAAAGGTCTGCTGGATGGAATATTAATTGCCTCTAGTCTATGCCTTTGGGAATCCAGCAACGTGTTTTAGATTTTACTCTGCTAATTATATGCTGGAATTTGCTCTGGATCAATATGAGTAGAATTCATGACACTCTTTGAATAAACATACATAAATTTATTATTGTTAACATAATAGATAAATAATTTAAGGATCTTTACTATTTTATAATATGCAGAGAATTATATGTGTTGAAAAACTGGAGAGAGAAGCTGAGGGAAGTCTGGGGGTGGGTGGGTTTTTCTTGGGGAGGGGGGGAAATGAAGATGATATGTTTTTGATAATTTGTTATGTTGAAATTCTCAATAAAAACTATTTAAAAAAATAATAATTCATGACACTCAACACATTGCTTAGTGTCCCAACTCACTTTTGGCTGGCTTCCATCTCCAGCAGAGCCGAGAGTGCAGAGGTCCCCTTCTTACCCAGAGGGGAGGCCCGGACGGTTCCAAAGAATGAGCGGAAAGCGGACCCGCCATCTGCAAGCCTTTCATAGTGGTCCCTTTCTAAATAGAAAGGGATCATTGGGGGGCAATGGAAAGGGAAGAGGGGGAAACACACAGAGAAAACAAACAGGTCACAAGAACATCATAATCTCACTTATACTAAGTCAAGAGTATTGGTCTGGCTAGCTCAGTACTCCCTACACTGGCTGGCAGTGGTTCCTTAGTTTTTAAGGCAGGGAGTCTGGCGATGCCAACAGAGACTGCACCTGGGACTTTCTGAATGCAGAGCCGGTATAGAAGTCTCCCCAGATACGTGTGTTTGACTCGCATGCGGCCATGCATACGTGCAGCACTGGGAAATTAATCGGTTTAAACTGCAAAATGGTGCAAAGAGAGCGGGGGGATGGTTAGCCTTGGCAACTTCAACCCCATAAGCCTTTGCACTGACCTTTGAGGCCTGTGGAGAGTTGGGAGTTTGAGAATGGTTTGTAGGGAGTGATTTGTGCCAGTCTGGTAAGTGCTGCTGGTTTTTAAAAGGGTTTTTTTCAAGGATTTCCAGAGGTTTAGAGGCTGTCCCCACTATACGCAATTTCATGCACATGTGTGTTACCTGGGAATGTAACTCCCATGTTGTGGGGAGAGGCCTGTACTCTACCATGGAGCCAGAGGTATTAAGTCACATGACGTTTCAGTAGCTCTTCAACTGTAGGACTGTGATTAGAAAAATCCCTCCTCAGCTCAGTCTCCACTAGGAAATTGTTACATCAGTTTTATACCTGTTTGACTCCCATGAGAATTAAAATCTGGCAAAGGTGTGGAGAAAAAGCATGAGTGGTACAAAGACTGACGAGCATCACGAGCAGGTAGGCTCGCAAGGGAGCAGGGGCTGGCGGCAGCTCCCTGCCAAAAGTCAGCATGCAGGCCACAAGGCCCCGATACGGCTTGCAGAATGTGTGAAGGGGCCCACAAAAATTCGGAGAGCGCTGGCTCAGGTCACCGGCTCACCCGGATCATCCGGTCCGACCGGTGGCGCCTGCGGATGCGGTTCAGCCCCTCCACAAAGCGGATGAAGCCATCCAGGAGCTGCCACTCCTCCTCGTCCGAGCGAGCCTTGCCCCCGTAGACGTCGCAGTGCGCCTCGCCCTCCATGATGCGCTTCGTGGCACTGATGCAGGCCGGCAGCAGCAGGAAGCGAGTCCGCCAGAATTTCAGCGACTCAATGAGACTGGGGGGAAGCCAAGGGGGGTGGGGTGGAGAAACACATGGAAATCATAATGTGCGTATGTCTTTGGACAATACAGTGGTACCTCGGGTTAAGAACTTAATTCGTTCTGGAGGTCCATTCTTAACCTGAAACTGTTCTTAACCTGAAGTACCACTTTAGCTAATGGGGCCTCCCACTGCCACCGCACCACCAGAGCACAATTTCTGTTCTCATTCTGAAGCAAAGCTCTTAACCCGAGGTACCATTTCTGGGTTAGCGGAGTCTGTAACCTGAAGAAGAGAAGAGTTTGGATTTGATATCCCGCTTTATCCCTACCCTAAGGAGTCTCAAAGCAGCTAACATTCTCCTTTCCCTTCCTCCCCCACAACAAACACTCTGTGAGGTGAGTGGGGCTGAGAGACTTCAGAGAAGTGTGACTAGCCCAAGGTCACCCAGCAGCTGCATGTGGAGCGGGGAATCGAACCCGGTTCACCAGATTACGAGTCTACTGCTCTTAACCACTACACCACACTGGCGTCTGTAACCCGAGGTACCACTATAAAGGAGATTCCAACTAAAGATTAGGAAGAACTTCCAGATGGTGAGAGACATTCGACACTGGAACAGGCTCCCTTGGAAGGTGGTGGACTCTCCTTCACTGGAGGTTTTTAAACAAGAAGTTGGATGGCCATCTGTCAGGGATTCTTTGGCCATGATTCCTGCCTTGCAGGAAGACCCTTCCCAATTCTAAAATTTTCCGATTCTGTGTCATGTATGGCAAACGTCTGCCAAGCTGCTCAAATTGAGTTAAGTATCAAGTCAACCAACCTTGCAAACATATTTTACAGATTTCTACACCTCTTCCTACCCATCTGCGCTCACCCCTTGCAGCCTGGCAGCAAAGGAGGAGCCAAACTCTCATACTACTTCAGAGTTTGGGTGCCAGGAGGGGATGCTTCCTGGCCACGTGGGGCAACCAGGCAAGGGGCTGCTGGCCAGCCTGCAGCCCAGAGGTTGACATGGCTCCCTCCCCTGTACACAAGAAGATCCCCATCGAAGCATCTCCTTCTCAAACTTGATGCAGGAGCTGCAGTGGCTGTATTGGGTTGCTGCCACACTCCAGAGACCAGAGTTGTGGGCTTCTTTTTTAAAAACAAAACAAAACAAAGCAAAACAAGTCTGTTACATTAAAAAAGATGCAGAGCAGTCACAGCCAGAACACACACAAATCCAACACAAGTAAGATTTCCATGCAATACAGGGAGCAGCCAGCCAGACATAGACAAATTGCCCAAATTACTATGAGAAAACAAGCCTAAAAGTATCAAAAGAAACATTTTTATGCTGCTTTAGGAGTTCATCCTATTCTTCTGAAGAACTGATATCAAACACAGCTGGAGATCAGTGTTAAAAACTCAGATATATAAGCTAGGTACCAAATGTCTCCTTAAACCATGGTTACGGTTGCCGAAACAGAAGTTCTTGCTGCCATTTTGTGGCCGGACGGCTCAAAAGTCATATTTTTCAATGGAACTTTTTGGCTCCTGAAATTTGTTCCGATCATGCAGATAAAATATCACAGGTAGAATTCTATAGGATGTGATGAAAACAGGGAAAATCCAAGGATCCCCAGGCATGCACCTCCAGATGGTGGAGACGTCAGGCACCATCCTGGCACTCAGGCATCTTCACTTGGTCGCAAGTGGCCGATAGCCAGATGCAAAATGCGCCTGGTGAATTTCAAACATGCCTGGAGAGCACCAGGTTATTGAAGGCTGCTCAGCACTTACCTGAAATCCTCTGAACCTGCAGAGCAGATGTACTGATCCAGGTAATTCCACTTGTATTCCTCTAACCTCTCATGGGAAAACTCAACCCAGCAAGAGACAAACTCAGAGTCAGAGTGGGAAGGGCACAGGCTGTAGGTGTAGTTTATCTGGGCTGATTCATACGGATACCTAAAGAGAACAGAGAAAACAAAGGCAACTCAAACCCACAAGCTTTTTTATTTTCATATTTTTTAAAGCCAAGCAGCTAGTCCACATTGGCCCTGGAGTTCCATCTGAAGATCAATACCCAGAAGATCACCTCACCCCCTATATATAACAAACCAAACACTGTGCCTTGTAGGAGAGGGACTTGTTCCATCATCCAAGGTGGAAAGGAGAAGCGTGCGAGGCTTGCAAAGTGTATGGCTGGCAACGCCCCTTGCGCTATGGCTCCCAAACCTGGAAACCTCATGCAAGGGATTCTGACGGGTGGGTGGTAAAACCCACCTCTCAATCAGATTTGACAGAAGGAAGGAAAGAAGGAAGAATGGATGGATTTTGGCCCACAGAGCCAAAAGGGTTCCTCACTCCTGACCTAAGGCTGCCGAAGTTACTCACTTTGGCAAATACCGAGTGACGGTAATGATTTTGTCCTTCAATACCACTTTGTGGAAGGTGCGACCCATGCTCAGCCAGTACTGGTCCTCCTCTTCAGCCCGGATTCGTGACACGAGGCCTGGTTTGTAGGAAGGGTATCGTAAATAAATATATATATATCTCAAATATATCGTAAATAAATATATATACCGTATTTTTTGCTCTATGACTCACTTTTTCCCTCCTAAAAAGTAAGGGGAAATGTGTGTGCGTCTTATGGAGCGGATGCAGGCTGCGCGGCTATCACAGAAGCCAGAACAGCAAGAGGGATTGCTGCTTTCACTGCGTAGCGATCCCTCTTGCTGTTCTGGCTTCTGAGATTCAGAATTCTTTTTTTCTTGTTTTCCTCCTCCAAAAACTAGGTGCGTCTTATGGTCTGGTGCATCTTATAGAGCGAAAAATACGGTATATATCAAAGTGGTTTGCAGCAATAAAAACACAGAAGCATTTTAACTCTGTACAGTAGGCTGCTTTCTACACATGCATGCACCGCCACCATCTCTCCCCTCCATCCGGCAAGCCAGAGACACAATCGGAGTTCAATGACACATCGCAGCCAGGCAAAACCACTCCAGGAGGGTGCAAAGCAAGGCTGGTGAGGGGTGTTGTACAGGCATAGCCTGGGAAGAGGGCTTGTCTCCCACCATTGCTCAACTGCATTTCCAAGTCAGCAAAGGGCTAATCTGAACTCATTAATCTCCCTCCTTAAAATGGAGGTCTTGGGCAGGCCCTCACCTCTGCTGTACAAGGGGCTGCTGCTGAGAGGCGGCTGGACGGCTGCAGGCGGCTTCTGAGGCTTGCTTTGCACGATGAGCTGGTAGCCCTGCATAAGCCTCTGGCATATGAACTCCTCAAACACTTGCTGGGCCGTCATCTGCACACCTTCCTCGTCCCTCCTGAGAAGGGAAAAGGCGGGCAGTGAGTTAGTTGTCCCTACCTCAGGCAGCCAATCAGGCACCACCCTCTTCCCACAGCAGCCAACCAGACGGCTTTCTCCATGAAGGGGGAGGCTGGAAGATTCAGGAAGTCTTCCTTTACACAGTGCATAGCTGGACTGCGGAACATGCTGCCACAGGAGGCAGTGATGGCCGCCAGTTTGGATGGCTTTAAAAGAGGATTGGGCATACAAACAAATTCTTGTCTTATCCTTATTTTTTCTAAACATTGTTAGGTGAGCTTCCCCAAGTCCCCCCGTCTGATTTTCTTTTTACCTCATCTTTAGCAGTTTCATATATCATAATTTTAAACCATTTTTTTATCACACTTAAAGGGTAAAGGGACCCCTGACCATTAGGTCCAGTAGTGACTGACTCTGGGGTTGCGGTGCTCATCTCGCTTTAATGGCCGAGGGAGCTGGCGTACAGCTTCCGGGTCACGTGGCCAGCATGACTAAGCCGCTTCTGGCGAACCAGAGCAGCGCATGGAAACGCCGTTTACCTTCCTGCTGGAGCGGTACCTCTTTATCTACTTGCACTTTGACGTGCTTTCGAACTGCTAGGTGGGCAGGAGCAGGGACCGAGCAACGGGAGCTCACCCCATTGCGGAGATTCGAACCGCCGACCTTCTGATCGGCAAGTCCTAGGCTCTGTGGTTTAATCCACAGCACCACCCGCATCCCTTTATCACACTTACTTTTACCACAAAAATCTTCACATTTGTATTGTTTATTTGTGTTATAAAATGAATAAAAAAATTGGGGGGGGGAGAGGATTGGGCAAATTTGTTGGGGAGAGGACTACTGGCAGTTCCTAGTCATGACAGCTATGCTCTGTCTCCCCAGGAGGGGAGAGGGCTCTTGTTGTTCAAGTCTTGCTTGTGGGGTTTCCCAGAAGAAGGCATCTGGTTGGCCACTGTGAGGGCAGGAGGCTGGACTAGATGGGCCATGGGCCTGATTCACTAGGGCTCTTCTCATGTTCACCACCAGGGGCACTACCTGGAAGAAGCTGGCCTGGCTGCGACCCCCCCCTGCCCTCCAAATTGCTTGCTATTTCTCCAGCCACTGGTGACCAGGCCCAGCCTAGCCCAGCCAGTTCAGCATCCCAAAGCACCCAATGGGACAGGGACAGCTCTCCGATTTCAGCCGCAGGGTAAGTGTACCTGTCCAGATCTGCTTCGGGCAGCAGGTCATAGCACCCTTCGGTGTAGTCGTTCTGAAGGCTCTGGCGGTCCGGGAAATAATCCGTGGTGAGGGGGAGGCAGGCGGGCGTGGTAAGAGACTTCCAGTCCACCCCGACTGTACAACAGAAGCCTGGCACTACGGGGGGAGCAGACAGCGTCAGAACTGCCTCGTTTCGTCACCGGGCGGAAGGCAATGGGGGTGGGTTGGGCATCAGTGCGAGGGAGGAAGGAGAGAGAGAGAAAAAGAGAGAGGAGGAGGAGGAGGAGAATAAAGTGCCACAGAAGCAAAAAATGGGAAATGGGAAATGGGAAATGGGAAAAGGGAAAAGGGAAAAGGGAAAAGAGAAAAGGGAAGGAAGGAAGGAAGGAAGGAAGGAAGGAAGGAAGGAAGGAAGGAAGGAAGAAAGAAAGAAAGAAAGAAAGAAAGAAAGAAAGAAAGAAAGAAAGAAAGAAAGAAAAAGATAGATTTGCATGGGGCAGGAGAATGAAAATTGTTCAGGATGGGAAAATGAGGTAAGAGGAGGGGTCGAGGAAGAGGGGAGGAAGGTAGGGAAAGAAAGACAGAGTTTGTTAAACAACACAGTGGCCATGCCGATTCACTCCCATCATGCAATTGGGAATAAAAATAAAGTTAATTAACAGTTCAATTCGCCTTTCGATTTGTAAACTCGAACCAATACAGCAGCTGCAGGAATTAAAAAACAACAACAGCTATTAAAAGCACCCCGAGGCGAATGAATGAAGAAGTGCAGGACAACACCCGTATTCCAAGCCCAGAACAGGAGAGGGTGAAGACCCTTCCCCTCCTGTGTCAAAGTGCCAGAGAAAGAGAGGAGGGCTAAGGGAGGGCAGCAGAGCGGCCGGCACCCAGCAGAAGTTGCACACTCATTAGAGCAGCAGCAGTAGCAGCAGCAGGAAAAGGAAGCATGGAAAAAAATTTAAAAGGAAAGTATGAGCAGCACAGGGAGGTAAGAAGGGATCTGGGGGAATAGTGAAAAGGGGGATCTTGCTGGGGTGACCCTTGCCTGGAATGGGGCGGTGGGTGGAACTGGCAGGGAGGCCGGCGGAAGGAGGCACCCAGACCAAAGGCAGGCAGAGCCACCCAGTAAGAAGGCAGGCAGACATGGGAGGATATGGCTGGTGGCGCAGTGCCCCCCCATTTCCCCCTAAAGGGGAGCAGCTTCCAAGGAAGCAGAGCTCACAGGATCAAAGCCGCCAGTTGCTCCACACTCTGGGCATGGGCTGCATCGAGACTCCTCTTGGCCAAAAGCCCCTCTGCATCCCCAGCCTAGTGGCCAGGGCAGGACATTCTTTGCACCTTCTGAGCCAGCTGACAGGTGCAGAAGGAGGAGACGAAGATGGGGGACTCATTTCCCCATAGTGCTCTCTCCCACACTCGAGATGTGTAAGTCTGGCTCAACAGAATGACTGACAGAAGCCAATCTAAGGGGAGAATGGCATCTGCACCCGGGAGAGGGTTCCTGGGGCTCATCTCCTGCTAACAAGGGTTGTCAGAGCAGCTACTTGGGCTGGTTCCCACATCCATGAGGGAAAAGCACTCTACACATGCTCAGAGAAACACTTCCCTCAAGTCCTACCCATGTCCCAAGGCTAAGCCATCAAGGGCAAATTCATGCATCGGAGTGAGCCTCGCAAGACACTCTGGGCTTGGCAGATATTATTGATCACAGAAGATGGGCACAATAAATCCAAACAGAAGGCAAATTTACACGGAGACCAACTTTTAAATGGCAGGCAGATCAAGCCCTAGGACCAAAGTTTTTCGCTGTGGAGTAGGAATTGTACTCAAGTTCCAGAGCATGAGCAATCTAGCTTCCCTCTTTCCATCCCAGGGCACAGACTGTGCTCTGGTCTCCACCCAGAACGGCTGCAATTTGCAAGAGCCTCACAGCTCTCTGAGGGGGAAACGCAAAAAACAATCATAGGCCGCCTAAGCAAAATCCTTCCATTTAAGAATTTTGCAATTGACTCTGTGATTGAAGAATTGCAGCCCTTCGATAAAACAGACCCAAAAAGGACTCTGAACGGGCAACCTGGCAAAGTCTGTGCAAGAGGGTACAGCAGTTTTCTCCATCCACCTCCAAACCTCCTCAATAAAAACTGCATTTGAAAAGGAGATGTAAAACTGCCTCTTCATTATTACAAGGACTGTCCAGCAACTTTATTACGTCTGCCTTCTAAAAGATTCAATATCAAGGCACTCAATTGTGTCAAGGAGAAAGCTTTCCTGTATGTGGGAACACAAAACCCAGTTAAGTATGTCACCCTGTTCTTAGAATTAAGACATGGTGAACCCTGCAACCCAGACGGGGTGCCAGGGGGGGAAGATAAGGTCCCAGGAGGGGGATGCTGCCTCCCCCAACTTCTCACAGGTCAACATTCATTAGTCTAACAATACATTTGCCCTGCTCGTGGTTCACAGATAGTAAATGAGGAGACAGTCAAACAACCCTTTGCACCAGTTCCCTTACCCAGGCAGATTTATTTTAACGCTGTGGTTAGTATTGCTCGCTCTCAGACAAATATTCTGGGATGTTCCAGACAGCTGAAGATCCGGTCACTGAGCAACCAGAAGCCTTCCTCTGTGGGACTGTGTCCCCACAGCTTCTGTATGGGAAAATCCCAGATGGAAGGAAAGCCCTATCCCAAAACTTACCACTTTGGAGAGAGGGAGCAAAAGGAACTGGAGGCGATCGGGAGCCCTTGGGACTCTGGAAGTGCTTCTCTCACTTTTGCCCTCATCTACACAGACCAACCTCCTCCTCCCTAACCCTGTCATCACTGCTCTTACTCGGATCTGGAGAGTTAGAGACGGCGCTCTCCAGGGAGTCCTTGTTCTGGCTTCGGGCATTCATTCCTGAAAGAAGGGGAAAGATATCAGCTTGCATTTCTTCGTACAGAGAGTATTGATCTTTCCTATTCTAATAAATTCAAGAGGGTTCTGGAAGCTTCTGGGAGCGTCTGTGTGAAAAAAACAAGCAGAAGGTTCATGATGTTTGGGTTATTCCTCCAGAGAAGCAGAGCACAGCTGGTTTAAACTGGTTCTGTTATCTTTCTGTCAAGGTCATGCTGACTATAATAGTACGGCCTGGGTCTCAGTCTTTTCTATCTCTCTTTCCTTCTGGTGTGGTGTTCTGTATGTAGTATGCTTAGTGTTAAGGTTTTAGTCTTATTATTAGTTATTGTTAAGTTTAAGTTAAGTCTGCTGCAACTGGATTTCTTATGGACTGTGCAAATCCTGAATGTACTGGGTTTGTGACCGTTATGCTCATTTGCCTTCAGTAGCAGTAAAGCTCTGCTGGATGAAATATTAATTGCCTCTGGTCTATTTTCTTGGGAATCCTGCAACGTGTTTTAAGTTTTTACTTTGCTAACTATACGGTGGAATCTACTCTGGATCAATATTGAGTAGAAATTCACTGACAAATGAGACCTTCGCCATGACAGGAGGTGCAGAGAGGGCTTTTGTGAGCCACAGAACATTTCTAGTCCAGCCTTGTGTTCTCACAGTGGCCAAACAGATCCAAACAGATGGGAAGAAGCCAGCAAGCAGGATTCGAGCCCAAGAGCCCTCTCCCCTCCTGAGGCTTCCAGCAACTGGGATTCAGAAGCAATGCTGCCTTTGGCCGTCATGGCTAGTAGCCATTAATAGCCCTCTCCTCTATGGATTTGTCTAATGCTCTTTTAAAGCAATTTAAGTTGGTGGCCATCACTGGTTCTTGTGGGAGTGGGTTCCACAGTTTAACCACATGGGCACTAACTGCAGGGACATAATGCTCACGGTCCCTGCAATTTGCTCTTCCATGACGAATGCCCAGACAGGTGTATGTTATGGGTCAGTTTTGGAACAGGCCTGCATCATCACCGAAGCCCGGCCGCCACCTGCCTCGTGCCAACCGTTATCACCTGTGGCATGGCTGCCAGTGAGCTGGTTAGAGTAATCTTCCATGCCACTGAAGCTCATGAAGGAAGTGCCATCATCTGGATGGTGAGAAACTCCATGCCTGGAGAGAAGGAAAGGAAAGCATTTAAAGATAATTAACAGTAAAAGAAAAAAAGAAGATTAAAGCATGTCAACATCTATGTGTCTGGAGAGGCTTTTAAGGTTTTTTAAAAAAAGTTTTAAGCAGGTGTTTGAAAAAGGTACAGTGAAGGCTCCACCCACCTGATATCAATAGGCAGGGAGTTCCAAAGTGTATGTGCTGCCATGCTGAAAGATCGAGTTCTTACAAATGCAGAATGAGCTGCAGCCCAAACATTTGTAGGCAAAGGCCAAGAGAAGAGTAATTTGAGGTAGCAACAAGAGAAGAATGGCAAACCAAGTTGATGGATTATTCCGAAATGGCAAAATTAACTGGGAAACTCAGTAATCAAGAAGACAAGAACTTTAACAAGGAATGGGAAAAGTTTATAATTTATTTACAAGACCATTGTAAACAGGTTAAAACATTAGCAGGATTTTAACCACACTTGTAAAGTTATGGAAAGTATGGAAAATTTAGAAGGATTAAAAATTTGGATACGTATTGATATGCAGTTGTAAAAAACATATTGTTAGGACCCATGGAAGGGATGGGGGGAAGTCAGGAGATTCAGAGCAATCTCGATATTTGGATTCGGAACTGTTTTTTGTTGTATGTTTATACTTTTTAAAATCAAATTTAAAAAACCATATATTCCCCCCCCCAAAAAAAAGAGTAATTTGAGGTGGAATCAGACTTCCTATGAACCCAACGCCTGAGAGCTCCATCAACGAGACCCACTTTTGGTTGTAAGTTTAGGGGAAAGCGCCCCTATGCGTTCCCTTTGGGCAGCCTCACCTCCCAGCTGCCTCGTGATAGGCCAGCTCCAGCAGTTCTGCAGAGGAGTGGGTCCAGTCCCTCTGCCCACTGCCCTGCATCTCGGCCATGTTCTGACGCGTCTGGTGGTGGATCTGGATGGCTTCTCCAGAAGGACCTGCCCAAGCACATGATGCAGTTATCACTTGATTTGCCAACCAGCTCCTCCCACACTCCACAATGACTCTCCACCCCACATGATTGCATCTGAAGCAGCAATTTCCCACCAAATCGAACACAGAGGTGGCCGAGTTTGCATTGCGTCCCCTGAGCTGTTCCTGCCACAGTCTAAAAATGTGCAGTTTGCCTGTTTTTGTTTTGTTTTGTTAGTTTAGTGTGTTAGTGTTATGCAGTGTTTCTGTATTGTATTGTATTGTTCTTTTTTTTGTAGTGTTTAAATTGTTGGAAAAGTAATAAATATTATTTAAAACAATAAAAATAAAAATGTGCAGTTTGCCAAAGGGGTGCAATCTTTCACATGAATAGCCTGAACCAAACATGAGAAGCACCTTGCTGGACCAGGCAAAGAGTTCATCTAACCCACGGTCTCAGTCTCCAGCTGTTTTGGGACTACAGTGGTACCTCGGGTTAAGAACTTAATTCATTCTGGAGGCCCGTTCTTAACCTGAAACTGTTCTTAACCTCAAGCACCACTTTAGCTAATGGGGCCTCCCGCTGCCGCCACACGATTTCTGTTCTCATCCTGAAGCAAAGTTCTTAACCCGAGGTACTATTTCTGGGTTAGCAGAGTCTGTAACCTGAAGCATCTGTAACCCGAGCTACCGCTGTAAAATTCCCATCATTCCTGACCACTAGCTAAGGATGATGGGAGTTGTAGTTCAAAAACAGCTCGAGACCCAAGTTTGGGAAACCCTGATCCAGCCCAGCATCCCCAAGCCTAGTAACTTCCAGATGTTCTGAGCTGAAACTTCCATCAGCCTCAGCTAACATGGCTATGCTGGCTAGAGTCGGCGGAAGCTGCAGTCCCAAATAATCATTCTGCCACAATAAGTGGCTAGTAGCCTTCCGTCTCCTTACCCACAGGGAAGGTGTGCATCCAGCGCCTCCGGTTCGATGTGAGTTTCATGGGCATCCTGGAGGGGGCAAAGGGGTTGATGAGGGCCCTCTGCGGCGCATAGCCCCCAGCAGAACGGATGTGCAGCATGGACTCGGCACTCCCAACGTGAAATCTCCCTGGGGCACTGGAGTCTCGCTGCTGGGACTCCATCATATTCTCAAGGGCATCTGAAATGACACAGATTTTTTTTGGTGGGTTGGCCTGTAATGGGAAACGGACAGACTGAATCCACTGGGCACAAACAGGGTGCTTTTGCACAGCGCCCACTAACCCCAACAAGGCTTACTCTGAACAGCTTCAGAGGAGATTGTGCCCCATTGAGGGGCAGGAATGGTGGGTGGCGTTTCTGACTCAGGCATGTAAACATATTTGCTCTGCCAGCCCAGGCAAAAGTGGGGGGAGAGGAGGATCCATCTTGGAGGCAACATACCCAAGTTCATCTGTGTTTTAGTATGGCGGCACCTGCACTTTGGAACTCCCTGCCTATTGAGCCTACCCAGATGTCTAGAATGGCTGGTGTGCTTTCAGTTTATTGCTGGTTTTAACTTTCTGAGCATTTAAATTGTTTTTACTAATGATCTTAAACCGCTTTGAGATCGGTTTGTTTTTAACAAACCAAGTTGTTTTTTTAAAAAATCAATTTTATGAAATAAGAAAAATCATTAAGTCCAGAGGGTGCTGTTTAATTACTTAGTGCTCTTTAGCATCTTTTTTCCCTATTATTATTAAACATGAATGATTGTCGTATTTATTTTTCCTTGCAACCTTTAAGCTTACACAGCAGCATAACTCTTCAAACTGGTAAAAATGGTAAATGCAATGGCTACAAAACTAAATTGAATTTAAAATCACAGAAAGGTCCACTGCAAAGGGAACTTATTTCATGTTCACTTTACCTGGAAAACATAGGAACTACTCGCAGGGGCAATTCGGATACTTTTGAACCAATTCAGTGAATTAACTTAATCGGAATTATTTTAGTGAAAGCACCAGTCTTAACACAGGCAGTTCTTTGGCTGTCCACAGATGACTTTTTCAATCAAAGATCTCTGATTTCAGGCCAGTTATTAGACGACGATGTGTATGCATGCACAAATGTGCACTCTATTTACCTCCTCCGAAAGGGAACCACCCAAATCAGCTTGCAAAAGATTAAAATAAATGCAAGATTACAATAACCAACAATTAAACTAAAAGCAGCGGCAAGAAACAAGATCTTTAGCTTCTTCTCGCTATATATTTTTGCCTTCAAAATGCCACGGTGAGGCTTTAGGTACCTGAAGCTGAGAAAGAACCACCTGCTCAAGGTCCCCTGAAACTTAAAGTCCCTCTAGACAAGTCCAGCTCTCTACCTAACCCCTGAGAATGCTGGACCTCACAGGGATGTTTTAAAAGGGAGATCCTAAAAAAGAAGCTGCTATGATAAGACAATAAATCTACTTGGGAAAACAGCCGCTAATTTTTCCACAATTTGAGGCTGTAAGGGGGGGGGAGGGTCCCAAGGGGCTCCCCAACTATGCTGACCTCCTTAAATGATTTGATAAGTGGGCCAGAGAAGTAGGCCGCCCACTCCACGTGCTGTTATTTGGAGAAGGAGGACAAGGGCACTTAAGACGGAGCAGGTGAGATAGGAGGGGTGCCATGAGCCAAGGGGATGAAGGTTTTATATATATAAAGGATAGGTAAAGGTAAAGGGACCCCTGACCATTAGGTCCAGTCGTGACCGACTCTGGGGTTGCGACACTCATCTCGCTTTATTGGCCGTTTACCTTCCCACCGGAGCAGTAGCTATTTATCTACTTGCACTTTGACATGCTTTTGAACTGCTAGGTTGGCAGGAGCAGGGACTGAGCAATGGGAGCTCACCCCGTCGCGGGGATTCGAACCGCCAACCTTCTGATTGGCAGGTCCTAGGCTCTGTGGTTTAACCCACAAAGGATAAGTTGTAATAATCGCCAATAAAGAAATACAGGATGCAACTATGAAATTTACTGATTTAATAATAAAGCATTCTAAGAGGGAAAGGATGTGTTGTCGATCATTGTAAATGGTTCCATGGTCTGAACCAAAACAATTACAGGCAACGACTGGTTTAGGCATGTCTGAATGATGCACAATTGTGCACATGTGCACAGCGTTGAACCCAGAAGTAGCACAAAAACCTCATAAGGACACGAAAAGGGACAGAGTGGGCTTACGCTTGCTCTGCCGACACGGGGGTTACATCCAGAATGTAACCCCCGTGCAAAATGAGAATTGCCTGTATAATTTTTTATTTCAAATGCCGCCTTCCCCCTTAAAAAATATGTTCTTTTTTCTGAAACCTGTATGTTTTGGGAGGTGACACACGCAGGCAACGTCTAATGAAATAATCCACAGGAAGAAATGAAATGACGATACGTTCAAAAGGAATGAAATGCTCCTGCTTCACATCAGGCCTCATCCTGACCTCGGGTGCTGGTGTAGCCCAAGGAGCTGCTGACTTCGTACTGGAGGTGGAGGTGCTGGCGGGGGATCATCAGGATGTTGGAGATCTTGCCCAGGGAGCTGTCGTCCGACGCCTGGCTCCTCACCTCTTCCGGGGGCAAAGGCCGGCTCTGCAGGGAAGGACTGCAGGAGACGTCGTAGGAGCTGGAGCTTTTCCGGGGGCGGCTCTCTCGTTCCCGGACAGACCTGCTGGCAAAAAGCACCAGGTGGAAGGGAGGGCAGAGGCCCAGCTCCAGTCATGTCACAAAGACCTTTTGTCACTTAACTTGGGTGGGGAACCTCAGGCCTGGGGCCCAAATGTGGCCCACACAGAATCTCTACCTGGCCCTTGGAATGCTCCCCAGGCCACGCGGGCCCTGATTTGCATCCTAAGCATTTTTGCCCGACTGAGATGTGCTCCTGAAAACTTTGATGGTGTTAAGTGTTCAGAAATAAGCCTACATCGACAAATGTAGCATTTGCTTCTCTGCACATGGCCCTCAGCAAGCTGCCCGGAAGGGAATGTGGCCCTCAGAGTAAAAAAGGTTCCCCACCCCTGATTTAACCAATCACAGTAAGCTGATTATGAAGGTTTTTTAAAAAAAAAGGAAGAAGAAATGGGGAATTCCAGGTGTGCTTTGATGGAGCTCATGGTTAAAACAGCAGATGCAGGCTGGAGGTCCAGCAGAAGTGTGAAGCTGATGGGGAAGGGTGTGTGTGTGTTCATCTACGCTCCCTCCTTTGCAAAGGCTGCTCCAGATTCGTTTGGTAATGGCTCACAAGCACACCATCCAATTTGGCTCGTTGCCTCGCAAGCTTCTTTACCTGAAGATGGGACAACGCTGAGCTCTGGATGGCCCCGGCAGACGGAAAACCTGGGCGTCGTAACCATCGTAATCCACTTGGATGGGGAGAGCGTTCTCTGTCTCTTTCGGGGCTCCCAAAGCTGGAAGGCAGTAACAGCACGTTATTGACTGGGGCAGCTTTTAAGAACCTGGTCTCCGTTCTTGGGCAAAACGGCATAATATCAGCGTGAGAATTTCCCCTGCTGACAAATAGAAGAAGACACCTTCACGCCGGTACAGCTCCCCTTTATCACATACACAGCCCAACAAGACAATGACAAAAATCCACCAACAGTATGCAAATCAATATGGCTAACCTGATCTAAAACACCCACCCACCCCACTCACACATGAAAACAAAGACCACCACAGCCAACCACAAATGAACAACCACACCCTAGGCCAACCCCAACCTCTCTCACCACCAAAGGAACACAAGTGAACAGCAAAGAACCTGCACGAGCAACGCTGACACCAAACCCTACGAATAGTAAGTAAAATAGAAACATCGCCACCCGAACCCACCCCCACCCATCTTCCCCCCCTTTCCCCTTTTCTTCCTAATGTCTCAACAAATGAAACTGATTTGTAAAAATGTTAAAGGTAAAGGGACCCCTGACCATTAGGTCCAGTCGTGGCCGACTCTGGGGTTGTGGCGCTCATCTCGCTTTATTGGCCGAGGGAGCCGGCGTACAGCTTCCGGGTTACGTGGCCAGCATGACTAACCAGAGCAGCGCACGGAAACGCCGTTTACCTTCCCACCAGAGTGGTACCTATTTATCTACTTGCACTTTGAGGTGCTTTCGAACTGCTAGGTTGGCAGGAGCAGGGACCGAGCAACGGGAGCTCACCCCGTTGCAGGGATTCGAACCGCCGACCTTCTGATCGGCAAGTCCTAGGCTCTGTGGTGAGAGAGAGAGACATTGCACACACTTTTGTAAATCAAGAAAATCTTTAATAAAAAAAAGAATTTCCCCTGTTGGGACAGACGAAAGGTGACCTATGTGGTCCAATTTCCTGTTCTCCTAGTGGCCAATCAGATGCCTCTTTGGAAGCAGGGCCTGAAAGCAACAGCAGCTATCTCCCCACCTGGGATTCCCAGCAATGGGTGCTCAGAGGCATTGACTGCCTCTAACAGCCAGTGTGGAGTAGTGGTTAGGGTGTCAGACTGGGACCTGGGAGATCAGGGTTCAAATCCCCACTCAGTCACAAAGCTCACTGGGTGACCTTGGGCCGGTTCACTGCCTCTCAGCTGAATCTGTCTTGCAGGATTGTTGTGAGGTTAAAATGGGAAGGAGGAGAAACGTGTCTGCCACCTTGGAGGATATAAACCCAATCTGTCAACGATCAATGGAGGTAGGACCCTTTCACAATAACAACCTGGGATGACTACTCACAGGCATCCCTGCTGCTTTTCAGTTTTTCACTCTGCGGCTGGAATCCAAGCGGCACGAAAAATGGCAAAGGAAAGAAAGCATTGGAAACTTAAGTTAGTTTTGGCCATGGAACAGTCACTGCATTACAAGCAATAAGATTCAGACCAGGAATATTCTGACAAGTCATGCAGTCACCCAATGCACACTCAAATATCTCACACTGAAGAGCTTCGTGAACTCTTACTGTTTTAAAAGCCTTCAGTACAAATGCATTTGGGGGGACATGTTCCATATGAACCACCCCCATGCGACTTTCCTTACATTTCAAGCAAGGTCGAGAAAAAGACTCCTAGAGCCCAGTAAGCTCGGTGCAGAGCTTAAAAGTAATTTCTGTGCTGGGAAAACCTGGTGCAAATGGAGTTTTTAAGGTCTCCACCGTGCATGCAATTATTTCACGCAACTTCAACCAGCCAGCTTTCAATTGTGCAAGGTTGAAATTGCCTGTGGCGACTGCATTTTTACAGAGAAGCATCTGCTACATTTCATGCATCAGCCAAAGTAAATGAATAAAGATCACCCCTGATGGCTGAGGTTCCCCCCACCCCATACCAATGCGGAACTCGGAAAGCTGCCCACTATGACAACATGACTTGGCTAAAGGGTGCGGGGAGAGGAAGTGAGTCAAGGAAAATGCTCTTCTATCAGGAACTGCCAAAGTAGGACTCACAGGTGTCAGTGAGCCCACCGGTACTTCCTATGGCGCCCACAAAAGGTCTCAGGAAATATCCCCTCAAAAATCAACAAGGCATGACAGATGGTTTGCTCTTCCTGCTTGTCCTAGCTCATCCTTTTTTTACACAGCTGTTTAGTAACTACTGCAACTTCCTAATGTGCCCACTGCCCCCACCCCAAAAAAGGTTGGCAGTCCCATCTTAACAGAGCCCACTTACTTTCCTGGCAGCCAGTTTGATCCGTGGAGTGAAGCTGTTACACTGGAGCTGGCTTTTGGAGGTGTAGAAACTGGAAAAGGGAAGAAGAAAGACAATGACTCTGTTTGCATGTAACACTAAACCATGGTTTAGCGACTACACACACAAACTGGATCAAGCCCAAGGGAGACTCAGGTTTGCACATTCACTCCATCTCCTTTCTGACTCGGTGGTAGCATTTCATCTCCAACCTGATCTTAATAAACCAAAGGCTGCAGGTTACAACAAACTGACCATGTTCAAAACAGTTCAACTTCAGACCATGGTTTCTGGATCTGGCTTGTTAAACTAGCCACAGTTTGTTGTAACCTACAATCTCCGATTCACATGTAATGACAAGCTGAGATTAGGGGGGAACAAAACTACCCCCCTTCCATGTTTTAAGGAGAAAAGCAATGCAGGAATACAGGGATTCGAAGCAACACCAGAGCAGTGGAGGCTGAGGACAAGACTGCCCAGTGCTGATGTTTGAGAGGGGAGAGAGAGCAGAGAGAAGTCCCAAGTACCAAAAGCAGAGAGGGAAGACAGGCCCATGTGAGAATTGCCCAAGGTGGAGCCTTGGCTGCAACAGTTCCAACTTCAAACACGCACCTGTGGTTTATCCAGTGTGGTATATTGTAGTCATCTCCCAAGCGAGAGTCCCCAGGACTGCAGCGATTGTGCAGCTAAGAGAATAAGAGTTTGGAAAAGGCACCATGTTAACTGGATGCTTTTTGCAGCTAGTTTGTACTGCATTCTGGGAATCCACAGGAACGGACGGTTGCAAGAAAGGAATCTGGCACTGGATACAGAGGGTTGCAGCCAAAGAAGTCATGAATCCAGCAGAACATTCTCTCCTCCCCACAGCATACCCCTTGCACCCCCCCCATATATGCCCTGAGGGTTCCCTTATCCTCCCCCGGAGCAGATCTGGGAGGGTACAGGAGGGAGAAGTTACGTTATGGGAGCAGAAATCATTGGATTCAACCCAGAAGCCGGTGGTCCAGATTTTTTTAGCCTACATTTAAAACAGCCTCCCTCAACCTGGTGCCCCCCAGATGCTTTGCACTACCCACCAGTCCTGGGAATCATACAGCCAAACTAGCTGGGGCAGATGAGAATTATAGCCCCAAACATCTGAATGGCGCCATGTTGAGGGAGTCTGATTTAGGAGGGGAAAGTTCCTAACCCTCAATAGTTTGGAGAAAGATAGAGGCTAACAGGCATCCTGGAAACAAGCCTGGCTTTTGGTAATTAGGCAGGTGCAGGTGTTCAGCACTTTGTTCCTTTCCCATACCTTTTCCTTCCTGCCACCCCCACCTCCAATCTCTTTTATTTCCCTATGTACCCTTACTACAGGATGTGCTTTAATTGAAGAGCCGGTAGTGTGGAAACAGAATTATGGCTTTCTATTTAATTGGTTGGATTTATTCTGGCACAAGAATCAGCTGGAGGAGGGAAACAGCTAGCAGGCAGGTGCGGCAGAGACGGAGGAGGAAGAAAGAAAACGGGCATACGACCCCATGGGCCTTACCTTGAAGAGGGGCACAGCGTGGAGGGGCTGCTCTCCCATGCACACCAAGTCCACCCCAATCCCTACAGAAGCAAGCAAAGCAGGGAGAGGAAGATGAGTTTGTTAATAGCCACGTGCTGTCCTGGTGCTGGACAAGGAAGGTCCACAGCAGAGAGGGGAGGGCTTGGATTTGGCCCCTCCCCTTGCCACTCAGACCAGCAATGAAAAGCTTTCCCGCTTGGTCACCCATCACTTAAGATGCTTCTTAAACAAAAGGATTTCGCCATCTGGTTTTCCAAACAGCCCAACTCTCAACACTACGCCTAAAAAAAGAGGTCATCTCTACATTTTGGAGATGCTCTAAAGTGAGAAAGAACACAAAAGGAAGATGCCTTATGCAGCAGTCAGGCTGCTTGCCCATCCAGCTCAGCGTCCCCAGGAATGGCGAACCAGATGTTGCTGCACTGCGGCTCTCATCACCATCCCTTATCACTGGCCATGCTTGGCTACAGGGCCTGATGGGAACTGGAGCCCAACAACATCTGGAGAAGGGCCCCCACAGATGCCCCACATCTGGTGGACATCAGCAGGGAGCCACTCTCCAGGGTTACAGGCAAGGAGTCTTTCTTCTTCCCAGGTCCTCCCTGGAAAATGCCGCCAGGGGAGTTTTTGCTTGCAAAGAGGCTACTCTTGCCACTGAATTACACAGCCTTTCCCACCGCCTGCCGCTAAGACCACTTTACCATTATCTATCATGCGCTGCTTGGTCAAGATCATGAGGAGCCGGTCCACTTCGAAGACTCCCACGCCAGGCGTGATGACTACGGACATCTGCCCGGTCCGGTCAAAGTTTCGATTGATGTAATGCTTGTCGAACACTAAAAGCAGGAAAAGTCAGAAGCAAAAGGACATTCAATCTTTTACACATAATATGCTTATCGAGGGACAATTTGCTCTCATCGACAACAGCTTCCTAGAAGTTCAGATGTAAACTTTGTAAGGTGCTTTAAACTGGTTCTTTTTTTTAATATTAAGTTTTAATTGAGGCCTTAGGGTGAAGGCAGGTCAACAACAACAACGTGCAGTTCACCAGCTTACAGAAACTTGTTTGAGACAGTTAAAAAGTCCTGAACTGGATATTCAATCCGTTGGAGTCAAGAATCTGCTGCTTTCACTAATGAAGACCCTCAACAGTTATACTAGAGGTGGGTCAAAAAATCCCCTCCTGCATTTCCAAGGTCATTCACCACCAACCCAAAAAAGTGTGTGTGTGTGTGTGTGTGTGTGTGTGTGTGTGTGTGTTTATGTACAGAAGAGGATTGGGGGCTGTTTGTGAGACACAGGCAAAGTTGCAACGCTAGCTGGGGCTGATGAAAGCTGTAGCCCAGAGGGCACAAGATTGGGGAAGGCTGGTATAGATTCAGGTAAGTATTGGGTGCCTCCTATTGGTCACTCTCAGTTCACAACCCACCAGGCTAGGCTAGCGTCCCACAGTCACAGAGCATGTGCACTAGAAATAAAACAAGAGTCCTCAGTAGCATGAAAGGAATTCCATTCCAAATGCTCAGGGGTTCCTTGGCAGATAAATCAACAAGGTAGAAATCCCCCTGATGACAGAAACTTTGAATGCCACTGAATTATCCCCTAAGTCAGAACTGTGCTAGTTACTGGCCTTTCCAATCCAATCTATCCTGTAACAACAGATGACATTTGTGTGAGGAGGAGCCAGGTCACTGCCTGTGTACGGACGGCTCCTTCATGCTAGTGTGGTACAAGATGTTTTTCCCTCTACTCACCATTGAAGGAGAGGTTTATGGCTTCCAAATAATTTCCTTGAGCAGAGGTAGAATTGCACCCCGGAGGAAAGCCCTCTAGAGGGTCAATTACAAAGGAGAAAGGAGAAAAGGAGAAAGAGATGGTCATATTTCAGCTATAATATTTGAAGCCCATTTTTATTATTTATTTGCCTGATGAATGAGGAGCATAAGGAGAGCTGGAACAGGCCAAAGGGGACCCATATAGTCCAGCATCCTGTTCTCACTGCGGAAGACCAGATGACTCTTCTGGGAAGCCCATAAGCACAGCAGCAGCAGCAGCGCTCTTCCCAGCAGCTGATATTCAGACAGCCATGCTCCTTTCGGCACCGGAAGGGATTTGTCTAATCCCAGCTTTTGCTGGAGTGTTTTGATATTTTTATAACTGCTTTCACCAGGGTTTTTTAGGTCGCACGCCACCTTGTGATATACTACACCCAAGTGCAATTTATAAATATTTAAATCAAAAAAATAAACATATGAAAATCAAAGCAGTTCAAGTTGGGGGGGGAGGGGCATCATTGCAGCTTTCCAGCTCTCCCTTTCCACCCTACCTTTCAGCATTCATTTTCCTAGAGCAGCTAGTCAAGTACAGACACAGTTTAAAAACCACAAAATTGAATGACCATGTCAATGCACAGTAGAAGAATAAAAAAAAATAAAATGGTGCATGCTGCAGACCTATCTGGCCCCCTCAGGGTCTATTGCGGCCTTTGGACTACAGCTCCCATCAGCCCAAGACAGCATGGCCGTATTTTGCTACGGCTGATAAAAGCATCTCTGTGGTGGCTGGGGCTGATGGAAATTGCAGTTCACAATATCTGGAGGGCCCAAAGTTTGGGGAAGGCTGCCTTGTGACAAGTTCCAAGAGTATTTTCATTACTCTGAGTACAGTGGTGCCCCGCAAGACGAATGCCTCGCAAGACGGAAAACCCGCTAGACAAAAGGGTTTTCCGTTTTTGAGTTGCTTCGCAGGACGAATTTCCCTATGGGCTTGCTTCGCAAGACGAAAATGTCTTGAGATTTTTTTTTCGCTTTCCCCCCCCTTTATCTAAGCCGCTAAGCCGCTAATAGCCTTTTAGCAGCTAATCCGCTAAGCCAATAAGCCTTTAATAGCTGCTAAACCGCTAATAGCACTAATCCGTTAAGCCGCTAATAGGGTTGCTTCGCAAGGCGAAAAAACCGCTAGACGAAGACACTCACGGAACGGATTAATTTCGTCTTGCGAGGCACCACTGTAATGCCAGATCTAGAATACTACCTTTTTTGAAATTCTAATAATAACCATCAGGAATAATATAGTAAAAATAGTAAGAATGCCCCACCTGCCTGCTCCAAACGCACCAGGATAGGATACTGGATGAAGAGTTTCTTAATGGTCACAAGCAACGATGTCCACTCCTCTCGTCTTTCGTTCTGAACCACCACCCTGTAAGGAAGCGCTGGGACTGAGTAGGAGAGAAACTGAACCAGCACAATCCTTACAGATAATGTAAGGACTTAAGGATGGAAAGGGAAGGGAGCAAGGAGAGCCTGCTGGATTAGGTCAATGGCCCACCTAATCCAGCCCTCTCCCTGCCTGTGGATTCCAGTGACTGGTACTCAGAAACACAGCCATCATGGCAAATAACCATCGATAGCCCTCTCCTCCCTGTGGGAGCTTACGAGTTAGGAAAATGGACTTTCTGGCGAGGACTTATCCAAATGCTGCTTCTCAAGGTACTAACATATAACCCAAACATTAAAGACATCTGCAAACATGAATTCAGCATCTTGCAATACAGGGGAAATTCCCCAGGATAGCAGCAAGTTACTAGTCCTCAAGGTTATGAGGCAAAAAAACCCAAGCACCTGCAGTTTCTACTAAAATTTAAGAAACATTTCAGCAAAAACTTTCAGTCATGGAGCTTTTGCTGTCCCTCAAGGACCCCAACCTATATCCTCCTCGCTCTCCAAAATACTACAAAAGTGGTCTATTTTGTAGCCAACTGTCAGTTTCCAAATTGAACATTTTAGTTGCAAAATACAGATTTCTTAGGACACTTACAAAATTTCTGGGATACCGTAGAGTAAGAGATAACAGTTACTCCCTGCGTAAACGTAAACTCATCAGGTTTTAGCTTAGAAAAAACAATTGTTGAAAAGGAATGGAATTCTTCCAGTTCTTTAGCAACTGCCATGTTTTCCGCATATAGGTTACGAGATCAATTATGAGGGGTGATATGTATGTGTTTGTGCATCTCTCTCTCTCTCTCTCTCTCTCTCTCACACACACACACACACACACACGACTGGAAATGGACCACAGATACTCAATGGAAGGACCAAATGGGAAACCTACTTGTAAAAATCTTCATAGAATCTTCCTTCATGATCTTGCTGAATCGAGGCACGCTGTGTCTCTGGAAATTCATCTACAAGAGACAGCAGCAAGATGTAAAGACCATCCCTGAAGCACATCTGTCCCAAGCCCCCCTCTCTGCAGATCAGCAATATTCAAAGTACTGTACTTTTCCATGTGTAAGACTAGTTTTTTTCATTTTAAAATTATGCTAAAAAGTGGGGGTAGTCTTATACATGGATAGTGAATAGGGTGGACTTTTGATTGGTTGCTGTCAGTGGCTATTGGGTGTGTTATTGGTTGCTGTGTCAAGGGCTGGTGTTGATTGGCTGACGCTGTGGCAATTGGGCAGGCGATTGGCAGCTTCTGCCAGCGAAGGGACAAACGAGAGGCGGATTTTCGGCAACCCCCCCTAAAAAAAGCTCAACAAATCTGAGCCATATCCCCACATTTTCTTAAATGCGAGTCCCTCAAAATAGGGGGTGTCTTATACATGGGGGCGTCTTATACACGGAAAAGTACGGTAATACAACTCCTTGCAAAAGCACTTGCCCTAGACACCCACCAAGGGCAACCATCCCTTTCCTCTACGCAGAGTAGTGACTGAGGCAACAGCTCAAAGCTCGGAGGGCGTGGGAGACACAGAGGGAAGTTCCAGAGAGAAACAGAGGCAGGAAGATGTCAGTACCCTTACAAGCAAGGAGGAAGAGAAACATTTATCTTGTAGCTACTCACTCAAGGATTTTGCATCATAGAACGTTCTAGAAAACAGGACCACAGTCACTTCATGGCTGCAGTTCTTCTCCTGACCAAGAGGAAAGGGAGGAGGTGAATGTTCTGCACAAAGCCTCAGTCACAGCCCTCATGGGACCCCCTTGCATGCGCATGCACATACACACAAACAGCTGCTTCAATCAATGGTGATGCTGCTTCGGTCTTGGTCTCAATGAAGAATGACCTAACCATGAGGACACCATGTCGAACACCTCCTGACATAACCTAAGGCTTTATGAATACCTTTTTAAGGAGAATGTTACCAGGGGAAGGGCATTTCCAAGCACACAGAGGACAACTCTCACCCCCAAACTCAATTACAGCTTCTTCTCTAGAAAGCTGAATGGAAGGCAACCCTCATCTCATGCCTGAAAAATGTAAAAGCATTACAGCCACTAAATGAGGCTATTTAATATTTGCTTTACAGAGGAAATCCAGCAATGATCATGCAATAAAAACTCAGTCTATTCAGTATCTATTCAGAAACCTGACAAATGTCAAGACAGGACTGGACTTCTCTTTACCTTCTAATGTTATGGCTCTTCGTTTACTTGAAAGTCACTTATCCAAAGTCTCTTTGGAAGAACTGCTACAATTCTCCATTAAAAAAAAATTAAGCAAGTGGGCAAACATAATTTGCTATGCTACGTACCTCCAAGGTCCTGCAAGCTGAGGTTGCCAACCTGAAGCCACCCAGATGATAGGGGACTACAACTCCCATCATGCTTAGTCATTGACTGCAGCTGATGGGAGCTGGGAGTATATCATGTCTAGGTAATCTTCACATTGGAGTTCCCTGCATTACAGCATCCTGTGGACTCCCCAGGTTCCTTTTCCCTCCCTCCTTTGGATCCAATTGTCCCATAACCAGGCAGCAACTTCCACCAAGGAACCTCCTATCTGGGTTATGTTTTACAGTGGTGCCTCGCAAGACGAAATTAATCCGTTCCGCGAGTCTCTTCGTCTTGCGGTTTTTTCGTCTTGCGAAGCACGGCTATTAGCGGCTTAGCGGCTATTAATGGCTTAGCGGCTTTAAGAAAAAGGAAACAAACTCGCAAGAACTCGCAAGACGTTTCGTCTTGCGAAGCAAGCCCATAGGGAAATTTGTCTTGCGGAACGACTCAAAAAACGGAAAACTCTTTCGTCTAGCGAGTTTTTCGTCTTGCGAGGCATTCGTCTTGCGGGGCACCACTGTATCTACATTTGGGGAAGCTCAAATATCTATTGAGGGTAAGGAACACTTCCTTACCCCAGTTGCAAGTGGGTCTGAATATGAGCCAAGGTCACAAAATAAAAAGCACACCTTTATTCCATTGCTACAGCCGAAGACACAGAAAGTTACCTTCCACTTGGTGAAGAGATCAGCGAGGAAACCATTCACAGCTTTCTCAAAGTAAAGGTCCCCTGCAAAGGGAAGAGTAATAAAACGGGGGGAGGGGGGAAGAGAGAGACTAAGAGTGATTTCTGTTCAAAGGAGCATTGATACTGCAACCCGCGCTCCTCCCACCAGGTGTTTACTCAACAGGGGAGGGGCCGTACTTGCAGTGGAAGCCGGTTCATCAGAGCAAATGGAGCTCGGCCTCACAAACCACAAGAGTTGTTTGGACACACCCACCCAAGATGCCTGTGTCACAAGGCAACTGGAAAACAAACCAAGGTTTGCAGTAACAAACCATGGTTGACCGGTCACAAGAGACAACTCATTGCTTGTCGACCAAATCTAGGTTAGAACAAGCCATGTGGGAGTGGGATGAGCTCTCATGGAGGCACAGTGCTAACAGTAGGTATGGGACGGGCAGATTTCCAGGAAGGCTCCTATTTCTCCATACCGTAGATGTCAAAATCCCACATTTCACAGCTCATCTGGATGAAGATATATACCATGGCGGAGGTTGAGCGGAAGACAACCTGCAAGAGACACACAAACAGTAAAAACTACTGCTCTAGCTGCTGCTTGATAGTGTAGAACAAACGCTTGAAAAGGGGAGAGAGAAAACTCTGGGGTGGGGAATAAAGAGGCCTACCCGGGTGTCTTCACTGATGTAGCCACACGTGACCTTCTCACTTTTGACCCAAAGTTCACCTGCTTGAGCCCTAGAAGCAAGCCAAAAAGAATCAGTTATCACATTCCGAAACAGTGGACATGAAAACTGGGGTTGCTACCGGCTGGGCTGTATTGGCGGGAGGGGACAGCGCCAGGACTAACCCCTGTCCCTGGGCTTTGGGTTAACAAAAAAGGAAATGCCCTTTTAGGTGCATCACCATCATCATAAGTTATTTATATGCCACCCATCTGACGGGGTTGCCCCAGCCACTCTGGGCAGCTCCCAACAAAAAATAGTAAAAACACAATAGAACATCAAACACTAAAAACTTCCTGGAAGAAGCATGAGTCTCAAGAGCTCCTCAAGGGCATGTTTGCATTGATTTCCAAAATACTATTACTAGAGCTGCAACTCAATGTTTAACTTGATGGTATCATCAGCCTGATTAAAGCAGAAAACATAGAAGCATGATTAGTCACACCAACAGGGTAAAGAACAGCTTCTATCTGCGGGCTGTTAGGCTGCTGAATGAAAAGATAACAACAGGGCAACTGACTTTCAGGTTTGGTGGGTGTGCATCAGTAAACAAGGGGAATTAAGACTAAGAGAGCTGAGTGGGGGGTGCTCGTGTAATCTCACTGTATACAAGTTGTACAAGTGACAATAAAATATTTCAATTATTTCAATTTCAATTAATCAATTTATCTGGTGCATACAAACAGCTCTGCTTATTATTAAAACCTCAAAACTGAAACCACAAAATTCTAGAGCTGGAAGAGATGTTGGAGGTCCTCTGTCATCACTTGCTGGGGCTGATGGGAATTGTAGTTCAACAACATCTGGAGGACCAAAAGTTCCCCGCACATGCTGTATTTGCAAGGCTCCTGCACCAAGCAGGGAGTTGGGACAGAGGACCTCCAGAAGTCCCTTTGAACTCTAGAATTCTACGGTTCTGTGTTATTACTTTGGGGGCAACATAACCATTGCCTGCACAGTCAGATTTCTAAAGAAAGCACTTCCGAGAGAGCGAGAGAGAGATGTGGAGAGGGAGCAAAGGGTATGTGTGGGGTGTGGCTGGATACTCACCGAATACCTGCAAATTCCACCTTCTGAGTGACATAGGCACATGTGCCAACCTAGCAGGCATTTGGTTTAAAAGAGAAAAAGAGAGGGAATGAGAACTCAAGGCAGTGTGAATTTGCAGAAGACAACTGTTCTTCATACCTCTTACCCCTGAGCACATCAGAGAGGGGGGTGGAACTGGTTTCTAGCACTCACGGCTGCATTTGTAAACATGCTTATGAAAGGCCCATAAGCTCTCATCCACTATCGCCTCATCTGCTTGCCCTCTATTCCTACCACATCTTATTTCAGCCCAGAACCCACCTCTCTTTGCCATCCTCTCAGACCCTAACCAAAAAACATCCCATGTTCTACACTACTGGTGAGAACCTTTTACTGCCTGAGGGCTACATGCCAGTGATTGGGAGTAGAGTGGGGCCAAATACAAAAGTAGGCAGAGCAGTAGTTGCGATTCTCTCATTCGTACAGCAGGCCACATTTCTGCCATGCCAAATCCGGAGGTTTCTACACCCACATCCCTCTCCATGTAGGCAAGGAAGGCACATTATAACAGTTCAATGACACATTCAAGCCAGGCAGGGCTGGTGAAGTGTGCAGCTTGGGAAAGTGGCGTGGCTAGGGTGGGGTTCTGAGGGCCAGACAAAGAACTCAGGGGGCCGTATTCCCCACCCCATTTGACCCTCACAGTTCTCTCCCATTGCCCCAGTCCTGTAACAAATTTGAATGTCAGTATTTGTCCAGTTTATGCACAGAGCAGCAGCCTCAGATCCCCAAGTCGAGTCCATCACAATCTGAGAATGAACAAAGAGCACTTTCCCTCCCAGATCAGACGCAGGGCCTCACCAAACTCTTCTTCAGTCGCCACATGTCCCCACGCCCGATGTACTGATCCTTGAACGTCAGCTCCACCAGATCAAGGGTCACTTCCTAAAGAGGAGGGGAGCAGAGAAGCTTGATGGCTTAGGTGTTTGAGAGCCCCATTCTGCTCCTGTGGAGGCCTGGCGCTGAAATCTGTAGGCTCCTGATTACAAGCACAAGCTCCCCTGATCTCCCCACCTAGCTGAAGAGAACTTTTCATTTCTTGACAAAAAAATTATTTATTATTATTTATTTCAGAAAATTTATTATACAGCGCTTGATTAAAAAACTCCAACAACCTCAAAGCAGTTTACAAAAAAAAATAATGAAAGAAAATAAGCTTTATAACAGATAAACACCTGCATATATGATCCCCATTGCAGAACTGCTAAGCTTAGGTATACTAGTTTTTAAAACAGTTAGTTTTGACTGTATTTTGATGACTTTATTATGCCCGCTATTTGTATAGTCTGTTTATATTTTGGATCATATTTTATGTAAACCACCTGTAATTGAGTAGGCAGCTTGTTAAAGTACTCAGAGCATGTAAAGGCATCCATCTAAGGCAGGCTGCCCTACAGCAAGGAGTATACAGCCATAGTCCGAGATCTGCTACTCTCCTGCTAGAATTGCTGAACACCAGCAGAATGCAACTTTGCAAAAGTTTTTCAATGCCTCCACAGAGCAGATTAACCTGCTTTTGCAACTCGGGCTGGGAGACAATCCCCACATGCTTAGAAATCAGACCAGGTGGAAATGCCCCAGGGCAAAGGGTGCAGTGCCACAAATACCTTTGGGTCAACAACGTTCACATGGACATCCTGGTAGGGTCTCAGTCGGAACACCTGTGCCACAGTCTGATCTACACTTATGGTTTCTGCGAAAAGAAGGAAATCCTAGGTGATTGAGAGAAGGTGGCTTCCAACTGAGTTACCTCAGCAAAGACTTCATGCTGGATCTCACAGAGACCTTGTCACTCCCTAGATGGAGAGCTGTTTGACAGCAGACAACACTATTGGCTGATTATACTGCACTCATTAAGGTGCACGCAAATAAAGATCAGAAAATCCCTACCTTTCTGTAAATCCTCCTTAAGTGACTTCACTTGCAGGAGCAAAGGGCTGGAACATAAGAGAGATAAACAGCTGCATGAATTGGGCCTCTACAACATACTCTAAGAAGCTGAGATGTTCTAATGTATCCCCTAAACCCTACCACACTGACGTCCAAGGAGGGCATCATAGCTGCTTCAAGAGATCAGCATTTCCCTTACACTTTTAATTCAAGATTCGCATTGTGCAACCAGAAGCTAAATTGATTTGGGAAGGAGGAGGCTAGGAAGTAGTAAGAATGCCAAAACCACAAGGTGGCTGGCTTGAACACTCTTGTGTCTCCATAGGCCTGGTAAACTCCTGGATTAGAAGTGGGACATTCTTCTATTGCACAAGGTAGGGCAGCAGTCAAATCCCTCCCAGGGAAAACAACAACCAAGCACATGAATCTCCACCCAAGCAAGACCATGCTTTTAACACTCTGTCCATCATGGTTTAGGAGATGTGGCCAAGGTTCTTTATGAAGCCAGAACCTCTAGTGGTCAGGAGTTTAAAGGAACTGGTGCATGATGTCTTCTGTGCACTTACAAAGCACAGCATAACTTTAAAAAATATAGAATAACTTTATGTATTACCTTCTACACAAAGGCATCAAGTCAACTTACATAATAAACAAATATTAAAAACATACAGCAACAACAGCTAAAGGTGGTCACACAAAACAACCCCCCTCCAAGTACACGTTTCCCATTGAGCCAGCAAGAGACATAGATCAACATTCAAATACTTCACTGTATAGTGAAAGACATGACCAAGAGGTGGAAAGACGTTAAGACTAATTCTAATATGTATTGTCTAGCTGAATGTGTCCTAGTAATCTTGGAGTAATAGCTAACATACCATCCTGCCCCATCGAGTTGGAGCTTCTTACCTCAATGCCAAACACAGCAGGGTAACAGCCAGCATCTGTAACCAACTAAATACAGTAGCACCTAGGGTTACGTAACCCTCTGGTTACGTAAACTTCACGTTACGAAAGCGGCAAACCCGGAAGTATCAGACCAGGTATCGCCACATGCATGCACAGGACAGTGACCCTCGGGTTGTGAAAACCTCGGGATCCGGCCAGACCTCTGAAACAGATCCCGTTCACAACCGGAGGTACCACTGTACATGCGGTACACATGCGGTACTCCTTCACAAATGTCAACTTTAGTTTTGTCAAGCTAGAGGCCTTCATCAAACCTACCTCAAAGCTGCCAACCATTTGGCGGAGTCTGCAAAGATGGCCCCTTTTCCTGCATCATGCCCCCAAATTGCTGCATGCAAAAGCCCAAATACAAAAGGATTCACCTGTATTCATCATTAGGGTGTGCAATTTCCACAATGTCTCCCAGCTTGATCTGAAGAAATACTTTGGGGTTCACCACAAGCTCATCATCTGAAAGGGGGAAGAAATTAGGGAGGTGGGGTTATAAATCTGTAAGGCTGTTTTACTGTAATGCTGTTTACCTGCAGCATTTCCAGACAGCAAAGAATTTATTTCAATAGAGATTATTCTATTGCACTTTTTACACAAAGAGCCCTGAGGGTATTTCCACCACCTCCATGGCTACTGACCGCTGCTTCCAAAGCCTTTCTTGTGAATGACGAGCTTATAGACCTTGCTGGTTTTCATCCTGAATTCTTGTTCTTCTCAGTTATTAGACACCAGGCATTTTTACAAGGTCTTGCATTTCTGCAAAATAAGCGAGCAAAGCATTTAAAACCACTTGCCATCCATTCTACATTTCAAGGAAAACAACCCCACAGCCCAGCTTCAAAATAAGGCCATCCTCACATTTTGTACCAGCAAATTCCACAAAGTAAGTTATGCATTGTGGCAACACAGGAACTGTACTCTGCACCAACACAGGGGCACTTTCCCCTCTACCCCAGAGCAAGAAATGGGGTGTGTTGCGCAAATTCCTGGAGTGGCAGTTTCATCTATACCCCCTTCAGATTTCATGTAGTGGTGAGTGTTTTTGTTGTTTTGTTTTGGGGTGGGAATCCCTTTTGTGAAAGCTACCCTACTTTAAAAAAAAAATCTAACAGTAATTCAGCATATGAGATATTATTTCCTGGCGTAATAGTTTGTTACTTGCAGGGAATCTGTCATTTATCATCTATTTATTGTTGCATTTATATCCCACCCTTTGCTCCAAGGAGCTCGTGACTCTCCCCGTCCTCACTTAATCTCCACAACAACCATGCGAGACCCATTAACACTACATTTCTGGCCGTCCCCCGTGGTCCGGAATAGTACAGTCCATTCAGCCTCCAACCCAATGGCGAAAGAAGGAGGGCGAGCGCACTCAACCCCCCAAAAGGGGGGGGAGAGGTAGATTAACTCATGCCTACCCGCGACCGACCGTGCTCTTGGGCTGAGGGGAACCGACGGCTCTCGTGCTACACTTACCCACAGCACCGGAGAGGGGGGCGTGGCGGACCCGCTCCCCGCACGAAGCGCACGCGCCTGGGCTCCCTTTTGATTTCCTCATCCGGGAGCCTCGCGCGCGCTTTTCCGCCCGCCTCCCTCTCTATGGTGGCGCAGGTTGATTTCCCGGATGAGGAAGCGGCGCTGCCCATAGAGACGCAGGGGGGAGAGCGGCGCGATGACGGAGGGAGCGGAGACGGCTGCGGCCTGCGGAGCAGCGCTCAGGTGAAGAAGGGGGGAAAAAGACGCCGGGGCGGAGCCCCCCCCCCACCTGAGGGGGCGAGGGCGAGTGGAGGCCCCGGAAGAGTAATACGGAGGGGGGAGTTAGGAGGCGCCCCCAATACCCCGCCTTCGCTCCAGCATGGCATAAACAGCTCGAGGCGGGGGGGGGGGGCTTAATTAGTTAATTAGCTAATAAGACTTTTGGGGTCATCCCCCCACTCAGGCTCCTCCTGTGGAGAATGTTTTGTTTCTTTTTATGATGTAATTTATTTCTATATATGTTTTTAAATGTATGGAAGGTGGCTAGGAAACCCTTGGGTAATAAATGACTGAATATTGTGATGACGATGAGGATCCTCTGAGGGTCCCATCCTGAACTCGCCCACCGAAAGTGCTTTGGCGAGACTCCCAGAGAAAGGGAGCTTTTTCAGGGCAGCTTTCTGGGCCTTGGCGTGGGCCCCCAGGCGGAGGAGGGCTTAGTCAGCTAAGGGCAACCAGGTAGAAAATCCGACAAGGCTCGCAAGTGTTGCGGAGAAGAGATTTCAGCAGGATTATACCAAGCTGCTTTCTGCAGAGGCAGAGCATTGGTCCGTTTACCTCATTATTGTTGGCACGGACTGGCAGCAGTGGCTCTCCGGGGTTTCTTCATAGCTGTCAACTTTTCCCTTTTCTTGGGAGGAATCCTATTCGGAATAAGGGAATTTCCCTTTAAAAAAGGGAAACGTTGACAGTTATGTGGTTTCTTGGGATGGGTAGGAGGTCTCTTGAAGCCCAGACCAGAGGTGCTGTTGGGGATTAAAACTGAGAACTTTTGTTTGCCGAGTAGATGCTCTGCCATAGAACTTACGGGGGCGTACACAAAAATATATTCTTGTCCTCATAGTTCTGAATGATGGGCTGAATTTAAAAGGAACATAGGAAGCTGAGTTATACAAAGTCAGAGCCTTGGTCTGTCTAGCTTAGTATTGTTGACACTGGCTGGTGGCTGTTCAAGGTTTCAGGTGGGGGTGTTTTGTACATAAGACATAAGAAGATGGTGATGGATTAGGACAAAGGATTGGTCCCTCCTCCTGTTTTTACCGTTAACAACCAGATGCCCCAAAGGAAAACCAGCAAGCAGGACCCAAACACAAGAGCCCTCCCATCCTATGGTTTCCAGTAACTAGCATTCAGAAGCATTTTGGCCTCTTACCTTGGAGATGGAGCAGATTCATTATGGCCATTATGGCTCTACTATTGTGCTATGGTGCCTCCATGAAGGTGGTTCAGGTCCATCACCTTTTGAGCCTCCCCCAATCTTGAAGTGAGTAGGGAATCCTGAGTGCCTTAGAATTCCAGAGACCTTTGGATGAGAACCCTAACATTTCCACCCCAAATCCTTCTCTTTTTCTTTCCCCACCGCTCCTCCTCCTCTAGTAGATAAAATTCCCCAAGCTGGGTGAAGTGAGGTGGGAATTTCAGGATGGAATGTGAGGAAGGAGCTGCTTCTAAAGGAGGGGATCAGCAACTGGAGCACAGAAGACAAGGTGGAGACAGGGGTGAGAACTTTGTGCCATAATGAAGGCCTTGATCATTAGCAGCCTGGAAAAACAAACGTTGGAAGAAGGCATGGTAGGATGGTTCACCTTGCCTTGCATGAAAGAAAGAGGATAGAGAAAAGTTTTTCTTCCTCTCATAACATTAGAACTTGTGGACATGAAGCTGAATGTAGGATGATTCAGGACAGGTAAAAGAAAGTACCGTATTTTTTGCTCTATAAGACGCACCAGACCACAAGACACACCTAGTTTTTGGAGGAGGAAAACAAGAAAAAAAATATTCTGAATCTCAGAAGCCAGAACAGCAAGAGGGATTGCTGCGCAGTGAAAGCAGCAATCCCTCTTGCTGTTCTGGCTTCTGGATAGCTGCGCAGCCTGCATTCGCTCCATAAGACGCACATACATTTCCCCTTACTTTTTAGGAGGGAAAAAGTGAGTCTTATAGAGCAAAAAATACAGTACTTCTTCACGAAGCACTTATTTGAACTATAAAGCTTGTTCCCAAAGGAGGCATTGATGGATACCACCAACCTAGATGGCTTTAAAAGAGGGTTAGACAAATGGCTACTAGCTGTGATAGCTATGCTCTTCCTCCATGGTCAGAGGCAGCAATTCTTCTGAATACCAGTTGCTGAAAGCCAGAAGATGGGCAAGTGCTCTTGTGCTTGGGTCTTGCTTGTGGGTTTCCCATAGGTATCTGCTTAGCCACTGTAAGAACAGGATGCTGGACTAGATGGGTGGTTAGCCTGATCCAGGGGGCTCTTCTAATATTATTTCTGCTCACTTGTCTTTTTCCGTTGTGAAAGGTGGCTGGTCCAACTGTCCTGATGCTCACTGCCAGTGTGGAGTCCCTGGAAAAAAGCCATTTTGACCTTCTCAGCTCCTCCATGTCTGCTGTGGTGCAAGAACTCTACACGAGTCTGCCAGTCACCCTCCCCACTGACCTTGCAGCTCTGTCGGATCCCACCATTGTACTTGATGCTAAACCTGAAGCATCAACCTTTGTGCTGTCATGTAGCAGTTTGCCATCCAAGCCCCACCGGACTCATGGGTTGAAAATCTGTTCTCAGGACTCTGCTGAAAGGCTGGATTGCACAGGCAAAGCCTCTTGCCCTGGGCTGATGGATCTGCTTCCTCAAGAGCCTGCAGAAGCCAGAGATCTGGCTGAGGATGATGATACCCCAAAAAAGGATGTGATGGAGTTGGACCCTTGTCACCAACATTCAAGGGAAGACACGGGAGGGACAAAGGAATTGGGGAGTGTTGCTGGCGAGGAAGGCCTTGCACAGTCTTATCTAGCCTCAAAGGAAATATGTTGCTTAAGAGAGGTAAGAACCAGGGCCATTTGGTGTTGGTTTGAAGGCCGTAATAAATTTGTTAGCCTCTATTTCACCTCTATTTCGCAAGAGATTAACATGACACTTCTCTGGAAAAGGGATGTGTGGGGAAATATGTTTAAGTTAAGATGGGGAAAGATTTTGGGATCTGCCTCTTGTGTCAGTGTTAGAAGAAAACAGTTACATAGCAATCGCGTTAAATCAACAACAAGATATAGAGGATTTAGAAATGGAACGGTTCCAAATACTGAAGATGTTGTACAGGCTTATATCAGATTAAGAATTGCTGCATGTATTTAATCAAGTGTTGACTATGCAATCCTATACCTTTCAGAATAACCCACCTCTGCCCACTTGAGTTCAATGGGAGTAACTCCTAGGTCAGTGAGTGTAGTTAGTGAAGATTGCAGCCTGTGTGAATTACTGGGTGTCCTCTTCCATTAAATCATGAAGTTATATTGCTTGCCACTATTAATGGAATATCTTGAAATATAAAATCTACAGCTAGTGGAGAACTGTGTTTTGTTATGATTCATTGTTGTATAAAACAGCACATTCTCTTTCCCATTTTCCTTTCAGAATTCTTGTTTCTTTGTACTAGCCTTGTGAACTAGCCTTGCTCATAATGTCTGTTTAAAATTCATAACAAGTTACTTTTTAAAATACTTTAAGGCATGAAGCTAGTGTTATACTTCATCCGAGGACCACTCTGCATGTTAAATGGGAACTGGCTTCTTAAAAACAAATTAAATTAGCTCAAATGCAGTAGACCTGTCAAGGAAACAACAGCTTAGAGAACAGAAGGGTTTAGATGAGGGAATTGTTGTATCTTGTCCTCATGCAAACATACTGCTCTGAAGAAAATGGCACCTCCTTCTTGGAATCTGTTTGGTGGTGGTATTAAAATTTTCCATTGTGATGGATATTTTAATTCTATGTTTTATGAACATAGGAACCTGCCTTATAGCAAATGCATCTGGTTCAGTATTGTCTACACCAGGCATGTCCAAAGTCTGTTTCTGTGGCCTAATGTGGCCCGCTGGTTGGTTTAATCCAGCCTCTGGCAGTTTATTTGCAATCCAATAAAAAGCTCAACAACTTCAATCCTAAAAAAAGTCAACAACTCGTATGTTTACTTCATGTATGTTTACTTCATCAAACATACGGCCCTCACGTATGTTTACTTCATCAAATCTGGCCCTCTTTGAAAAAAGTTTGGACACCCCTGGTCTACACTGACTCGAAGCAGCTTTCCAGTGTTTCAGGAGGCAGGGAATGTTTTTAGCCCTACCTGGAGGTGCTGAAGGCTGAACCGGGGACCTTCTGCATGCAAAGCAACTGCTCTACCACTCAGTCACAGCCGTTCCTTCAAAAGAGCAGGCAGCTGTTTGGGTCTGTATGTACACTGGGAGGAAATAATCCATTTAGTTCTTCGTTATTGTCAAAATATCCAAGCGGTGAGTGTAAACATTGGTGCAAATATTTCGTAAAAATCAGAAACTAAAAATCCGTAATATGATTATTAGTAGAATAAAGCAGCGCTATCCATGGCAGGTTGGTTTTGACACCTTGCTCCCGTGTGAGGTGCCAGCGGATTGGTAGCACAAAATAAGTGTGGAGAAAGAGTATCTTTTTAGAAACAAATCTAGCACATTTAATGAAGAATACCTGGAGACAGATTCTCTCCACAGACTTAACACCTGCACTGCTTGGGGAAGGTTTGGGGAAGTAATAATTAATCCCTTCTGTCTCTGCTGCTGCTGCTATTGCTTTGATGGCTGGCATTGTGTGTGTTTTTGTTTCAGAAAGAACCTTGGCTAACCCACATGGGAAGAGGATTTCTTCCAAGCCCTTCCAATGTTGAAGCAGCAGGCTTGCAAAAGAACCCAGGTAATTTGTTTGGCCAAGCTGCTTCTCCCTGCCTGGATAGTCCATTTGGGATTGAATCAGTTTGAATATCAGTAACTAATAAACGAAACAGTGTGAGCCCAGGAATGTCTGCTTTAAAAGATGGGTTTTTAGGAAGTGTTTACAGCTTGCCACGGTTTTTGCCTTGCGAACAGAGCATGAGAGGGTGTTTGACCATTGGCCACATTGACCAGGGCAGAGAGTGCTTCTTTATGGTCACCTACGGCATACCTGAGGGACGCGGGTGGCGCTGTGGGTAAAAGCCTCAGTGCCTAGGACTTGCCGATCGAAAGGTCGGCGGTTCGAATCCCCGTGGCGGGGTGCGCTCCCGTTGCTTGGTCCCAGCGCCTGCCAACCTAGCAGTTTGAAAGCACCCCTGGGTGCAAGTAGATAAATAGGGACCGCTTACTGGCGGGAAGGTAAACGGCGTTTCTGTGTGCTGCGCTGGCTCGCCAGATGCAGCCTTGTCACGCTGGACACGTGACCCGGAAGTGTCTCCGGACAGCGCTGGCCCCCGGCCTCTTAAGTGAGATGGGCGCACAACCCTAGAGTCGGACACGACTGGCCCGTACGGGCAGGGGTACCTTTACCTTTACGGCATACCTGGGTATGGTTTTCCATCTCCCTGACAAGGAAAGCAGTGTATTCCAATGCTTTCCAGAAATACCATTCACCATTCAGGTCACTGTCTTAATCATTTTGTTTTACATGATAAAGTAGAGTAACTTGGCTTCTTTTTCCCTCCTGAGAGAAAACTTCAATTTACCCATTTCTCTGGCTAAATGGAGAACTTCTGTGTTCAGAGCCAGTATAACTTTATTAATACAGTGGTGCCCCGCAAGACGAATGCCTCGCAAAACGAAAAACGCGCAAGACGAAAGGGTTTTTCGGTTTTTGCGTCGCTTCGCAAGACGATTTTCCCTATGGGCTTGCTTCGCAAGACGAAGGGCTTGATCCGCGCTGCGCGCAAACCGCTTTCACCGCCAATCTATCTATGCGGCAGCGGGGAATCTAATAGTAATAGCAATCGATACATTATTAGCGTCCGGAAACACAGCCGGTGGTGATGCTGCCCTGCGCCGCTTCGAAAAGTTCCTAGGCTTCAGCCTTAGAACTGGGAGGGGACCTGGCGGCGACACCCGGCTCGGGGTGGGATTTCCCCGTCTGCACTCTTAGCGCGCGTGGCGACCGCTAGATCCCGAGGACGGCAGACTGGGGGGGGGGACATGAAAAGTTTTGCCTGCCCATCTCCGAGGAAGCGGGGGGAGATGATCCCTGCCAAGGGAAGAAGGGGGCACCCATTTGCCAGCAGTCGGTGCCCCCGAACCAAGGCTGAGGGTGGCGCCATCGCCTGTCAAAGTGGCCGCAAAGGCGAGCTCCGGTCGTGCGGCTGAGGGAAGCCCCGCTGTGGGTCGTCCAAAGTCAGCCCGAGCACACCACTCACCTAAAAGGCATGGAGAGACGGAGGGAGCGCGCGAGGATCCCGGTGCAGAGGAGGCTCCTGCAGCAAGATAAAGGCAGTCGGCAGCTGGAGGGCTCCAGGACCCGGAGCTGCGGCGGGGCCGTCGATGGCGTTGCCGGAGACTCCTCCCTCTGGGCCTCGCTCTCTCCACCTTCGCCGCCGCTTGCCCTGCCTGCGATTGGCCGGGCGCATCGCTCCGCTCTGCAGAGCGCTGCGCAAAGGCGCGGCGGGACAGGTGTCCGGGGACGCTTTGGCTGAGCGCGCCCCGGGATCGGAGGTGCGGGGTGCTTGCTGCAGATCTTATCTTCCGGGGTCGCTGGGATGGCGGCGGTCGGGGCTTGTGTTATGTAAGCGTGTCAGGAGGGACTGCTTAAGAGGCCGGACGAGGCTTATGCAATGGCCAGATGCTCCCTAGGGGTCGAGGCTTGCAGTTGCAGGAACGAGTTTATACCTGTAGCCACTAAGCCGCTAAGCCGCAAATAGCCGTGCTTCGCAAGACGAAAAAACCGCAAGACGAAGAGACTCTCGGAACGGATTAATTTCGTCTTGCGAGGCACCACTGTACCTGTTGAGGCCAAACAATGGAGGAGGGGCTCATAAATGTACCCACTAGAGATTTCAGCTCCGTAACCCTTTTGTGGGGTCCCGCTTTGTTTAATCTGCAAAAGGCAGTATATGTTCTATGATGTTAACACCAGGTGAGAGAGATTGGAGATGGTTTCACCCTTATCCTCGTCACAAACAAAGTGGTGCCTTCAGAATTCTAGAACCTCCTCAGAGTTCTAGCCCTAACAGAGAGCCCGTGGGCCAGCCCCAGCTGAGATGGCATTTGTCTCTATAAAGCCTGAGTAGTTGTGCTGGCAGGCTTTTGACTTTCGTTGTCAGAATTAACATGTGGGTACCTTGGAGTAAATTGGAGTGAATACTGTTGCTCAGTGAAAGGACTGAGCAGAGGAAAGGACCCTGCAGTCCTTTCTGTGTGAACCAGTTAGGCTGGGGTTAAGAAGTCAAGAAAATGGGTTGATCTGGTCTGGCTATTAGTTACTTGCGAACTAGTTATTTGCTTCCTTTGCTATCTTGCTCTTGTTGCCTCTCAGGTCACCCGTTGAGTATTATTTACTTCTTAATTATTTATTGCATTTACATCCCCCTTGATTTAAATCATTTTTTTACAGAAACACTCATTCTTGCTGGTAATCATCTTAATATTTACAACCAGAGGAAGGTTTCATTTTTGGAATAATAAATTTTCAGAGTAGTTTTTACAGTTATTTCAAAAATTATTGATTTGGTAATACTATTGGAAATACATAGGCAGATAATTATGAAATTATTGTGCGGTTTAATAAGTTAACTGATTACATTGGGGCAACTTTTCTGCTGTACTTTATTGGAAAGAGAAAAATAATCATTTCCTTAATAACAATTTAAACAATTTATTTAACTAAACAATAGCATTATAGCATATGTATCCATGTTTGGTAACTGATGTGGTTAAACAATTTGTTTTTTTAAAAAACCTTAGACTGAGTTTTAGCACACATAAAAAACTTAAAACAAATCCTTATTTCCTGATGAATAGCATTTGGACTATAATTTAACTTAATAGAAAACTATCTTTAGACAGATCAAATTTAAATCAAAAAAAGCTGATTTAAATAAAAAAAGCCAATTTAAATATAACAAGCCTATTAAAAAAAATAAAAATCATTGATTTTTATCCACCCTGCTTACAACTAAGGTTGCTTATAACCTTATTCTTCCAGTACTAAAAAAATAATAATGGATGAATAAGGCATGTAGCACATTAACTCCTCCCCTCCCCGTTTCTCTTTTGTGCAGAAGAAAGCCAAGCAAATGTGCAGGTGACCCCTGAAAATCTGTCAAACCTCCTGCAAGAAGCACAAGGTATGAAGGCGAAGGGGACTGATGGGCTGTTTAGTCATGCAGGCGAGCACAGTGCCAGAGAGATTGCAGGTGTCCCACCTGAGAGCAGTGAGTCCTCAGAGGTAGACACAGTCATGGCCAAAGTTGAGGTTTCAGGAAGCAACACTTTAGTCTCTCTAGAACCTGTGAGCACCAAGAATGATGCTTCAGCAAGAGAGCTGCTACAGGAAGACGAAGAAGTGGAGGAGAATTGTCAAGCTCTGATCTCCCATGTTGCTTTGTCAGCAACGAAGTGTATCCTTCCTAGCTCAGGAGCTGCGGGAGAAAAGTCCCTCAATCGAGATGTGGAAGCGAACCCAATCCTTGACAGTGATCCAGCTTCCATGCAAGATAAGACAAACGTGCCTAATGACAGTAGCTCTTCTCCAGTTTTGCAAAGTGGGACTACCACTGCTGCTCAGCTGTCAAACTCAGCCCCTGAAGCTTCAGGACATCACTTGGAAGGCAATTTGGAGCTTGGAAACATACTCTGGGAAGAGAACATGGATGCTTTTGAAATTGTCTGTGAAATGCAGGAGGAAGACTTGAGGAGCTGTGAAAAAATTGAGCTGCTGGAAGAATGGGCCTCTGAGCCAGATACGGATGAAACTTTGTCCCCAGCGTGCAGCAGTGAAGAGATGTCCAGCGAAAGCAACCAAGAACAGGAGGTGGATGCTCAAAATACGGACCACGCTTACAGTTTGACCTGTGAGGGAGCTATTGAAATCCAGAAAAGGGGTGCTGTTCAATGTTACTGGAAAGACATTCAAGAAAAGTCTCAGCCACAGGAAAACAGCTTTGCAGAATCATCTTCAGTGGCCAAAAACACGTTTCCCTCTTCACCTGCACATCCAGAAGATGGATTAAGACTGGCCTCTATAGAGGTTGACAGCATCCAAAAGGATAAGCATCATCAATGTGCTTCTAGTGACATAAGCATGGCTGTTGGGGGAGAAGAAAACAGGTCTCTCATGGCGGAAGTGGGAAACATTGGGTGCATTCAGAACAGCTGCAGCACAAGCAATGATTCAAATCCCACCAGTTGTGACTCTTCGGATTGTGACTCCAGATTAGGTGAACATGCACCACAGATGGGATCCCACAGTGGTCCGAAGACAGAAATCCGAAAGAGTCCTTCAGCTACACACCTGTGTGCTACCACCATAGGAGATGTTGGCTCAGAAGAAAAACCCTCAACAGCTCAACTCTGTGACAATTACTCCTCTGCCCAGCAAACCGAGAGGACTTTAAATTGCAGCGGGTTACTAGACAGCTTGCCCAGAGAAGAATTCCCTGCAGAGCTGAAGCTGCAGAGCACCAGCTTCGTACTTCACACCAAGAAAGAGTCACCTTCGCCAAGTCAGAATGCTGGGAGTTGTATTACAACAAGGGAAGCATCCGTGAAAAGCACAGGCCTTATGCTGAAGGATACAGAGCAGAAGCCAGCTGATCAGGAAATGGCGCAAATCGAAGCATATAGTCCTGGGAACCCATGCATGAATGACCTGTCTTCTGCCATTGAGACTTGCTGCACCTCATTGGGAGGTATCTGCTTAGCTGCTAATGATGATGTTGACGGCAACAGTGTTCTCAAAAGCAAAAGTGAAGAATCTGATGGACTGAAAGCAAGTCACTCTTCTGCATCTGCCAGGGAAGGTGTCCCTCCCGAGGAGCCTGGCAGTGTTGTTAAGGCAGGGGACCATCATCCCTGTGATGACTCAGATGATGCTGGAAGAATCTGGGATGTAGCTTCTCCTGAAGCTTCAGAAGTGTCAGATGCGGCAGCTGGAAATCAGAGGTCTGACGGCAACGATACTTCTGTGAAATCACACATTGCGTTGGAAGTTGATGCCAGTGTTTTCCCTGCAGATTCAAACCCAGAATTAGGTAAAGCTTCGCTGTTGGCTGAATCTGATGGAATGGGAGCAGCTGAAAGTGTAAAAACATGTGGTGAGAGTTGGAGAAATGAGAAACTGGCAGATTACAGAGATTTTGGCAAAACAAACTGCCTTGAACTTGGCAAACTTGTAAAAGACAAAGGTGAGGAAAAACAAAGGCAGCATCAAGACCACCACTCCTCTTCCTCCTTTGCACCTGAACCCTCCAGTATGAAGACTGCCATGCACTCCAGCTTCCCAGGTCACACAGAGCAGCAGCCTGATTTTTTGCCCTTGGAGGATTTATGTGCTGACAATCCAGGTCAGCCAGGGGAAACAAGCTGTCAGGCAAAAGTCCAGCCCTTTCCACATCAGAATCCTCCTTTTAATAGACTGGTTTTGTTGAATCAGAAAAATGAATCCCCAGAAAAAGATGTTTCAGAATGCCAGCAGCCTCCCTTGATGTCCTCAAAGAAGCAAAAGGTGGATCACGCTCTGCAGGCTGTGACCTCAAGTGAAGACACTGAAAAATCTGTTGACTGTAATCGGAACAACTCTCTGTGCTGGGAGAGGGGCCACGGCAAAGCTCCAGTTCCGTTGCTTTTAATAGAAGAAAAGAGTGTTCAAGAAACATTTCAGCGAACTACATTAGGCAGTTGCTTATCTGTTAAAATGGTGTCAGAATCTCTTGGCAATCCATTGAAAGAAGAGTCCGTAGAACTGAAAAGTGTCGACTCGCATTCAGAATGTTGTTCTGAACTTCTGAGGTCAATAGGGTTTGTTAATGATCAGGCTTCTCAAGCAACAACTGATGAATCTGCGTCTGGGGCAGTCAGCAGGAGTCCTTCCGAGGTACTAGATGAAAAAGCATTCTTACAGTGTAGTAGTGGGCCTGCCTCATCTCCTAGTCAAATGTTTTTCCAGCGAAACTCTGTAAACTGTCAGAAAAGTATGGAGGGAGTGTGTTCAAAGCCGCTGGAGAACAAAGAAGTGCCTACTTTGGCAAGTATATGTTTCGGAGTGCAGCTTGCTCAGAATCCAGCCATCTGCTTGTCTCAGAAAGATGATCCATGGACATCTCCATCTTTTCCTCCATGTAGTCGCTGTTGTCCCTTTCCCAAAGAACACCCTGGAACAATCAGCTTCTCTCTCAGTAGACTCTGTTATCAACATGTTAACCTGTTAAATTCAGAGAATGAAGAGGCAAGCTGTTCTGTTAAAGAAAATATGCCCAGAGATTCTCCTCTAGATAGCAAGGAAACGTCCGTTTGTGCAGTAGGTACCAAGCGAAGAGCGGAAGTAGTAAAAGACATCATATCAATTATTTCTGACAGTCCTAACCCCTCAAAAAAGATGAAACAGTCTTTGGAAGGTAACCAGAGAGCACTCAATCTGCCCACTGAGAAAACGGACGTAACAGTTTACCCTCTAGGCATTAAAGATTCTGCTGGAGCTCTCTTGCAAGGCTTGAGGTTTTCTGAAGGGCGAGAAGAAATTGTACTCCCATTCAAGATTGAAATACACACACAGCCTTCTTTTGTCCCCCTACCTGAGCACATTTTGCAACTTAGCAGATTGCTGCACAACCCCAAGTTTCGCAGAATCAGAGATCCTTCAAAGCCAACTGTTGTTGCTCGACGACGTTTAAAGAACGTGCACTATGCTTTGCAAACTAAATGCTTACTTTCCACAAGACTGTCTCCGGAAATCTTTTGCAGCAGCATCCTGCCTTGTCCTTCTTCAGGTGGTCATAGGTTAGAAGCTTCCCCCAAATGCCTCAGCAGTCAAGGAAGAAGCTTGCAGGCTGCAGAGGTCACCCAGGAGCCAGCAGGAGACGGAAAGAAGCCATTGGAAGATCGCTTGGTCATTGAAATACCTGTTGAGAAGGCAAGAGATTCAGAATCAGGTGTTTGTCTGATGCTTACCCAGAAACCCTTGCAAGAGGAGGCTGAGGAAGTTCCAGCTCTGCCTGTTGCCTCCTGTGGTGCAGTTGTTCAAAACAGAAGAGCTAAAGTGAAGGTGAAATCCAGAAACCTCTTGAAACGGAGACTCTTCTGCCTTGCACCACCTTTAAGCAGTTCTTACCATGAGATGGTGGTGAAGCCACATGCTTTTGCTTCGGGGAGCGGAGTTGAGGTCAGTGAGAATGGAAGTCCTGGCAGCACTTTCAGGGGGTGGAAAAGGCCAAAGAGAGCCAAGGACTTTGATGGGTTGGACTACCTAGAGGCCAAAAGCCAAAGCCTAGGGAGTTTCAGGAGCCAAAGCCGGCCATCAGCCACCAATGACAGTCCTGTCCTTGTAGTCTTTTGCATGTTGCCACAAGCCTTTCACTTTAGTTACGATGGAAGCAGGAGTTCCCTCAGATGCACTCGCAGAATAAGATCACCTCTTCCATTCAGGAGGCAGCTGGGAAAAACCTGGGTCAGGATTTCTAGGCCGGACCAGCTCAGAACAGCAAGAAAAAGTCAGCTAATGGCAAGTTCTGTTTCCTTCAGGAATCCCTCTGCGATTGTTCTAAAGCCTGAGTGCCAGCTCACAGATTCTGTCTGTTTTGCCCCAAAGCTCACTGTTACAGGAAACAAAGGAGAAGGCACAGTCAGGGACCAAATGCCAAAGCAACAAGGCAGCCAAAGCAGCTTGCTGGACAGCCCCAGGCTTAGCAAACTTACCAAAGACCCGGCACTCTTGAGGAAGCTGTCAGCGTTGGCTAACAAATTGCTGGCACTGCCGGGAAACCCTCAAAACCGCAACCAGCTCTTGGGCTCTACAGAGCTTCTCTCTGTCCCTGAAAAGTACAGCCACTTCAGACATAAGAAGCTCTTGGAAGTTTTCTCCTGCGTGGACTTGAAGCTCAACTCTCCATGGTTTAATGGCAGCAGCTGCAGCTTCAAGATGTTCACCTCTCAATCTTTGGCACTTTATCCCCTGGAGTTGACCAACCTGTTCTTTTTGGAACTGGGCAATAATAACTCCCCCCTGGCCTTCAGTGCCCCTGTTTTCCCTGTGACTTTCCACATAAAATTAGACTCCAGCCCAGTGAGGAATCTCCCGGAGCTGACAGCACAGCACAACGACCCTAGCAACAGCCACCGGTTGGCTCTGGGGGAGGCCCACGGCTTCCAGCCTTCCAAGTGGACCTTTTCTCTCCTCCTGCCTCAAAGCTGCCTCAGTGTCGCACCAGTCCAGAGAGATGCCTGGGTCCCTGCTGAGTCGCACACCACCACACCGCTGGCCTCTCTCGGTGTGGCAGAGAGCTGGCGAAGCGAGGCCATCACAACTCAGCGGAGGAGGGCAGGCTGCTCCCCACTTGGCCTCCACACCGTCTTGGCCCTCTATTCCCCCGGCTGCTATCGGATCTGGACCAGAAGAAGGAGCCTCACCAGCCGCCTCCCAGCGGTCCAGAATCTGGCTGCACTTCAGCTCGCCCAGGGCTTGAAGGGGTTAAGACATTCCGCTTTTGCGTCAGCTGACCTCTTCTCTTCTTTGCCCTATTCGCTGGGTCGAGTTCTGTCCATATGGAGCCAGCACGGTCCTCCCCCCAACCGTCCCTCCGAATTCACTCCTCTCCATTCCAAGCGCTGCAAGTGGCAGCCAGCCACTTCTGCGACCACCAGGCTGGGCTTCGGGAACAGGTAAAGCTCCCTCCCCCTTATTTCCGAGACTCCCATCTTGTGCGGCTGTGTGTGTGTATTCCTGCATTGCAGGGGGTTGCACTAGAAGGCCCGTTGGGTCACTTTCAACTCTTAGGATTCTATGTACTTTTCTGTCTCTTGCAGAGGGAGGGGAGCACAGCGTTAGGAACTGCAGGAGGTTGAGAGGGGGCTCACGTTCCACCTTGCATGTGTGTGTGCCTGCCGTTGGCGAGACCTGCTCACTCAAGATGCCTCCCCTGCAGAGCGCCATCTTGTCAGCTGGAGCGGAGCCAGGCTTGGTTGGTTTATTTGCTCCACTAACTCTCATTTTTCTCCCCTCCCGGCCACACACCCCACACCACGTGCCAGAATATATATGTCGGAAAGGTGAGAATCTGGTGGCAGAGCTCCTGGAGGTGTGAGGTAGGAGAGGTTTCAGAGTCCGGAACTACGGAGCACAGACTTTGGACTTCCATAATGGGTCCTGCAGGCCAGACTTTCCCAGCCTTCCAGCTGCCCCAGACTACAACTCCCGTCTCACCTGGGTTGGCTGAGGCTGAGGAGAGTTGTAGTCTGAAGCAACTAGAGAGCACCAGGTAGGGAAAGAGGCTGGCCTAGGTTCAGAGTGTTTGCCCTTACTGAAAACAACCCACATGCGCCTCAGAGATAGAGCTTTGAGCAGGATAGCATGGGGAATTTGTAAGTAAATATTGCTCCATGGGCATCACCAAAAGTCAGCAGGAAATGTTGACTACCTGAATTAAAAACAGAATTAAACAAAGGAAGTTGAAGTAGTATTCTCTCTTCAACTTGTGGCTTTTGTAATTCTAAGGCAGTGGGGTGTGATCTAAAATTATTAATTGGGTTTTTGTCCCACTCCTCTGAAAAAAAATTAATAATTCACTTCACCACCTCGCCCTTTAGGGGCTTACTTGCTGCATCTGTCTGTCAAGCAAAGGAAATACCTTGTAGGTTTGCTTAACAGAATGCAGATTCTGTGCTTTCAGTGGCCAGAAATAAAAATGGATAAAGCAGTTGATTGTTATGCCTACTGGGAGGAAATAAATCTTTTGCATATGGCTCAGCTGTGAGACGATTTCAGTTACCTGTCGGTTTGCAAAAGAGAAACTTTACGAACTAACCAAGCTCTAAAAATAGATATTTTCGCCTTCCTTGACCTGTTTTTAAAATGGGTTTAGCAGAACATGTGAAGAAGCTGTTTAATACTGAGTGGAACTCTCAAGCTCAGCATTTTCTGCTGTGATTCTAAGGCAGCAGCCTCTGCCTTGTGGGTACCCTCCAAGTCCCAGCACTGCTGTGCTGGCTGGGGCAGATGGGAGCTGCGGTCCAAACATCTAGAAGGCATCAGGTTGGTGTAGGCTGCTGTAAGGTTTGGGAGATTATTTAAGCATATTTTAAAGTAGTTGTCCTACATAAGAGCCAGGTTTCTGGGATGCTATCCTGGTGTTTCTACATACAAAACAAGAGCTTTTGCCACCAAACTGTCCTTCCACATATATCTAATCTCGTGTACTTGTCAAGATTTTGACAATGTTCAGCATATAGAAAGGAAGTTGGGAGGATCAACATAAAAAGTGAGTTTTATCTGTAACTCTCTTACTATCAAATGAAGGTGCTTGTGTCATGTTCTGAAGGAATGCTGCCTGAGCTGATAAAATACAATTCTAACAAAATACAGAATCATTGTGAGGCCATCTTGAGAAATGTACCGCTTTGGAGGGACAGAGAGTGCTGGATTTAACTGTGTGTTGTCACTCCTCTGACTTCCCCACCTCCCAAATTCTTGACCTTATGGTGGAGATTGTGGAGCAGTTTCCTGCACATCCTTTTGCTAAAAGCAAGGTACTGTGGGTTGCTCCCCCCCCCTTTTCGGTGTCTTGGAAAGAGGCAGCCCCTTTTAAGACCGAGATCTGCTCTACTGCTTTATCTTACCCTCTGTGTACGAAGCAGGTTGGCAGAGGGAATCCCCCCCCCCGGCTGAACCCTGCAGTGGTCAAGCCAAAGCTTAGAAGGAACACCCAGGCATTGAAGGCGTTTGATTGCCTCCTGTGCTTCTCATGGCTATATCCGAGGGCAAGTGTTTACAAAACAACACTTCACCATGCAGTGAGGGTCTGTTTGGGGCAGGTCAGAGCGCAAAAGAGCCTCTGTTAGTGAGGCTTCCCACCCCTTTCCCCTAGCTCTGCAGTAATTAGTTTGGCTTCAAGGTTTATTAAATCCATATATTGCTTCCCAGGGATGCGGGTGGCGCTGTGGGTTAAACCACAGAGCCTAGGACTTGCCGATCAGAAGGTTGGCGGTTTGAATCCCCGCGACAGGGTGAGCTCCTGTTGCTCGGTCCCAGCTCCTGCCAACCTAGCAGTTCGAAAGCACACCAGTGCAAGAGGATAAATAGGTACCACTCTGGCGGGAAGGTAAATGGCGTTTCCGTGCACTGCTCTGGTTCGCCAGAAGCGGCTTAGTCATGCTGGCCACATGACCCGGAAGCTGTACGCCGGCTCCCTCGGCCAATAAAGCAAGATGAGCACTGCAACCCCAGAGTCGGTCACGACTGGACCTAATGGTCAGGGGTCCCTTTACCTTACCTTTATATTGCTTCCCACTAAAATGTCCTGAAGCGGTTGGCATGCAAGTAATAAAATTGCAGAACCATGTGGTTTGTTTGTTGTTTTTTTAAAAAGCCACCCCATTTTAAACAATATAATATCACTGGATATGTCCAAATGCCAAGGAAAACGGACACCTCTGTGCCTGGACAAGGTTGGTACCTGGAGGGCCTCTTTGTGGAGAGCATTCCATAGACGCTGTGAGGGAATCTCCCTTAACGCATTGGGGCCTCCCTGACCTTATTTCCAGGCTTGGAAAAGATGCTGGTGTGAGGCTCTGGTCTTTAATTTGTATGCTGCCTTCCTACATTACTGAACTGAGGGTGGTTCTGCAACTTGTAGAAAAGACACAATGTACAACTATTGTCACTGTGCCACAGTTTAAAATAATAACTTAAGGACAAATGGCAAAAATTGGGAATCCATTTCACATGCAGTTTTGTGAGATAGTGTTATCCACAGCTGTGGATCAGCTGAGGTTTCCAGCTTAGGACACGTCGTCAATCCTCATCCAGTTCTACTGGCACATTTTGGCAGAGGCCAGTCTCAGCCTCTCTGGCCATCCTGCACACCAAGCATGGGCTGCCTTGCAGGTGGGCTCCGAGTCCTGAATGGTGAAGCTCTGCTCCTGTCTTCCATTCTCCTGCACCCCAAACCTCCTCCGGATCCCCAGTGTACCCACAAAGGGCAATCCGAATGGATGCAGTATTTCAAAACTGCAAAAGTTCTCCTGCAGTTTCAAACCCTGTCCAGCTCTCCAGTATCTCCTTAGATGGCTTCTTAAGTCCATGTACGGTGGTTGCTCCATTCAAAGGCTTTCAGGATTGCTGCCCCTGTTTTTTTTCACTTTCTCCTGCTGTGGCTGTTCCAATTAAGTGCTCCAGTAAGATGAGGTGAGGGAATGAAAGGTCGCAGCCTTGATTGGAAGCCTTAGATGCCCCTAGTGCTCAGCTTCCTTTGCAACTTCCTTCAGCCTTCCACAACCGGCTGCCTTCCAAGTATTTTGGACTACAACCCACCAGCCTCTGCCAGCAACAGCTCTGCCTACTGGGGCTGGTGGAAGTTGTAGGCTGGAGGGCACGAGGTTGAGGAAGGCTGATGTTCTGAACTTGCTCTTTTTTAAAAAAAGAAGTAACTTTGAAACCATCAGGAGCTTCTTTAAATGATTTCCAGCCTCTCAGGCTAAACCTAGCACCCTCTTGTTTCATATTTTCTTGGCTTCTGACTCTCAGGCCGAAACCCTTCCTCCTAGTCAAGGGGTCTCCGAAACACGTGGCCCCAGGAAGCGCAGAGAGAGAGCCCAATGTTTTCTCCCCTCTTGCCTGGAATGTAACTTGTGCTGATTCAGCTCTAACTTTTGCTTTTCTGTGGCTTTCTCTCCTATCTGAACCAGCTCTGCCATGTTGCCTCAGGTGCCTGACCAGTGTGTGGATGACCCCAGCACGGTCGCTGATGCTGTGAGGTAAGTGGGGGCATGCCCACCCCTCACCCCCCATCACACAAAGGGGCCTTTGACTTGAGGATCTCCCCTTTCGAGGTCAATTTTACACCTTGCCTGAAACTGTGTCTGTCTCTGACTAGGAGTCATTGCAGAAAATGTGTCTGGATTCTTCCCTAGGAGTGTTGAGTGTTGGCATGATGCAGGAGGACTCTTCCTGTGTCCTTATGCCTGCCCAGCCTTACTTTTTGCTACCCTGGCACCCTTGAGCTTGTTTTGAACTGCAGCTCCCAGCTCTGCAGGCAGGGCTGATGGGAGTTGTAGACTAAAACACCCTGGAGGAGGGCGCTCAGTGCATATATCACTGTTGCCTCTTCAATCCTTGGCCTCTGCTCTTCCAGTTGGCCCTCTTTTTCAAATTTATTTATTGCTGGTATTTATATACCACCCAACTCTTTCGTTGCATATTTTAATCATGGATGTTTTATATTTTGATGTTTCATTGGGATTGTTTTATTGTGGTGGGTGTTCATGTTATAATGTTGTGCAATTGAGTTTCTATTTCCGAAGCTGTTGAGAAGCCTATTTTAGTGTTAAGCATTATATAAATTAAGAATACACACACACACACACACACACACACACACACACACACACCCCTACACACCTTCTGCATGCAGAGCAGATGATCTACCGTTAAGCTACAGGCATGACATGATCCCCAGCTCCCCACTGGCTTTGGCCCTCTGACTTGTCCCACCAGAACCAATCTTGATGCTGTCTCCATCATCAATCCCTGGCCTTAATCAGCATGTTCTTCCCCCACACACTCACTGCCTCTTTTGTTCTCCTCCTAGGCTGGAACCTTCATTTTCTTCGTCATTACATGCATCTTGCTCACTTCTGGAGCCAGCACGTCCTCCTCTCGGAATTCCAGTGCCTGCATTTCCAGTCATTCCCTTGGACGAACTGGACGTTCCTGTCCCTGTGTTGCCCAAGACAGGTAGCCGGCTTGAAAAGGTGAGTGATGTCCTGAGGAAAGGCAGGTACACAAGTTGGTAGGAGGGTGAATGGTGCTTCCCATTGCTTGACAGGTATATATCTTGGTTTAAGATGTGTGTCGGTGAAAGCATGTTTAGTAGTGGGGGGAGGGAATGGAAGCAAAAAATAATCTTCGATTTACCCTAGTGGGGAAAGAATGGGAGTCTCTAACAGACCACTCTACCTTTCAGCTCTAGTATCTCCTCACACCTGTCATAATATGGAGGTAGTGCTGATCTACTTTGTAGGGTTGTTTGTAAGAATTAATACAGTGGTACCTCTGGATATGAACCGCTCTGGATACGAATGCTTTGGGCTACGCACACGGCAAACCTGGAAGTAAAGGAAAGGTTTCCGCCTGCGCAGAAGCGGGCTACCGCCACCTGCACCTGCACAGAACAGCGCGCCTCTGGATGCAAATGTTTCGGGGTAAGAACGGACCCCCGGAACAAATTAAAATCGTATCCAGAGGTACCACTGTATGCCACATTTCAGTGTGTGCAACAGCTTTCCCCAACCTGGTGCCCTCCAGATGTTCTAGGCTCCAGCTCCCATCGGCCCTGACCATCACACATCAGCCCCAGCATCATATGGTTGTGCTGTCTGGGGCTGATGGAAATTGTGGTCTGAAATATCTGGAGGGCACCAGGTTGGGAGAAGGCTGGTCTATGGTCTATAGGTGAGCCATTGTAAAGAGGGACTGTCAGCAGAGCAGTAGCTGCCACAGGGGGCCAGGTTTGGCAGTGAGTCAGATCACCCTCGGGCTGTGCATCTCAGAGGATATCTCTGGGCAAATTATGTGTGTGTCTCCTTTCTCTCCCCCTGCCCCAACCTGTCCCGTAATTTTTGTGAGGATAAAATGGGATAATCACCCCTGAGTCAGAGGCCAGCTTGGTGGAATGCCTCCCTTTGGAGCTTGTAGCATCTGAAGCCATGTTGTAATTGCATAACCCTCTTCTTTTCACCAGGCTGAACTGGAGAAGAGGCCAAAGAAAGTATCTCAGATCCGGATTCGAAAGACTATCCCTAAACCAGATCCCAACCTCACCCCCATGGGACTTCCCCGACCGAAAAGGTAGGAATGTATGTTCTTGTGCTCAGACTAGATGGGCCACTTGGTCTGAACCCAGCAGGGCTCCTCTTGTGTGCTTAACCTGTATCCCAAATCTCTTAACGTTTTGGTGTGCCTCTTAAACTCCCTTTTTCTTCTTCTGACCAAACGCAGCAGTAACTAGATCTGATGGATTACAGCTGTTTCTGATGTATCTCGATTATCATTCTTCCAGATTGAAGAAGACAGAATTCAGTTTGGAAGAAATATACACCAACAAGAACTACAAATCTCCCCCTACAACCAGGTTGGTTTACATATACCAGTGGAAGGGCTCTCTCTCTGGACCCATCCTGGGACAGAATAGCAAGCCTCCATAGCTGAGTTCCAGGATGTTAATCTGCTGTACAAAGAGAATTCACAGAAAACTGAATAGCTCTCATTTGTTCATGAGCTGTGTTGTTGGGGGTAGTCATAAAGTAGTGAGCTAATGAGAACCAGTTACATTGCCTTTTTTGTGATGTGCAGAAGTGTATTCATACCCACTTTCACGCTGAAAAATATGTCTAAACATACACTGATATGAGGAAATATACTAGATTAGCTTCTGTTCAGCCCCTTCCCAACCCCTCCTCCCTGCTGTAACTTTGATCTTTGGCTGCACTTTTAGAGCAAAGGGAGTGGCTTGCCTGGATATCAGCAGGAAACCATCTGGGAAGTGTCCTAGCAACGGGATGATGGCGATTGGATTTCTAAAAAAGGGTTGGTTTGTGGTTAGAAACTCTTAAGGTACAGCTTAGCTCTGTGTGGCAGAGATATGAGGTTTTTAGAATCACAGATATCACAGGAGGTCACTGTTTAGTCATTCTAGTTGCCTTCTCTCTCAGAGCAGGGCTGTTCCTGACACTCCTGTGGTCCATGAGATGTCATGCAGTTAGTGACATTCTAAGCTTACTTCTTTTGGCCTTCCCAGGTGTCTGGAGACCATCTTTGAGGAGCCAAAGGAGAAGAACGGGTCCTTGATCTCCGTCAGCCAGCAAAAGAGGAAGCGGATTTTGGAGTTCCAAGATTTCACCATTCCCCGGAAGAGGAGAGCACGCAGCCGAGTCAAAATGATGGGCGGTTCCACCCGGGCTCAGAAGGCCGCCTTGGGTGGAAGAGAACTAGACGTTCTCTTGATCCAGAAACTGACAGACCTAGAAAGCTTCTTTGCCAAGGAGGAAGAGCAGGAGCAAGCATCAGGCAGTTGAGGGTGGGCTGTCGGCTGGGAACGGCCCATGTCCTTTAGCGCTTCAGTGTGCCTGGAAAGGCACGTAATCAGTTTCCCCATATGAAACCACTCTGCTCCGATCCCCGGACGATCAGCTCTTGTTTACGGGCCTGTCTGGCATGGCCGTAGAGATAGTTCATTAAGCACTGGGAAGGAGAGCTTCTAATTTCCTTTTAACACAGCCAGGTGGCTCTGTCATCCTCCTTGCAGCCTCACTGAAAATCATTGTTTTAACATCCTCTGGGGAAAATGGGTGGGGCAGATTAAAGGCTAATGCACCTTCAAAGGCAACAGGATTTAAAGAACTTCCAAATGTATGTGTGCGTTGGGTTTTCGGCCACTCTGCTCTTTTGTGCCCCCCACCCCTAGATGTCGTAGGGGGCTAGGAGGACCGAAAAGCTTGAGTAAAATAGGCAGCAGGGGGAAGAGCTTATTCACAAGCAGCACTTGTGAAGCAAGATTTCAACATTTTTTCCATCCTCCGTAACCAGTCAAGGATCCTCTGCTGCTCTCTTGATTGAAATTGTCTCAAGTCAGCCAGAGTCTCTCCTGGGAGATCCCACGACAACATAACAACTTGCACTTTTGTACTTTCTTTGCTGCATGTGGACCCGTTTTAAAGATGCGTGGTACGGACACTGTGGGTTGAGGTTCCCCTGGGAAATGGCTGTAATTGTTCATCCCACCCCCCACCCCCGGACGAGGGATAGCAGGTAGCATGAGCTCAGCCCCGCTCTTTCCCTCCTCACTATGTTCCTTTTGCTGACTTGAACCTTTCGGTATTTGACACACCAGTGGATTTCAGCTGCAAAGTGCGCCACATTTTGTTGGGTTATCTCCCCATCCCGGCATCGTCTCTTCTCCCTGCCTGCAAATGCTGTGACTCTTAGATTCCTCCTCTTTTTAACTTGAAAAATTATAGGTTTGGGGCCAAGCATTGCCTAGCTCATCTAGTTGAACAATTTATTAATAACCAACTGGTGAGTAATACAGTACTGGATCCTGACAGGTGGAAGCTGGTGAGCGGCCAGTGACAATTGGTAGCCACACTCAGGAAAGCTTAGCCTCCCCCTGCCCAGTTGGGAAATTTCTGTGCTCTGGGATACTCTTCCCCTCCCCATTTTTATTTGAGCATTTACCGTAGGGAACAGCAGCTGCTGTGTGTCTGCAGTGCCTATAATTTGGGCCAGATTTAATGGCTGAAATCCTCATAGCTCGCCTCCCTCTCATTTAAAATTTGCACTTTCTGTACCTCAAATGCCCCTTTGGGATACCTTCTTGTTACCTCCAGAATGAGCATTGCTCTGGCATCCAATCAATATAGCAGATGATGGTAACTCGGGCAAGCCCAGGGGTGAAATCTGTGCTACCCTCGCTTCTCTGCCATCCCCACATCGGAGGAAGCAAGAAGCAGAAGGTGTCAGCCCAGTTGCCTGTGATAAAACCCTGGGCCTGTAAACTGGAGAAGTGGAGGGTGGGGGGCTGCCGCACATGTGCCTGAAGCAACCGTTGGATTCCTGCTGCATACTCATCTGTATGGGCAAGTGAAATAGTTTCCCCAATGTGATAAAGGTGAGAAAACTGGGAATCGTTTTTGTATGGTGCAACCTACCCCGAAGTGGCACCCTCTCCAGATGGTTTGGACTACAACTCCCAACAGCCCCAGTATCATATGGCCAGGCTGGCTGGGGCTGGTGGGAGTTGTAGTTCTGCCACTGTGGGGAAGGTTGGACTAGATATCGTAGCCAGTTCCATATGTGACTGACGTTATGTTTGCTACTGCATGCAAATCTGTGGACGCTCCTGGCTAGCAAATAATACTTTTATCATGGTAGGCGATCCCTGAACATCTCTAGTCTCGATATTTTGGATGTGTTGAATAGAATCATCGTTAGAAGTACATTTTAAAATACATTTTTTGTCCCATAGTGGGATTCTATGACACAGCACACCAGGACAGATTGTGATGTGGGGATTTCCAATTCCGTTGTTGAGCTGATGTTCCATGAGTGCCAGGCAGGGTCAGTACTCTGAACAGGAGTATGTCCTCCACTGTGAATTTTGAATTGTCTGTTGTTGGTGTCTTTTGTGTGGGTGTGGTTTTCTTTCCCGTTTTGTTCGCTTCCTCTTGAGAATGCATTTCTGTAAGGCTGCAACATGGGAACGCAAGGACTGTTCTTGCCTTTGTTTTGTTGCAGCTGACCAGAAAATGAGGCCGAAATTTCCCTGTAATGTGGTGGGATCTGTGGCAATGCCAACAATGGTTGGCATTGAAAGAGGCTTTCTTCCCTACCTGGGATTCTTTCTAAAGGCGTCGTTTTGTGTGGATGCAAGTTCCTCTAACCCCTGTTCTTATAGGACCCGTGGACGGGTTGTGGCAGTAGTGTGGCTGGTGAAAAGTGGCCTCTGGAGCTGCCCCTACCGCATGAGAGAGGTTTGGAGGATAGGTTCCCGAGGAAGAACCTGCCTTCAGGCAAGGCCCTTTCCAAGGTGGGGACTGGAATTCTTTTCCTTTCCTAGTTTTCAGTACAATCATTGAAGAAATTCTACCCAGAGCACTTGAACGAAAATTCCCTGTCAGGAAAGAGCCAAGGCAGCCTCTGGTGTAAGCTCTTTGGGACCGGAACATCGTTTTGTAATAAAATAATGTGGCTTGTTAGGACTGTGTCTGCTTGAATAAAATCAGGAGTACATAAAAATGTAATCCCTCTGCAGCTGCCAGGAGGAAATAGGGCTTGCAAGGTAACATCGCCAGGGACAGAGCATGGGTCATCTCTGCCAGTGGTTAGATTTGACTGTCTCCTTGTCAGGCTGGTCTGGCTGACGTTGTCCCCAGAGCTCTTTGATGAGTCTCCAACTGCTTTGTGGTTAGTGTTCAGAAATGGCTTCTTTAAGCCTTTTGCATTAATAAAAACTGAATGGAAACTTGCACATTTTTGTACCTGTCATGCCATTATTATGTGGTGTTTTTGTTTTTAATTCCAGTAGTCTGAGTTTGAAATTTTGCTTTCTTCGTATGTTAAATTATGGAAATAAAAAAATTAACATTTCATGCGTGTGTTAAAGGGATTTCTTTGTTTTATAGCAATGCCTTTATTTAAATTTTCAGTGATTTACAAGACCTGGAAAGTATCAGATTGGGAAACGCATGGCTAGTTGTTAAAATATCAGTAGATCTGCAAGTAAATCTTATGCAAGCCATTCCAGGGTAAGCTGCTGTGAAATGTTTCTAGGCAAGTGTATGTTTTGGAATAACTGAAGATACAGCCTGAGGAAAACTTAAGCAGCAGGGAAATCAAGAGCTCTTCCAGCATGGTGGTACTGGAGGCTGGCTACCAACGCGGGTGACATTCTAGTATTAGCTGGTGTACTAAACCCACCTTGCATATGTTTCCTAAGGAAAACAGCCAGCCACTGATGAAGCCCACAGAGCCTCCTGGCAATTCTCTGCCTTCCTGGCAAATGCATCAAATCTTCCACTGCAGTCTCACTTCTGTTTTGGGAGGTTCCCTAGAAACAACATCAGTGTTGCTCTGAATAGATGCAAGTGTCTTGTTTGCAGAAGTCCAGGATGCCTGAAAACCAAAATGGGATATATCTAAGTTATGCCACTAGGCAGGGTGTGTGTGTGTGTGTGTGTGTGTGTGTGTGTGTGTGCACCCGCTGTGATTTTCTGAGAGTCAAACAAGCTCAGAATGTAGCTTCCTCAGAATCTCAAATTTGCTTTCTGTAAAACATGTTTTCAGCCCTTAACAGCTGCAATAATGTGTTTGGACAGCTGCTGAAATCTTTTTAGCAAAGCCAGACAATGGTCTGAAATCTGTATATCTTTGGGTTGAAGCAAGGGGCTCTGTGCCCTTTATGGTTCCTACCCTAACCCATTACAATAACCAAGCAAAATACAATTTGCAGGGGTGTTATGTGGGGTTGTTGTGCTTTAATTGCATTATGTTTTTATATACTGTAATTCCCCCCCCAAAAAAAACCTCATGAAGGGTGGATAAGGAATTCAGTTAATGATGATGATAATAACTATCATTTATCAGAAATTGCCTAGCATCAACTGATTTGAGCATAATTTGCACTGTCTTGCTGACACTTAACCTGTGCATCGCACATCCAGACTACTCAAATAACTTTGCAGGCATGGATTCTATTAGGTTTCATTGGTCTTACACAGTTCAACTTAATGTCTGTCAGACATTCAATAACCTGAGAGTTCTCCAACAATTTTGCATATCATGCATTCTATTACTAGATCCTGTAGAAGCTCTCCAGCAAGGGGATCAGTATTCTTGCCCTCATAAGCATGTCAAGTACAATGCAGTAGAGGGCAAGTGGGGTGTACAACTTAGACCCTGCCATATGTCTCCTTCCAGGTAAGCCCACCTTACCTGCAGGTGTGCAGTTGAAAACAGACTCGGCAAGCTGGAAGAAGGGCTCCCCAAGGATTGTCTCATAGTCCAGGTGGCTTGTAGGAATGAGCTGCCGAGTGGCATCTTTAAAGAGCAGGTCACTTTCACCATACGCCTTTGATTGAAAGAGCTGAAAGGTCAAGCCTACGCTTTGTTCCTAAAAAAAAAAAAAAAAGGTGAAGCTGTGGAAACGTGAGTACAAGCAAAGCCAATATAGGGTGCTTCAATATCTTTTCTGTCTGGTTATGGACTGTATAGATTGCTTCACCCATTTCCCTCTCTGTAGTCTGTCTGCTAGGAATCATCTCTATCATTTTGACTCCTTGTTTTCCAAAAGCATGGCCTTTATTTTCCTCAAGGGGCAGCAACTGTAATTGGATGTCCAGCAGTGGCGGGTGGGCATGCAATTCCCCCCCCATCCCCCAGATCATGTTCCCAATTAAAATCACACCACCAAAGGAGGCAACAGAATATTCTTTGGATGCAGAGTTGCTTTTCCACTTGCTTAAAGCCAAACAGCAATAACTGGGTGTTACTTAAACCATCCACGGCTGGAAGCTCTCACAAATAATGTTTAAGCTCTTATCGTTCAGTCCGACACATTCAAACTGACCTGTGACTTCACCAGGAAGTCATAGACCTTTGCTACAGTTACGGGGCGTGTCACAACTATATTGGGAGGGACAAGGCCCAGGTTGCAGACTTTCCACTCTGTCACATTTGCGCGGCTGCCGTCGAGGCACAGGAGTTCAAGGTCACTTGGAGAACATCCTTTTGCCCAGCCTGAGCTATCCAGGTCTGCGAAGGAGCAAAAACAAAGCAGTTCTTCATGAGATCTATTTGCTTTGTAAATAAGATCCAGATATCTGTCATTGAACTATTGATCATTTTTAAGATCTCTTATGATATCTTAAGAATTAATAGAACAAAAGAATACAGTACATTTGTTTTTTACGCAGGTGTTATGTTCCAAGAGTTCCGATACTCTCAGAAACAAAAGTACAGTAGTACTAGTTCTCCCTTACGACGTTAGATTAGATAGGCTATTTAACTGGTGATAACATCTGGAGGGAAGTTAAATTGAAAATTCACTTTGGCACCTTACTGGAATCTTAAAAGATTGAAAGAATCATCTTACACTGAATATTCTGGAGCAGGTTATGGTGTTCTAAAAAAGCCACATCACCAAAACTTCTTCCACTGGGATCACCAAAGAGGCATCTGGAAGAAGGAAGAGTGGTCCAAATCCAGCAAAAGTTACGTCATGTGAATGGCTTAAAACAGTGAGATCACACACATACCCCCTTTGTGTTGCAAGCTGCATTTACAGTGTTGTTTACATGGGTGCGCCCCTTATGAGTGAGGGGTCGTGGAGAAATTTGGCTCAGTTTGCATTTTGATACTAATCTGCCTGATTCTCACTTCCAAAGATGATACATGAACCAAAGCGTAGCTATTCTTAGAAATTTGCACTTCTCCAAATATAAAGTGTGTCCATAAGTGTATATATTAATGAAAATAACCTATACAAATGCATTACATTATGTAATACTGCTTGCAAAATGTATGTATTAGGCAAACCTGCAACATACAAATATGTGTCTATTAGGAGAAAATAGCACTAAAATGCTGATTGATTTTCATGAGGACTTGAAAATAAATAAATCACAGACTGGTGAGGAAAGCGACAAACTGAATTTAAGATTGAGGAAAAATGAGAAACTGAGAGAAGCCAAAATTTACAGATTTCTCCATTCCTCCTCCGAGCATGACTTAGTAGTCTGATAAAACCCACTATTTAACTTGGCATGTACGGTAATCATTGCCACCAAGGAATTTAGAGTTTGGCAGCAGTCAGTCATTGGTTTTTTAAAATATAATTTTTATTAAATATTTTCTTTGGTTACAAAATCCTTTGTCTCTTTTTTCAGATAGCAGAGTCTTTTCTACAAATCAGTTATATTAACCTTATAATGTATACAGCAGTCATTTTTAAGCAATATCCTTCGACGCACCTGAGGGCACCCAGGTTTCCATAGTAGAGTTCGTTGTGATTGGCTGCACACCTGGATGAACCCCTTCCTCCCTCCGCCTCCTTTTGCCCAATGCAGACTTTGCAAAGGTTCCCACCACCTCCTGGCATGCACCCCTTCCAGAAGTAATCCTCGTAAGCTTTCAGTGGGGAGAGAAGGGCCAGTAGTTAAACTCGCAGTGGAACAGTGGTTAAAAGCAGTGGAGGAAATTATTCCCTGATGACCGAAGAAAACTAAGGAACAGGATAACCAATTTTACTCAGCTTGCTGTTGCTTGTGCAGAAAACTTTTAAAAGCAAAACTAAACAGTTGGTTGTTTATGTTTACAGTATTTCTCTTTCAGCAGCCAGGTATCATTTGCTTTTCTAAACGCTTGTGTGATGCTTCCCCTGCTCTTTCGGTGCATATGAGTTTTGTTAACTTGAACATTTTGGCTGAACTGATTGTCTAAATCAGAACTTCCAAACCAAGGTATTGTTCTGCAAATCAGCCATAAAAAAAGTTTGTGTCTGTTGCAGCAGTGAAAAGCAGCCAATGAGAGAGTCCTCTTTGTATACCTTGTCTGTGCAATGCAGTTTGTACACATGCATAACTTGCCGCACACGTCAACTTGATTTAATTTACACATTAAAATCCTTTTTTTCTGGGGACAGTAAGCTTATCTCAAAATGCATTTGTGCATCGCAAGCTGGATAAATTTGTACCACAAGCCCAGTATTTTCATACTTCAGCAGTATCAATTCCCACCAGCATTCAGGCCCCAGATAGAGAGAGGCATTCATGTGCAGCTTATTTTAATTTCCACGGCCACAGCAGCACAGGGATGGGGAACCTATGGACTTTCAGATGCTGCTGGATCACACCTCCCATCCTCTCTGATGGTTGGCCATGTGGCTGATGAAAATCTAACAGAATCCTCAGGACCACGTTTTTCCCCAGCCCACACTGTAGCAGGTCATGCACTCATTTGAAATATTCAGTAAAGTAGGCTCCATTTCCTGCTGCACATGTTTAAACCAGACGTAGCTAATGTGTTGCCTTCCAGATGATGCTGGACTACAATTCCCATCATCACTGACCATGCTGCCTGCTGTGACTGATGGGAGTTGTAATCCAACAGCATCTAGAAGGGATTGTGTTGGCTAGAATAAGTAGGAGGCTTAAATGGAACATAGAAAGGGAAGTGGCCTAGGCTTTTATCCTGATTCAATAAAGATCTAGGACAGGCTTCCTCAACCTCGGTCCTCCAGATGTTTTTGGCCTACAACTCCCATGATCCCTAGCTAGCAGGACCAATGGTCGGGGATGATGGGAATTGTAGTCTGGAGGGCCAAGGTTGAGGAAGCCTGATCTAGCAACACCACCCCCGACACACCCACTCCCACCTTTCCTCTCGAATCAAGTTGTCCCCATTTGTTTTGGAGATTCTGCTGTAATTCTCACCAGAGCTGAGGTTGCAGCTGGCAGTGCCATTCTCCTGAGCCCCCACCGTGTACTGGGCAAGGAGGAGCCACCCTCCTGGGCTGTACACATGGCTGTGGCAGGAGCGCCTCCTCCCCAGATTGTAGATGTTCACATGCTTGGCGTTCTTCTTGACAAGGGCCACTGCATAAATTGGAGGAAGAGCTGTGTGGCAACGGGGAGGCATTAGAACATGGCAGCAGGAGCAGATCTACTATGAAACAAAGGAAGCTTAAACTTCTGGGGCCCCTAATCCTGGAGGGGCCCCAGAAGCAACTTTAAAAAGGGAGGGGTCTAGTAGATGCAATTTGCGTTGCACGAAAGGTGGTGGGTTCTCCTTCCTTGGAGGTTTTTAAACAGCGTTTGGAAGGCCATCTGTCATGTAAGATCTAGTCTAGATTCCTGCATTGCAGAGGGTTGGATTAGATGACCCTCGGGATCCCATCCACAATTCTATGATTACAGACACTTCCCTTTACCTGTAAGGTGGGCCAGCTTCTCATTTTCCTCTTCTTCCTGAGCTGAAGTGCATTCTTCTCCTATACACAAAAAGGCATAAGGAAGTGACGTCTGAACAGAAGACTCATGCCTTACACCACTTGGTAGGTGCTCAATACTAAACATGGATCTTTTCCAACCTGACCTTCCCCCCCATATTTTGGGCTACAGCTCACATCAGCCCCAGCCAGCAGTGTCAATGGCTGGGGATGATGGGAATTGTAGTCCAAAACATCTGAAGGTTGTCAGTTTTGGAATTAGATCAATTCATGTCTCCTTTAGGAAAGTGCCTTTATATCAGGCACAGGAGCTATCAGTTTTTTTCTCTGAGGGAGAATTCCTCTGGAAACCAGAATCCCAGGATGCTCTAGCTGAGATACCCATGTCGGGAATGCCACGTGAACACTCTGGCCCCAGAAGTGAACCTTCAGGCCACCTTGCAATATCCATTTGCTCCATTACAAATTCACTGTGGCACTGAGGAACTTGCACCAAGAAGACGGGGCACAGAAAAAGACCACAGGCGCATTCTTCGTACATGCCTGTTCATTATTCGATGATTGCAGCATCAGCTGTTGCCTTGTAAATGATCAGTCACAGAGTGAACACCACTGTGAGCACTGCAATATCACCTGTCAGTGTAAGAAAACAGCAGCACAATACTGCCTGTACTATTCATCTACCAGTCATCAAGTGCCAAGTCACAGAGTGATGCACTTCAATGCACGAGTCAGCAAAGTGCTCTTTTAATTCTTCTGGGTTGCAAGCTTTGCTGAACTGAAAACCAAAGCCATTGGAGTGAGAACTCTGAATTGGATGGCAGTAAAGGCTGTAAAGGCGATTCATTCATTTGAGTGTTTTAAAGTTAAGTGTCATTCCAGGATGTTTTAAGGATTTAGTTTAACTTTCATTTTATCTTAATACTAAGTACATCTGCTTGTATTTTTGGCAACAAGACATTTTATGTTTATTGTTTGCAATGGCCCTATGGCTATGAGCAAGAAATATCATACCATAACAGATGCGCACACACACATCACATCACCTCTGCCATGCACCAGATTAGGCATTTTACACACCACTGACATTTAGGGTTATCTGCAGCAGCTTGCAGAATATTCCCCCTGCATGCTTAGAGGTATTTTTTATGTTTTACTTTTCTTGCCACTCTAGTGAAAAACCAATTAAAATGTGTTAGTTTGGTGTGTGTTTTTTAAAAAAGAGGCAGCTCACCATAACATTCTGCAGCCACAGGAACAAGTGCGCATCTCCCTGCAAAGTAGGCATGTGTGGCGTCCAGTGTAACGGCGTCTGCCTCATTGTTCTGCCCCGTGAAAAAGTGCACAGTTGACAGTCTGACATTGGCATGTTAAAGAAAGCCACCCCTTCCCTGCAAGCCATGGAGTCTTGCCAGAATCAAGGCCTTTTCCCAGCCATCGTCTGTCTGGGCTGGGAACCAGGTGGAACCGGAGATAATATTAGTTTTATTATTTATACCCCGCCCATCTGGCTGTGTTGTCCCAGTCAATCTGGGCCTTATTGAGATGGGGTGATTTATTTGTATCTTTTGCTTATGTAAAAAGAAAACGCTGCCGGTTTTGCTTCCCAGACTGTGTGCAACTCACCTTGATCAGCTCAATGCAGTTGGCCATAGAGTTTGCTTGGACACAGACCAGCGGGTGTGACCTGACATTCAGAGCCCACTCCTCACATTTGCGGAGTTCAGCGTTGCTGATACAACACCAGCGGACCAGGCTGTTGGCCAGGGAGCTCCCTGAGGCAGCAGGAGAAGGTATTGTCATAGGAAGGAGGACAAATTGCATTACCTAGTAACCGAGCTGATAGTACAGTGGTGCCTCGCAAGACGAAATTAATCCGTTCCGCGAGTCTCTTCGTCTTGCGGTTTTTTCGTCTTGCGAAGCACGGCTATTAGCAGCTTAGCGGCTTAGCAGCTATTAACGGCTTAACGGCTTAGCGGCTTTAAGAAAAAGGAAACAAACTCGCAAGAGCTCGCAAGACGTTTCGTCTTGCGAAGCAAGCCCATAGGGAAATTCGTCTTGCGGAACGACTCAAAAAACGGAAAACTCTTTTGTCTTGCGCGTTTTTCGTCTTGCGAGGCATTCGTCTTGCGAGGTACCACTGTACTTCAAAGATCTGAGGTGTAGGCTTACAGACAGATACATATTTGCGTAAAATCTGCATATGCTAATTTATATTATAGAAGCAACTTTAGAAGGTGAACCAGGTGGTTTTCCATCTAGATCACCCCAGATATATACTTTAGTTGATTTGCACCCCAAATCAGTTCAGTTTCCCTTCCTTTACCAAAATTCGTAGGCAGTGTGCCCCTGAATAGTGCCCAGTGGTTGGGAACTGCAAGTGGAGGAGCACTGCTGTTGCACTCAGGTTTGGCTTTTGGGCTTCCCTTTGGGGCAGCTGAGTGGCCACTGCAAGGACAGGATGCTGGGCTATCTGTGCCTCAATTGGCCTGATCCAGCAGGGCTGTCCTTATGTTCTTATTCATTGCCCTCCAAAGCATCTCTAGATGAGATCACATTGAATTAATTTATACTCCTAAGTCAGCATCCAGCCCAGTTCTGCCTCTCAATTCAATTAAGCATCCAGAAACACCTGGAACTCCTAGAAATTGATCTGGAGCTCATACCTCAAGGGATGACCTCCAGCTACGCTCCTAGTGCTATATAGAATCTTCAGGGCTCTTTTGATCCTATATAGGATCTTTCGGGACTCCCCATGACTTCATGAGGGAGGGAGGCACTCTCTCACCTTCATGGCCCAAGCCCTGCAACAGAGCAACATAATCCAGGCCAAGAACGTGGCTGATTTCAGCCTCCTCGTCAACAAGCTGGAAGCGGTGCGTTGCATCGTGGAAGAGCAGGTTCTTCCCTCTGAATGGCGCAGAGGCAAAAAGCTCGAATCTGGCCTTCTCTCTTCCCTTCTTTCCAAAGAGGTGCTAAGGACAAGAACAAGTTTCAGCTAGCCTTGGGCTACCCAGCAGAGGTGGCTATACGATGAAATAAGCCACTGGGACAGCCAACATGGCAACTTCCAGGTATGGTTGGACTGCAATGCCCATCATTCCGGATGACTGGCTATGCTGGCTACAGCGGATGAGAGGTGGATCGCAACAACATCTGGAGGCAGTACTGGCACATATGATGGGGCAAAGCTATCTTCCCAACACCAGCATCACCGCCGCCTCTCTGGATGGGATGGGATTTCAGCAAGGTCACAGCAAGGTCAGGGCCATGCAGCTGCACCAGTGGGACTGCTGCTGCCAAACCAGTGCTGCTCCTGGTGCACCCATATAGAGACCCACACCCTCCTTATCATGTCAGTGCCATCCTGGTAAGTAGCAGTGACACCAGTATTGGGTTTTTAAAAAAATTATCTGCCATGACTCACCCAGAAACATACTTCTTTGCTATTTTCTTCCAAATGCTGATATAACTTCAGCATCTCTTTTCTAGTTATTATTTAACTGATAATATAGTGAGCCAGCAGCAGAATAATTGCACCCAAAAAAAAAAGAAGAAAAAAAAGAGGCCACATATCCCCAAGGGAAAGAGAGAGTGTGGACATGATTGCAACACCCTACAAAACTGGCTTGGCACCTCCCACAAGCCATTCAATCGGTGAGAGCTTTCACCAGCCTGGCCCCCCCAGATGTTTTGTACCACAACTCCCATCAGCCCCAGCCAGCATGGCACATTGTTTTTAGGAGCACAAAAACTAGAGCACTCAGTTTCAACATTCAAAACAGCCAGATTTCGTTGTCTGCCAAACACTTAATTTTTTTTAAATGGAATTGTCCTTTTGGCTCTCTCAGTAGCTCTTTGTGTCAACTAGGCCTCGGGCATGAGCCCTACTGTACCCCTCCTTGTGTTGGCTAAGAAATACCTGAATGACAGTCAGAAACTTCTTGGCGATCTTCTTGAAGTTGTGGCGCGTGACAATGGCCCGTCCTGGCCCTTGGCCCAGATTGCAGGCAGCGTAAGCAGTCATGGGAGCTGTGGACCCGTCAGGACACAGCAACTCATATTCTTCTTGTTCTGACTCTGAACAAGGGGAGGAGGGAAAAAAGACTGGCATCGAGAGAAGCTGGAGTGAGAGAATTTAACATCGGGCTGCTGTACGACTCCAGGGCATATGTTAAGATGCGAGTCCCTGAGCAAGAAGTTTACCTGTGGAATTCATGATGGCCAGGTGATCCAGGAAAGCAACATCTGCCACCCCATTCTTCAAGCACCTGCACACAGATTGAAGTGGCGTTAGCATAGGAGACCATGCAGTACCTGCTCCAGCCCCACCCACCTGCACTTCAAGCACAAGTGCAAGGCCACCTGAAGGCCCCATCTGAACCAGAGAAGGGTTCGCCACCGCTGGTCTCACAGAAGTGGTTCTTGTCCTGGATGTAGGATTTCTGTCCTTGGCAAAGGGAGCAGAGCTGCGGAGAGGCGACTCCGATGCCGGGGATGCAGCTGGCATTGAAATAACCACCGACGACTGGAGAAATGAGAAGGGGAGACATTCTCATGGAAACGCACTGCTAAAATAACACAGATTCTCGACTCAACCTCTGCATGATCAGAATGTAAGAAGAGCCCATCTCGGTCAGACCCAAGGAGTCCCATCTACTCCAACATTCTGTTCCCAAATAGCCAGCCAGGTGCCTCTGGCTCACAAGCAGAACCTGGGTGCAACAGCAGTGCTCTCTCCCCACTTGTGATTCCCAGCAAATTCAAAGGCATACTGCCTCCAGCAACAGAGGCAGAATGTAGCCCTATCCTCAGATAAGCACGCACAGAAATGTACCCACTATGTTGTATTCCTAAGTATGGCTACTTAGAAGTAGACCCCTCTGAGTTCATTGGGACTTCATTCTAGGTACAGGACTGCAGCCTGAGGTTGCAAATCTATAACCATATCTATATCCATATAAAACAAATCTATAACCTTTGAAGACATTCCATTGAACTCAATGGGGCAAACTTTTGAGCAGACATGATACTGTATGTTAATGCTGTAACCAAACATTTTCAAGAGTCAGACCCCAGTCTTCATCTATTTTTTAAATTACAATTAGGAGTTTAATGTCTCATTGGCAAGGTGATAGTTCATCACCTGGGCTGCAAGTTAAGAATGTAGGTGCTTGTTTCACTTAGGCTACTTTGGGGTCTGGTCTCTTTCTGCAGCGGGGAATGAAAAAGAAATTAATCAGTAATATGTTTGCAGCTAACAATGAATGGTAGCTTCTGCTTAATCATTAATTTTTAATTAACTGTAAATTATATTGCACTTTCTTTTCCTATATTGAAGTTTTGGTAAAATGTGGGTTTATTGAAACTTAACTGGTAAAAGACAAGATAATGAGCCAACTAAATTTCTTGAATTGGTTGACAGACTTAATCCTTTTGAAATTAAAGATGCCTCATAATGATCTGGATCAAAAAACAAAAACAGGAAGGGAGCACTTTACCAGGCAACGCAATGACAACAGGTGCTTCCTTTGGGTGTTGTCAAATTGGTTTGCAGCTCTCCCTGAAAAAAAGCTCTGGCCAAACAGGATCTGAGAACCTGTCTCAGGATCTCATCACGTGTTTATGTCTTGTGGGCACAGAAGGGTATGAGAATACATTGTGAGGACACTTTGTGCATGTCATGATCAGCTCTCAGGTGCGCTTTGCTTTTCTTTGACACGTAACATCCTGGGTATCGTCCAGCCTTAAAACAGTTAAGCAGTTTGGTGCTCTTTTGGTTTCAGTAACATGCTCTGGCATTTCTCCTGCTCAAACTAGGGGGACTAAAGAGGACATCATGTGGCAGAAGTGGTCCCAAAATAATTAGAAGGACTTGGGACCTATGGTAGGTGCTGTGCACATTGTCCTTCCCCTCAAATTCCCATGGTTGCAGACCACTGATACAAGGCTAAGCATCTGATCTTTCACTGTGCACTCACTGTGGCTGAGGGGCTGGTCTTCATCCCATACGAGCTCATTCCTAACCAGAAGGAAGCCCAAAGGGATGTTCCAACCAGAGGTCCACCTGGCTCCATTGTGGCAACTGCGGCTCCCTTTTAGCCTTTGGATATCCAGCGTTCCTCGTCTGGCCACGGCTACAGCAAACACACAGTTACCTAGTGATAAAAAAAGTACAGTGGTGCCTCGCAAGACGAAATTAATCCGTTCCGCGAGTCTCTTCGTCTAGCGGTTTTTTCGTCTTGCGAAGCAACCCTATTAGCGGCTTAGCGGATTAGCGCTATTAGCGGTTTAGCGGCTATTAAAGGCTTAGCGGCTTAGCGGCTAAAAGGCTATTAGCGGCTTAGCGGCTTAGAAAAGGGGGGGGGGAAAAAATCTCAAGACTCGCAAGACATTTTCGTCTTGCGAAGCAAGCCCATAGGGAAATTCGTCCTGCGAAGCGCATCGAAAAATGGAAAACCCTTTCGTCTAGCGGGTTTTTCGTCTTGCGAGGCATTCGTCTTGCAGGGCACCACTGTACAGAAGATACAGGAACCATGTTAATGAACACTGAGAGATCTCTGTGTGAACACAACAGCCTTCCTCAACTGCATGCCCTCCAGTTGTTTTGGATCACAACTTTCATCATAGAGACGTGCTGACTGGAGCTGATGGGAGCTGTAGTCCACAACATCAGAAGGACACCAGGTTGGAAACGGCTATACTGCACTAAGCCTTCCTTCGTGTTCTCAGGATTTCCCAGGGAGAAGGAATGATGGTTGAGCCCAGAGGAGCCAACTCCTAGGGGCCGACGGGGCTTTGCCCCACCAATAAAGCATCTGAGGGGGTTGTCCACCCCAAAGCTGATGGGCATTGCCATTCAAATGATTGTGTTCACCACATCATGTGATCGAATACGCAGGGTGGGGCTTGCCTTACCTCCCTCCCCATATTTTATTCAAGCTGGCACCCTGGTTGAGCCAGTTAAGTCTGTGTTATGTTGATATGCTCTCAGTTTATCACAGATCAAAGCAATGTCTTTGTGTGGAAAAAGCAGGGCCAGTTCTATTAAATGTTTACAGTACTTCCAGATGGCAGTTTAATTTACAGTTGGGCTATTGGCACCAGTTTTGTTTTGTAAATTATTGACTGGGATTAGATCCCAGATTAAGTTGGGGGGCAGGGTATGGACAGACATTTTGATGCCAATGATGTCATGAGGACCCTGAGGAGCATCTATCCCATAATAAAATCCCAGAGCCAAGGGAGCGGGCCTCCCTCCAGAGCACACTGCTTGGAACACTTCCATGACCCTTGACCTCCATTGCCAACCTAGGTACACCAGGGATTGTGCTGACTCAAGGCTTGGCTGGGCAGGCTCTTTACATTTCTGTAGGCTCTGGTCAATTTGCTGGGTGCTGACACCAGCCCTGGGGGTATGGTCACTGACTGACCTTCCATATAGATCTCCTTTGCCGCCACAGTCAAGCCATAAAGCTTCACAGCCGAATACACATCTCCAGCATCCAAGGAGACGGCATCAGCTTTGTTCACCTAATTAAGAATGAAAATAGTATTTAAAACAAGCTTCTGAATATCTTCAGTACAAGTTATTCTAGTCAGGCAGACTTTTCCCAACACTTCCTGGGATTATTGGCTAACATCCTGCCTCTAGTCATGGCAGAATTTCCTCTGGTTAGGATTTAATAAGTACGTATGTAGCAATAAATGGGCTGTAATCTCTCACATATTAAGCATGAAAACCTGCCACAATAATTGCAGTTATTTGCCTGGGGCAACACCGCTTCCACCCTGAACAGATGCTGTGCTCAGCTAACCCCACAATTAATGTGCGACTCTTCATTCTCACTAGCGGTGGAGCGTGATTGTATGGTGCCCGGTGCATGCGCAGCGAATGGAGCCCGCTGTGCACCAGCTCAGCCCTCGCCACTGAAATTGCCAGAGTAATACCATCCCTGAGCCACTTTGTGAAGCACAGGGCCCTGCAGCACTTTGCAAGGCTCAGGGAAGGTGGCATTAGAAGGACGCCATGTGCCCATCATCATCATCATCATCATAATTTATTATTTATACCCCACCCATCTGGCTGGGTTTCCCCAGCCACTCTGGGCGGCTTCCAACAAAACACTAAAATACAATAACCTATTAAACATTAAAAGCTTCCCTAAACAGGGCTGCCTTTAGATGTCTTCAATCACAGCCTCACCCTTGAGGGTCTGGAATCGAAGGGCACATGGCTGTTGCGCCCTCCTGGCGCAGGGCTGGCTCGGGGGGGGGGGCGTGAGCAGCACACTGCGCCTGTCAGAAAAATGCACCCGGGGCAATCACCCCAGCAGCCCGCCCCCCCACATACCCTTGATTCCCACCATCAACAACCTGGTGCCCTCAGGATGCTTTGGAATGCAACTCCAATAAGCCTCAGGAACATACAGCCGTGATGGCTGGGCCTCATGGGATTTGTAGAGCAAAATGCCCAAAAGACATCAGAACCACCAAGCCCACCATTCTGTTCTCACAGTGGCTGATCAGATGTCCTAAAGGGAAGCTGACAATAAGGGCGTGAGCGAAACAGCACTCTCCCCTCCTGTGGTTTCCAGGTATTCAAAAGCATTGATGCCTGCTCCGACTATGGAGGTAAAAAAAATGAATGAGATCCGTGATTTGGATAACCTCTGGAATTTCTTGGTACTCACTCTGATCTTGTCAATGCAGTCATAAGTGTTGTGAGCTCTGATGCAGGAAACCCTGGCAAAGGCGTTGACCGTGGCAGGAGGCAACACTGCCAGAAGCACTTTGGATAGCTCTGAGCACTTCCTCTGCTCCAGGTCAGAAAGGGTGCACCATCGGAACTTCTTTCCTGCAGGAACAGAAAGAGCAGGCAATGTTATGCATAGGGTAGAAACTGAGAAGCTTGAACGTAAGCAATGAAGAATGTTGAGGAGCAGACACGGCTGGTCCCTACTTGAAAAAAAAACAAAACATGCTATGCAGTCTGCACATCATTGATGAATGGCAGAGCCATCAGGACAGGATTTGGGGGAAGAAGTCAAGGCCCCACTTGGCAGAATGAGCAGGAGTCCCCACCTCAAAGCAGGAGTACCACATTTTGAAACAAGTCAGGTGATACGCATTGCCTGTAAGGGAGAGGGATGCTGCAAAATAAGGATGGGGAACCCGTCTCCCTCCAGATGTTGTTGGACTCCAACCCCCATCTCTTTCTAGCTTTGTTCCCAACAACACGGCTTCCCCAACCCAATGCTACCAAACAAATAATAAATAACGAGAGGAGCACCGGTGCTGGTGGTTGGCACAGCATTCCAATAACAAGACATAACATTTTTAAAATTAAATTAAAAATAAAGCAGAAGACTAGTGTAATGGTAGAGGAGCTTGCTGGCATTTGCCTCTTAAAAGCAAATTAGCATTGTTCAGGGTGGAGGCTGCTTTTCATCTCCCTCAGTGCCTCCACTCTTACCTGTAGACCTAAGAGCAAGAGCGGTCAGGAGGATGAACACAGTGGCTGCCGCAGCCTTCATGGCCAAAGATGCAAAGCATAAATCCAGTTTGCCTCCATACACTGAAGCCTCTGCCTTGCCTCATACCAGGGATTCCACAGCTATGACTGAAACAAACAAGGGGTCTTGGCACTGCCTTAAATGTTTATTTTCGGGTTTGGGGGAGGATTAACAAAAGCGAGAGAGAGAGAGCAGCAGCAGCATCCACTGGATGTAAGGATGATGGGCGGGGAAAGGGGCCCCATTCTTAGGCACAGATGGGAAGTGTTAGCAGGGGTTTGTCAAGAGTTGGCCTGGCGAGTCTGCGAGATAGAGAGAATAGATGAGTTATAACATTTTTCAGTCTTCTCACACTGGCAATCTGTCATAGATAGCACTGTGTTGGGCTTTAAAAACCGCATTTCACACTCAACAGAAGCAATTGAATCTTAAATCTCCTTTTGAACTAGCATTCTGAGGATTTTCAAGTGTCAGGAATGGATTTTGAAAAGAGAGAGAGAGAGAGAGAGAGAGAATGTGATCTACCCACCTGCACACCCTCAGTCCCTCAGTTTTTTTTATAAAGGTTCAGAGTCCTTCACCTGCATTCTCCAGATACATACATACATACATACATACATACATAACTTTATCTGTATGCCACGTTTCCACAGTTCAAGACACTTACAATATGAAAAAACACATAACTACAACATAATAAAAGTAGATATAAACAATAAAACATTAAAAAATATACCACGAAACTGAACAATTTCCACATAAATCATGAGATCTTATATAAAAATACTATAAACCAACAGCAGCAACCCCCTCCCAACCAAAAACATAAACCATGCTCCAGCCCAAGAGTCTGTTCAACAGCCTCAGCTTTTGTAGCTGGAGTCAGTCAGGGCCCTGCCTGCCTAAGCCAGTTGGAAAAAGGCCTGCACTCAGGGATCCTCACAATACACACACACCCCTCCTGGATTGCAGGTGGCTCACCTGAGTTCATAGCAGAGATGAGATCTGAACTAAGTAATTAATAAATCTACCATAAATTAAGGCAATACTTTTATTATTGTTAATATTGTGATGTTTTTACTGTTAGCTTCCCTGAGAGTGTGTGACAGAAAGACTGCTGGTGTGGTGTAATATAGTGGTTAGAACTTTTGCCAACCTGGTGCTTTGTAGATGTTTTAGAATACAACTCTCATCAGCCCCAGGGACATCACTGGGCAGCTATGTTGACTGGAGCTGATGATGTTCAAAACATCTGGAGGGTACCAGATTGGGAAAGGTGATTTACAATGCAATCCTATATAAATGCACACACACAAGTCCTGCTATCCAAACACTCACTATACAAAAATTCACTGATCCAAACATGAGGAATTTTTATCCAAACAAAAATATACACCGCAGATTCAGATATCCAAACAGCCAGATCTGCATGCATTACTGTAAACAAATAAGCAGCCTTACTTTTTTGTGTTTTTCTGTTCCACTGCAGCTGATTCACATGGTAGGAGGGAGGGATGGATGGGGAGAGATGGGACAAACAAGAGAGCATTTGTTTGCCTTTTGCAAAGTTTCAGAGGGTTTTCCTGGTTTCGCCCATCATTTTGGAATCAATGGAAAGTGTTGACTCGTTATGCAAACGCTTGCCTGACTTCCCAAGAATGCATTGTGTTTGTATAGCAAGACCTGTCTTTATTCAGAAATGAGCCCCATTGAATTTATTGTGACTTACTACCAGGTAACTGTGTTCATACTACTCCTGCAGCCCCTCCCCCCAAAACACATTTTGGAGGGCTGTGCTCCCATGTGAGTCACCTAACTCATGTCAAAGCGAGGCCCCGAAAGACGCGTGCCCCTTTTCCCCCTCTGTGGCATGTTGGAGGGTATGCAGTGTGTAGACAACTGCAACACGAAGAGGGTTGTACTATGACCAGGGTAGCCCAGGTTGAAGCCAGGCTTGGCCAGAAGCTGACTGTGCCTCTGAGCTACTCGTTGCCTCTGACCATTTCTACCTTACAGGCTTGTGAGGATAAAGGGAGGGTGGAGATGAACCACTTATGCTGACCTGAGCTCCTTGAAGTAAAGCTTTGTTTAATAAAGTTTAATAAATGTAAATTAAGGAGAGATGTATAAACTCAACGGAATGATCTCCCTAGTGAGGCCTGCCTGCTGCTGGCATTAACACCTGCCACATCCACACCTGGCTTCCCCCAAAGAATCCTGGGAAATTGAGTTTACCCCTCACAGAACTACAATTACCAGCACCCTGAACAAACAAGAGCTCCCAGGATTACTTTGGGGGAAGCCATGTACTTTAAATGTATGGTGTAGATCACAGTACAGTAGTGAACCCTTTCTGTGCTCTGTCATTATGCATCTCACCTCCTAGCCATTTAAGGGAATATGGATTATCATTGCTGTTCTCTGTATGTGCGTGGGGGCTTTTTTTTTTTTTTTTTACCTGATGGTTACTTTTATTATTTTCATTACGAATTATTGTTCCACACAGTAGCTCTCCATAACTTATGCAGAACGAAGACGAATAAACCGAAATATAACTTTCCAACAAAGCAAACGCATCATTGTTAACAGCTGCGTGGCTGCCCTGATGCTAGATAATCCAGAACTAGATAATAAACTAGATAATCTAGATTATCCAGAACTTGATAAAACATCTGGCATTGATTTATTGATGGCTGTTTGCAAATGTGTGCGTGAGTCGCCTTGGAGACGTTTTGCGGCATTATTATTGTGCTTTTTCCTCCGTGAGAGAGGAAACCCAAGAAGCTCCCAGGCTTCCCTCAAGCCCCGCTGAGGGAAGGCGGCTGAGGCGCTGCGACCTAACCCAGCGCCTCAGAGAACCGGCGGCTCCTCCTCCGGCCCGAAGCCCGCCTAGCTGGCTCGTGCTCTTCAGCTGCGCCCGCCCAGTCGCTCCCTCCCTCCCTCCTTCCCTCAGCCCCGGCGGCGCGGCAAACGAGCAGAGAGCAGCCGCGCGGCGGGGCGACTTCTCCCTGCACCGAACGAGAGAGCAGCAGCAGGGCCAAGATGGCGGCGGCGGCGGCAGGGGCTCTGAGGGTGGCGTGCGCCAGGGCGAGCGGCAGGTACCGCGCGGCAGTCCTAGCGGCGGCGAGGCGTGAGGGAGAGGGAGGCGGGATGGTTTCGGAGGAAGGGGCTGGCCCTCGAGGGTGAGGGAGGTGGGGGGAGACAGGCAGACATGGCGGGGCGTGAGGCGCAGGGGGCGCAGCGCGTGCTCCGTGCCTCGCCATGCAGGTGGCGGGTGGCCCTCGGCCAGGCGGCGGATTCCCGTCTCAGAGGACTCCTGAGGGGGGTGGTCTCCCCAACCCCTCACCTCGGTCCTACTCTGAGGAGACGTACTGGAGTTAATGGGAGCATCCCATTTCAGCGGGGTCTTCTACGAGTGGAACTTGCAGTCGCCTTTTTATGTCTCCCTCCAGGGGGATTTGTGTGCACAAGGATTGCCAAAGCGGTGTGCAGGTTCTTGTCGTCCTCAAAATTTATGACCCAGCGGATCTCGGCGAGAAATAAAACAGTTTAAAATTTAGAACAAGTCTAAACGTGAAACAAACCAATGTGTCATTAACGATATTCAGGGTTGCGCCCTACTCGGAGTAGTAGGGCCGCTGAAATTCATAGGCATGAACTTTTGAGTATGATTAAAGGCTGGATAATACTCCTCAGGCCCGGTACACACCACTTGGTTATTTTTATTAGTTAATTTATATACGGCTGGCTGGTAAAAAACAAAAACAAAAAAACACAACCCCCCAATACATGTATATACTCCCCAAATCCTGGGAATTGTAGTTTGATAAGGGTGCTGGGAATTGGAGTTCTTTGATGGGTAAACGACAGGGTCCCAGGTTTCTTGTGTGGTGTGAGGGCCTGAGATGAGCTTAAAAGGTGCTTTTAAATGTATAGTGTGTACACAGCCTCCCTATAAAGTTTTAATTCTAAGTTGATCTGTGGTTCCCTACGGTGTGAAGGTGGGAGATCACACTTCGGGACAAGGGTCGTGAAGAGCAGCAGCAAAGAGTGAGAAACTGCCTGAAGTTTAAAGTTTGGCATTTGCTTTCTTGTGTGGTGAGGGAAATGCACTCTGCTTGTGCTCAGGGGCACTTAAGCCTGCTCTTAACTGCCTGTATTGCTGCTGGAGTCCTTGTCTTCTCTTATTTCTCTCTAGTGCCATCCATGGTGCTTTCCCAAAATGTGAGAGGAAGGGGGGGTCTCTGCCCTGAGGTGCTTACAATGTAGTAGAAAATAAGAGGGATGTGGGAAGCAGGGAATGGAGGAAAATGGAGGCAGGGGAGGGCTGCTCTACTTACAGATATTCAAGGCTTTGTTACAGGGACCTTGCGTTCCCCTTCTGGTGCAAAGGAAGCCCTAGCCAAGTGGTCAGTTCACTGCCCCCCTTGCAGTGTGTGCCTGTTGGGCCCTATCTCAACTTGGAGGATTTGGGGGAAATGGCCTATCCACATTATTATCATTATTGACTTTATTAAGCCACCCATCCACACGGTCTCTCTGGGTGGCTCAGAGAAGTGAAAAATAAAATAGTGTTAAAAACAAAATGTGGGAATTAAAAAACAATGACAGATAGGATAAAATAATGCAACACAAAACTTTGCTTCTAGCATTAAATAAAACTAGAACTCAGTAATTCCCTGTGTCAAAATCACCTGGCACTGAATTTGCATTGGGAAAACATTACAAAATATTGCATCAGGAGAAATAGATGCTCTTGAGGGGCCTTTGTAAGCATATTAGACTTGTTTAGTATTCCTAACCAACTGTACCTATTTGACTGGCATCAAGAATTTTTACCCATCCTGTTTTAGCTCTGGGCTTTGCATGTTATGCCAGTGCAAACTGATTTTTAAAAGCCCTTAAAGTCTGAAAGTTACCACTGCAATCCTTAACATGCTGATCCCATCCCAATGTACCGTATTTTTCGCTCTATAAGATGCACCAGACCATAAGACGCACCTAGTTTTTGGAGAAGGTAAACAAGGAAAAAAATATTCTGAATCCCAGAAGCCAGAACAGCAACAGGGATCACTGTGCAGCGAAAGCAGCAATCCCTCTTGCTGTTCTGGCTTCTGGGATAGCTGCGCAGCCTGCATTCGCTCCATAAGATGCACACACATTTCCCCTTACTTTTTAGGAGGGAAAAAGTGAGTCTTAAGAGCAAAAAATACGGTATATTTCTCTTTGAGGGCAGCTCCACTGAGTTGAATGGGACTTATTCTCAAGTAAGTGGGTGTAGGATTTCAGCCTCCAGGTGTGTTCATAAGAGTGTTAACTCAGAAGTAAGTCCCACTAAATTAAATGGGGATATTGGAATTAACATGGTTAGAATTGTACTGTAATAAGAATGAAATTTTGGTGGCAATCCTAGGCACCTATTCTTTTTTTTTTTTAATAAATATTTTTTATTAGATTTTCCATAAAAAAACATTTTTACAAAATTATACATCCATTTTTAACTTAAACCCTTTTTTCCAGAACTTCCCTCAGCTTGTCTGATAATTTTCTGTTTATTTTTTATCCTCGTCTCTCATTTCCCAATATTATATTGCACTCAAATACTCTTAATCACATCCTATTTTTTAAACAATATTTCTAACAGTAATTTCACAGAGCTTCTTGAAAGCCATCAAACGTTATTTGCTCATCACAGAAATTTTTGATACACTCTGTAAATTTCTTCCAGTCCTCGGAGAATCTCTGGTCACGTTGGTTTCTAATTCTCCCCGTCAATCTGTCCATTTCTGCGTATTCCATCAGTTTCATCCTCCATTCTTCTTTCGTGGGCATCTCTTCCTGTTTCCATTTCTGTGCCAGCAAAATTCTGGCTGCTGTTACTGCATACAAAACTAATTTCACATCTTTTTTACTAATTTCATTATCCAGTATTCCCAACAAGAAAGCTTCTGGTTTTTTAACAAAAGTATATTTCAGCATTTTCTTTAACTCATTATAGATCATCTCCCAGAAGCTTTTTACCTTCTTACATTCCCACCACATATGGTAAAATGTTCCTTCTGTCTCCTTACACTTCCAACGTTTATTACACATCTAGGCACCTATTCTTGAGAGTAAGCCATGTTCAACTCAGTTGGCTTTATTTTTTTGGCAAACACACATATAATTTATGCAAAGGAAATTACTTTTGGAATTGAATTGTGCGCGCATTTTTTAAGTTGAGTCTTTAAATTTCTTACTCTGTGCATATATGATTATCTCTCAGAAGTAGTTTCTTTCATGGGTAGTTTAATTTCACAGGAGATGAGTCTGTCAACAGTTGCTAGCCATAATGCCTGTGTTCAGCGACAGTATGTTGTAAAATATGAACAAAAAGGGAAAGGAGGGCCTTTCTAGTGTTCTTCGCAAACTCCTTTAAGCTGCTGAACAGAGTTGAGGTTCTCAGTGCCTTGCATGTGCTTTCCCACTCAAGTCACAGAGGACGGAAGAGAATAGCTGGAACTCTGATCTGAATTACTCTCTTTCGCATCAATTCCATTTATAGTGTGGAGATTGGACTCTAAATAACCTCACCATTGCTACCATATATACACACAATCAAGTCCCAGGGAATATATAAATTTGGGCTCTTGAATGTTCCCCTGCTACCCTAGCTGTAGGTCACTGGGAACACACAGGGGCTAGACATTCTTTGCTCATCTTTCCATCTCCATAAAATCTCAGGAGACTGGGAGCAGAGGTGACTGGGTTCTCTGTCCCCTCATCAACCTCCATGAACTTCCTCAGGATACTGAATTAGTTACTCCCTCTTCGTTTCAACCTTCCGGTAGAACTTACAAGAAAGAGGCTCTTGAGCAACATGTGCACATGAGAGAAAACCAACTGTGCCATGCTTGCACCTAAAGCAGGATTAACACAATGCTAAACCATGGTTTAGCCCTGCATTGATGAACCTGCTCCTCTCTTTCTGCACAGCTGGAAGGAGGAGTTTGGAAGCTTTTGCTTTTGGTTCACCACAGTTTGTAATTTTGTCAGAACAGGCAAACTGTGATTAATATAAGCTATGGTTAGCTTAAAACAAGCCATGTTCAAACCATGGTTTCAGAAGATGCGGGGGGGGGGGAGGAGCATTAGTGCATTAATAATTCCAGCCATAAAATCCGTTTCAGCCTAAATCAAATGACTGTCCTATTTGCATATCAACTTAATTCAACTTGCACACAAAAGTTAAGAATTACCAATTTGCTGTATTATAAAAACTAAATAAATGATATTAAATATTAAAATAATATAAATTATTATATATCATCATCATCTTTATTATATTTTTCATAATAATAATAATAACAACTTTATTATTTATACCCTGCCCATCTGGCTGGGTTTCCCCAGCCACTCTGGGTAGCTTCCAACAAAATATTAAAAATACAATAAAGCTCATATGACAAAAAATTCAATGCACATTACTTATTCCACTACCTTTTAGGACAAAGAAAAACAAAAAGGAAAAGGGGGGAAATATACTGAAAACCCTCAAAGAGCCTAAAAGATAAAATACCTTAAAGGGTCTGGGAGAACAAGATAGTCTTTGCCTGGTGCCAAAAAACTAATGTGGCTCACCAGGCAAGCCTCTCTAGGCAGAGCACCACAGGTGCAGGTGAGGAGGAAGGTGTTAGCTGCCCAAGGGGCCCTGGCCCTTGTCACCAGTTTATTCTATAAAATGTGGGCTGTCTTGAGTACAGCGTCAGTAGAAAGGTGAGATATAAATTATAACTAAAGGCACAGTTCTGTCATCGCACTTTATTTGGCCCTAAGGACTGTAATATGAACTGGCTCCCTGGCAGGTGAAGGCAGCCAACTCCAGTAAGTCTGGAACATTCTGATCTTCCTCTGTGGAGGCTTTATCTGCAGGCCCAACTAGCTATTGGGAAGAGGAAGAGCTCCTATTCAAAGCTTTTCAGTAGTGCCTCAGAGACACCTCTTATTAACAGCTGAAATATATGCAGCTGTTGAAATCCATTGAACTCAAGATGGAAGCTTTCGCCTTGTGTATGTTGACTTCTAGCAGTTTGACTTCACCCCCAAAGGTACACTCCTCCATTGTCTCCTGAGACAGATGAGTGTCAGCAACAACAAAATGAGAAACAGTTTTAATCAGTCAGTGTAGAGAGCTGTGCTTGGTGCTAAGAGATCTGGACTCATATCGAGGTTCAGCTTTGGACTTTACTGAGTGGTCTTGGGCAAGTGACTCTGCCTAATTCCATTCACAATTTGTAATTGTATTAGTGGCATAGTTTTCAGTGCAGGTGAACAAATGTCAGGATTCTGAAATGTCACCATAAAATAGAACCAATGACTTTGTACCCAGTGACCCCCATTAAATTTTGTGAGCCAAAGTAAGCAATCTGGGATATGCCTCAAACTCTGGCAGGGTGTGTGTGTCACAAATAGCAAGGGTTTGGTTTAGCCCTATCTTAATGGGTCCCCAAGGGCATCTTCCCCACCCTAATTACACATATAGTGAATAGTAAATCACTGCACACATTTGTGTACATTTGCAGATTGCCACATGTCTCTGCAGAGATGCATTTCTTCACACAGTGCATAATTAACTGGAATTTGCTGCCACAAGATGGCCACCACATTGGATGGCTTTCAGTGGAAGTTAGCCTTATTTTTCACACATTTGTCTATCGATGGTTATATACTATACCCAGTGTCAGAAGCAGTACGTCTCTGTATGCCAGTTGCTGGGAATTCCAAGTGGGAAGAGTGGTTTAGCCCTTGAGTTCTGCTTGTGGGGTTTTTATGGGTGCATCTGGTTGATCATTGTGAAAACAGGATGCTGGACTACTAGAGGGGCTTTTCGTCTGATCCAACAGTGCTCCTCCAGTGTTCCTTCTCATCCATACCAATGTGGTAGTGGAGGATTTCAATAGGGTACCTATTCTCTCTCCCATGCATTCCCTCACCTGGTATGATGAGAAGCATTTTGCTATTCATCATAAAATACAGTTCCTGAGTTTCACCTACCTGTCATAATCAAGGAACTGTACCTGGAGCAAGTCTGTAATGACAAGGCTTGATTCTCAGCGACTCCCATACAGTGTTGTGCAACATAGAAAACTTGAAAATAAATTCCATAGGGAGCAAATCTTAATTCAAATACTTTAATTAGGAGTAGGCTTAGGCCATTGGCTTGAATTTGCTTTAGTGTGATAGTTTCCAGCTTGTAAGGTCTCATGTTGTCTGATGTGATTACACTGCAGAACCTCTCAGGGTTAACAAGAGGGTGTTCACTTGGCCACAGTAATGTACTTTCCTCCTCACGACTCTAGATTTTCCATACACATCAAGGTTGATGGGTTTAAAATGCCCATGAACTCTGCTGCCGGCCTCAAGATAGAAGAGGTTGCAAAGGTCAGGGCTTCAGGTGCGGCTTCTTGTATTTCTTTACTGCTAAATTTGTCCTCAGTAAAAGCAGATTTTGGAAAGCCTGCAGAAACAGGAAAAAGTGGGCTAAAAATAATGAAGTGCAGCCCTGAACCTGCCAGTCAAGAAAGATGAAATACACATTGCGTGATTTATTTATTTAAATTCTAAAAAGATTTATAACTTGCCCATCATCTGGAGTAGGTAAGGTAAAGCAGGAGTAGGTAAATATTATACAGTAATCCAGAGGAAGATAATGATTTATAGCTCGGTTTATGAATATGTATAGTTAATGTGGATTTTTTTATATAGATATGCGTCCATAATTATTTGTATTTTCCTGTTTTTATACCCATCACCACCAGTACCCTTTTCCACAGCAGCATTGTAAGACATGATAATCAGTCTGTGAAGAAGATGTTGGTACTTTGGAAGCAACCACTTTCCCCATTCCTCCTAACTGGTAAGAATCCTCATATTTTTTCATCTTATTGTTTCTCTTACCACTTCAAACTATGATTACAAATTATGGTTTGGAAGCACAGTATTAAAGGTAGTTGGTTTGTTCAGGAAGTGGAAGAGAGAAGCTTTTTGCAAGAGAGGGTTAGGGAGGGTATGGAAGGCTGGTTTCAATACACGGAACAGGACATGATCCTGTTTTCTGATATTTGATACTTATGCAATTTTGCTTTGTTCGAGTCTGTGACACAACATAATAAAGAATCTGTAATCTGTATGTGATGATGATTGTGACATGTCATGTATTGCAACTGCTCTTTGATGTTAAATTTCTGATATCCATCCTTGGGAAATTTTAGGTCTCTGACTATTAGATGAAAATTAAACCTGTTGGTGTTGTAGTTCTTGCTGAATCAAACATGTGAAGGTACTCATCATGTATACGCAGCATGAGTCTTCTGGTAGTGATGTAGGCCAGAACTGTTAATTACGTTTTAATCTTTGAAATTAATTTTGTTTGGTTGTGGCCAATTGATGCCTTATGTGCAAGCTCAAGGACTTTTAATCTAGTGAAACTGTCTGCTAACGGAGGAGGTGAGGCAACTTTTTACTTTCTCCCCCTGCCCCTGGCCTGCAGACTCTAGTGACCCCTGAAAATCTGCTCTATAGAGCTGGGAGACCATCCAGAATAGGGTGGTTTTGTTCTGCCTTGAGCACAGAGGTGTCCGGTCCCAAGCAAGTTGGGCAGATTTGCAAGTTTTAATCAAATGGATTTGAGAAGGGAGTTGCACAGACCATGAACCACCACAGAGAAGGCCCCGTTTCCTAGTGGGGACACCCAGAGCCAGGCCACTAAAGAAGATCTGAATAATGTCCATACAGATTTATATAGGAGGTGTGTAAGCGAAGTAATATAGCTGGAAGAAGTGCAAAAGCCTTGGCTTCCTGAACACTTGAAACCATTTCCAGAAATTTAATTAACTACTGTAATTAATTAACTAATTAATTTTATATGCAGCTCTTCACCCAAAGATCACAGGCTGGTTTACAGCATTAAAATACAAAATGAAAACACAAAGTACATAACTTAATTACAATAGCAAAAACCAATAATCCCCCACCCATAGACAAATATAAAAGTTTTGACCCCAAGGCCTTTAATTAATACATTCTAATCCAGAAAAAAACCGATGCAGCTAATGTGGCTTATTCTCTCTAGTTGTGTCAGTCTCTGGGGTCCCAAAAGAAGGAAGAAAGCTCAGAATAACATAGTCATGGTTATCTTGTTCTCAGTGGCAAGAAGGGAAGGTTGGTGGCTTGCTGATTTACATAAGGGCTAGCCAATCAGTTTTGTGCAAATGCAATTGTTACTGCAAGCTGGAAAAACATGTTTCCTTTCCACTGAATCTGGTCCATGTGTCTAAAATGCAGTGAGAGTGCTTTCACGGCAGGCTGACTGCTGAAACTATTTTTACATTGTTTTAACCAGCCATAGGACCTTATGGTGAAAAAACCTCATCAGTAAAAAGCATTTGCCTGTATGCAAATGTATGCCAGTTTGCATCCTAGCTGAGGTTCTTTTGCTCCCACAAATGATTCCCAGAAGACTTCATTCTAGTACATGCTCCTGTCCAGCAGGTGGCAGTAGGGAAGTGCAAGATGCTTCTTGTGCTATGATAAGAAACACAAATTAATAAGATCCATGCTTGCAGAGAGATGGAAAAGGATTAGAATGATATGAGGTTTCTTCCCCCACTCCCACTTCCTTGTTTTCTTTTATCTTTTGGCTTTCCAATTTGCACTGTTAACTGAGTGGAAGCACCATGTGTCTCTATGCAGGACCATAGAGTGCAAGAAGTGCCTGTTGTGTGCAGCAGAGCCCTGGCTTTATATGTATTCTGCCTTTCACAGCTCTCTGGTGATTTGGGTTGTTGTTAGCCCATGGCTTCTTTATGTTTGTAGCTGTTTGCTCTTTGATTATGCAGCTTCCAGACTGCTGGAATGTTGGAAAACAGCCATTTCCCACTGTGCCAAATAAAAAAGAAACACAATGTTGTACTTTAATAACATTTCAGAAATGGTAACAAATGAAAAAAACATTTGAAATATTTTGATGCCAGAATGTAAGAGGTACAAAGGTCAGAAGCACATTTGGTAGTCATCTCCCCATCATATTTTGCCAGCTGTTATTAAGCAAAAATATGAATGTGGCAGTAGCCCTCCATTGAAAATCTCCAGCGTCCAAGGTGGTTTTCATAGGCAATGCAACATCCCCAGAAGGGATGAATGAATGCCCATTTTGGTTTCTGTCAGTTTCTCATTTTATCATTCTTAAGTTAACAGCTCAGGTCCAAGATGCCCCAGGGATCACTTGGTGCCTTATATCTCTGCCCAATCACTGAGTTCTTTGGAGGAGTTTCAGTGCCTTCAATATTGTGGGCCCGATTTTATGAAACTACCTTCCAGTTGAGGTCAGACATGTCCCCTCCCTGTTGAACTTCCAGTACCTACTGGTTTTGTTTTTTTTATTTCAGTAGGCTTTTAAACTGAATTCTGATTTTATAATTTTAACTGATTTTTATTTTCATTGTATTGAATTTTATGTACACTGCTTAGAGTTGATGTAGTGAATGAATATATAAATTGTCAAAGCAAAATAATTGTTTTATTTGAATGTGGGCTCTGTTCCATAGTGCTCTATGTTTGAGAACTGAAGCTGTGAGTTGGGAATTGATTTGTCTAGGAAGTGACCATTGATGGTTTGAAAGAACCCCCAGCCAGTCTTTGTAACAATGGTGACGTTTCTCTCTGGGCTGGCTTGGAGATGCCAGGTTCCCTGTACAACCTCTTCCTCTGTTACACTGCAGTGTCAATGGCTGCCTGCCTGGTTTCCTAAAGTACTATCTCCTTTTGTTACAGGTCAGCGGAAACTCTACACTGCACCGGTGAGGAGTGTACTGCGGTTACGCCCACTGCACCTTTTGGTGGCTACAGGCGGAGGTTATGCCGGGTACAAGCAATATGAGAATTATAAGGAGAATCAGCTCAGAAAGTCGGGTTTAGAGCCACCCCCCAAAATCGCAAGTGATTGGGAGGTAAGTTGTGGAAGTTTTTATGCCATGTTCTTAAACGTCTCACCATCCCTTGCTAAAAACAACATGAACTTGCCAAATGTAAAATGAAATGAATGGTGTGGTGCAGTGGCTCTAAAGTTTTGTGTCTTGGGTGTGAGAAACCCAAGTTGAATTCCCTGCTCAGCTCTGCAGCTTGCTGAGTGGCTTTGAGCAAGACACGGAGTGCCAGTCCAGGGCTGCTATGCGGTGTAACTATCATTCTGAGTTTCTTTGAGGAAGGGCAGAACACCAGTATGCATTCATAAGTATTCAGCCTCACCCCCTTCTTTTTCTTTTTGGACCCACCTATCACCTTTTATCTTGCTCCCTGGGGGTGTCATGACTAGTGGAATTTTGGTTTAGTTGTAATAGTGATGATAGCAATGAAATTTTTCTAGTAAAAGAGGTGCTGGAACTCACCATGAACACCTCCATGGTTCTCTTAAAATGGCAATTGTGCCCAGTTGAGAGGTGCTGGAAATGAGTTCTGGTGAGTTCTGGCTTTTAAAAAAATCCCTGTGTGATAGTAATAAGGAGGGAGGGCCATATTGCTCCAGGGTAGAGCACCTGCTCTGAATACAGAAGGTCCTAGGTTCAGTTCCCTGCTTCTCCAAGTAGGGCTGAGAAAGACAGCAGTCCGAAACCCTGGAGAGCCACTTATAGTCAGGGCCTTTTCTGGACCACAGAAGGAGAGGGGTCTTTAAAGCATTTGGGTGATGAGTGCAAAGGGGGTTCTGTGTGCGGGTCTCTTACCTGGATGAGTGGTAATGTAGTCACCGGTGGTTGTAGTACCTGCAACATGGAGCTTTCCTTCACCAGGGCTCTAGGGTGGCCAGTTAAATGAGTGAACTTGGGATGGCTTGATTTCATTAGGAACTAGATATGAAGGAGTGCAACTGCATAGTCTGTAGTTCTGATGCTGCTGTGTGTCTGTGTGTATTTAGCCAGTGACTCTGCAAGTGTTGAATACAAGGTCTGAGCTGTGCCAACCCTCTTGTTCCTGCTGGTCTGACTTCTGTGTCCTGTAGTTGACTCCTTGAGCAGAACAGCTTGTTCTGTTGGTGCTGAGGAATGTTTCTGGGACTGTTTTCTATTTCTCTCTGTGTTTCTGCAAGTGGTCCCCACGGTGTGTAAATGTGGTATGCCCCTTTTGCTTTAAAAACTGCTGGCACCCAACCTTTACACTTTTGCATCTGCCCATTATCTCTCTCTTGTGGGGTGGGGGTGGGGGGGATGAACACAGGTCATAGTTAATGCTCCTTTTGTTGATGTTAACATTTCTGTATAGCTTCCTCCTGCCCTGTAAATCAAGTGTCCCACCTCAGAGCCTCAAATCAAGTGCTAAGATGTTGGAATGCAGTGTTTACTGACAAGTCTTGCGGCTTGGCTGGCCCCTAATTGCACCCCTGAATTGAATGGTTTGCCAAATTAATAGTAGAACGGGGCGGGGGGCCTGCCTTGCTTCTTGCTGCAAACGGTTTGTTACAACAATGGGAGGCTCAAAAAATATAAAAGCTTGATTGTTCAAAGTGGAGTCTATTTTTGCTGACACTCCCCCCCCCCCATTGCAGGTTTTTTTGTATTCTTGGTCACAAATGACTGAGCTTTTCCCACTTCTGTATGGGTAATGAGTTGTGTAGCTGCCCATCACCAGGACAGGAATGGATTACTGGGAAAGAGAGAGAGGCTCGCCCCTTGATTCAGTCTCCAGTACACAGGCCTAGCCTATTTGTGTTGGTAGGAAGGTGTTACATTTTAAATTGCACTTGAGCTTGCTGCAAAGTGGCAAGGGTGCACAGAGTGAGAGTGTATAAAAGAGGCAAATTTCACAGAGAAGCAGTATCGGTCCTAGCAGGAAGAAATCAAGGACTGCCATGGCACTAATTTCATCAAAAATTTCATCAAATAAAAATTAGTTGTGTTCTGTCAGCTCATCCAGTTTTTGGAGCCTCCATTGCTGGTCTGGATCAAAACTGCTTTGTGAGATCAACATAAATTTGTGGAAAGTATGTCATAGAATCATAGAATTTGTGGAGTTGGAAGGGTTTCCAAGGGTCATCGAGTCCAAACCTCTGCAATGCAGAAAACACAATTAAGATTCCCTGACAGATGGCCATTTGATTCCCAGCAGGTGTCAGCATTAAGTTGTTAAGCACCAACCTTGCTTTAAAGCAGGCTTCCTCAAACTCAGCCCTCCAGATGTTTTTGGCCTACAACTCCCATGATCCCTAGCTAGCAGGACCAGTGGTCAGGGATGATGGGAATTGTGGTCTCAAAACATCGGGAGGGCCGAGTTTGAGGAAGCCTGCTTTAAAGGCAGGGATGGAGTACAGCCTATGCCCTTCCAAATGTTGCTGCTGGGGCTACTGGGAGTTGCAGAGTCCAGCAACGCCTGGAGAAGGGCCACTAGTTCCCCGTTTTTGCTTTGACATAGAGCTCTGCTTCCAGCTTTTCCAAAGTTGGATCGCACAGTGAATATGAGAGGGGGATTTACTTCCATTTAATTAGATGAATGAAGATGGCTCAGGTTGCATTGGGTAGACATGTTATCATGTAGCCAGGAGGCCGAGAATCCAAAAAGCATTTCCTGAATGTGTTCACAGGCTGTGTCCAAAGGGGTTAGAGGTCTTTAGGGAGAAGAAGCCTTTCCTCCAAAGAGCTCGGCATTCTTGCCACATCGATTTACACAAGGAAGCCTTGACCAAAGAATGTGCTTGTGTACACTTGGCCGGATGAGAGCAGCTTTTCACCTTGAGAGTTGCAGCTTGTTCATTTTATATTTTCCTTTGGTGTGTGAAAAAGCTCCCTGCTTTTTTGTTAATGAAGAGACTCTTAGCCATTCTAGTGGGCTGCTTTGTGTCTTTGCATTTCAGAATGGCTGTTTCTGTATGGTGCAGACCTGGGGATTCTGCATAAAAGATTTGTCTGCCCCTTCCAGTTGTTTGTTAGCTGCCTTGAGTACCATTTGTTGGAAAGGTAGAATGCAAATTGAGCAACAACAGCAAAAGTAACTTCTTTTACTATTCAGTTAATGAAGAGAATTTACAGTGGTACCTTGGTTTAAGAACAGGTTAGTTTATGAACAACTTGGATTAAGAACGCTGCAAATCCGAAAGTAGGTGTTTTAGTTTGTTAACTTTGCCTTGGAAGCAGAACATGTTCCGCTTCCTGTTGAGAGTGTTCCATTTGTAAATTAAGTCCCCCGCTGCTGTGGGAAAGCACGCCTTGGTTTAAGAGCGCTTTGGTTTAAGAACGGACTTCCGGAACGGATTAAGTTAGTAAACCAAGGTACCATTGTATACCTCACTGATTTAGAGCCTAACAATAAAAAACACTAGAAATGTTACCAACAAATTCATATAAAAGCAGCACAAAACAGCAGTGGGATAACCTTAGCAGCCAGGTATAATGATGGGTAAAATCAAAAGATCTACAACACTTGGGCAAATGAAAAGACATTTCAGTTTGGCTCAGACCAAGTTCCTTGTATAAGTGAACCCCTGTAACTTTTGCTCTCCTGTGTGCATAGGGTGAAATTCTCTGCATGCACTGGTCATCATAGGCTCAGATACAGCTACTGAGAGAGGGTTAATTTGCTGAGCTTTTTGTTGTTTCCCCTGCTCCCCACTATTTTATTTTCATTTAAATGTAAACACCAAATACTATTGCACAATTGGGCTCAGAATAGATAACGGGAATGCTGCCTACAACCCAGGTAGAAAAGGTGCTGCCAAGATCCAAGAGAACTCTGTGAACTTTGGAGGAGCCCCAGTTCACAGTGACATCTGACACTGAGCACGCGGTGTGTAACCTGGCCTGTTCATGCAGCTTAGCCGTTCCTAGCTCTGAAGAGGGAACCTTAGTGTGATGGGCCATACTTTGGCACCTGACCAGCCCTAAAAAACACGAAGCCCCAGTGGCGCTTCACTGACGTAGCCTTTCCTGGCGGAGGGGAGTGGCATGCATTGATGAGTGATCCACTCTGATGACATGGCACACTCTGCTGAAAGGGTACAAATTGCATCTGTGGGCTCTTTTGCAATATGATATCTCCTGCTGCTGGAGATCCTGACTCAGAAAATAATCAATGGAAAACCCCAAGCGGGGACTCCTTTCCTGAGCCTAAGTTTGCTACCAGTACAGAATGAACTGTAATGTGGGTCAGTCTGGCTGCATTGCCAGTACGTATAGTTAAAATGAGTGAAAAGTAGCCTCAGCAAGCAGCCTTCTCCATCTGTAGTGTGAATTTAATGGACAGGGTTGTTGTAAGTGTATTTTGAACACTTGGAAATGTAATAACAAATGTTATTAGTTTTGCTGCCTCATAACCCAAAATTTCCAGATGGTGTACATAAAAATAATTAAAACAGAATATAAAAGAATAAAAAGTACAGTAAAACAATAGTATTGGTAGATTGCTAGATGCAGTGATGTGATACAGAAAATGTTCTGAAACAATTTCCCCCCAATGCTTCATTTTTCTGTGGAAAAATAACAGCTATCTAATGTTAGCAACTTTGAGTGCAAGAAAAGCTAGAGATAAAAGTATAAATAAGGAAATGGTTGTTCAGGAAACCACATAGTGTTAAATGGAAAAAAAAATGACTTCTTTAAAATTCTGCCTGTAGTTATTCCACAGAAGCCACGTGTCTTTGACTCTGTACCTTCTGAGTCATTTTTGAGCAAATAAGTATTTAGCCGGTTGAGAGAGAAGAAGAACCCCAAACGTTTAAAACCTAGAGTCATCTCCTCGGAGATACAGAAGTTAAGCTGTGCTAAAATTATTGTGAAGAATTGTTGCGGTTTTTATTCTTTTATTTTATTTTCATTTATGAATCGCTTATCATGAGGCATCTCAAAGTGATTTAGTATATAATATGAACATATATAAAACAGTTACACATGTGCAACAGTTTGAAACAATTGCATATATAAAAACAAATTACACACGCATAAACATGTTTGCAACAACAACACATACACCAAATCAGTTCAGATCCCATACAGGTACCAGTCCTTTGCTGTATGCATGCTGGTATCTGTGATTTTCAGAACTTTGCAATACTGAGGACTTAGAAACACTCATTGCTTTTATAATCCACTTTGGAATGAACAAAACTTGTCCATCAGTGTTTAGAATGCATGCTGCTTTTCCAATGCAGCTCACCTAAAGAAAAAATAGTATAAAATCACAAGCTCAAATAAAACACAAAGTAGTTAACCAGCACTAGTTAATATCCCTCTGGATAAATAAGCTTTATATTCTTTTGAGAAAGTTGTGAGGGAAGAGGAACCTAGAACCCTCAGAAAAGCTCGTACACTAAAGCCACTGCTCTGTATAGCTGATGGCATCACTTGGCATAGCAAAGGGTTTTGGAGCAAGGCCTGGGCAATTGTATGGGGTGGTAGTGGTTTGTTTAGGATGGAACCACTTGGTGCCTTATTGGCAAACATATAATATTCCCAACCCTGTGACACGTGGCTTCTGTGGAATAACTACAGGCAGAATTCACAACCCACAGTCCTTCAGGGGGTGGAGGACCTACAAGGTAGAATTGGTGGTTGTGGGAGGAGTGCCCTCAAGGTAACTTCTTGAATCAAAGCCTGGCTGGGGAAGACATTATATCATCTCTCACCATCTGATTCTCCCTGCAAATCATGAAGACAGTACTGACCTAGATCAGGGGTAGGTGACCTAAGGCCCATGGGCCACAAGCAGCCCACGGGGGTTGTTTAACCGGCCCCCGAGCCGCCCCCGAACCGAGCTGCCTGCTTGGCGAGTCCCCGCGCGCTACGCTAAACCAGATGCCGAAATCGTGTCTGCGCAGACGCCGGAAATCGTGGGCGGGTGCGCTCACGTACGCGCGCAATCCGGCCCACGGGGATGTCCGCTGAAGTGAATCGGCCCAGGAGCGGTAAACCTTGCCGACCCCTGGCCTAGATGGATCAACTGGTCTGACTCAGTAAAAGTTAGCTTCCTTTGATGGAGAAAGGCTGTAGCTCAGTGGCAGAGCCTTGGCTTTGCATGCAGACGTTATCGGGCACAATCCATGGCAACATTTCCAGGTAGGGCTGGGAATAGCCCGACTGAAACCCCGGAGAGCTACTAAGGTAGAGGGACCCAATGATATGTCTCTGTGTAAATAGAGCTTTCTGTGATCCTTACAAAGAGCACATATGCAAAACAGAGACATTTCTACAAAGAAAATCTATTGGGGAATGCTACAAAACATTTAGCTATGGCAACATTTTTTTGCCAGAATTTTGCCAAGTTTTATTTATATATTTTCATTTATTTAACAAGATTGGTATTCCTCCTTAATCAAACAATTCACTAAGTGCTTTATTTGTTTGCAATCAAATTTCTACCATGCATTTATTTGCAAAGCAGAAGGCACAAGGCAGCTTATAATAAACCAAAATGAAGCACTATAGCAATAATATAGATTAAATAATATATTAATATAGATTAAAAAAGCAGATTGCTAATACAATACAAAGCAGGCAAAACAATACAAGTTGCTAAACAAATGCAGCGGAAACCCCCTTCTGGAAAAGGTGCAGCTGCTGCTATGCTACCATCTGGCTTCTTCTGGTTACTGGGCAGAGGCTTGCACAATCTGCTCACCCCTGTCTGTGCTTGTCGGGAGAGGAAGAGTATATTTGGTGCCTGGCATCAGCAAGTGCTTATGGCTGTGGCTGGCTGATAATTTTGACTGCAAACTTGTGAGTTGCTGGTTTAAATATGTTTCCTGGAAGTGCGTAGGGATAAGTGGAGGAGGAATGTGAGTTAAGATCTGGGAAGTGTAGTTATTGTTCCTTTTGTCTGAAAGCTGGAGAAGTGCCCCAGTCAGCTAAGCTTGGAAACAGTGAGAAAGGGGACTTAGTGGACAGAAGGAGGGGCTTGCCCTCCCTCTCCCTTCCCACAGTGGTTTATAAAAGGAGCTGGAGTAACAACAGTCTGCAGTTGGAGCCGGTGACAGTACAGCGGAGCCAGGATTTGAGGAAGGCAGTCACCATCCCAGCCTACAGCGCCCAACCTTTTGCCCTTGCAAAGGTGCTTGAGAGCTCTCTGAAGATCGGGTAGCTAAATATATTCACATGGTCTACTGTTTTCTACTGTTTCTCCTCTGTAGAGAGTCTTTTCGTGTGAATAAAATTTTAATTACAGTCCTGGGATAGAAAGATGAGGTAGTTTTGAGTTTCCCCTCTTTAATGGGGTTTCTTTTATGACGGGGTTGTAGCCTTAAAAAGCATCCAAAATAGTTCAGGATAAATGATTACACTATTCAGAAAGTCCACACAAAAGTGTGATGCTCTTTAATCCACTGTGTGTAGAAAGTACTTTGGACTTCCTATAAACCGATTTAGTGCTTTTCCCAAAGCTGCTCTTTGAGACCAAGAGGGCTTCCTTTTTCAAACTTCCTTTTTCAAGCCTCAGCCTGAAATATTTTGGGGGTTTGTAAGAGTCCTAATGACTCATCAGCAGCTTCCCAGCCCCCTGCTGGTCTCTGTACAGGCTGGGCAGAGCCTGTGAGCAACTGGTGGGAGTCAGAGTGCCTTGTTATCATCATGAGTTTTATCGCCCCTCCTTCCTCACTCTTAGGCTTTCTGCCTTGCCGCCTCCTCTTAAAGAAGCACGAGGCATATTCTGGCATTTGGGGGATATCTGTGTTTTATGACAGAGATGGAACAACCTTAAGAGTTCTCATCCTGCAAGTCCAAGTAACTGAAACTTCAGCTGAAAGAGGCAGTTTCCACTTTCTGTTGATCTCTTAATGAAAGTACCAGACTGAGCCGGTGTTCTGAGCCTGCACTCCATGAGAGGATGAGTAACGGGTATTTTTTCAGTTATTGCAAAATTTCAGATTCCATGTTGAGATGTATATAATTTATCTCTTACTTGTTACAAGCTTTCTCACTGTCTAAATATGAGATGGTGGTGGTGATTATTATTATTAATTGAATTTATATACCACCCTATACCCAGAGGTCTCAGGGCGTTTTTTGCCCTTTTGTGTGTTTTTTAGAAAGAAGTGGGGGTTGTTATTCAGATTATTATTTTTTGGTCTGTGTTAAGTCTACAGCAGTGATCCTTTACATCTAGCCTGGAAGAGTTTCTACCAAAAACAGCTATTTGGGCAAGGTTGCTTTAGTTTTGAACCAGGGCTTCAGCTTCCTGGCAGTCTTGCATGCAAAGATGTGAGTTGCGGAAAGCTTGGCAGTCTTGCATGCAAAAATGTGAGTTGCGGAAAGCTTTTTCTTCCTGTGAATATGCTTGAGAATTTAATTGCTTGTTAAATATTTAGTTGACATAATGTAAACTGCTTTCTACAATGCACGTGCACATTCTCCTTCTGTTACAATAATAATATTAAGAGATAGTGCCCCTGTTTATTATAATTGCATCTGTTTAATGTGATTTTAATAAATGGGGTGAGGACCGTGAAGGGGGTGCTGATGATGTCAGTGAAAGTTATTTCCTAATGTTATTTCTATGGTTTTCACATGGAAATAACTACCGCATTTTTCCATCTGTAAGACACTCCCCTGTATAAGATGCCTCCTATTTTGGGGGACTCTGATTTAAGAAAATGGGGGGAGATCTATCCGTGTATAAGACACCCTCAAAATTTGGACATTATTTTTAAGGAAAAAACCTAGTCTTACACAAGAAAAAATACAGTACTTCCCATTTCAGAAATAAAAACATCATCAGAATAATTGGAGAACTTTAAGTAGCATTTCATTTTCCCTGACTGTGGCATTCCTCTTAAGCAGCCACCCTGGTGCCCTTCAGATGTTGTTGGACTGCAGCCCCAGCAGCAGACAGATAATTCTTTCCCATAACCTGACCCTTCTATAGCTGGAGAGATTGAACCTTGGACTTCCTGTGTGCAAAGCACCTGTTTTGCCACTGACCTATAGTAGTGGTAGAGTAGAGAGCCCTTTCAGCACTTGTATACTGTCAAATTTTTACAAAGAGTTAATAAAAACAAGAAGTTTGCCTTCAGTTGAATGTATACATAATTGCATTGCCATTCTCTGCTACATGGTGAAGGCTGTCTGGAAAATCATGTGACTTCTTTCAATTTGTGTCAGACGCATGATTTATGTTTCCGTTGTTAGGTCAGATTTAGCATGTGCTGTCTCGATAACTGAATGCTCCTTTCTTTGCAGGAGTTCCCTGCACACAGCAAAGTAACATTTCAATTCTTCCTGACATGTAAGCTTTCTATGTGCAAGGATATTGTTGCTATTACAGTATTATTGTTCTTAACAGAGGAGAATTCTGCCATGTGAGTCTCCATCTGTAGCCTGAAGTGTTACATCCAAGAAACACATTTATTAATCTGCTGTTTATAAATAGGTGAAGATTGCCAGATCTGCTTGTTTGAGCAGTCAGAATCTAAGTTGGTTATAATTCAGCATATCGCCCTGTAAATATACATAATTTTTAATCACCAAAGTATTAATCAAAAGTGAGGAAAAAATAAGGCTGTCTAGCCAGGAGCTTTTACCACAGTTTTGTTTGTATGTAGACTAAAAGATGGTCATTCTCTTGGGTTTACAGAGGTGTGGTGAGTGTCGTGGAACTGGAATATTTGAGTGAATTTAAAGCCAGGGGTGAGGGAGAAATTCACTTCAGTTTACTTTTAAAGGCAAATTTACCAGATTCACACTTTCTGAAAAGATATGCAAACAAACACAAGGCCTTCCTTTAAAAATTGCACCACACTGAATGAATTACAGTGCAGTTCCCCAGCCAAGCAATAAGTTGTGTTTCTTTTAAGCATACAGTTGTACCTTGGTTCTCAAACGCCTTGCGACTCAAACGTTTTGGCTCTGGAACGCCACAAACACAGAAGTGAGTGTTCCAGTTTGTGAATGTTCTTTGGAACGTCCTACGTGGCTTCCACAGCTTCCAGTTGAGTGCAGGAAGCTCCTGCAGCCAATTGGAAGCCGTGTGTCAGGGAACTGCCATCGGACGGAAGGGAGGTGAAAGGGCTCACACAGGTTGGGAGAGACTCAGCAGCTGAAGAGGGAACCAGCAGGGAGGTGAAAGGGCTCACACAGGTTGGGAGAGACTCAGCAGCTGAAGAGGGAACCAGCAGGGGGAGAGAAAGTGAGCTGGAGGGATGGCTCAGAGACACTTCCAGCGAAAACAGTGGGGAGGTTTCAGGACCTCCTGTAAGAACACCCACTCCTCGCCGGAAACTGTCACGCAGAGAGTCCAGAAGACGTGTTTCCGTTAAGGAGCTTTTATGTTGGAAGCGATTACGAAAGCAACCACTGTCGGAATCTGCTAGTGACTAGAGGAGCCATGTCTGAGGGGCTCCGTCACAGACAGAGGTTTGTGGACTTGAACAAACTCTGAGGGGATACGATTTTACGCACAAGCAGCTCATCATCCCATCACAGCATTCCGACAGTCTTTGAAAGCAGCTTGTGCAGGAGAAGGCATCATGAGCAACCCAGCCGGAACCGGAGAAGCAGGAGCTGGAGCGGGTCCAAGCCTGGAAGAAAGGTACCGGGTGTTGGAGGTCCAGCTAGCGATGCAGACGGCGAGGCTTGAGGAGAGGAGGGCTCAGGATGCAGACAAAAAGGGGGAAAGCCACCCAGCTCGCCAGAAAGGTACCAGGATTGGTGCAGAAGTTTGGGGGGGAGCCCAAAGATTATCATGGCTTTCGGACAGAGATGCAATATGCCCTCAATCTGCAGTTTGATGAATTCCCTGACGAGGAATCACGAGTGGCTTTCGTGATTGAGCATCTTGAAAAGGGGGGCGAGAGACTGGGTTAGACCCCTGATGGCAGCGAATAGTGACGTCTTAAAGGACACGATGAAGTTCTTTCGCGCCATGGATCTGATGTTTTCCAGCGATATTGAACAGGGAGTGGTGCGCAGACAGTTAATGGCTTGCAAACAGGGGAGCCGATCTGTCCGTGAGTACTGGACTGAGTTCACCATGCTGGTTCACAGATTGGGGTGGGACTTATCGGCGGAACCCATTCAAATGCTCTTTGAAGAAGGGCTTTCTTCGGCTGTGAAAGACGAACTTTCCCGGGCGCCCAGGGCGGAGTCTATGGACCAGCTGACCAAATCAGCGCTGACCATAGGAGCGCGCCAGGAGGCGAGAGCATTGGAGAGGCGGGAAGGGAAAGGGGACGTTGGAAGGAGTTCCGCATTCCAGACATTCCAGAGCCAACTTTCCCGCCGGCAGAGCCGATGGAAATCGGAACAGCGCGCGCGCGCGCAGTTTCAAAGCCCAGGAACTAAAAAGGGCCTTCGCCTCGGAACAACAACTCCTGCATGTGGATTTACAAAAACCGATGAGAGTGGAAACTGACGCATCAGACAGAGCGATTGGGGCGGTGCTTCTGCAGCCAGGGAAGAAGGAGTCAGAGTGGAGACCGTGTGCCTTTTTTCGCGAAAGCTGAACAAATCCGAGAGGAACTACACGGTGTATGACCGAGAACTACTAGCCATTCATGAGGCGTTCCGGAGATGGAGGCACCTGCTAATTGGCGCACAACATAAGGTGCAAGTGTGCACTGACCACAAGAACCTAGAGTATTGGAGGACGGCACGAGTGCTCAACCAACGGCAAGTGAGATGGGCCCAGGAGTTCTCCAAATTTAACTTTGAGATTTGTTACGTGCCAGGCCCAGAGAACATTAGGGCGGACGCTCTCTCACGCAAACCTGAATATTTGGAGGGGAGGAGCACCCGAAGAGAGACATGTCATTCCAGAGGACCGCTGGGTGTGTGGGGCGGCATTGGTGGGACAAAGAGAACTGGTAGAGGAAACAGAGAATGATGAATACGCCCAGAATAAGCTCAGAGGTCTTAGGGGTGAGGGAGAGGAACCAGGGGGTTTCGAGGAAAGAAATGGAGCTTTGTATTACAAAGGGGCACTGTATATCCCTGAAGGAGACTTAAGGGGAGGGTACTCAAGCAGTTGCACGACAGCCCTACGGCGGGGCATTTTGGACAACACAAAACCATGTGGTTGGTCACCAGGGAATTTTGGTGGCCTAAGGTGAGGGAAGATGTACGTGAGTATGTAAGAGGGTGCGAGCAATGCCAGCGAGCCAAAGGGGAAAGGCGGGCGCCGGCGGGCTGTTAGAACCCTTACCAACCCCAGAACGACCTTGGGAGGCAGTGTCGATAGATTTTATGACTGATCTGCCGAAGTCCAAAGGGAAAACAGCCATCATGGTGGTGGTAGACCTACTAACAAAGATGTGCCACTTTGTAGCTTGCTCGCATGCAGTCACGGCGGAAGAGACAGCGAAGTTATTTGTAGAACACATTTTTAGGTTGCACGGGGTGCCATTGAGGGTGGTCTCAGACCGAGGAAAACAATTTACTTCCAGGTTCTGGAGGAAGCTCATGAGCTTACTGCAGGTGGAGGTCAATTTTTCGACTGCCCGGCACCCTGAAACCAACGGGCAGGCGGAAAGAGCAAACGGTGTCCTCCAGCAATACCTGAGGTGTTATGTCAATGACAGAGAGAATGACTGGGTAGAAAAGTTGGCGCTGGCGGAATTTGCCTACAACAATGCCGAGAATGTGTCCACAGGGATGAGCCCCTTCTTGGCTAATTATGGGTGTCATCCCAGGGCTTTCCCAGGGGAGATGGGGAGAGATGGAGCGTCCCGGCAGCCGAGCATTTTGTGGAAGAAATGGAAGCAATCCATCGTCAGCTCCAACTCAACTTAGAAAGGGCGAAGGAAGAATACAAGAGGCAGGCAGACAAGAACCGAAGGGAAGGTGAAACCATAAGGGTGGGAGATAGGGTGTGGCTGTCAACCCAAGGGTTGCCGTTCAAAGGAGGTTGTAAGAAATTAAGACCCAGGAGGTTGGGTCCCTTTGAGGTCATTCAACAGGTCAACCCAGTGGCTTTCAGGCTCCGGTTACCCAACCACATGAAACTGCACCCAGTATTTCACAGGTCGTTACTGTCACCGTACGAAGGGGGACGAGAAGGGATGGCCACTCGGGGACCGGTCATAGAAGAAAGAGAATGCAGCAGCCATGTGGCAGAAATCCTCGACGCCAGGTGGAAGGGGGATCAGGTGGAGTATTTGGTAGCGTGGGAAGGAGAACCGGAGTCAGAAAACACTTGGGTAATGGCCGAAGATATCAATGACGAGGTATTGATAGAAACGTTCCATCAAAGGTTCCCAAGGAAACCTCAGCCTGTGGAGAGGTTCCGGAGGGAATACTTTGGGACCACTGATGAGGGGAGGAGTTGGAAGGATTCCCGGACTCGGAAGGGGAAGGGGAGATGGACTCTGAGGAGGAGGAGTACTTCGAGACCAGGAACCGCAACAGGTGGAGAGAAGTGTTCGAGACATCGGAAGATGAAGGAAGTTCATTCCGGGGTTTTGCCTCCTCACCGCCCGTAGAGGAGGGGGCGAGAGGGGGTGAAGGGGGCCCTGGAGGGGAGGTGGATGTCAGGGAACTGCCATCGGACGGAAGGGAGGTGAAAGGGCTCACACAGGTTGGGAGAGACTCAGCAGCTGAAGAGGGAACCAGCAGGGAGGTGAAAGGGCTCACACAGGTTGGGAGAGACTCAGCAGCTGAAGAGGGAACCAGCAGGGGGAGAGAAAGTGAGCTGGAGGGATGGCTCAGAGACACTTCCAGCGAAAACAGTGGGGAGGTTTCAGGACCTCCTGTAAGAACACCCACTCCTCGCCGGAAACTGTCACGCAGAGAGTCCAGAAGACGTGTTTCCGTTAAGGAGCTTTTATGTTGGAAGCGATTACGAAAGCAACCACTGTCGGAATCTGCTAGTGACTAGAGGAGCCATGTCTGAGGGGCTCCGTCACAGACAGAGGTTTGTGGACTTGAACAAACTCTGAGGGGATACGATTTTACGCACAAGCAGCTCATCATCCCATCACACCGTGCCTTGGTTGTCGAACGTTTTCGGAAGTCGAATGGGCTTCCAGAACAGATTCTGTTCGACAACCAAGGTGCAACTGTATATTTGGGTAAAGTATGCATGAAAATGCATATACAGTATTTGTGAAAACAGCATACAAAAATACATTATATTAGGGGAAATTACTTTGCAAAAACATGTATATTAGTCAAAATTGCATTAAAAGGGTGCTTATTAGGATAAATTTGCCCTAAAATGCTGATTAATTTCCATGAGGATTTTTTTTCTTAAATTCACAAATTTCCACAGAAACTGAATTTAAGACTGGAAAAACATGACACTGAGACCCAATACTGACAAATCTATTCTCCATTTAAAACAGTCAGTTCCAAGAAAGTGCTCTGATGAGATGGAATGTTGGGGTGTTTCTCTCTGTTGCCCTCTTAGACTGCAATCTTGGGGGTCAGGTGGATAAGAGTACAGTCGTATCTTGGATCCCGAAGGCCCTGGAACTCGGACGTTTTAGCTCCCAAACGTTGCAAACCCAGAAGTGATTGTTCTGGTTTGCAAATGTTCTTTTGGAACCTGAGTGTCTGATGCGGCTTACGATTGGCTGCAGGAGTTTCCTGCAGCCAATCAGAAGCTGCGATTTGGTTTTCAAACGTTTTGGAAGTCGAACGGACTTCTGGAATGGATTCTGTTTGACTTCCAAGGTACGACTGTACTTGGCAAACTCTATCCCTTTTCCCAGGTGGCAGCAAAGTTCACGAGGTACAACCTGATGTTGCAAGCGAGATGCTTAAAATCTGGCTGCAGGACTTTTGTGCTTTTTTTGGCTCCTGAAGTGCTTGAGACCAGAGCTCCTTTTAGAGCCACTTGGTATTAGTGCAAGGCCAGGAGGTGCATCAAGGTGAAGCTGGAACTTCCAGTTGAAAAAGTCAGAAGAATTTTCAGTGTTAATAAGAAAACAGAAATACAGACTCGACTCTACATTTAATTCTTTAAAAAAGCAGTGAAATAAATGTGGCCAGGCAAAGCTAAACTTTGCCTTAAGAGCATAATGATGGTTTTTCTTCAGGGACTTGCAAGCTGGTGCTCTCGCCTTGAGAGGGGAGAGTTTCTCTTTTTGAGCATAGCTTTAAGGGGTGAACTGAGCACTTCTGTCTCTCTTGGCCACTTCCTCTGGGGAACTTTCTACTCTATGAAGCCTGCATGTCTCTCTCTTTCTCTTGTGAATCAGGTAGCCATCTTTTTGCCTTTCTGTTTTTCTTTACTGAAGAAATGGACCCTGCAGCTGCAGGGGTTATGAACAGACCAGGGGTGGGGGGCAGGTGAGGGCTTTGAATGGGTGGCCAGCCCTGCTTAGATGATATTCTTCACTTGCATTCTGAAGCCTTGGCTGTCTCTTCTCTTCAAGCAGCATTTGGCAGTGATTTCAGCATTTCACCTCCAAATCAAGGATGCCCAGTATTTGCTTACCCATGGATGAAATGTTTTTTCAAGGGCCTTAGAAATACACTGGCAGAGGGTATTGGGTTTTTTTGTTAATATATATATATATATATATATACACACACACACACACACACATATACACATACACACACCACCCTGTGATCACCAGATGAAGGATGATATAGGTAGGAAATAATAAAATAAAAATAAAAATAATGACCCCTGGGAATGGCAGGTAGTCTCCTACTGGGAGCTCACTCTTGGCCCCTGCTCAGCTGATGCCATGACCTTCAACCTTTGTTTACTTGTGATCTGCATCTACCATTCTTCATAAACAGGTCCATTGGGATGCATCCAGACCAAGTTAGGCCCCATTCAAACCAATGGATAAAGGTGCTTGATGACTTAATGGTTCCTAGGACTTTAGAAAGTTTTCTCCTACAGAGTTGCTCATATTTTAGTTGGGTGTCTAGGACTTGGCCTTATTGATGTGGTGTTGGGAAAGCATTTTATGTATTTTGTGGTGTTTTTACATTTATTTGTTTTTAATAGCTTTTATGTATTGTATTATATACTGTTAATCTGCTTTGAGACCTTCTCTTTTGTGTAAAGTGACTGATGAATGTAATTATTATGAATAATAATAATCCCTAGTCCCATTGATTTCAATGGTAACAAAGTTCAGCTAACTTACTCTGGAACCAGGCCATTGAACTGCATTCTTTGCTTCTCATCCAAAGAATGAGATGTTTTCCTCGGCTGTATATAAGCCTGTTTCTACATCCATATTCTAGTGAAGTTAAAAATTCAGTGGAAGTAGTGAATGGCTAGAAAACGCAGGGATACCATAATCATGAAAAAGAGTATTTGATTTAAGACACTGCCCTAGATTGACAGATCATTTCCGCAGAGCAACTTGGAGCTCAGAAGAGAAACCTAGCAGTAAATGCCTGTTTCAGTAAGACCTTTCAGGAAGCGAGGCAGTTGAGTGTCATCCCCAGTTCTGCTTTGCTTCAAAACAGAGGCAGGCCTTCCTAGAGACAGTTGCCTTAAGTGGTAGGTTTTGGGTGTTGCTAAGGGTAGCAGCAGATTGGAAGACAGGTAGGTCTGATCCCTAGAGTGCAACAGCAGGAACTACCCCTGTGTAAGCCCAATGGAAATGAGCAGGACCTCTGCATTTTAAGGCCAAAGTGAAGGAACCTCCTGCTGGATGTTTGGCTGTAATGCTTTCCAGGAGTGTGGGGTCCTCTAGATGTTTGGGGCTAAAACTTCCATATGTCCCAGCCAACAAAGCCATATTTCCTACTCCAGCGCAACCTTGCTGGCTGGGGCTGCTGGAAGTTGTAGTTTAAAACATCTGGAAGGCATTGAGTTGGGGAAGGCTGTGGTTTCCAGTGTGGCAGAAGAGATGGGGGTTATGGAACAGTCCATAGACTGCTCCACTGATGAGGGGAAAACATTTGGAAATGACTTCTTAATAGCACCAAGTGGAATATGCTGTTTGTAACGATTGCAATCTGCCCTGGTCTTTTCTGCATGGAAGGCAAATACGGAGGTGTGATCTCCGAAGGCAGCATGAAGAAAGGTTGCTGAACAAATTCCCGGTGTGGGAGACTCAGGAGAGCAGACTCAGCCCGTCTGGAATGCGAGGGGGAGGGGAGAAAGTCATCTTGCCACCATTATTCAAGCCACTCTTTTGTCCAGTTGCCCCCCCCCCCCAGCACTTTAAGGATTGGCCGTGTTTCTTGGAAGCTTGGTGAAAGAAGTATTGCTTGGCTTAACAGAAAGCCATGGCAACCTGAGCAGGCAGATGACAGAAATTCCCAGAGTATTGGCAAGGAACATTCTTCTGCACCGCCGTAGGCATTGAGCCTGAGCAGACATGGCTGGCTCCCGGAGACTGCAGCCCAGCGGCCTCAAAAGCTACCCCCAGGTCAGCTACAGTGGCTGCTGGCTAAGGAAGCCTATCACTCCTTGCCAGGCCCGTTGCTACAGCTGTTGCCCCAGACACAGCAGTGCCAGCAGTTGGGTGGCACACGGCACTGTGGTCATTGTGTTCTAGGAGTGCCTGGGTGCATTTCCTAGGTGAGAGGAGGCTGGAGAGCTGAGCTGGAGATGGAGCCCTTAAAAGTGCACTCCACCCTGTTTTTTATTTGCAAATATAACGGGGGGAAAGAAGAGGTTAATTGATAGACAGAGATATATTAAACAAACCATTGCCAATTGACCCAGGAAAGCCCTGCAGTTTTGTTGATTTTGAAATGCTGCCTTTGGGTTCCAACTTTGTGGTTGTGCTGCTGGGTCCTTTGCCTGCTTGGATCCCTTTCTTTCTTTGGGCCTTAGCAGGCAGAAGGAGATCATGTTCTAGAGCAGCCTGGTGCCCTTCAAATGTTTTGGACAGCAACTCCCATCAGCCCCACCCAGCACAGCTGGGGCTGATGGAACTTGTATTCTAAAACATCTGGAGGACACCAAATCAGCAAAGGCTGCTCTGGAAACTGGCAGGGTGCAAGGAGGGGGTGGGATACATGTGCATTGAAAGATAATAGTAATCTAATTTAGAATGTAGTCACCACAAATTCTCTAAATTTGAAGCAATGGTAAAGGCTGAGAATTAATGGAAAACCAGAAGAAACCAGTAAGAAATGAATGCTCTTGTGTAACTCATATTCACAGCAGTGAGGCTTGTGCAGGAGGAACTGGTGCCATTAGTTTCGTGCAACAACAATGGCCTTCAAATGTGGTGCTAACTGGTATTGATGTGCAAATAAGCTTCCTTGAAATAATGAGCAGCGTTCAAGTGTACATGTTGGATGAATTTAAGAAATAGGGAATATCTGTGTGGCCATTAGTTAAATAAGGACTTGCTTCTCTATACCAACTTCCTGTCCAAAATAAGCAAATATTTCTGCATTTTGGCTGTGCTGGGGGACCAGTAACAAAGTTAATGGTTTTCTTACTGAACATTGTTTCTTGACTAAACAACTCTACATTGCTTGGCTGTTACTTTGAGAGTGAAGTCCAATATAAGCAGGTTTATTCTGGTCTGTACCTCTGGCCCTCTTAATTTCCATGGTTGGTCAGTCCTCCTCTTACCGCCCAGGTTTAGTCTATAATATGACCTGAGTAGTCACAGGCTTTGAGGTGCAGCCTTTGGGAAATGAGAGAAAGAACAATATGCACTTGTGAATATTCATAAATATGTGCCTCCTGAGTTTTTTTTTTGTTTTTGTTTTTTAAGAATCTGTTTAAGATTTTGCCTCTGCCTATTTCTCGGGGAAGAGATGGCTGATTCCTGTGGCCTCCATCTGTTCCTAGCTGTGCAGCATGCGATAGAGGGCCTCCTGCAGGCTCAGTGGGGGGCATTCCTCTTGTCTGCGATGGGAGGCTCCCTCCCTGCTTGGAGTGGTGTGTGCTTTGGTTGGGCAATGTGGACAGGAGATGTTTCTCTGGCAACATGAGTGCTGCATGCAGACCTGACTGAACAGCAGCCCACAACTAAGGGAGATGGAGTTGCTGCACTGCAGAGTCATAGCTGGGATTGCCTCCCCCTTCCCTTTCCTTCCCCTCCCCTTCCCCTCCCCCCTCTCCCCTCTCCGCCTGCTCGCTTGCATTCAGCCTGGCTATAGGGAGAGATGTGCAGGGCTGGCGGGCTGCACTTCTGACAATAGTGCATCAGTCCTCGCAGGCAGCTCCAGATTCGTTGGCGCCGGAGCCCGGCTCCAATGGCAGCCCCTGGCTGAAGCAGAGCCTCATAGCGCAGGGCTGGCATGTGGGAAGGGCTTGCTTTTGTCTCTGCAGGAGGATGTCGGACTGTGACACAATGCTTGTTTGTTTGCAATAGCTGAGACCGTCCTAAGAGGGCAAGAGGCAGGGGCAGATCGGAGGAGGGAAGACCGGCAGCCAGCAGCGGCGGCAGGGGAAATTGAGAGCCGTGACATCGCACCTTTCCCTCTTGTGCCCAGAAGTGAGTGAGGGAAAGAGAGGCAGAAGAGAGGAGGAAGGAAGAGAAAGACTGAGAGAGAGAGAGAAAGAGGACGATGTGTCAGTCAAGCGCCCTGCAGGGACCAGAGCTGCACTCAGGGAAATGGTGAGATGCTGCAAAGCTTTATCTAACCCTCCTCGTTCTTGCTGCAACCTTCACAAAGTTAGAATTCATGTCCGGAGGCTGAGCTCAGGGAATGGTGGCAGCAGCGGCAGCTGTGCTGGGGAGCAGCACCCGCAGCTGGAAAATCCGGGCCCAGGTGGGGGCACCCCAAATAGGAGAGCCCGTTTCAGGTACAGTCTAGCATATGTTTTGCTTTGTCAGAAGGTGCTGGAAGGAAGGGGGAGGGGGGAAGGAAGGGGAGGAAGGGAGGGAGGAAGAGTGGCAGCTGCCTGCAAAGCCTTTGTTTGGCCCAATTTACTCCCAAGCTCTTTATGCGCTTGATTGACAGTCAAAGTGGGTGTTGCACTGGAGTTGGGCATCCTTTCCCCCTTCCAAGCCTTTTTGAGGAGTGGGGCAAGAGTGAAATAGAGCAGCTGGGTGTGTGTGTGGAAAAGAAGGGCCATGTGGGGGCAAGCAAGGATGCTTTACAGCTAGCTGCAGCTCTGCGGGGATTGGCCCATGATTGTCTGCAGCGAAAGGGGGGAGATGGAGGAAGAAGAAGGAGGCAAGAGAGAGGCATCTTTTTCTTTGAGCTCCCCTCTGTGGATCCAGCCAGTGAGAGGAGGCTGAGCAGCATCCATGAGGCCCCATTACAGCCTCCCCCCCTCCAGGCCGAGCTTCCCTTTGAAGATTAGTAAACTTTACTCTTCTTTGGCCCTAAGGAAACCTGGCTGCCCCTTATTTGTGGGGAATTGCTTGAGCCTTCGTTGACCTCATCAGGACCCCAAAGCACTCCTATTCCCCAATTTTCACTCTGGGTCCAGACCCTGACCAGAATGTGTGCTTGGAAGCGTCCCATAGGCTCTCTTGCCGCTTCCTCCTTAGAAGGAAGTAAAGGGGTGGGTTCTTCTTTTCTCCCTGATATGGGTGGACTGTGTGTGGGCAAGGAACAGGCCTGCTAAGCAAGTGATCACTTTTAGGCTCAAAGGAGATTGAAGTGCCGGTGGCTGCAGCCAAGTGGAGGCTTATTCAGTTGTTGTTCCAAAAATGCAGGTAATTTAAAACAGAAAAGCAGAGAATTACCTGTCCAGAAAGAATAATCAAAACAGAGCTGGTCTCTCCCAGTCGTATCTTTTTTTGCTTTTGTCCAGTGAGAGGTTCCTCTGGCCTCAGTCCCATGGCAAGAGGTGTAGAACCCCTTGACTTTATGAAGGCCCAGGGAACTGTTAGAGAAAGAAAAATAAGGGGATTGGCTTTTGCTGCCGAACTCCCCAAGGGACCGAGTCCCCTAAGTCCATGATCGGTCAGAGATCAATTGATGGGGGCAAGATCCATAGAAAGCAAGGCAGATCTTTATTTTTCTGTTGCAACAGCGTTCCCTCCCCTCCTTGCAAGGAGGTAGGAGAGACCTAGAACAATGGTGTGCAAGCCCCTATAAAGACTTTTGAAATTGCCTACCCTGTAACCCAAGACCACCCCCCAAAACATCATACATACATCACAGAAAGAGGCGGTCTCCAGCAGAAATTTGAGAGTGCTGCTTCTCTCCTGTCTGCCAGGATACCTGATATTTTCTGGGTAGCCTGGCCATTCCTTTGAGATGATAAACACTTTAGTTCCTGAATCTCTTACACATATTGATAGTTTAACAGATACTTGCCAGACTGTATTTTCAGGGAGGTGTAAGCCCCTCCAGTCCAAAGACAATTGGAAAGCTTTTCCCATTTCCTTCCTCCTTGCAGAGAAATATTTGAGGTCAATTTGGGAGAGTCAAAATGGCTTCAGGATTACTCAGGAGTACTATTTCCGATACGTAGTTTATATCCTTATGTATGTGTTTGCCTTGTACATTTATGAACATTTATTCTATATTTGAGACCTTAGAATTCTTATAATCACCCTGGAAGTGGAGTGAACCTTTGGTGCTTAGTAGCAAGTGTGTTCTGCTTTAGGCGAGACCTTTTGGTCTCCCTGGATGACTCAGGATGTAACATTTTCCTGGTTTCATGCAGCCCTGCTGCTGTAGGATCCTATCCCTGGCTCTGTGCAGGACCTGTTACTGGCTGGTAACTTTTAGCCTTAGCAGCTCCTTCACTAGGATTTGCCTGACAAAGTTTCCTTGGGACGCCAAAAGAAAGGCAGGAAACCCCCTCTGTGCTCTTTTGTACACAGTAGTAGTTTGGGTACGATTACTGCAAGCCCCAAAGAAATATAGGTTCTCAAATAGCAGGGAACAAGGCTGGGGCCATGTTGGTTTCATCCTACAGCGTCAGTGGGAAGATAGACCTTCCATTACTTGGTAATAATGCCTCTCTGCCATCCTCCATTACAGCTCTTTTGCTGCAGACAATTCCATGTCCACACTGAATTATATTTTAGAGAGTATTCTGTCTTTTCCAAATGTGTCATTGCTTTCTTTCTAGTGGATTATGGGCAAAGCCTTTTATTGAGTGGTTCTAAAAAGTACAGTGTGGCTTAGGCAGGTCAGCCTAAAGACAGCCTCGCTTCCCTTCTGAAACAACTGCTGAGTAGCAAGTGCATTCTCACACTCATTCCTGGCCTTTAATTTTTGGGAAAGAGCAAGAGCGGGTGGATGGGCAGGTGGTAGGTAGAGATGTTCCCGTGTCCACAGAGAGGTGCTTCTGATTGACCAGGTGCTTGACTTTTGAGAGTCATCAGTGCCTGTGCTCAAGTTGGCTGACCGTTTTTGTGTGTGTGTGTGTGTGTGTGATCCTACAGGTTGCAATTTCCCCAGCTGGCCCTGAGGCGGAGGTTGGGCCAGCTGAGCTGTATGTCTAGGCCCGCTCTGAAACTCCGTTCTTGGCCTCTGACTATTCTCTATTACCTTCTGCCTTTTGGTGCTCTTAAACCCTTGACCAGAGTGAGATGGAGGCCTATGAGCAGGGTAAGTGCTTGCAGGTTTGTACTGCGCTTTCGGATGCCTTATTTGGAGGAGGAGGGTGGCTGTTAGCAGGGAGAAAAGGCTGAAGTAGAGCTGGCATATGGAGCCCTTCCCCTGCCACCCCTTTCTCAATCACATCACTAGTGGAGCTTGGAGAGCATTTCCTTTTAGTGGATAATTTCACCTGCTAGCGTCATGTGTGGAAGTTATGTGTGGAATCAGCTCCTAGAGAGAAAATGAGAGGAAAATTCTGGATAAGCCAAGGTGCATTTATTATGATGTGAAGATGGATGTTGGCTTACGCCATCCATGGCTGCTGAGAGGGCAGGGACCCTCACTGGGCACTGTGATATTTTGGGAGATTGACGCTGCACATGTTGCAGGAATGCTTTGTTGCATCCCTTCATGCAAACATGTCTGTGCCAGACCTCTGCGGGTATGCAATACATGAAAGGACACTGTCAACTTGTATAGTATAGGAGTTTTTAAAACAAGCCATTTGTGCCTTAGTCATGCTGGTATTACAAGCATATTGTGCCATTATTTTGAATATAATTGTGTCGTGCCAGGAAACCGCTGGGCAGGAGTCTACCTTCACAGCCATTTCATTCATCCTCCCCCCCCTTTAAATGGGAATAGTGTTGCTGAGAAGAATCATTAGCTGGAAAATCATTAGTGTGATCTTCAGAGTGGCTATTGCTCACTTGCTTTTCAGTCTACTCTTATTTTAAAGCTGACTTTCCTCCTTCATCTTAAGTCCATTTCAGGCAGCCATAAGAGAATCTTATGAGCAGGCAGTCATGGCTATAAACCTCACATCCCTTTTCTTCCAGGGAGCTCAGGGTGGTGTATATGGAGGTTCTCTGATTTTTATCGTCACAACCAGTGCTTTTTTTCTTTAAAAATGTTTAGGGGTACTCTCATTTTGACTCAAGAAAATCACCATTTTATAGTTCAAATTGGGAAAAATAAATACAGTAAATGAACAAAAGTACAAAGATTCACAAAATGTTTAGGGGTATGTGTACCCCTGCATACCCCCAGGAAAAAAGCACTGGTCACAACTACCCTGTAAAGCAGACTAGGCAGGCAAAGGGATTATTTTCTCTCCTCTACTGCACAATATTGAATTCTCTTAAAGTGATTTTGGCCACTCAACAGTTGCCTCCAACAGCCTTCCCTTCAGAGTGTCTGTTTTTCCTCTGTGCAGGCAGCATTCTACATTTGAGCACCCACCTTCCAAACTGAAGTGGGCCTGTTGCATGCTTCTGAAACGGAACTGTGAATAAAAAGGGGTGGTGGCAGGGGGGTGCCTAAAAGAACAGAATCTACTGACAAGGAGCTGCTGTCTAATGCATAGCCCACCTGCAGTTTTTAATGGCATGCTGTGTGTTGCAGTCTGTGGTTTTCCCAAATGTGTAGCTTTTCATTGTTTCCAAATGGTAGAGCAGAAGCTACCCTGAAAAGAAGAACAGGGTGTATGTGTGTGGCCCCGAGCTAGCCTGGGGCCTTCTAGGCCTGAGGAACTTACCTGGCAAATATTAGAGAACACATGGTGAACCAAAATGGATGCCAATAATGGAAAAAGTTCAACTGATTGAAATGTTTGGTGAATCACAGTGGCAATTAATGTGAGATCTTGGGAGATGATATGGACCTGATGTAGGGTTAAAGAAAGCTTCATTCCTAATAAGATAGTAAAAGGAGCAGTGTCACAAGTGAGTTGTTTTCAAGAGTATGTTGGAATGTGTCAAAGTGACCCCAGTAAAGGCTTGCCAAAAAAATAAAGGGAATATAAGAACATAGCAAACAGCCTATGTTTTGTCTTCACTGATTGGCAGTGGCTCTCCTGGGTTCCAAGCCGAGGACATTCCTAGCCCTACCTGGAGAAGCTGCCATTGAGGCTTGAACCTGAGGGCTTCGTTATGCAATGCAAGTGCTCTGCTACTGAGCTACTGTACTACAGAGCTACAGGTCCCAGTTACACTTTCCACTACGCAGATTACGGGCACCCATAATCTATTACTTAGGTAGGGTCGCCAACCTAAGTGATGAAATTGACATAAAAGCTGGTACAGTTGCCAGTCAGAACCTAGGAAGATTCTCCCTCCTGCACTTGTTCAGACCACACGACTCGTTGGCCCCTGACAACTTTATTCCGAAATACTGCAGGAAACTTGGAAATCATTTTAAAGAATAGTTGCACTGGAGAAAGTAAGGATAGGAAATAGTAAGTCTTGGATTCATATTCAAATTACTCTGATTGCTTAGTCAAGGCAATTATAATGCTCTTCTTAATCCATATTATTTTCTAACTGCTATATTGCTATACTAGATTTCTAGTCTTTCTTTGAAGGTCATAATATTATCTTCTGTATGAAGGATAATATTATTTTCTGAGTGAAGGATTGTGGATCAGCAAACCAGTTTGTTTGTATCACTTGCCATCTTGAGTATGTGGTCTTTATCACCAGCTATACTTTGCCCCCTGGCTAACCCACCGGGTTGCTGAAGTGCACATTTGAAACCTAGATGACACCAGCACATTAACACCAAGTGTTGCACACCCTTTTGATCATAAGGGAGCTTGAAAAATTCAGGAGATATAAAAAGTAGCTTGCTTTCTGCTTCCTGGCTCAGTTTTCAGAGTGTTCTGATGAGTGAAATAAAGTGGCGTTTCTTTTAAGGAGAAAGATAAATATTTTCCTATTTTTATGAGGAGCCTCATAATTAGGAATAGTGAAAGGACATGAGTTGTCCTGTATTATCCCGAGTGTACAAGCTGCAGTGGCAACAGGCTGGTGTGTCTGTGTGCCATGATCACAGCGCAGTTCCAAGCATTTTCCCTCTGAACTCAGCTGAGCAAATACAACCCTAGACACTTCCCCCACCCCTCCTCGAAGCATTGTTCCTCGCCTGACATGGCTGTGCCAATAGCCAGCCATGTAGGAAACTGCAGATGCAGGAGAATAGGTCTGTGGAAGTGGCTGCTGGGGCACCCTGCTCTTCCTTCCTAAGCCAGAAAGCTGTTGAACAGCTTTGCCCAGTGATGATGGCAGCTGGGCTGCACCTGTACACCAGTCAGACCTTTTCATCATACCAGCAGTCTCTGTACTTATCCTAAAGTAATGACCCCCGACCTGTCATACTGGTGCCTAGTTATAGACTGTCCTTATATCCACAGGAACTCATACTAGAAGGGCTGGAGGGGCACAACCAATGCATTACCTTCTGGGGTTTTTACTATAGCTCCCATCATCCCTGAACAGTGGCCATGCTGACTGGGGCAGATGGGAGCTGTAGTTCAAAGTATTAGAAGGGCAGTCAGACCATTGGTCTATCGAGCTCAGTATTGTCTACGCTGACTGACAACAGCAGTTCTCCAGGGTTTAAGATGGGACAGTCCCAGCTCTACCTGCTGGGGACTGAGCCTGGGATCTTCTGCCTGTAAAGCAGATGGTCTATCATTGTGCTGCGTCTCTCATCCTGCCACTCTGTCCTTCTCAAGGACACCCTTCCACATCTTGAGGTGTACTGTTTTTGGACATTCCCATTCCAGATAGCTTCCTCCTTTCAAGGGTTGGTTGGGATTGATGGGAGTTGTCCAAAACATCTGGAGGTTACCAAGCTGATCTAACGAAAGCATGATCTTTATCAAGGGGGATAAAGTTAGCTTGGCAAGATTTGCTATTGGAAGATCCATTCTGGCTAGTTTTGTGATGCTCTGCTTTTTTCCTTTTCTTTTCGGTAAGCAATTTACAGACAAGTGGCATGGCTCTTCTAAAGTTTCTGCCATGTTGAGAGATTTTCTTTTCCCAGCTCTGCGTCCCTCAAGAGGAATGCCAGGGGTTTCAGGATTAACCAAGGGGGGATTTGAAGGAATTAGCTACAGCAATTTCCTCAGGCCTTGCTGCCTACAGATAATCCCGCAGTATTTTAACCTGTTCCCACCCTGTTCTGACCTAGATCCTATCCCTGCTTTACAGTTAGCACACCCCTCCCACAGAATACAAAGCAACCTCCTCCTCCTTGCCAGTCACAGCAATTAATCAAGAATATATCTGTGTTCCAGTTGCACAGAAGCAGCAGAATGCAGGATTCTTGCATCAAGGTCTGGGTGCTGGTGCAAATGGAACCATGGCCTCCTTGTTCTAGGGGCAACTCCCACTCCCTGCATCATATCCAGGGTAGCTGCTTGTGCTGCCACAAAGACCTTACTAGCCCAAAGAGTTATTCAGGGGTAGAAGGGGTACTGGGCCACCACTAGCCCCTTCTACCCTTCCTTGAGAATGTGCATGATCTCCATGGGTTTGTTTTTCCAGTACAGCAGTCAGGGAACTGTTTACTTTGGGGAAGGGCCGCAGTTCAGTGGCAGAGCAGCATCTCCAGGTTGGACTGGGAGAGACGCCTGAGACTGAATCCCTGGAGAACTGTTGCTGCTGGTCAACGTGGACAGTACTGAGCTGGATGGACTAAGGGCCCAACTCTGTTAGGCAGCTACTGCTGTTCCTATATACTTTTGCCAAGACACAACATCCTCAGAGATGTGAAATTGCTCATGGTGGCCCCCAGCGAATAGGCATCCTGAAGCCATGAGGCCCTTTCAGAAGTTGTTAGCAGCTGCGGAGTTGCCTCTCCTCCCAACCTCACTGCCTAATCCAGGGGAGAGAACCAGTCATCTATTCGAGGTGCATATGCTATGAGGATATGTTCAGCATAGCTCAGTTGGTTGGGCATGAGATTCTTAATCTCGGTGCCGTGGGTTCAAGCCCCACACTGGGTAAAATATTGCAGGGAGTTGGGACTATCAGGGTTTCCCAAACTTGGGTCTCCAGCAGTTTTTGGACTACACCTCCCATCATCCCATGCTAGCTGGACCAGTGGCCAGGGATGATGGGAATTGTGGTCCAAAAGCTGCTGGAGCCCCAAGTTTGGGAAACCCTGGACTAGATGATCCTTGTAGTTCCTTCCAATTCTATGATTCTATGAATGGATTCTATGAACCATTTCATGGTTAGACCAAAATGTGGAAGCTGCCATGATCATTATTTGGGTGGTGTGTGTGTGTGTGTGTGTGTACCCCGTTAATTAGTCTTTAATTGCCAGCTTTTTTACGTCCAGCCTTTCCACCTTTGTAGATCAGTAGAGGGTGCATGGGAAATTACATTCTCCTCCCAACATACTCCCCCACCAGCAGTCTCTGATCTCTTGCATTAAAATTAGCCAAGGGCAGGTTTTCAGTTGTTTTTTTCAGGTGAGTGGGTGTCGTGAAGTAGCTCCCATCTTCCTCCTCTGTTTTTAGGTTTCCCTGTACAAATCTGTGCCAACGCGACTCCTTTCCCGAGCCTGGGGGCGCCTGAACAGTGTTGAGCTGCCCACCTGGCTCCGGAAGCCGGTCCTCAGCCTATACATCTGGACATTTGGTGTCAACATGAAGGAGGCTGCTGTGGAAGACCTTCACCACTACAGAAACCTTAGTGAGTTCTTCAGGCGGAAGCTAAAGCCCCAAGCCCGACCCGTCTGCGGTATCCACAGTATGGTAAGTGGCAGAGATGTGAAGGGCAGTGGTGCTGAGTTGATGGAGAAGCAGTAGCCACACTGCTGATAGACACCATCAAGGCCCTATCCCATCCAACCTTTAGAGTTTCTTTGCCAAGTTAACTGCATCAGACCTGATTCACTGGAGCTGATGAATATGGGCTGTTTTAAAAGGCCTCTTTCTGGTGTTTTGATGCTTAATTCTGATGGCTGCTTTGTGGTTTTTATGCCAATATTTTGATTTATGCTTTGGTTGCATTGCGGATTGTTCTAGAACTGTTGGGTTTTTTAAAATCATTGATCATCTTCTGAATAGAATAGTGGGGTAGAATTTTTTTAAAAAATTAATAGTGTTTAGAGAAGTGGCAGGTGCTAACACGAGAATTTTTGGTGCTGTTTGCTCCCTGTAGATCAGTCCATCCGATGGCAAGATTCTCAGCTTTGGACAAGTGAAGAACTGTGAAGTGGAGCAAGTAAAAGGCATCACTTACTCACTGGAGTCCTTCCTGGGTCCACGTGCTGTTAAAGAGAACTGTAAAAGCAAGCCAGGTAAGTGCACACAGGCACACTCTGGGGCTCAACATCATTCCACTGAACTTGGCATCTGCAGAGGACGCAACCACTGGATGCCATGTAATAGCTGCATTGGGCCCTGACTGGGCACAGGCATTGAGCCACCCCTTCCTCTTCCTCCTTGCAGCTGCTTCTGTCTCACCTACAGCTGCCTACGTTCCTGTATTGTACATTGTGTTGAAGCCTCAAAAACCATTTTACTCGTTATTCTTTCAGCCTCCTCATTCCAAAAGCAGCTGGTAACAAAGGACTGCAATGAGCTCTATCACTGTGTGATTTACTTGGCGCCTGGAGACTACCACTGCTTCCACTCACCGACCGACTGGAAAGTGTCTCACCGGCGTCACTTCCCAGGTAGGCCAGGTTTCCAGAGATACACATGCAGTGGAAGGTTGCTGCTAAACACTGCATTTTAATAAATATTTGTCGGTGAAGTCATATCCCTTCCAACTCTGTGATTCTGTGTAAAAGCCAATGGTTCCTGAACCAAGAGTCATTTGATGCTGGACATCATCCTTCCTTTGAGAAGAAGCATGATTTACCAGGAAGTGTTCAGAATGTAAAAGGCACTGAATGAATTTGCCCTTTAAAAATAGCAAGTGATCCCATCTCTAAGTCCTTCTCAAATTATTATTTCTGCAGGATTTTAAGTGGGAAAATGGTTGTGATCACGCTTATACTATGAGTGATTGGATTCCCTCCCTCCCTTATTGCCCTTACAAAAGTACACCAGTGTTTGTTGCTCCTGGGTGTCTAACGTAATTTTAAAACTACCAGGTAATAAATGATGTCATACCTTTCAATTTGGGGCTTCTCCAGCTTGCCCCTTTCCACTTTCCAGCCCAAAGCCTCACCTGTGGCTTAATGCAGGAAGACGGTCTTACAGAGCTGAAAGCTGCTTCATTCAAGCTGTTTCTGAGAATTTGCTTTCATCCTCCCAACAGTGGCTGGGGAAATAAAAGGGTGGCTCTGCCCATTTCTCTCCTTGCTCCCCATAGGCTCCCTGATGTCTGTGAATCCAGGGGTTGCTCGCTGGATCAAAGAACTCTTCTGCCATAATGAACGCGTTGTACTCAGTGGCTACTGGAAGCACGGTTTTTTCTCTCTGACTGCAGTAGGAGCCCAAAATGTGGGATCAATCCGCATCTATTTTGATCAGGTGAGTCGAGCCTTTCAAACACTTGAGAAGGAGGAATCATTGTCCCATGTGCCCCCACCATTTAGAGTGCAAGTGGAACGGTGAGGCTTGAACTGTGTTGAGCTGCCCGTTGCTGTCCCACCTTTGCAGTTTCCAAAGTAACTCAGGACCCCAGGACTTTACTGGATAAGGGCCTGCTCTAGACATTACGCAGGAGGGGCCAGAGCTCAATGGTAGGAATGAAAAGGTTCCTAGGTTCAATCATTGGAAGCATCTCTGGCCAAAAAAAAGGACCAGGTGGCAGCAGGTGATGGGAAAGGGCAACCGAATTCCCTGTTGGAGGGAGCTCCCCCTCTCCCAGGAAGTGGACAAATGGCCTGAACCTGGTAAAAGGTTGCTTAATATTTTCAGGGGAGCATGTTGATGGTGGCATCACTTGCCCAGCCTGTGAGCAATCACTTGGGACATATTAAATGACTGTAATAATCCCAGCTCCTGAGGAATCTTAGAACTGTAAAACCTTTTCTTGTTGCTAATTCCCAAGTGAGTGCCGTTACCTCCTTTTGCATAGCTGAATAATTTTCTTTGTTCTGCTCCCAAGTTTCCAACTTGGTTATGGAACTGAGTGCAACTTCAGTCCTGCAAGGCAGCAGGTGGGAGTGGGTGTTCTTGAGCATCCTGCAAACAATTCATAGGTTCCGGGAAAGAGGGTGGTGTGGTTTTGGCGGCAACTGTGTCACTGTGCATACATGCAAACTGGGCCTTGAGCGAGGTTTTAAGTAGCCTCTTGCCTCGTTGCCCATGGTGAAGAAGAACCTTCTTATGGTGACCAGACAGGCAGGCACCACCAAAATGCCTCCCTCCCTGCACTTCACCCACAAAGGACTAAAGTAGCCAGTGGTTGAGTAACAAAATGTTACAGGCTTCTTTGCAAGGCACTTACCTGCTTCCCTCCTGGAGTCCTTGTGTAACACCTCTTTTCTTCTCTCCGTGCAGGATCTGCGTACAAATAGCCCCAGCTACAGCAAAGGCTCATACAACGACTTCAGCTTCGTAAACAACAACAATCATGAGGGCATCCCCATGAGGAAGGGAGAACATTTAGGAGAGTTTAATCTAGGCTCAACCATCGTCCTGATCTTTGAGGCACCGAAGGACTTTAATTTTTATCTGAAGCCTGGCCAGAAAATCCGCTTTGGAGAGGCCTTAGGATCTCTCTAGAGACTCCACTGCCAGGGGGGCTTTTTATATGCAACAGGGACTCAATTCGTAAAAGGATAAGTTTCTCTAAGGTGGGAGTATTGCTCAGCAGGACCTGAGTGAGGAAACTAAAGCCCCCTTGTTCTTAGAACGGGGGGTGCCGGCAGTGCATTCCCACCATGAGAGCTGCAGACATATCAGGGATTGTGGCCTTTAAGAATGTTGACCAGGGTGGCTTTTCTGCTTCTTCCCTGTGCCTGTAGAAATAGGCATTTCTCCCCAAGATGCCATTTTCAGCCTGCTTTGGCACCAAATGATGAAGTCTTGGTTGAAATGCTGCAGTCAGAGGGAGGAAGGAGAGCAGAGATTCCTGCTTTCAAGGGATACTGTCAGATTGACCCATGTTCCATATTTTCTAATTATGTCTCTCACCCAGCCGTATTCTCAATTTATGTTTCACACCAGACTGAACAGTCCAATGCCAAAACCAGGAGACTCAGCAGAGTGGAATATAGAAACATTAAAGAGTTCATCTGGGTGTGCCATTGTTTTAGAAACCTCTTATAAATCTGGTACTATCCCTTTAAAACAGAAGTCTGCACTGTATTTTTAAACCTCAAACACTGTGTTCACATTCCACATTTGACTTGATCTTGTTTTTGTTTTTAGGAAGCCTATTTTATTTGTAGCTCGAGCTCACTCTAACCCGGCCATTCTGTATTGCTATTCTGGCCTTAATCTTTTTTTTTGGTTTGTATGGGAAATATCTAGTCTCTTGTTAAGCTGGGGACGTGAAAAAAACCCAGATTTTTTTTTCCTCTGCAAAGGCAGTGGGAAGTCTCTTGCTGTGAACAGCAGTGAAAGCCTCTTTCCTCTCCCTACGCAGCTACTGCCAACTTGCCAGAACCCGAGGACTGGGGGAGAAGATCCTGTCAGCCCAGGTCTTCCTAAAAAGCAAAAGGAGTAGTCCTCCTTTTCTCATATGTGTGCTGGACTTGCAAAATACTTAAAAGCCAAATTTGCCAAAGCCAGCTTGAGAGTTCTATTCTGAACCTTCATCCCACACACATCTAAGTGGGGTTCAGTGGCAAAATATTAAGCACTGCTGCGTAGACCAATAATAAGGGGAATCTTAAAACTTACTATGCCTTTTTTTTCCTGGGAGGGGATTCATAGAAATTGGTGCCAAAGGGGGGGAGGGCAGTTGAAAAGGGATTGGTTTATTTATGATGTCTGTGTTTTGTTCTTGACCTCAAGAAACCAAGTTGTGAACATGGCTGAGGCTCAGGAGTGTTGAGCTCATTTTGGCTTTAAAACTGCATCCCTCCCCTTAAAAGTCTCCTCCTTATGCTTTTCTTGCTTTAGTCTTACCTTGTACACACACACACACACACGAGAGAAGCTGCCCCTTTTAATGAGCACAGCCATAAGAAAAGAAGCCAAGGCACGTTTGAAGACGGTGACTGCTAGAAAAAGGAGCAAGTCTTCATCTGAGGCGTGTGCCATTTGAGGCATGGATGTTTCCAATGATAGTGGCTCCCGTCTCTGATGCTGATGAAGGGCAGAGAAGTGGCCTTGGTGGTGATGGCTGGTCATCCATCCTTCCTATCTTTGCACAGTTTGAAGGTGGGTTTTCTAACCAGCTAACTGGCCTCTTTAACCATAGGATAGAATGATGGGTCACAGCTCCTCTATTAGTGCATTATTAAAAAAGGCAAAACTACCCGAAGGGGGTAAACTTTGCTCCATCCATTGCTCCTTCGATTGCTTCCACTTGGCTGCTTTGCCAGTTCCTCTTTGAGCTTTAATTTCTTGTTACTCTGCTTGCAGAGCGGCACTGAAGGTTCTGCTGCTTACTGAGGACACGGGAATTCTGCTGGATGAACTTCCCGGTCTAGGGGAGGAGATTGTGGTGGGGGCCTGAGGCTGCTGAGAGCCAGAGGAGGTCACATTGATCCTAAGCAAAACGGGAGTTGGTTTCTTAGTGACGCTGTGAATTTCTCCTGCACGGAGAATCCATTTAATTTTTCAACTGTATCAGTAGCACAGTATTTTTGTATGTCAAAATGTACAACTTAAGGACATTAACTCATTAATTGCAAAGGTTTTAAAATAAAAATGAATGACTTACCGTGGCTGACTTTTTAAAAGCATTTGACTGCTGTAAAGAGACATGCTAACTACCTGCAGTGCAATCCTGTGCATGTCAATGTGACTTACTCCCAGGTAAATGTGTTAATATTGGATTGCAGCCTCCACCAGCGTTTGTACAGCTAACGGGGTAGAGGCTCCACTGCCACCACCACCCCCTGCATAGCAAAGGGACAACATCCAGCCATCCCACTGCATATCATGCAAACAAGTGAGTCCAAGATGCTTAAGTGCCAAGAGCCGCTCGAATATCCTGGACACGTGTGATGTAGGACTCCATTAGCGGTCGCTCTTCTCCCAGTATGTGCTTGAGGGAACTGATCTTCACTTTCAGCTGCAAAGAAACAGGAGCACAAAGAGAGGTGGTTTGGAGGGGCAGCCTGGCTCAGGCCTCAGCGTGAGAGGCAGCCATCTGTGCCCCCGAGAAATTATTCCTAGCCTCCCTCATCCAAAAATCTTGCTTTGAGCTACAACACACAATACATGCACAAACTGCTAGGGTAGCACTAGCTCCCAGACCAATCCTAAATGGAGTAGGTCTTTGCAGTTCTTCTCAAAAGCGGTTTGGGTGGTGGAAACTTCCAACTAACAAAAACTTGATTTACTCACAAGCAGATATGCCAGTTTGCCATTTCAAAGCGCTAAGCTGATGCATCTTGATTTATAAGTAAATTTATATTTCCACTTTTTGTCTGCCACATGCAACCACGTACCACAAGTGACAGGTGAGTAAGAAACACAATGTCACTGGGGAGCTTTGCTACAGAAGGGATGCCATCTGGAATAAAATATGGGGGGGGCATGTGAGCCCCACCCCCTTAATCGATCACAAGATGTGGTGCGCACACACCATTTGAATGGCAATGGCCATCAACTTTGGGAGGCCCAGCCCCCTCAGATATTTTATGGAGGGTACCAAAGGGACCTCAGCTTGTGAGAGTTTGCTCCAATACTACACCTCCTCCAGAGTCCAGAACATGCTGAGCTACCAAGTAGTTTATTTAATCAATACCCTCTAGTTACGAACCAGCATAGTAATACCTGTTGCCGAAAACAAGAAACTAGCATCAGATACTTGGGATACGTTCTTTTAAAAGTGCAACCACCAAAACTTTATGAGAAGCAAATCCTGAAATAGGAAAATCTGGATATTTTGTGGCAATGGGGTGGGCCCCAGAGCAATGCAGAACAGAGAAGCCATGCAAGCCCTGAGGCTCATGGGACATGGAGGCTCCCTCCAGCCTCACTATAAACACTTTCTTGCTTCAGATTTTCACACCATCTCAGCCCTAGAGCTGATAGAATAATGGCAGAAGTGGTGATGGCAGCAAGGGAATAAAGGTTTTACTCTTCTTTGCAATGCCCTTTGGGAAATGTGTGGGCTTCTCTGCAGCCATTTAATTTTGCTTCAGTGGCCACAGGGAGAACTTCCTGTTTGTACCTGATCCAACTCTTCTTGTACTTGACGCACAGCCGCCTGTTCTTCATCCCCTGGTCTCATCTCCAGCCACTTAAGCAGAAGGCGCTGCTGCCGCTGGCAGGACCTGGAATAAAAAGCCAGAATGTCATCCTTTTCTGGCCAAATGAAAGCAAGGCCAGGGGTCCAATCCCCACCACTTTCCTCTATTAGGCCCAATGCAACCATTTGTACTTACAGGATTTGCAATGGTTTAAGTGAGCCCTGTGCAAATGTTTCCTCCTCTATAAACCTGTCAGGTAGGTTAACCCAGCCCATCCACTCCAGTTGCTTTGCCTTCACAGTAATGCCCTCTGTCGTTATCTGCAGTAGGACTGCCTTGAACAAATCCTGCCTGATCCCAGTATCTGTCTAAATAACTACTTAATTACAGAGCACTATTGATGTTTCCTTATTGTGGTTTACTGGGGAAATTGGACCATAAGAACTATTACACTGATGGCGGAGGATCTTTTTCTGTCCTTGTGGCTTCCAGCAATAGGTGGGGACAAAAGGAGTGGGCTGAGCCAAAGTGTACAGGGCCAGGGCTAGTTCACATAAATCTCCCACCCACACATACACACTTGCTCCCCTCCCCTGCAGTTAGGTTTGTGGGGGGAAAGCATTTCAGGAGCAACAGGAATGTTTAAGCACTATGATACCACTTTGAACAGTGATGACTTCCCCCAAATAATTCTGGAAGCTGAAGTTTATTAGGGGTGTCGAGATTGCTAGGAGCCCCTGTTCCTCTCCCAGGGCTACAATTCCCAGAGTTCACTGGGAAGAGGGATGGATTGTTAAATGATTTTGGGAAGCGTAGCTGTGGGAGGGGAATAAGGGTCTCCTAGAAACTCTTACCACATCACAGCTCCCAGAATTACTTGGGGAAAGCCAGCATCATAATGCTTTAAATGTATGGGGTAATTGCGGCCTTGGTTAGGGCATTTTTCACCTTCCCTTTCCTGAATTTGTTCGTGTGGGAAGGGAGCCAGCCCTTGGATAAGCCTACAACTTGCTCTGAAGTAGTCAAAAGAAAGATTTACTGGGCAGTTCTACAAGAGGGCAACAGTTAAGGGAGGCATGGAAGAGTGTGCTAGAGGGGAACTGTGTCCCTGCACCCACCAACACAGCACACTACAGCAGTGGCCCCTTCCAACTAGGATTTCCTGAACCAATCTCTCCTTCCCAGAGGAAACAGAAGCCCAAACACGCATTGCAAAGTGGGAGAAGTAGTGTTTGGCTACGTACTTCAGCTCCTGCTGGTTGTGGTGGTAGAGTTGCATTTTCTTCCCAATAACCTGGAGCTCAGCTCCCAGCTGTTTGTGAACTGCCAGCGCCTCCTGAGTAAAACCCTCTGTTGCCTTTTCTGGTTCTTTGGTTCCTAAAATGAAAAGGAAGACAGTGTGGGTTTTGGAATCCCTCCGAGAAACTTCTGCTCCCTTCTCTGTAGCCGCCATATTAACTGTGGGTCATCTGGGAAGGATCACATCTCAGAGACAAGCCCCCTTACTCTTGTTGCAGAAGCAGCAAAAACGGGAGGGCACACACTTACACCCAGGTAGGAGGACAAACCTCCTGGAAAGCCACTGCACCCTTGTCCTCAAAAGAAGCAGCTCACTTCCTTTAGGAAACAAAATGTCTCCCTGCAGGCAAAAAAAGAGCCTTTTGCTATTTGGGAGTGAGAAAAGTGGGTCACTCATAGGACCATCATCGTTACCTGCCCTTCTGCAAGTGGGATGGGGAGGAGGGCTCTGTCTCATTGAAAAATCTTCAGGCAGGAGGAAATCTGCCCTTGAGTCTGCCAGCACTTTTTCCTTCCCAGTGGTTGGTCCCGGAGGGCTTGTGGAATAGAGGCCAGGCTGCAGGCCCAAAGGCTCGACCTGAAAGGCAGGAAAACAAGAATGTTATTTAACTCTGTCCAGACACCACTCAGAGCTGTGCTTATGGAATTGGTGTTAAACAAACTGCAAGGTACCCTAAGCCCTTTGTATGGAATGTTCTTATGATAAAAGGATCCCCACCTTAGAAACTGATAGAGGGATAAGCTCTGTGCTACAGAACTGGGCTAACAGAGAGGCAAACACTTCTGAATCTGGAAACCTTCCAGAGTAATCAAAATCAGCAATCTGCCATGCTGGAGGGGGTTTGGATGAAGCAGAAGTGGTGTCCCTGCTGGCAAGTAATGCTGCAATGTGGTCAACCCAAAACAGGCCCTTTTGAGGGTGAAGAGGGCGTCAGGCCAGGATCCACTGAGCAAGCCCTCTGCTGCATTTTTTTCCTTCCACCCTGGTTGGTGCAATTAGCTAGACTGTGGATGTGGCTGATTGCACCATTCCATCAAGCCTGTCACTGCCAGCCAAGGGTTAGGATTGCAGCCTTAACTGGGAATTTGACTCAGGCAGATCAAGTGAGTGTAAGGCCAGGGCACTACCACTGCATGAAGCAGCAAACAAGGTGTGAGAACTCACCGTTCCTGGCTTCTCTCTTCTCCGTGTCATGAAGGAGGAAGGTGGCAACAGCTCTGGGTTTGGCTTTGGGAGGGCTGTGCTATCTGGCCAAGGGGGTGTGCGCAGCACTGGAGCAGGCTGAGGAAGTGGGGGTGCTGAGAAGGGGCAGCTGCTGAACTGGGGTGGAGAAGGGACACTGCTTTGGGCAGATGACAAAAGGGCCGTAGACAGAGCAGATGGGTGGCTTGGAGTCGTTTTCTGCAAAGCCCCAGCAAGGCTTTCTAGTCTAGAAGAGGAAGACAAAGATCCGATTTGTTAGACGTATAAGAATCTGAAGCACACCAAGGAATAATCTGGAAAAATCCCTCTTACTGTTACCTTCCAAGCTGCCAGCATCCACTTTTCTAGCTCAGGCACATTTTAAGCTTTGCTCTACAAAGTAAAGTGGATTAAGTCCACCCACCCACCTATCCCACCCCCAGCCCTTTCCTTTTTTGTACCAAGCAGAAGTTTTCCAAGAATTTGGAGGCATCCACAAGATTCCATGAAGAATTGTGGCCGTGTAGCTTTATGACTTGCATCAGAGCTTCTTGTTGCAGAAGTCTTGTTTTGTGAGTTTGATATTCTGCTACACTCCGAATTTTCCATGCAATCAAATAAGAAGCCTTACTTCTTATTTCATCAACAGGATGGTTGATGGGCACACAAGTTTATTCTAGTTTGAACATCCATTAAGTACCAAGATGGGGTGAGAATGTCATCCTGGATCTTCCCTTTCATTAGAGGTCTTGGGTGGTGGGAGTAGCCCCTATGTAGTCTTTGTTCTATTTATTAATTTGTCATGTCTGAAAGTTGAACATTCTTCCCTACCCATTCAAGTCAGGACCAGGCAGCTCTGTTCTCTCCAGAGATTGCAGCAGAAAGTCAGGTCTACGGGGCTGTAACCTGCCTTGGCGGGCCACCTGCCTGTGGGGAGGATAGGAGGGAGGGTTAGAGGCCTTTTTAGAATTAGGGAACACTGAGGTACATACATAACTTTTACACACTGATAATTATGCATAGGAGTGCCTACAAGCATGTTCTCAGCACTAATACTTCTTTAAGAAAAGCAGGTTGACAGGTGGATTTACACAAGCAACTGTACCTATCACTTACAGCCTTACAAGTTTAAACAAAACCAAAGAGCCAGCACAGTTACTCCGAGGCTTGCTATTGAGAACTGAATAATGATTCCAGTACTTCATGCCACTCAATAATCCTAAGGGGCACAAGCCTTCTTTGCCTGCCCTTTGGCTAGTAATAAAGATTGGTTAGACTAGTCAATTTCAAGAGGATTTTTATTATTATTACAATAGCAAATGACTGCCAGGGAGATGGACAAATAGAGCCTTAGGGATAGGAGAAGGCTCAGGAGAATCCCCAAAGTTTCATTAAAAGTTTCCTGTACATGGCACCTTCCCTGCATGGAACAGAGAGAGAGAATGGGATCTGGAGAAGAGAGTCTAACCATCTGCTGCTGAGTCCTTTTGCTAGTGGCAACTCATTCTTTCCCCACTCTTTAAAATTAAAAGAAGCCTTCCTCTGTGCATATGCAGTGGCTTTCAAAATGAGAGAGGCCACCGTGCAATTAAATTCACAGTTTGGTGGCTCAAGGGGAAGCGAGCGTAAGGAGGTTGCAGCTTTGCCTCTTACTCACAGATCAGTCAGGATGGAATCTCCAGAAGCCTGGAAAATGTGGGCCTGGTGGTCGCTCTGTGCAGGCCTTGCCGTGGAACGAAGGCTCGTTCTCTTTCCAAGATCTCCATCGGCTCTTGAGATTGCAGCAGGCACTGGCACTTGGAATGTCACTCGCTTCTTGAGAGGGGCCCCCGGAATAGACAGGCTGGGTTTCTGGCAGAGGGCCTTTAGTTTCCAGAGCATGGCGCACCGGTAGACAGCCTGGTGACGGTGGCAGGCGATCTGTGAGTGTAAGAAAGAAGCACATGGCAGGTTGGTGGAAAGGTGGTGCTGCAAAAGCGAGGTCTGCGTATGCCCTTCAGTCTGCTGTAAGGAGAGGCTGGGCAGGGAAAATGGAGAGAAAGAGCTTGTTAATTTCTGTACTTCTTGGGGAGCCTTCAGCAATCTGGTGTCCTTCCAGATGTTTTGGACTACAAATCTCATCAGTCCCGGCTCACAGAGCCATATGATGCAGGGGCTCATGGATGTTATAGTCCAGAATAACTGGAGGGCACCAGGCTGGGGAAGTCTGGTCTTGAGGGGAGGAGGATAGTTGTATAAGGAGCTCCTCTGTAGTCAGGAGGACAGTTTTGAATCTGGAGGAGCAGCAGTCTCTCCCAAATGCTTCAATCCAACATAGCATGTCAAAAAATATTAAGAACAGAGACAAAGGAAGAGTGGGGCAAGGTGTGGGCCAGGCACACCTGTGATGATGTCGCTCTCTGGCTCTGTAGTGCCCCCTAGAGGGAGAAGCTGGGCAGTGGACCTGACAGGACGTACTGTGCCTATACTTGTCCCAGGAGTACCTGTGAGAGGGTGGCGTGTGCTTCTATCTGTTGCTGTGGGGTGGAACCCATAAGGGATCTGTGCTTCCTGCTTATGTACAGAGAGGAGAAGCCAGCACAGGCAACAACCAAATATTTTCAGAACACCCTCTATTCTGGCAATTAAAATTTGTTTAAAACTGTTTTTAACATTGTATTTTAAATTATTGTGAAATGTCCTGAGACCCTGGGGCGAACAGCAGGTAATAGAGCAAATAATTGTTAGTCATCATTGTGGATCTGATCCATCTAACATGCAAAAAAGAAATCACTGTGTATGAAGCAGATATCAACCTGTTGCGAAATAAAATGGGTAATGATGATAAGGTTGTACAGATGTGAAATGAGAGGGAGTCACAAGAGGGGTCCCGTTCTTTTACCTTCACCTGATGCTGGGCCTGCAAGTGCCCTCGGAATTCCTTCATGCCAGCCGTGTACCTCAGGATGCGGGTCACACCCTCCCGCAGCAAATCAGCCCGGTAAATCTCCACAGCCCTTTCGATCCGACCTTTCTTGCGCTGCTGCTCCAGGACAAATGCCAGCCAAGCATCAAATACCTGCAGGCAAGACACATAGGTGGCAGGGGCCGCACAGCCTTTCGTATTCATCAGTGACAAAGGAACCAGCAAAAATTCCCTCCAGAGAAAGCAAATAGGTTCAAGGAACTCAAATACACATGCCAGTGCTTTTCTTTTTCTTTTTTAAGCTCTCAGAATTTCAAGTATAGATCCAAAACTGTCAGCAGTGTGGGAGGTGGTGCAAAAACATCCACAAGTGAGAGATGGATCGTCCCTATATTCTTGAAAACATTTTTATGTCTGACATATGTAATGGAAATACATATATTAGCTGCAACTGCTGTGCTCCCTCTCAAGATATGATGCCCTAGGCTGAAGCAGCTCCCTAGCCCTGCCCAGAGGTGGAAGGCCCTTCGATGCAGTGCTGCTAGTGACAGAGATGGCACTGCCCTTCATGGCTGCTGGGAGATGCACAGCTGCAGCTGGAAACAGAGCATCCTGTGTCTCCACCCTCCTCCTCCTCCTCTTTCCTTGGTAATATGTACTTAACCAAACTGCAGAAAGCTCCCTCCCACTCCCACGCATGGAACGAGCTGTGTGATTCTTTACATCCTGGCTTTGCAATCCAGCAAAGGGAGAAAGAGAAGGCAGTCTGCTTGCAAGCAGAGCTGCTCCCTCCAAACAGGACCACATGAATGCACCTCCTCTCTCGCCTGCCAAGACTGACCTTGCCCTGCAGGGACATGGACCAATGCCAAAGCGCCCGCATGGTTTCCTGCCGCTCCCTCTGCCTGCACGCCAACTGTTGGTGCAGAAAGAAAGAAAGACCATGTGGGCCAGGTTAAGGAGGGAGGGGGAAATCCCAACCCCAGCATAGATACAAGCTATGAAGTTCTTTTGCGTTTTCAGCATTAACTGAAAAATTATTCTCGTTTGTCCCCTTTCATCTCCTCTGCACCTAGGGCGAGGGTTAGGGGAGATGCTTTAGTTGAACTCCTTTTTTCCTCCATCCCACAATATGGTTTCCCATAATGCCACATGACGGACACTAGTCAGCAGCCTCACTCTTCCATCCCAGCCTTCAGATGGACTCACTGCAGTCAGAGGCTGGAAGGGGAAAGGGATGTGTCTGACCTCACCTGTGTCTTCCAGGTTGAGAAGCAGGTAGAGGAAAGCCTCCGGGCCATCAGCTGATCTCCTTGTCTCTGCAGGAGCTGCAGGGGGAAAGAGGCACAAGGGTTGCCACTCTGAGGCACAGAACCCGGCCCTTTCCTATGAAAATGATCAGGCTGTCCTAGAAAGCGTTCCACACATCTGGTTTACTGCTTCCTACCCTCTGGAGATGGAAATCTGCAAATTTCCTCACCATCTTCCTTATGCACTGGAGGTGATACTGCTTCCACCTGGCCATGCACTTGCTAAGCAGCTGTCTCCCATGGTGCTGAGCTGCCAAGACAAACTGCCCTCTCTGCTTAGAGGACTGAACGTAGGACTCCTTCCAGCGAAGAAACATTGCCTGCAGCCTCACTGTCCAAACAGGAAGATAAAAAATAATGAGCGAGAAGAAGCATAGCCCTCCTCCCATCCTATTTCTCAGAGCAGCCTTCCCTAACCTGGTGCTCTCCAAGATATTTTGCCCCACAACTCCCATCTACTCCAGCCAGCACTGGGCATATGGTGCTGGAAGTTCCAGCACTAAAATATCCAGAAGGTACCAGGTTGGAGGAAGGCAGCTCACTAATAAACAACACAGCACTGCAACAAGTAACACTGAGGTTGGAAACCTGGAGAACAGCGCAATTCTGTATTGGAACCCATGTACATAAAAGCTTTGTGGACTTAAATTTTACATAGATGGTTTTTAGATTAACCTTCAATTAATTTTTTGGGGTGATTTACAACCATCATATATATCTATATCTCCAACAATCCAGAGCCACACACAAACACACACTGTCCTTCCCTGGTGGATGGCTTTGAAGCTGCTATGCATCCTGCATCCACTGATGCATGGGAAGAATCACCCATCACAGAACTTCCTCCTCCTCTGCTACACGAGGGAGGGGGTATATGGCTGCCATACAAAGAGGCCCAATCCAGTGACCCAATGCAGGAGGAGGCAGAAGGCTAGTATTGGGACCATGTGCCACATTCAAGCAAGCCATACTGCAAATTGTCACTCACCTGCATGCAAATGCTTCCTGGCCTCCGTCACAGCTGCTGCCTCCTGCTGACGATGGTATGCACACAAGGAGGCTGCATCCCTCCATCTGAGCACAACCTAGGCAGAGAAAACAGGGGCGGCAGCATTAAGGACTCCTAATACTGTGTCGTCTTTTACTTCCTCAACTGGAGGCTCAAGGGCATCATGTCATGCCTGAGACACCCCAACCAGCCCAGGGACAAGGGACCTGTACTGGGAGTTTAGCTTTCCTTCCTGATGGGAGTTACCTTTGAGAGAAACGCTCTTCGGTGATGCTCTTCTGCCAGAGCAGCCTTCTCAGCTTCTTGCTTAGAATCTGCAGCATTTTCCTTCCAGGTGCACAGTGCTTGCCTGAGGGCCGACAGAGATGGGGGGGGGAGCTCTAAGCAAGAGCAAATCCTTTCCCTCTGTGAAGCCCAGGATGGGAAAAAGGCAGAGGGCTGAGAGACAGGGTTCTTCCAGGACTGTCAGACCAGGTTGAGCATCGCCACAGATTTAAGAAGGCTTACCGTAGCAGCCGCTGATTATGCTCCACCTCCTTTTTGGCTACTTGGGACAGAATGTGCTGGATGTGACTCTGGTAAGCCTGCAAGAGAAAAATGTGAAATATTGTTCCTAATTTTCAGATTTTACCAAAGCAGAAGTTAGAGCTGTGTAGCCCACAGGTGCCCCAATCAGAGGTATTTACTGTCAGTCCAGGTTCCCCTTTAAGGAAATGTTAAGGTGTGTTTGCTTGGAAGAAACAGGACATTTCTGCTTCTCTTGGCTCCCCCCCTTCCCCCCGAGGCAGAGAGCCAAAGTGCCACATTGTCTGATACCCTCTTTGCTGAGGATTCTGGCTGATGTGGACCACAAGGCAGCTTCACTGGCAAGCTGCTCCTCTTCACAGCTCAGTCCCCCCCCCTCTAAGGAAGGAAAGCATTCCTGATGTAAAGGGCTAACACATTTTCTGAGCACTCCCATACCTTGTCCTTGCAGTGCAGAGCCCCTACCTCATGACAAGCATTGCAAAGCCCTCTACACATGCCACCAATATGACACAAAAAGGAAAGGTATCCCACATCAATAGGCAAAGGCAACAGTGGATTCCATCCCAGCTCAGCCAAACTTGGTGGTTCTTTGGGGCTGCTGTCCTTGAGCCCAGCCAAGCCACCTGGGGCGTCACAAGTAAGAGCTCAGCCATACCTTCCAGGCTGACAAGGCCCTGCGCAGCACAGCCTGCTGGTGGTGCACATCAGCTCTCACCAGCTTCGTCCACTTCTCAGAGCGGTGCCTCAAGTACTGCAAGGGAAAAGGGGAGCGAAACGTCACTGTGTGGGAAAAAGTGAAGAAAGGAAAGTGCAGCTTCCTCGGCAGGGTGGGATAGCAACCAAGCAGAGTGTTAGACCTGTTCAGATGAGTTAGATCAGCCTTTTCCAAACTGCTACCCTCCAGATGAGCCTCCCATGGCACTTGGAAGCATGTTCCTTTCAGGAAAAAAGCAACAGCTAAAGGTTGGACTAGGAGACACCTCCTACTTCCTTGTGAGAATCATCTTTCTCCTGCCTCCTACAGTGAATGGCTGCAACAACAGTCAAACCATTTTATTTAAATCAACAGCAACAATTTACACTCTGCCTTCAATTGCTGTAATTATCTCATGGTCTAAAGTTCTTCACTTTTGGAATCTAACAGTGGTCACAGGATTTGGTACCCCGGGAATCTTGGATTTCACAATGTTGTTGTTTTAAAGACAACCCTTCTAGCACTCTTCGAAGCCAAAGTGTCAGCAAGGTAGAGTTTGTCAGCATTTGGAGGAGAGGCTGACAATTGTCTCCTCCACCTTCCCCGCTAGCTATTCCACAGCCTCCCTGTCTCTCCCTCATCTCTGTGCTCTTCCCTCCTTTCGTTCCTTTTATCCTTACCAACATTTTCAAACTTCTTTGAGAACATGTGGCAGAGTTATGCCACACCAGCGGACAGATGCAGATCTACCCAATTTATGTTACTTCATTTCATAACAAAATGTTGGCTTATTGGGGGCAGAATTTCAAGGTACGCAGAACACACCACACACACACACACACACACACACACTCCTGCCTACAAGGCTAGGAATGTGAGTCACAACAGGTAGTGGACCAATGTGAAATCCATCAGGTATATCTCTCACCTGTCGCCACTTGCTCCAAGACCATCGAAGGAGCTTGACAGAGTGGAACCTTGAAGCTCTGGCCTCTTTCATCCTCCTAAAGGGAAGCACAGCAGACCCTCTCTCAAGCTTCAGGATAGATGTGGGCCTTTTGTGCTACTGTCTTAAGTGGTGAGCCTCAAAGCAGAGGCTGCCATTTTATCTCACGTAAAGTACTTACATTCCCAAAGCAGTGTTATAAATGGTAATACTGCTTCAGTGGTACCTCGGTTCTCGAACGTAATCCATTCTGGAAGACTGTTCGACTTCTAAAATGTTAACAAACCAAGGTGCAAAGGACTGGCTGCAAGTTCAATTGGAAAAATGGGAAAACACACAGCAGAAGCTGTTCAACTTCCGAGGCATGTTCGAAAACGGAAGCAATTACTTCTGGGTTTTTGGCGTTCAAAAATGAAAACATTCGGCTTCCGAGACGCTTGAAAACCGAGGTACCACTGTAGCACTATTCCTGAACTACTAGGCCTGAAGGATATCTGCTTGGGAATTGCCTGTTTGCCTTGTCCAAGACAGAGCCAAAGGAGGGAGCCGCAGAGGAACCAGCAAGTAAGCCTCTGGAACAACAAGAGTTTCAAGCAGGTCATATGGGGACTGAGCCCTACAAGTAGATCTGGATCAGGCTTGCTTTCCAGTCTGCTGCTTCCCTTCCCGTCCATAAAGGCAATAGCAAGGTAAGTGGAAGCGGCAGGAATTCAGGTTGCAAAGGTTTGGTGGGCTTGATACAGACTGCAGGCTGAAGGGACAAGGGTGTAGGCTTTTTTTGCAGGAACATGGCCACTGCCAGTCAGGTAAAGTCAGCCTAAAGCAGTTATAGCTGCAGGACCTGCGATATCAGTGGCAACTAACCCTGATGGCTGTGCTTTTACCTCTACTGTTGGAGGAAGGATGCTTCTGAATACCAGGTGCTGGGAATGACAGATGGGGAAAGTTTCTGTTGCACTTGGGCCCTGCTTGTGGGCTTCCCACTAGGACACATTTCTGGCCATTGAAAGAACAGGATGCTGGGCAAGATGAGCTACTGATCCAGCTGTTGGAATACTGCCAGGGAGATGGAGCCATCAGGCAGGCCTCCCAGTCGTCTCCAGACGATCACCGGTCTCCCGTGGAACAGCAGCATCAGTCAATTAGCGACACAAGCCTCAGAGATATTCCAAGACTCATGCACACCCTTTTAGCAGTCTCCACAACGGACGATTCAGACAGGAGAGCGTATTTACAGCTTTATTCAACGTAGATCAGAACAAAGGAAAAACATGACTGCTTGCCTCTGTATTCAGGAAAACAGCAGGAACAAAAGCTATATACAAAACGGAAACTCCCAGTGAGCAGGAAGTAAACAGGTATGTGACACACAACAGCCTGTTCCCTTTTTAAGGTGGAACGGAAATATCCTAACACCAGCAGCCAGGCTTATCTTATGCTATTATTGATTCTTCTCTGTTACCTTAAAGTAAAAAGGTAAAGATACCCCTGCCCGTACGGGCCAGTCGTGTCCGACTCTAGGGTTGTGCGCCCATCTCACTTAAGAGGCCGGGGGCCAGCACTGTCCGGAGACACTTCCGGGTCACGTGGCCAGCGTGACGAAGCTGCTCTGGCGTGCCAGCACCAGCGCAGCACACGGAAACGCCGTCTGTTACCTTACCCTTCCTTTATTTCCTGAACGTTCTCCTTCCAAAGACAGAAAGCAGTCTGCAGGATTTGATGGCTGTGATGCTCTTTGGCCAAGGACAGTCCCTCACGCTCTTCCAGCTGAACCACAGTTCTCCTGCGCCAGAAGCACCAGGACTGCGACAGCAGCCGTCGCTCAGAGTGCAGAACAGCCTATATAGGGAGCGGAGGCATTTTGAAGCCAGCTCATGCTGTGCCACATGCCAGGCTTCCTGCAAAGGTAGAATAATTCTTTTGCCAGCAACCTGTCCCCAATAACCCAAACAGTCTTTTAAAAAGAAGACGGCCACCCAGTTGAGCTCAGGAACCCAAATAAATCTCATACATCAACATCGTCACTCAAATATGAGAGGGGGAGCCAGGAAGGAGAGCTGGAATGAATGGCAGCACAAGCACCATCAGAGGCAGCTGTGGGTGCAAAAAACATCCTGCTTCCTTCTACTTCCTCTTTCCAAGTGGCCTAATCATCACTTTGAGACCCAGAATGTGTTTGGAATTATAGGATTCCTCTCTGGTGCACAAGGAGTAAGAGGAGAGCAATGTGTCTGAAGGCCAGGGCAAGTGCCTCCAAGTAAGCAAAAGTGCCTTACGGGTGAGGCACTGGGAGACATGTGTGTTTAAAGATTTACGACTTAGCAAGGCATCTCAGGTACATTAAGCAGGTACAGCAAGCAAGGACATTTCAGAATGTAACAAGGTAAGCATCTACCAACGCTGCCTCCTGTCTGAAACCCCTGATATTGTATATTCAAGCACAGCAGTGTAGAAATTGTCTACTATCCTGAAACGTAAAAATCTAGATTTACCATTTCCTCTGCCATGTGGTTCTCTTGGTGCTCATGTTTTCTCAGCCGCCACCTTTCAAACCATCGCCTTGTGCAAATTTCTCTGGAAAGCAGGGAGAAGAGCACTAGATTTTCACCAGGTACTCAATGCCTGCCAAGAGCTGTTCCCCAAAATTCTCTTTTTATTGACCCTCCATCCTACCTGTGGAAACACACGGCCATCCCCTTCATCTTTCTCCACCAGCACTGATGATCCCTGAATCGCTTCCAGGCCTCAAAAGTGGCAGGCAAGATCACACCCTCGTAGTGCCTATTGGCTCTGGCATATTGCAGCTGAAGACATATGACAAAGGCAAAAGCCTCACTCTGAGAAACCAGGAAGGCTTAAGCTATCTCAAAGACACATGTACACACATGCGATACAAAGCGACTAGAGTGGCAAGCAGCTACCCATAGAGCAGCCTTCACTTACTTGGTTCTGCTCCATTTAAAGTAAGGAACAACTCTCTACCTTTATAGAGCAGTGTTCTTCAACTCTGTCTTCCCAGAAGCAGTTGGACTACAACTCCCATCATCCCCAGCCAGCTTAGCCAATGGCTACAGGTGATGGGAGTTGTAGTCCAGAATCATCTGGGAGTCTAAGGTTGAAAAATGCTGGCTTGGAGGGCCTACTAGTAAGCAGAGAGAGTTTAGCAGGGTGTTGAAGAAAGAGCCCACACCACAATGGAACTGCATGAAGCAGAACTTAAATTTGCCCTAGCGACCTTTCTGTTGCTAGGTTGCAGTTCCCATCACCTCTGTCCAATGTTCATGGTGGCTGGGGCTGATGGGAGCTGGGAGTCTGACTGGGGAAGGCAGCCCTATAAGACATCAGTCTTTGACTGGTGATACACAACCAAGTAGGCCAGCATCACGTATCATGTGTTTTTTAAAAAGAAAGAAAGAAAGAAAGAAAGAAAGAAAGAAAGAAAGAAAGATGAGAAGGATGGAGAGAGACAATTAAAGATTGGGATTAATACACAATGAGAAAAGGATAAATATGGAGAAGGGAAAGGGTATCACTTAAAAGTAGATCCCACTTGGAAAATTCAGAGCCTGAATAGTCTGAAGATGACCATGCCCCCTTACCTTCCTGTGCCTTTTCCAGTTGGCATGGCATGACCAGGTCTTGAGACACCTGTGCAGCAACACAGTCCTGAAATTTAAAGTATGCAGTTCTGTCAACAATTGCCTCTAACGAAGAGGACAGTTCCCTTCACCTCAGGACCAAGGACAGCTCCTTACAGACACAGAATGAGTGCTAACAGAAAAAGCACAGGGTTAACCTGCCACTCATGCTACCCAGTAGAGGTCTCCATGGTTTGGGGGCAATGAGGATGCAACAGTAAGGATTCATTTGTGCTGCTTCATGTGGACTTCAGCCAGCAAAAGCACAAAAGAAAGCAGATGGCGTAAGGCCATCAGTGACTTGCTCTTTGTATCATTACAAGCAGTTCTGCCAGTGTCAACTGCACCTCTTGTCACCATCAACAAGTGACAAAGCCACCTATGCCAACACGAGCAATTATGAAGTAGTAAAATTCTGCCAAAGGGAACCAACATTGGATACCCCTTCCCTGCCCTGTTCCCATGACCCAGAGAGTAACACTTGATCTGCTGCTTGGAAACTGATTAAGTGGTATATGAATAACAGTAGTAACAATAATTATTATTATTATAACTATCCTGTTTCAAAAGCTAGGCAAGGCTATGTCCGGCTAGTGATTAAACAAGGGGATTCCCAGGAGCTCAGTCAACATCACTGAGCTTTGAGATGGAAAGATGTAATAGTAGTAGATGTAAGATTAAAAGGAAACAAAGAAAGAATGGGCAGAATGAGCTCATTCGTAATAACATGCCAGCTGTTTTGGACAACAATTCCCATCAGCCCTGGACAGCATGGCTGCAGGATGCTGGGGTTGATGTGTGTTATTGTCCAAAACCTCTGGAAGAAACCAACTTGGGGCCTAGAAGGTTTAAGATATGGGAGCATTCCAGACTTCAAAAAGAATTGAGCTACCAGGTTTTAGCTCTGTTGCTGCCTCAATATAGTTGGTTCCTCACCTGTAGTGAGAATGAGCTGACAGTGTCAGGGAGCGGTATCGCTCTTCCTCCTTCTGTTCCAAACGAGACTTCCATCCATTCCAGAACCTGAGCAAGAGCTAAAAGAAAATCGGAAGAGACAGAGTGTGAAGCACCCTAAAGCCTGGTTCCCTTAAACACAGGCCAACCGAGAGGGTCTTTTTGAAATAAAAACATCAACAGAGCAGCAAAGGGATGTTTGCTTTCAATGGCAAATGATAAAAGCGACAGACAATCCTTTTTCTTCCTCTTTATTATTATTGTAGGTAAATGTCATAACATGTGATCATATACAGTGGTGCCTCGCAAGACGAAATTAATCCGTTCTGCGAGTCTCTTCGTCTAGCGGTTTTTTCGTCTTGCGAAGCAACCCTATTAGTGGCTTAGCGGCTTAGCGCTATTAGCGGTTTAGCGGCTATTAAAGGCTTAGCGGCTTAAAGGCTATTAGCGGCTTAGAAAAAGGGGGCGGAAAGCGAAAAAAATCTCAAGACTCGCAAGACATTTTCATCTTGCGAAGCAAGCCCATAGGGAAATTCGTCCTGCGAAGCGCATCGAAAAACGGAAAACCCTTTCGTCTAGCGGGTTTTTCGTCTTGCGAGGCATTCGTCTTGCGGGGCACCACTGTAAGTTCAAAAAAGGTAAGATACAACTATTATATAAATACCAATAAATTGGATGTAAATATATATCCGAATGCTGTATATAAATAGACAGGCCACAGTTTATTTGGACAACAGCACACATGTAGGTCAACCTATTTATGGTCAACACATGATATCTAACTTTTTGCTACCTGGAAGATTGGTTGCTCTGACACATTACGGTAACTTCCATATCCCTAACTTTTACTTCCCTATCCCTAACATCACCATAATTTCTGAGTCCAGCCCAGTCAGAGTCAGGGTACTCCTGTTGGCCTGCACAGGTACACAAAGAAGATCCTTTCATGATGTTGTCACACAGTGGTCCATATGTAAGTAACTGTTCCTAACTTTACACACAAGCACACACAGAGTTTTCTATAGCTTGCTGCACTGCTTCTACCACAGGAACAACTCAGGAACACAAGATGGTAGTTTTCTTGCCAATGTGACCCAGAAGGCACATTAAAGGTTCTGGTTTAGTGTAAATGAAGCAAGGAACACGGTCAAACTCACCATGACTTGGTGCTGCTGATGAGCCAAGTTTATCCTCATTTGCTTAACAGAAGCTTCTGTAACATTATTCCGCAAGGCACTCAGCCCACAGTGCTGTGAAAAGCAAAAGAGCAGGAAGCACGCTGGAGAAGCCACTCCTACTACAAAGGCAAAGGTGTGTCTTCAACAGCCCATCTTATTTACGATTTATAAAGATCGGCTTCATACAGAAGAGATATGGGGAGCTGGCAGCCTCTGACAACTGATTTTGGTACAAAGTGGGATACTGTCTAAGCGTAAACCACCAGGATATTCTCCTACACAAGCCACATAGAGAGGAGCAGTACAAGAGCATTGGCCATGGAGCTGTAGTGCAGGGGTGGGAAAACTTGGCCCTCCAGACATTGCTGAACTTCAACTCTCATCAGCCCCAGCAGTCATGGCCAATGACCAGGGATGATTGGAGTAGTAGTTCAGCAACAAATGGAGGGCCAAACCTGTTGCAGTGCGTTCATCTCCAGCCCCATCCTTCCTAAAATTATGCTGCAGGGAGCTGAGATTGGCTGTGGCCTCCAGCTGCTTGAATACACACAGTGCTTGCTTGCCACTGTGGAAAGTGGCCCCATGGGAGAATCATCATGGAGGAACCAACTTTTCCTGGTCAGAGGTCATTCCAGAGAGGCCACCAGAGATATGGCAAACCTCTTACCAGCAGGTGATATCTGTAGTGGCGCTCAGCACGTTCATAGTGCTTAGCTTTTTGGGCACACAACATCACATCTGTTATTCAGGTTAAGGAAAAAAGTTTGCTTAACCAGCTAGAATAGATCAACCTCTCAATAGTTTATTACTGACCTGGATAAAAGTTATGGGGAAGAATCTACATCCTGCGTCTGTGAATTCCACCAAGTTAATCTGCGTTATCCTAACATTCTTCCCTTTACTTTAAATATACTTTCCAAATGTGTGCCCACTCCTGATTGTTAGGCAAAAGAGAAAATAAGCACCCGGTGATCAACTTCTCTGAATACTTTCATGGTTTTACACGCATGTCTTGGATTATTTGATGGTTTGATTATTTGTTTGTTGTTAGCCGCCCTGAGCCTGGCTTTGGCTGGGGAGGGCGGGATATAAATAAAATTTATTATTATTATTATTATTAAAGACTGTGACATAGTGGTCCAACTCTGAGCCACGAGGGCTCACAGAATCAAACAGCAGGGCCTTCCCCAGTCTTTGCTTCAGTGCTGCAGACCTGGAACAAACCTATTGAAATATAGAGTCGTTCCTCATGTTCAAAAGGAGTCATTTTTTTAAAAAAAACACCAGAAGTATCATGTTACACAAGCACCTCAACTCTTACTACTCATGTCCCCCCAAACCACTGGAAAGGACCACGAGGAGAATATGGATACACTGCTTCCATCGTGTGAAAAGTCTTCGCAAGGCGACCCTTGCAGCCAGCTGAACAAGGTGCTCCTGGTGGGCATGCAGTTGCTGCCTGTGTTCCCAAGTCAGACGCCACATCGAGAAGCTCTGAAAGAGGACCCGGGTGCGGTTGTGCTGCAAGGCCAGCTCTGGAACAAAAGAGGCAGAAAATATCATATCTGTGCTAGGATCAGGGTCAGTGGGTGGTGCGTAAGCACTGGGTATTCAAGCGACAGATGTTTTGGTATGAAATAGGAGCTGGAAACTAAATTAGTTTATGGTGCCTGCTTGCAGGCTTCCCACTGGGGCATCTGGCTGGATACTATAAGGATGCTGGACTAGATGGGCATTTGGCCTGATTCAGCTTCAGGGCTTTTATGATATTTAAATGCGGGATCATGGTATTCTGCATGAAAATCAAATTAGCATTTGCACAGGAGCAACTGTTCAAGCTTGTAAAGAAAGGTGGAGTGAGGAGAAGTTCTGCCCCCGCCCCCACTGTGGGTGCTGAAGGGGCTGAGCTAGGGGGGCAATGTAACAGGCTGTTCTAGAGCTCTTGTCCCGGGGTGGCAGCTGGAAGACCAGGACTGCAATTCCTGCAAAGCAGGGGGCTAGACTAGATGACCCTTGGATACTTTCCAACTCTATAATTCTGTGTTTCTGTGATTCTTTAGGAGTACACACACAAAATGTGCTGAATCACTAATGCAAAAAGCAAAATGAAAACAGGACTTTTATATTGTTTACTCTACAATTCAGTGTTCTGCGACAGGAGCAAAAGAGTGGAATTCTGCTTCTAAGATTATTTTAGAATTGAATTAGGCGCAAGAATACAAAGGCAGAGGGACTGAGCTCCACCTGCAGTATCTCTAATTCTGGGGTAGGCAACCTAAGGCCCTGGGGCTGGATGCGGCCCAATCGCCTTCTCAATCCGGCCTGTGGACAGTCAGAATCAGCGTGTTTTTACATGAGTAGAATGTGTCCTTTTATTTAAAATGTATTTCTGGGTTATTTGTGGGGCCTGTGTGGTGTTTTTACATGAGCAGAATGTGTGCTTTTATTTAAAATGCATCTCTGAGGATTTGTGGAGCATAGGAATTCGTTCACCCCCCCAAAAAAAAATATACTCCGGCCCACCACATGGTCTGAGGGACGGTGGACCGGCCCACAGCTGAAAAAGGTTGCTGACCCCTGCTCTAATTTCACAGCCTTTCCAGAAATTCAGAGATTCATGCTGAATTCTACTAAAGCCACCTTCCAGCAATTAAGGAAATGGGATCTCCCCTCTCAATGGAGCTGCTCCCACTGAATAACAGCTTTTCTTGAAATCTCCAACTAGAGAGGGGTTTTTTGGCACACAGATGTATTTAGCTCTCAAAGGCATCCAGACATGGTTTTCTACTATGCTCCACCCTTATCAAACAAAGCAATAAAGTCATCACATTTGAAATATTATGCTACACCCTTCTGTACAGGCTTTTAGTGGTCTACTGGATTTCTTGGCAGTGGAGATTTTCTGCAGTTCTGGACCAGGCCATCCTATACTGGCAGTGCAATCGCCGAGATTCCTGTCTTTGAGCAACAGAAGATGCCTAAGCCCACCTGGAGACAACCAACACCCCAAGGGAAAAACAAAAACTTCTCTCTTTGAAGAAATGCATTATTCTGTGATGCTGGAAGAGAAATTAACTCTATTTTGTCCCAAAGCATTGTGCACAACTCACTGTCCTGATGCTCCTTCTCTCTTCGGAGTTGCACATAGACATGCCAGGATTTCATGGCCCTCCACATCTCCCTGTGCTGCTCATGCATCACTGCCCTGGCCTCCTCCTTTCTCTCATCTTGGATGCACATATAGCACTCCTTCCATTTGAGCCAGGCCTGACAACAAGGATGAACAGGAAGAATAAGGGTCCGAAAACAAGGCAGTGAAAGAAGAGGCAAGGCAGATCTTATCTGCAAACGATTCACAGAAATTGCACCCATCATTACAAACAGCAGCAATTAAATAATAATAATTTTGTTAGCTAATGGGCGAAATTCAGCTGTGTGCTAGTTACACTTGCGCGAGCAAGAATGGCTTGTGCAAGAGAAGGTGAAAAGAGCCAGCATGGTTCACATGGATAGTTGTGCCACAGTTTTCACTAGCTCCTATACTTCTTGTTGCACAACCAGTTCCACAACAAAACCTCTGCTAGCGCAACTCTTGAACTGGATTTCAGATTGTGCTTTATTATGCTACTACAACAGCCCTTGCACTGGTTGTCAGAGAACTCTGAATCTGGGCCTTTGGTGAGTGTTAGTGTGTGCACACAACACAAAGGCACACAGGGTTTAAAGGGTTGATATTTCCAGCACTCACACGAAACTGTAAGCCTTGGGCCCAATGCTGTAGAGCCTGACCATCCATTTCACAAGCAACTTGATTCTGTGACCATCTCTTTCTCCACAACCTCCATGCAAGTCTGTTGAAAATAAAAAGGTTAGGACACACTTAAGACTTTAACTCTGATGAAAACAAAGAGTTTTATGAATGTATGTGCTAGAGAACTATAGAGCCCCATCTGCTTCTTAGAGCAGCTTTTGTCAATGTGGTGCTCTCCCAACATCTTTGACTAAAACTCCCATCAGCCCCAGCCACCACGGTCATGTGATGCTAGGTCTGATGGGAGTTGTAATCCAAAACATTTGAAGGGCACCAGGTTGGTAAAGGCTGCCATAGAGATACCCAATGTTTCTGGTCCCTTTTTGATCCTTTACATGTCATAAACAACTTACCATGCCAACCAACTAACTAACTGAATAGCATTCTTTACGTATTACAGTAGTTTTCAAAAACTGTCTTCTTGGAGGTGGGTGAGTTATTGTTTCCTTGGAAATCTATTTATTTATCATTAACATGTATCATCAGCTCTTGTGGCACTAAGTGCTGGTGGCAACACAGAACAACATGAAAAACATTCCTTTTTAATTTTTTTAAAAACCCAGCAATTAAAAGCAGGAGAACAAACCAGTGTGGTATGGTGGTTAGAGCATTATTCTAGGACCTGGAAGACCAAGGTTCAAATTCCCACCCAGGCATGAAGCTCACTGGGGGGTGACCTTGTGCTAGTCACTGCCTCTCAACTTAACCTACCTCACAAGGTTGTTGTGGGGATTAAATAAGAGAAAACGGTGTACGCCACCTTGAGTGCCTTCGAGAAAAAATGTGGGATGTAAATGCAGTATATAAATAATACGTCTCTGCCAGCTGTCAAATAATAATAATAATAATTATTATTTATTATTTGTACCCCGCCCATCTGGCTGGGTTTCCCCAGCCACTCTGGGCGGCTTCCATAGAAACAAAAAATACAGTAAAATATCACAGATTAAAAGCTTCCCTGAACAGGGCTGCCTTAAGATGCCTTCTAAATGTCAGGTAGTTATTTATCGCTTTGACATCTGATGGGAGGGCGTTCCACAGGGCGGGCGCCACTACCAAGAAGGCCCTCTGCCTGGTTCCCTGAAGCTTTGCTTCTCGCAATGAGGGAACCGCCAGAAGGCCCTCGGCACTGGACCTCAGCGTCCGGGCAGAATGATGGGGGTGGAGACGCTCCTTCAGGTATACTGGGCTGAGGCCGTTGAGGGATCATATCATGAGGGGTGCAGAAATCCCTTGTGTCCGTGTGGAGTAGCCCAGACGAACAACCAGGTTGAGCGAGTCTGAACTGAAGTGTGGAATTGAAAGCCAACGTGGTATAGTGTTTAGAGTGTCAGACTAAGACTGCCATGAGCTCCATGTAGAAAAAGGTGAGATATTAATTGAGATACGAATTAATTAATTGTTTCAGGGTTGGAATATGTAGAAAGATGGAACAGGAGCACCATGTGCCCCATTAACCCTTGTTTGAACCTAACCCAGTTCTCACCGCAAGGCACTCTTTTCCCTGAACATGAAGGCCTCCAAGTGCATTCGGCGCTTCATCCGGCGCAATTCCACATAGCTCAGCCAGCGCTGCCACGTCCAAAGCGTTTTCATTTTTGCTGCTGTGAAAAATGTGAAGCCATGGTTTTAATGGCAGGCACAAGTATTTTAAAGATTCCATATTTTTGTCCAATACACATAACTTCCCAATCCTTTTTGGCCCATACGGAAAAAGCCTGGCTCCAGGAGAGAGGTGTGGCTGGTCAAAAGACTGACATCAGACTGTTTTCAGACACAAAAGGAACTTCGTATCTCATCAGGAGGACTGCAAGGGCACTTTGCAACAAGCAGCTGCAAATAGGGCTACACTGGGGACAGAGGGAGGAATGGCACCTTAAATGCTTCCTAGTTCTGGAACTCACATGAATAGGACTCTGAAGGCCAAATGGAATGTAGTAAGTCCATGATGGATCTCCAGATTGATTATTTTACTTATTATTTTACTTTTACTTATTAGCATTTCTAAACCAGTCAATACTTAAATATCTCTTAGCAGTATACAAACATAGCATAAAACTATAAAAAGCAACATATAAGAAAACAGTAGAACAATCCTTGTTCAATTTCAGGTGCTTGAAAAAGACATTTCTATTTCAGCAGGCATTTTGGAAAAGTTTTTTGTTTTTATACTTAAATTTCATTTATCTTATCTGTCATATGCTTTTAATTTCTATGTACCCAGCTTAGAAACTTTGAGAATTAAAAGGTCTAGAAATAGCACAAACAAACAAGAAATAATATGGTTCCACCAGGGCAAAAAGATGTCTTCCCAAGACATCTGGACCAACTAATACATGATGATGCCTCACATATAGTATTTATGCCTGAAAACAGCTGCTGGAAGTGTTGCTCCACTTTTGATCAGAGCAGCAACACTGGGGGTAGGGAGAGTAACACTTTGTGCTACCCCCCACTTCTCTTATCTGAAAACCAGAAGGGTATTTTTTTTCTCCAGTGAAAAGAAAATACATAGGTGCTTGCCTCTCTACACTGGGAGAAACAGCAAAGCATGGGGAGGGTGGGAAAGGAAACTGAAAAGAGGGAGCAATGAGTAAAGATAAGCCAATGCAGTTGCACAATCTTTGGTTCAACTGGGGATACAGAGCACGGGGCTAAAGCTTCTTGGAAAAGACAATTGTAAGGAAAAGATGGGTGGCGCCACTTAGGTGTCATTAAATTAGCAATGCAACTTGCTAGCTAAGCAAAATGTCTGCTAAATTACTGATGCTAATGTAATGTTTATTTAGTAGATATATCAACATAGTTTGCATGTTGTGCTGTAAGATTCGAGATCCGAGTAGAAATTCATTGATTTCACAACAAGCAAGGTTTTCAGAGAACTATCCAATAATGTGTTGGCTGCAACAAAACTCTAAATGCAAAATACATGTTGCTGTTCAGAAACACTGCAGAGCAGATGGAGAACCCCTTGAGCTTTGGCAGAGGCTTCCTTCGATAGCTGGGATTAATTTAACACACAGCAAAATATGCAGAGAAAAGGCTCGATGCTGGGTTCAAGCAGGCTGCCATCTGCACTGGAAGAGCATGGACACAGCAACCCAGGCTCTTCTACTGCAGGGCTGAGGAAACTGTGGTCCTCCAGATGTTGCTTGACTCCATCTCCCAAACAGCCTGAGCCAACCTGGACAAAGTTCAAGGGTGGTGAGAGTTGTAGCCTGACAACAACTGGAGGGCTACAAGTTCCCTACTCCATTCTATATGCTTCCACAACAGATTCTATTATCTCACCGTGTGAATCTGCAACACAATAAGTCACCTTCTTCTCTCGCTGCAGGAGTACGTAGGACTTCCAGGCCCGAAAGATCAGGTTGTACAGGAAATACCTGGCCAACAAAAGCAAATAAGGGTCAGAACCCAGCCTACCCATTTGCTATACAGATGATTCATTTCAAACTACTATTGAGGAATGCTTTTGCATTGTAATTTTTTGCAACACAGAAAGCAGTCATTTATTTACACAGGTAGCAAAACAGGCTGGGAAACAACCACTTGCTTGCTTGCCTAAGGCAAGTAAGAATCCCCCCCAGGCAGAGAAGTTTGTTCCTTTTTTTGTTTAAAAATGACTGTGTACGGGTTATGTGTAGGCAGGCGGCCTAGTAAAAACTTTTGTGGGCTAGTAATTATTGCTGTTGTGCTTGTTATTTATTTCATTTATGAATTGCTTCCCACAAGCCGCCCCAAAGCAATTTGCAATATAGTAACAAATATAAAAGAGTTACATATATATAAAAAGTTTTAAACTCAATTATAAAAGCAACAGGAGCACATACACACAATCAGTTCAAATGCAGGACAGATACCAGTTGGGATAAGGACACTTTGTTGAAAGAGAAGCATATTTCGCAGGTGCCAAAAAGACAATAGAGAGGGTTTCTGTTTGATAGTAGCTTTTGTGAATTTATTTGCAAAGTAATTATTCATCAAAATAAGTTGATGAGTTCATGCTATATTTGGATGGGTACCCAAAGCCTAGGAACTGGTAAAGCTACATATAGTGCTGTTCCAGAGAGGAATTTTGGTGGCCGAGTGACTGGCCATGAAACACCGGAATGGAAAGAAACAGCAGGGAATTGCCAGTGCAGGCAGCTTATGAGAAAGTGGATTGGAAGATCATGGAAAATATAAATGTACAGAACTGCAGGACAATTACCTTCAGCTGTACATATCAAGGAAGAAGAAAAGCAGCGATGCAATGCATCCCTGACCCCCTTTTTTGTCCTGTTTGTAATGATCAAACTGAGGATGATTTGGGCTCTAAACTATGGTTAGCGTGAGCCATGGTTTGGACCAATGTGTCTTCCTAGTAAGAACACAGGAAGAAATACACTTAGGAAAACTGAACTGAACTGTAAAAACGCCAACATGCCTGGCTGCTTGCTGACTAAGATAGCACAGCTTGCTTTTTGACACATTAAAACAAACATGGGATTTCTTCTCTCTGTAGTATTAGAAAGTACATTTAACAGACCTGTAATGGCAGTCAGCCCGGATGGTGAGCTTCCATTCTTTCCAAATAATCCACCATTCTTCCTTCCACCCTCCAAAGGTTTTCCGCAGTATCTTCTGATCATAATAGCGCCTAGAAAAGGAAAGAATACAAAACATATAAGACAATGGAAACATACACACAATATTAAATCAGTTATCGTAAACTTCTGCCCTTTATCTGTTCAGTCATCATTTTTTTCACTTCCAGTTCACAGATTGGACTGCTCTAGTCCTGCTGAAATCAACAACATTTAAGCATGCTGAACTGTGAGCTAAAACATGCCCTTCATCTGTGAACAAGTGTTCCTAGAGACAATTATAGTTTCAATAATTCTTATGAGTGATTTTCTTTTCTTCATTTTGTACCAGCAATAAAAGCCCGGAGAAGTTCAGTCTCTCCCAAAATATCACAGCACAGCAGGTGACCCTGCTAACAAGGAAAGGCTGTGGATTTCAACATCCTGGTGCTCCAGTAATCAACAGGAGGCTGTGATGGTTCAGACACAACAAAAAAGCATGGTTTGCAAGTTGCCCCCAAATCAGGATCTGAAACTACAAGCTGAAGCAGATTTGGCCAAACTGTAGTTTCATGTTCCATGTAAAATAACACTCTTGTCTGGGACACTGCTCTGCACAGTTTTAGCAAAATAATCACTTTTTATACATGCACTAGCCATAAGTCCACTTGTGTAGACCAGTTTCACAGAGAAATACTTATCATTTTTAAGCAAAGAACTTGCTTTGCTTACCTGGCACTAGAAGGGAGGACCCTTCCAAATACCTTCTTCATCCACAAGTAAAGGAATTTCCTAGCCAGGTGTCTGAAAAACATATCTCTCAGTGCTTTTTAGCATATATTTATTATCTATAAACTTTCAGCCAAAGATGAACAAACAGGAACTTCACACATAAATGCTAATTCCTCCATTTAAGTCCGCCACTAAAAAACATCTTTTACATGACATTTTTACCTCACCCTTCCTCAAAAATGAGGTTAAAAACTTTCCTTGTTAACAAACTTGTGAATCTGCTGCTGCTTAATGTATCAATTAGGAGTAAAGATATTTGTTTTTGCTGCTGTTCAGAGTTTGGTAAATCTGTGTTTTAATTATCTGGAGGAAAGTGGAGGTGGGGGAATCTTTTAAATGAAAATCTCTTCCCCTGCTTGATTCGACTGATGAAGCCGGATCAACGTTTTAAAAGGAATACAATAAAAATATACCTACTGGACACAGCTACTTTTTATACTAGGTTAATAAGCCCTACAAATAAGATATAAAACATAAACATGTCTATTACCTGATACGGAGTTCTTTTAATCTCCCACCTCGGTTCCAAGTGTATGTCACACGGTATGAGATCCTGCGATTCCCAGTCAGACGCGGAGAAGCGAACTGGCCACCTGAACCTCCTTTGTGACTAGGCTGTTTCTGTGTTTTTATAAACTTTGAACTTAAAATAAATAAAATAAAGAAGATAAGCAGTTTTTGCCACTAAGCTTGCAAGTCCCTAGGTAACTTAAGACTTTCACAAAGCACAGAAGCAGGATCGAGTGAGCACTCTTCCCCCGGGCCCCAGTTCGTTCAGAATGATGCTGCTTTTGCAATTGGAGAGTGCTGCTCCATTTGCACTCATGTTCTGCTTGCTTATGGGCTTCTCATAAAGGCCCATTTCCTACACTGCACATATTAGACCTCTTGATGTGACAGTATCTGTTGAAGGCCCTTTCCTACAGAATGTAGTGACTAATAAAGAACATAAGTAGAGCCCTGAAGCTGGATCAGCCAAAGGTCCATTTAATCTAGCATCCTTTTCTCACAGCGGCCAACCAGATGCCCATTATGGGAAATCCACTAGCAGGACCTCAGAGCAACAGCACCAGATATATAATGGATAAGGTATTGTGGTCACCAGCTGTATGAGGCTTTGTATACCAATACCTATACTTTGAACTTAGCCCAGTTTCTAACTGGCAGCCAGTTCAAGCCTTTCAGGAATGGTGTAACTTGATGACAACAGGCAATTCCGTGAGCGACCACATTCTTGAACAAGCCTGTCTGAATTTCTGGTTCTAGGGAACATCACGAGCTTTGGTACAAGAAAGAACATGCTAAGACAGGGAAAATTATAAAAGTAATTGTCTGCAGCCTCCATTTGCCTTAGTATGAAAGACCATATGTAACCTAATACATATAGAAAATACTGTTGCTGTTTCTAAAGCTAAAGAGACTAGGAGATAGGCCAGGGCTGCACATTTGACTGGCCAAAAAATAAAATAAAAATGAACAATTGGATGGTCAAACATTGTCAAATAATAGCCAAATATTTTTAAAATAACAGCGTTATTAGAGCAACAAAACCACACCGTACTGTATTTATCAATATGTGTGACATATGCTAAAATTGTTACAAATAACTGTGATTGTATATTGATCAACTGATGATATATACAATAGGTCAATTCCTGCGTGCCAGTCCCAAGAAAGCAATGATGTAGGTTTTCCAGAATTTTTTTCCATAAAATTTCTTTTTTTAAAAAAAATCCAATGCATATTACACCATCTGGAAAAATTTCTGATGCCTAGAAAGTGTTCTAATTTAGAATGCTTCTTGTACTGTACTTGTATTTAGTAAACAAAGCTACCGTATTTTTCGCTCTATAAGACGCACCAGACCATAGGGCGCACCTAGTTTTTGGAGGAGGAAAACAAGAAAATAAATATTCTGAATCTCAGAAGCCAGAACAGCAAGAGGGATTGCTGCGCAGTGAAAGCAGCAATCCCTCTTGCTGTTCTGGCTTCTGGGATAGCTGCGCAGCCTGCATTCACTCCATAAGACGCACACACATTTCCCCTTACTTTTTAGGAGGGAAAAAGTGAGTCTTATAGAGCAAAAAATACGGTAAGTGTTGGAAATACTCAGCTTCCCTAATATTATATTTGCAACTGGCATCCATTCATGGTCACTAATGAATTTATAAAACAGAACATTTTTCATGGAGAAAGAAAGCACTGGGAAAATGTCCATGGAGAATTTTCTACCCTACTTCACGACAAGATTATAGGGTTTCCCCCCTAGAGTAAAAAGTGATGTGGAAGAAGGATGTCTGATTGTGGCCTGCAGACTCACCCTCCTCAATGCAGGTTTTGCAGCATTCTGTACTGTTTCAAAACCACAAAACCTGTTAGTCCAGAAGTGACAGTGGGACACAGTGAGTCCATGCAACCTGTGGGAGGTGATGTTTCTTTCAACTCCAGCTTCTCTACAACCTAGGTTTATCAAACAACTCTTTTATCAACCACTCAAGACAAGCTCAGACTTGATTACTCTTCCAGAACTAAAAATAAACCTACAAAATCAATCTGCATAGAAATTATTGAAGAATTAATGGTCAAGAAAAGAGAAGCCAAGCCTCACAGCATTCCGTGGAAAGGAAAAACTGTGGTGTTGTTAAACAATATATTCTAGACCATCTGGCAAACAAAATACTTTGGTGGTTGAATGAGCACTCTCCTCCAGCAAAGGGAGGTCTGAGAATGCACCACATTTCTCTGTAAATTTACCAGAGATAATGTACTGGGCAGGAAGAAGGCTCCTTCTTGTTGAAGTTCAGCCATGATGTTCAGGGGCCAACTTCAGGACAGTTACTGTCTCTCAGCCTAACTGACCTCACAGGGTTGCTGTGAGGATAAAAGGGGAAGGGGGAGAACTGTATACACCACTTTGAGTTCCTTAGAGGAAAGGTAATAAATGAATAAATAAAGTGAGGGGAAAGTCTGACATCCAGGAATCTGTAGCACAGACAAAAATAATTTGATCACACTACTGTGTGCTTCTTGTGTAATATTACAGCTTCTAGTTCCACTGCAGTGGTAGCAATCCTTGTTCACAAACTGTTCCCCCCCCCCCCGAACTATTTAAGCACTAGCAACAACACAGCTGAGTTTTAAGTACAGGCTCTTCTGTTTAAGTGTTTCTTACCTGAATTTAGCCTTCTTTTCCATCACGTTAACAGCCTTGTGTCCTCTACTGTCCAGCCCAGACCACTGTTTTCTGGTAAGAAAAATCCTTTGTCAAAACATAAGGATTTATTTTCTTAAAAATCAGTAAGCATATATGGAAAGTGGCCCTGTACAGAGTCAGACCATTGGTCCATCTAGCTCAATATTGCCTACAGTGACTGGCAGCAGCTCTCCCAGGTTTCAGTCAGGGGACATTCTCAATTCTACCTGGAGAAACTAGCATCCAGAGACACAGTACCTCTGACACTGAAGGTAGTACATAAAAAGAGCCTAGCTGCTGAATCAGGCCAAAGGCCCATCTAGTCCAGCATCCTACGAGATGCCCCAATAGCAAAGCCACAAGTAGAATATGAGCACAACAACACTCTTCCCACTTGTGATTCTCAGCAGCTGATATTCAGAGGTATGCCACCTTCAACATTGGAAGCAGGGGCATAGGCATCATGGCTAATTGCCATCAATAGCCTTATCTATGAATTTGTCCAACCCTCTTTTAAAGCCATCCAAGTTGGTGGTCATCATTGCCTCCTGAGGGAGGGAGTTCCATTGTTTAACTATGTGATGCATGAAGAAGGTCTTTCTTTTCTATATCCCGAATCTTCCAGAATTCAGTTTCATTGGATCTGAGTTCTAGTGCCGTAAGAGAGGGAGAAAAACTTTCTATCTCGCTTCTCTATCCCATGCATACTTTTATACACTTCTATCATGTTGCCTTGTACTCAGCTTTTATCTAAACTAAAAAATTTCCAAATCCTGCACCAATCTTCATAGGAGAGTCGCTCCATCCTCTTGGAACATTTTCTGTACCTTTTCCAACTCTATTCTTCTTGAGGTGAAGTGACCCCAAGTGTGGTAGCATCATAGACTTGCATAAGGGTCTTTAGATGCTGGAAACTTTATTTTCTTCTCCTTTCCAAATCTCTCCAGCCCAAGGGCCTGAACCACTCAATTGTAGTCCTGGGCTGCTCAGAAGACGACCCCCCTATCTCTCCCTCACTGAGATAGTCCAAAGAAAAGCAGAGGACAATCCCTTGTGAGGGAATCCATTGGATAGCAGGATATCTGGTCGGGGTAGTCTGATCTAGGGTTTTGCTTTTGCCACAGCCTACTGCCTCAGAAGCCAACTTTCGGTTTGCAGAGATGTTTTCATTCCCTGGCCTACAAAAAACGAGCGTTAAAAAAGAGATTTCTTCAATCTACTATCTGAAAAGGGCAGAGTCTCTTTCTCCCCTTTCCTCCTCCTGCTACACGTGTAGCAGGCATCTCCACACTTCTCGCTATGCCCGTGTCGGGCAGTCACTGGGAGGGAAGCATCACCGAGAGAAGGGGCTCCCGCCTCTCCTCAGGAAAAAGCGCGGGAAGGCGGCCCGCGGCCTCCTCCTCAGCTAACGTCTTTCCCCAAGGCGGCGGCGGCCGAAGCCTTCCGCCTTGGCCGGGGCACGGCACACGCCCAGTGCTTGCCATGGCGGGCTGGCGGCAGGACAACTGCCTAGTTACACTTGGGAGGGTCCTCTGACTTGGAATAACTGCAAGTTGACGGGTACCCGAGGCGGGGGGGGGGGTCTCCAAACATTGCGAGACTTCAGCTCCCAGCATCCCTTCCCATTGGCACTGCCCGCTGAGGATGATGGGAGTTGGAGTCCCGCCGCATCTGCCCAGCACCTGGTGAACTTTCCCTGCCTTTTTGTTCTCCACTTCACGGCGCGCATGGAATGAAAAGTGGAGGGGGCGGGGGGGGGATGCACAGCCACCCAGCATTTGGTAAACCACGTTTTTCTTTGAGGAGCAGACCCAGCTGCTTTCAACGGGGCGCGCGCAGTTTAACAGACCCGACTCCCAAGTAATCCTGTTCAGCATTATCGACATACAGTAAACTCCATTGGACGCACTAGGGCTTCTTCTGAGTAAGCGTGCATAGGATTGCCTTGTCCTTTGGTTCCATAGGATAATTAATGTGGGCTGGCTCTCTCATTTCTCCCACAAATATGCAGGAGAGGGGGGGACTCCGGTGATTTATCGCTCATCTTATGAGGAACAAACCTTGCAGCCCTAAGCACATTCCTTCCCCGAAAATGTGAATTGCACGGAAAGGTACTTTCAAAGCGGAATAAGTTTCATGAACAAGAGCCCCCTTTGTTGCAATTGCGCTTACATAAATATACAGGGGTGGTGGTGATTGTCAACAATGGGGCGGAAAAAGGTCTGTCATATGTCAACATGGTGGTTCTAGGGACGTTTACTCAATAGTAAGTCTCATTGTGTCCAATGGCAGAGGGGTTTAACCAGTAAATGTGTTTAGGATTGTAGCCCAAACGATGCAAGAAACAATTAATTGCTCCTTAACACACTTTAAGCACAGCCAGAGCGGTTAAAAGGCGAGTGTATCATTCTTATAGACGAAATAGAAGTTTTTATCTGCGTTTCTGAAGCCATAACTAATCCGCATTAACTGATCTTTGTTTGTGTCATTACAAAACGCGTTAAAAATTAACGAGAATCAACTGATGGTGCTGCAGTACAATTCAGGATCTCATGACCTGTCTTGTGACATACATCGGGGCTAAATGATTTAATTGAAGCTAATCCATTGCTTTGGATAGCTAAGTATCCCCCCACCACACACAAGGCATCTCATAGTTTACAGTGCAATCCTAACCACGCCTACTCAGGAGTAAATCCCACCAAATTAAATGGGGCTTACCAGGTAAATGGGGTTAGGCTTTGCAGTTTAAAGAGGTACGCGACCGGGAACCATCGCAGTCGTCTCCACCGCTCTGCGCGTCCGAGACTGCGATCCTGTTGCACACAATTACTTGGAAGCGAGTCCCCTTTCTACTTTCAGCCGGGCTTAACTTCTAAAAAAGCACGGAGAAGACCACCCTGCAACGCTGCACAGGCTCAATCTCGGGCTGCAACCCTATGCGCACTAACCGGGGGAGTAAAGCCCTACCAACGCAGTGAAGTGAGCAACCCAACCACGCACAGGTGCCATTCAGCGCCTCCTGAGCAGGGACTCCCCGCTGCAGGGAACTATCGATAAGAAAACGAGGCTGTCCTGCCGAAACGCCTGAAGGACCCTTCCATGCCTCTTAACACACTACTCTATCGCCACCTGCCTATTGTGTGCGGGTTTATTTATACAACTATAAATCTCGCCAGAGCTGAGAAATGGGAATTCGAATTTGGAAGTAGCCTGTGAAGTTCCTATACTTTGTTTTGTATGTGTGTTTCCCTCCCCCCCACTCACCCGTTTTGGGCAGGCAATCGCCAACGGCGCGCTCTCTGCGGGCCTGCCCGGCGGCTTACACTGCGCGTGCGCGAGCCGGAGGAAAGGTGGAAGCGAGAGCTCGGCGAGGAGCGAGTGAGGCGCATGCGCCGTGGCTATTAAAGGGGGAGGGGTGGGCAACGAAGGCCCCGGTTACGGCGGCTGAGGAGAGGAGGGAGAGGCGGGGCTGAGCTTGAGGAGCGGACGGGCCGTGTGCACAGAGAGGAGGAGGAGGAGGAAGGACGGGAGAAGCGGCGGCGGGGTCTGAGGGAGCGGCGACGGCGGCGGCCGCCCCCGTCGTCGTCGTCCTCGTCCCTGACCGGACTGAGAGGGGGCGGGAAGGCCAGACACCCAGCGAGGGAGCGCCAGCGAGGGAGGTGAGAAGCCGCCCGCGGCCTGGGCCCCCGGTGGGGGTTCCGCTGAGTCACCTGCTGGGCGTGGGGCAGGGGGCGCCTCTCCTCGGGGCGGCGGGGGCCGAGGAGCCACATTCTCCCTTCCCGCTTCCGCCGGCGCTGTGTGCGGCCTCCCCGGAAAACCGTCCCCCCTTTGCCTGGGCGGGGCGTCTCCGTACTACTACTGCGCCTGCGACGCGTGCAGGCCGGCCTCAACAACAGCCCTGCCAGGTAGGCCACCGCTGCTACTACCCGCCCCAGCTTCTCTTGGGCAGTCAGCGAGGGAGACCGTGGCTGAGAGCAGAGGAGAAGCGGAGGGCTTCCCGCTTCTGCTCCACCACCCCACTTCCACGGCTTGCAGCTTCCTGTCTCGGCCAGCCATGGGTTATCCAAGGGACGAAAGTGGGGGGCGGCGGCGGGGAGGAGCGGAGTGGTGTCGGAGATGATACTGCCCCCAAGGAAGGGATGGAAGGAAGGAAGGGGTCGCCGCGTGAGGAGAGGCGCCTCCCGCCTAGGATTGTGGCTTCCCACGTTCTGAGTTAGGATTGGAGGCGGGTTAAGTGTACGTGTGTGTGTGCGCGCCCGCGTTTAATAGGAATAATGTTTGGCAGGAGTTGACGAATATGGCTACCTGTTGAGCACCTTGGCAACCTCCATTGCAGTTGGTCGGAATGGCTTGTGTCGCTCCTTGTACTGCCTCTTCCAACCAGCCTGTTGGACCACAACTCCTGGCATCCCTGGCCGTTGGCCCCGCTGGCTTGGGGGTTGATGAGAGTTGGAGTCCAACAGTATCCAGGGAAGTGGAGAAGGACTTTTCTTCCATGCAGAAGGTTCCATGCAGGTTCAGTCCTCCCAGTAGGAAGGCCTTAGGGTGGAGGGTAATTGATTGATTGATTGATTGATTGATTGATTGGGCTGGAATGCCCCTTACCTGTAATCTAGAGAGCCATTGTTACTGGTCACTGTAAATAATATTGAACTATTGAACTAGTGGTCTGACTTGGTATAAGGCAGCTTCCTGTTTAAGACATTCCTTTATTCAGAACTTTGAGGACTAGAATCTTTATGTTCAGGGGAAAGGCCATGGCTTAGATGCAGAAGTTCCCAGGTTTAAGGCTTGACAGCATCCTATTTAGCACCTGGAGGCCACCATGCTGGGGAAGGCATTACTAGTCAATAGTAGAACTCTCCAAGGTCTCAGGCTGCAGGAAGGTCCATTACCTGCTATGCCTGTAGTCCTTTTTTTCTTGAACTGGAGATGCTGAGCATTGAACCTGGGACCTTCTGCATGCAGCACATAGGAGCTACGACCCCTCCCACAAGAGCTTGTTGTGCCCCCTTTGAAGGACTTGTTGCCAAATATGGTCTGTCTCCACCCCCAGCTATCTGGAAGTACTGATGTGGCATTCTCCATGTGCTTCTGACCTGTGATAAGGATGCCTGTCTCCTTGAACATAGGGTGTCTCTTATAAACATAGCTATGATTAACTGCAGCAGTCTTGATAGGGAAACTTTCTCAGGGAGGCATCATGGTATCCTGGAATGTCAGTACTCTGGTCCTTGACTCTCCTAAAGCAGAAAAGTGAGTCAGCCAATGTTGCTTTATCTCCTTCATACTCATAGGTTGTTGAAAGAAGCACTATTATTATAAGTTGTTGGCCAACAATATGTATGTAAAAAGACTATTTAAATGAATAACTCTTGACCTGGAGACTTTTGCTTTGAAGGAGTAAAGCCAGCAAACAGTTTTGAAAAATCCATACTACAGGCTACCATCAAATGTCCAGGTGCTTGTAATGTGCTCAGAATGGCAAAAGTTGTCATAAGTGCATATGGAATGCTTGAAGTGAAACTACGTTGCATGGTTTTGTACATTCCATTTTGTGTGTGTGTTTAACAGGCGCATGTTCAAGGCCTCCAAGCAACTATGGATAAAAGGGGGGGAATGACAGAAGTTGTGAACGGCGATACATTGATTGGTGCAATGAAATTCCCTCATCGCTACACAAAAGTAAGCTTTTATGCTTCTAGTATAAGTATCAAATTGCTTCTGAAGTGATAGTAGAATCAAGCTGTTAATAGTTGCCATCAGTCTGCAAAAACTTGTAATTTTCCTGTAAATGAGCATACAAATATAGAACTGTCAGTGAGATTTTTTTTCTTTGGATTTAATTCCTAAACCTTGTTTTTGTAGTAAAGCTAACAGGAACTCTTTTAAGGGATAGGTCTACTTAACAGCCTTCTAGAGAGCTCCAACTTGTCACCACACTAAACAAGCTGGTGTATGATACAAGAATTTTATATTAAACTAGTTTACCTAAACAAAGATTTGCAACACCACCCTTCTAATTTTTGCCACTGAAGTGACTGATAGCAAATTTATTTTACCAAATGAACAATATTAATCTGAAATTCTATTTTGTTTCAGAACATAGGTTGTAGATGTAATTAGGGTTTAAGATCTAATTTAATTTCACGTCACCTGGTCAAAATGCTTATTGCTGGAGGCCTTTGACCCCTGAATAGTTCTCAGATGTTTTAGTCTCTTTTGAGATTCTTGAGGTTTTAAATGTTGGAGGTTTAGTTTTAAAATTCATATATAGGGGATTCATCACTTATGTGAGGGTTCCGGTCCGGTCCACTGCATTCATCACCGGGACACATGCAAATGGGGAATTCCTTATTCTGCCCCACCTCCTTTTGGTATGCATGTCAGTGGAGACATGCCTGCATTCATCTACATGGTGAAAAGCAGGATATATATATATATATATATATTTAGCTTTGCACTTTTGCTATGCCAAGTATTCCAGGAGAAGGCCTGTGCTTCTAGGCAGGACCACATTATAAAAATGAACAGTATAAAATAACATTGAAAGCCTTCAGTAGAAATGTACTTCAAAGATGTATAGCTGCTACATATAGTAAATGGACCATTGTGTGATTTCCTGAAAGTAATCTCAGCAGGACAGTTGTCAGTTTGCAGTAACTGCCACCAGACAGCACATTACTGATGTCTCTTGCATGGAACAATCTCCCATTTACAAGGACTTCTTTCAGAAAGCATTTGAGATTCTTATTTATGGGGAATCTTACATTCTTTCAGCTTCTAAATCCTTTAAACTCCAGCAGAAGGTATAATCCTCCCAAACCATGGGTAGGCAAACTAAGGCCCAGGAGCCGGATGCGGCCCAATTGCCTTCGCATTCCGGCCCGCGGGCGGTCCGGGAATCAGCGTGTTTTTACATTAGTAGAATGTGTGCTTTTATTTAAGATGCATCTCTGGGTTATTTGTAGGGCATAGGAATTTCAAATTATAGTCCGGCCCCTCACAAGGTCTGAGGGACAGTGGACCAGCCCCCTGCTGAAAAGGTTTGCTGAGCCCTGTCCCAAACAAACACTCCTTCAGCTGTTTTCCAAATACTCCTTTTGAGTCAAAACAGATACCAGACAAGCCTTCTTGCTATGTTGCATGAAATCTGGTGTACAATAAATTGCCATGTGGAAATTTGAGAATACCATCATTTTTCCCCTCCCCTTTCTCCAGGAAGAGCTCTTGGACATTAAAGAGCGTCCCCATTCTAAACGGAGGCCATCATGTCTTTCAGAAAAATATGACAGGTATTTCTATTAATCTTTAGTCAACTTATGACTTTCATTGGTTGCAGAAATGTTAAATATATAGGGGGTCAAACATGAGTGATGTGCATCTTTTGCAACGTTGCAGTGATGGAGTTTGGGATCCTGAAAAATGGCATGCGTCACTATATCCAAATTCTGGAAGGACTTCACCAGTGGAAGGACTTAAGAAGGACTCGGATTCAGATCGGAGTTCACTCATGAGAAGGATAGTGGGTGAGCACTTCACAAAAGCACATAAATCACAAAACTGAAATATAGAGATTCCTGTGTGGCTTTGACTAATTCATGGAGCTCAGTATGTGCTTTAGAAAGCAGGATAAAATAAGGAAGGAGCATGCAATAGAGTTACTTAAAATTGTAGTGAGGACTGTTTTAGGACAGATTTGAGTAATGAATTAAACTGCATATGACATAGAATTGTAGGGCTGGGTCCTCTAGTTCAACTCCTTGCAACCACAGCAAATATGTAAAATGATTTTGCCATGCTTGTGAATATAGCTTGTAGCACCTACTTTCTTTAACACATAAACACATTCCTGACATGTAACTAAAATCTCTTCAACCTGTAGATCCCAGAGAACGGGTAAAAGAAGATGACTTGGATGTGGTGCTGAGTCCACAGCGGCGAAGCTTTGGAGGGGGCTGCCACGTGACTGCAGCTGTAGGTTCACGAAGAGCAGGAAGCCCACTGGAGAAAGAAAATGACTGTGTCCGTGTCATTGGCGGCCGTAGGATTGGCAGTGGGAGAATAATCTCTGCCCGAAACTTTGATAAAGACCACCGAGGTGGTGAGAAGGACTCACGGGACTCAAGAGACGCAAGGGACAGAGACCGCGACAGGGAATACAAAGACAAGCGTTTCAGGGTTAGTCCTTAAAACCACACAGGAAGGTGTACCTGTGCCTGCTTCATGTATTTGATAGACTTTCTTGACCACTTGTATAAGTCGCACCAGGGCATCCCAGAGCAAGTTCAGAAAACAACACAGCACTTTCCTGTTATACAGTAAAGTATAAATGCCTTTGCTGTAGGTCTGATAATGGCAGAAACACCTGTAACCTGTGGATTGTGTTGAATTGGAAGGCTATTTGGCAGCAAAGAGGGATGGAGAGGAATGTTGCTTTAGAAGCAGAGGGCTGTATCTGGTATTGGTCCTTCTTGGGCCCATTGGGTGGTAAACTTTGAAATTAACAGACATGGCAAAGTTAGGCCCATTAATTTAAGTAGGTCGGTGCTGAGTAGGACTTGGTTGGATTCAACACAAAAAAAATAAAAGCTGGATCCCACTAAAGGGATTATTATTATGGTTGGCTAGAGACCACATGTTGAATGTTTTCCACGTCTCTCCCCGTAAACTTTAGAGAGAATATGGGGACAGCAAGCGTGTATTTGGAGAACGCCGAAGGAATGACTCCTATACTGAGGAGGAACCGGAATGGTTCTCTGCTGGCCCCACAAGTCAGTCGGAAACCATCGAACTTACTGGCTTTGATGATAAAATACTAGAGGAAGAACATAAAGGGCGGAAGCGAACAAGACGGCGTCCAACTTCTCTGAAGGAAGGTATTAACACAGAAACTTTGTGTATTGGATAACTGGAGGAAAACTCTATGGCCCAGAAAGGGGAGGAGCATTTTGTGTATTGAAGTGTCTGCTTTTATCCATTTCTGTCATTGGCCGTTAACTGAACTTTCTGTGCTTCATGATCAGTCTTCTGGCTTGTAGATGCAGGTATGAGATGCATCTTTACTTGAGTTCTTTAGAGTGGGGTTATAGGGCCTAGGTGTGTGTGACTTGGTATAGAGGGCATTTCTGTGTCTGCTGTGCTATAAAGCTACCCATAAGAGGTTTTCATTTTAGAATATTATTTGCTTAAATGAGTGTAAGCCTCAGATGCCTAACTAGACCAAGGAAAAAATTTAGATAAGCAAGGCTGGGTGATAGTGAGCAAGGTAACTAGTGTGATGCTAGCAGGTGATGCGTGTGGTACATAGCTGTCATACTGGGGATTGAAGGCCTTAATCTGAGGTCCTTTTGCAGCCTTCCTGAAGGACAGTATCTCATGCACTCTTAATTTGGAATCAGGATAAGATGTTGGAATGCAATCCTAACTACTTTGCTGGGAGTGAGCTCCATTGAATTCAGTGGGACATACTTGGCATACCGTATTTTTCACTCTATAAGACTCACCAGACCACAAGACGCACCTAGTTTTTGGAGGAAGAAAACAAGAAAAAAGATATTCTGAATTTCAGAAGCCAGAACAGCAAGAGGGATCGCTACGCAGTGAAAGCAGCAATCCCTCTTGCTGTTCTGGCTTTTGGGATAGCTGCACAGCCAGCATTCGCTCCATAAGACGCACACACATTTCCCCTTACTTTTTAGGAGGGAAAAAGTGAGTCTTATAGAACAAAAAATACGGTAGTTAAGATTGCAGCAGTAGTGTTAACACATTCAAGGTAAGTAGCAAAATTTTGCTTGGGAGATTTTGGGAACAGATAGCTAAATTGGCCCCATCTGCCCCTTGTCTGGCTGCATTCTAATGGAAGTGGGTGTTGGTAGGCCTTAAGGCTTCATGCATTTTTGTAGACTGTAAAAACGTCATTTTAGCAGCACTGAAATACAGTTCTTTAGCCACCTGAAAACTTAGCAGTGCATAAAATTGGCACCTTTCTGGTATCTGTTTTGAACGTTCTCTGGAGCAACTCTGATGAAACTTGAGAGTAACGCATATTTAAATGTAACTTAGGGAAGCATTCTATGAACTTGTAGACCTGTTAACAATTGAAACAGGCAGCTGTGTCCCTGGGTGTCAAAGAGTGGCTCCTGTTGCCTCTCGAAATTATTTTGTGTGTGCTGATTTTGGCTTTATCCCTCCCAAGGAATAGAATGCAATGGCGGGTTAGCGGAAGAGGTAGAAGTGCAGTCTGTTCTTGGCCAGGAGACAGTAGCCGATCAAGAAGTCCCAAGGGAAATAGTCCTGCCGGAACCAGCTCCAGGAGAGTTCGATTTCAATGAGTTCTTCAACCTAGATAAGAGTGTTCCTGGCTTGGCTTCGGTAAGTATTTTTTTTAAAAAACACCCAACTTTGCCATGATGGTTACCATCTTGAACTAATGCACCCTGTTTCTGGTAGTGGCTTTTCCCATGTCTTGTTGCTCTGTAGAAGGCTTTGAAAAACTTTGTCAAGTGAAGTGGAAATACTTGAATATTTCAAGGCAGCCCCCACCTCTGCCATGGGTGGGTTTACTTGCATGTTTGGAAGTAGTGATGATATGGCTTCATTTCTTGTACTTCACCCTTCTGTGAAAATTTGCAGACAGTGAGCTATGCTGAATTAGATCATCTGGAATACAGTGGTACTTTGGTTTACGAACTTAGTCCGTTCTTAAACCAAAGCGTTCTTAAACCAAGGTGTGCTTTCCCATAGTAGCGGGTGACTCAATTTACAAATGGAACACATTCAACAGGAAGTGAAACATGTTCTGCTTCCACAGCAAAGTTCACAAACCAAAACACCTACTTTCGGGTTTGCAGCGTTCTTAATCCAACTAAGCTCTTCTTAAACCAAGGTGCCACTGTATAGGCTTTTTATGGAAAGGTGGGGTATAAAATATTTTAAATACTACTCCTTGTGATAGGAGCTGAGAAAAAGCTAAAGAAACAAGTCAAATAAATGAGGTCAGTGACCTTCCGAACTTAGTTGTGTCATCTAAAATTCCTCCGGCTACTGTAAGCAACAGTGTTTGAATATGTTTAGTAGTGGTATGGGTTATGAGCTGCATTATGGAAAACTCCGGTATAATTTTAGATGGGGAACTTGGGTGGTGAGAGCCATGAGGCTTCTAGTTTAAACAGGAAGTACTGGGGGCAACTTTGAGGTTTGCACAACTGCAAGAACTTCTGACTTGATTGAGTGGGTGAGACTTTCTCCCAAACCAGCAAGTGAATATGCCTGTTTGTTCATCGGATAGATTTAGTTTTAAAAACAGGATGCTTTATTTAAATTGTCTTATTCCAAGGTAGGTATGTTGGGGTTGAAGTCTGCTGGATGTGTCCATACAGAGTTATACACAGTTGCCTTAGGAGAGAACTATCCAAGGAAAGATTTTGAGGCTACACACACTTTTTTTTTTTTGTAGGTATGATGCTTGTACTTTCTTGAATTCACTTTTAATGAAAATATTGAGGGCCCTTCCCAAAAACAAGGCCTAAAATTTTATGTATTTGGATACTCCAGATCAGGCATAGGCAAACTCCGGTCCTTCAGATATTTTGAGACTACAATTCCAGTCATCCCTGAGCACTGGTCCTGTTAGCTAGGGGTGATGGGAATTGTGGTTCCAAAACATCTGGAGGGCTGGAGTTTGCCTATGCCTGCTCCATATTATTAGTTTGAATCTGTGACTCCTTAGCTGAATAGTTTCATATACATACAATCCTTAAGATAAACTAATAAGACTAGTTAGCCTTCCATGGGGTCACGAAGAGTCGGACACGACTAAACAACAACAACAACCTTCAAAATGGAATACCTGATACCCAAATGCAATCTCTCAGGCTTTGACTTGCCTCATAACAAAGGCGTTATTTTGCAAGAGGAACTCGGGCTTCATAGGAAACATTGGGTGGATGAAGGAATTGATTGCCTTGGATTTAAGGGTGGGAGCACTGCAGCAGCAGCCAGGGTCATGCCTGGGCTTGCAGAACGCAGGCTTCACTTCTATGCATGTGGGTTCTCCCTCTCAAGCATGGCCTGCAAAAAAATTAAATAGGCTAGTGACTTACCCCTGCCCCTCATAAGAGTAAAGAGGGAACACCTTCAAAAGTAGCTTATCAAAGCTCAACCTTGGATGTGTTTGCCAATCAGAAGCAGTGGTGCTGGTTGATAGTGGTGCTGTGCGGTGAAGAGCAGAAGGACCCTTGAGTTGCCATGTCTGAAGTTGGGTGATGGTGTTAACTTGACATAGCATAAAAAATGATTTAGTTAATACTTAACTGTGGGTACCTAGCAAGCTTCCAAGTTCCACAGGGCAGGCGGGAGGAATTCATCCTGAACTCTGGGCTACTCCTGTTCCACTCTTCCTTCAGTAAAGCCAATAAGAGGTCATCATAGAGGGTCCCATTTTGTCCACAGTCAAAATAGCATTTGATACTCTAGTAAAATATAGGATAGCATATTGATTTGTTCTAAATTTGATATACTGCTGTTCAGACCCATATGGGAGCCCTCAAGCAGGCTCCCTACATACATTATGGTACGCAAAAAGGTCCCCTCAGCTGCTTCAATCTGCGGAACTGCCAGTTCTTCAGGTGCCACATAATACCTGGTCCACATTTGTAAGAACTCATTTTTTGTGTGTGGCAGCATATACACTTTGGAACGCCTTGCCTATTGAAATCAGGCATGTGCCCTTTACTTGGTTTTTAGCACCTGCTGAAAACATTTTTGTTTAGAAAAGCCTATGCAGATATATAAAATGCTGGTGTGTTTTTAGTTTGTTGCTGATTTTAATTTATTGAATGTTTTAATCAATAATGTTGGGTTTTTGTAAACAATTTTGAAGTAGCGTGTAAGTTTTATCAAATAAATAAATGTGCAAATACAGTGGTACCTCGGAAGTCAAACGGAATCCGTTCCAAAATTCTGTTTGACTTCCAAAATGTTTGGAAACTAAGGTGCAGCTTCCGATTGGCTGCAGGAAGCTCCTGCAGCCAATCGGAAGCAGCGTAAGAAGTTCAGGTTCCAAAGAACGTTTGCAAACCGTAATACTCACTTCTGGGTTTGCGGTGTTCGGAAGCCAAAACGTTCAACTCACAAAGCGTTTGGGATCCAAGGTACAACTGTATGGTAACGGAGCCCTTTTTTATGTAGTGTTTTGCATATACAAGAATGACATGGTACATTTGCAACAAGGTCTTGGTCATTGGAGGCAAAAGTGCCTCTTTTTGGAAGCTGCCTTTTGCAATACAAGTAGCACCTCCTGGGTTGGAATCCTAAGTCCCCTTGGACACAATAGGATCTTGCTTCTGAGAAAACAAATAAGATTGCCACTGGTGGAGGCTGAACAGCATGAAGTATTGTTGAATATCCTAAGGTTCTAGAACCTTTGGCCCTCCAGATGTTGCTGAACTACAACTTCCATCATCATCCCTGACTATTGGCTGTGCTTGCTGGGGCTGATGGGAATTGTAGTTCAGCAACATCTGGAGGGCTAAAGGGCCCTCACCATTGATCTAAACCTTTAGGATTAGTAAATTGAGGCCCCTTAATGGACTCCAGGACACACTTCTGCCATCAGGGCAAAGTGCCAACTGCCAACAGAAGTGGTTTGGGGACTAACCTTCAGAGAACAGGCTTTGTGTGGTTGCTCCTGGAAGAATTCTGGAAACAGCAGGCCTGCTACAGTCAAAGGGATTATGCAGGGATCAGACACCTGTTCTTGGTTATGATTGCCTGCAATACCTACCCCTTTTCTCTTTATTATATAGATGATAGAAGATGTGCTGGGGGAAGGTGCTGTGTCGGCCAGCAGGTTCAGCCGCTGGTTTTCCAATCCCAGCCGTTCCGGAAGCCGTTCGAGCAGCCTTCGATCTACACCCCATGAAGAGTTGGAGAGACTGGCAGGTAATACTGTCTTGTCCTTTCTGTGGCCATTTGTATTTCTTCTAGAAAGTTGCAGGACCATGTTGCAGGACCCCTTGCCCGTGGCATTTTCTTCATTCTGATTCTTCAGCTTCTGGAGCAGAACCCTAAACTCCTTGGGTACGAGTGTGTCTCTTTGTGGAATGCTGTCTCCTCTCAAGAGTATAAACCTCTTTGCTCTGTTCTCCTGAGAGCGGAAAAGACTTACAAGGCAGTCGTCCTGGTTTTTACTGTTTCAGGTCTAGAGCAAGGCATTCTGTCCCCTGGTCAGAACTCTGGAAACTACTTTGCTCCCATTCCTTTGGAAGACCATTCTGAAAACAAAGTGGACATCTTAGAGATGCTGCAGAAAGCCAAAGTGGACTTAAAACCCCTCCTCTCAAGTCTCTCAGCCAACAAGGAGAAGCTTAGAGAGAGCAGTAAGTCTTCCCCCTTCTGCTGTTGTGATGCCTCTGGGTGCCTCCGGCAAAAACATGTTCAAGTGCCAAGCTTTGGTTCTCGGCCAGGAAGTGCTAAGATTGACTTCAGGGATCCCTATGGATATCTGCATTGCCTTGCTGATCCTTATCCATAGGCTATAACAGCAGGATTAACTCCTGGTGTAAACGAAGCTCCTGGTATCAACCCTTCCTGGCATCTGAATCAATTTCCAAATTGAAAGCTGGTGGCGAAAGCCTCGAGCACTGCAAAGCTTGCCACTTGAGCGGCTCTTGCTCTTCACCCAAGCTTGCACCACAGCATCTCTTGCCTCAATAACGTAAGCAAAGTTTTCTGCAACTAATCTCTCAGCTAGGGAGTCTGCGGCTTCTCTGGATGTCGTATAAACCTGGATATCTTAAAAAGAAATATAATTGGCCAGTACCCGAGATGGCAGCTTTACGGTGGATGTGGGGGTGAGGGCTGAAGGTGGGAAAGGAATTCTTGAGCCATAAATTCTCCTGCCAAAATCTTGGCATGTCATACGTCTTGGTTACTGAGGCCCACCTTTTTAAATTGCATGTACCGCAGAAGGCTTGCATGGCTGATCTGCATGTTGCTTGTGCATGTTCAGAAGCTCCCCTGCATGTGCTGCATATGCTGCATAATAATTGGGTTTCAGTTCAGAATCTCAGCTGGCAGGTCTGAGCAGCGGATACTGGCATGCAAACATGCTGAGGAATTTATAAAAACACGTCTTTGATTTGGTGCTTCCTAATGACAGTCAGGAGCAGGAGTTGGAATTTTCATCCAGTGAATATGCACAGTAGAAAACTGGGAAATCCCTGCTGTAAGAGTTTCCACCCAAACTAATTCCAAGCCCTGTGCTCAGATGTCAGTCTCTATCTTCCTGCTACAGTTTGCTGAATGTGCTTGAACGTTAAGTGATTTGGGTCCTTTCCTGCATCTGCACGACTGTCAGGGCATCTGAATTGCAGTATTGGGTGCCAATTTTGTTCTGTAATAAATAAAAAGGCAATTCCTGCTATGGAAATACATTCATTTACATTTCTTTGGCCATTAACTCTTAAACGAGACCTAAGACTGCCTATTACATCATGGTACCTCTGTGTTCCAATATCTGTTCCCTAACTGGAAGCATCTTGCCTAAATGGCTAGCTGTTGCTTTAGAGCACTGTTTTCTTTGTGATGCATATTTTGTGGCTTTGCATGATCTTTGACTAGAGACTGGACAAGCCATTCTAGGGCAATAAAGAATGCACTTGGTGTCTCTATTGACTACTCTTCAGTCTCCATAGTAGACGTAGGCAACTTCTGCTCCATGGAGCTCCTGGAAAACACAAGACTGGAGTGTTCCAATTTTATACAACAGCCTTGAACTTGCTTGGGTTAACTGCTTTTGTGAAATGGCAAGTAGCTTCTGCTCAGATGGGTCTAAATTGACCATGTTGTGGTTTCTTATCTTGCTGAGGTGCAGTAATGGAAGGCATACGTATGATCTTGTGAATAGAAAATCCGCCTCTGTTATAGTCTGACTTCAAACACCAGTGGTTCAGCATTGACTGACACGACATAAGGATCAAATAATTACATGACATTGCAGCTTCCTGTAAGCAGAATATATGCTTTCAGATGTCAGCTTCTGCATAGAAGTGAAGGCATGCATTCCAAGAGCGCCCTGGTATTGCAAGTAAAAACTTAGAATCATGAGAGAGACCCATAGTTAAGAAGCCCAAGAGATCATTTATTCTGTTTTAGGCAAACCACTATTTGAAAAATAGTTTTTTTCATTGAAAAATTCTTGGAAGAAATTGTCCGTATTCTTAATGGCTCAAAGAAAGCTTGCTCAGGTTGCAGATCATTTGTGCATGTGCCTTGGGGTGTTGTCCACTGGAAAGTGCTATTGTCCCCACTCTCTTGCTTTATAGGGCTACTTTGTGCTGGAGTGTACCAATTGTCCTAATAGCTCTTGTACTGTACAAATATGCATGGCTGTTTATACGCTTCAACCCTTGTATGTAATCTAAATTCTGTTAAGCTGTTGGGCTGGCTTCTAAGCTACTCACAGGGCTCAGAGTTATCTCTGACTCATACATTATTGAGAGTCTCATAAGATGTCTGTGTCACCTCTTCGTTTGATTCTTATTTGCTGTTTGGAAGATCTGGAATCTTAATTTTTGATTTAGCTGCAGCTTCGGTGTTGGATGTGCATAAGTCCTTGCATGGCCTTGGAATGACTGACGTTTTAAAGCAGTGACCTGGAACAAAAATGGAGCTAGTGCCGTATCCTTGTGGTCTTCCTTTCTGGCAATCTCTGTCATCCCTGAATCTGCCCCATCAATGGAACATCTAGTTCTTGATTATCTCTCTCTTTCCCCTCACCCCACCCCTTTCAGCACATTCAGGAGTTGTCCTTTCAGTGGAAGAAGTAGAAGCTGGGCTGAAAACCCTGAAAGTGGACCAGGAGAGGAAACCTGCCGCCCCCTTAACGGCCGAGCAGATGGAAGAGTCACTAAACATGAGAGATTCCCGGCACCTTAAGGATGGCGATATGTCCGCCTTCAACAAACTAGTCAGTACTATGAAGGCAAGTGGGACTCTGCCTTCCCAACCAAAAGTCAATGTAAGTAGAGAAGGAGTGCGTAAATGATAGAAATTCAACCACACCTAGTCTTGGGGCAAAAACTTGAAACCACTTCCTATATACAAACACGTACTACTTGTATGACTGTATAGCAGACATACTTCGGATCAATAGTTTAAAACTATATGAGAGAGCATCTTACTGGATGCATCCCATGACATGGGAAAATGATTTCTTGTAAGAGTTTTTAATGCACAAAAGATTGGAAATCTAAATTTTAGAAATTGTATGAACTTTCATTACTTTTTATTAGATGTCATTTGTTTCCTAATGAACAGGAAAGCATGGGCAAAAACTGTTCACCAACCATCCAAAACTTAAATATCAATATATAAGGGGAGGGGGCATTCTGTAAATGGGGAACTACTACTGAGCAGGCCACCTTTGGTTCAGCCATTGCCAGTTTGCTGGTGACAGTAGTAAGGATTGACGTGTGGAAGACCAGCTCCTCTACCTCTGTCTTTAAAGTGGGTAAGCTAACGTTGGCATCCTTATAGCCCGCTTATCAAACTACTTATAAAATTGACGCCTCGTTACACTGGTAGATTTGTCTTGATTCTTGCATGTGCTGGTGGGCTGCACTGGGAGGATGGGGCAGGCGACGAATGCTTACAAAGTGATGCAAAAACTGCATGTCACCTTATTTTCAGCAAACCCTTGAAAGCCACGTGATAACGCCTCCTGAGATGCAAGGCCAATCGGCCACAAAGAATATCTTGCAGGTAGAGTGAAAATAACAACAACAACAACAACAACAACAACAACAACAACAATAGGGATAAGGTGGTCCTTAATGTAACCTGGACTCAAGTTACTAAGAGCCTTGTAAGATAATACACAAACCTTGAACCTGGCTCAATAATGTATGAGCCTCCAGTGCAAACCTTTTGAGCACTGGAATTAAATGCTGGTTGTAGCCTATCCCCGTTTTGCACTAGCTGAAGCTTCCAACTGTCATACTCCATGCATGCAAATGGATGTTTGCAGCACTCAATGGCAGTGAGCTCACCACAAGAAGCTGCATGCAGCTGCTACAATGACTTAGAGAATATTTGTATAAATAAATAAAAAAAGCAGGAGTGTTGCTCAGCTAGTATGGCTGCAGAAGTGTTGTAATCCAGCCCTGCAGGTTTACAGAAAGTTGCAGCCTCCCTGCCTGCCCTTCCATGTCTGTTTTAATGAGAATCTGTGCTCCATTTGACAACTGCCTAAAAGAAAACAGGTAGATGAAGTTCCCATTCTGCTTGCCTGGCGGCAATTCTTTCTGCCGCAGGCAGTTTGGAATGTCTTGACAGACTTATTTTCATGGAGCATTTCTTTGTGTCACGTGCTGCTGGGAAGTGACTTCAAGTAGTCATCATAGTTGGAGGATCTGAAAATCCTGTGTTATTTCCAAAGGAGATCCTCGGGCCGTCCAGTGGCAGACCTGCTTCATCTAATGTCCTCAACAACTTGATGAGTGGCTTGGAACCTGTCTCATCTCTGCTTGGCCAAAGAGCCCCCTCTCCACCGCAGCCTCCGATTTCTCAGATGTTTCCGACTCGAGCTGCTTCTGCCGACTATCTGAGGCATCAGATCTCCTCACCAATTGGTAAGAGCTGGAATGTCTAGAAATACTCCCCATCAGCTTTCTTTGGATACATCCAGTTCCTGCCTACTGGTAGTCCTGGGAAGTTCATTGTTTCACACTCCTACCAAACAATCGACTCAAAGTTTCTAACCAAAACAAGTTGGACTCAGGCTCTGAATAATAACCTTGGATCAGAATTAATTTGAATTGCAAACAAACAAGTCCAGATGACTTCTCTACAGTCAGTAGCTCTTTTTTTATGTGTTCAAAAGAGCTTGCAGCTTTCCTAGAACAAAATATCTAAGAGAAAATCATCTGTTTCTGTAGGATTTTAGGACCACTAGGCCACTGGTTCACTTAATGTTGAAGCTGCTCACTTATCTCATTGCAGGCTTTGGATCAGGTTCTCAACAGCTGCTTGGTGATCCATTTCAGGGGATCCGGAAGTCAATGAGCCCAGCTGCTGCACAGGTGAGGGGGGAGGAATGCTTTTCCTACCCTTTGGTGTTTAAGTTGGAATCATGATGGGTGTGGAATGTAGCCTAGCCTAGCTGGCTCACTGCTAGGAACGGCGACGATTCTATCTAGCTGAATGAAGGAATTGTATTTTATTCAGTCACACGTAGGCTCCTTGCAGAATTGCATGCCATGTTGAAAAGTTGGAACTTCTACGGTGAGAGTGGCCTATTATAAGACAAACATCTTGGTCAATGTTGGGGTGTACAGGGAATGTAGGAGAGGTAGCTCCTACAACATGCCAGAAGCTCAAAAGGATTTGGGAGATGTGTAGTAAGGTTTAAGAAACTGGAGGGTGGGGTAATAAACTGTTTTCCAGTTAGCATTCCTTCTCTGCGCCCAGCATGCAAGGGCACTCCAGTGAGAAAATCTAAAATACCTGTGACCTCTACTGACCTAGTTAGAGCCTTGTTACTGTCCTGTTCACAGACAGTTTTGAGAAATGACTTCTCGCTTAGTTCATAGGTGCATTTGGATTCTACCTTTACAATAGGCAAATGTCTTTGGAGATATACTTTAAAATGAGGGTTGACAGATAAGCTATCTTAGGATAGACTTGGAGGATAATCTGAAGCAGAAGTGGTAAAGTGCTTTCCTTGCAACTGTGCTGTAATTCAGCATCTTACTCCTAACATCTGGGTTAAATAGTGCAAGCATGAGGTGGTGACCCTCCTATTTAAGAGGGGAACGTTGCCTTTTTGTACAGACTTGTTAACACCAAAGAAACCTTTTAGGTATCTGTAGCTAATTTGTAATAATAATCTAACAGTTTAAAAGCCTTGGCTTTATACTTACGACTCTGCTGAAATCTTTATTTCAGATGAGTCCACTTGAGCTGCAGCAAGCAGCATTAGAAGGCCTCTCGCTTCCACATGATTTAACCATGCAGGTGTCGAATTTCTACCAGCCGGGTTTTGGCAAACTACAAATGGACAAAAACCGAGATGGCTTCAGGAACAGGTGAGCATAAACAGCGGTTTGGTAGCTGGGAGAGCAATTTCAGTGCTCCCTTCCTATGTCTATTTGTCCTACCTTAATTTTCAAAGGAGACTCATCCCAGAGCTCTGGCGAAGATAGTTTGAAATGTGGGTCTCAAGTTTGCTAGGAATAAATAGTTTTGCTGATGTAGGACGTGGACTGTAACTTTGTGAAACTCAAACAGTGTCTGTAAGAATTAAATACTTGTAATAGCATATATTGCATATGTTTAGCACAATGATTGTTGGATATTGATGCAGGTGAAAAGCTGTGGGGACCACTGAATCTGAACTGCAGGGATTGGTCTGTAGTACTTAGGGTGAAATTCCTTTCGCCTAGAAAGCACTTGGCACAGGGCAAGTGACCTGCTTTCCCCTCTCTGTTGTTCTGCCTGGCCATCCCCAGGTCTGGCTGGAACTCTCCCAGCCTGCTTTCCTGCGGAGAAAGGACTGTGGCTTCTTTACTGGAGTTCTGACCTAGTGATGAAAGTTAGTCTGTCCTGCTCTTTTCCAAATACACAAGGAACTAGGTTCAAAGACCAAGCTTAGTGTTGTGCTAAGCAGTATCTTCCATTTCCTCTCTTAAAAACTAGCCCATTTTTCTCCTGCCTTCAAACTGATTTGTATCAGCAGAGCAGAGCAGGTCAGACTCCCAGGACAGTTTAGCCAAGGAGCTTTCTTGTTCCCCAGCCAGGCAGAAAGAGGATGGGGCAACAGTTAATGTGTGTTTTCTCTTTCTTAGGCAGCAGCAGCAGCGTCTGTCGAAATCTCCTGCTCCCATGGGCCACAGAGGGAATGCCTCTTCTCCTCCAGCCCCTGCTGCTTCCATCACTAGCATGGTTAGTGCTATCGAAAGACCCAATGTTGTATGAAAAACAAAGGACAAATGGATCAGATTTAGTGTAGTAGAAGCCCTCTTTCAATTTCCAGCTAATGGAAGTGTTGTAATACCAGATGAACTTGACTTTATTATTGTTGTGGTGGCACTTCTCCTTCAAACTCTTCTTTAGTTGTACCTTTCTATAGTATCTCCTTGGGGTCCCAGGCACTGCCTGGTGTATCTAGGGCTCTGGAACTTGTCTAGCTAGATGAGCTGCCCAATGCACAAAAACTATCCCACACAATGGGCTACTAATTTCTGGTGATCTTTTTGTTTTCTTTCTAGCTGTCTCCTTCCTTTACTCCTACCTCAGTGATACGCAAGATGTATGAAAGCAAAGACAAAAGTAAAGATGAACCAAATCCTGCAAAGCTGAAATGCAGTGAGAGAGATGAAGGTCTGAGGAACAGTGAAGGTACAGGATGGTGTGGCGGCCATCTGTGTTGGGAAAGGCAAAACGGAGGTCTAAATAAGTCCCTGCCACCATGTGCCATAAATTCTGTCCAGAAAATCCCCATAAAGCCAGAAGGGAGGGGTCTCTCCTGAAGAGGCAGGCAAATAGGCAGGAGAGTGTTCTGTGGTTCATGGGTTGCGCAGAGACAAGACAGGCAAGTTACTTGGTATTCTCTGCCAAAATTCATTAAATCTTCTCATCTAAATGTGATTGACAAATCAAAATTAGGCAGGCCTGCCTGGCAAATGTACGTGGTGTAGCTTCCTCTGCATCCATAGAGTAGAAAATGAAGCACAGGGAGGCAGTAATGGTGAGTAGAGAAGAAACAAACCTTTGGAAGCTAGCAGGGCATGGAACATCTCCTGTGAGGGTTAAGTGGCTCATACCAGCTCTCCCGTGCCTGGGCCACAGCTATGCAGTGTGGTGGTAGTGGAGGGGTTCCAATTTGGACCAGAGAGGCCTGGCCACAAATCCTTGCTTCAGGCATGAAGTTTCATGTGATCATGGGCTATACCAGGCATCCCCAAACTCGGCCCTCCAGGTTTTTTTGGGACTACAGTTCCCATCATCCCTGACCACTGGTCCTGTTAGCTAGGGATGATGGGAGTTGTTGTCCCCAAAACATCTGGAGGGCCGAGTTTGGGGGTGCCTGGGCTATAAAATCTTCTGTAGCCTGGTCTTTCGGAAAACAATTTTGTGGAAAAGCAGCGTATAGTTAAACTATGGAACTCACTCCCACTGGAGGCGGTGATAGTCACCAACCTAAATAGCTTTAAGGGAGAATTAGACAAATTAATGGAGGAGAGGGCTATTTATTGCTACCAGCCATGAGGCCTACGCTCTGTCTCCATGGTCAGAGGCAGCAATGCTTCTCAACACCTCTTGCCGGAAGCCACAGGAGAAGAGAGTGCTTTTGTCCTCTGGTCCTGCTTGCGGGTTTTCCATTGGCACCTGGGTGACAACTGTGAGAACAGGATGCTAGAGTACCTGAGGCACTGGCCTGATCCAGCAGGCGGTTCTTAATTTAAATTTGCGGGGGGTAAAGGCTAAGCCTAGCCAACCCCAACCACAGGGTTGTTATGGGAATGTGGGATAAGCCGCTCGATTCAACAGGCAATTTGGCTGCGGTGGCTTCTTGTCAGCGTGGGCAGTGAGTGTGCACTCTTTCCAAGCCCCACCCCAAATTATAGTACACTTAAGTGATTTGCTCTTGTCTCTCCACAGAGGGCTTGCTGCCATCTAGGTCCATAGAACACGTAGATCAAGAGAATTCACCTTCCATAGGTACCAAGCTAGCATCGCTACAGCGCTCTGCCTGTTCAACGCCACTTTCTCAGACCAATCGTTGCACCAAAGAACAAGACTACAGGCCGAAGTCCACTGGGAGAAAGACCCCTACCATGGCTTCCCCTGTCCCGGGGTCTACTTTCCTCCGTCCTGTCCACCAGGTCCCCCTGGTTCCTCATGTACCAATGGTACGGCCTACTCATCAACTGCCCCCGGGATTAGTCCAGAGGATGCTGCAGCAAGGGATTCATCCTCAGCATCTTCCACCTCTGCTGCAAGCAGGTAATCTTTCTCCCCCCCGCCCCAACATAGGAACAAACTATCAGGCCATCTTGTTAACTGCAACGTTAGAAAGAATACTTAAGCACAGCAACCTTTATGAATTCTGTTACCTTGTAGGTGGAACTTAAATGAGTGATCGGACTGCTAGGATAGCTCGGTAGAGCATGAGACCCTTAATCTTGCGGTCGGGTTCGAGCCCCACCTTGGGTAAAAAGATTCCTGTATTGCAGAGAGTTGGACTAAAAGATCCTCTTGTTTCCATTCTAACTTTTCAATTCTATGATTTGGGCATGATTTCTTTGGGATCTCCCTAAGAACCTGAAACAGGCAGTGTGTGATGGTAAGCCTCCTGATGGGGTGGTAAGGTAACAGTGTAACAATCTGCAGGGTCTGCACTGGCTTTCAGCAATCTTTAATTTAGGTACAGTTGAAGGTAGTGGTTTTGCCTTGAAGCCATCAGAAATCCTAGACATGGTGATTGCACCACAGTTATACTGCAACTTCTCCTGGTGGCTTTAAACTATAATCTCTTTTGGAAAAGTTTTAAGATGACCAGGGCCAAGCAAATAATCAAATCCATTTAAACAGTGGTTTGTGGTTTTGAGTCAAAACGGCTGTTAACTTGCCTTGAATTCTTGGGAATGGTTGGGCTAGAAATGCAGATAGGTGTCCAAAACTGAGGAGAGATCATTTGCTTATCGGGGATTTTTTTCTTCCTACCAGGTATGATTCCCCCTGGGGTAGACTTGACTCACTTCCAGGGAGTGTCTGCTCCCATCCTTGGTCAGCCTTGTTACCCGCTTCCAACAGCTGGCCATCCTCTCTTGAATCCTCGCTCTGGGACACCTCTGCAACTGGCAATGATGCAGCAGCAGCTACAGAGATCAGGTAAGGTTTCCCCTCCCCAGGTAGTCAGGGACTGCCAGTGTTCTAAATGGTTCCTTTCTAACATGAATAGCAAAACTCTCACTTAGAAACAAGCAGCTTACAGTACTTCTCCTTGCTGCTAGAGCAGAGTTAAGCAGATGGTGGGCTGCCATCCTTCAGTGGACCACCTTGGCCTGCTGATAAGATTTTGCAAAAAATGCTGAGCTAAGTAGGCCCAGGAAGGCACCGCTTGTCTTAAGTAGACCTTCACATTCTGGATCTTTAACAGCTATGCTGCAGCTAGTCTGTGTTAATAAATTCTTTATGTTCTTGCCTTGTTTTGTAAAGTTTCAAAACACTTTGGTAGCCCACAGGAAATCGCTCAGCAAGACTAACGTAGGCCTATTTCTGCACTAGAAGATACCAGATGGTGGCCAGGGCTGTCTTAAGCATATCCAGCACCGTGGTGCAAAGATGCCTTCGGTGCCCCCCCCCCCCGAGTTGTCAACCTTTTTTAAGGGGAGGAACCCCAAAGTTGTTGACCTTTTTTAGGGAAGTTTCCCCAGAGTTGTTGACCTTTTTTTAGGGAGCTGACACCAGAAATAGAGAGACAGAGAAGAACTGATCTCCATATAAATGCTAGCTAGTGGAGACATCTAGGAGGAGAGAAAGAAGCAGAAGGGGGAGGCGATCACTAAGTTCATTTCTGCAAACTGAGGTTTGGACAGGACATTTAAAGCAGAAGAACACTCTTTTGCAGAATTGAATTTGACAATGCATTGGGTGAAAAGGACCTGGAGGAGGGAGGCAAAGTGTGTCTCCCAACACAGATCCGCTTGTGATTTTGTTTGGCGGCTGAAGCTTCTTCCTCTTCTTTTAGCCGAGCTTGGTGAGGGGCTGGGAGGCAGAAGCACTCAAGTTTGCTGCCTCTTGGTGGCTTACTGCAGCTGGCAGAGGAAAGGGAAACAGAGACACACACACACCACCAAAGAAAGAGAAAGACAAGAGGGGAAACCAACTGATGGGTTATTTTCCCTTTTGAAAAGCAAAACAAGGAAGTGCCTGCCCCAGTGGTGGGAGAAGGGGGAGCCGCTTTGCGGTTTGACAGTGAGCTGGGGAGCGAGGGAGAGGAGCAGCTTTGCTGGTGCTGCTGCTGGGTGGGGAGGGGAGCCGCTTTGCTGGGAGGGAGGAAGATGGAGGAGCCACTTTACAGCAAGCTCGGGAGGGAGGGAGAAGAGCAGCTTTGCCGGAGCTGTTGCTCACGAGCCGCTGGCTTGCCAGAGAGTCAGCCCGGGGAGCCACTTTACCGGGAGGGAAGGAGCCCTGCCGGGGCTGCCAATTGGCACAGCTGCGCCATCCTCCCACCCATTGATGCTGATTGGTGTGGCTACGTGATCCACCCACCCGCCCGCGTGGGGTGCCGGCGCTTTCAGATTCTTCGCCACTCCCCCTTCCTCCGCCACTGCCGCCAGCCATATAGTTGGCAGGGCACAGCTGGCGGGACTTGCTGGAGCGCCCCTGAGAGGCCTGCGCCCTGGCGCAACACGCCAGTAAGCCCAATAGGAAAGACGGCTCTGATGGTGGCTCATGTCACAAGTGGTATTTTGGAGGAGAGCTCACGTGCTTCTCTCCACCTTGGAGAGCGGAAGCCACCTGGTCTTGTGGAGAGGCCAGGCCTCCTTGATGCTTGAGTTCAGGAGGTTGGGGAGCAGAGTTTTTGGAAATGCTGCTGGCCCCTGAATACTGCTGCACCAAACCGAACTAGCAACTGAACTGCTTGCGCCCACCCTGTAGCATGGTCAAGCTGTACTCTGAATGGTTATAGAGTTCAGGGGTGAAGAAAGCTTTTATTTTGCCACTCACTTGAGGAGTTCTATCTGTTTTCTCAGAAAAGCTGAATAAGAGTTTCTGACCCAGAGCCAAACATACAGTCCATTCACCACCAAGACTGAAGCTTCCCATCACACTTTCAAAGCAGCCTTATGTTTGCTCAAGGCATGTATTTCACTTTTTGTCTTTCTCTCTCTCTCCTTCTCCGCCTTCCCCAGGCTCAAGTGCACAAGGATCTGCTGTTGGTGTACAAACTCCCCCTCTGAATGTGCCATCTCGGACTGGACTGCCTCACGTGCACTCACAGCTTGACCACCGTGCGAACCAGCGAAGTAGCTCCCCTGTTGGTCTTGCAAAATGGTTTGGTTCGGACGTCTTACAGCAACCTCTCCCTTCCATGCCATCCAAAGTAATCAGTGTAGACGAACTGGAGTACCGGCAGTAAGCAGCTATGTTGGAGAGCAGGTACTCAGTCTTCCTGCTGCTGCTGCTGCTGCTGCCTCCTTAGACACGGAACTCTGTGCTTCACTGGCATTTCCTTTTGGGCGCTTTGGTTTTAGCACTTTGTGCAAGGTTTTCTTTTCTTTTTCCCCCCTTCTTTTTCTTCAGTTTTCTTCATTCTTCTTCTTCTTCTTTTTTTTTTTTTTTGAGTGACTGAAAGCACATGGCACCTGTCCGAGCTCCCATGTCTACATTGAGATTAAAAGAATCTCCTGGACTGAACAGTGAACCCTGAAGGAACTTTGATGCAAGACAGGACCAGTTCCAATTCTGAAAGCATCTTCCCTTTTTTGCGTTTGGCTTTCTTTGTAAGATATGTGAATGAAGTGCTGGGAATCCTCTTGAGGATAGAGGTAGCAGCTTAAGGGGTTCCTCACAGGAAATTAAATGTATAGACCCTTGTGTACAGACCAATGTATAAACATCTTTTTGTATATATATATATCTCCACCAGATAGCTTTTTTTGAAACCTTATACAGCTGTACATAAGAGTAGCTAGTAAAAAGTTACGCTTTAGTTTGTGTGCCTATGATTTGGGATCTTTTCACTGTACATGTGGGACTTGTTTAAGATTAAAGGTGCTGCATCTGTCAAGTGTGAGTGAACAGGGTGAAGTCGCTTTGCCTGTTGCAGTCTCAAGTCTTTCTCCACGGTATCCTTTTTGTCATCCGTAATGTGGCGGTAGCTGAAGTGGGGGAAGAGCAGCCACTGTGCATCCTGATCTACTCCTGTCCAAGAAAAACTTCCAGCGGGCAACCACTTCATTGGAAGTGTCAGCCTCCTTCAGCACACTGAAGACATGGCAAGTGGGCTGCTGTATAGGGACCTTCGTAACTGACCTTAGATAATTATCAGTACAACAGTAGTTCCACCCGATTGTTGTCCTTGCTGCTGTGTGGTGTGTCTTTTAAAATTGCCTTCCACTAGCTAAGGTCAAAAGCAGCTTCTCTCAGTGGCCCACCATCACCAGCGACTCTTCATCACAAGTGTAGCTGTAGTTGCCTGTTCTTTCCTCCCCACTCTTGAAAGTGAAATGACAACCTGATACAGTCCAAAACAAAGCCAGCTCTTGCACTCTGAAAGCAATGCTGTGGCTAGTATTGATGGCCCAGAATAGGCTTCAGAAATGACCTGTCACATGCTCCAGGCATCTGGAATCCATATGGGCCATCAATAACTGAACACTTGAATATTTCTGTAAAAAGTGAACTAGTTTAAGTATACTTTGTGGTCATAGACTCTTCCCTGTAAGATTGTTTCATAACTCTTTTTTTTTTAAGTGACAATTTCCCCCAAACGGTCTGTAAATAAAGTCAATTCTATGAGCTGTTTGTCTCGCTGTGTAAAAGGATGTTGGAAGTGAGTGGGCTTGGCTTCTTTGTATGAGTTGCCTGTTCCAGACTACATGTTAAAAGCCAAATTAAAGATGGAAACAGTAGCATAAGTCAGATTTGAGGACTGAACTTCAGGTTCTGTCTGAATGTAGCAGCTTTGCTCATACTTCCTCAACAATGGATGAGTGAGCTTGTCCTGGCTTTACTGCACACTTTCTTATTTTCAGCTGTCAACTGCTTAAACATACCAATTTCAGCAGCTTAATTGGGAATTTTGAAAGAAACTAGAAAATGAAAACCTGCAGCTTGGTAAACAGTAAAGGTTTGTAAGATTTCCCACCCTGTTTAGTATTTCATTTGGGGCCAACTTTCAGTTTTTGAAGGGGTTTGGAGAGTCTCACAAGCTGCTGCATTGTAAGGAAAACTTTCTTAAATGAAAATGAATCTAGTTGCAAGGTTTGCCCTTTTGGCTCTCCCTCAACTTGCACAGTATTGGAAACTTGGCATATGAGTACAGTGGTACCTCAGGTTAAGAACTTAATTCATTCTTAACCTGAAACTGTTCTTAAGCTGAGGTACCACTTTAGCTAATGGGGCCTCCTGCTGCCGTTGTGCGATTTCTGTTCTCATCCTGAAGCAAAGTTCTTAACCCGAGGTACTATTTCTGGGTTAGTGGAGTCTGTAACCTGAAACCCAAGGTACCACTGTAATGTATTGGGAGTCGAGTGAGTTAGATGTGTCACAGGAATTCCTGTCATGTAAGGTGGCGCTGTGGATTAAACCAGAGAGCATAGGGCTTGCTGATCAGAAGGTTGGCGGTTCGAATCCCCGCGACGGGGTGCGCTGTTGTTCGGTCCCAGCTCCTGCCAACCTAGCAATTTGAAAGCACACACAGTGCAAGTAGATAAATAGGTACCGCTCCGGCAGGAAGGTAAACAGCATTTCCGTGCGCTGCTCTGGTTCGCCAGAAGCAGCTTAGTCATGCTGGCCACATGACCCGGAAGCTGTACACCGGCTCCCTCGGCCAATAAAGCGAGATGAGTGCCGCAACCCCAGAGTCGTCCGCGACTGGACCTACGGTCAGGGGTCCCTTTAACTTTACCTTGGTGGCAAAATGTGTGGATTGCAAGATGCTTGTGAATGGGCTGAGCAGCAGTTCTGAGTAGCAGCTTTAGAAGTTTCTAATGGATCTTGGGCTTGGACTACCTAATGGGGTGTTAATGCACCTGGTGTTAGCTTAATCTTGGCAGACACCTCAAAACTAATACTCTATAATTAATCCTGTTGTGTGCTACAGGCATTGACCCCTTAAACGACATGGAAGCAGCTAGGAACAAGAGTCCTGCTCCTAACCACCCATGTTAAGATTGTCTCGCATTTCACTTATTATTCAAACACTATTCCACCTGGTGGCAGCAAGGGAATAGAAACAATTTTTTAATTGAAAGGCGCAGCTGAGTTTTTTGGGCACTAAAGAAAGATACTACTGTATAAACACTAGAAGAAGTAGGGATCATCCAGTGATGCTAGTTGGTGAGAAAGGAAGAACTTCACATAATGCACAGATAAATTATGCCATTCGCATCTAGCAGCTGGCGTGAGAATAAGGTTATTCCTGGCTGTCTAATCTTGATAGTTAAAATTCTACCTCCACCACCATCAGGGCAACTCTTGTATCTAAATGCCACATTCAGTGGGGAGCAGGAATGGGCTCCTGCACACACGTGATGTGTGGGTTTTTCTATAGGCAGCTGTTCATCATCACTGGTATACCAGAGATGCCTTTTGTACAAAGCTGTGTCAATTTTGGAAAAGCTTGAAGAAAACATTTCTAGGTATTTCAAACGGCAATGAGAGGTGCCAGTCTTAAAATCCCCGGGGGGAAGAGTGAGGTGGAAAAAAGCAAAGCTCTTAACCCATACTCGCAAAAGCTTGTTATACACATACACTGTTTAAGTTCTGGGCATGAGCACCATTCCGGAATTAATATTCGAGTTTTTATCTGCATGCTTTATTTACACAAGCATATAATGACAAGAATGCTAGTTTTGATTGCCTCTCATGCACAAAGCAACGCAGAAGGCTTGCACATTTTCTTCCTTGTATGTTTTATCTACACTACAGCAAGGATGGGGAAGCTGTGGACCTCCAGCTGCTGGGCTGTGCCTCCCCCTTGCCAGGCTGGCTGCTTGGAGCTACAGTCTAGCTGTGGGTGGCGAGGAGCCGCAGGTTAGCTTCCCCCTGCCCTAGTGTGAGGCTGTGCAGTCAGTCAAAACAGCAATAGAGACCAAGGCCTCACACAGTAAACAGATTTTCATTGCTCCCATGGCTAATACACCTGACTTTCCTAGGAGGATTAAGATAGGAATGAGCACACACACATCCAACCATCCAGCAAATAGAACAAGCTTCTGAACAGTCACTGAGGAGAAGGAGTCATGACTAATTGCCCAGTAGAGCTTTTTATTTCTTCACTATCTGAATGACATCTTCATCCTCCAAGGTATGATCCTTTCCAACTTTCTGTGGGTTGTGCTTGACCGATGAGCCCCACACAAGTGCACTGAAAAAGAAAAGCGTTTAGTTGAGACACTACACTTCCACAGTTTATATAGACCAGCAGCAGTGAGGCTTCCCCAGAAATTCAGAAACTCTCTACAGGTCAGAGAATCTCACTAATCTCTCTTGGCCACTATTCTTTAATTCTCTTGAGTGCCTCACAAATAAAATATAAAACAAGCAGCAAACAAAACACTTCTAAAATAGTTTTGGCTATTAAAAAACTACAAAGCAGCAGTAAGATAATACATCCAACAGACATGATCAGCCTACCTTCAGGAAATGACAGAACAAGTGATAATGACACCTGACACATCTTCAGTAACAGGAAATTTCATAAAATCAAGGATGTCCTGCATAGGCTGGGGGCACTGTTATACAGTGGTTCCGCTCCTTCCTCTTGGGCCGTGTCCAGAAAGTGGTAGTGGGGGATGACTGTTCAGACCCCTGGGCCCTCACTTGTGGGGTGCCTCAGGGTTCCATCCTCTCCCCCATGCTTTTTAACATCTACATGAAGCCACTGGGAAGAGATCATCGGAGGTTTGGACTGGGTTTCCATCAATGCGCATGATACCCAGCTCTACCTCTCTTTCAAATCAGAAACAGTGAAGGTGGTGAAGGTCTTGTGCGAGTGTCTGGAGGCAGCTGGAGGATGGATGGCGGTTAATGGATTGAGGTTGAATCCTGACAAGACAGAAGTACTGTTCTTGGGGGAGAGGGGGCGGGCTGGTGTGGAGGACTCCCTGGTCCTGAATGGGGTAACTGTGCCCCAGAGGACCAGGTGTGCACCCTGGGAGTCATTTTGGACTCACAGCTGTCCATGGAGGCACAGGTCAATTCTGTATCCAGGGCAGCTGTCTACCAGCTCCACCTGGTAAACAGGCTGAGACCCTACCTGCCAGCAGACTGTCTCGCCAGAGTGGTGTATGCTCTAGTTATCTCCCACTTGGACTACTGCAATGTGCTCTAAGTGGGGCTACCTTTGAAGGTGACCCAGAAACTACAACTAATTCAGAATGCGGCAGCTAGACTGGTGACTGGGGGCGGTCGCCGAGACCACATAACACCGGCCTTGAAAGACCTACCTTGGCTCCCAGTACGTTTCCGAGCACAATTCAAAGTGTTGGTATTGACCTTTAAAGCCCTAAACGGCCTTGGCCCAGTATACCTGAAGGAGCATCTCCACCCCCATCATTCTGCCCGAACGCTGAGGTCCAGCACCGAGAGGGCCTTCTGGCGGTTCCCTCATTGCGAGAAGCAAAGCTACAGCCCGGACACTGAGGTCCAGTGCCGAGGGCTTCTGGCGGTTCCCTCCCTGCAAGAATTGAGGTTGCAGGGAACCAGGCAGAGGGCCTTCTCGGTAGTGGCACCCACCCTGTGGAACGCCCTCCCATCAGATGTCAAAGAGATAAACAACTACCTGACATTTAGAAGACATCTGAAGGCAGCCCTGTTCAGGGAAGTTTTTAATGTGTGACATTTTAATGTATTTTTCATGTTTGTTGGAAGCCGCCCAGAGTGGCTGGGGAAACCCAGCCAGATGAGTGTGGTACAATTATTATTATTATTTATTTGCCCAAAATGACAGAAGCCTACTCCAAAGATCTCAACTTGTGGCCTGAGAGATACCAACAGATGTGCCCCATCAAGCATCTGGGGGGCCCAGCCATTTTTGGAACCCTGTAAGTCGGTATCAAAACCTTGCTCAGAATTGGGAGCAAGAGCAGTTCACAGAGAATAATATGATTTGGATTTTGCATGCTACTCCAGAGCCCAGCAGCAGCTAGAGCAGGGGTCAGCAAACATTTTCAGCAGGGGGCCCGTCCACTGTCCCTCAGACCTTGTGGGGGGCCGGACTATATTTTTTGGGGGGGAAATGAACGAATTCCTATGCCCCACCCAGAGATGCATTTTAAATAAATGCACATATTCTACTCATGTAAAAACACACTGATTCCCGGACTGTCCGCGGGCTGGATTTAGAAGACGATTGGGCCGGATCCGGTGCCCGGGCCTTAGTTTGCCTATCCATGAGCTTGAGCTTCCAAACAGTATTTGTGGTAGCTCCATGTAGCATGTCATTGTAACAATCTATTTTCTGGGTCAGTAGGGCAACTTATCTTCCACTATGAAGAACTGTTTCTTCCCTTCTGCTGCAATGGCTTCCCTGCCCTTTGATGCACTTTTCAATTACAAAGTACAAGTTGTTCCATCACAATGATAGTACTATGAGAAATATCCTTCAAAGGCTTGGTTTTTTTTGCAAAACTGAATGAAAAGCCATGTACCGTATTTTTCGCCCTATAGGACGCACTTTTTCCCCTCCAAAAATGAAGGGGAAATGTGTGTGCGTCCTATGGGGCGAATACAGGCTTTTGCTGAAGCCTGTAGAGCGAGAGGAGTCGGTGCGCACTGACCCCTCTCGCTCTCCAGGCTTCAGGAAGCTCTGCGCAACCCTCGGGAGACCGACGTGCCTTCACGCCGGGCTCCTGAGGGTTGCGCGGAGCTGCCTGCGCTCCTGGGCTTCCCGGAGAGCTGCCTGCATTCCGAAGCCTGGAGCGCGCTGAAGAGCGCGCCCGGGCTTTGCGCAGCTCTCCGCAAGCCTGGGGAGACTGGCGCGGCTCCCTAGGCTTGCGGACAGCAGGCTGTTCTGGGGGCTGGGGTCATGGCGCCAGCCCCGTGCCTGGGGGGGAAATAATTTTTTTTCTTTATTTCCCCCCCCCCCAAAAAAAACTAGGTGCGTCCTATGGGGCGGTGCGTCCTATGGGGCGAAAAAGACGGTACTTGTGACCCAGTGCTTTCGAGGCTGTCTAAGACTACAAGGAGAATAGAAAAACGATCAGACAAAAGACTACAGTTAATTTCCCACAGAAATGCTGAACTTCCCAATGCCTAGTCAGTTTCTACTTGAAAGGAAGCTTGAGTTGATGTTTTTGTCGCCTGGTGCTGTGACATTACAAGGACTGCGGGAGAAAATTGGCTGCTTTGTAGGCCGTACTTACTATTTAAACTCTTTAATCAGGTTTTTGTGGATCTTCATGCAGAAATCCTCCACTGTGGTCCGAGAGTAAGGCAAGACTACGGGAGAGCTGTAATCTGGTAGCTGCCCTTTGGGCTTTGTGTAACTGCAATTTAAATTTAGAGTCATCAAAAGGAGATGCTACAGCACGTTAAAACACAGATACATTTCAAACAAGGTTTCCCTTCTACCCAGGGCAAAAATTCATCATCTAAGGCCTCCGTCGCCTTGACTAGGAAGAGGCCATCTCCATGGTCTTTTTGGCGCCTCTCAAACACCTTCCTTTTCCAACAAGCCTTTTAAAAAGAGATCTCTCCCAGTTTGCAGCTGTATTAAAATTGTTTTCAGATGTTTTTAATTGCCTTTATTATTTGTGTGTTTGCCACATTGGGCTCCTTTGGCAGGAAGGAGGGGTATGTAATAGTTTGCAGAATTCTAGAGCTGCAACTGACTACAGAGGTCATCTCGCCCAACACTCTTCTAATGCAGGACACCAACTACTGCAGCATCCCCAATAGGAAGCCAGCCAGCCTGCCTCTGCTTAAAAGCTCCAGGGCAGGGGAGTCCCCCATCACCATTAAAGCAAGCTGTTCCAAATAACTTGTGCTGACATAAAGTTATTTCTACTGTTTTATCGAAATTCTTCCTTGTACTTTGAACCCACTGGTTCAGGTCATACCCTCTAGAATACTTTTCTCCAACCTGGTGCCATCCAGATGTTTTCAGATTTCCAACTCCCATAATCCCTAGCTGCTGGCTAGGGCTGCTGCCCTAAACAGCTGGAGAGCACAAGAGTTTGGATTTGATATCACGCTTTATCACTACCCGAAGGAGTCTCAAAGCGGCTAACATTCTCCTTTCCCTTCCTCCCCCACAACAAACACTCTGTGAGGTGAGTGGGGCTGAGAGACTTCAGAGAAGTGTGACTAGCCCAAGGTCACCCAGCAGCTGCATGTGAAGGAGCGGGGAATCAAACCCGGTTCACCAGATTACGAGTCTACCGCTCTTAACCACTACACCACACTGGCTCTCTAGGTTCTCCAACAAAGTTGGTGAAGGCTGCTTTGCAGCAACAGAAAACAGATGAGATAAATCCATGTGTCTGAACTGTAGTGCTTCAGAATTCATGTGGTGGGATAGCACAAATAAACGCTCACCTGTTACCCCGCCCCCAAAAAATTAAAAAATTCCCAGCACACAGAGAACAGAGAAAGATCCTAGCCTACTCTTCTCAATGTCAGGCCAATTTTCAATGTGCATAAAGTTAACATTTTTTTGCACTGAAACATGCCCTTAAAGTACGGAGTGGCTCATTGGTTGTCCTCCACAATTCCCTCCATTCCCGATGAATGGCCATTCTGTTTACTGAAGGCATCACCCTACCACATTTATCCTGTCATAGAAAACTGCAATGATGCCGAATTGTACAAAGGTTTTGTTGACAACTGTACATAGCTATTCTAGGGCTTATATGTGGCACCATGGGACAGAACATGATTACAGCAAGAAAGCAGGAAGAGAAGCCAACTTCAAAGACCAGCCTGCAAGTCAAGCAGCTCAAACCAGGACAGTGGGGAAGGAAATGCAGCTGCAGAATTCCAAGTGAATGGGAACCAGAGATGCTTTCAGCCTGGACAATGCAAAACACTTGACTCACATTCGCACAAGTTTTAGGTAGTCCCAGATCTTCTCCAAGAGGTCATCAAAGTTCCATCGGTGGTGAGCAGAGATTGGAACACAGTGAGGCACTTTGTAAATTATGTCTAGTTCCTCAAGGGAGATCTGGTCAATTTTGTTCAGCACATAAATGCATGGGATGTAAACTCTGTAAGAGTGAATAAATTATCACCGACAACACACATTTCTTTTTAAAAAACTAGTGATTACTCTCTACTGTCCCTCCTGAATGATCATGGTTACAAGACAGGTGTATTTTGGAATAAGCCCTCAAGATTATGTACCGTATTTTTCGTCCCATAGGACGCTCCGTCCCATAGGACGCACCTAGTTTTTTGGGGGGGAAATAAAGGAAAAAATTTTTTCCTTTATTTCCCCCCCAAAACCAGGTTGGGGAAACCGAACCAGGTCGAGGAACAGCGGGATGGTGGTGCTGCGCCTCCTTGCTGTCCCCCGAGCTTGTGGGGCTGGCCGATGTCTGTCCGGCATGCAGGGCGCTCTGCTTCAGGGCGCCCCTCGTGCCAGGCTGCTATCCGCAGCATAGACAGCCCTGCGGGACCTCCCGCAGGGCTGCCTAGGCTACAGATGTGTTCCCGAAGCGCCGGGCGCTCTGCTTTCAGCGCGCCCAGTGCTCCGGGAAGCAGGCTGCTATCCGCAGCATAGACAGCCCTGCGGCACTTCCCGCAGGGCTGCCTAGGCTGCGGATGTGTTCCTGAAGCCTGGAGAGCGAGAGGGGCCGGTGCGCACCGACCCCTCTCGCTCTCCAAGCTTCAGCGAAAGCCTGCATTCGCCCCATAGGACGCACCCAGATTTCCCCTTCATTTTTGGAGGGGAAAAAGTGCATCCTATAGGGCGAAAAATACGGTACATCCGAACTACTATGCCCACATGTGTCCACAAAGATTTGGCACTTATTCCAGTGTCCCAAAACAAAGAAGACCATCCTGCACTCTTGGTCTTCCATCGAGAAAACTATTCCACACCTTTCAGCAGTTACAAGAGCAATTACACAGCTCCTTGCTACTAGAATCGAGCGAGAAGGCAGGCGGCCTCCTCACAAATCAGACCCTCTTCAAGAGTGGATTTCCAAAAGTACAAAATCCACAACACAACCCCCAGCACATCCCAAACAGCCTGCATTCATAATGATAAAAGTGCTTGCTTTGCACAATATATAACGCACACTGGATTTTGATTCCCTGAAGAATTTGAAAGGCATCTGCGACACAGTATAAGCAACCCCAAGAGCCTTGTAAACCTCATCATCCAGTCTGATTCACAAGCCCCACCGCACTACCTGTTTCCTTCAACCACATCGATGAGGTCGTCTGCTGTAACATCACTACGCAGCGTGACATCAGCATTGTGAATTTTATACTCCGCCAAGATGCTCTTCACAGTTTCAGTATCCAGCTCACTCTGTGGGCACTAATGGAAGAACAAAAGAATCGTTCAGATATACAGGAGGTGAGTAACTCTGGAGAACCCAGCAGATTTGGGTTTGTTATTATTCCATTAGAGCTATTTGAAGAAGCTTCCGTTCTTTTCTTGTGGTAACCAAATTAGTGAGCAAGTCCCAGCTCTACAGATCTGAAGATCCTACCAGACAGGAACCTTTCAGACCATCAGACAGGAATCTTTCTCAGCCAGAGGGCTTCACATCAGTGATGGGCAGAGCCAGAGGCAAAAATGGGTGGAGCAACAGATGAGACTCTCATCTCTGTACAACTAGCCATATTCCAGCAGCTAATGGCACAGCATACTTCCCTTTCCATTGCAACAAGGAAAAGTCTCTAACTGTTCTCACAAATAAATCTATGTCAAAGCGAGGCCCCATTCAAAGCCATGGGATCCTTGTCCAGATCAGCAAGGATTGTCCCCAGATAAATGTAATTAATTAAATAGCTCTCTTCCAAAACTACTCAGGCACAGCCAGAAGAGCATTCAGATTATCCAAAGAGCTCTCTCCTTGTCACAGTGACAAGGCAGGAGGCGCACACACTTTCTGCCCAGGCCTGCTTACAGTGGCTGTGAGATTGATGCCTCCTTTGTCCTTCTTCTTAAAGCCAATGTTGGGAGGTTTGCTGTTCAGTCGGATCCCAAAGCCCTCAAGCTCATTCTCAATTATCTTCTTATGTCCCAGGGGCTTCAGGACATCCAGGACTATCAGAATAAGGTTGCAGGTTCGAGCAACTGCGAAGAAAGAAGAGAATTGAAAAAGACGCTCGCTCCGTTTCTTCAAAGAGGTTGGAAAGAAAGAGTTGCATTCTGTGCCAAGCACTTCTCACTCCTGTTTTGCAATCTGCTTCTCTAAGCCAGAATGCCTTATAAATTCTGCTTTTTAAATCAAGCAAAGGAAGCTGGAAAGTCAAACCTCTGCTTTCTATGGAGACGAAACATTCACAAAATATGTATGGCACAGTGGACAAAACATATCAAATGACAAGAAAGATATCTGTAAAGATTCCTCCCTCTCAAAAGCACAAAAAGATGGATAGGGAAGAAGGATTTCTGATCCTTCTCTGATCCTACAACCTCACCTGCAATGACCTGGCGACCGCGACCTTTCCCATCTTTTGCACCCTCAATAATTCCTGGAAGATCCAGAAGCTGTAGTATTTAAGGAAGAGGAAAGAAACCCATTATATAGAAATCAGCAAGCCAGAATCCACCAGCAGTGGAGAAAGCTGTGAGGACATTTTAACAATATTGATCAGCTTCATTCATCTGAGTCTGAATAGAGGCAATGGTTTCCTGTTCCATGACAGTAAATAACACAATAATCTTAGCTTTGCTGAGGAAATCTGTCACCGATTACTACTGGTCTGTTTTGCCTACATTTAAGCTCTAATCGAAGTGTCAGAGACGGTACTTTTGCATTCCGTTGCCATTTAACTCTAACTCTTATATATTTGTCACCCTTTGTGCCTGTACAACTAATGACAAAAGGTGATACCATCATAAGCATCTCCAGGAGACCTGCTGCCAAACAGTGTAGATCAGGAGCAGCCATCATGGTGCCCTCTAGAAATTTTTTGTTGGGTTACAACTCCCATCACCCCTTACCACTCACCATGCTGGCTGGGGCTGATGGGAGTTGTAGTTCACAATCCCTGGAGGGCATCCTGTTAAGCTGCTCCTGGTATAGCTAGAATATACTGTGCTAGAGGGCTTGACTTTTCCGAAGTCAGCTGATACCCATCGTAATAAGCAGATCCACTTTTATGTACAGACTTAGCTCTAATTAAACAAAAGGAAAAATCTCCCCACCTGGACCAGAAATGTACTGAAAAAAATTGGCCCTTCATACATATTTCAGATATTCCATCCTTCACATACACTCCCACCCCAGATCTAGAGAGCTCACCTGTATTTTTGCTCCTTTGTATCGAATCACACCAGGCACCGTGGTCAGCGTGGTGAACTCATAGGCAGCAACCTCCGAGTAGACTCCAGCAAGGTTGCTCAGCAAAGTGGATTTCCCCACGGATGGGAAGCCCACAAAACCAATTCGGGCATCGCCAGTCTTTGCAACATCAAAACCTTCAATGCAGAAATCAGTACTGTTACTGACAGGCTGCAGAAGAGATGGGCTACACTTGCCCCCTTCATTGTGCCAGGCCCCTCCAGGAAGTTGGAGCATGAGGGGAGAAAGCCAGAGAAGAGAGTCATCTCAGCAAGCCAGGCTGGGCCCCCTTGGATGATACCTTCAGCCTGAGATAGCTCTGGTATCCTATCAGAGAAGTATTTTTATCTGCCCATAGGATTTATTAACAGGTTTTATTTAAGCGTCAGAGCCTCAAAGTCTTGCTCATCCAGCAGAAACATTGCAAAATTAAAGAATGTTAGAGTGATGTTGGATTGAAATTAAGTGGCTTCTAGCTATACAGGCTTTAAAGTTATATATAGATCAAGATTAAGGATTAGGATTAAAAAAGTTAAAAGAAATAGAAAATTGGCTTTTAAGAGGTAAAAATTTAATGTTATATTATATTAAGATTAAGGACTGGGATTAAAAAAGAGGGAAAGAAATTGCTGGACAAACAAAATTGAACTGGAATACAAAAGAGGGAGGTATGAGGTAGTCCAGAAAATAAGTAAATTTAAAAGTGGTGATGAAAAGGTGGCATTGTTTTTAATTGTTTTCTTTTTTGTCTTTTGTTTTTTGTTCTTTTTGTATTATGTATTGTGTATTTTTGAATTGTGTGTTTTTCTTTTTTTTCTTTTTAATTCTTTTTTACTGATGTGTTCTTTTTATTGGAAACTCTAATAAATATCATTTAAAAACAAAACAAAACAAAGTCTTGCTCATCCATAATAAATACAGGTCCCAATCAGATGCTACACTGGCATATGGTTTAGCATTACGTGAGAAGACTTTAAATCCCTGCAACTTTCCACCAGCCCAACTCCTGATAAAATATGAATGCAAGGAGATCAGAAACATTTGCTTCTGTTTTTAACAAACTGAAGTTTAGTCTTATGTCCAAACTGGGGTTACTTTCAGCAACAGTTTACTGAAACAAGCCAATTATGGTTTATGAAGACTTCAACAGTGATCCATAGTTAAGACTAACTATGTTTAGGATTCACACACAGTTATGTTTGGTTTAGGGTTCAGACGCAGTGTACAACTGTGGCCAACTAAAAACTGAAGCAAAATCTGTATTACATTACCAGAGGAGGAGAGGGGAGAAAAAGCACATGACATCAAGTGTACATATAATTCTGAACTATAAGCCACCTTCAGGTGTTCAACATCTGAATAAACATGCATGGGGGGACAGTAGGGAGAAGTACTCAAACCAGTCACTACCCTTCCTAGTCACTACCTCAGCAGTTTACAGTCAGCATCTTAAAATTCTGTATAATTTCCAAAGCAAGTGCACATATTTTTGGTGTATTTTGTATATTCTTATTTCTGCTAACGAGAGGAAAACAGCTCCATCTCCAAACTTCAACTTGAGGATTGAGCCACTCATTTCCATCCTTTTGGAATACTGTACATACCTTCTCCTGGACCACCCCCTCCACCTCCCTTCGGGGTGATGAGCTCTCGGCGCAGTTTGGCCAGACGTGCCTTCAACAGCCCCAGATGGTGAGCTGTGGCCTTATTCTTCTGCGTGCGGGCCATCTGTGGAGTGGGGAGAAGACAAAGATCAAGGAGGGCTGCACGAGCCCAGAACTTTCATGGGAAAGATTGGTGACACCAACCTTGTTCCAAGGTTTTGCATATTACATTGAAGGGCACAGGTCACTCACTCTTCACTGCCACAGAAGAGATTTAAAGGAGTGAGGAGTTGTCTGCAAGTCATGCAAGGGAGACAGGAAGAGTATCTGTCCCATCAGAAGAGCTACAGAGGGTTGTTTCTACTCTGTAGGAAACTCGGACAAAAGCAGAAGAAGGGGTGGCACTTTTCAAGGCTTAACTTGAATCAGAGCTCAACCCCAACAGTGTTGTGGAAGACAGGGGTCAAATGTTTATTCACTGCACTTTTATCCCACTTTTCAGACAATTATTGTTTTCCTGAGGATTGGACTAGAACTAGGATGATCCAGGTTCAAATCCTGGCTCGGCCATGAAGCTTCTTGGGTGACACTGTGTGAGCTGCACACTTTCAGCCTTAACTACTAGTGGTTGCAGCCTATAGCTGGGAGAGATCCCTCCTCTGCTGTCTCCTCCTTGGGTCTGTCTATGGCCCAGTGTTTCTCAAACTTTGGTCCCCAGGTGTTGTTGAACTACAGTTCCCATCATCCCTGACTGCTGGTCCTGCTACCTAGGGATGATGGGAGTTGTAGTGCAACAGCAGCTGGAGACCCAAGTTTGAAAAACACTGAGCCAACCTGGTGCTGCAACTCCAACGGGCTCCATCCAGCAATGGCTCTTCACAAGCCACATAAGTCACAGCTATCCGTTTTTTTATTGGGGCAAGGAGGCCTGTCTGCACTGTGCTCAGAAGACACAAGCCCACCAGCCTCCAACTTCATTCAGCAACCCTTAGCACCAGGCAGGGCCAGTGCTCTTTATTCCTATTTATTTATTAATTTTACATACCCTTGAGCAGGGCCCAAGGAGTCTCAGAGCATAAATAAGCAGATACAATGGTGGAAAGCGGGGGGCGGGGCGGGGGGGGCTCACACACACAAAAAATAAGTACAGTGGTACCTCGGGTTACATACGCTTCAGGTTACATATGCTTCAGGTTACAGACTCCGCTAACCCAGAAATAGTGCTTCAGGTTAAGAACTTTGCTTCAGGATGAGAACAGAAATCGGGCTCCGGCAGCAGCAGGAGGCCCCATTAGCTAAAGTGGTGCTTCAGGTTGAGAACAGTTTCAGGTTAAGAACGGGCCTCCAGAACGAATTAAGTACAGTGGTACCTCGGGTTAAGTTCTCAACCTGTTCTCAACCTGAAGCACCATTTTAGCTAATGGGGCCACCTGCTGCTGCCGCGCCACCGGAGCACGATTTCTGTTCTCATCCTGAAGCAAAGTTCTTAACCTGAGGTACTATTTCTGGATTAGTGGAGTCTGTAACCTGAAGCGTATGTAACCTGAAGCTTATGTAACCCGAGGTACCACTGTACTTAACCCGAGGTACCACTGTATCTCCCTCCCCTGGGCTCCAGCCTTGCCCAACATGGTGTCTCCCAGGTACTGCTGGGGACTCCGAATCCCATCAGCCAACACGGCAATGCTCAGCGATAAGGATGGGAGCTGCACTCCAGGAACATCTGGAAAGCACCAGGATGGGGGTAGTGAATACTATTCGACCTCAGTCCAGCAAGCTTCTACCAGCCTCCCGCATTGTTGACCCCCAGCAGATAGACTGCCGCAGTGTACGGAGGCTCTACTGAGCCGCGCCCACGACTCCTCCACTGCCCAGTTGGGCGGGGCGGAGCCGCTGGTTAGGGCCCCACAGGGAGAGCCGAGGCCTTTCAGTCGCCGCTGGTTGGGTTACCTCGGCCTCTATCTCGGCGATCTTGGCCAACGTCGTGCTCATGATGGCGGTGGCGGCGGCGGCAGCGGTGCCTCACGGACGGCTCTCCTCAGGCCTGTGGAACGGCGCATGCGCCCAAAGCACAGGTTCTCGCGAGACTTCTAACAAAAGCCCGGCAGGGGGGCGCGCGCGGAGTGCGAGAGTTACCCCCGCCTTTCTGTTGTCATCACGCTCCACCCATGACTCCTGGAAAGGGGGGAGCGAGGACGCTACCATAGAGTGGAGGCCAGAGAGGAAACCAAAGGAGACAGCTTAAGCGTCGCCGTAAGGACTCCTCCCGCCTAATGGCCGGGAGACGGTATTGCAGGAGGCACAGACCCCACCCTCGCTACTACGCTCAGGTCTGGGCCTACAAGGCAGATAGAGAGACCTGTTAATAAATAAGGCTTTATTTCTGTCAGGCGCTCCCAAACTGCGGCTCTCATTCAGGTGGTAGGTCCATCTCGTTAAATACTTAGAATTATCCTTTTATTGTCTACCTTATCTTTCATTTTAATTCCAGAAGCGATAAAAATATAGTTTTAAATCGTACTGTTTGACTTCTGTGGAATACTATATCATTAAAGACAAAATATAAGAAATAAGAGAAGCAATTAAAAACCATACAGCATCTAACACGGCACATTATTATTAAAATTATATACCACCCTTCACCGGAAGATGACAGGATGGCTTATGACATTAAAACACAGAACATAATAATACTGTAATGGATTAATTAATTAAGAACCTTGCATTACAACAGGCAGAAAAAAATAAGTGGGCTGCCAAGACCCTCTGAAATTTGGAAGGGATCTATGGGGGAAATGTGTGAGAACCCCTGGCTTATATTCTCTCCCCACCCCCAAAACATGTTGCTTACTATTCCTAAACCTAATGACATGTAACTGCAATATATTGTTTCCATCCCCTTCCTATCCCCTGCCTCTGTTGACACCCCATTTTCTTGACTGTAGCCACCTCATGGCAAGAGCCTCTCAATTCCTTCCTACCACAGTACCCCATACAACAGGTGTGGGCAGTCTTTGGCCTGCCAGGTGTGAACTACAGTCCCATCATCCCTGGCCATTGCCCAAGGCTGCTAGGGCTGATGGGAGTTGTAGTTCTGCAACACCTGGCAGGCCAAAAGTTCCTCCAACCACAGAGATGTAATGATAGTGCAATGTTGCTGCTACCGCCTCTACTCTTATGATGAATCATCATGCAGTTTCTCCAACCAGGTGCCCTCCAGACATTCTGGAGTACAACTCAGGACTGGGGCTGATGGGAGTTGCAGTCCAAATTATCTGAAGTCCACCAGGATAGAGAAGACTCTGAAAATGCATTGTTAAATTTATGCCCCACTTCTCCCAATGGAAAAAGTCATTGTACAGATTACTTTCCCCTTCCTTCTGGGTGCCACAGTTGCGTGTTTGAACATGCATCCAGCACTCGTGTATCCTTACACACTAACAAGAGGTTTGGGATCTTTTGCTAGAGTTATAACGTGTGTCCATTTATGAATATGTGCTTGTCTCGTTTCCTGCCTAAATAAAACTCCCGACACGCTTTTACTTTGTGTTCTGGGCCAGTGACCCTAGCAAGCTATTAACTGCCAGATGAGCAACCCAGTAATTTTTAGAGGCAAACAAATAGCTTTACATTAAGATTCTTGACACATTAACAAATAAAGCTTGGTTTATTATATGAATTGAACATGACAGAATATGTAAATGCTGTTTCAGAAAGTCAAATTACAATCTTAAGCAGGCAGTAAATCCTACGCTACATACACACCTTGATCTAAAGCTAGAATCCCAACCTATTCGCAAAAGCTCAAAGTTCTACCAGCAGGACTCACACTAATAGGAAGTTCATGAACAGCGTAGGAGGAATATATCTGTCCTAAAGCGAAGCAGATGTGTGCCAATTCCTTGGGAGTGAGTTCTTTTAGCTGGAGCTAGTACTGAAAGTACTGAAAAGCTGGGAGTTTTAGAATATTTATTGCTAATGCATCGTAGTACTTTCAGATTTTCTCTCTCTAGTAATCTCTATCCCTAGGTTGTATGTTCCAAACTGTACCCTAATCCATTTCATACGCCCAAATCCCAAGTCAAACAGGGACTGTAGCATCAGGGGCTATGGTCATTTGCTAAGTTACTGAGCCCCCCACCCAAGGGTGAGGTGTTGACCATGAGCCATGAAAGCAAGAAGCAGGCAAGAAGCAGGGGACCGATCCCTGATCTCTCTCAAACCACTCACAATGGACAGTGCTTTGTGGGTCAGACCATTGGTCCATCTAGCTCAGCACTGAACTCGGGTTACTAATTTCCCATTCCTTATTTGCAGAAAAAATTGTTCCTCGTGGTGGGTTTGAATTTACATCTCCCTGCCACTGTCTCATTAGTGCAGAGACTGAGCTAATAGGCGTTGTGTGGATATGGCTAGAGCCGTAGCTAGGTGATCTTGCGCCCTGGCAGAAGAACTGTCTAGATTGTGCCTAGCCACAGACAAATTAGCTCTTCTTTCTGCCTCTCCTCCAACCCCACACCACCCATTCAACTCACCCTCAATTTAAAACCTTTTCTAATGAGGCAATGGCTGATATTTGTATTTATAGACATGTTTATGGACATTTTTTAGCCAATTTTGTGTCGTTGCACCTCACCACCCCCTAGCTACAGCCCTGGATGTGGCATCTTCATTTTTTAATTGACAGAGGTCCTTGCTACCCCTGCCTGGCAAAAGGCCCTCCCACAACCTCAAAGTGCTGCCCCAGGCAAGCCCCCTCACCCAAGGAAGATATTCTGGTCCCATATTATAAAATGTGTTCTTTATTTCCTCTGCACCGAATGATAAAATTAGTAGTAGTAGCAGCAGCAGCAGCTGTAGTACCCCAGCCATCTGGGGTACAATATAAAAACACAGTGATACATCAAGCATTAAAAACTTCCCTATACAGAGTTGCCTTCAGATGTCTTCTAAGTGTTGTATACAGAAAGCAACCGTTTTGTGCAGGGATTCAATTTCTGACCCGTGTCGGCAGAGTGCGCAGAAGCCCGCTCCGCCCCATGTGTCAGTGGTCGTGCGTAAGTTGGACGCACCTAAAATGGTTGCCGCCTGCAGTTGTTTATTACCTTGACATCTAATGGGAGGCTGTTCCACAGGGTGGGTGCCACTACCGAGAAGGCCCTCTGCCTTGTTACCTGTAAATTCACTTCTCAAAGTAGGAGAACCCCCAGAAGGCCCTTGCCCCCAGAAGGCCCTTGGAGCTGGATCTCAGTGTCCAGGCTGATTGATGGGGGTAGAGATGCTTCTTCAAGATGTTGACAAACTGGAACAAATCCAGGGATGGGAGAGAAAAATGGAGCTGGGTCCAACAGGTCATGTGAGGAAGGGTTATGCCAGTGGAGGCTGCAAATGGGGCACTGCCCCAACATCCTCAGTCTGCACCATGAGCTATGCTCCACCTACTTATAAAAACAGTCTAGTGGTTTGCACTGCCTGCTTCCCAATGAGTTTTGCAAATCTCAGCAGGTAAGATGGGGATGAAACTGATTGGCTCTGGTGCCACCTTGGCTCTTTGGCTACCTGTATTCTGCCCAGCAGTCCCAATGGGCACCAGCCACTGATAGCCTATGCTGAGCTTAGGAGGGAGACAAATCTTTGAAAGGCTGCCATATTTGTTTTCTCTCTCTCCAGAGGCCAACTCCCTAGATATTGACTAAACATTTGCACGACCAACCTGACACTGCAAGCTGTTTAGCAGTGGAATTAGATGCCTTGGAAGAAGGTGTCTTCTCCAAGGTTAAGAGGTTTCTAAGCAGAAACTGGATGTCAACCTGTCAGGGATGCTATAGCAGGGGGGTTGGAATGGATGATCTCTGAGATAACTGGCCTGCTAGTTTAGCAGGATCGCTGCATTGTTTGGCCCATTGAAATAAATAAAAAATAAGTAGGGTTGTTGTTTTTTTGCGGGGGGGGGGATAAAATCACTCTTAAAACAACTGAGTTGCATCCGAAGTCTGTCATACTCAAGAGCAGCCCTGCTGAAACTCAGATTAATTTCACTGGGTCTACTCTGAGTAAACGGGGTCATATTCTACCTAGCTGTTAGGTAATACTCCTATACGCTGGCAGGATTTGAAGGGCTGACTCCTCTGTTAATAACGTAGAAGGGGGAATGCTGGGAACATAAAGGTACCATGGCAACAGATGTTTAAAGGAAGCATCATCACTCTTGAAAAGGAAAGATGGGGAATAGCTGAGAGGAAGCAAAAAAAATCCCCGAAGTGTTAAAACAGGTGAGGGCGTTTGAAGAGAGAGAAATGAACTCTATTTAGAGGAGCTGTGTCAATTTCTCCCTTCTATTTTGCTCCAAAAACCACATGAAATACCACCTGTTTAAATATGAATAATGCTTTTGCTATATCTGAGTAAATTTTTATTTCTGTGACAGTAATTGCTTCCGGCAAAGAGAAAAGTAGATTTAAAGGACATTGCCGCCTAGTGCCACAGGTTTGATGTGGGCTTTGTGCCGTTAAGAATTACTGGAATAAAAAGCGAGACTTGACAAATCCTACATCATTGTTGCACCTGCCAGCTTGGGTGCAAACAGGGCGATTGGAGGCGCGACTCCAGAGACCTGGGGACATGGATGGCTAAAGGTATTTTATGGGGCCTTCAAGGACATGTTAGGATACTCTGTGGGGGTTGGCAGGTTTGCTGCTCATTTGCATGTCAATTCCCACAGTGGCGTTTCTTTTTTCTGGCTAAAGGGAAAGTTTTGCATGTGTTTAGGCACCTGCCTGAATGGGAGAAAGCACACACAAAGGACAGAGTGAGAAAACCCCCGTGCCTGAATTAAGGAATGCCCATTGTGGGATCAAAAGGATTCACTGAAGGCTTTTTCCATTTATAATTTTGCGGTGATGGAAGCTGGCTTGGATCTGGAAACTGGTAAGACTCAGTTGCCTACTCCCCTCTCCAGCCAGGCTAAACATTTAGACAATTTCAGTGGGAAAGTAATTTGTGATACCGTAATTATTTTCTATAAAACGTTAAAAAGAGCCGGATAGGAATTGCAAGTGGAGGGAAATCATCCAGCAGCTTCAGGCTGCGCCGTCGGGCGATGGGGTTGTTGGCCCATCAGGGTTCTCTGCGGCCGCCGAGGGAGCGGCCTGGGCGCGCCCCGCCGAGGCCCATCAAGCGCTCCAGGTGCGCTACGACCCCCGAGGAGGGCCCAAATGGGCGCCCAAGTCCTCCCTCCCCAGCCCCGCGGTGCACCGATAGGTGGGAAGCAGTAGCGGGGAAGGGGAACCAGCGGCTGGGTCCGTCGGGGGTTAAAGCCCCGCGCCTCCGGGGAGCGCCCCGCGCGCCCCCCACCCCTCGCCCAGGCCAGGCGCGGCTCCGAGGCGGCCCTCCAGGGATCACCTTCATCAGAGAAAGAGACAAGGAGGGGTGGCTGGGTGTGGGGGCTTTAACAGGAATTAGAGAAGGCGGGGGTTGAATTGCACCATCTGCATTGAGCAACTGGGGGAGGAGAGTTCAGGCTGCAAGCCGCCCCCCACCCAGTTGTTCCAGCCTAGATCCATTAGACCGGGTGTGGGGGGGGTGGTTCAACTCTCATCCAGGCAAGCCCGTCCTTGCTCAGCCTGGGGCGGGGGCCCTTGCCGCTGCTGGCTCGGCATTGGCGGATCAGTGCTGGGGAGGGGGGGAGGGCGGCTGCAATTGCAGCAGCAGCCCCCAGCCCCCGCGGCCAGGAAGGGGGGGGTTGGGTGGTGGCGTGGGGTGGGGGGCCGGCCTGCTGCCTCTGGCTGCTCTTGCATTGGCGGATGCGGGGAGGGAGGGGGGCAGGAAGCGAGGGAGGGGGGAAGAGCTTCAGTGGCTGCAGAGAGGGAGGGAGAGAAAAGGCGAGCGGGCGCGGGGGGGGGGTCCCTTTCTACAGCGGGAGGGGGGCCGCCAGCGCCGAAGAAGAACCAGCAAAGTTTGCAGCGCGCCCCGCAATCCGAGGCCCCGGCCGGCTCAGCAGCCCCCTGCCGGAGCGCGTTTTTTTTCTCCTTTTTGCAGCGCGGGGGGGACCTCGGGACTGCCGGCCCCCCCTCCTCCTTTCCCTCCCCCCCCAGGGGTGAAAGTGCAAGAGGAAGTACAGCCGCTGCCATCTTTCCTCCGCTCCAAACACACACACACACACACCGAGGGAGGGGGACGGGCGGGCGGACGGAGCGGTGCCGGCAGCCCCCGAAAACTTCCCACCGACGGCGGCCAAGAGAAAAAGACAGCACGAGCCACCACCGACGCCGCTTCCTCGTCGTCCAGCATCACCGGCGGCATCGACAGCAGCTTCCTCGGCGGTCCCGCTCCCGCTGCAGCGCCTCGTGGCGGCCGCGAAGGAACTCGCCTGGGGGGAGAGGCGAAAAGGGGCTGCCTGCCTGCCTGCCCGCCCGCCGCGGCTGCTTCTGCTCCTGCGGCCTCTGGGCGCTCTCTCTCTCTCCCCCCCGCCGTCGGCCTTTTGTTCTTCCTGCCTTCGCTTTCTCTTCCAGTCTTGCAATTGTATTTGGGATTTGCATTGCAACAACCCCCGCACGGGGCCGCCTTCATCTCCATCTCCTCCTCCTCCGGTTCCTGGGCGCGCTCGCGCACACACGGCGCCGTCGGGGCCCGGGGATTTTCTGGAAGGCGCGAGGCGGAGCGCGTGCGCCATTCTGGTTCCCCCCCTCCCTTTTCTTTTTGCATTCCGCCCATCCTCTCCCTCCTCCTCCCCCGCTTGACGGGCGCGCGCACCAGCCCCCTCGACGGGAGCGCGTGAACGCAGCAGCCGAGGAACGAGAGGACGCGCTCCCTCTGCCGGCCGTTCCTGCTGCTGCAGGCGCAGGAAGGTAAGGCGAGCCTCCAGCAGCAGCAGCCCCGATGGAGCGGGTGAACGAGGCGGCCGCAGCAGCAGCCGCCGCCGCTGCAGCCGCCGCCAGTGCCAACGCGTGCGGCCCGTCCCCACCGGGCTGCTACACGTACCAGGTGAGCCGGCACAGCGCCGACCTTCTGCACAACCTGAACCAGCAGCGCAAGAACGGCGGGCGCTTCTGCGACGTGCTTCTCCGCGTCGGCGACGAGAGCTTCCCCGCGCACCGCGCCGTCCTGGCTGCCTGCAGCGAGTACTTCGAGTCGGTCTTCAGCGCGCAGGGACTGAGTGGAGGCGTTGAGGGCGCCGGAGGTACAGGAGCCGCCGGGGCGCCGGACGGGGGCGCAGCTGAGGCGACCGGCGCTGGAGGGGGCGGCCCCGGGGGCGGGGGCGGCCCCGGCGGGGTGGGCCGGGAGCTGGAGATGCACACCATCAGCTCCAAGGTCTTCGGAGACATCCTGGACTTTGCCTACACCTCACGGATTGTGGTGCGCCTAGAGAGCTTCCCAGAGCTCATGACAGCCGCCAAGTTCCTTCTCATGCGCTCTGTCATCGATATCTGCCAGGAGGTCATCAAGCAGTCCAACGTCCAGATTCTGGTCCCTCCAGCCACCCGCCCAGACATCATGCTCTTCCGTCCTGGCGCGGGCACCACTGACCTGGGCTTCCCGCTTGACATGACCAACGGCACTGGGTTGGCCCCCAATGGCAATGGAATCGCTGGCATGCCCGAGGATGAAGCCACTCGGGCTGCCCTCTCCGCCGCTGCCCAGTCTTCCTTGCCCGTCTTGCAGGGGGTGGACCGTCTTCCCATGGTGGCCGGGCCTCTCTCGCCACCCCTCCTGGCTTCGCCCTTCCAAAACGTTGGCACTGGCGCCCCCTCTCTGAGCAGCAAGCGGGGTCGGGGGCGTCCCCGCAAGGCCAACCTGCTGGACTCCATGATGTTCAGTGCCCCGGGGGGTCTGAGGGACGCTGGCATCCTTCCCTGTGGCCTGTGCGGGAAAGTCTTCACAGATGCCAACCGCCTCCGCCAGCACGAAGCCCAGCATGGCGTCACCAGCTTGCAGCTGGGCTACATCGACCTCCCACCCCCCAGGCTGGGCGAGAATGGGATCCCCGGGCTGGATGACACGGCCGCCCCCCGCAAGCGGAGCCGGACAAGGAAGCAGGTGGCTTGCGAGATCTGCGGGAAGATCTTCCGGGACGTTTACCACCTGAATCGGCACAAGCTGTCACATTCTGGCGAGAAGCCCTACTCATGCCCTGTGTGCGGGCTGCGGTTCAAGAGGAAGGACCGGATGTCCTATCACGTCCGGTCCCACGATGGGTCGGTGGGGAAGCCTTACATTTGCCAGAGCTGCGGAAAAGGTTTCTCTAGGTAAGAGGGGGGTGTCCCTGGGGTCATGGGTTTGGAATTCAAAAAGACTTTCCAGACGTTGGCGGCTGGTGTGACAGTTAGCTGACACCCACAAAGATCTGGACAGAAACTGGAACGTTGCAGATCACAGGTCCATCAGCAGATGTCCTCCTGCAGATGTTCGGATTGTATACTAACCTGAGCATCATGCTGATGGGAGCTGCAGTCTGAAACATCTGGAGGGCACCCTGCTGTGGGGTGCAGTTCTAGGTGGAACTTTGTGAGGAGTGGAGGCTAAAGGTAAGAGCCACCATTGCACAGGTGTGCCCAGGTTCTGCAGTAAACATAGTGTGGGTGATGGAAGGACAGAACACCTGTTGGGGAGATGCAGAGAGTCCCAGGTATATTGTCCCCCGCGTGCTCGGAGAGGGCTGTTTGTAGTGGCAAAAGACCGCCTCTGCTGGCTGCCACATAAGATGCAAATCAGCACCATCCATTTAAAGCATATTGAGCATATATTTTGAGCACATGACTTTAGTGAATCCTGGGAACTGAAGTTTCCCTTCGCAGGGCTACCATTGCCAGCACCCTCAACAAACTGCAGTTCCCAGGATTCTTCAGGGGGAGTCATGTGCTTCAAATGTACATAGAATGTGCTTTCAGGGAATAGTGTGGAACTTCTCAAAGTGACTTAACAGCATGCGCATGTTGATACAGAAGTGAATCCCGCAAGACTCAGGACTGAATTTGCTTAGCTTAGTGTGCACAGGGATGCAGCCTTACTAGGAAGTAATTCAGTAGGGCTTACTTCTGAGTAATTTGGCTCCAGGCTGCACTAGGGAGCACATGGTAGGCCAGGCAGTGGGAGCATTCTCCCCAGAGCTTGGATCTCAAAGGTTCTCTTTATGAGAGTGACCTGGACTTCAAATTCTCCACCTTCGTGTCCTGAGCATTTTCTGATACTCACATTGGTGGAGTTTGGATGGCTTACTTGAGAGAAATAGAACGCTGTTCTTGAATTACAGGGCATGGATGTAAGTATTGTTGAGTGTGCTTGCAGAAAGCATCTGGAATCAGATCAGTACATGTGTGTTGATCTCGAAGGAGAGGGCAGCTTCGTTGGTCGAAGATGGATTCACACGACTGTGTGGCTTGCACTACAGCGTGGTGTTCTCTGTCCATATGAGTGACTGCGAATCAAAGCAGGTCTCCATAATTCAGGAAATCACGTTTGTTTAAAGAGGTTGTGACAACCTAAAGACTGGTGGAATCCTTCACAAAAATCGCTATTGTGGTGATGGAGAATGCATGGGGAGAATCAATTTTTGCTTAGACAACTATGATGACTCCGCTCTTAATTTCCCCTTTTGGGTAGGAATGTCACAAAATAGCCCAGGATTTGCACCTACTTCAATATTCCTCTGGTTTTGCATAAGATCCTGCTTCGTTTGCACTCCTAAAGATACCACTGACCAAGGCAAACTTCATCAGCCTGGTGCGCTGTAGATATTTCTGGGCTACGACTTGCATCAGCCCTAGCCAGTGCAAACACGCTGCCATCAACCCCAGCATCTGGCTGTGGTGCCTGGGGCTGATGGGAGCTGTAGACCAAAACATCTGAAGAGGTACCTGTTTTGTTTCTGGCTATAGTTCAATAATCACTTCTACAGATGGACCTGAACTGTTGTTTAATTAAAAGATCAGCAGACAAAACTTGCAGTGGCAGCATTTTGCTTAAGATAACTTCAGGTGTAAGCAAAAGGTTGTGTTTCCCCCCACTGAAACTGGACTGACACTTAAAAAAATCAAAACCCATAACTCTTTTTATGATCTTTAAGGTTCGGAGATTACTATTATTATGTTTGATTAATTAATCGCCTTCTAAACCATCATCTCAAGGCGATCTGCATTTAAGATAATTAAAAACAGTTAAAAACACAGAACAGCAGATAAGAACAAGACTAATACTCTAACATAAAAAGAACCCTCCTGGGTTGTCCTGTTCTCACATATCCTTCTGGGAAGCCACTATCCCATTTGTGATTCCCAGCAAGTGGCATTCAGAGGCATACAGAAGTAATAGAATCACAGAATTGTAGAGTTGGAAGTAACCCTGAAGATCTAGTCCAACCCCTGCAGTACAGGAATATGTACCGGTAGTTGTCCCACACAGGCCGTGCTTTTTCCCCAGGGGGTATTCAATAGTATGCAGTATCAGCACATCTTTTTAATTGTTAAAAAGTGTGGCACTTTTTCTACAATAAAAAAAAAACAGTGCACAGGGATCAAACCTGAAACCTTGACATTATTAGCACCTTGCTCTAACTAAAGGAGCGTTTTCCGTTGGGTGGATTTAAAAGTAAAGATTGATCTATGCCTTAACCACTTGGGGCACAAAATGTTGACAGGCGTTTTGCTGAATCAACCAGGTGTGCACACTGATTTGGGCTGCAACTCTCAACCTGCCTTCTTCCATTGAACCCAGTGAAGTTTCCTGGTGACCAAGTAAACATAGGAGTGAGTGGAACTCCAGCCCTAAATGCACTTTCTGTGAAACAAATCGCAGTGAGTTCAGGAGAACTGATTAACATTGTACACAGGTTGTACGTTGACAATAAAGGCATTATTATTATTATTATTATTATCATCATTATCATCATCATCATCATTATTAACCAGAGGTTCTTGGGATCATACCCACAGGCTGGAAGTAAATTCATTTGATACAAATGGAAGTTACTTTTGAGTAAATATGGTTAAGATCGGGGTGTTATATTCCTTTCAAATAATAATAATACTTGTATGAAGCAAGGTACATTTAAAACCAGGGTATTTAAAGTCTTTGAACACCCATCTTTATTTAGAGGTAAGATTTTTCTGGGATTGTTTCTGTTTGAAACTTATTTGTGAAAGCATGTACGTAATACTTTTAGGCTGGAGGCAAATAAAACTTAATTTCCTCTTCGTTTGTGAGGAAATTTAGTAACAGAAATTTGACAGCAACTGCATTATGGACAATTTATGTCTTTCTAAAAAAGCACCACACTCCTGGTTTTCAGAAATGTTGACTGCTCAAGATTATGGTAATTTAAGGAAGGAGGATTTTCAGCTTTTTAGATTGCTTTCTGTAGGTGTGCCTTTTTACAGCACCTTGATATGCAGATGTTTAGCAGAGAAGCATACTTCTCTTTGTTGTGCAAAGTGCTACCTGTTGATTTCAAACATCAACATGTTTGTTTTTTCCCCTTAGTTAGTTGAAAATATACAGAAGAAAGGCACATTACATCCTACAGGTCCCTTTCTGAAAAAGAGAGGTGTGTTTGCAGGAATTATAAACAACCACTTAAAGACTTTTCTGATGGTTCATAAAGTTCCCCCTCTGTTTTAATTACTGGTATACACCATTATATCTTTCCCCACTCCCCCCAAAATTGATTCCCTGCCATTTGAGGGAGAGGCTTTGGGAAGGAGGTCTATTAGCGCACGCCCCCTAAAAAAGAAAAGAAAAGAAAAATAGGCAAGGCATTGCAAAAGGGCAATTCTTAGCAGACTACAAGGAAGGCTTCAGTTCTGCAGATTCCCTTGGCAGGAACCTCAAATAAAATAAGGGGAATTTGCTTCTCAACAAGGGGGCCGGGTAAGATTTTTGCATATGCAAAAGTCCCTTTGGGTTCAGTGGTGCTTATTGCCATGTAAATGGATATAAGAAGGCAGCCTCAAACTTGTATAATAAATGGACTAGAATTTATTGATTCAGGGGAAAGCTTGACTTTTCATTGCTGTACTGTTCTTTCCATACTTGCCCAGAAGAATCAACCCCCCCCCCCCGTCGAAATAGTGTGTTTTTTGCCTAAGCTTTCCCTGGCCTGCAAAGTTGGGCCCTGTTATCCCCAAATTTCTGTTTTAATAATGCTGTTTTTATGTTGTATGATCTGGTTTTATCATTGTTTATAGTATTGCTTCTAATGTGCTTTTGCATACCTCTTATGGGATTTTTCAACGTTAAACAATTTAGAAATGTTTTTAGAAGTACTGTAATATAATAATTAGCAAAAATAAATAAATAGCTGTGGTTCCTGTATTGCAGGAGCTTGGTCTAGATAAGCCTTTTGAGTCCCTTCCACCTCCGCAATTCTGTAATTCTATGAAATAAGTTAGCAAACCGGCTTTCGGTGGGACTTGCTCCCAGGTATGGGTGCGTTGAAGGTTTTAAAAGTCTATTTCAACATTCACAGTGGCTCTTAAAACGAGGGGCTGATGGGGGGGGGAGCTGGAGGAGCCTTGGATCACAGGGGCGCATTTCAGGCCCAAACCAGACCCTCCGGTTGGGCTACTTCAGCTCACCTGCCTTTCCCATCAGGTTGAGCAGCTTAACTGGGGATCTGCCCTATCTGCTTGCTTTCCTGTAGGGTGAATTCTGCTGAGCTGCATGTAATTGGCTGAGGACAGAAAAGCCGTTGTGAGAAGACAGAGAGGGGGAGATAATCTCATTCCAAGCAGCTTTTGGTCTCAGACAATGCCGAGCTTTCTTCCCACCAGGAAAAACAGGCAGCGTTTTGGGATCTGCTTTGGCGACGCTAGGAAAACAGACCGGACATTATCACCAGTGGGGGGTGGGTGTCAAAGTTCTATAGAACAACCTCCCCCAACCTAATGCTTTCCAGATGTTTTGGACTACAACTGCATACAGGCTGGGCCTGGTGGGAGTTGTGGACCCAAACATTGGTAGGGCCCCAGGTTTTAGGGAGAAGGCTGCTGTATCATGGAGGTTGAGGTCCTCTCTGCCTTGGGATTGTGTCCAAGCAGTGTTAGAAACTCAGATATAAAAGGTGGGTGCCAAATGGCTCCTTAAAGCAAGGTTACAGTCTCCAAAACGGAATGTCTAGTTGCCATTTTGGGGCGTCTTATTTTTCTTTTTTTTATATATAATTTTAATTAAGTTCAACGTACCAATTATTATACATTCCACAGAACTTCACATCTTATACAATCTTTTTGGACTTCCATCAGCACCTCTGATGATCCACCATTTTTATCATTTCTTCTGCATTTCTTAAATTCCTATTGCCTTTAATTATCTTAACTCACGATCCACCTCTTTAACATTTTTGCAATAATTCAAATAATTTACCTCACAAAACTTCTTGCAAACCTACAAACGTAATCTGGTCATCACAATTACTTTTCAAATAGTCCGTAAATTTACACCAGTCTTCTGTGAATCTCTGGTCCCGCAGGTTTCGAATTCTTCCGGTTAGTTTATCCAATTCTGCATAGTCCATCAATTTCATCCTCCATTCTTCTTTTGTCGGTAATTCTTCTTGCTTCCATTTTTCTGCCAATAATATTCTTGCTGCTGTCATTGGGCGTCTTATTTTTCAATTTGACTGTGATTGCTTCTCAGTTAAACATCTGGCTAGCTGAGATGACAACCTTGAGCTAGGTTAAGAACTTTGAGAACTTAAAGAACAAAAGTCGTTCGATCCAGAGACAGTCCACATATATATTGGCCCATTCCGACCTCTTTTTCTTAGTGGTGACTGCTCCTGCTCAGGCTGCACAGAAAAAGCATTTTGGTTCCTGAAATTCGTTCCATTAGTACATATAAAATATCAGATAGAATTCTACAGGATGTGGTATTAGTGTGTGAAAACAGTCCAGATTCAGTGATCTCCCAGCAAGCAGCTCTTGATGCTGGAGATTAGGGCTGTGTTATAAATTGACGTATCGCCTGATATTGGGTTTTAGATCAAATCGCGATAACCGTTTTTTTAAAAAAGCGACTTCGCAATTTATCACATGTTGTGTGTGTGGTGTTCAAAAATCACAATATTGGAAAAACCAGGAAGCCGATGCTTCTTCCTGTGTGTGCAGCCCTTGCTAACTCGCACCTCAGCCAGCTCTTCCCTGTCTCCTGCAGCAGCAAGATATAGCTATAAATTACTATTCAAACATCGACCAGCAGATATCACCAAACAGAGCTTTGAGAACCAGTTAGCTCCCAGTCTCCCCAGCCATCCAAACGGCAAGCAGGGACTTCTTCCCTCAAGGCTCTTGCTTAAAGGCGCCAGGCTGGTAGTTGGCTTAGAGAAAGCCTGCAGGTTCAGACTTCTGGAGCCCTTTCCCCCCATAAAACCATAAACTTAAAAAAAAACAGTCAGACACCTCCCTTTGACATTTGACCCTCTTTCATTTTCCCCTCCATCTGTGTGTGTGTGTACAGTGGTACCTCTGGGTACGAACTTAATTCATTCCGGAGGACCGTTCTTAACCTGAGGTACCACTTTAGCTAATGGGGCCTCCCGCTGCCACCGCCGCGCGATTTCTGTTCTCATCCTGAGGTAAAGTGCTTAACCCGAGGTACTATTTCCGGGTTAGCAGACTCTGTAGCCTGAAGTGTTTGTAACCTGAGGTGTTTGTAACCCAAGGTACCACTGTACTGCTTGTGGGTGTGCAAGTGTCTACGTGTGTCTCCCTCCCTGCTCCCATTGGTGGTATTTTTTGGTGAAGCAGCAGCAACCAGCATCAAAAAGCACTGGGTTGTTTATTATTATTATTATTATTATTATTAACCCAGCCAACACTTCACACTTCGTTTTCTGTAAGCGGCAGCCAGCCCCTTCTTAAAACTGTACTGCTTGGGGGGGTGTGATTGTGTCTCCCTGTTGGTGTGCCCAACTGATGCTTCGTTTGGAGCTATGGCACTATTGCAAGAAGCAGAGAGGCTTATTTAACACTATTTTTTAGCCCCATGTTTCTTTAGCTCAATCTGCCCTGCAGTGCTTCGCTTGCGCTCTCTCTCAACTCTTTCCCTTCTGAGTTGCTTCCTTCCTTGCTCCATGAACGAGCCCCAGTCATAGCAGTCAACTTTTCCCTTTTCTTGCGAGGAATCCTATTCGGAATAAGGGAATTTCCCTTCAAAAAAGGGAAAAGTTGACAGCTATGGCCCCAGTTCTTCCCTGCTTCTCTCTCTCTCTCTCTCGTGTCTTGTAAATTGCTTCAGAATAAAAGGGGGGAAAACCCAGTGTTTGTTGTGTGTGCCTTTCTTTTGGGGCAGAAGCAGCCCACAGGTTTCTTACTAATCCAGCCTACGCTGTCAGCCCATGTTAACTCTGCGAGTCTTTGGCTCCCCCTCCCCAGTCGCAAGCAGGAGGGAAATACAGCCTTGAGATGCTTGTTGTCTTGCAAGTTGCTCCAGAGTAAAAGAAAAACACACACACACCCTGCTCTGCCATTTGAACCTCTTCTGTGTCTTCCTCCACCTCTCTATGCTCCCCACTTTCTCCTATATGGCTATGCCAAGAGTGGACATTGATGAATGCCCTCTGATGGCAGGGGGGAGGCAATGTTGAAGGGGCTTGCAAAGAAGTTTTTTGCTATCCCAGGAACAAGTGTGGCATTTGAAAGTGTGTTCAGCACAGCTGACAACGTTCTTCAAATACAAAGGGCATCTCTATTGGCAGAGAAAGCCAAAACGCAAATTTCCTTTAATAATTTCTGTTCTGTAAAATTTTACCCACCCTTTCTGGTTTGGCCTGGTTTATAAAAGAAATGCAGATTTTCCTGACAATAAAAATATATAATTTGTTTATAATTTGTTCTGTTAAAATGTATCCGTTCCGTTCTTTCTATTTTGGCCTGGTTTTGAAAAGAAAATTAACAAACAATCAAATGAACTGGTGTTGTGGGATGTATACATTCAACTAAGACTCCATAATGAATTATATTTGAACATCTAAAAGTGTGACACTGACTTTGCTATTTTCTTGTTTAGTAATGTAATCAAATTTTTAGGGAACCTTTGATATCTATGCTACTAATTACGTCTACAGATTTAATTTTAGAGAAAATGTGCTATTTAAACATTATTGGTACAGTAGTTCTATAACATAACAGTTGTAACAATATGTTAAAGTAAAAAATTATCGGTTTTAGGCTTGGACCCATAAGTAGTAGCAGTTGCCAGGACATTACCATTTTCACCTCTACATAGCTCCAGCCTTATTTCAGATATTGTGATATATCACAATGTTTAACTGGTGATGTATCATGATGTTGAAAACCAGGTATCTCCCAGCCCTACTGGAGATGTCAGGTGCCATCCAGGTGCCCAGGGATCTTCACTTGGTCACAAGTGGTTGATAGCCGGGTGCAAAATGTGCCTGGCAAATTTCAAACACTGTCCACCAAGGGTTAGTCATGGGAAAAGACCTATGAGAAATATGTTGAGATCTTGTCTACCTACGTATGCATATTTGGGCGCCCTACTGAGTTTGGTGTGAGATTCACTCTCCATAACTCTACTATGTTTGCAACCTTCTTGATGTCCAACTTGAATCCCATTGGTTTCTGTGGAGCAATTAAATCAGTGGTTCCCAAACTGTCCGCCATGTGGAACGCCCTCCCAACTGATGTCAAACAGATAAACAAGTATCTGGCTTTTAGAAGACATCTGAAGGCAGCCCTGTATAGGAAAAATTTTAATGTTTGATATTATATTGCGTTTCTATATTTTGTTCGTGCGATGGAAGTGTAAATGACTACCAGACTTTGAAAAGCTGGTATCACTGGATCAAATTCAGCAATTTTGTTGAATCAAACTAAATAGTTTTAACTGGATTTGGAACAAATGTGCAGTTAATTCTTACTGTTCTGAATTTGATTGTGTTGTTATTATCTTCCTTATTGGGTCGTGTGAACCGCTATTCTGAAAAAGGCTTTGTTTTTATAGGTTAGGGGGTGCTGGGGATGACTTTAAAGAACCAAGGGGGGGATGGTGGCCCGAAAATGTTTGGGAACCACCAATCTAGAAAACCTCTGTTGTGTTTGGTTACAATAGATGCTGCAGACCTAACTCCAGCTTATCTCTCTTTTCGTCCCCTTTCTCAAGGCCTGACCATCTGAACGGGCACATCAAACAAGTGCACACGTCAGAAAGACCTCACAAATGTCAGGTAGGAACTACTGGATGGAGGAGGGTCTGTGATGATGGGGAGGAAGCCTCTGAAGAAGGTGGTGGAGATGCAAGCCTTCTTCTGTACACCTGGAATTTACCGTGCTCCTTGTAAACTTATTCTAGAGACACTCCGCTCCTTCCCCCCCTTCCCACCACCCTCTTCCCAATGTCATCTGCTTCTCCTCCCCTCCCTCGTATGGTCTCTCCTCTTCCTGCCCCTCCATCTCATCCCTACCTTTGTAGTGTTTGTCTCTGCTCTGCTCGCCCTAGGCGATCAACCTTTTCTCTCTGCAATCAGCCTTTTCTCTCTTCGTCCTGCCTGCCCGTCAACAGGTGGGCTCTCAAGGTCCCTCATTGATTTTAGGGAAATTCCAGTTAGCTACTGAACGCATTTTTTGTGGGTTCCTCCCCCCACATTTGAACATCGCACTGAGCAAAATTGGAAGCTCCCCCCACCCTTTTCTCTCTCTTTTTTTTTCCTAGCAAGGGGACACACAGAGCATTGCTCAAATTCAACTCTGACACGGCTTTGGGGAAGGTGGGGTGGGGCTGTTTCTTCTTCCTTCCTTTCCCAGTTAACGTAACTGTTTCTGTTTGGATTTAAAGAACAATAAACACCCCTGGAGTTGCTGCATGGAGGAGGCAAGCTCCTTGCGGGGAGGGGGCAACTCCAAAACCCAGCTAAGGCTTAAGACACGATGGGCGTTCAAGCTGGTTATCGTTTCTGCTAGCTGCTCTACCTGTGACCTGATTGAGCTGGACTGCTCCAATGGCCTCTGCCAACCTTCTCCTTTCTGAGTGGTAAAAAGATGATCACATACGAGACAGGCATGTTGGCTTGCTTGCTTGTTTCGTGAAATTTATGCACTGCTCGGACGTCAAAAGAGAAAAGCCAACCTCAAAGCAGTTTATGAAACAATAAAACTATCAGTTAAAAGAACTCTTTAGAACATCCAAAAGCTAAAATCAGTGATTAAGCTCAAAATAGATTAAAACATACTTCAGTGTTCTGTTTCTGGATGGCGCTTGCCTGAACAAAAATGTTTTTAGCATGCTCAGGAAAGAGCACAGCAAAGGCACCTGCCTGGTGTCAATAGGCAGGGAGTTCCAAAGTGTAAGCACACAAAAAATGATTTCTCACAGATGCAGAATGTGTCTTATGTGGCACCTATAATGGTGCCAGTTTCACTGATAGAAACAGGTGGATGTATATGAGATAAGGCAATCTTGCAGGTAAACCTGTCCCAAGTTGTTGAGGGCTTTAAATGCTAACAGTAATGCCTTGAATTTGGCCTGGTAGCAAATTGTACAGCAGGTGCAGATCTCTGAGCCCAGGTGGTATACGCTGACATGGCCTCACTCCTGTCAGCAATTGCGCTGCAGCATTTGGCACTAACTGCAGCTTCCGGATCAAGCGCAAGGAAAGCCCCGCATAGAGCGCATCGCAGTACAGTGGTACCTTGGGTTACATACGCTTCAGGTTACAGATTCCGCTAACCCAGAAATAGTGCTTCAGGTTAAGAACTTTGCTTCAGGATGAGAACAGAAATCGTGCAGCAGCGGTGCAGCAGCAGCGGGAGGCCCCATTAGCTAAGGTGGTGCTTCAGGTTAAGAACAGTTTCAGGTTAAGAACGGACCTCTGGAACGAATTAAGTACGTAACCAGAGGTACCACTGTAATCCAGTGCTGAAGTCAACGCATGAACTACTGTGGCAAAATATTGATATCACTGCTTTTACTCTTTTTCTCTTGGGGGCGTGGGATGTGATCTTTAACGCTGTGGCATGTTTTGCTGTGAGTTCCTCATATAAACTTAATATATTTTAAATCACCATCTGTGAGGATTCTGCTGAAGCAGATGTCACCGGGGGGGGGGGGGCGGAATGCAGATGCGAGGGTTGAGCCCAGCCATTTTGTCAGTGTATGATCTGCTTCTTTGTAAAGCTGGGGCTTGTTTAAAAAAAAAAAAATCAGTAGCAGCAGCTACAATGCAAACTTTGGAAAAGAGAGGGGGAGAGAGAAGGCGCCCAGAGCTCCTTGCAGAGGGTTCTGTAGTGTGGCCCAGTACAGTCAGTAGTAAGGTGAAGAAAGCTTATGGGTTCCTGCAGAATAAGTGGGGCAGGGGAGCCAAAAATAATGCCAATATATTTCACATCTGGCAAGCATTGCACCCCTTTGGTTTCAGATGGTACATGGGTAGACAAGTCTAAAAAGCCCGGGGCACAAATTTTCACAGCCCTCTAGTGGCTATGGTGACTCATTTACCGGAAGTAATTTACAGTGGTACTGTCAGGGAACTGCCATCCATGCCGGAGGGAGAGAGCAAGATCCAGAGGGATTCCAGAGAGCGTCCCGGGATTGGGAGAGGCAGCCCATCTTCTGGGGAAGAGAATCAGCGTAGCACCAGTGGAGAAGGGGGGCAGATGGGGGAAGCGGCGAGACGGTCCCATGACTCCTTGCCGGGGACCAGCGGGGAGAGTAGGGGTCCTCCGCTGCCTACGCCCTCCTTGCGCAGAAGGCTTTCACGCAGAGAGAGTAGGAGGAGACTAGGCGTCAAAGAGCTTCTTTGCTGGAAGAAGTTTAAGAAACGCCCACTGACGGATTCTGCCAGCGATTGAGACAGCCACGGGTGAGTGGCTGTCCGGACAGAAAAGGTTCACTCAGGCAACCCAGCCAGGTGTTTGCACCGGCTTACGCACGAGCAACCCCTAGAACCACTACAGGTACCTTGGGTTACATACGCTTCAGGTTACAGACTTCGCTAACCCAGAAATAGTACCTCGGGTTAAGAACTTTGCTTCAGGATGAGAACAGAAATCGTGCTCTGCCGGCGCGGTGGCAGCGGGAGGCCCCATTAGCTAAAGTGGTGCTTCGGGTTAAGAACAGTTTCAGGTTAAGAACGGAACTCCGGAACGAAGTAAGTACTTAACCCGAGGTACCACTGTATTTAGAGTTAACTCTATATAAATTTATAAGGAACTCACAGCAAAACATGCCACAGGCTTTTTAGACTCGTCTACCCATGTACTATCTGAAACCAAAGGGGTGCATTGGTTGCCAGATGTGATTCCCCCCTGCCCAGCTCTCCTACCCAGGGTGGATTTGATTTAAATCAAATTGATTTAAATCACGATTTAAATCACTAGTCGGTAAGACTTGATCTAAATCACTAGTCAGTAAGACTTGATTTAAATCTCTCTTTTCTTTTCTTTTTACAGAGAGACTCATTCTTGCTGGTATAATCTTAATATTTACAACCAGAGGAAGGTTTCGTTTTTGGAATAATAAATTTTCAGAGTAGTTTTTAGTTATATCAAAAATTACTGATATGGTTATACTGGTAGAAATACATAGAAAGATAATTATGAAATTATTGCGAGGTTTAATAAGTTAACTGTTTATATTTGGACAACTTTTCTGCTGTACTTTATGGGGGGGAATCATTTCCTTAATAACAGTTTAAACAATTTATTTAGCTAAAGTAATAACATTATAGCATATGTATCCAAAGTCTGGGCAAAGACACGTGATTTCACCAGGCGCCTCCCTCACCCCTATCCACTGGGTAGCTCTACAATTTGCACCCTACAGTATGGGGGATAAACTGGGTCGACGTTGTAATCCCTTTCCCCCCCCCCACTGTTTTTATTAAAGTCACCCACCCCCCAAATGGTCTTTGTAATCTTAAATATATGTTGCACAACACCCACTCCCCCCAAAAAACCCTGCAGAAGTTGTGAGGATCTTAGCACCTCAAACATGTAAGATCTTGAAGACAATTGAGCAATTTAACCCCAATTAGATTAAGGGGCTTAAAATAATCTGTGGCAACCATCACCACCCAACCTGGCATCTTCCAGATGTTTTGGAGCCCAAACAGTTTGGGAAGACGATCCATAGCTATCTGTTGGTTAGCATGAGAAAAATATAACTTTTTTCAATTCAGCTGGGAATAAATGATACCTAGCAAGGCATCCTGAAGATCCCATTAAGGGTGTTTTTGGGAATTATTTTTTTTAAATACATCTTTTTATATTTGGGTGCATCAGTCTGTATTTATATGACCTGCAAATTTTAATATCATAATTAGCGGTTCTCCTTAGGCTTCAGTCCTGAAGCTGCTCAAGAGCAGATGAATTATTAAGGTGTGGCAAATGGCCAGTAAATTCAAGTTTGCAAACTAAAGGTTGACAACTTATTTAACCAGCCTCTGCTACTGTGCCTTTTAACAGGGGTTTAACATGCAGACATTATAAAGTGGCTGGGTTCATCTCCATGCTGTGAAAACCTTGCCCTGCTGATTTCTTCAGATGAAGCTGCTAACTGTTAAAGGCAGAAGAACTCGGCAGTGGGTGTGTTTTTTTCTGGACAGTTGGCAACTATTTGGGTGCCAACTGACCTTAACCGGCACAGCCCTTATTCTGTTTTAAGATTGCCTTCCATTTCTGAACTGAACCCATCGGATTTCTCAAAAGCATGCAATTCTACCAGTGCCATTGCAAAACAGAGATCCTTCTCTTCTCACCATATTTTTTTAGTTGTTTTTTTTAAGTTTTTATTTACTTATTTATTTATATTTGCCCATCTCCTAACTAGGAGTTAAGTATCTCAGTGCAAAAGAATTCATGTGGCTGTTGGTTTTTCCTACCCAACACCTTAATTTTACTCCATTCAAGTTTTGATCTGAGATAAATTTATTTCACATGGATTTATTTCTTTAAAAATATTTAAAATATATTTTCACTGTATTTGGCTACCCAGATAGAGCTTTATTAAATGCGCGCTGTCTTTTGCACAGGTGTCTTGAAAAAACAAAGTACAGACAGCTGGGTTTAGCGCTCATGGCAGGGCACATCCCTTTTGTGCAAATATATAAATCCCCAACAGTTATAATTACAGAGAAATATAACTATGGCAAAGACAACTTTATCTACAGTTGTGCCTGCCTTTTTAAGGGGAAAGTGCTAAATGGAATTAGTGTCACTTGTTGTACAAGCACCCATCACCCAGGGCAAGAGTCATATGTCCTGCCCACCTCTCAAATTCGGTTGCGCAGAGGTTCCCAAGCCCTTGGCGCAGAGGCCTTTTCTACTTCAGTAACACAATGAAACTACTATTCAGTTTGCAATGAAACTACTATATAAAATGATGTCCCCACCACCACCACCACCAGTTTAGCCGTGGTTTCAGTGGAAATCTCTTGAATCAAAGTGGCTTCCGCCAGCAAAGGAACAACCATGAGCTCACTTTAAGCTCCCAATTCTTCCTTTGTAGCCACGCCAGGATTTGCTCCATAGTTCACTTCATATATGATAATTGGGTGTGGTTTTGGAGAAACAGCCTTTTGAGCCCAATGGAGAGGCCTGGTAGGCCAGAGCTAAGCCACAGGCTGGAGTTTCCCGACCCCAGGACAGGGGTGCCATGTTTGGGAAGGCTGCCATAGAAAGGTTCATTAAGTGAGTCATCATTTAACAATCATCGCCTTGGAGCCCACTTAGTTTCTCGTCAGCACTGGCTCTACAATCCACCATCCATTTCCAGCAGCAAGGTCAAATATATTTTCCTTATCTAATTTTAACTGGGAGCTGGTTCAGGGTCTGGAAGGGCAGTCTTTGCACAGGGAACACCCTCCAGGAACTTGATCGCGCTGCTATTCGTGTTGACACCAGGTGGGACTCAGCAGACCAGTTCACCTGGTCACCTTAAGAGCGAGGATGGGCAGAAAGGAAAAGTGCATCAGATGAGTTTTTTCATGGGAGGAGGGGAGGGGAAAATCCAAGGGGTTAATGGGTGTCATCTTCCACTCCATCCCCATCAGTTCCTGGATCTTTTAAAACTCAGCCGCAGAAGGAAAACCTGGAATGCTACTGATTCTGCTGCAGCCAGAATTGCAGTTGCTCTGCCTTCACCGCCATGTGTGCGACCCAAGACCGACCAAGATAATGAAGATCAATTGGGTGTAACATGGGTGGGGGGCTCTCCCATGCACGCTGTGGCCGCCCCCCAATGCAACTGTTCTTGGCAGGATTCAGCCTTGTGGCCAGAGGTGGCTCACGCAGAAGTGTGATTTGCATGAACTGGCTCCTCCATGTGGGCGCTCTCCACAATTTGTGCAGCCCATACTGGTGCCTTCTGGATGTTTTGGTCTATGACTCCCATCGTTCCCAACCAGCACGGCCATATTGACTGTTCCAGCATGGCAGGGGCGGTTAGGAGTTGTAGCCCAAAATGTCCGTGTTGGGCTGGAGCTGATGGAACTGGTAATCCAGAACTTCTAGAGGGTCATCAAAGGCAGGTATAGAAGTTCGCAGTATTGATTTGAGCATGGAAGAAGAAATTAACTTGCTTTCATTTTTAATTGTGGGGCCATCTCCTGGGGTAATTCCCTTTTTACCTGCCACATTTAAGTTAGTATCTGGCCATCTTCAGCATTAGGAGACAAAACCTGATTCTCAAGCGAGCTAGACTTGTATTCCCTGAAAAACAAAAAGTTAAAAATAAGCATTCAGAAAACTCGTGCTTTTCCCAAATGATTTCATTGCAGAATGAGTTTCTTCCTTATCTAATCTCTCTTACTTCCTGCCTATTAGCAGGAAATTGCCAGCCTCCATGGAATAAGCTCAGAGACATCTACATCCCTAGAGCAGTTGAAACTTCAAGAGGTATTTCTTAAACACTGTTTATTTTTTTAAAAACTTCTCTATTTTTAGTATATTTATCTGCCTTTGCAATGCTTGACAGGAAAGCACTGGAGTTTTCCTTTATTATTATTATTATTATTATTATTAACAGCGCTCTCTGATAATCTTAAATTGTATATTTAAAGACATTAACCTCTTAAAATTTGAAATGTTTAGTTTCCTTCAAAGCTGATTGTATTGTCTCTTGTTTTCTTTTTCTTTTTAGTTCTGATTTTAGGCTTTCTGGACTCTTTCTGTATTTCTCTCGTTCTCTTTGAAAGAATTATTTTTGCCAGTCTGCTCAATAACTAACTGTGATCGAGAATCATAATGCCTGGCTTGAAAAGAAATAAGCAAATTAAACGCAGCAACAAATCACTTGATACCTGTTTTTGTTTCCAGTGAGCTGCGTGGCATACTAGACTCAGCCTCTTGGGACTTTGTTCTGCACAAGCTCTACCGTGGAGCTTATCATAGCTGTCAACTTTTCCCTTTTCTTGCGAGAAATCCTATTCGGAATAAGGGAATTTCCCTTAAAAAAAGGAAAACATTGACAGCTATGGAGCTTATGCAGGAGAACTTCCCAGCAGGTTGTTCTGAAGTTCACTCCTTTGGCGTCCTTTCCATGAGTAAGGCTTGCTGTGTTTCTTTGTTTTCCTCTTTATAGCTCTGAATGTGCCTGTTACTTAGTCATTTTGAAATTAAACCTGAACACTTCTCCTAACAGCCCAAAGATTTATATATTTTAATCTGCATCATAGGAACTGCTATCGGTTTCCCACAGGTAATCACTTCACTGGTTGTGTTGGGGAACTACAACTTTCCTCTCGTCCATTGGTTATGCAAAATGCACTTTTAAAACCGCAGTGGGTATCGCTTGTGTCGGAACCCTTTCTAAAGTCTCTGTGCCCAGTTTATTTTTTGCTAAATGAAAGCTGCCCCTGTTTTGCTCAGCGCAATGTCCAAGTGGTTATATTTTGAACTTTATATATCTGTTTCTGACTTAACAGCTTTTTGTAATGTCAGAGTCATTTCTTAGTGGAATCTATTCATGGGACAAACCACAAATAATTTTGTGTTTTTTATTGCGGTGCTCTGGTCTGGATCCTGCAGGAGGAGGCAGAAATTTCCTCTTAGTGCTTTGCCTATTCACCAAGGGACCTGACCTAAAGTCTCTTCAAACTAAGAGAAAACAGTGATCTATATTCATTTCTTTCCTTTTTTAAAAAAACAGAACTTGCTTCAGGCTATTTATGCAATGACGTCTCTCCGTTAACGCCATTCTGCATCATTTAAGGGCCAGCTTCAGTAACTGTGTAACACTGATAGGGAAGGGCCATAGCTCAGTGGTAAAGTTTTCACCTTGCAAGCAGAAGGTCCCAGCTTCAGTTCCCCAGTGGCATCTCCACATAGGGCTGGAAATGTTCTGAATCCATGGTGAGCTGGTACCAATCAGCATGAACAAATACCAAGCAGGGTGGACCAATAGAGTCTGACTCCATATGCGGCAGCAACTTAACACTCCTGATCATCTTCAGAACTCTAGAATTCTAAGGAGAACAAGGAATCCCTGACAGATTCTTAGCCTTTTCTCCCTCTGCCCAGAAGAGACGTGTTTTGGGCATTACAAAGGCGGCCCTAGTCTAGAATCCAACATGGGTGTTGAGTGCCATCACACGGGCACTGGAGAGAGCAGGATGTTTATTAGGGAGGGGTTGACCTCCATGCTGAGCAGGGATTTTCACTTGTAAGGATTCAAATTGTGCCCCATAACCTTTTCTGCTTCTAAAACTCCGGTGAGAGTCAGGCTTGCATGTGTTCAGAACTGATATGTTTAATATATATATATACAGAAGAATTCTGAAGCTTGCCTAAATTACACAAATGAAGCCATTTCCGATTGATATTGCATAGTCTGGTCTATCATTTTAGCGAATTTCCCCCTTTTTTTATTCTGCTGCTGCTTATACTATAGGGAAACACTGGAGGCCTTCCCTCCACCCTGCACATACACTTGCCTTAGAGCCATGACGGCTAGTAACATGGCTCTTTTATTTATTTTTGTGGAAAGTGAGATTAGCAGGAAGCTTAACTCTGCGCACACAATGGCCTCTCCTGCGGTGGCTTTCCTGCACTCCCTCTGAATCGTAGCCCTGGTGGCTTCTCTAGAACAACCTCTCGCCTCCCCTGCTCTTAGTTTTCTCCGCTACTTGTGGCTGTCATATTCCCTCTTTATTCCTTCTGCCTTCCCACCCCTACCTTGCCTTGTGTGTGATTTCCCCTATGCCCAGGAGTTTTGCCTTTCTCCATCTGGCCCAGGGGCACTTTCTGCTTGGCCTCTATCTCCTCCACCACCTTCCCTTCCCTGTCTGCTCCCATCTTCATTTGTCTTTCCTTACCACAGCCTCATTACTGCTGTTTGAGGACCTCTCCTCCTGTCCTTCCCATCTTCTCCCTCTTACTTAGATCATGATCGTCCTGGTAGAACCATCTAGCACTTCATTGTGGGGAGCATATAGTGTTTGGGAAGAGTTAGTGAAAGAGTGCTAACTTGGGGAGACCAAAATGAGCCCTGGCTTCTTAGAACAGCCTTTGCCAATGCGGTGCCCTCCAAATGGTTTAGACTATAACTCCCATCAGCCCCCAGCCAGTGCAGCCATATTTGACTATAGCTCCCATCAGCCAACATCCTTGTATAATGTCGCAGCTGATGGGAGTTGTAGTCCAAAGCATCTTGAGAAGGCAGTCTTAGAAAGTCATAAGCAATGCATTGCATTTATCCTCTTCAAAGTGCTGCAATCTAATGGAGTCCCCAGGGCAACTTTGGATGCTGTGTCTTTGTAGCATTGGTGATTTAAACTGCTCCTTCTGAATAATGGATGTGCTCAGACGCCCATTCTAATCATGGGCACTAAGTTTAAAATTTAGTTATTGGACGCTTATTTACAGGCCAATTTTCTATTTTAAACGTTCCAAGTGGCTTAGAGAAGATTAAAAAGAACAGCGAGCAGCATGGAAGGCCATGAATAATTAAGATATCTAAAGAAATCCTAATGGCAGGGGAGATCAATAAAACTAACTTAAATTAAATTTAAGCACTCTGGGCTGTCACCCCTCCGGTCAGGAGCTCTGGAATTGCTCCAGCCCATCCATGGAGCTCATCTGCCCGATTCTGCTTCTCTCTTCATTCTGTAGAGGGGAGCCCTCAGTAGGATGTGGAAAAGCCCTTCCAGATACCACAGCACTCTGTGTTGACCTGAAGTCCTGTGTTTGCAAGGAGCTGATGGGTTAGAGCAGCCTCTGCCAAGCCAGGGCCCTCCAGAAGTTTTAGACTACAACACCCATCGGCTCCAGCTGAGGCTGATTGGACTTGTAGTCCAAAACAACTCCCCACCAAGCTGGGGGTGTGCCCTAAAACAGCATCTGCTTGCTTGCCTCTTGAGCTGGGGTGCACTTGGCAAAGCAGGGCTTGACTCCTCAAACGTTTCTGCCATCGTAAATGAAGGTGCTGGAAGCCTGCTTGTTGATTTTGGTGCCCCTCTTGAAATCAATAGCCTCACGTCACCGTAGTGTTAACCTTAGTAGCGGTGTGTGTCTGCCTGCCTATGCATGTGTTTGTGTGTTTAATGTGGGTTTTGCTGCTCTCCACAGACCTGCAACGCCTCTTTTGCCACCCGGGACCGGCTGCGCTCGCACCTGGCGTGCCACGAAGACAAAGTCCCGTGCCAGGTCTGCGGGAAGTACCTGCGGGCGGCGTACATGGCCGACCACCTGAAGAAACACAGCGAAGGACCAAGCAACTTCTGTACCATCTGCAACAGAGGTAATGAGCGCAACTTCTTGCAAAGCGGGCAAAACGAGAACCCACAGGGCGAGAGGAGGGGAACTCGGGCAAAAGGCTTCTCCAAGAAGAGAAGGAACGTCAGGTTTTTTTGCAGCTGGCATCAGCAAAGGGTGAACCGCTTGGCTCTTGAGTCCCACTAACAGTGGTTCTCAACCTGTGGGTCCCCAGATGATGTTGGACTACAACTCCCATCATTCCTAGCCAGCATGACCAGTGGTCAGGGATGATGGGAGTTGTAGTCCAACAACATCTGGGGACCCACAGGTTGAGAACCACTGCGTGACTAACACATCCGTAGCTGGCTGGCCACATGAGCACAAGTGGGACTATCACAGGTCTCTTGCCTCAACTCTCACACCCACTCAGACACATCCCCTTGGCTAGCCTGGAGGGCCAGGTGGTGTAATGGTTGGACTAGATCCTGGGAGACCAGGGTTCACATCCCCCCTTATCCATGTGACGATCACTTGGGGGCCAGTCACTGCCTCTCAGCCTAACGGACCTCACAGGGCTATTGTGGGGATTAAATGAGGAAAGGGAGAGCAGTGTACACCATCTTTTAGCGCCTTGGAGTAAAAAGGTGGGATGTAAAAGCAGTAAATGAATAACATGTCTCTGCCGACCATCAAATCATGAGGGGTGGAGAAATTTCTTGGAGCAGCCCAGATTATCAACTAGTCTCCCACACCCCTGATTCCTTTCACTGAGTAAAAACAACACTTGGAAGTACCTGTGGAGGTCAGAGCCAATTCACCTCAGTAGTTGAATGGTGTTTTTCCATCTTCAGATTAGGAGATTTCCAGACAGAGAGCAGGATGGTCCAGGTTATCAGAAATGTGGGGTCCGAAAAGCGAATGAAGTCTCTTGGGATAGGGAGGCGAGAAGGGGCGAATTCCCGCCCAGTGCTAAATACCCACAAGACCCCAAAAGCAAACCAGCGGGTTCTCATCAGAACTTGGCAGGGGCACCTAAGCCCCTTCCCAGGTCCCATTTACCAGCATTTTAAAACGGGTAGGTGCCTGATCCTTCACACTCTCACACGTGTGTGTGTGTGTGTGTGCGCTTTGTAAGGGTTGTTCGCACATTATTCTGTATCTGGGTACAGATAGCCTGTATTTGGGTTCAGCTGCTCGTGAGACAGAGTCTACAGGTGTTCATTTTCAAAGGCACCACCTGTTTTCTCAGGTGTGGGACTATTCCTGCAGCCTCTCTACATGGCCTTAGGATCATAGAATTGTAGAGTTGGTAGCAACCTCCCAAGGGTTATCTTGTCCAACCTCCTGCCTTGATTTAGGGTGGCTTGTTCCCATCAGATAAGAGCAGCCTCATACCCAGGGGTGCTCTGGAAGTCTGTAAGAAACAAAAAATTAAAATTTTAAAAATGCAGTTTTGAAAGGTTCACTCCGCTATCTGGATTTGGAATGGTGCCCAATTGTATCTGAACAGACAGAATCCAGCTGCTTCATCTAAGGAGCCATCATGAAAAATTTAGTTAAAATTTCAGTTGGTTAAAATCAGTTGAGTTTTGAAAGACTCAGTCCGCCATCTTGATTTTAAAATGCTACCAATTACTGGAGGCAGCGCGTATCCGTTGTGACAAGTCGCCGTTGATAGCCTTTTCTTCCACGAATTTCGAATCACATCTGTAGCCATCACATAAAAATGGAAGTGCGTCTCCACAGATAAACACATAAAACCGTACAGTGAAGGTAAAGGGACCCCTGACCATTAGGTCCAGTCGTGGCCGACTCTGGGGTTGCAGCGCTCATCTTGCTTTATTGGCCGAGGGAGCTGGCGTACAGCTTCAGGGTCATGTGGCCAGCATGACTAAGCCGCTTCTGGCGAACCACAGCAGCGCACGGAAACGCCATTTACCTTCCTGCTGCAGTGGTACCTATTTATCTACTTGCACTTTGACGTGCTTTCGAACTGCTAGGTTGGCAGAAGCAGGGACCGAGCAACTGGAGCTCACCCCGTCGCGGGGATTCGAACTGCTGACCTTCTGATTGGCAAGTCTTAGGCTCTGTGGTTTAACCCACAGCGCAACCCACGTCCCAAAACCGTACAGTAAAACCATATTAAAAAAAAGTTTAAAACATACATAAATTTATGATTGTGGAAGGGTGTATTCTTAATGGTCTGCATAGACCTGGCAGAATAGAAAAGTTCTCGGCAAGTAGGCACAGAAGGCGCCTGCTGAATCTCTAGTGGCAGGGCGTTCCACAGGACTGGGCCGATGACTGTTGGCAACGATGCTGCTGTTGTCAAAGGAGCCTCACCAACTCGGGGAACAACCGATGAGGCTCCTGAGGCTGAGCTGGGATTCAAGGACTCAGGCAATCCCTAAGTTGTTCAGGGCTTTGTAAATTAATATACCAGGACCTTAAACCTGGCTCAGTAGAAGATGGGCAGCCAGTGCTACTGTTTAAACAGTGGTGTCACGTGTTCTCGACCAGAAGCTCCTGACAGCATTCTGGCCACCCCATTCTGCACCAACTGGATCTTGAGAACCAGGCCCAAGGGCAGACCCACATAGAGCACATTATAGCAATCCAGCCTTATGAATCCAGCCCATGAAACTTCTGGGGAGGTTGTCCAGGAATGTGCAGAGTACCACCACCCCCCTGATGACACCCCTGATTTGGGGAGAGAGGTTCAGCCTGTAGTGTATGGGGTGGCTCACATTGTCTTAAATACGTTTATAAGCTAGTTTGGATACTTGTGGCTTCGGGAGGTTAATGGGGAAGGTAAGGCCTAAATGTTTTTTTGACAAGCGAGTAAGTAAATGAAGCAAATAAAGATTTAAAAAAGGGCGAAATAGCAGAATAATGCCCCAGGAGCCAGAATTAGATTGTGTAGCCCCATCGGTTACAGTTTTTGGGAGGCTGGCCAATACAACATAAACCCATCAGAGCAACAGACCACTGCAATTATGGCAACTGCAGAGCCAGGTGATTGTTGCTGCCTTGGCTGCAGTAACAAAGATAAATGGATTACATCTCCATTATTTTCAGATGCAGACTGTTGGGGGAATCACATTTTGCTATTTCTCTCTAGAAAAATGGAGGTGCTCCTTTGCTAGTACTCTGGCTATAAAGGAATGAATAATACATTGGGGTTTTATGTTTTTTCAGAAGCAGCAGCCAGATTCTGCCAGGCTAGTCCGGGGGTAGGGGAAACCTCAGACCCGGGAGGGGGGCATATGTGGCCCTCCAGACCTCTCCATCTGGCCCTTGGGACTTTTCCCAGGCTATAACGCTCGCTGGCCTTGCTGCACACCCTCTTCAGGTGGTCTTTGCCTTGCTGGGATGAACTGCTTGAACTGCAGTCATAGTTCTTTGCTTGTCTGGATGGAGGGTGGAGTGGGGTATGCATGTGCCAAGTGCATGTAGAGACCAGCTACCCGGGTAGAGACAGCGTGGCGTAGTGGTTAAAGTGTCAGTCTAGGACCTGTGAGACCAGGGTTCAAACCCCCACTTGGCCATGAAGCTCACTGCATGTGACCTTGGGCCAGTCTCCGTCTCGCCTACCTCACAGGGTTGTTGTAAGGAGGGGGGAACCATTTTATGCCACCTTGAGCTCTTTGGGGAGGGGTATCAGTGTAACAAATAAATAATACTGCACAAAGGTAGCACTTAAATTTGTTGCTCCTCCCTGCCTACCACTGACATGGTTCCCCCCGAAGGGAATATAAACCTTGGGCTTGGGAAAGTCCCCGACGTCTGCAGCAGATCAGCTTGTCGCTTCACATGATCGTATAAAGTTGTAATCATTCAGTACTGTCATCATGTTGTGGCCTGGGAGGTAGAGAGGAATGGCCCAGTTCTCTCAGAAGCATCATGGTTTACAGCCTGGTTACTCCTTCCTGCGTTGGTTGGGTGTGCTCCTCTAGAAGGCTGGGCTTGCTTCCTTGCTACTCCTCAGGGCAGCCAGCCCCCAACCTGGTGCCATCCAGATGTTTTGGACTACAACTCCCGCCAGTCCCCGCCCCAGTGCATTCTCATCCGCAGCGAGTTGAGGAACCGCTGCCCAAGCCCCTCTCTCTCCTGGGCAAGGAGATTTCATTCCTCCTTCCTGTTTCCTTCCACCCCGTCCAAATCCACCAGAATAGGCAGCCTGCTCTCAGCCCAGGTGAATCGAGAAATAAGCATCCAAGCTGCCAAAGTGGCCTTCATACATTTATTTAAGATCGCTTGGTCTCCTTTTGCCCTGCCCTCTTCTGCAAGCCATATTTGGTAGATTGCAGATTTGTTTTAGGAACTGGGCCAGCTGAATCCTACAGGGAGCTCACTTAGCGTGTGATTTGCTTCAGGAGAGAAAAATATTCAAACCTGTGTCTCGGCCAACCTGGTGCCCTCCAGATGTTTATAAACTACAGCTCCCTTCAGCACCCAGCCAGCATGGCCATATTCGCAAAAAATTCCATACTGCCTGCATTAGGAAGAAGCAGCAAAACATTGTGTAGGTGTAAGATCAGCAATAAACTAAAGATGCCTTCATAAAGCAACATTGAAATACATTGCAGTGATGCAGGAACCGACAGGTGTTATAGCCTGACACCTGGGATAACTCACGTCAGTAGAGCATGCAACTTTTGCTCTCAGGTTCATGGGTTTGAGCAAAAGATCCCTGCGTTGCAGGGGGCTGGACTAGATGACCCTCGTGGCCCCTTCCAACTCTACAATTCTATGATTCTGGAGAGCATCAGGCTGCCATGATGGCTGGGTCTTGACATGGATCCTGGAGGCTTCTTCATTTTTGCTGCGTATGCACCACCTACTTAAAGCACATGGCTTTCCTCCCAAGGATCCTGGGAACTATAGTTTGCCCTGCATAGAGACCCTTAAACTACAGTTCCCAGGATTCTTGGTGGGACAGATGACCCATGTGCTTTTAACTGTGTGTTGTGTATGCAGCCTCCATCTCTATGACATCACCTATTCTGTGCATAGAGTCTCCGAGTTGCTTCTCTTTTTAAGTCACTTTGAGGAATCTTTTCGTATGGAATGACAAAGAAATGGAGTATGGTGATAATAATAATAATAGCCTTCTCTCCCCACCCTGGTAATTTCTGGGTCTTCATTTGCGAGAGCTCCAGAGGCCCGCTGCCTGCCATGTTGAGGCCTCCTCCTGTCGCACGGCGGTGGCTGGCTTTGATCTTGGTTCTTCGGGCGCCCGTTCTCTCGCAGAGGAGCCAAGAGGTGGAGGAGGAGGAGGAGAATCTGGCAGCGGCTAAGCGGAGCGAGGGGGAAAGGCAGAGAGGCATCTGTGTCTGTCCTGGCGGCAGGATCTCATCTCCTTTTATCTTGTTTAGGTTTCTCCTCTGCCTCCTACTTAAAGGTCCATGTTAAAACCCACCACGGTGTTCCCCTTCCCCAGGTCTCCAGACACCCGGAGCCCATCCCGAATGGGGGAGCAGCGTTCCACAGCGTCAGGACCTATGGCATCAAAGGCAAGCGACTCCCTGCTCTACACTTTCCGTCTCTTGACGTAGGACCTTGTTGGGTGCTGGGGAACGGGCGGATAAGGGAGCGCTGTGGGGGGCGGGTAAGGTGCCGGTCAGGAAATCCACCGTGTTCTGTTTGGGAGAAGGGCACAGCTGAGTTTTCCCTCGGCTGCCCCACTTCAGGCTGCAGGCGGAGGCTTGCATGTCTGAACACTCTCCCAAGAGCAACAGCAGTAACTCGCCCATCACTGCATGGAGAAAGCTAAGCACATAAGCAGGCTCTCCCACCAGCAGCAAACAGCCAAGTGGTCTTGGGACACCCGCTAGCAAAACAATCACTTAAATCATTAATGCCATCACAGACCTGTTAAACAAGATGGAGCAAGATGCCAAGAGTTGTCCCCAGCAAGCAGGATTAAAGATACCCTGCCTCCAAACTTGGAGGTTCTGTGGCCTAGTAACCATTGATAGCTTTCTCTTCCTCCAAGGATCTGACTAATCCCCTTTAGAAGCCATCTAAACCTCTAGGCATCCCTATATGATCCCATGGCGGTGAGTTCCATAAGATCATCTGCCATCCTGCTGGCCTCCAGACTTTTTAGGTCTAAAACTCCCATCAGCCTGAACCAGCTCAGCTGGGTTTTCTGGGAGCTGTAATCCAGAATATTTGGAGAGCAAATTAGGAAAGGCTGCACAGTGTAATGGTGCAGGGAGTTTTGTCTAGAGGAGTTGCCCTAACCTCGACTGTTTCCCCTGTCTGACTGTTCCCTTCTCCACCCCACCCATGCAATGAGGCTCTGAAGTCCAGAGTTACAAACCTCCACCGGCCTGAAGTAGGACAGTTTAGGAAAAAGTTACATCTTGGGTTTGCTGGATCTGGCAACCCTAGGAGAAATTTCTGGAGTTACTGAGAAAGAGTTCTGTTTTGATAACTGGGAGAAAGGCCCCTTAGATGGTGGGAGGAATTTAACGTCCCCCCTCCTCTTTCACTCAAGGCTTCAAAATTACATAGTTTTTGGATGCATTCTCCGCTTGCCCCTTTATATATCTCCATCCCTTTGAGGCTTAGGCAGGGACCTTTGTGTTCAGGAGGTGCAATGGTCACGTAGTCTCGTTCCCTCCCTGCTTAAGATGGTCTCCCTCTGAGAATCATAGAATTGTAGGGTTGGAAGGGTCCTATAGTCCAGCCGCCTGCAGTGCAGGAATCACGGTTTAAGAATCCCTGACAGATGGCCACCCAACCTCTGCTTAAAACCTCTGGTGAAGGGGCTTTATTGTGGAGCAAGGCTCAAGACTGCGGCAAGCCTCAGTCCTGTTTCTCACAAACATGGCCAGCATGTGGCTAAGCAAGATGGGAGCCATCTCTGCATAGTAAACATCATCCCTGTGCAAGAATACTGGCACGTCAAGGAGGTGGTTAAACTGGAACTCATGACTGCTTCTTACCACCGATTAGCTAGTTTCTGTGTGCAGGGGATGGCTCTGTGTGGACAGGTGGTCAGCCGCATGTGTCCTGGCCAGCAGTCTGAAGTGCTCTCTAGAGAGCCAAGCACCATTTGGCTTGACTCAGGGAAGATGGAGAAGATAAGATTGGTGGATGGAATGACTGCCCAGAAACTTAAACCCAATGGGTCATCATTTAGACTCCTCTGGCTTAGGAAGATGCTGAAGAGGCTGTAGCGTGGCATTGACTTCGACTCACTCGTTCCCCCATCCCTCTCTCTCTCCCTCTCTCTCTGGTCACATTTACACTGTACATTTAAAGCATTATGCTACCACTTTAAACAGTCATGGTTTTCCCCAAAGAAGCCTGAGAATTGTAGTATTTTAAAGGTGCTGAGAGCTCTGAGGAGACTCACTCTTCCCCCTCACAGAGCTACAATTCCCAGAGTTCCCCGAGAAGAGGGGATTGGTTGTTAAACCACTTTCGGAATTGCAGCCCTGGGGGTTCTCCTCACAACTCTCAGCGCCTTGAACAAACTACACTCCCCAGGATTCTTAAACATGCCTGTTTAAGTGTTTTCATAGTGCTGAAAATGTCTGGTGTGAATTTGGCCTCTCTCACACATATACAAAGGCTAGGAGGTCCAGTTAGGGTTGTCTATGTATGTGGCAGCTTCTGCATGTCACAAAGGGTAGTGTAGGGGTAGTTGGATAGATCTGACCTGGAAGGGGACCACAGTCCACCTGGACCTTCCCCGGATGTGCTCCAGCAGAACAAATCCCCCTCTTGCTTCAATGGGCCTTGCCCAGAATAACATCCCAGCAGATTGTGATGCCATGTGGGTCAGTGCATGAGGATATTTTGGGGGGGGTTATCCACCGAAGGAACCAGAATGCCTCTCAACAGCTCTGCCTCCTCCCCTCCATAAAGAATCTGTTCTGGTTTAGCTAAAAGTTAATGGCTCGATTAGTATTTTTTTATATAAGGGATAGCTCACAAGCTCCATCTTGGTTTGTGGGTGGAAGTTGGGCTTTCATGTGTACTGTCCCAGGAAACAGCCAAGACCTTAAGGAAGTGTCTTTGGGCAGGGGTTGCTGGGACAACACAGGAAGCTGCCATATACCGAGTCAGACCATTGGTCCATCTAGCTCAGTATTGTCTACACTGACTGGCAGCAGCTGTCCAGGATTTCAGGCAGGAAGTCTCTCCCAACCCTACCTGGGGGCTTGAACCTGATACCTTCTGCCTGCAAGGCAGACAGGGACAGCCCTTAAGCGAGTCAGGCATTCTCCTTACTAAGAAGCTTTTTGCACACTTTCATCTCTCTTGTGCTGATGGCAGCAGTCTGGTTTTGGTTTTGCGTTGGAGAGAGTAGTGAAACAATGCCTTCATTGCACTTTCCGAGACACCCCAGTGGAAGACGCTTGCAAGACTGTGAGTGGCCCTTGGGTTTCTTGAGAGATCCTGAGATGGGCCTTCCCAAAAGTGCTTTCGCTCAGCCTTCGCTAGCCTGGTGCTGTCCAGCTGTTTTGGACTTCAGCTTCCATCAGCTGCTGGGCTGATGGGAATTGTATTCCAAAACAGCTGGAGGGGGCACCAGACTGACGAAGACTGCTTTTGCGTTAGGTGGGGAACAGGATCAGGCTCATTCTATATCCAGAGGATCATGATTCCTAACAACTACGAGGAAAGGCTGGGATGTGTCTTGCTGGATTGAGTGGAGCCAGGAGGACTGAAATTTGGTTGGATCCCTCCCCCCGCCCACCTGCCATGACCCTTCATTTAAGGTCAGGCAATGTTGCTTGGTATTAGGGGAGAGTCTTTCTGGACTTGACTCACCCCCAACCCAGATATTGAGGCAGGGTGATGGCAGGCGCAAAACCTCATGCCGGTTCCCCAAGTAGCTTTGCAGTCTCATGAAGTCCTAGACCCATTGCGTTGGAAGGGACCCAAAGAGTAATCTTGTCCATTCCCCTGTAATGAGGCCAGGTTGGAGCTTCACCATTGCGTAAGGCTCAAAGAGGTGAGCCTACCTGGCCCAGCACCCCAAACCCATCCCACCCAAGGCTTCCCCTTCCATTGGAAACTGCTTTGTAGGGAAGGGAAAAGAAAGACATGAGATGACTTTTTGACTAACATAAATGAATGAGGACAAGCAGGCTATAGGGAACCTTGATGGGCTCTGCCAGCCTGGCAACCCTCCCAACATTTTGCACTACTTCACCCCAGACTCACATGGCTGTACTGGTTGGGAGTTGTAGTCCAAATCTATGTAGGGCACCAGGTTGGGGAAGGCTGAACTAGTCATTTTAGTGTAAGGTTACCAGACGTCCCCATTTCCCAGAGACAGACCCCAGATTTACAAATCTGACAAAGTCCATCTAATAGGAAGTTGAAAAGTGTCCCCGGGTTCATTGAAAAAAATCTGGTAACTGTATTTTAGTGGGTTTACGTCCACACAGCTGGACTGGGAAACGGGCAGGTTGCAAAGAGGTTCAGATGGATACTTTGGGATAGACAGGGAGGGGGGCTGTGGCTTGACCTTTAGCATGGGAAATCCACCGCAGGGGTCTAAAGAACGTGCCTTTTTTCTTTTTTCCTGTCTCCCTAGAAGGCCAGAAATGCTCACCTTTGGATCAGATTGAGAGCTCGGATTCCTACGGAGACCTCTCGGACGCCAGCGACCTCAAGACCCCCGAAAAACAGAACGCCAACGGCTCCTTCTCCTCCTGCGACATGGTGGTCGCCAAGAATAAATTGGAGTCGGAGGGGGATAAGAAGTACCCTTGCCCCGAATGCGGCAGCTTTTTCAGATCCAAGTCCTATCTTAACAAACACATACAGAAAGTCCATGTCCGCTCCCTGGGGGCCCCCTTAGGGGACTTGGGCCCTGCCCTGGGCTCCCCCTTTTCCCCACAACAGAACATGTCTCTCCTGGAATCGTTCGGGTTTCAGATTGTCCAGTCCGCCTTTGCCTCCTCCTTGGTGGATCCAGAGGTCGACCCACAGCAAATGGGGCCAGATGGAAAATGAGGCCGGCTCCCACCTTGACATAGCGGCTGTCTGCTTTGGGTGTCTTAAGATGGCTGTGGGCAATGTGTGGGAGCTGACAAAAAAATCCAGTTTTGTAGTGGGGAGATTTTTCTGTTTGAATTCCTTTTAGGTCCTCCCTTCCCTTCTCCCCGAAATCTTCCCCAGGGGGCAGAGAGTGTGTGCGTGTGGTGGGGGCCAGCTGCAGAGTTATCACCTGCACGGCAACGAATGGAGGGGCAGCCTTTGGGGGCTGCACCCCATGGCAGGGCAAAACGGCGCCAAGCACCCAGAAGGTCTGTGGGCGACCCCAGCTTGGAACCCCGCGGATGAAAACTTAAACACCCCAAAGGCTGGTTGGGGGAATGTTAAGAAACCCTAGTTGATCTGGCAGAGAATTAGATGTGTGTCTCTCCTATCCTTTTATTTTGGTCCTTCATCCTTCTCTGCCTCATGACCCTTTCCTAAGATTCGCATTGTTAGCATCGTCGTCTGCTCATAAAAGCACATACCTGTGAGGTATCTAGTAGGTAGAGGTACCATTGTTCTTTAGGAAGAAAGGAAGAAGAAGAAAAAACCACCAGAAAACGCAACTTACGAAAGCTTTTATTTTCTTTTTTTGAAGAAGTCAAGGATGCTGTGCCAGAGGCAAGGGAGTTGAGGGAGGGTGCCCGCTGTCTGGCCCCACCAGATTCAAACCAGTCCTTGGGTGCAACCAAGCAGCAAAGTTCTCCTGAAAGTGGTGGGTGGGTGTGGGGGAGGTCAGGCAGGTGAGGCCACCTAGGAGCAAATCTCCCACTCATTCCATTGGGGCTCCTTCAGGAGAATTTTAACTCAGTTTTATGCTGCTTTTTTTTTTCTAACTCGCTCTCGATATTCTCTCTCTCTCTTTCTCTTATTATGATTCTGATTATTACATTTATGATTTTAGGACCTGTTGTAGTGATTTGCTACTGAGAAGCCCTTCCGAGGGAATTATACAGAGAGCTCTTAAAGCAGCTGTCATGTTAGGGTTAGTATTAATTTTTTTTTAGATGTATCATAATTAATAATAAACTTGGCTAGTTGATTGTTTTTAAGTCTATGGGATAATATAGTTATGCAAAACGGAAGAAAAGGGGAGGGGGAAGGTTTAAAAAAAAAAAGTAAAGGCGAGAGCCACACACTCGGTTGGCTGATGCATAAAGACCCCAAAAGATGAAATTGATCGGCAAAAACGATTAATTTTTCTGTACTACCAACCTGTTTAGTGCAAATGAATTATAGAGTTCAGAGTGATTAAAAAAAAAGAAAAAACAATTTGATTGGACTGCATTAAAGAAGTTAGAATGGTTACTTTATGCCCCTTCTTTTTGTCTGGTTTATTTTATTTTAATGTGGGCAACGTTTTGGTGAGGCATATGGAACTTTTCACTTGGAGCCTGCTCTTAATTTCGCAAGAGGAAAGGAAACACTCCCATCAAGGAAAACAGCACTGCTTTTCTGAGGCACTTAAGGTGCTTCCAAATCAGGTGCTGGGTTCAGAAGTTGGTTGAGCAGGTGTAATATTGTTTTGGGGGGGGGGGAGGTGCATGATCCTGCTTGAGTCAAGCAATTCGAATCTCCAGGGAGCTGACTGGTCAAAGGGGCAGTCGGTTAGGTAATTTATAGGGCCTTAACTTCCCCACTGAAATCAATGGGGACATAGAACTGTTCTAGTTTTGCTACATCACATTCCCAATACAGTGGTACCTTGGGTTACATACGCTTCAGGTTACAGACTCCGCTAACCCAGAAATAGTACCTCGGGTTAAGAACTTTGCTTCAGGATGAGAACAGAAATCGTGCTCTGCCGGCAGCGGGAGTCCCTATAAGCTAGAGTGGTGCTTCAGGTTAAGAGCAGCTTCAGGTTAAGAACGGACCTCCGGAATGAATTAAGTACGTAACCAGAGCTACCACAGTATTCCTAATGGGTGAGCACAGCAAAAAAACTGCCACCACCAAGCCCTAATGATATACTTGTCTCCTTGAGATGCAAATAATAGGTTGTGCTGTTGTTGTTCTTAACTGGATGATATGAAGGTGTTCTCTGTTTCACAAAAAATAGAGCTTTGGTGCAGATAAAAGGTCACCAAAATGGTGGAGCGTATAGCTACTGCTTTTGTTAGAATCTGCACATTCAGGTTGCAGCAGTTGCTGGTAAAATGGTCCCCCCGCCCCCAGAAGTGGGGATCCTTGCTAGGGCAAGATGCCAGGCATTTCTGTAAAGACATGCAGGTAATGGAACGTAAGACGAGCTTGCTGGATCATGCCAGACACCCACCTAGTCCATTATCCTCTTCTCACAGTGGCTTCATAGATGCCCCAATAGGAAGCCTTCAGCCAGGACCCAAGCAGAGTGCAAGAGCTCTCTCGCCTCCTGCGGTTTCCAGCAACTGGTATTCAGCAGCATTAAGAACAAAAGCGGAGGCTGATGGATCAGACCAATGGTTCATCTAGTCTTACATCCTGGTCGCACAGTGGCCAACCAGATGCCTGAATGGGAAGCCTGCAAGCAGGACCGAATAATACAATAGAATTTATTATTTATACCCCGCCCATCTGGCTGGGTTTCCCCAGCCACTCTGGGCGACTTCCAACAAAGTATTAAAATACAGTGGTCTGTTAAACATTCAAAGCTTCCCTAAAGAGGGCTGCCTTCAGATGTCCTCTAAAAGTCTGGTAGTAGTTCTTTTCTTTGACATCTGGTGGGAGGGCGTTCCACAGGGCGGGTGCCACTACTGAGAAGGCCCTCTGCCTGGTTCCCTGTAACCTCTCTTCTCGCAGTGAGGGAACCGCCAGTAGGCCCTTGGAGCTGGACCTCAGTGTCCAGGCTGAACGATGGGGGTGGAGATGTTTCTTCAGGTATACTGGACCGAGGCCGTTCAGGGCTTTAAAGATCAGCACCAACACTTTGAATTGTGCTTGGAAACGTACTGGGAGCCAATGTAGTACAGTACCCAAGCATAACAGTATCCCCTCCTTCCCACAACTGTTATTCAGAAGCATTTCTGCCTCCAACCGGTGGAGACAGACCAGAGCCATCACAGCTAGTAGCCATTTACAACCCTCCCCTCCACAAATACGTCTAATCCTCTTAAAGCCATCTAGTTTCAACAGAGGGGTTTATGTGTCTGTCTTGTGGGTACGATGCCACAGTACTGCCTAACACAGGTGTGTGTGTGAACAAGTCCACAAAGGTTCTAGATTCAGGTAGGTAGCCATGTTGGTCTGACGCAGTCGAAAAATATAAAAAAGAAAAGTATCTGAAGAAGTGTGCATGCACACGAAAGCTTATACAGTGGTACCTCGGGTTACAGACACTTCAGGTTACATATGCTTCAGGTTACAGGCTCTGTTAACCCAGAAACAGTACCTCGGGTTAAGAACTTTGCTTCAGGATGAGAACAGAAATCGCGTGGCAGCGGGAGGCCCCATTAGCTAAAGTGATGCTTCAGGTTAAGAGCGGACCTCCAGAACGAATTAAGTTCTTAATCCGAGGTACCACTGTACCACAAACAAACTTTGTTGGTCTCTAAGTTGCTACTGGACAAATCCACAAAGGGTTAGCAGTGAGCCCAGATCTGGGATACAGGATAAAACTCCAGGTCTCCCAAGTTCTAGTCAGATACCTTATCAACCAGAAACAGTGCTTCCAAGACAGCAGTTGAACCCAGCAGTTTTGAAAACATGCCAACACATATTAGTATAGTATAGCTTTTCCCAACCTGGTGCGCTCCAGATGTAGGCTACAGCTGCCATAAACCTCTGCATCATGGTGCCACACCAGCTGGGGCTTGTGGTAGTCCAAAACATCTGGAGGGCTGGGGGGGTAGTGGTTGAAAGTTGCACACAGGAGCCCCACCGGTCTGCATCTCCTGGACAAACGGCAAAACTCTCCTGCACTCACACTAGCAGTCTGCACTATATTGTATCAACAGAGACCTGGACAGGGCCCTCGCTATGTGCATCGTAATGGCTACAGTCGGGGAGAAGGGATCCCAGATCGGTTCACTGCTTCCGTCTGGGAATAGTGGCTATTTAACCATCACTAACATCCAGCCTGAAGATGAGGCTGACTATTACTGTGGGGGTTGGTTTGGCAGCACTGCTGGGTTCCACAGGGATCAAATCTGATGGGGAACGGAGACAAAAACCTCTCTTCTTTCAGTGCAGTGAGCTGAGAACTGCTACAGAGTGTTTTATTTGATCGTGTCTTGAGCTCTTTGAACAAGAGAACCAGGTACAAGATATTGTAGAGAAACGGGGGGTTGACTCTTTGCTGCTCAACTCCCCAAGGGACTATGAGTCCCCTAAGTCCATGGTCAGTCAGAGGAGAATGGATGGAGGCAGGATCCAGTGATAGCAAGGCAGATCTATTTTTTTCTGTGAGCAGTGGAGTGTGTCAATATCCAGTCTTTGGTGCTTTTCAGGTGTTTCAGCCCTTAGCCTTCATCCAGTTGCTTTCCAGAGAGTAAATTTCCCTACTTCACTCATTTCCCAAAGAACCTTCTGAGCTGCGTCACTGGCAGAAAGAACCCCGGAAGATATTGTGTCCAAGGAAACTAACATTGTAAGCATGGGTGGGGAACCGCAGGCTGGGGGTGGTCACATAGTAGACTTAAATGGCCTCCCTATCCAGCTGTCAGAATTTTCCAGTGCTAGATTTATGTATAGGCTAAGTAGGCTGAAGCCTAGGGCCTCTAAACCTTTACCTTTTCATATGACTTATTGTATGTTAGGGTTCTCTCTCCAGCTGCTGCAGAGAGGGAGGGCGATTCAGGAGTGTTGCTGTTACTTATAAAATAAAACACATTCAAAGGTTTTAATAAAAAGTAATCTTTATTAAATAGTTTTCCAGATGAAATACATTGTTTCTGAGAGATTTGCATGGGGAAATCTTTTCGATTCCTCAATAATAAGGGGCAGTGGGGTGAGGGAGGTCAGGGCCACATCCACACCATTTCATGTGCTATGAAGCCGCTTTAAACACTCATGGCTTCTTCCCCCAAGGAATCTGGGAGCTATAGTTTGAAAAGGGTGCAGAGAGTTGTTAGGAGACCCCCTGTTCCCCTCCAAGAGCTACAATTCCCAGAGTTCCCTGGCAAAAAGGGAACTCTACCCCTACCCCTACCCCTGACGCTAACCCTAATGCTAACCCTTAACCCTTAACTAGAGCTACAATTCCCAAAGTTCACCGACAAGAAGGGAACCGGAACCCTAACTCTAACCCTAACCCTACCCCAACTCAACCCTGCCCCTACCCCTACCCTAAGCCTAAGCCTAAGCCTAACCTGCCTAAAAACACTCTGTCCCCTTAACCACCTACAGTTCCCAGAATCCCTGAGGGGAAGCCATTCCTGTTCCTCCCTCATTTTCTTCTCCCCACTGCCCTATCACTTGCAATGCAGCAGATGTCCGCCTGCAGTCTCCCTTCAAAGCTCCTTCTCTCACGGCCTTGTCCATTGCTCACTGCCAGTATTTCGCATTCATTTCTCCGATGTAAATAGGGATGTCCTGTGGTTCTCTTCATGACTTTGGACTTGGGGAAAACCTCACCGGCTCCGGACATCCAGAGCTGAATATCCATCACCTTCAGGTAGCGATCAGCCGCCAAAACACCCTCCCCCAAGTTGTGTCTATATCTGTGAAGGCTACATCGGACACCCAAGGGGGCAGGAGGGGGACATTTTTCAGCCCAGGGGCTGCATTTCCCTCCACATAACACTTGTCAAAAGCACAAATGAACAGAGCAAGGAAAGCAAGCCTTATCTTTGCTGTTCAAGGAATGGCATGCAGAGAGAAAGTTAGCATCTCAGTAAAAAAGCACTTTTTCACCAATCAGTCAATCAATCAATCAATCAATCAATCAATCATTTATTGTATTTGACTAAAAGCCATTACAGATCCAGTTACAAAAGCATCAAACCCAAAGACCCAAACTATAGCTCCCAGATTCATTTGCTCTTCCGATATCTGGGCGCTCCTTTTTTCAGCTTGTCATAGTCTGCATTTTTTCTGCTAGCATGGTTGGAAACGATGAAACCCAGCAAGCTTGAAGCAAGAACCAAAGGAAACTACGCCCTCTAGAGCTTGAACGAGTTTGTTTCCTCTCTGCAAGGCAGGCCAGGCTACACCTCTCTGGGGTGCATGAAAATATGGGCCCTTGTTTGCCCTCTGTGCAGCTCCACCACCGGGAATGGAATAAGGAGCCCCGCTTTTGAGGGAGCTGCCTAAAATGTCTCAATGCGTTGGAGGTGTCCAGAAATCTTTCCATTGGCCTCCCCTCACCTGTCCCGCCCCCACCTGAAGTTTTGACTGCATCATTCCCAGCTAGCACAAACCCTCTTGTCTTATTCCAGCACAGCTCATGGAATTGTAGTCAAGCAAGATCTGGAGTGCTCCAGGTTCATCCAAGCTGCCATGAAGTAATGCAGAATCCAGGACTGGGGAAACGGGCCCTCCAGATATTGTCAGACTGCAACTCCCATCAGCCTCAGGGAGGTCAACATGGCTAATAGGCAGTGATAATAGGAGTGGTAGCCCAGAAACATCTGGAGGGCCAACACCTGGTATGCACTCGCAAAACTGCACATGTTATTCTGTGGACATCAAGAACTAGGTTTCCTGGAGTTTCAATTTCAGGGAGTGTCAGGTGCACAGATTGCCAAAACCTAATATTTCAGTGGTAGAACACCTGCTTGGCATGCAGAAGGTTCTGGCTTCTAAGCCAGATGCACGCACAGCTTGAACCATCACGGGCTCTTTTGCCTCCACCCCTTTTCAGCCTTTTGGATGGAAAAGAGTTGTGGCTTAGCAGTGTTTTCCAAACTTGGGTCGCCAGCATTTTTTTTTTGGACTACTACAACTCCCATCATCCCCAGCTAGCCAGACCAGTGATCAGGGATGATGGGAATTGTAGTCCAAAAAAACAGCTGGAGACCCAAGTTTGGGAAACACTCTGCTAGAGGATCTGCTTTGCATGCAGAAGACCCCAGGTTTAGTACCCAGCATCCTTATGTAGGACTGGGAATGTCTGAAACCCTGGAGAGATGTTGCCAGTCTGTATAGACAACATGGAGCTACATGCACCAAGACTCAGCAGAAGACAGATTCCCATGTCCCCAAAATGGGAATCTAGGCAACACCTTGAGTATGTGAGGGGAGTGGGTGTCGGTAGCTGACACCACCACCTTCAGGATTGTGGTGGCTAAAGTCTGATCAACTCCCTGCTGCTTTTTTAAAAAACTTTTTAGATGCCCAAATAACAAACATTTACCGTATTTTTCACTCTATAAGACGCACCAGACCACAAGACGCACCTAGTTTTTGGAGGAGGAAAACAAGAAAAAAAAAATTCTGATTCTCAGAAGCCAAAACAGCAAGAGGGATCGCTACGCAGTGAAAGCAGCAATCCCTCTTGCTGTTCTGGCTTCTGGGATAGCTGCACAGCCTGCATTCGCTCCATAAGACGCACACACATTTCCCCTTACTTTTTAGGAGGGAAAAAGTGAGTCTTATAGAGCAAAAAATATGGTAATTGCTGCAAGCATCTAGAGAATTGAAGATGTCTTTGTTTGGGGGGGGGGTTAATATTAGAAGTGGAAACCTGGAACAACTTCCTGGGATAGGAAAAGGAAATTATTTTCAGGGAGGCATTATGCACCCAACAGCTAAGAGACCTGCAGGCCGTGCCATGTGGCTGGTGAATCCTCCTTACACAATCCTCTTGTGTGTGCCAGCCAGCCAGCCAGCTCTCTCACACACACCCCTCCCACAGGCTTCAGATTTCAGATAACCTGCCATGGTTTCAGATATCCAGATGGCCTTGCAAGGGCCAGCAGACACCTCCGGTTCTGGTGAGGAATACCTCGACTTTGCAGACAGTTCGGGACAAGTGTCTTGTCCGTTCAAGGGCACCGTCTGGCCTGTGTGCTGTGACGCAGAGGTGGGTGGCTGGGAGCTCCCCACTTTAGGCTTTCTCTCACACACAGAGACTGTTCTTGTTTTCTCCTTTCCTCCTCCACCTGGGAAAGGGATGCAGGGAGTGCCTTGGCTCCAGCCAAAAGGCGCGTGATCACATTGGGCGCTGTGTTGATCTGCCGCAGACTAGCTTCCCCAAAGCCAAACAATGTTCAGCCAAGCCCAGAAATTATTGATAGCTGGAGCAGAAGGCGTGGCAGTTCCTTGGCTGGTAGCGCTCTCTCCCCTTCCTGCCCTCCCCCTGCCACAAATATATGGCACATTTTGATCTCTTGGTGGAGAGGGAACAATCTGAACCAGCCTGCCTTAATCTGCTACTCTCCAGCTGTGAAAAACACCCTGCCTGGAGAGCTGCTGCCAGTCAGTGCAGACAAGCCTGAGCTAGATGCACCAGTGCTCTCTGGCTCTATAAAGCAGTTTCCACTGTTCGTTTTAGGGCCTCTGGGTCCATAAGAGTCTTTTTTTAATATAATGTGTGATAGGAATTTTGAGGTGTTAGATATATGTTAAATGTTCATAAGTGTACCAAACAAGCACGTACATAGATCAACACAGGAAGACCAACCTGGAACCATTTTGATTTTCAAACTGTCCCAAACTGACCAAATGTTTTCTCTGCAAGGTCAAAGGAAAATGGAAAAGCCTCCCCATTGTCTTTTCCTTCACAAATCCTGTCTTAAGGGTATGTCTGTGTTTGAATAGGGTGTGAGCCTGTGACCTGGCCCAGGAACTAAGTATTTATCACTACAAAAGACTGGCCAGGCTCCCCAGGCAATCCAATCAAGTGACCTGCCAGACAGGATATAAACAAGGACAGGAGAAAAACAACATTCAAATTTCTGTTTTAGACCACCTTTTCTGTGATGTATATATGATGTTTCTGGGGGTGGTCTTGATCTAAGGTAAAGGTAAAGGGACCCCTGACCATTAGGTCCAGTCGTGACCGACTCTGGGGTTGCGGCGCTCATCTCGCTTTATTGGCCGAGGGAGCCGGCGTACAGCTTCCGGGTCATGTGGCCGGCATGACTAAGCTGCTTCTGGCGAACCACAGCAGCGCACGGAAACGCCATTTACCTTCCTGCTGCAGTGGTACCTATTTATCTACTTGCACTTTGACGTGCTTTCGAACTGCTAGGTTGGCAGGAGCAGGGACTGAGCAACGGGAGCTCACCCCATCACAGGGATTCGAACCGCCGACCTTCTGATCGGCAAGTCCTAGGCTCTGTGGTTTAACCCACAGCGCCACCCGCATCCCTGCTCTTGATCTACAGGGTGGCAATTTCAAAAGTCTTTATAAGGCCTTGCACGCCATTTTTCTGGGTCCCTCCTCTCTCCAGTGGGTGAGGGGAGCACCCTGTTGCAACAGATCAATAAAGATCAAGCTTACTAGCTGCTTTGCTTCTCAATATTCTCTGGTTGGCCTCTGTTATTCTCTCCTACCAATAGGGAACCTATGTAAGGACTCTATATGGGCTCTTGGATACCCCATAAGGGAAAAGGGCAATTTTTGTTTACAACAGATGCCACTTAATGTATGGCCAAAACTTGTCGAGCCTTTGCACCACCTTTGTCATCAGAGAGTCAGAGGCTGTGGCTGGGCTATCATGCGTTTGTTACAAACACACAAACCTTGGAGATAAAAGAGAAGGAAAATAGCAGCAGGCCGAGGTCATCCGAGGAGGCAAACGTTTGGAGAGCCAGAAATAGCAGCCTTTCGCCATCCAAGGTCTTGTGCTTTAACCACAAGACCCAACCTCTGAACACTTTTAGCGCTGGCGTTTACAGAGATGTTCTCCTATTCAGAATGAAGTCATCTCTTCGCCTGACGATGAGAGGGAAGATCTGACAGCTGGATGTGGATGCAGTATCTAGCTAGCAGCTTCCCCATCTGCTCACATCATCAAAGCTAGCAGCTTCCCCATCTGCTCACATCATCAACACACGTGGTGCTTTATGTTTCAGTAGTAGAATCGTCACCACCACGAAAGCAACAAAGCTCCCTGCATCACAAAACTTTCTAAATTTCAACTGTGGGGAAAGGGAAGGGAGCGAAGGGCCTCCATTTTTAAGAATTAAGGGGAATGAGAATGTGCATATCTGCAATTCTAGTGGTTAAGGGCATCTTGGACTAGATACTTGCAAAATCCCCAGTGCCCAATTTGGTTCTCAGTGCTGTATATTTAATTTATTTGCTTTTTGTTTCATAAAACTGATAAACCACTCGATTGCAAAACCTCAAAGCAGTTTACGAAGGGACCGCCCCCAAAAGGCTGCAGTTTATTAATATCCAAAAATGTGTACACCGCTTGGTTGTCTAAACAAAACAAAACTTCAAAGAGGTTTACAAAAAAAAACACCAATAAAATTTTCAATAAGTATAATAGGCAATAATTTAAGACTAATTTGAGTTGGCTGTTCTGTTCAGAGGTGGAACAGCAGCTAGGAGGTTATCACTTTGGAGTTCTCTATGGTACAGCCACATTACAAATGCTATTTGTAATAGGAGCACTACTGCAATCTTTTTTTTGGGGGGGGGACTGTTTATGGACCCACAAATGGGCTTAAATGACATGGGGGAGACAGAGGTTTGGGGCTCAGAGCCACGTGAGATTGGGCCTTCTGCGCTGGAAGGGCAGCCCTCCTAATACTGAATTATGTAAGTATCAGGAAATCCTCCAGGTACTTTCCAGGGATGAAGGGCAGGGTGCTTTATCTGTCAATTTGATGGAATGTGGATACACCCAGCACCATCTCAATTATTTGTGACAGCTGTCCTATCGCATGTTGCTTGAACCGCAACTCTTTTGTTTACTTTCTCCCAGGTTCCAGGAACGAGAAGTCGTTCCTGGAACCTGGGAGAAAGCAAAAGTAAGAAATGCAGCCCAAACAACATGTGATTTTCAACCCCTCCCTGCTTTGTTGGCCTTGTGTAATAGTTGTTGTTGTTGTTTAGTCGTTTAGTCGTGTCCCACTCTTCGTGACCCCCTGGACCAGAGCACGCCAGGCCCTCCTGTCTTCCACTGCCTCCCGCAGTCTGGTCAAACTCATGCTAGTAGCTTCGAGAACACTGTCCAGCCATCTCATCCTCTGTCGTCCCCTTCTCCTTGTGCCCTCCATCTTTCCCAGCATCAGGGTCTTTTCCAAGGAGTCTTCTCTTCTCATGAGGTGGCCGAAGTATTGGAGCCTCAGCTTCACGATCTGTCCTTCCAGTGAGCACTCAGGGCTGATTTCCTTAAGAATGGTGGTACCCCTGGACAAAAACTGTCCAAACTTTTTCTGAGATGCACTCAATTCCCTAGGAGTTAGATTTGTCTGTTTCCCTGCTGGAGTTACTTTGATTTCAACCAGGGCTGGGGAACCACTTTTGCCCAGCTAGACAGATCAAAATGCACCCCCTCTTCCTCAGGACACTTTTGACAGATGGTCACATCGGTCCACTTTTAAATCACCTGCTTTCATGGAATGCCAATTTTTTTACTTGTATCTTTCTCTCTGAATAGTACCATTTGATTTAAAATTCCTTTGCAAAACCTGTATCTGAGAAGTGTTTCCATCTTGTACTAGAAGGAAAAAAAACTGGTGTTCCGATAGGCAAACGGAGAATATAACTAGGTATAGATCTGGTGTAGTTTGATGGTGGCATACATAGAATCATAAAGTTGTACAGTTGGCAGGGATCCCCCCAAGATTCATCTAGTCCAGGGGTCTGCAACCCGCGGCTCCGGAGCCGCATGTGGCTCTTTTACACCTTTGCCGCGGCTCTGGGGCGGATACTAGCGAGGGGAGGAGGCGCATTGTGCGCCCCGACACTCCCCACTGTGGCGGGCGCTGTACTGGCTGTGACGTCGCATGGGGGCGGTGTGTGCGTTAGTCACACACCGTCCCGACGTCACCTTCCCGCCCGCTGTCAGATCGGACATTAAGGTAGGAAACAATATATGCAGTGTTATATTTGTTTTAAATGTCGCAATGGTTTTGCGGCTCCCAGGTTTTTTTTCTTCAGAAACGGGTCCAAGTGGCTCTTTTTGTCTTAAAGGTTGCAGACCCCTGATCTAGTCCAATCCTCTGCAATGCAGGAATCAAAGCTAAAGTATCCCTCGCAGATGGCCATCCAACCTGAGTTTAAAAACCTCCAAGGAGAGGGAGTCTGTTCCACTGCCAAACAGCTCTTGCTGACAAAAAGTTATGCTTAGTTGGAATCTCCTTTCCTGTCATTTGAATCCATTGGTTGAGGTCCTACCATCTGGAGCAGCAGAAACCAAGCCTGTTCCATCTTCCATGTGACAGCCCCTTCAGATTATCTTAAGATGGCTACCATATTTCCTCTCAGTCTCCTCTCCCCCAGGCCAAACATACCCAGCTTCCTCAACAAGTCCTCATAAGGCTTGGCTTCAGACCCTTGATCCTATTGGTCTCCCTCCTCCACATAATGATGAGTTTGGCTTTTTTCTTCAGCAACTACATTTGGAAGTGATTGCCCATCTTCTTTTAAATGTGATTTCCTATTTGCCTTTTAGGCGCACATGGATTTCAAGCCTGAGTTTCTGAACTAAATCCTTACTGGAGCTGCAGGAAGGATATATACCTCCAGGAACTCTGGTAGCTGAGGTTTGTTTACAGGACAAAAAATAGCTTGAACTCCACCTCTATGTCACAGGCCTGTGCCAAAAATATGCCAGTCTGCCAGAATATGCTCACGGCCCACACTATGCCCTGACGTGCTTTTCTGGCAATTTCCAGCTGGAAAAGGCAAGCAGCAATCTGCAGGCAGACATGGGCACACCCAGAATCTCATTGCAGCTGTGTTGATTCTGTATGAGAGCGACATAACATTATTATGTAATGTGGGAATTTTCCTAACCTGGTGCCCTTCTGGACTACAATTCCCAGGGCTGATGGGATCTTCTGTACCAGCCTTCTGTAACCAGATGTTTTGCACTCCCGTCTCTCTTCAGCTTCAGGAATGGGGAGCACGTGGCTCTCCAGATGTTGCTGGATTGGAACTCCTTTTTGTCCCAGCCAGCACAGGGATGATGGGGGCCCAACATCTGGGGGGGGGGGCAGAAGCCCCACTCCTGGTTGAAATTCATACATTACACTTTCCCAGCCCTACCTAAAGATGCCAAGGATTGTAAACCGTATTTAACATTACATTTGGAAAGGCGGTATATAGATAAAACGTGATATTTATTTTGAAGATGAATGCTCTGCCTCAGGTAGTCCTCAGGCCTGCAGGATCTACTTGGGTGTTTTTTTACTAGAACTCTATGTGATCGACTGACTGTAGCTTGGTGCAGAAGACATATGCTTAGAATTAGCAAATTCTCAGGCCAGGAATTTGTTTTGAGCATCAGAACAAATGGAGGCTTACACACACCACCACCACCACAACAACCCATTGCTGCTGGTTACTGCAATATTTCTTAATGTTGGAAGTAACATTTAGGGCGTTGGTATTGTTTTGCCGTTGCTGTTGTGAAACTAGCGGCTCTCCAGATATTATTGACCTGCAACTCTTATCACCGCTTACCACTGGATTGGAAAAAAATGTTAAATATTAGCACAGAGTTATTTCTACCTATGGTGGGTTCTGTGGTCACACCCTGGTAACAATCACCCTGTTCGCTGTTTTAGCCACAGGGTCGCAGGTGTAGGAGCCAGAGTCTCTCTTGGGCAGCAGACGAGGGAACTAATCAATGAAGTGGTGGAGCAAGAGAGGAAGGAAAACGCACTTGGGCGATGAGGAAAACGGCAAAGTGGGCACTAATTAAGAGGTGGGGAGATGATGGCAGGGTGGGCACCAGAAGAGCCTGGTTGCAACCTCTTAGGCTTGCTGATCGGAAGGTCGGCGGTTCGAATCCCTGCGACGGGGTGAGCTCCCGTTGCTCAGTCCCTGCTCCTGCCAACCTAGCAGTTCGAAAGTACACCAGTGCAAGTAGATAAATAGGTACCACTGTGGCGGGAAGGTAAAACAGCATTTCCGTGCGCTCTGGTTTCCATCACGGTGTTCCGTTGCACCAAGAAGCGGTTTAGTCCTGCTGGCCACATGACCCGGAAAGCTGTCTGTGGACAAACGCCGGTCCCCTCGGCCTGAAAGCGAGATGAGCACCGCAACCTTAATTGCCTTTGACTGGACTTAACTGTCCAGGGGTCCTTTACCTTTTTTTTTTACCATGCTTTTTTTTTTACCAAGGGGTGACAACAAGTCCAATGGCCTGTGCCCACAGTGGCCAGTGTCAGCAGCAGCCCACTCCCCGCCAGTGGTTCCTGGCAAATAGCATTCAGAAGCCTCTTGCCTCCCAAATGGCTAAGCCCTCTGTTCACATTGCAGCCAGCCAGGTGCTCCCAATGAGTAGCCAGGTGCGTGTCCTCTTTGCTTGCTTTGGCTCAGTGGCGGGCCGTCCTAGCCCTCTCCTGCGTCCAGGTCAGCAGAGCTCAGGCGGGTAGATTGCATCGGAGGCGGGAGGCTCCACGTGGCGCGCGTCTTCCTCGCCTCCCCGACTTAGGACCCTGCAAGCGCCTCGGGACCAGCGGAGGAGGCGGCTCCGGGAGGCGGAGCTGAGCTCCTTCAAAGGCCCGGCTTGTTTACGCCGCAAAAGCTCCACCAAAGCAGCCGAAGGCAGCGGCCGCAGCAACAACAAGCCAGGCAGCCGATCCGGATCACAGCGCCTCCTCCTCCTCCTCTGCTTCGTCTCCAGGCCGCCGTTCCTCATGACGTCTCGGTGGGCGCTTCTCCTCCTGCTCCTGCAGCCGCTGCTCTTGGGCTTCGGCTCGGCTACGGAAGGTGAGCGGCGGTGCCCGGTCCTAGCCCCGTGCCAATTTCGCCCGCCCGCCTGCCTTTGCAGCGGAGCGGTCTTGCTCGTTCTCCTTACGAGAGGAGCTCCGAGGGGGTCTCCGATCCACCTGCTATCGACGCCCGCGAGGAGCCCCTGACCCCCCTCCCTCCCGCGAGTTCCCCCCGTTCACACGTGCAAGCTCCCCTTCCCCCCACGTGTCGACTCTGCACGTGTGAAGGCAGCTCGCACCAGTCTGCTGCGACCGGAGCAGCAGAACCCTTGCAGGAAAACTCCGCGCTGCCTGCTGCTGCCTTATTTCGGTTAATTTTTGTTTCTGAGCCCGGACCCCAAGCTGGCTTAATCGGGAGCAAGCCTCCATGGGCGCAACGGGGGCTCTGCGGAAGAGAGACTGAGGCGGGGCAGGCGCACTCTGCATGTGCTCAGATGCACACCCAGAGGTGGGGGGAAAGGGCGCACCCTCGCTGAGTAGCGCACGCATAGAAGCGTCTGTGATGGGGGCGCTTGATCCTTAGTGCGCATGCTCCCTCTTCTCCTGCCTTAAGCAGAGCAGGGAGGGCGATGACGTATCTCTTTAATTCCGCTCCGCCGGCTCCTCCCTCTACCCCCCTCGCCATTGGTCCGTGTTGTCTCCAGGCCTTGAGCTCGTTTCCTATTGGTCGCTGCCTTGGGGTGATGTCATCCTTCAGCCGCAGAGACCTTGCGGGGTAAACAACCCAGCCACCCCCTTTCGTGGAGAACAGGCTTAGCCACGCCTTCCTGCACGTGGGAGTCCCTTTTGACTCTGGGAGGGGGCGTGGCCCCGAGGCCCCTCCCCCTACTGCTGGAGGGCATGATCTGGATCTCCATCGGGGCGAGTTTCCAACTTGAAATGCGCAGGAGCCTCTCCCCGTTACAGTACTTTCTTGCGCATGCTTGCCTAGCTCAGCGAGGACCTTGCAAGCGGGGCTGCCAGCCAGCGCTTACCTGGGAGTAAATGCCATTTACCTGAATGGAGCTTACTTTTGAGCAAAGATGCATGTAGTCTTAATGATTACGCCAGGTTTTAATCAGTGGATTAAACGTGCAAATGCATAAAACACCCTTTGTTCTCATAAGAGGCAGAGCGGTGTGCTAAGAGATGTCTGCTGCTCACAAAAGACATTTTCGCTGCCGGCTGAGGGAGGGGAAGCTTCTCAGGGTGGCGCAAGTTGGATCAAGCCAAACAGGGGTGATTTAGTCTAGCATCTTGTCCTCACAGTGGTCAACCATAGGCACATTATGGGAAACCCATGAACAAGCAGGGCCCGAACACTTGCGATTGATATTTGGAGGCATTTATTGCCTTTGACTCTGGAACTCATGGCCACATGGCCGTTGTGGCTGTTAACCCTTAATAGCCATATCTGCCAGGGATTTATCTACATTACCGGGCTTTAAATACATCCAAGTTGGTGGCCATCGGTACCTCTTTGTGGGTGCAAATTGCATGAACTGATTTTTATTGTTTTCAATACTGTATTTTAATTGTTGTTCCCTGTTCTGAGACCTTGGGGTGAAGGATGGGTGGTAATATTATTGTTAAAAATAATAATTCAAAACTATTTCATCATCAAACCTTTTATTAGCATCACATACAAACGTCCATAACATAACAGTACAGAGTTACCGCTTCCCCTGTGGCACAAAACATTTACCAATAAAAAAGGAGAGGCAGAGCAGACTATTGTCACATCTCTAGGACTCCAGGGAGATCAGCTGTCTGCAATGTGTTTGGACGACAGAATACCAGATAAAGATATTTGCCACTAACTTTGTGAGCTCCTGGTCATTCCCCATTCCATTTGGGGATGGAGAGTTGCTTTAGGAATTGCTGGCAGAGATCAGCATATAGTTTACATTTAAGAACCATATGAGTAAGAGTTTCCACCAGGTGGTCAACATCAAAACTATTTGGAAGGGTGTGTTGTCTGTTGGCAGCAAACAAGGCCGGACACTGTCTTTCCTTGCTTTAAAAAGAGCATCCATTCCTTCAGCACACATGGAAGAGGGTCAGTTGTGGGCCAGGCTGTTCCATCTCCTTGATCTGCTGTTGCAATCTATGCCCCCCCCCCCCCAATTTCTGCGTTGCTCCCAGTTTAGTGTGGCAACTCTGGAACTCCCTGTCTATTGACACCAGACAAACACCTTCACTGTACTCTTTAAGGACCTGCAAAACATGTTTTTGTTTAGACAAGCCTACCTAGACACATAGCATGTTAATGTATGTTTTAATCTGTTATTAGTTTATTGCTGGTTGTCTCTTTTGAATGTTTTAACGAGTTGCTTTTACTGATAATTCTATTGTTCTCTTTGTAAAGCTCTTTAAGCTTTCTCTGTGTGTCTTACAATCAAGTGCCTGCATAAATTTTATGAAATAAATAAATGAGTGAAACAGCCCTATGCTGGAATCTTGAGTTCCAGCACTGGGGAAAAATACACCAGCACAAGAGATTTTAAAGCGGCCTGATGCAGGGCTGGTTCTTGGGGCACACACACTCTTTTGAATGACCACCTTCTCACTGTGAAATATTTTGATGCTGACAGTCATTTTCCTGTCCCCTCCAGATGCAACCTCTGCCGTCTCCCCGGCTCTCACAGTCAAAACGGCAGCGACCGATCAGGTTTTCGAGCCTGCCAACAGCTTGCCATCCCGGAGCGAGGCGGCTGCAGTCCAGCCCGTTGTCGGGATCGGCCAGAGGGTCAAGATGAGATCGAACGAGAAGAAGGACTTGGGCACTCTGGGTAAGGACTAAAAGGCTCCCTAGGAATGTCCTTGCAGCGGCTTTGTGTGTAGCCTGGCTCTTTTCAGAATTGCGATGACTAAAAGAGTTGGGAGTGGTTTAGTTCAGGCTTCCCCCAGTCTGGTGTCCCTACAGATGGATTAAAACTCCCTCCTAGAGGGACACCAGATTAAGCAAGGCAGGGTTAGTTTCAAAGGAGGCTGCAAGAGCCTTTTGGCAGGGGAATGGATTTCCTCAAAGACTTGTTCACTGGACATTTTTAAACAGAGGTTAGATGGTCAATTCTTAGCTGTGATTGCAGTGGGTAGGACTAGATGACCCTCTGGGTCCCTTCCGACCTTACAGTTCTATGTTTCTGTGAGGCCAGACTCCACTACATCTGTTGGGTGGGAGGAGGAAATGGGTTCACTCTGCAGGAAGTGGGTAAGGTGTGAAGAACTGGCATCCTGCGAGCTCTTTCTGTAAACAAGACAGCTGTTTCCTGGGGCAGGGTTCTGAGAATGTGAGCCTTCATTTTAAAGCCCTTTAAAAAGTCTTTTAAAGGGTTTTCTAGTTCAAGAGGGAAGTGTGTGTGCAGTACAGGCCTACAGAAGGGCTAGTCATACAGCTTCACTCTGCATTTTGCCCTTTCTAGCTGTTTTTTTTTAGACGAGCCACCCTTCCATTTATATATTACATTACACCCCACATTTTCCTTCACGGAGCTGAAGGTGGTGCACGCGGTCCGGTCCGCCCCCCCCCCCCACTTTCTCCACGCAACAATCTTGTGAGGTTGGTTAGGCTTAGATGTAGTGCCTGGCACCCCAGTGAGCTTCGTGGCTGAACATGGATTCGAACCCAGGTCTCCCAGCACTCTTAAGCATTACACCACACTGGCTCTCATTTTTTGGAATGCCTTGGGTGCAGAAAGGCCAGAAAAAGTGTGCGCACACGTTACTACATATTTATTTAAGTGTTCAAAACCTGCACTTTCTCAAATGTGTGCCAAGGCGGTTGACACAGCATGCAAAGTTATAACTGGGGAAAGCATCCGTTGTGTTGCTTTATACTGCAGGGTTTGGGGGCAGACTGCAGTAGCGTGCTTAAAATGTGTTGCATATGTCCTCTTTCTCTCCCCCCCCCCCCACAGGCTACGTGCTGGGCCTTCTGATGATGGTGATCATCATTGCAATCGGAGCAGGCATTGTCGTGGGCTATGCCTATAAGAGGCAAGTGAAGGGCCTTTGCATTGATCGTTTGTATGTTGTTATCATCTTCTTCTTTTGCATTTATTATATATCCCATTTTTTCTCCAAGGAACTCTCTGTGGGGTACATGGTTCCCCCACCCCCTCATTTAATCCTGTGAGGCTGAGGGAACACAGTGAGTGGCCCAAGGTCACACCCAATGAGCTTGGTGACCCAGTGTGGATTTGAACCCTGGTCTCTCAGGTCCTAGTCCGACACTCTTAAATCCTGCACCACATCAGCTGCCCCTCATGTAAAACATTCTCAGCAGATCCCACCCTTTGGAACTCCCTGCCTATTGACACCAGTCAGGTGCTTTCGTTCTACTCTTTTCAACGCCTGCTAAAACATTTTTTGTTTGGGCAAAGCCCACCCAGGCATTTAGAACGTTGACATATATTTTGATGTGTTTTTTAGCTTATTGCTGATTTTAATTATTTTTAAAAATGTTTTAAATAGCTGTTTTTCATAGAATTGTGGAGTTGGCAGGGATCCCACAAGGGTCATCTAGTCCAGCCCAAAAAATCACAGCTAAATAATTGGATGGCCATCCAACCTCTGTTTAAAAACTTCCAACAAAGGAGAGTCCACTACCTTCTGAGGCAGTCAGCTTAGATTCCAAAAGTTATTCCTACTGTTAGAATCTCCTTTCTTATAATTTGAATCCATTGGTTCAGGTCTTATCCTCTGGAGCAAGCTTGCTCCATTTTCCATGTGAGGACCTTTAAATATTTGAAGCTGGCTACCGTATCCCTTCTCAGCCTCCTCTTTCCCTGGCTAAATATACCCAGCTCCTTCAACTGTTCCTCATAAGGCTTGGTTTCCTGACCCTTGATCATCTCAGTTGCCCTCCTTACTGAAATTTTACTTTTACTGATAAATTGGTTTTATTCTTTTTGTAAACTGCTTTGAGGTTTGTTTGTTTTTTTGCAACTAAACAGTGTACAGTGGTACCTCAGGTTACATACGCTTCAGGTTACAGACTTTGCTAACCCAGAAATAGTGCTTCAGGTGAAGAACTTTGCTTCAGGATGAGAACAGAAATCGTGCTCCGGCAGTGCGGCGGCAGCAGGAGGCCCCATTAGCTAAAGTGATGCTTCAGGTTAAGAACAGTTTCAGGTTAAGTACGGACCTCCGGAACGAATTAAGTACTTAACCTGAGGTACCACTGTATAATTTTATGAAATAATAAAAGAGTGTGCATCCATTTGGAACCTGCACCACCACCTCGTCTGACACCCCCCTTCTCCCTCCCTCCCCAGGGGCAAAGATCTAAAGGAGCAGCATGAGCAGAAGGTTTACGAGCGCGAAATGCAGCGGATCACTTTGCCGCTCTCGGCCTTTACCAACCAAGCCTGCGAACTGGTGGACGAGAACACGATAGAGGTGCACACGAACCAGACCCCCGTGGAGGAAACGCACAATGGCGATGCCCCACTGATGGGTCAAGCGGGCACTCCAGGAGCCTGAGGAACATGGGTGGGGGGCACCTTAGGAGATGCCCTGCTTGCACCCACAACGGCTGAGACTCCTCTCTCTTCTCACCAACGTACGTGGGAGTTTCATTTGTATTTCTGGTGTTTTTTTTTCTGTTCGGGGAGGAACAAGAAGCCTGGAAGAGTCTTGACGAGGCTCTGAAGACGTGCAAGGACTGGCTCACCCATGCTCATCCATTGTTGGGGCGTTTGGGTCCCAGCTGCATGAAACTGAATGCCACTGGACGGTCTGGTGTGGCCTGAGCCTCTTGTGAGGTCCAGCTCTTCCTTCTGCCCCCGATGGAGGGCGGGAAGAGAAAATGCAGCGCCTGCCTCCTGCTGTATAGACTGCACAGTCTCTCTCCAGTCAGGAAGTACCTGTCTATATCGCCTCCTCTCGATCTTCTTCCACGGAGATAGCTTCCACCGGTCCTGGTGCCTGCAGATCTGTTACAAGTGGAGAGCTGTAGTGTAGGTGAGCTTGAGAAGCAAAAGTATTCGAACATTTGAATGTATTTTTATTATTTCCTAAAGTGGAAGGCTGCTGTCAGAAGAATGGCCCTCCTTACAAACCCCTGTATTTAACAAGCACAGAGTTTTCCTTATAGCTCGGTGCTTAAACTGCCTTTTCAAAAACAGTCAAGGAGGAAGCTTCCCAATTAGGAGGGCTTTTTTTTTTTAGGCGGGGTGGGGGGGTGGGCAAGCCGGGCTGTCCCTAGTGAGCTCTTCAAAATCTGTATCTTCTGTCTTACGTACTCCAGGACTTCTAAGGCCAGGGACAGATTCTTACATGCGGGGAGTTTCAATTTACAGCGATCTTTTCCCTTCGTGATCTTTGTTGAGCACAGCAAGACCGCTCAGGTATGTTTCCTTCTCCCCTCCCAGCACACTTTGGGGTTTAGCAGATATGGAGACGAAAGGGATCTCCCAAAGGCATTCTGCAGAGGTCTGTTTCCAGAAAGGCGACTTCAAGGCAACGCTAGGACCACAGGAGGGAAGAGGGCTCTTGTGCTCAAATCCTGCTGGCAGGTTTCCTACAGGCATCCGATTGGCCTCTTAAGAGGGCAGGATTCTGGGTGCAGGCTTATCTTAACATTCTTAGATCTGCCCAGACGGTGCCGGCTCAAGCGCAAAAGCTCCTTCACCTCCATTTCAGAGCCAGCCAATGACTAAGTGATGGATGGCCCTGCTTTGCATTGGGGTTAGTAGTTCAGGGTTTTTTTTCATAGCGCTGGGCCAGTTCCTCTGTAGCAGCTGCGCAAGCCAAGTGGTGGGGTGATTTATGCGGTGGCTTTGTCAGGCAGCATTTGAGGCAGGGAACCAGGATCAAGGAAGTTCTCCTGCGATGCTCTTTGTTAGGCGTAAAGCACACATACTTCTGTTCTGCCAACAAATAACTCACTTTAGCCATACTGACTTTTTTAAATAAAAAAACCCACCTTCACCACTCAAGGAAGGTAGACCAGCTGCTGAGAGTGAAGGTTTCTTGTACACTCCGGTTATGCAAACAGAGATGGGAATTTTGTTTGTTTTTTAAAATAAAGACGTTTCAATGCCTTTGAACACCATTTCTTTGTAAGTGTTTTTAAATACCTCATGAATTATGAAATAAAATAAAAAAGAACTGTTCAGGCTGTATTTGTGTTATTCTGTGGAATGGTCAAGTGTTGCAACTAGAAAACTACAGCTGCCTTGTTTTTGAGTCAGATTGTTGATCCACCTAGGCCACCTGCACTGACTGGCAGCAAAGGTTCTTCCAATAGTCCCAAATTTTATCCACTTAAAAAGCAATATTCCACACCTTTTCATCTCTGGTATTCCTTAAAATGTGGAGGCTAGTGGTGTGGTGAAATAAGTAGGTACACAACCCACACCCCATCAGTTGAGGAAAGGTTTTGAACCCTTTCTCCTACTCTTCAAAATATTCTGGTGAGCTCAGTGTGGTGTAGTGGTTAAGAGCGGTAGACTCGTAATCTGGGGAACCGGGTTCGCGTCTCCGCTCCTCCACATGCAGCTGCTGGGTGACCTTGGGCCAGTCACACTTCTCTGACGTCTCTCAGCCTCACTCACCTCACAGAGTGTTTGTTGTGGGGGAGGAAGGGAAAGGAGAATGTTAGCCGCTTTGAGACGCCTTTGGGTAGTGATAAAGCGGGATATCAAATCCAAACTCCTCCTCCTCTTCTCATCTGTGTTATGGTGCTTTCCCCCCATTTTGCAGCCAACCCTAAAATGGCTGGGGTGAGAAGGGTAGAAAATTTTTATTGGGTTGGAGATGAGCCTTGCTTACGTTAAAAGCAAGGATGCAAGAAGGAAGCTCTGGCCCTCCAAACGTCCAGCAGAGCCAATGACAGGGGATGATGGGGATTGTAGTCCATTGACAGCCGGGACACAGCAGGTTCCCCACCCCTGCCTTACAAGAATGCAGAAGGAAAGGGTAGCTTCACAAAGCAGAAAGGTGGCCACCCTTCCCAAAATGCACTGCAGCAGTTTGGTTGCTGCTGCTCCCCTTCATCTCTGAAAGAAAAACTTGGGGGAAAGTCCCCAAGGCCTCCCCTCTGATGCCCTTTATATCCCATAGCTTATGACACATCTGCAACAGCCCTCAGAACTGGGTTTCAAGACCAGCAACAGCAAACTCTGCTTTGATCCAAAACTGGCCACATTTTGAAGATGTTGGCTGTCCCTTTTAACACACAAGCCACTTTTGTTTCCATAGGACAAAGTTTATTGCTTTTAATTTAGTCAAAAATGTTTTGGTGTGCAATCAACAAGAGTCCAGAATCTCTTGAACACATGATCCAAGTTTCTCCTCTCTTCGTCCCTGTTTATAGAGGGGGACCCACATTTATTAAAAGAGGAAGGAGGGAGCGGAATCTTTATTGAAACGCCCTGGGCCTGGAGACCACCACTGGGGTGGGGCTCAGAAGGCCCAGTGGCTCTTAACCCTTCGAGGATTAAGCCAGATAACGAGTTTAAAATGGCTTGGCTAGTAGGGTCCTCATGTCTTTTTGGCTACTCTAAGTGGGAAAGTGGGCTGCTTGAGGTCCAGATCCATGGTGCTATCTTAGGGGAGAGGACCGAAAGCCACGATGACTGCATGCCTGTCCCAAATTCATGCTAGGTTGGGTTGGGCTTCCCAAGGAAAGTGACTTTGCTGAGGCCCACCAAGAACAGGGGAAAGATCTGGCCAAGTGAAACCATGTAGTGTGTGCACCATCTTCACCAGAGAAGACAGAAGCTAGGAATAGTTCCCTTTCTATTCTTGGTACATCCAGGAAGTGTGTGTGTGCAGGCCAGAACCAGTGGTGTCTTAGTTCCTAAGGGAAAGAGAAGCCTGAAATGGAGGACAGAGGTAGGTAACTTAATCAGGTTCAACAAGGGCTTCAGACTATCAGACCCAAATAAGAAAGTGGTCTCATTCCCTGTCAGCTGCAATTAAATGGTGGCTTGGGAAGTAGCTCTTTGCTCAAACCCAGCTGTTCCACACTAAGAAGCCCCCACAGTCTGAGGCCACTGAGCCCCAAACTAGACAGCCTCACCCTTTCTGTTCCCACTGCAAAGTGGCTCAAACAGCCGAGAGCAGCCTGCTACTCTGGAGCAACCCTTTGTGCTCACTGGAGATGGTTCTTCCCCTTCTGACATGGGGTGTTGATGGAAGCCCAGTTCGCAAGTTGGCTGTGTAGTGTTTTTGAACGTTTGCTTGGAGGTATTTGTAGAGATGAGGAAGAGAAGGGGGATCCTTTGCCGGAGAGAGGCTGTCTTTGAGCTGCTCCTGAAGAACTTCCCAACTCCCAAGAGGTGTGGGGAAGGCAAACACACTCCCTCTCCATGCCTTTTCCAACAGCAGGCAAGGCACCCAAGTTGGGGGCAGCCCAGCCTGCCCCTTCCAGGCAAATGTCTCAGGCTCAGGAACCTTTAAACACTTGCAGTCTTTTTGAGGCCCAAGGCACCACTGTGATAGAGACCTGCAAACAGGGCCTTACAATTTTGTGTTTCCAAAAGCTAGAGAGTGTCAGTACTAAAAGTCACAAGCAGGACAGGATTCTGCTTCCAGAACATGCCACAAATCCACAGGAGGAAGGTAGTCCAAGGTGAGGCGACGGAAGGCAAATGGGTGCCTTGTTAATGTCCTGTGAGGATTCGGAACATCAGCTCTCTCTCTCTCTCTCTCTCTCATATGCCCCTGCTGCCCCACTCCCTCCCCACAGGCAATTTATGGAAAGTGCGCACAGGTCTTGAGGATTAGGTGAGGTTTTCAGGTAGCTTATCCCGGATCAGCCCATGCTGCATGCTGACGTTGTGATCCAGCAATTCCAGTTCTGACGGAAGAGGGATTCCCAGCTCTCCCAGGTACAAGGAAAGGGCTTCAAAAGAATCCTCCAGTTTGGAAAACGGGGGCCTAGGGAGAGAGGAGGAAAGGCAGTAAGTTAATGCTGTCTCTCTACAGATCAGGTCACCTATGGAGAGCAGGAATTTCCTCCAGGCGACCAGAAAGAGATGTTTAAAAGCAGCACACAAGTGACTGAAGCAGGTGTGACCTAGGAAGGACTGTGGTTTAGGGAACCCCCACCAGGCCAACCACAATGGAATAAGACAAAAGAGTTTGTGCTGGCTGGGACCAATGGAACTTCTGAACACCCCCAGTCTATTGTGGCATTTTAGGCTGCTCCCCTTCTTCCATCCCCTGTGTTGAGGCTCCAAGAAGGAAGGCAGGAGCCCAGCCTTTCACATGCCCACGGTGGTGCAGCCTGGTCTGCCTTGCACAGAGGAAACAAGAGCTTGTTCCAGCTCTGGAGGGTGCAGTTTCCTTTGGTTCCTGCTTCACGCTCACTTGACATAAATAGTTCTTTTTAACAGCAAACCGCACTGGCAGGAAAAATAACACTTTAAAAAAAAAAGGGAGAGAGCAAAGTCAAAACAAAGGAAGTGCTCTGTCCTCCGTGAGGGTGGCCTGCATGCAAATATGCCCCTCCCTCAAGCAGAATGCCAGGAACAGACTCCATCAGCCTCCACCAACCTGATGCCCTTCGGTTGTTTCTGGACCACAGAACCTATCAGCCCCAGGCAGAATAGCACCCTCCAAAACATCTGGAGGGAAGCAGGCTGGCACCAGACCAAAAAGAAGCAGGAAGGTACAGAGCCAAGATCTCCCTTCATCCTGCTTTGATCCCTCCAGAGGCCTCACCTGCTCTCTGGCTCTAGCCTGCAGCAGATGGCTGCCAGGGGGAAGAAGGCCGGAGGGCAGTCGGTGGGAACAAACTTCTCCCAGAAGAGCTTCACGTTGAGGCCAAAATCCAGAGTGCGGGGGAGGCAATCTGGATCGGCATACACTTGTCCGATGATCTGAAACAGAGAAAGGAGCCATCAGCGTCACGGAAAGCAGGACTCGGCTGTGTGCTGGCGCCACCACCTGGGGCTGCAGGTGATAGGAAGGAGGAACTGAACCAGATCCGAGGAGGGAAGCCTGGATAGGAACAGGCCCTTAGGAGCATTTGCATGGGAGAGGAGAAAGCAAGAAGGGAGGGCAGGAAGGGCCATGGTAGAACATCTGGCCTTTCAAGCAGAAGGTCCCAAGTTCAGTCTCCAGTGGCATCTCCAAGTACGGCTGGGAGAGACTCCCTGCCTGAAATCCTGGAAAGCTGCTGCCAGTCAGAGTAGGCAATACTGAGCCAGATGGACCAATGGTCTGAGTCAGCAGAAGGCAGCTTCCCATGTTCCCAATACGGAAAGCAGAAGGGGTGTTTATTAATGCAACATGTTTCAGAGAAAAGATTCTACACTTAGATTAGCAGACGAAAAGCAGAGGCAGCGCATTTAAAGGCTGAATCTTTATTTTTCCGAGTTTCTCTGGCCAAGGACCAGGTGAGTAGTAATAATAATAATAATAATAATAATAATAATAATAATAATTTATCATTTATACCCCGCCCATCTGGCTGAGTTTCCCCAAGCCACTCTGGGCGGTTCCCAGTTGAGTGTTAAAAACAATACAGCATTAAATATTAAAAACTTCCCTAAACAGGGCTGCCTTCAGATGTCTTTTAAAGATAGGATAGCTGCTTATTTCCTTCACATCTGAAGGGAGGGTGTTCCACAGGGTGGGCGCCACTTCCGAGAAGGCCCTCTGCCTGGTTCCCTGTAACCTCACTTCTCGCAATGAGGGAACCACCAGAAGGCCCTCAGCGCTGGATCTGTGTCCGGGCTGAACAATGGGGGTGGAGACGCTCCTTCAGGTATACAGGACTGAGGCTGTTTAGGGCTTTAAAGGTCAGCACCAACACTTTGAATGTGCTCTGAAACCCTAACATGCAGAGCAGCTTTGAGGATCCTGGTGGCCAGAGAGGAAGCTCAGGTACCACTTATTTATTCCTTAAATTTCTATACCACCCTTCATCTGAGGATCACAGGGCGGTTTATAATATAAAAACACAAAAATACATACCATAGTAACAAACGAAAACAATAACATCCCCCCAAACAGTATTTATTTTATTAAGGAGCACGGCAACTTCTCACTTCTGAAGTGGTCCAGGTTTACCTCGCATAGCACAATCCCAAAGGAAAAGATGTCCACTGTCTCATCATAGCTCTGCCCTGGAAGAAAAGAAAAAAGGGAGAGTGGCTTTATTTTCATTAAATGGAGAAAGCACTGAGTGTGAATGACAGAACTGGTGAACCAAGAGTTCGCTAAGAGCCCTCAGGCAGTAGAATCAGAGTTTCCAGCCACACAGTCTATTTTTTATTGTCTCAGTGATTACATATGATTCCTGCATGCCTAACTCAGGGCATTATTCCTGGCATTTCCCCTGCTTGGGAGCAAAGTTCAGGGCAAGAGATGGCACCTTGCCCAACGCCATTCTGTTAAGTATCATGGCTGTGGAGGGGACACTGTCAGACTTTCAGAGAGGACAGGTCTACAGAAAATCCTGCAAATTCCTGGGGAAGGACCATGTTGGCTCAGGGGCAGAGCACCTGCTTGGAATGCAGAAGGTCCCGGGACCAATCCCCAATGGCATCTCCTGGTAGGGCTGGGGAAGACGTCCTACCTGAAACCTTGGAAAGCCACTGCTAGTCAGTGTGGACAATATGGAGCTAGATGGACCGATGCTCTGACTCTGTATAACGCAGCTTCTTATGTTCTTTACTTGGGAAGGGCTAGAGCTCAGGGGTAAAGCACCTGCTTTGCATGCACAAGGTCTCAGGTTCAACCCCCAACTTCTTCAGGTAGGCCTCAGAGAGACTCCCTGACGGAATCCCTTAAGAGTTGCTGCTGCAAGCCAGAGTAGGCAATGCTGATGTAGATAGACCAAGGTCATGGTATAAGGCTGACCTGGCCTTCAGCACTGTATTTGGGGACTTCCCTGGCTTTTTTATGGCCCACGTAGGACCAGTCTGGATAGTTGGCCTTGGTGAAGATTTGACGTTTTCATCCCCAAAAAGTTTTTGATTTGAGTTTCTACAGAAATGAGACTGCATCTTAATGTTGTATTTTAATCTTGTTTTTAAGTTGTATTTTAATCAATTGTTTTTACATCTGGTGTTAGCTGCCCTGAGCCCGGTCTTGGCTGGGGAGGGCGGGGTATAAATAATTTTTTTTTATTATGATTACTTGTGAAACTTCTTACCGTTCAGCATCTCTGGTGCCATCCAGTAGGGGTTCCCCACCACTGTGTAACGCTTCTTCCGGTCACTCTTGCGCAGGGTCCGCTTCTTGGCCGATGGCTTCTCCAGGGTGGGCTTCTTCCTCTCCTCTACAATCAGCCGGGAGAGGCCAAAGTCTGCAACCACCACAGTCTTGTCCTGCAGCCAAGAACAAAGCAGGAGGGGCCACTATGAGAGGCCTACTAGTCTGCGGGGATCAGAAGGCGCAGTTTGCCCATGAGCAAAAATATCTATAATAAATGCCCAGGGTCAATAGCAGTGCGTCCCAAAGTGAGCGGTACTACCCAATGGGGAGTGTTGGGTTTACCTGCAGGGGGCAAAGACCATAAAAGGCAAAAGGGTAGTGTGGGAGGGGGGCGCTGGAGGTGTAAGTGACTATTAGACTTTGAAAAGCTGGTATCACTGGATCAAGTTCATAAAAAAAGGAATCAATTAAACTACATAGTTTTAAGTGGATTTGGAATAAAAGGGCAAATAACCTTTTTCTTTTTGAAAGTGTTTTTATTTGATTTTACGAATTCATTCACACTCATAATCACAAATAATAATAAAATTACGCAAGATTCTTCTGAATCTTAAGACTTTCCACCTCCCCTCCGTGGATCCTTTAAGTAACTTTTTAACTGCATATTATAAATCCATCTAATTTACAATCCTCCACTGCATCCAAAATCTATGTATCATTGCAAGAGTTATTTGAAACCTGCCAAAGAGTTCAAGTGTTTACAGTGGTCTTTCAAGTATGATATAAATTTGTCCTATTCTTTGTTGAAGTTTTGATCCTCCTGGTTTCTGATTTTCCCGGGTGGAATAAATGGGCAATTAAATGTTACTGCTCTGAATTTTGTTGTGTTCAAACCACTATTCTGTTTTTTTATTTGGTAAGGGGAATGATTTCATGGAACCAAGGGGCAGTGGCCCCAAAAGTTTGGAAACCACTGGGAGGATCTGGGAGAAGAAAGGAAGAACCACAGCTCAAAGGAAAACCTAACAGGTACTATTTGGGGGGGGGCAAATGCACATTGCTTAAGTCACCACCTGTTCTTGGCCTCCAATGAAAACGTCAGGCTTAAAGACACCCAAGTTCTGAGCAACGGTGCACCTGCTCTTGCTGGGATACATTTACAGCACCAACTTGGACCTATGAGGTCTCTGTGCGCAGAGAGCCAGAGGGCTCCAACTCTCAGCTGTTTTGCTTGGTGGTGGGCGATGGGGAGAGACTGGGGAACTCACCAGTTTGATGAGGCAGTTGTGGGAGTTCAGATCTCGGTGGATGATGGACATCGAGTGGAGGTAAGCCTGTGAAAGGGAGAAGAAGGGGAAGAGAGGCATTTGAACCAACGCTGTTTGAGTCTGGGCACTTCTGAACGTGGCACTTCTGGCTGAAACCACTCAACACTCCCACTGGCCTGTCTCACGGGCTACCCAAGTGCCTCCAAGCCATTGCCCTTCTTATAAGCCAAGGTGGTTGGGGACAAATAGAAGAAGACGCCTTCACCCCGGTATGGCTCCCCTTTATCACATACACAGCCCAACAAGACAATGACAAAAATCCACCAACGGCATACAAATAAATATGGTTAACCTGATCCAAAACACCCACCCACCCCACTCACACATGAAAACAAAGACCACCACAGCCAATCACAAACAAACAAGGCCAACCCCAACCTCTCTCACCACCAAAGGAACACAAGTGAATAGCACAGAACCTGCACAAGCGATGCTGACACAAAACCCCACATATATTAAGTATAATAGAAACATTGCCACCCACCCCCACCCACCTTTCCCCTTCTTCTTCCTAATGCCTCAACAAATGAAATTGGAAAAAAGAAGAGAGAGAGGCATTGCACATACTTTTGTAAACTAAGAAAATATTTAATGAAATACATAAAATAAAATAAAAAGCCAAGGTGGTGGCTGTGCCTGGGGGGTAGAGGAGGCAGGTCACAGGTGGTTTGATCTGACCCAGAATCCAGTCAGACCGACTGCACTAAAAGCCTATGATGCTGGAGACCACCAGGTGTGAGGGGTTCATGTGCAACCAAGAGACCACGGCTGCTGAGGATGCAGAAATGAGCCACAAGCTCCACTGCGGTAAGCCACATGTGTGTGAAAACCGGTTGCTGGAAGCTGCAGGAAGGGAGAGCTGCTGCTACTGTGCTCATGCCCTGCTTTGGGGCTTTCCATTGGGGAATCTGGTTGGCCACTGTGAGAACAGGATCCTGGACTAGATGGGGCCTCTTTGGTCTCATCCAGCAGACAAGCTCTTCTTATGTCCTTATGACAGCCCCTTTGCTTCTCCAGCAAAGGAACACCCCATCGCAACCCTTTCAAAGTCATGAGCCTGGACTGGGGCTTCTTGGGCTGCAAAGCTTTAAGAGGCAAACTCCTGCGCATTGGCTGCTCATTCAGAGGGCAGTTCTCATTTCAGAAAGAGGAATAATGCCACTGTTGCCCCCACCTGGGACAATTGCTTAATGCGATCTAATGGTAGGGCCGGCTCGTTTCTCTCTCAAATGCACCTTTCAATCCCCCTTGCTCAATATCTCGTATTTTTGAAGCCCTCAAGATGGGGCAGGATATACAACTAAGACAAGATTCCAGTGGGCAAAGAGTGTGTGTATATGTGAAGAACCAGGGAACTCACCATTCCTGAGGCAATTCCTTTGGCAAAGCTGACCTTCTGCTCCCAGGGAAATGGATCCTGCAAGGCAAAAAAGAAGGCCCTCATTAACATGTTCCTTAAACAAGCAACATATCTGTAGTGGATGAAAGGCGCAATGCTCTTTTCAAAGTCTTTCCCAGCGTGACATTGCGGCTGTGCCGGCTGGGGCTGATGGGAGTTAAGAGTACAAAACAGCTGGAGGCACCAGGCCTGGGGGAGACTACTTTAGAAGCCGAGAGCTTTAGTGGCCAAGAGCCACTGCACTTTTAGGGTCAAATTTCTCCTTGCTCATCTGACAAGCTGCCTTCACTCACCATGTTCCGGAGGAAATCCTTCAGAGTCCCGCCTTCAATGTACTCTGTGAGAAGGTTCAGCTTCTTGTCCTTGTATAGCACACCAATGAATTTCAGGACGTTGGGGTGATCCAAGCTGCGCATCACCTTCACCTGAGAAGACAAGACAGCAGTCCAAGGGTTTGGGATGCACTGAGACCTCCTTTTTACTGCTGCTGCTTCTTTTTTTAAAGAAAACAAAATAAAAAGTATTTGAAGTCTAAGCAGCTCTTGCAGTCCCATCTGAGGGACTGATGCGATCCACACTTGCTCACCTTCAGAACTGCTGTAGCATCAGGGAGCCCAGGTGTGTTGGCCTTGAAGAATATATATTCCACCCTGCCAGTACAGGTTAGAGCATCAGACTGCAATCTGGGAGACCAAGGTCCAAGCCCCCTCTCAGTCACAAAGCTCACTGGGCACCCTTTGGCCAGTTACTATTTCTCAGTCTAACCAACAGGGCTGTTACGAGAGTACAATGGGGAAGCAGAGAACTGTGTGTGACACCTTTGGGTTCCTTGGACAAAAGGTGGACCATACATGTAAATAAAATAAAAATGGAAATGAAATATAAACATGCAAGAAAGTACATAAACAAAACCGGGTGGAACTGTGGAGTGGTAAGTTTGATGGGAAACAGGAATTGGTGTCTGAAGGGTGCAGCCAGAGGCTTAACAATGTCATCACTGGCAAATGGAGGGGCACTGGGGCCTCACTTCAAGCAGCAACATATTTCTTTTTTATATATAAATTTATTTGTTTTTTCAGATTAAAATTTTACAGTCACATATCCAACATACAACATAGAAACAAGATTCCAAAGAATCTCCTGGACTTGCTTCCTCCCCCCTTTGTGTGTCCTATTGTCAATTATTTCCTCCTGCGTCTTTTATAATAATCCAAATCTTTTACCTCTCCATTGTGTCCAAAATTCACCATTAAACTACAAGTGTTATTCCAATCCTACTAATGATTTTAACTGTTTACAATGGTGTTTAAGATAAATTATAAATTTTCCCCATTCCTTATTAAAATTTTTGGTCTTCCTGATTTCTGATTCTTCCGGTCATTTTAGTCATTTCGACATAATCCATCAACTTGATCTGCCATTCTGCAGCAACACATTTCAGCCCAGCTCTAGCTCTCCAGAGCGATGTGCAACATTAAATGCAACCCAAGTCTTGGGCATTATCTGCACGGCTTAAAAGCCAAAGAGGAGCAGCACATGACATAATGTTCTTTTGCTCTCTTCTAAGTGGGCAGCCATGGGGTGATCTTCCTGAGCCCCCATTCCTATCGAGGCTGCTGTATAGCAGGACAGCTTAATGCACCCGTTTCAGGACCTGCTTGAAACGGCTGTGCCTACCTCTGTCAAGAAGGTCTTCTGCGTTTCCTCGTCACAACGGATCAGCTCCTTCATCACCATCACTTTCCCTGTTGCTTTGTGAGTCACCTGAACAGCAAAAGTGAGAAGAACTTAACACGGCGCTTCTAAACCGTTGCATGATCTCACTGACCCTTGCAAGATCTCCGTAAAGGGTCACTGGCAGCAGAGTGGCTTCCCCAGGCCTCTTAAGGGTTGTACTTGGCAGAATCAGGAAGGAGCTCTGCACTCCCACAGACCTCCTGTCCTCTCACACTTGGGAATTAACACATTATCCCCATCTTGATGCCTTCAGCAGTGAAGAGCCGCTATACTGTCATTTATGATCGCTATCATTTTTGTTACTGTTAATAGTATTATTTCAGTTCATTACCTGCCCTTCACCCTAAGGTCCCAGGGTAGGTTACAACAATTTAAAACACAACATTTAAACAACATAAAATTGCAAAAATAGGGTGGGTCCTAAAATTAGAGAGGTAGTGTGGTGTAGCACTTAAAGAGTGTGGAACTAGGGTTTGGGAGGTAAAGGTAAAGGTACCCCTGACCGTTAGGTCCAGTCGCAGATGACTCTGGGGTTGCGGCGCTCATCTCGCTTTATTGGCCGAGGGAGCTGGCGTATAGCTTCCGGGTCATGTGGCCAGCATGTGGCCAGGTCATGTGGCGAAACCAGAGCAGCGCACGGAAACACTGTTTACCTTCCCACCGGAGCAGTACCTATTTATCTACTTGCACTTTGACGGGCTTTTGAAACCTCCCACTCTGCCACGAAGCTTATTGGGTGTGACCCTGGGCCAGTCACTCACTTTCAGTCTACGCTACCTCACAGGGCTGTTGTGGGAATTAAATGAGGGGAGAACCACGCATGCTAACTTGAGCTCCTTGGAGTAAAAGACAGGATATAAACGCAATAAATAAATAAAGAAAGAAAGAAAGAAAGAAAGGATATACATATCAGGTGTCTGAATTAGATTCTGAATTAGAAGACAAGAAGAGGAGGATGTCACCTGCACTGGGCCTGACTGGTCAAGCACATAATGAGGGGCAGCAACTTGCCTGAGACGTTTGACACCCCTGTGACTGAAACAGAAGACAACGACAACCAGCAGTCCTAACCAGTTTTATTTGTGATACATAGTTTTGTTTTGCTTTTATCTAGGTTTTTTTTTTACTTGAATGTTGTTTGTATTGTTATTGACTTTATGTAAACAGCATAGTTGTTGCTGTTTTTTACTACAGTAAGTGGTATTACATTTTTTGCAGGTAATCTAAAAGTCCCCTGCTTTTCCAAAACAAATGTGCAGCAGCAGAGGAGAGGAGGGTGCTAGGTTGTTGTATGTCTCCTTTAAAAGGAAGGCCATGCAGAAAGGACGTTCAGAAGACAAGGGCAAGCCGGATGCTCCCTCCCCCAACCAACACAGTAGCCTTGCAGAATGTGGAGTGTTGGGGCGTTGGCTGCAGCCTGGGGTGGGGGCAGCGTGCACAAATCGGAGGCCAGAGTTAGTCTGAGGGCTCTCGCCTGAGTGGGAATGCTCATCACAAGGCATGCTGCAATGATAGCATTGGGCTTACCTGCACCTGCTACGTGCCTACCCACAGAAGAGGAAGGAGAAGGAGAAGAAACAGGTTCATTAGTAAGAAAAGGTAAAGAAGAGCTGGAATGTGGCATATACCCAAGGATGCAGGCTGAAACAGGGCATGGTTATAAGCCCCTTCATAAGAGCTTGCTGGATCAGGCCAATGGCCCATCTAGCCCAGCATCCTGCTCTCACAGGGGCCAACCAGATGCCTGTGGCAAACAAGCAGGAAACAACCACTAGAGACCCCTCCCCTCCTGTAGTTCCCAGCAATGGGGATTCAGAAACATTGCTACCTCCAGCTGTGGAGGGCAGAGCATAGCCGTCGTGGCTGGTAGCCATGGATAGCTCTCGTCTACATGAATTTCCCTAATCCTCTTTTAAAGCCATCTTGGTTGGTATCCTTCACAGCCTCCTGTGGCAGTGAGTTCCACAGGTTAATTGTGCGCTGCATGAAGGAGCACTTTCTTTTCTCCATCCTGATTCTTGCTTCCACATTGTGCCAGAGTCGAAATATAGGACAGGCTATCCCCAAATCAGAACTCCAGGTGTTCTGGAGGATGGATGAACTCAGCCTGAGAAGCTGTGGTCCAACAGGGCCACCTTTTTCCTAAACAGGAGAACGGGCTCAAGCACAAAGTTTTGACAGAAGATGAAATGATTGGCAAACAGAGCATCGGTGCCGAAGAAGCTTAGCTACAGCTACTCAGGCTCTTGCACCCCAGATCAGAATGAAGGTGGGGAGAGCCAACTTAAAACTCTGCAGTCAGAGATGCTTAGGAAGTTGCCTTATACTGCATCAGACATTGGCTCATCAACTTCAGCACTGTCTACACTGACTGGCAGCAATGGCTTCAGGGTTCCAAGCAGAAGCCTCTCCCAGCCCTACCTAGAGATGCTGGGGATTGAACCTGGAACCTGCTGCAAGCAAAGCAGATGCTCTAACAACCACTGAGCTATGGCCCTTTCCCATTCAGTGTCAGCTGCACCAACTTCAAGGACAGCAAAAGGAACAGTGAAACAATTGCTGGGAGAAACCTGATGGGACAAATGATGATCCTGATTAATAGAACACCATTAACGTGAGAAGCAGACATGCCCCATTCCTGGGGGTTCTGTTGGGAGAGAAAGGTAAGAGAGTATCTGCGACAGTTTCCTCACCTTGATAGCCTGGCCGAAGAAGCCTTTTCCCAAAACCTCCCCGTGGATCAGATCACAGGGGCGGAAGATCTGCTGGGAGCCACTTGTGGATGAGCGGAGCGATTCAGAACGGCTGATATCCCGGCTGAGGAGGAGTGGTTCCTTTGGGGAGCTGGGGCCAGGGGACTTGGAGATGCTGTTGCTTCGCCTGGAGTGGAAGACGCAACCAAGGTTAGAGCTTTTGCTGGAAGTCCAAGTTGCAGGCTCCCTGTTCTCCAGCTCATTGGAATGGGAGGAAGAGATGCACACAAAGCACACCTAGGTTCGCCAGACCACGCTCCATAATAAATGAACATGTGTAACAACAGTATAAAAGAAGCCACACTGTGATCGAATTCAAGGCTGCATTTAGTACGCCACACAAAGCGAAATCAGATTGGATGCACTGTGCCGTGATCACAGGAGGGGGGGCACTTAAAAAAACACATTTATTATTATAAAAAATATTTACATACCGCTGTTTCATAAAAAACGTACTACAGTGATTTACAACAGTATCATGGAACCAAGTTGTTCAGGGCTTTGTAAATCTATATAGGAACCTTGAACTTTTGTCCTGGGGGCATTCTTGTCAAAGTTGATGTGACTTATGTCTTGGTACCAAACTTATCCAATATTGTCCTTATTTATCACAGTTACAAACCACTGTATTCTCCAAGGAGCTCAATGTGATGTACTGTCAGGCTTGAGGAATTCTCTCCCTCCCCCAATGGTTTCAAGAAGCAGGGAAGAAACAAGAAGGCTCATGATTTATTCAGCCATTACGGCAGAAGACAAAGAATCCAGTCCTTCCTCCATGATGGAAGGCGGAGGAGCCAGAGTGAGCAACTCCCTCTTTCACAACAGCATCTGACCCTATGGTGGCCCCCCATGGTCAAATGCCTCTGTGTCCACTGCTCTTGCACCCTTAATGAACATCGCATTCTAGGGGACGGCGGATCATCTATGCTGTCTAATGAAGTGTCCGCTGGCTGCTCTGTCTCTCCCCCCTGCTTCTCCTAACACCTCATAACTTAGCTGCTCGCTTGTCTCTGACTTGTTATCTCCCTCATAGTTTGGCTGTAACTCAACACAACCTCCCTCAGCTACAGGAGAAGGGGTAGGGGGTGATTGCCACCATTCCTCTTCCTCTTCATTCCAGTCCCTGACATGTACATAGTTCTCCCTCTCCTCATATGATCACCACAACAACCCTGTGAGGCAATGACTGGCCCGTGGTCACCCAGGGAGCTTCATGGTTGAGAGGGGATTCATACCCTGGTCTCCCAAAGTCCTCGTCCAACTTTTGCACTGCACTGGCTCTTAGTAGTCCTTAGCAGCAAGTAGGGCAGGAGGCAGGAATATGTTGGATACACGCATTAGAGTAGCAGGCCTTCCCCAAAATGGAATCTTCCAGATGTTTTGGTCCACAACTCCCATCAGCTTCAGCCAGCGGAGAATACTGCAGTTCAAAACCGCTGGAGGGTGCCAGGTTGAGAGGAGCACTGTATTAGAGGGGGTCAGCCTAAATTCCTCTAGTCCTACCTCCTGCAAAGTGAAAAGCTATATAGCCAAAATAAAATGATAGTTGGAAGTCAGTAAAAATTTTGGGGGTAGCCTCCCCTGGCCTTGGTACCTGAGGGAGCGACGCCGCAGCGTTCCTTCCAGGTTCTCCTTCAGGTCCAGAGCTGATATGGGGCAGGGAGAAGAGGGCTTTTTCGTGCGCCCGGGCATCCGGGCATCCAGACGCAGTCTGTCGAGGCGCTGAGAGACGGGGTCATGCTCGATCAACAGCTGGAGGGTTTGGCTCGTCTTGCGAATCAGATCCTCTATCTGAGAAGTGAACCCAGGAATAAGGAAGTTGCACATTGAAGGCGAGAGAGACCTCCAAGGGAGCATCTCCAGGGGTCATTCAAACAGAAAGTTGTTGATAGCTCAGACATCCTGGCATTGGTAAACTAACCTCACACAAAAACCTCAACCTTTGCCTCAATTCAACCTACAAGAGGTTTAAAGGGGACCCCTGACCATTAGGTCCAGTCGTGACCGACTCTGGGGTTGCGGTGCTCATCTCGCTTTATTGGCTGAGGGAGCCGGCGTACAGCTTCCGGGTCATGTGGCCAGCATGACTAAGCCGCTTCTGGCGAACAAGAGCGGCGCACGGAAACGCCGTTTACCTTCCCGCCGGAGCGGTACCTATTTATCCAGTTGCATTTTGACGTGCTTTCGAACTGCTAGGTTGGCAGGAGCAGGGACCGAGCAACGGGAGCTCACCCTGTCGCGGGGATTCGAACCGCTGACCTTCTGATCAGCAAGTCCTATTCTCTGTGGTTTAACCCACAGCGCCACCCGTAAATCAGGACGCAGGTTTCTGTGACTGTCCACAGTTAATTATGTAATTATTGCTGTCTCTGTACTCTCTGCATTTCTTCTCCTCACTGCTTACAACCCTACACCAAACCATGTGTGCATATATGCCTGCAATATGCTGATGACCCACAGCTGTACTTCTCCTTTACATCTGAAGATTTGGCAGTGGATGTGCTGGACCATTGCCTTGCCTCATTAACGGACTGGATGAAAGCCAACAAACTGAAGCTCAATCCAGCTTAAGACTCAGGCACTGTTAGAGGGGGGTTCCCTAGAATGGATGGATTGGATGTTACCTGCTCCTGACAGGGCTACGCTCCCTCTGAAGTACATAGCTTGGGGGTACTTCTGGAACCCTTGCTTTGCTTGAGGTTCAGGTGGCCTCAGAGACATGGAGTGCCTGCCATCAGCTTCGGCTGGTGGCCTAGCTGTATCCCATTTGGACAGGGATAGCCTAACTTCTGTCGTCTATGTATTGGCAACCTCTGGGTCAGATTACTTCAACACGTTATACATACGGCTGCCTCTGAAGAAAGTTTGGAAACTTCAGCTGGTGCAGAATTTGGCGGCCAGGCTGCTCGCCAGTAGAAAACAGTTTGAGCATATTATACTGGCCTGACTGCACAGGCTGCCAATTAGTTCATGGGCCCAATTCAAAGTGCTGGTTTTGACTGTAAATCCTTTAACAGCTGGAATTAGTGCAGTTACAGGTGTCACATAAAACCAATTCTGCATTTTTAAGAACTTGATCTTTTGGCATGACAGCACCTACACTTCGGAACTCCCTGCCTATTGACACCAGGCAGGCGTCTTCACTCTTTTTGGCACATGCAAAAAACATTTTTGTCTAGGCAGGCCTACCCAGTTGTTTAGAAAGCTGATTTGAGTTTTAATCTGTTTTCAGAGTACTGTTAATTTAACTTTTCGATTGTCTTGAATTATTGTTAATTCTTCTCAACAATTTTATTGCTTTATCTTTTTTGTAAATCGCTTTGGGGTTTTTTTTTTACAATCAAGCAGTGTATAAACATTACAAAATAAATGAACAAACAAATAATGCACCTGACAAAGTGGCCCTCAGTCCACGAAAGCTTATTATGCGCTAATAAATTTTGTTAGAATCTTGCTGCACCTTAAAAACCTACGTTGTTCAAACTGTTTGCAGTAGCCCATATTCCAGTGAGGGGTCTTGTATTTATGCCACATACGAAAGAGAAGGAATTGCCCACAACTCACAAATGTGAGAACTTTGCTTACGCCTTGAGATACATTGAAGACAACTGAGGGACCAGACCAAAGGCCCCAGTGGCTAAGAAAAAACAACAACACTGCCTTATACCCAAGTCTATTGGTCCATCTATAGTGCAGAGTTGTCTACTCCAGCCTTCACCAACTCCCATCAACCATACAACACAGGAGTTGTAGTCTAAAACACCTGGAGGACACAAGGCTGGCCGACTGGCACCTGCTCTCGCAGAGATCTTTATAGCAATGCCATGGATCAATCCTGAGCCCTTCTGCATGCAAAGCATTTGCACCAGCCCTGAGCTATTCTCTCTTCTCCATTCTGTTCTATTTCTCAAATCACCAGGAGCAAGAAGTGAACTTAAAAAATATGTCCAGGCCGTACCTCTTCTGTTTGTAGTGTGCGAATCGGGGTCCCATTGATCTCCAGGATCTTGTCTCCAGGGTGAATAGCGTTCTGGACATCAGGACTAATATGCAGTCGGTTGACTCTATAAACAAAGAGGGAGGGTCATGTGACAGCAGAACTATTTTTTTTTTTTTTGGGTCTTCAAGGAGTAACAACATGAATTGCACTACTCCAAAGACCACGGAAGAGTGAAACTTCCATAAAAGTGCAGTAGCCAGTGTTAAAATTAACAAATAAATTACATATTATCCTTAAAATAATCGGAGTTTTGCTTATAAAACAAATAAACATGACTAAGAGAAGAAAAATATAGAGAGGGGACATTAGGAGCTTGTCAGGATACATTTAGCACTCTGATGTCTTCATATCTCCATGACAATTTAATGAAATAGGATCCTAGAATTGTAGAGTTGGAAGGGACCACAAGGGTCATCTAGTCTAACCCCAGGCAATGCTGCCTATAGTCATCCCTGGGTGGGCTCTTCCCTATTCTCTATTATCAGTCACATCCTCCAGTACTGGTTCCTCACAGACACACCTTCTACCTTGGACTGGTTTGCCATTAGATCTCCCCCAATTCTATCATAGATTCCATTTGTTCAAATTGAGAAAAAGCTTTCTGATATTCCACTGTCATAGAAAATAAGTATTTTTTCAAATTGGTGCTGAAGTTTTACACTTGCTAACCATTTCGCTGTTCTTGAGGATGTGAGGGCAGTTATGCCAGTTTGTATTCCTACTTCCAAAACTCTTTATTTAAAAATATTTCTAGTGACATTTCCCAGTGGATTCAGTGCCTGTAAAGAGAATCCAAAATATCTGGATAATAGTTCTGAAAGTTTTGCAACAAGAAGTTTCCTAGACTGTTTGACCTCTGTTCCTCTAAAAACATATCAGGAAACCTGTCTTTCATCAGCTGATTTCTACTACACCAGTAATTTATCACCCTGACATAATTTAGACCAGAAACCGTTTCCATGCCTGATTCTGCTCTAATTAAATAAGCTGGGGTAATTTTTGAAACCCCTAAAATCTCACACACAAACAAAATGGCTTTGAACTCTCAATTTTAGTAAAATCTGCAATGCCCCAAATTTTCACAGCAAGAATTCATATCAGTCTCATTGTTGCTTTAAAAAAATATTTTAATCTGTCACAATGACTATCCCTGGTTATTAAAAATTCAGCAGTCTGTTTAAAGATTTAAAGCAGGCTATTTGTTTTTCTTTATTTGTAAAGTCCAAGGTGCTGAGGCTGAGAAGGTTATGGTAAGGTAACTGGGAGATTTCATCAGCTCTGGCTCTTTAGAATTAAACAGTTACTTGTGTTTAGTTCCCCCCCTTGACTAAAAAAAACTTCAGATTTGACATTATTAATGACTAAACCATTTTCTGGACTGTCTTAATCTTCTCAGGCCCACTTGAGGTGTCAAAAGGAACATATCTTCTCAATAAATACTGTACATTTATCAGTCTCTTAAAGCTTTGGGAACATGATAACTCCAATTGTGCAGAGTCACAACGATACAAAACCAAAGTTAAAAAGATATATATACAGCCTTGAGGGAGACCTTTATATGTCAACATGGCGAAGAGGGAAAAGGAAGAGCTAAAGTAAGCAAGTCTTTTGTATACGATACAATCATTCCCTTTGCTCTCTCAACTAGAGTCTCTAAGAAGGACAAACAGTATAAATGTCCATAATTAAAATAGGCAATTAAACAACACAGCAATTTAATATTGTATTGTTTAACTGCATATTTTAACTACAAGCGTTTATACTGTAATGCTTGTGTGATTGGCTTTTATACTTAAACTTGGCTTAGACGTGTGTTTTGGCATTAAGCAGTATACAAACTGATTTATCACCCACTCTTTCACTTGGACGCTAGTGGCATAGGTTGAGCAGCCACCTTCGACAGCCACCGTGAATCCTCGCTTGCCATCAGTGGCCGCAGGCATGGAGATGAGGGTCAGCGTGTAGGGCAGCTGTTCACACAGGAACTCGGTGGACAACCTCTCAATCATCGGCGTCAGAACAATCTGGTTATGGCATTTGCCACTAAACAGAAGAGTGGAGAACGTTATGCTGGAACTGCCAGATCCACCCCTCCCCTCTCCCCACCAATAATAATAATAATAATAATAATAATTATTATTATTATTATTATTTATTTATACCCCGCCCATCTGGCTGAGTTTCCCCAGCCACTCTGGGCGGCTTCCAATCAAGTGTTAAAAACAATACAGCGTTAAATATTAAAAACTTCCCTAAACAGGGCTGCCTTCAGATGTCTTTTAAAGAGAAGATAGCTGCTTATTTCCTTCACATCTGAAGGGAGGGCATTCCACAGGGCGGGCACCACTACCGAGAAGGCCCTTTGCCTGGTTCCCTGTAGCTTCAGTTCTCACAGTGAGAGAACCGCCAGAAGGCCCTCGGCACTGGATCTCAGTGTCCGGGCTGAACGATGGGGTTGGAGACGCTCCTTCAGGTATACAGGACCGAAGCCGTTTAGGGCTTTAAAGGTCAGCACCAACACTTTGAATTGTGCTCGGAAACGTACTGGGAGCCAATGCAGATCTCTCAGGACCAGTGTTATGTGGTCCCGGTGGCCACTCCCAGTCACCAGTCTAGCTGCCACATTCTGCATTAATTGCAGTTTCAGGTCACCTTCAAAGGTAGCCCCACATAGAGCGCATTGCAGTAGTCCAAGCATTGGACCCCCCTGCCTGCATTCCACCCCCCTGCCCCCCACAGTTGCAGTATGGGCTTCTAACTTCCCCTTACCAGTAGAGGGCAGAGTGCTGCACCAATGCATACGTGTCGCCATCTTCAATGATCACCTTGCAGCTCATACACGCAAAGCATTCTGGGTGGTACTTGTATTCACCAGCCACCTGCAGAGAAGCGAGGTTTAAGCCAAGGTGGAGAGCAGACAAAAGCAAAGCAACAAAGGTGCTTTCAGACCCAGAAAAGTCAAGAGAGAAATCTCAACTGTGCATTAGCCACATCAACCCTTTTCCTGAAACCGGACGGCACACCGCAGGGTCAAACCAAGGTTTGCAATTGCTAGCTGGAGGGGCATTTTGTCACTTTGGGTGCTCCTGGAAAAGCAGGCCTAACTTAAAAGCATGTGAGAGAAGGGAGGAAGAGGAGGATGTTGCAAGGAGTGTGGGTGTTACCTGTCTCACGTGGGGGGTTGTAATGGGTTTAGGGGTTGCTCGTGTGTAAGTTGCCGCCACTCCTGGCTAGGTTACCTGGTGGAACCCTTTCTGACTGGACAGCCTCTAGCTTCGTGGCTGTCTCAGTCGCTGGCAGAATCCGTCAGTGGGCGTTTCTTGAACTTCTTCCAGCACAAAAGTTCCTTGACACCTAGTCTCCGCCTAGTCTCCCTGCGCGGAAGCCTTCTGCGCAGGGAGGGTGTGGGCAGCAGAGGACCCGTACTCTCTCCGCTGGTCTCCGGCGAAGAGTCTTGGAGCCTCCTCTCCGATTCCCCCATCTGCCCCCTTTCTCCACTGGTGTTATGCTGATTTCCTTCCCCAGTGGACGGGCTGCCTCTCTCCCTACTGGGACCCTCTCCGGCATCCCTCTGGAGCCTTCCCTCCACCTCCAGCTCCGATGGCAGTTCCCTGACAGGGGTTAATAGTTAAACTATGGAACTCACTCCCACAGGAGCCAATGATGGCCACCAGCCTATTTAATAAGAGGATTAGACAAATTTATGGTGGAGAGGGCTGTCAGTGGCTACTATGCTCTGCCTCCACAGTTGGACATAGTAACGCTTCTGAATACCAAGTACTGGAAGCCACAGGAAGGGAGGGGGCTCTTGTGCTCAGGTCCTGCTTGTGCGTTTCCCATTGTGGCATCTGGTTGGCTTCGATTTTACTTGTGCCATTTCAACCAGCCTGCATGGTTGAAGACAGGCTGGTTGAAATGGCACAAGTTAAATGTGTATAAGATGGGATTGTACTGTAATAGCATATACTGTACAGTGGTACCTCGGGTTAAGCACTTAATTCGTTCCGGAGGTCCGTTCTTAACCTGAAACTGTTCTTAACCTGAAGCACCACTTTAGCTAATGGGGCCTCCTGCTGCTGCCGCGCTGCTGGAGCACGATTTCTGTTCTCATCCTGAAGCAAAGTTCTCAACCTGAAGCACTATTTCTGGGTTAGCGGAGTCTGTAACCTGAAGCGTATGTAACCTGAGGCGTATGTAACCTGAGATACCACTGTATATGAATACAGTAAAGGTAAAGGAACCCCTGACCATTAGATCCAGTTGTGGCCGACTCTGGGGTTGCGGCGCTCATCTCGCTTTATTGGCCGAGGGAGCCGGCGTACAGCTTCCGAGTCATGTGGCCAGCATGACTAAGCCGCTTCTGGCAAACCAGAGCAGCACACGGAAACGCCATTTACCTTCCCGCCGGAGCGGTCCCTATTTATCTACTTGCACTTTGATGTGCTTTCGAACTGCTAGGTTGGCAGGAGCTGGGACTGAACAACAGGAGCTCACCCCGTCGCGGGGATTTGAACCGCCGACCTTCTGATCAGCAAATCCTAGGCTCTGTGGTTTAACCCACAGCGCCACCTGCGTCCTATGAATACAGTACTGTACAGGTATTTGGGGCTGCGCTTCCCCTAGAATCCACTAGGGGTCTCAAAAAGCATTTTTTAATATGAACACAGCCTCTTGCTAGGGGAAATGAGCTGTTAGCCTGCAGAGTTTCCCCTACAGCAGTTGTCTTCAACCTTTCAAAACTCGGGACTCCACCTTCAGCCCTAACATGCATTTGGGGACCTGTTTCTTAACTTTCTACAGCATCTCAGATTCAGAGCTAAGTTCTGTCTAGTCTAGCAGCCCTAATAAGCTTTAAATCAAGACATGGAGAGTTTCGCCTGCAGTCAGAAGAAAGATACCTTCACTTTGTTCTGAATAATTTTATATATTTATATTAATGTACTGCATTTATATCCCACCTTTTTCTCCATGGAGCTCAAGATGAAATCAGACTGATGCTTTAACCACTACACCACGCTGGCTCTCAGTCCCACACTTCAGTGCAGACTCACTCAACCTGGTGCCTTCCTGCCATTTTGGACTACAGTTCCCACCAGCCCCTGCATCATTCAGCCCAGAGACAATGTTCTACAACTCTGGCCCAATCCTGTGCACAGATATGTTCACACACACACAGGTGAGTGTGAATGAAAGGAAGTGTGTCCTTTCTGCCAGCAATGGATGATGCAGAACCAGCATACTGCAGTGGTGGTTAGAGGGTCAGACTGGTACCTGGGAGACCAGGGTTCAAATCGCCACTCAACCATGAAGCTCACTGGGTGACCTTGGGCCAGTCACTATTTCTCAAGTCTAGCTTACCCTCACAGGGTTGTTGGGTAGATGAAATGAGGAGCGGAAAAACCATGTACATCACTTTGTGGGAACATAGAAACATAGAATCGTAGACTTGGGAGGGACTCCGAGGGTCATCTAGTCCAACCCCCTGCAATGCAGAAATCTCAGCTAAAGCATCCATGGCAGATGGGATGTAAGTGTAAATAAATAAACTGACCATATCACACGACATAGGAAGTTGTTTTAGACTGATTCAGATTCTTGGCCCATCTAGCTTAGTATTGTCTACACTGACAGGCAGCATCTTTCCAGGGTTTCAGATAAGGGACATTCCCAGCTGTACCTAGAGATGCTGCTGGGGGCTGAACCTGGGACCTTCTGCATGCAAAGCAGGGTCTCTACCACTGAGCCACAGCTTCCCCCCGGAAGTACCATGTACATCACCACAATTGTGTTCCTTGTATGAAGAGTGGGATATAAATGCAATAGCAATAACAGAACTGTTTGGAAGCAAAAAGCACGGTCCTTTCGGTTTTTTGCAAAAGGATGCACCTCCCACTGAAAAAATCTTCCATTTGCCAAACCTGTTGAGAGGTTCAATATCATATTACAAAGACGGGAGCCTGAGTCCCAAGAACAAAGGCGAAGTGCCTTACGGCATGCACAGCCTGGAGGCCCAACAGGAAACACTTTCGTCTTGTGCTCCGTCCCAAAACATTTCACAACAAAGCTGCTCCTCCTTCCTACCAGGCCCTTCCCAGAAGACACACTTTGGGGGGGGGGGGGATATAGCCTGATGTCATCATTAGGGCTTTGAATCCTAACCTTGCTCAGTCACTGTATTACAGAGTTGGAAGGGCCTCCAAAGGTCATCTAGTCCAACCCGCTGCACTATAGGAATCACAGTTAAGGAATCCCTGGCAGATGGTTATCCAACAGAAAACCTCTAATGAAGGAAAGCCCACCGCCTTCCAAGCTAGTCCGTTCTGCTGTGGAACAGCTCTTCCAGTCAGCAAGTTCTTCCTAATGTTTAGTTGGAATCTCCTTTCTTGTAATTTGAATCCACTGGTTTGGGGTCCTACCCTCTGAAGCAGCAGGAAACCAACACAGAGTAACTAGTGGAGATTTGCAGTGGCTTCAGATGCTGAGTTTTCCCCATCCTGCATCATCATCATCATCATCATCATTTGTATAGCGCCCTATACCCCCAGGTCTCAGGGTTGTTCACAACATAAAATTCTGGCAATACTCAGAATGGGAAGCAGAAACAATGCCAAATCCTTACCATGACTGGCCCAGTCATCAGCAGAGAGCAGCCGTGGCAAGACTCGCCAAATTTCCTCCAGTAGTCCTTATGGCAGTAGAGTTTTCCATCCTTTTCGTAGTACCAGTTTGTGAGGAGGTCCTGGCACTCGGAGCAACTAGGAGGCAAAACAAAGGATGGGAGGTAAGACCTACATCTGCCCACCTGCAACCCGCCAGGCTATGGAGTAAAGGGAAGTCCCTTTGGGGTGCTCTATGTCAGGCATGTCCATAATGCGTTTGGGGTGCCTAATACGGCCCCTGTGGCAGTTTATTTCCTGGGGTAAAATCCTAAAAAAACCTCCACAATTTTAATCATAAAAGAAGCTCAACAACTCCAACTCTTAAAAAAGCTCAACAACTTCAATCTTAAAAGGTCAACAACTTTGGTCGGCAACCACAGCCCTTCACTTCATCAAATGTGGCCCCCTTTGAAAAAAGTTTGGAGACCACTGCTCTAGGTAGTAAGCAATGAATAAACGCAGTAAATAATACTAAGAGCCATTCAGCTTGCCCAGAGCAGACCCACTGAAATTAATGAGCCTGTCCATTAACTTCAGTGGGTCTACTCTGATCAGGGCCAGCACTTAATACCAACTAATGATAATACCAATAAGAATAAGGGTGGCCACTGCAATGACACATATATCTGTTTTTAAACCTAACATAATAGCTAAACTTTGCAATAACTCTACCAACTTTCCATTTTTTGGTAAGACTTCCCTTTTCTCTATACACTAATACACTACTCAGCACAGAAATAAAAAGCCTGGAAGGAAGCCAGAAGAACCTGGATTTAAGTCTCCAGACAAACTCCCCAGACCCAACCTGGGGAGCTCTGGCTGTTTTGGACTACGACTCCCATGAGCCCAATGCCAGCATGCCCATATGATGCTGGGGCAGATGGGAAGAGTGGCTCAGACCTGTGGAACACTGGGGCTGGAGGATGTTGTAGTCCAGAGTGGCTGGAGGGTACCAGGTTGTACAAAGGCTGTCCCAAAAGTGATCTGCGGATGGGTGGATGAATAGAAGACACAACTCTGAGGCCCGCAAGAAAGCAGCGTGGAGAAGGAAGCCTGAATGCTGAGGTGGTGGTCACTCTCCAAGACAAGAAGATGGCCTCTGACCCTCCCACTGCAAAACTCATGATCCTTGCACCATTACGAACATAGCACCAAGGCGAGGTGACCATGCACATAGAACCAATGTCCCTAGCCCACAGGGCCAGGAGGCAGGTCAGAGTATAACTATCTGCCCAGTGATTTGTAATGCTATTTCTAAGGCAGGTGCATGTCTCTCTCCAACAATGGACACAACATCACCAGGCTCTGCATATCACCACCTCCCAGGTGCGCAGTCTGAACTACTCTCTTGAAAACCCTCCAAGTCCTTCTCACAGGAGAGAGCAAGCTTCCTTTGCCCATCTGTTTCAGGACAATTGCTTCAAACTGTGTTTCATTTTCTGGTGGTACAAGGAGAGGGGATCCCAAATGATGACTGGGCTGTTGAACACTGCTTAGCATATACGAAAAGAAAGCAGTTTTTCACACCTCTGGAATTTACTCCCAGCAAGACGTAGAAATGGACACCCACTGAGATGGCTTTAAAAGAGGGCTAGACAAATTTCATGGAGAAAGGATGCCTATAGCCAGCAGCCACAATGGTTATATGCGATGTTCACTGCTGGAGGCAGTATGTCTCTGAATACTAGTTGCTGGAAGCTACAGGAGAGGAGCTTGCTGCCGCCCTCAGGTCCTGCTTGAAGGCTTCCCACTGTGGCATCTGGGTGGCTGCTGTGCAGACAGAGGGGCACCCTTTGGCCTGATCCAACACTCTTCTTATGGAACCTCCAGGCCCAGAGGCAGTCTATCTAGATTCCTAGGTTCTTTGGGGTGTTTGGTCCCTTTGAGAAGAAGATGCTGGACTATATGGGCTTCCTTTGGCCTGATTCTCCCTGGCCACTGCTTACGGTCTTAAAGCAGCCTCCCCTAGGCTGAATAAGGAAGGGAGTGCTTAGCTACCGGTAATTACTAAGGTGTTTTTATACATAAGCCAGTGGGCCCTGCCCAACTTTTACCCAGATAAGCGAGCTAACCCTACTACAGAAACGCCGCCTCCTCAGCATGCAGCTGCGTGCCTGGAAGCATCAAATCTTGCCTCTCCTTCAGCTTCTAGGCTGTAACTTTAGTTGATAAGATTGACCTGGCAAGTGGGACCAATGAGCAAGGAGGTGCCTATCTGTACAGCGGCAAAAAGGATTTGGAATTGTTAAATAGCTGAGGATAGCCTTAGTGCCTGTCACTCTGAGAGAGGCAAGGTGCTCTACTCTTGGCACTGCACCAGATAAAACAACAGAAAGACTTGGGGAAAGAGAAAGCAAGTAGTTAAGATTCCCACTGGGCTGGATGGTTTGTCCAAAATACTTGCTCGTCAGCATGCAGCGAACCCCGGCAGAAATTCCAAGATTTAGCTCCAGGTTCAGATGCTGGACCTCTGGGCAAGGTCTTGTTTGGGGTGACGCACATGCCATTAGTCACATTCCAAGTAGGAACACGCTTCCTGCAATGACCGGGCAACCATAAACTCTGCTCATCCCTCCACCCCACCCTCCTCCCTTTCCTTAAAAGTGGGGAAAGCAGCTGACTAGCTGGTCCTAGAGGTCTGGGTCAGCCATCCCCAACCTGGTGCCCTCCAGATGTTTTGCACAACTCCCGCCACTAGCCCCAGTCAGCAAGGTCATGTGGGACAACTACTTCCACCAACCCCAGTTAGCAAGGCTGAACAGGTGCTTTTTTCAGTATGTGCATTGAATTTCTATCTGGAGAGAGAGTTTTGGCTAGCCCTGTCATTCAGGGCTCTCCCTACCACTTGTGGGCTCCAACAGGGCCACTATGGCTGCTGGTGCTTGCTCTAGCACCAGGTGCCGAGCAGCCTCCTGAAGGTGCTTCAAGTTCTCCTCCACACTGATGCTGGTACCCCTGGTTGTCACAGTATTAGGAATCCTCTTGGCTGCAGAGCACCCTGGGGGTTGTAGTCCAGGTCTGGCTGCTCAGCCTTTGCCCATCCTCAGTGCCATTCAGATGGTTCAGACTACAACTCCCATCAGCCCCACCATAATACGGTTGTACTGGCTTAAGCTGATGGGAACTGTAGCCCGAAACACCTGGAGGGCACCAGGTTGGGGAAGGTTGCTCAGGACACTGGAAACCAAAGGAGGAGTTCCAGAGCAGCTCTTGTCCACTGAGCGAAATTCTAGGCATTGCAATCTGCTTTGCCAAAGCTGGTTATCCTTCTGTGCTGCTTTATTTACAGAGGTTGCACATTACAAATTCTAGGAAGCTGAGGAAAGTTGAAAGGGGGCTGCTGCTGCTGCTGCTGCAACACAATTCTGGGGGAAAGGTGAGGGGCTGAGGCACGTTAAGAAAACCCGCCCCTTGCGACGTCACGGTAAACAACTCCAGGCAGGGCAAATTCACAGAAGTCCGCCCAGGCTTGCAGAAGCCCAGTGCACATTCCCAAGGCTGCTTCAGAATGTGAGTGAAATTAGGGCTAAGAAATAACAGGTGCTTTAGCTTCACACACAGCTATGCTCTCCATAGAATCACAGAGCTGGAAGGGATCCCAAGGGTCATCTAGTCCAACCCCCTGCAATGCAGGAATCCTTTGCCCAATGTAAGGCTCGAACCCACAACCCTGTAAGAGTCTCATGCTCAACTGACAGAGCAGGATTACAGTGCTGTTCCTAAGTGTTCAAAGCACACCGTGTGAGTATTTCCACAATCATTACAGTCACCATGTTAAGGCAGACCCTATTTCAGATGGGAATGAGGAGTGGCTCAGAAATGATAGCTTGCCTAAGTCCACACCCTCACTCGAGAAGCTCATGGCTAATATTGGTTTAAAAAAAATAAAAATCTAAGTACTTGCTCTCTTGCAGATTACAAAGTCATAGGAAGTTGCCTTATCCCAAGTCAGACCATTGAACCATCTAGCTCAGTACTGTCCACACTGACTGGCAGCAGCTCTCCAGGATTTCAGGCAGGAATCTTTCTCACTTCTACATACAGACTGAACAGGGGGCCTTTTGCATGTGATGAAATAAATGCTTCTGAGTCTGTCCTGTGTCAGAAGCACATTCCTGAAGCAGCTGCAATTAAAGTGGGGGGAGGAGAGGAGCAGGCACACAAGGGGAATGGGAGGCATATTCTAACAGACACTGGATAACATTTATGCTAACTGTGTAAGGGCACGTGTGAGAAACCCTTCTGACTGCTCCAAACTGCAGAACTGGCACTGCTGCAGGTGCTCCATAGTATTTGTTCCAGGTTTGTAAGAAATCGATCCATTAGAACTCACTGTCTACTGACATCAGGCGGGTGCATTCCTTTAGGTGCCTGCTTAAAACGTTTTCATTCAGGCAAACCCATCCAGACATGTTGGCATGTGTTTTAAACTGTCTGTCGGTTCCTTGACTGTTGGCTTTAATTATATTTTGAAAAACTTAAAATACCTATTTTTAACTTTGCCTTCCATTGACCATTTTAATGTTTGTTTTATTTGTTTGCTTTTTTGCAAACTGCTTAGGGGTTCTGTTTACAAATCAGGTGGCATTTAGATTGTTAGGTGAATAAAATGAAACAAATAAAGTAACACACACCATAGGGAGGGATCAAGTCCTAAAAGCAGATTCCCCAAGTTCTTCCTAACCATTTGCATGTCTGCCTTGTGGCACCCAATTTTTTTTATGAGATTCCAACACAATTTACCCACCTCACCACTAGCCACAAGTTTCACTCGCTTCCTGGCGGGGAACAAACCCCTCAAGGTGGGAGTTAAGGGCTTGGCGCCTGGTGCTCACTTGAAAGACAGGCTTAAAACAAGCAATAATCCAGGAGGCGAGGGGGCTGCTTTGGAAACGAAAGAGGTTTATGGAAACCCGGCTCAAAAGCTATACAGTACTCAGCTCATCCATGCATCTGAAATCTGATAGGTACGGCACCAGCTTGAATCCCTCCTACGGTCTCCGAGTTAAACTGGCCCCAAGTCACCCAGCGAACTTTATGGCCACAAGGTCTCTGTTAGACAACTCCTGCCATCATTTAACACACCACACCAGCAAACAAGATGTGAGGCTTCAGGTGCTGTAGGTTGAAACACAACACACACACCCAAATGAACCTGCAAACGCTGCTAGCAACCTATCACGTCTCACCCCACCTTAAGCAGGTAAGAAAGCATACAGACTGTGCCCTCCTACCTGAAAGATTTCTACCAGGCAGGTAGATTCCTGGGTAGAAACACACCTAACAGCCTAGGAGTGGGGCGAGGGGTGGTGGAGAGGAAGCTGCCCCCCACCGCCCACATACTGAGCATGGCTTACCGAAAGGGCTCCTTTGGAAGGAAGGAAGGTGGAGCAGACAAGTAGCTTCCCATCTCCGGAGTGCTGGCTACACCAGCTCAGACGCAAACCTGTTTGACGGCTTCTACCGTGCAGCTAAGACAGCCATGGAAAAGGGTTCACTTTGCCTCCTGCCGATTCGGGTGCCTCGCTGCTGCTGCTGCTAGCGCAGGGGAGTGCCAGGTCTTGGGCGGGTTGCTCTCCGCTGGGATTCCCCTGGCTCTCATGGTCGCAAGGGGAGCAGCAGCCTTAGGAGGAGGCTGTTTCAACTGGGAGCCCCTCAAGGGAGAGCAGTGTCATTAGCCTTGTGCCCGCCCAAGGCTAGAGCAGTTGTTGTCATGCTTCCTCCTCCTCCTCCTCCTCCTCCTCCTCCTCCAGTTCTAGCCCAAGGGTAGAGGGTGGAGGGAACAGGAGGAGGAGCTCCTCTTTTCAGGAGTGAGGTGGATAGTTAACATGATTAGCAGGGGATAGCAACAACTCATTTACAAAAGGTGGAATCCAGGGGCCTGCAAGGCACAAACCTCCCTCCTCCGCAAAAAAACCACAAACCAACGCACCACAGCAGTCCAAAGTTGCAGGATCGAGCCAGTAATCAAAGCTCACTGTCAAGTTGACTCCGTGGTGGCGATGGTGGCTCCTCAACACCATCTTCACCTTTCCCAGCCAAGGAAACAGGACATAACCCTAGCAGCATGCTCCAAAAGGTTTGCCAGAGGCTTGCAAGACACATCTACACCATATATTTAAAGCACATGGTTTCCCCACAAGAATCCTGGGAGTTGTAGTTTGTTAAGGGTGGGGGCAAATGGAAGCTCCCAGGATTCTTGGTGGGGCGGACCCACATGCCTCACATGCGCACTGAATGGTTGGTGTGGATGTGTCCAATCACTTTCACCACTGAATACCATGGCTAATGCAGAGCAGCCAAAGGAGGTGTCCGGACACCACCTGCCTCAACTTTGATGCGATGAATTTCACTTCTTATGGCTTGAGGAGGTGGAAGGGTACTGACCAACAAGAGCCAGCCTTGTCCCATTTGACTTATTGCATGTAGCAGGAGCCAGTTGAGCTTCAGAGATGCTAAATGCCTATCTGGGAAAGAGTGTGGTGGGGGGTGGGGTCCCAGCTGTGACATGCCTGCTCCTAAGGAGACCTGCCTCAGACATAGAAGAGGTGAACAGTTATCACTTAGCAGATAACATTTCCTTCCCAGGCCAGGACATCACGTGAGTGGTTGCCGACACTTTATGATTTCCTGGATCCATTTTAAGTGGAGGTTTAGGCTTGGTTTGGGCGCAGGAGCTGCCTCGGTTGCCCTTTGCTGGAAGACCGGAGGCATTAACGCTCCTTGACCTCTCTGATACTATCCACCATAGCTATCTTCTGGAAAAGGTTATGAATCATGGGGTTGGAGGAGTAGGGAAACAGGTTCTGTATATTTCCCCTCCTTATCTGAACGTCCAATCCCAGGTGATAACAATGGAGGGTTTCTGCTGAACTTTTTGACATTTATGCTTGGGGGTCCCACAGGGTTGTGGGTTCAAGCTGCATGTAGGGCAAAGGTTTCCTGCACTGCAGGGGGTTGGACTAGATGACCATCATGATCCCTTCCAACTCTACAGCTCTATGATTCTACGCTGTGAGATAGGCTAGGATTTGCATTAGTGACTGGCCCAGGGTCACACAGTGAGCTTCACATGACTGCATGGAAGTTTGAACCCCGATCTCCCAGGTCCTCCTAGTCCAACACTCTAACCACACTGGCTCTCAAGGACCTTGCTTCCCACATTCGCCCGCCAGTGACTTCTGGGAAGCCCACAATTGGGACTTGAATGTCCTCCTGTCGTTCCCTAACAAACCATCGCTCAATCCCCTTACACAGATTTTAGCGCTGGGAGGGAGAGAAAGATCAATCAGGTATGCTTCTCAGAGCTGCCTCGTGTCGCAAAGTTTCCTGTGCAGCATGGGTGCCTCTTTGTCCTAAAATCCAGGGAACGGAGGGAGAGAACTAACCAAGGCTAGTGCTATGCCAGGTTTTTTCTTTTTTTAAAATTGTACAAACCTTCAAGTTCAAGCATTCTTCTTTGTTAGCCAAAAAGGAAAGGCAACTGGGAAGGCATATCTAGTTGTGAATGCAGTTATGTCACCACCCATGCCTGTGAACAGTTCTGTTCTGATGGTGCTTCAACAAGGGAGCCCCAGGCTCAAATGCCATGAAGCCCACAGAATGGCCTTGGGCAAGCTGACAGCTCTCAGTCTTGCAACCAGCCTCAGACAGGATGCAAGGATAAAAGAGATACATTGCAACATCCCTCAAGTCCTTGGGACAGGGCAAGGCAGAAAAATCTAAATGTGCGTTTTATAAAAACTAAATCTGTATACTGCTTCCTTGATTTAAAATTATTTAAGTGATTTACAAAGGATTATGTATGTTCCCCAGTGTTCTGACCCGTTGTGCATTACATTATGTTATTCCCCAGAAAATGTTGCCTTGTTGAATATACAGTGGTACCTCGGGTTAAGTACTTAATTCGTTCCGGAGGTCTGTACTTAACCTGAAACTATTCTTAACCTGAAGCACCACTTTAGCTAATGGGGCCTCCTGCTGCCGCTGCGCCGCCTGAGCACAATTTCTGTACTCATCCTGAAGCAAAGTTCTTAACCTGAGGTAATATTTCTGGGTTAGCGGAGTCTGTAACCTGAAGCGTATGTAACCCGAGGTAACACTGTAAAGGACAATGAGTTCTAGTTTAACCCCATTGCTTTTCATATTTGACAAGGCAACATTTGGGTGCCCAAGATGGAAAAGCCAAGCAGTATCTCAAGGTGACATGGGCTATGATGTACCAGGAATTTCTCCTGCGCAAGCCCCCCCTGAAATCATCATTGCCATTGTTTTCATTCATTTCAGTGGAGCCTGCACAGAAGAACTTTCTGCTGGGGTTGCTTCTGCCTGCTGCACTCTGGCACCCGAAGCCTGCTGCTGCAGAGTCTGTTGACACATTAGGGCTATGAAGTTGAAATCCAGATGCTGCAGATTTTTTAAGAGGTTTCCTTTCAGGATAAGGGTAGGCTTGGCGGCAGAGAACAGAAGCACATTAGGTGCTGGGTTGACACCTGTGGCTAAAGTTTCCTAAGAAATGGAGTTGAATTGCAAGGCATGTGTGTGTACACACACACATGACAGCCAGCCACATTTATGTAAAAATAACCTCCGTAAATTGCCAGGATCTTCCACTTAGCTGGGCTTTTAAGCCGGCTGTAAAGTGCAGAGTCAGTGACACCAGGGTCATAAATCCTGACACAGTCCATCTGTTTCAGGAAGAGGGAGTCTTTCCTCCTGACCATTTGCACAGAGCTCCACTGGAAACAGAAACAATGCAGTGAGTTTGCGTCTAGGAATGCACTCCTCTTTTCCATGCCCTCCTCATATCCCAGCCCCTTTTGGATTATTAGTTCCATACCATGAACAAAAACTGCCACGGAATAATTGGCAAGTCCCTTATTGGCTTCACATCCTCAACTTTTTTGGGGTGGGGGGAGTAGGCAGGACAAAGAAAGAACAGCACAGAGTATTTGCCCCAGTGTTTGATTTCATGAACTGAAATTTGCCCCCACTTGATCTAAAAAGATCCATATAGATAATCCTCAAATCTAAATTTATGATGTCCTGCTGTGTGATTAACACAGCACTTCTGCATGAGAGGCCAACTTGCAAGAGCCCAGCGTGAAAACTATAAGAAACGAAGACAGCTAAAAGCCCTGCTAAGAGATTCCATTTGGAGCGTTGGCTTCATGAGATTCTCTATAAACAGGAAATATATTTGTCATAAAACTTGATCTGCTTTTGAAGAGAGACCTGCAAAGCAGCTTCCATACACAAATTTGCACACACAGCAGGAAGCAAGGAAGATAACACTTCATTGCCCAATAAAGAACAAATAATCAATTTAGTGTGATTCGACATGTACTACTTTGCCTTTTTTTAGGTGCCACAAGCTCTTCGTTGTTTAGACATTGATTAGTACACTGCTTATAGATCTTCTAACATTTCTGAGCCACTTCCAGAAAGATTAAGCTTTACCAACGTAAAGCTAAGAAGCTTCTACAGGTGTCATTTCAAGGTCCCTTTGCCTCCAAACACTTATCGTTGCTTCATAAGGTGCTCAGATTATCATCAGTTAAATAAACTCACTTTTAAATCATTGGGTCTTGCATAGGGGGTCTTACATTTCTGCTCTCAGGCTCTTTTCTCATGACTGGATGAGTGCAAAGCTGGCATACATTTGCTTCCCATTTGTTTTGCATTATCTGCACAACTCCCTTTTGTTGTGTTGTGTTTCTCTCACAGGGATGAAGCCCTAAAGGGAGTTGTGCATACTTTAAAAGCACCCCCCCTCCCCAAGAATCCTGGGAATTGTAGTTTGTTAAGGGTGTTGCAAATTGCAGCTGTGTTAGCAATAAACTACAGCTCCCGTGATTTATTTATTTTTGCTGGGAGGGGAATGTGTTTTAAGTGTGCTTTAAATGTATGGTGTTTACACAGCCAAAACATATTAAAAGAAGCAAGAAAAATGTACACGGAAACAGTGATTCTTCTCCTGGGTAACCTGTTCATTGTCGCTGTGATTTCTTGGTTAAGCATGGCTTCAGCCTGCACCCCTGTGAGCTTAGTGAACATAGAAAGTTGCCTTACATGGAGACAGAACCTTGGTCCATCTAGCTCTGACCGGCAGTGGCTCTCCAGGGTTTCAAGATAGAGTTCTCTCTATCTTGGGGATTGAATCTGGGACTTTCTGCATGGTCTACCACTGAGCTATGGCCCTTCCAGCAAACTCATTGCAGCTCATTTCAGGGAGGGACAACACTATTTGACAGCACAGAACTCCAGCACAGTAGAGATCCTCCACCTTTGGTTTAAGAAGCTGGAAACACTAGCAAGGCCTTTCCCCCTCAATTCCTGCCCCAAGGTTTGGTGATTATACTAGTTGAGGCAGTTCCTGCACTTGAATGCACAGCTAGCCAGGCAGCTAAGGATGGGGAGCCAAGGGCAGTCAGGAATGTGCCCCTAAGCTATTGCCATTGAGATGCGAAGAGCTGAAAAATGCAAAGACCACCTCCAGATGCCTCAGGAGAAGAGAGACCCCAGGCACATTCCTTGCAGTTCCTTTGGTGACACATTAACTGTTGCCCAAGGAACAGGCTAGACTGAACCCTACCCTTCTCTCACAAGAGAAAAGCTTCTGTACGTACAAATTCTTTTGCGTGTGTCTGGAGGGGATGGGGGGGGTTATCAACATTATTTATTTATATATATTTAATAGCACTCACTAATAAAAAAGAAAGAAATCTCCAAGCAGTTTACGTAATATATAACGATAATTCAAAAACCAATATAAACATTCACATAAAAATAGTTTAAGGGTGCTGGGATCTGTAGCTCTTTGAGGGGTAAACTGCAATTCCCAGGGTTATTTAGGGAAGGGGTATGTGCAAAAAGACAAATCCTTTTAAAAGAAACAGAAACAATGATCAGCGAAAGAGCATAGGAATAATTAAATTCCTATGGAGCATGGATGCGTGACCCATTAAACTGAGGCAGGGGCTATTTGACAGGAAAGGGAGGCAGAAGCAGAGATTTTTTCCAGGTGGGAGACATTTTTGAAGTCAGCATTCACCCCACTGCTGCCAGACACACACACCACTGCTATATTCATGGCAAAGATGATAGATTTGACTGTTGTGGCGAGAACTGTGAAGGGAACAGCAGAATAAACCAGTGGACTGGTGCCCCACAAGCTAGCTCTACCAGTCCTACCCAAAGCGGCAGACGTGGCTGGCAACAATGCCGCCCCCAAATAATAATAATAATAATAATAATAATAATAATAATAATAATACCAGGTCTTCACACACACTCATGGCAGGGGCAGAGCTGGCCAGGAAACCGACAGCAGACTATCAGGGAAGTGCAACAAGAGCCAAGCCCTCCAGAGCACCACAGGTTAAAACCGTAAATAAGATCACCCCAGAGGCCAAGCTGGCGGCAGCCAGGAGCTCTGCACCCGCTTGCATTGTTAAAGAGAAGAATGCACGCACCAGGAAGTTCAGCTTTTGAAGTGAGCGATTATGAGCAATTACCCCATTATTAAAAAAAAAAAAAATCACATCCCAACACAGGCAGGAAGCATCTCACGTGGGACACCCGGGGCTTATCTTGAAAGAGTGTCAAGCCGACAGGGCCCACCTGCCCCAGAAGACAAAGGCAGAGAAAAGATTGTAAGGCAGAGCGACCCAGTTTGCTGTATCCCAGCTTCAGCCTTACCCAAACTGGTGCCCTCCAGATGTGTTGGACTACAGCTCCCATCAGACCTAACCTGACCTGTGATTGCCAAGGTGGGTGGGCATTGGGAGTCAGAAATATCCTGAGGGTGCCAGATAGAACCATCGCATTGTGGAGTTTGAAGGCACCCCCAAGGGCAGGCTTCCTCAAACTCAGCCCTCCAGATGTTTTTGGCCTACAACTCCCATGATTCCTAGCTAGCAGTACCAGTGGTCAGGGATGATGGGAATTGTAGTCTCAAAACATCTGGAGGGCTGAGTTTGAGGAAGCCTGCCCAAGGACAATCTAGTCCAACACCCTACAATGCAGGATTTGCAGCTAAAGAACCCCAGACAGATGGCCATTCAACCTCCACGTAAAAACCTCAAATCAAGGAGATTTGGGACAGCTGCCAAACAGAGAGTGCAGAATAGGGTGAGTGGACCCCTCACCAAATCTGCTTTTTCAGTCTAAAGTTATTTTTCCTTCCATCAGGAACTAGTTCTGGGCATGGCATCCTACTAAGAGCAGGCAGGGTTACAACTTCTCCTTATGCACCCCCAACCTATCTCACACCACAGAAGTTCAGTTGCAGCCTAATCACACTGAGTTTGGCTCTCAGCAGCTCAGCAAAACAGACCTTCTCCTGCTCCTCCACCTGCAAGCGGCTCGTGAGCGCTCGCTTGTTAGCACAGCTCATGGGGACACAGGGGCGCTGCCACTTGGCAACCGCTCCTAGGAGGCACACCCAACAGATTATTAGCTTGCAGGAGTTCCAATCTCTCCCCGGGGGCACATCAGGTAGAGCTTCCTGTAGCAGCCAGAATCAGTCAAAGAGGGAACGAGGGGAGAGGCAAAGTTTCTTCTGCTGCCTTACATTCCAAGGCTCTGTGCAGATACCGCACAAAGTGTTACGCCGCAGTTAAGTAAACCACGGCTTATAGCATTGAGTGTGAACCCTGCCTGGCAGGTTAACTATGGTCTGTCTGCTGACAACAAACCATGGTCCAAATTCATAGAATCATAGAATTGTCTTTAGCCTTAGACCAGCCTTCCCCAACCTGGTGCCCTCCTCCAGATGTTTTGGACTACAGTTCTGATCACCCCCAGGTAGCATGGCTGTATGATGCTGGGGCCAATGGGTCTTGGGAGTCCTGAACATCTGGAAGCTGTCAGGATGGAGAAGGCTGCTGTAGGCAGATTCACACACCACAGAGGTCTGGCCCCAAGTGGCACAAACAATGTGCAGGGCAGCCCTCTGGAACAGAGCTAAGGAGCCTGGCAGAAGGGGCAGCTAACACATGAGTGTGATTCCGCGCCAGGCCAAGAAGTCAGCTAATCCCTCCAGGAAGCCTGTCAACAGCCTCCACTTGAGTTGCCGGAACTTGCAGCTCCGAGCTGCCAAAGGCTTTCCACCGCCAGCAGCAGCCTCTTAAAAGTTTGGCACGGGAATGTTCAAAGCAAGCAAGAAGGATAGAGAGGGAGGGAGGGAGGGAAAGGGGGAATCCGTGTGCTAAAACAAACAACCACCCATTCGCCACTCTCCTCCAAGCAAGGAAAAGGGTTGTGCTTTTGCTTTCCGGGATGGGGAACATTTTCTCTGTTGTAACTGTTGAACGCAAACTGTTTGAAGTGTCCTGAGTCCGTTTCAGAGAACAAAAAGGAAAGCAGAGATTGCAGCTGGCAGCGGGATGTTGTCTAACTGCAGGGCACATGGATCCCTGGGCTCGAGTACTTGGCAGGGATTTTTCTTTTCCCGACACAACCAGGTCGTCTTCTTTTGCAGAGTGCGTTAGAACTCTATGCAACCGTAAGGAAGTCAAGGACGGGCGGAACTGAGTCATTTCCACTCAAAGGACATGAGGAGTGTCCCCTGCAGCGGCTACAGCCCCTGCAAAGCCCTTTCAAGGGCTCGTTCGGCTACACATAAAGGACAAAGCAGTCCAGACAGTTGGAAAGGAGGACTGCCATTTTTTTCTCCCTCTCTCGCAACACTGGAAGTTGTGGGGATTCAATGAAGTTGTAAGATTCAGGACAGATAAAAGAAAGAACTTCTGCACGCAAAGCATGGTTAAAACTATGAAAACTGCTCTTGTAGGAGGGAGTGATGTCTTTAAAAGAGGATTGGACAAATTCATGGAGGATAAGACTATCAATGGCTACTAGCCACAGGGACTATGCTCTGCATTCACAATCATTATACTGCAGCTAGGTGCTTTGTAAAATAAATATTACTGCAGAAAATATCATTTCAACCACTGGCCCAAGGAGGAGGAAGTCAAGCCAGCCAGCTTAGCTCCAATGGTTTGGAGACACTAGCATCCATCACACCACCAGTTGCAAATAAAATTAATCTATTGTAAACGTACAAATCCCTAAATGTTAGGGATCACGTACCCTTATATGCCAGCTTGATCACTGAGATCATCTACCGGAGCATTGCTGGTCATGTCCCAAGCTAGCAAGGCTCATTTAACAGCAAGAAGAAACCAAGCCTTTAGTGTCAGAGACCCAGCTCTGTCAATAGAAATTAAGCAGGCACCTTCTCCTTCATAATCTTTACATCTCTGCTGGAAAATTTTCAGTGTTGCCAGGCTTATGTAGGTAATTAAGAAAAGATCTATCTTTAGTATCTAGCGGGTGTCTGATTTAAATTTATTACTTGGCACTTACCGTATTTTTCGCTATATAAGACGCACCTTTTCCCTCCTAAAAAGTAAGGGGAAATGTGTCTGCGTCTTACGGAGCGAATGCATGCTGCGCGGCTATCCCAGAAGCCAGAGCATCAAGAGGGATCGCTGCACAGCGCTCCCTCTTGCTGTTCTAGCTTCTGGCTTAGCCGCACGAAACCTCTTCAGGGCAGGGGGAGCCTTCATCCCGCTGCCCTGAAGAGGCTTCACGCAGCTATCCCAGAAGCCAGAACAGCAAGAGGGATCGCTGCGCAGCAATCCCTCTTGATGTTCTGGCTTCTGGGATTCAGAATATTTTTTTCCTTGTTTTCCTCCTCCAAATACTAGGTGCGTCTTATAGTCTGGTGCGTCTTACAGAGCAAAAAATACGGTATATGGACGACTGTAGTAAACCACTTTAATCTTGAATGTATACATACATATAACGGTAAAAAATGGTAACACACTTAAACCAGCACAAAGATTGACCATTCAACAGCTGCAGGTCTTGGTAGTCAACCCAGGAGGGACAGAGACTCCACCAGTTGTTGCTTCTGCTGACTAGAGTACCCCAGAATGTGGGTGGCATGATGCACAGGGCACAAGTCCATCATTTATCTAGCCCATAGCACAATCTGGGCTGCTCATCAGCCAGCCAGCCAGCCAGCATCTCTGCTCTCACAGGCTCCCATGTGAAGATGACTACACACCCACCAACTGGAGAAGGGGCTGTGGCTGCTTTCAGCCTTCCAATTTACAGTTACACAAGGGAACTTTAACATCACCCTCACAATAGGAAACCTTAGAGGTGCAAAAGGCAAAAGCAGATGGGGGAGGGAAAGCGCATACCAGTGCCTGACTCATAAACAAACACAGATATAGTTCCTTTCAACATTAGCCATTTTTGCTCACTGTAGCTGGAAAGTCGTAAGAGCAGTAGCACCACAAATGCATTTCAGGAGAATTCAACAGTTTGCTTTTTCACCTTCTCAGAGACGTGCAGCGTTTCAATTTCTCCAATAATTTACATTTCTGGTGTTCAGAAGGTCCATCGTCCTTTCCAGCTTGGAGCAGAACAGGGAAGCATTGCAACTTCCAAAGCTCAATAAAACTGTTGTCACCACCCTCTTCCCAGCTCCAAGCTGAAAAGGAAGGTGGGGCTCCCCAGAGGGTGACAGCAGCATTCACCAGGGTGAGCAGAAGGTGGAGAACAAGCTACCAAATTATTGCTGGTTTTGCCAGAACAGCAAGGAACAGTTTGGTCAGCACCACTGTCCGCACCTGAGTGGTCAGCAAGCTGCATTTAGTTTCATTTTTAATATTTTAATATTTTGACCACACTTTTCTATTAAATCAAAGTGGCTTACAATGATGCAAAAATACAAAAAAGGAAAAAAGAAGATAAAAGCACAAACTCAATTAATAACATAATTAAATCACAGTAAACACTTAAAAAAAAAAGCAAGCAGATGGGACAGGGGAAGCAGAATAAATATGCATAAATCCACAGATCAGGTCTTAAAGGAAACTCAAAAAGAGAAATGTTTTCTCCTAGAGGGGAAAACAGAGAGGACGGGCCACCCAAACTCTCCTGTCATCTACTGCTTCTAAACTTCTGTAACAGTTTCCAGAGAGGTTGCAGCAAAAAGAACAAAGTGTCTAGCAGCCCCTTAAGGATGAAGGGAATGTAGTCAGACTCTGGACTCATTCACACCATACTTTTAAAGCACCGTGTTACCACTTTAAAAAATCATGACTTCTCCCAAAGAATTCTGGGAGCTATAGTTTGTTCAGGGTGCTGAGAGTTGTTAAGAGACTCCCATTCCCCTCCCAGAACTACAATTCCCAGAGTTTCCTGGGAAGAGAGAAACCACTCTAGGATTTAATTGTAGCTCAGTGGGGGACGGACGGACGGACAGGGGTCTCCTAACAACTCTCAGCACTCTTAACAACAGTTGCCAGGATTCTTTGGGGGAAGCCATTGTTGTTTAAAGTGGTATCATAGTGCTTTAAATGTATGGTGTGACTGTGGCCTATGTCCTAAAGTCAATGGACTTTTTGACAAATTGAAGTTCAAGCATGGCTTAGCTGGATACAACCCAAACACCTTTATCATGGCATAATCTTTCATGGAATCAAGCCCACCCACGCTGAGAAAGTAGGGTCAGGCTCCCAAGAAAGGCAAGGATCCAGGGTTAATTTCACCTACCGGAAACAGGAAATGTGCCATGCCTCATTAACAGTCCTGTAGAGTCGCTGGCCGGCTGCAATGCTGTCCCCACATCCCAGGCACCGCCATTCCTCTTCACCTAGGCACAAGGGGCAAAGACGTATTAAGGACATAAGTTGGGGGAAGAAAAGACTATGCTGCCCATCAAGTCCAGTGCCCTCCTTCCCACAGTAGCTTGCCAGATGCCCACAAGCAGGGCATAAAGGCCTGCTCCTATTCTTGGCTCCCTGGTAGCTGGCCTTCTGACACATAGTGTATGTGAAGCTGGAGGTTCCATAGATATTTATTTACTTTATTTGCCATGACACATGACCAAGGAAGTCTCAAAGCAACAGAGAGTAAAATACCAAAACACAATGCACAGCAAACATATCCATTAAAATTATAGTGCACACTAAAAGTGTTCTATCTACAATAGTCTGCTATAAAACAAGAACATGATTGTTTTATAGATGCTCAGATGACTGGGAGAATGAAAACACCTTCACCTAGACCCCAAAAGACAACTGTATAGGTGCTAAGCGGATTTTATTGGAGAGGGCGCTCCTTGAAAAGGCCCATTCTCTTCTTCCCAGTGTCCAAACTTCTCTTGGAAGGGGACATGCAGAGAAGTACCTCATAGCCTCCACTGACAGCTTCCTCCTCCCTGAATTTGACTAGCCCCATCTTAAACCATCTAAGACACTAGCCACCAAGGCATCCTGTGGCAGTATCATAAAGCCAGGCCAAAGCAAAATTCAAAGTGCAGAGGTCCCCTGGTGATGTTTGCTAGGGAAGAAGACCATACTTTTTTTGATCAAGTATAGGGAACGTAATCACCCACAGCCTCAAATGTACTGAGACAGCAACAGATTTCAAGTGGCGCCGAAGCTGAGGGGGAACCTCAGATTTTGGCTAGTGACCAAGGTCTGTCAAAATATGTGGACCCCTATTCCTAATGCAACTTCCAACACACGCAAGTCTCTATAGTAGGAGTGGGCAGACTTTAGGCTTGCAGGAATCTGCTTGAGCCAGATGCAAAATGTACAAGCTTCGGACTAAAGGACTCTTAACCTGGGGATTTGCTTTTGAACTAACCTCACAGGCCTTCCACACAAAAATCTACTCTAGCTACCCCATGACCTTTCTTCATGTCAGAAGTGTAATTTAGAGGGGGGGATTATTTTGGCGTTACACTTGATTTCATTCATGTATTCTGATTTTGGGAGCCACCTTGGAAGGACTTATAGCCCTTAAGGTAGAATATAAATATAATAAATAAAATTGCTAAGCAACAGGGAGTCTGAGGTCCTCACTGATCTACTTCAAATTGCATAGGCATCTACCAATAGATCCCTGCCTACCTCACCAAGCTCTAGAGAAAAATTAGACTTTTACTGTGCAAACATAGCAGCCAGCCACACTTGTCCAAACTGCCGCCTGAGCTCAGAAAGAGGTTCACTGTTTTCCGGAGATTACTCGGAAGCATTCAACAGAATAACACTGGCATTTGCCCCAGAATGCTAACTCAGCACACATGAATGGACTGGATTCCCAGAAGAGAGGTGGGAGGGCAGGAGTTTCTTTTGTGAAGAGCCAGCCCCTGAATGGCCAGCCACTGAACTACATTAGTCCTGAACTTTTGCTTAAACTTCTCGTAGATGATGCTCAGACACTTTTTATTAAATGGGCTTTTTAAAGTAGCAACAAAATTATAATTTATCATATCATGTAATGCTACTTTATGTGATATGATTTTGTGTGTGTGTGTACTGCATTGGAAACTCTGCTAAAAGGGCAACATAAAAATATTTTAAATAAACAGATATTGTTCAAATCTCTGTGATGAGCTAATTAAATGGGCCAACACAAGCCATGCTCTCTCAAGCCTTGGCTGTCTCAATCTGCAAGATGGGAATAACAATACTGGCCTACAAGATTGTTGGAAGGATTTCCAAGAGAACACAAGAAGCATTTTGCACACCCAAGTGTTTTATAGGAACTGTGTTGATTATTCCTAACACAAACCTATTTGGAGGTTTCATGCACTAGGGCAGGGCGGGACACAGAAAGGAGCACCATGTCTTACCAGTGAGACTTCTGAACCCTCAGAAACGGGCTCGAGAAATGAACCTGCCAAACCCGGGCAGAAAGGGGAGGCTGCATCTGTTCAGGGTCACTCAAGAGTGCTGAATTTGCTATACAAAGTCAGGACAGGGTGGGGTGTAGTTACTAGGCAAGAAAAGAACTTATTGCCCATTGTATATGAAGTCACCACTGAGCCACCTCCCAAAGTTTTTTGCCTAGTCTTGGGCTTCAGATGTTTATCTTATTTTGCTGTTACCATACCTTCTCTTAAGAATGGAAGAAGAGCCTATCAGATCAGCACCGCACCTTGTTTTCAAAGCAGCCAACCAGAAGCCCCGAAAGAAAGCCCACAAAAAGAACTTGAGCAAACCAGCAGTCTCCCCACTTATGATTCCCACAACCGCCTCTAGAGGTGGATGTTTTTAATCTTCTTAAATATTTCAAATATGTTTTTGCTTTAATTGTACTTTTTTAACAATTTCATTTGCCACCCTGGGCTCCTTTGGGAGGAAGGGTGGGACTGAAAAGTAAGAAATATTATTAGGAGAGAGCTACTGTGGCTTGTAGTTATGGATAGCCCTATCCTCTTATCTAAAAAGTTCACTGCGCCTTCTCATGCAGAAATGGTTTTCAAGTTCAGTACCACACCCCTAATCAGTTCCTCTCTGTTTTTTGCAAACACCCTTCCTATTTATGGAAAACATTTGTAAAGAAAAGAAAAGGCCGAGTCAGTATGGAGAGAGCGAACCAGTCTGGGAGACCAGGGTTCAAATCCTTACTCTTCCATGAAGCTCACCAGGTGACCTTGGGCCAGTCACTGCCTCTCAGCCTAACCTACCACACATACCATAGTTGATGTGCGAACTTCTATATCACCAGCTACCTAAGCTATCAGATCCTACACTCTTACACAAGAACAAACCCTCCAGAAAGCAGTTATTCAGCATGACAGAAAGATCTGCTGCCTGTTTAGCTAAACTAGTGGTGGAACTACAAGCTTAACACCTGCTGTTAGGGAGACACTCACAGATATTCTTAAATATAGCCTTAAGGAGCCTGGGAATTAAGGTCTATCAGAGCCTGGATGGCAGGAGATGTAGCAAGATTTAGGTGCCCAATGGTCACAATGCACCTCTCCCCAAGCTCATTTTTAGGGTCCAGTTTCTTTCTTCTTTCATCCACATGGATTGAGGAGTGTAAGAGGGAAAGTTTGTGTTTAAATCATCCAGCATTTTTCATTGGAGCTGTGAAGTTACAAGATCAGCAGCAGAACTGCCGCTTAGAGGTAATAGTTAAGGTCCCCATTCCTGCTGCTTAGAACATTCCCAAAGGGGTGATGCCTTCCTCCAAAGAGGTGCAGGATGCAGCAATGCCACACAAACATGCCCTGACAGCACATGCATGCAGAAGGCCCCAAGTTCATTCCCCAATGGCATCTCCAGGTAGAGTTGGGACTGTCCCCTGCCTGAAACCCCAAAAAGCCACTCCCAGTCAGAAGGCAGCTTCCTTTGCTCCTATAACATCACTGATCAAATATGCATTAGGGTAAAGGGAGGGGGAACCTGTGGCTCTCTACATGTTCCTGTTGGACTCCCAAGTGCCCCAGACAGCATGGCCCCACTAGTAAGGGATGATGGGAGTTGTAGGAGTTCATCAACCAACCTTTGGAGGACCACAGCTCACGTCTGTGTTAAAGGTTATTTCAACTGACACACTAAATGGGAATAGCAGGCAATTTCTTAGTTTCAGACATACCTAGTGCAATTCAAACATGTGGCCACCCACTGCATGACTCTGCAAAAGCAAGCTAATCCACATATTTACAATAATTCTGTTTCAGCCACCTCATTTCTCCATTGCTTACTGATATTCCTTTCATATAAAGTAGCAGTGACTGCAGTGCAAAGGATTCTGGGGTGTGTCCTAGGGAGTCCATCTGGTGTGCTAGGCTAAGGATGGGGGAACCTCTGCCCATATGTTGCTGGACTACAACTCCCACAGGTTTCCCAGCCTTGAGATAGGCAGACCTGTTGAATCTGTTCCCACATGCAACTGCATATGCCTGCACCAGCTTCCCTCAGCAGCTGTTCATTACAAGGGAACACTTATGGAAAAAATAATTTTCAGGAAGTCTGGCTTCAATGACTGGTGCTCTCATTAGACTGGTGAAGACTGCAGCCCAAAACATCTGGAGGACACCAAGTTGGCCAACACCACCACTGAGAAATATTTCATTTCAAGGCCCCATTTCTAGGAATGCAGCTTGAAAGCTTCTTGGCTGAAGCAAATAATATTTTTAAGTGTTGCAAGCAACAGCTTCACCATGGCTGTTGTCAATGATACCACAATCTGATGAACTGACAGAATACTAGTAGCACAGCCCTGATAACCTACATTCTGGAGATAAGCACAATTAGAGAGCTGCCAGGATGATGGTAATAACAATAATTGCAGCTTCCATCTAGAGAAGCATTTCTGTCACATCAATGAATACATCCTGGTGAGAGATGTTGGTCAGCATGACAACAGAGAAAGGTTACAGAAGGTGTGTATGCAAAAGGTGAACTGCCCTGTGATCTTTAGATGAAGGGCATTATACAAACTTATTACAATGGTACCTCGGTTTACAAACCTAATCCATTCCGGAAGTCCGTTCTTAAACCAAAACCATTCTTAAACCGAGGTAAAGTTCTCAAACCAAGACACTATTTCTGGTTTTGCGGAGTTTGTAAACCAAATCGTTCTTAAACCAGACTGCTCTTAAACCGAGGTACCACTGAAATAATAAGCACATAAGTTTAGCCATTCAGAAACACAGATAGGGAGAGTAGCAGTCTACATTTGCTAGCCCTAAAACTGTATTAACTGAGACAACAACCCCCAGGCCAGCTGAGCTGGAGCTATGACATTTGAGATGCAACCCAATGCCTATTTGAAAGTCAATGGCAGAGCACTCATCTGTTTTAATAGAGTGGGATTGCAGATTTAGCTACTTAAATTCAAGTACACTGCCAGCATATTTACAAGTCAGGTGTAAGTGAACTAGAGATCAGCCCAAGACCTTTTAATTGTCTTCAGCATCTATCTTGGTGTTGTTGCTTAACCTAGTATAAAATTTATCACGGGCAGGCAGAAATAAGAAGCAACTGGCACCCTTTCACACCTCTGCTTGGGAGCAGCTATGGAGGCCTGCATGGATGCTGTCCAATAAAAACTATATGCAGCTTTGGAAATTCTCAAGATTAAGCATACATCCAAAATAACCTTCAATTGAAAGCAACTAAGTCAAACTCAGAGCAAAGCCAATGGATCCAATGGGCTTCAGTTACTCATGTGCACAGATGTCAAGGAGTCTACTTTGAATAGGACTCAGGGCACAGCCGCACCGTACACAATCCTGGGAACTGTAGTTTCACCCTCACAGAACTACAGTTCCCAGCATTCTCTGGGAGAAGCGATTTACTTTAAACATGTTGAATTGTGGTATTCAATGTACAGTGGTACCTCGGGTTAAATACTTAATTCGTTCCGGAGGTCTGTTCTTAACCTAAAACTGTTCTTAACCTGAAGCATCACTTTAGCTAATGGGGCCTCCCGCTGCCGCTGCGCCGCCGGAGCACAATTTCTGTTCTCATCCTAAAGCAAAGTTCTTAACCTGAAGCACTATTTCTGGGTTTGCGGAGTAACCTGAAGCGTATGTAACCTGAAGCGTATGTAACCTGAGGTACCACTGTTGGACAAAACTCCTAGCTTTTAAGAAACCCAACGTAAACACAATCATTTATTTAAATAACTCGCTGTTTGTACCCTCTTTTGTACCCCTGCGAAAGTAGCAGGAGAGGGGAAGAGCTCGACCGCCCCCCCGGTTCACACGATCCAGCCCAAGCAAAAAGACCAGCAGGTCGGTGGAGGCCTTGCCTGCCTTCCTGCCATGCTCGCTTACTAGGAACACCTGGCTGTCCTTCGATGGAAACAGGGCGCTGGGATGCAGAGGCTCCGCCCACCCCGTCCCGCCCCTGCTCACCTCCGCCCTTTCCCTCCCCGTTGCCCGGCAACGAGGCTCCGGCCCCGCCCACCCCGGACAGGATGAGGGAGCGCGGGCGCGCCAGGGAAAGGCCGGGCCGGGCCGGGCTCCTCAGCAACTGGCTTCTCTTACCCGTTGTTGCTGCTGCTGCTGCGGCTACGAGCCCCCCGTCCATCGCCCCGGCCGGACAACCTCCTCCAAACTTCCCCTCAGCGAAGCCCAGCCGCGCAAGCAAGGGTGACGTTATCCGGCCCCTACGGAGTGCGGGGTGGGCCACATCTCCCTCCGCCTCAGAGAGGACACCGACGACGACGACGCACCTGGACCTTCAGGCGGCACCCCGCCCCCTCCCCCCCCGGCGGAGCAGGGCCCCGCCTCTTTCCCCCGCAGCGACCAATCGCTTGCCTCAGCTGACTTCCCCGCCCTCCCCCGGCTATCATTTCTAACCAATAGGAGCGCCGGACTGGGCCGTGGTCGCCCGCCCCGCTTCTGTCTTCGCTCGCTAACCCGCTGGCTCATTTCTAACGCCCGCCCCCTGCCGGGGACCAATCAGAGCCATCCGATCCTGCCCACTTAGCCGCTGCACGTGCAAGAGGATCCGTCCGGTGATGTCATCGCTAAGTTTCCCAGGAAGGGCGGGGGTCGGGGGAGAGCAGGGCAGGAGGTGGGGCGGTTGTACGATGAATAGTTGCCTAAGGAAGAATTCCGGGAAAAGCTCAAGCTTGCACAGTATTTTCTTGTGGTATTTAGGGTGGCCTAACAAGGGCGTTACGCCAATGTTGCATCCCTTTATCCCTCTTTTGTAGCATCCTTTTATCCCAGGCCCCATTTGCACCATAAATTTAAAGCGCCATGATACCACTTTGAACAATAGGTAAAGGTAAAGGGACCCCTGACCATTAGGTCCAGTCGTGACTGACTCTGGGGTTGCGGTGCTCATCTCGCTTTATTGGCCGAGGGAACTGGCGTACAGCTTCCGGGTCATGTGGCCAGCATGACTGGCGAACCAGAGCAGCGCACGGAAACGTTTACCTTCCCGTCAGAGCGGTACCTATTTATCTACTTACACTTTGATGTGCTTTCGAACTGCTAGGTTGGCAGGAGCAGGGACCGAGCAACGAGAGCTCACCCCGTCGTGGGGATTCGAACCACCGACCTTCTGATCGGCAAGCCGTAGGCTCTGTAGTTTAACCCACAGCACCACCCGCAACCTTTGAACAATAACTTTGAACAATAACTTTCTCCAAAGAATCCTGAGAAGTGTAATTTGTTACAGGTGCTGCGAGTTATTAGGGGAGCCCTGCTATTTCCCCTTCCTAGCAGTCTAGCTGGCAATCCTCCTTCCCAGGGAACTCTGGGTATTGTAGTTTTCAGGGGAATGGGGGGTCTCCTAAACAACCCTCAGTACCTTTAACAAACTACGGTTCCTACCATTCTCAAGGGAAAGCCATGTGCTTTAAAATGCATGTTGAATGTACATACTGTGAGGAAGTCACCTCAAAGAGGAAGAAGTCAGGGAACATTCACACCATACATTTAAAGCAGAACAATAACACTTAAACAAGCTTTCCCCCCAAGAATCCTGGGATATCAGAGTTCTTAGAATACTATATTCTTCCCCCAGAGCTATAATTTCAAGAGTGGTTTAACAAAGTCAATCCCTCTGCTCTGTGAACTCAAGAGAATTGTAGTGGGGTGGGGAATTCTCAGAGCACCCTTAAAAACTCCAGCTCTCAGGATTCTTTGCGGGAGTTTAAAGTGCTTCCAATGTATGGTATGAATGTGGACCCCCTTTTTAATTGTTCTAATGGGATTGATTGATTGATTGATTGATTGATTGATTGATTTTTAATTATGTTTGTCTGTATTTTAACAGTATAACTGGTTTTTATATTTTGTGAACCACTTAGAAGCTTATAGCAAAATATAAATCAAATAATAACATTCCAAAACTGCTATTATAATAAGGGAAAAAATCATGGTGTGCTGATTTACTCCACTGCCCAGCTCATCAGGGTGCCACTTCCCACGGGTCCCTCCAGTCAGCAAAAGAAGTCATCTCCAGACAAGTCAAAGAAGCAAAGCAGCGGCGCCCCAGAAGACGCTGGGGCGACAGGATAGTCAGAGGAAACAGTACGATACATGGTATCCACTTATTGCTACAATTTTATAGACTGCTTTTCTGTGCCTCTTTGTTGTTGTGTATGTATGGTGCTTGTGTAAACGGTCATGGTTCTGACCTTAGTTTGAGGCTGTGGTGGGGACTTGGGATTTTTGAGGAGTCGTTTAAATGCACACCCCACCCCTGATTTTAACAACAATCATCTGTCATACTTGTAATGGTACATACCGTATTTTTCACACCATAGGACGCACCGGACAATAGGACGCACCTTGTTTTAGAGGGGGGAGAACAAGAAAAAAAAATTCTCCCCCTCTCTGCCCAGCGCCCCGTCAGCGAAGCAGCAGGAGGCGCTGCGCAGAGAGGGGAGAATTTCCCCTCTTGTTTTCCCGCTCTAAAACAAGGTGCCGTTTAAGGTGCGTTCAGGCGGTATCTTGGAAGCCTGGAGACCGCGCCGGGTCGGTGAGCACTGCCCCCTCTCTCTGTCCAGGCTTCAGGTTCCTTTCGACCTGCTCTTTGGGGCTGGCGGGGGGAAGCCCACCACCAGCCCCAAAGAGCAGGTCAGGGAGCAGCGGAAAGGCGCAGCTGAGAGGCTGCTGCCATAGTCACGTGTCACCTCTCCAGCTGGGAGAGGGTTGCGGGGCTATGGCTTCTTTAGCCCCGCGCGCGCTCTCCCAGCTGGAGAGGTGACGCGTGGCTATAGAGACTCCTGCCATAGCCGCGCATCACCTCTCCAGCCGGAAGAGGGTCACGGGGGGGGGGCTTCTTTAGCCCCGCGCGCGCTCTCCCGGCTGGAGAGGTGACGCGCGGCTATAGAGGCTTCTGCCGGGAGAGGGTCGCAGGGGGCTTCTTTTGCCCCGCGCGCGCTCTCCCGGCTGGAGAGGTGACGCGCGGCTATAGAGGCTCCTGCCGGGAGAGGGTCGCGGGGGGCTTCTTTTGCCCCGCGCACGCTCTCCCGGCTGGAGAGGTGACGCGCGGCTATAGAGGCTTCTGCCATAGCCACGCGTCACCTCTCCAGCCGGGAGAGGGTCGTGGGGGGCTTCCTTTGCCCTGCGCACGTTCTCCCGGCTGGAGAGGTGATGCGCGGCCATAGAGGCTCCTGCCATAGGCGTGCGTCACCTCTCCAGCTGGGCGAGGGTCGCGGGGCTATGGCTTCTTTGCTCCATAGGATGCACACACATTTCCCCTTCATTTTTGAAGGGGAAAAAGTGCGTCCTATAGAGCAAAAAATACGGTACTTGTTCCTGGCACACACGGAAAATAATAAAAATATAATTTAAAAATCAGCACTATGGTTTTAAAAAACCACCCAGAGTTTAAACTATCATAAAAAGAATTTAAATGACTGCAGGGCCTCTCAATGAAATATGCCAAGTTGAGACCACTTTGTTCCGATTTGTCCCACTCCTCAACTGTCACCTAACAGCAGCTACTCAGCCTTCCTAAACGTGGTGCCCTCCAGGTGTTTTGGATTACATTTCCCTTCAGCCCCAGCATCAGATAGCCACACTGCCCAAGACTGATGGGACTTGTAGTCTGGGACACTGCATCATGCTACAGCAGAGATGGGAAGAAGGCTCCTCCAGCAACCTTTTGGGCTCCTTACCCTGATCCGTTTTCCCATTCCAGCTGGTATTTTTAGGAACTCTGTAACTAACAACTCTGATGCCTGATCTTTTTTACCTGGAATTTGCTGCCACAAATTCCTTTGCCTACAAATTGAGAGAAGGCTACCAGTGGCAACTATGCTCTACCTCCATAATTGCTGGGAATCTTAAGTGGGGAGAGTTGATCTTGAATTCAGGTCCTGCTTGCAGGATTCCAGTTGGGCAATCTGGATGGCCACTGTGGGAACAGGATGCTGGACTAGATCGGCCTTTTGGCCTGATCAAGCTGAAGGGCTCTCACTTCCCCCACCCACCCCACTTTCAAAATCATTTCATTCACAAGACCTCCACCCCTTCTGAAGTTCCCTCAGGGGCAATTGTGATAGTAAAAGGTAAAGGGACCCCTGACCATTAGGTCCAGTCGTGACCGACTCTGGGGTTGCGGCGCTCATCTCGCTTTACTGGCCGAGGGAGCCAGTGTACAGGTTCCGGGTCATGTGGCCAGCATGACTAAGCCGCTTCTGGCGAACCAGAGCAGCGCACGGAAACGCCGTTTACCTTCCCGCCGGAGCGGTACCTATTTATCTACTTGCACTTTGACGTGCTTTCGAACTGCTAGGTTGGCAGGAGCAGGGAACGAGCAACGGGAGCTCACCCCGTCGCAGGGATTTGAACCGCTGACCTTCTGATCGGCAAGTCCTAGGCTCTGTGGTTTAACCCACAGCGCCACCTGCATCCCACCATTGTGATAGTACCAAGGTGCATATGAGTAACAACATGATTACGCTGATTAGACTTAAGAGGCCCCAAATATCAGCAGGTGTATAAGCAGAGCCTTTACTTCAAACAATATGGCTGACTTACCTCTTCAGCAACATTCCTATGGCTGCAGGTGACTAAATGACAGGAACAAGAAGAATTCCACGCAGACGTAAGGTAATGTAAAAATGTGTTTATTCTAAATTACTTTCACAACAGTGAAAATTAGTGAATCACAATGGTGTTGCACAGTGGTGCCATCTTTTGCTAACCATAGGCCAAGTACAATCAATACATGATTTTTTTGGGGGGGGGGGAGAGAGAAAAAGAATACAAATACAAAAAAAAAACAACACAGCAGGGGAAAGGGGAACTCCAGAGGCCATTTCAAACCCACAAGTAAAATATGACATTCCAGAGGAGAAGCCGTGTTTGTATGTAGAAATTCAAACAGCAGAGTGTTTTTCTGGCACCTTAAAAAGCAGGTTAGACTGCAAAATCTTCTGCCTCCATTAAAGACAACTCCAACAGGTGCAGGCAACAGAGTGGGGCTGTAGAGTCCAAGAAAGTTTACACTACAATAAACTTGCTGGTCTTTAAGATGCCACAAAACCCTTTGCTGTTTCAGGAAAATATGGAGACTGGACCGTTTGAACATTAAGTATACAACCCACACGAGCCATTATCAGTGGGACTCACCCCAATCCAGCACCTTCTGAATCAGGCTAGGTACTTTTGTGGTCACCTTGGTTGACAGATCCCCTTCTGCTCAGGTAGCAGCTGGCAAAAATATAATACTCCACATGTTTAAAAGGTCCAAGGCAGTCAAATCTGCTTTAATATTTTAAATCCGTAACAATTTTCTCTTTCCCAATTGCCACAGATTTTATTCTTAAAAAAAAAAAAAGCTTTACAGCAAACCGTTTAACAAGATTGCTTTCAGAAGGGCAGCTTTAGTTCCATGGTACTCATTTTCATGAACTGTAAAAAGAAGGAAATGCCAGAGATCCCTTATATATTATGATGGTATTCACTTTACCCTATCAACAGTAGGTGGCACCATCTTTCCCCCTAACAAAACAAATCTAAGCTATGCAGGTTCTGGGAGGCAGCACAGGTTACAGTCTTTTTTATGTCGCTGACAGGCCCTTGAGCACTTTTTGGAAAACCATAGACAGAAGGATTTTACATTTTAAAAAAGGGAAACGCTCTCACTGTGACTACTGGGGATGCAAGGTCAACCATCCTGGTTTCTACTGTGGGAATGACTGGTTTTTACTATGCTATCAGACCTTAGTCAAAAAAAAAGAAGCCCCCTTATGCAATTTGTTCTTTTCAGTATTGCTGGCTGCGATTTGTTCAGCAACTCATAAAAAATTGCTGCTACAGAAATTGGGAAAGGAGTAGGGAGAAAAAAACGAGATCAAAAGCACTGCAAAACAAGAGAGAAACCCAGGAGTCTTTGAGAAGAGACCCTTAGATTTACAAGAAAGTGTGAGGTCAGGGAGTGAGGAAGGTTCATTTTTGGTCCTGTGACTCTCCCAGGATTCAACAGCAACAGTTTTAAAGCAATATTCCCAGGCTTCTTCCACTCCTGCAAAGGAATCCCTTGTGTAAATAGTTCAGATCCATTTAAGTGGGATGCTCTTCCATGTGGGTCCCACTGAAACGAAGAACAAGCTCCCCCAACCTGGTGAGATTTTGGTGAGACGACAATGTTGGATTCACAAATGTGGGGAACCCTTGGCTCTCCAGATGCTGTTGAACAAGAATTCCCATCACCCCTGGCCATTGGTGATATGCATTGTGGCTAAGAGGGGCCGCAGGTCCCCCACTCCCGGACTACAACATATGGAGAGACAACAAGGCTGGGAAAGGTGGAAACCAGAGCATGGCTCTGATTTGTTTCAATGGGGCTTGTGTAGGAGAACTTCCTGCTGGCTCCTGCTCATGATCAACCCTTCAAAATATTAGCTTTGGTCGTCTGAAAAAGCTCACGCACTAACTAATGACCCCTTGGAGCTTGAGAACAAGCCCCCAGGTTAGGCTGTTATTCTCACTATGCAGAAACTCCTATGGGGGAAGAACAAAATGCTCAAAAGAAGATTGTCCTCCATTTTCCCCAAACCAACCATTCCAAGAAGTTGGGGGACGGGGAGACGACAATGTTGGATTCATCTCAGGAAGGAGCAAATGAGTGTCAATGACTACAGTAACCAGAACTCTCTATATCCAAATTAAGAGCTGAAAGCTGTTATACAAGTTTTAGGAAAACAACACTGCTTTCATCCATGCGGAAGTGTGCTGTGCAACAAGCCCAGAGGGGACCCCTCTGGTGTCCAACATCCCCACCCCCAGCCCTGAGATGAGAGAACCTGCCCCATCTGGTTCCAGGAAGTTTTGGGTATTTTATTGTTTCAGGGTGAGAGAGTCTCTTATCCCTTAACTTGTTTAAATATCCCTGGGAAAAGGCCAGCCAGGTGGGAAACAGGAGGAAGTGAATACTCCTAAGGTGACCTCACCTGCCGCCTGATGGTCTTCCCAAGTTGTACTCACATAAGAAGACAATTTCCAGGAGCAAGTTGGGTTTCGGTCAATCTATGCAACTGGATTCTGAAGCAGTCGGTCCATTGATCTCCCTTCAGTGCTGTTGGGTTGCAAGGCTCACCTGAGAAACAGGACAAGTGTTTCCATGCCTGGCCTTGCCACCCACTCTCCCTCCAGGGCCAGCACCTGGTTTAATGGCTTGGCACATGATTTCAAACAATGCTCCCTCTTGGCACGTGGAGCTCAAAGCTAGGTTCACAGCCTTAGCCAGTTACCTGTTGCGTGACACATGGCTGGACTTTAGAATGCTTTTAAAGAGAGACCTTTAATTCCATTTACTCTGGCGTAATAAGCAAGAGTCCTCCTCCCACTGCAGCAGACATCGGGGCTTGCGGGAGCCCATGAGCTATGGAACCAGACACCAAGAGGCTGGCAGTGGGGCACAGAGAAGAAGAAGCAGTCATCTGTGACCAGTTCGGAGCCCCACAAACCATGGTACAATACAGGGCAAGGTTAAGCGATCAAGAGCCAGAACATGATCACCAGGGCCACAAACAGGAAGAGGCGGGACAGGAACTGTTCGTCCACATACTGGGGAGTCCCTGGAACCGCTGGGAAGACAGAAAGAAAAGGGAACCTCTCTCAGCAAACAAAAGCAGTGTATTTCCAGATCCAATAGCAGAAAAGCATGGAATCAGCCGGCATTCTGCATCTTCATTATAAGACTTCACTAGGCCCTTTCAACTGTCCCAAGTTATCTGAAGGATTGCTTGAACCCATATCAACAATGGCAGCCTTCCTCATTTGCTCACTGCCTCAGTTAGTGAAAATGGCAGGGGTGACAGGGCCTTTTCAGTGGTAGCACCCTGGATCTGCAGTTTGCTGCCTGTCAACATTCAAAACATCAGCACACTGCAGGCCTCTGAGAAGGCTCTGAAGACTCTGTTTCAGCAAACGATATATTATATTTTTGCTCTGTGAAATGGATAAACCGGGTTGTTTTGGTTCTGGGTTGTGTACGTGTTTTATTATTGCTGGATCATTTCACTTTTATAGTGGCTCAGAATTTGCTGAAACATTGCGTTTTGCATTGCTGTTACATTCTGGAAATATATATTACATAAGCCACCCTGGGGAGAGCTTTGCTCAGAAAGCCAGCCTGTGATTTAAACAATAATAATAATAATAGTGATATCCCCTATTGGGACGTGGGTGGCGCTGTGGGTTAAACCACAGAGCCTAGAACTTGCCAATCAGAAGGTCGGCGGTTCGAATCCCCGCGGCGGGGTGAGCTCCCGTTGCTCGGTCCCTGCTCCTGCCAACCTAGCAGTTCGAAAGCACGTCAAAGTGCAAGTAGATAAATAGGTACCACTCTGGCGGTAAGGTAAACGGCATTTCCGTGTGCTGCTCTGGTTCGCCAGAAGCGGCTTAGTCATGATGGCCACATGACCTGGAAGCTGTACACCGGCTCCCTCGGCCAATAAAGCGAGATGAGCGCCGCAACCCCAGAGTCGGTCACGACTCGACCTAATGGTCAGGGGTCCCTTTACTAGTGATATCCCCACATCTTGTATTGTTGTGACTCCCTGCATATAGCCAGAGCTAAGAAGGACAAGGCAACAGCCGCAGTGTCCATGAAAAAAGCAGAAAGGTGATCAAGTAAGGATAGAGCGCCTGTCATTGAAAACACCCAGCACATTTCAAGTTGAAAGCGTTTGTTTTAAGAAGTCTCTGTTAGCAAATGGCAGAGTAAAAAATTAATTCTTAATTAGTACAAACCCACAAGGGTTTTCAGATTTGCTTTCAAATCTTGACATAAGAGACAGGAAACTTAATATATTCTGTGGTGGACATGAAATACATTTACGTCAAAGGACACCGAAGCCCCAAAGTTATGTCAAAGGCTTTGGCTCATGAACAAAGGAGGGAGCCTGCTCAGGATTCAGGGCCACCGTAAGTGACTCAACTGGTTTTACTCCATATAGAGAGCACTGATGCTAATCAGCTTGGAGGCTGTTCCTTACAAACTACCAGTGAGAATCACTTCACAGGTGAACTGCTAAGCAGAAATGTATTGTTCTCACTTTGTACTTAAAAAGCAAAACAAAAATGGAACAGAAGATAAGCAGCACTCATCTGATTGAAGTTTTAAAAACAGAATAGCTTATCTATATTTAAAGGGTTCTAAACAAATGAAACATCAGGACTTACCCCTGGTTACACAAACAGCAACGTAAGAACAATGGACAGGTGCCAGCTTTTTTTTGATCTGCCAGTCCTATAATTATGGTGAGTGCAACCAATGATTTGCGGGCTTGCTAGGGTTTTTTTTATTTGAAAGTGCTCCTTACCTGGGGGAGGCCGACCGTCGTTTATGTTGAATGCTGTAGCGAATATACCAAAAGGAAATGCCCCAATTCCAAACGACATTTGAAAGCCTCCATCGCCAAACCCAAAACCCTGGAAGCCCTGGAAAGAACCACAAATGGGGGAGGGAATAATGAAACCTTCCAAGCATGCTAGTTTACAAAGTGAAATGCTGACCTGTTTGCCTTCTCTATGATTTACTATGACTGGCCCCTGGCTGTGTGCCATGATTTACACACCCACCCACCCACACACTCACCCACACCCACACCCGCACCTCTCTCATGAGCCCAAAGTGTCCCCTCACAGAAGAGCCTGCTCACTGTATCTCTGCACGATTTCCTGCTCTCACCTCTTTCCACTTAGCCTCTGATGGGGATGTCTGGATTGCCCTGTCACTTCTGAGGCAGAGATGCAGCAAAACACCTGCTCTTAGAGACCATTATCTCTTTGCATCTTTATAAATTAAAAGGCCTGCCAACAGAAGCCGCAACACAGGCAGAAACATAGGGACCCAGCTCCTTTCCTCCTTACTACAGTCTGAAAGGAATCCTTTTCGAGGTGGAGGAGTTTGTTTCCAATTTAGATCCAGAAAGTAAGTGTGACACACCTATCAAGAATGTGGGAAATGTTGCACCAGGATTTCACCAGCCTTCCACAACCTGGAGCTTTCCAGATAGTCTTGGTCTACAATTCCCATCAGCCTCAGCATCATATATGCTGGCTGGGGTTGATGGGAGTTGTAGTCTAATGAGAGAACTTGCCACAGCTGAGCCTCTCTCTCTCTTCACGTGGGACAGGCCACATGGCTTGTACTACCAGCTGCTGGCCACCTGATCAGAGACGGGGTATTCTGTGCTGATCCTCAAGGCCATGCCAGTAGAGCAGAATGCAAGCAAGGCTTTTGTGCTCCAGCAGTCTTAGTGCTGGCAGCAGCATCTGCTAAAAAGGTGCTCTCAAGTTCAGCTGCTGATTTAATAAGGCACCACCAACTCTGCAGGGAGTGCGGAGAAAAGAAAAAGGCTTCTTAATGACACCCAACAGAGCTGTTTGTTTGAAGCAATGAGGCCCACAGGTAGACCCTGGAGGCTCCAAGCTGCCTTGCATGGAAAAATGCAATTATTTCATCAGGTCAGGTGTGCTCCCCGTCTTCATGCTAGGAAATTCTGCAGCCTGTCCAATATCTCTCAACCCCACACAGCCAGCTATTCATAACCCCCATGTCTACACACACTCTATGTTTACACATATCAATCTTCATTCCCCAGTAGCACAGACTTATTGGAGACCAACTATAATCAGAGGCTGTTTACATACACGGTCCCCACAGGCTTTCAAAATCCACATTTTTATAAAATCCTACAAAAAGGAAACATGGTTACTAAGAGCCAGTGTGGTGCAGTGTTTTCAGCATCAAAGTAAGAGACCTTAGGAGGACAGGGTTCAAACCGTTGTTCAGCCATGAGGCTCACTGAGTGACCTCTGGCCATTTAATCTCTCTGCTTAACCTACCTCACAGGATTGTTGTGAGGATGAGGAAGAGTGGGACAGCTGATCAGTGCTGTCTTCAAGTCCCACTTTTGGCAGGAATCGGCTTTGTTCAGGACCTCCGGTTGGGAGCTCTCAAGCAGAATCTATCCCAGTGACACTGAATTTAAGAACTGTGCTTGCCAAGAAACTATTTGGAGCACATTTTAAGGCTTCCAGTTGTTTCTTTGTGGCTGTATTTTTACTTGCTCCACACCTGATGCAATATATTGTGACATGTGAGGCAGATGGGTATGGCTTGAGGGAAAACAGCCTCATGGGCCAAATTAGGTCCACGGGCTGGAGGTTCCTGACCACAGGGCTAAAAGAATGTACAAGGGGCCAACAGGTGCCCAGAGGAGAAGGAAAATCATTCTCCAACCCAAGGAAAAGTATGGGAGAATGGCAGGTCACCCAGTCTACTGTCTCCTGTAGGTTTGCCCTGTCTGGTGCCTTCCAGATGTCTTGGACTACAGCACCCATCAGCTCCGGCCAGCAGGCTGGCTGGGGCTGATAGGAGTTGTAGTCCAAGACATCTGGAAGGCACCAGACAGAACAAGGCTGTTCTGATGCTTTGGCTTAAGCTTGTATGTTGCTCTTCATAGCCCTAAGGGTGAGCAACATGCCTTTTTGTCTCATTTGTACTTCTGGGAGATACAGAAGTAACCCCCAAAGGCTGCAAATCGTAGCTTACTCACCCCTCTGTTTTCCGGCTCAGGTCTCTGGCCTTGAGGCCGTGGTGGTGTCTTCTCTCTGCAAGAGACAATTCATTCAGTCAAGCCCAGCCCAGCTCTGGTCAACTCTGGGACCTGATGAACACCACCTGGACCCAAGAGTTCCTTTCTTTCCTTCCACTGCATTCCAGCCATGGGGGATGGGGTAGCTGAAGAGGTGTTTCCATGCCTATCTTCCTCTTTAATTGCTGGCCTATGTTGAAACTCTTATCATTATTATTTGAGAGAGAGAGAGACAGAGAGTGTTGCATCAGTGTGACCATCACAGACTGTAAGAGGGTGGAGACCTTTCACAATAGTGGAATATAGGAAGCTACTTGACATCAAGTTAGACCATTGCTCCACCTAGCTCACTACGGTCTACCCTGACTGGCAGCAACTCTTTGGCGTTTAAGGCAGGAAGTATTTTCCCAGCCCTCCCTGGAAAGGCCACTGGGGATTGAACCTGGGACTTTTTGTCTGCAAAGCAGATGTTCTACCACTGAGTGACAGCCCGACACTATACTGAGTCAGTCCACTGACCCATCCAACTCAGTATTGCCTACCCTGACTGACATCAGATTTCCAGAGTTTCAGGAAGGAATCTTTCCCCAGCTTTAACTGGAAATGCCAAGGGTTGAACCTTTGCATTTGAGGCAAGGGGGCAGCATCTGGGTGATGGAGCTGCAAATGACTATCAGACTTCAATAAGCTGGTAGTACTACTACTACTACTAATAATAATAATAATAATATACACCACCCATCTAGCTGGGTTGCCCCAGTCACTCTGAGAGGCGTCCAACGCACATAAAAACATAATCAAACATGAAAAACTTCTCGATACAGAGCTGTCTTCAGATGCCTTCTAAAAGTTGTATAGTTATTTATCTCCTTGACATCTGATGGGAGGGCATTCCACAGGGAGGGCGCCACTGCCGAGAAGGCTCTCTGCCTGGTTTTCTGTAACCTCACTTCTCGCAGTTAAGGAATCACAGAATTGTAGAATTGGAAGGGACCCCGAGGCTCATCTAGTCCAGCCCCCTGCCAGGCAGGAATTGAGAACGTTTGATAATCTAGTATATGAGTCACAACACTTTTCACTGCCACTTTTACAGTTTACAGCAATGCTTCATAGCATAATGAAATGTCTTTTGCACTAATGTGCCTATTGGGGCTGATGTTATCAGACTGGTTTCTTTTAAAGAGCAGCTCAAGTTACTTATTCCTACAGATCCACATTGCATAATTCTAAATCCTTAGAAACACTCAGGATCTCAAATGCATTTTCATGAACAGTGTTGCCCAGTTCTCATGCTCTAATCAGCCTTGTCTATCAGCCTGCAGTGAAGGGGAATAGCGAAGTTCTCGTACACAGGCAAATGCTCCAATTCCAGCTCAAATTATTTCCACAGGTTAACAAATTAAACTAAATAGTTTTAATTGGATTTTGGATTAATGTGCAACTAATTGTTGTTGTTCTCAAACTGACGGTGTTATTATCTTCCTTAGTGGGTTATGCTAAGTGCCATTCTGTATAATGCTTTTTTTAATAGTGTAGTACACTAGGGGGCATTGGGGATGAGTTTATGGAACCAAGGGGGTGGCAGCCCAAAAGGGTTTGGGAACCACTGCTACAGACAGTTCAAGCAGGGAGATTTTAAAAGATAAGACTACAGATGGGTGAAGGCTTTGCAGGCATTTGGCAACAATATCACCTAAACACACCACGTTCACTTCTGCAAATCCCACTCCATAAGGGCTTGTGGCTCCCACAAAAGAAAGGCTGTTTTTGTAACACAGGCATGGGGCACCTTTGGCTCTCCTGATGTTGCTGAATTACAACTCCCATCATCCCTGACCATTGGCCATGCTTCCTGCGGGCCAGTGGGAGCTGTAGTTCAGCAACAGCTGGAAGGCTGCACACCCCTACAGCTGTAGGAAATAGCTTCCAACATTCTTACCTGGGGTCCTGCTGTCCGGTGCTGCCCCTTCCATAAAGTGGGATGACCTTGTCGCGGCTGATACCTGCTTTACATACAGGACACACCTGCCGATTGGGCCTGGTCTCTAACCACTGAAAAGGCAGGAAAGAATGAACAAACCTGAGCAAGAGACTAGAGATGTGCCTTGCATGAAGCACACAGGACTCCCTATTGTGCAGTTCCCTTTCTAGAGAGGCTAGTCTGGCTCCTTCCTTACTATCTTTCCATCAGCAGCCCAAGACCTCCCTGTTCAGAAAGGCCTTTGGAAACGAGGTGCAATCAGTATTTTAATGCTGGTTCTGAATGTGATTTATTTTATTTTAAATATGGTTTTTAACTAGTTTGTTTTCATCCCTTTGTGTTTTAGAACGAGGTTTGTAAAATGCTGTAAGTCTCCTTGAATCAAATTTGGGAGAAAGGTGGGATTTAAATACATTAACGAATCAGAATCATAATACCACCACCGAAAGCATATGCTAAGTGTCATCGCATGTGCCATTCACAAAATCTTCTGGGCACAAGGAATCATCTCCGCCTCTCCGCCACTGCCAAACATCTTCTCATGCTCTCAGCACTTTGGGACCATTTTTACTGCATGGTTCTGTGGCAGCAATATCTGGCTCCCTTTAGATATTTCACTCTAAAACACCTTCATTTCAGCCAGCATGTACTTCAACTCCCCAGCATTGTACAGCTGTGCTGGCTGAGGCCAGTGGGACCTGGAATCTACAACATCTGGAGGGCCCCAGGTTGACAAAGGCTATTGTGTGGCATGCAGACTCTTCTATCACTTTTGTGGCCTGACCCACACTTTTTCCTCAGCATCCCTTAACATACAACAGGCCACAACTCTTGCCTCAGGCCTTTAAGCTGCACACTAACATATGGCCTCTCCCACCCCAGTATTTGGAAGTTGGTGCAGGGCACAGAGATGGAAACTCCTCACTTTTGCCAGTGACAAAAGCAGGTGACACTGACGTAACCTCATTTTCATATTTATACTGACCTACCTTTACAGAGCTGTTGCACCAAGAGAGTGTACAAAAGTGCTCTGAACACTCAGCCACCTCGCAGATACTTATTATTTATCTGTGCCATCTCACTGAAACCAATAGAAGCTTCCAACAAAGAACAATCACCCCCACAGAAAAAGCTGCAGATTACAAACTATTGCATGCAAACAGTTATTAGCAGATTGGGTTGCCCTAGAGATCTCTGGTGCACAGGCACCATTTAGAAACTGAAAGGGATATTGCACCTTCTCAGTTCCCCCAGAGAGCTGAGGGGTTGACTGAGCAAGAGGAGCTGATGAAAGACAAAGCAAAAGAAAAGCTAGCTGCCTTACCTGGTGTAAACAAGGCCAACTGTTGAGAATCCCAGAATGATTTGTTCACAGGGCAGGAGGAGAGCAGCGGTGGAGGCAGGAGGAGAAAAGGGAGAGAGATCAAAATACACTGAGCAAGCAATAGACTGGAATCCAGCCCTGCCGGTTCCACAGTTGGGTATTAAAACAATAATATTTAAGTAAGAAAGCAGCTAGGGGTGGTGTTTTTTTTTAAAATTGCTTCACTTCCAGATAATACAATTTGCTTCTCTTCTAGGTAGTACCAAGCCTTATGCAGTTGAGGGAGTTGGATATGGTTAGCCTGGATAAGACTGAGATATGATATGAAAGCCATCTTCAAATATCTAAAGTGCTGTCGCAATGTTGCATGGAAGATGAAGCAAGCTTGCATTATCCTGTTCCAGAGGGTGGGACCAGATCCAATGGATTCAAATTACAAGAAAGGTTAGACCAAGTAAACATTAGGAAGAACTTTCTGGCAATAAGGGCTGTTCGATAGTGGAACAGGCTCCTTCGGAAGGTGATGGACTCTCCTTCACTGGAGGTTTTTAAACAGAGGTTTGGTGGCAGTCTGTCAGGGGTTCTTTAGCATTCCTGCATTGCACTCAGATGGCAGATGGCCAGCCTGCAGATTTCCCCAGTGCATCAGAAATTCCTGTTCATGCATTATTTTATTTTAAGTAATGATAGGAATGGAGGGAGAAGGAAAATCTGGCTTATACAGCTGTCCTGGGCACACACTCTAAAATGGGCATGAGGCAGAGGGGTGGAGAGAATCACCCCAACTTTACCTAGAGGCAGCTGAGCTTTACATTCCAGCAGCCTCAGAAAAAGAAGAACCCAACACAGTGAAACTGGAGTATGCAAATGGAGCATGAACTAACAGGACCACACGAGGGTATTTTGGGCTGAAAGTTGTTTCCGCACAGGTGTGGCAGCATCTAGAACTGGCTTCTCACCAGCGCTGTGGAAAAGCAAGCCAAAGGCCTTCCTCAACCTGGTGTCCCCTCCATACGACGACTTAGCCAGTGTTCAGGGACAATGGAAGTTACGTTCCCAATAAGAACAAGAATAATGATGATTTTTCCATAGCCGCTTTGTCTTATGGCCGATTTTATCATACATGTTTGAATACACATTCATTCACCACTTAAGGCATTCTATATTAAACAGTTTATACATTCACAATCAAATACGTAAAACAGCAAAACTGCACTCATGCCAGTCCCCAGGCTCTGCCACGCTCAAGGTTTACCACAGCACTGAGGGCAGGGCTCTCCAGGTAAAGGTGTGGCACTAGGAAAGCAGGTCTTACAGTGGCTCTCACTGAGTTCCATGAACAAGTGCATCCCAGACCACAGCAGGGGCCTGATCCTAGCACACCTGGCATCACTGTGCCCACAACTGCACCCCTTTCATACACCCTCATGGGATTAAACAGCTGCCATTCATTCCCATGGGAAGAATGCAAAGAGCCAGATGTGGGGAACTGAACTTCCCAACTGACACCTGGCTGGCAGGGGCACTGCCAAGGAGAGAGACGAGTGAGGGGCACACACAGGAGTGGGAGTGGAGAAGCAGTATTTGTTTGCGGGGGTTTTTTTTAAAAAAAAAAACCCCACACAAACTTTTCTAACATTTATGTAGGCAACTCAAGAGCTTGGCGTAGAAAGCAGATGAACAACTGGCCAAGAGCACCAGGATACTGACCAGAAGAGGTGCCCGCATAGGCTGATCACAGCATCCTTGGCCGTATCCAAACAGATGTTGCACTCGAAAGTGCTGTCCTGGCTTGCCCCGTCCCCGCTGCTGCTGTTGCCACTGGTCCCGCCAGCATTGTTGCTTTCGGTGGAGGTAGAAGCTGCTGGCCCTTTGCTGGCCATTCTTGTCACACCCAGTCAGGAAATTTTTAATGCAATTGAACTCTGAGAAAGAAAGAAAGAAAGAAAGAAAGAAAGAAAGAAAGAAAGAAAGAGAATTTAGGGGACACCATTATATTATTTCCCTAATCCAGACCCAAGGAGGAGATGGTGGCACTACCGTATGTCTCCAACCTGGCATCCTCCACAGGTTTTGGAGTAAAGCTGGGCTGGCTGGTGCTGAAGTACAAGCACCTGGAGGGCACCAGATTGAGGAAAATAATACTCTATAGTGTTTATTTTTGTACAGTGAAAGCCCTCAGGCCATTTTTTATCGTAGTCCAGAGAAATCTTGGGCAAGCTGAGCAACAACCTGGTTTTAATATACCCTCATGACTGGCACTGATGGGACCAAAGCAATCTCTAGGCCTCCCAGTGAGTTCCCTGCTTGTTTCTTTTAACCGAGCCCCGCAACATTTAGCATAGCAGTTTACAAACACTCCCTGAAGTTCAGTGCATGATAATATTAATACATCCAAAGCCTTTTTTGGTTTTTTAATTCATGGCACTTCCCAGTGGGCTTGGCACAGCTAAAGCTGGGGATGGGTTTAACAAAGATGCATGGATGCACAGCAGAACACCTTTGAGAATTAAACAGAATACGCTAAAAAAACAAAAACTTTCTCAATTTGTATTCATTCAATTAATCTTAAGATCCTTCATTTCCAACTTAACAAAATCCACAGACAAGCCACCATATGTCTACAACTCAGGGTGTAAAAGCAATATACTGGCCCACTTATTGCAACAACATCCACCCTAACATTCAATTCAAAAGCTAAAAATAACCACCAACAATTAGACAAAACCATTGATTTCATTTGGCAGCTCCATGTTTTATGCATGAAAAAAATGACAGCAATTTAAACTGAGGAATCATTTACACTTTAACCAACTACTCAATGAATTTATTAAAATTCAAAGGTATCAAAGAAAACACAACCTGGAATTTAACAAACAGGACCCTCCCACTCATTGTTCAAAGAAAGGTTCTCCCTCTCATTCCTGCCACGTCAACAAACCAAAACATACATAAACATGGGTGCTCTTGAAAACTCAGCTCACCAATTATAATTTATCTGATGGCAAATGACTAATCAAACTTTCGTAGATTACCATACTAATTAAAGCTTACAGCACTTTTAAAACCCAGCAGTGTGTAAGCAGCTGAGAAGTCCACTTCTTACACAAGGGGACCCCCGTCTTAATACACTATGCGGCTCTTCCAAAAACAGAACCCCCTCCCTGCTATCTTATCATTTTGCCTCGCTTACCTGAAGCGAATTCAGCCCCTCTCTGCTTCCTTTCCTTGCAAAAACGCCAAAGGAGAAAGCACAAGTACTGAACCGGGACCTTATCCGCATCGCCACTTGGCTCCTGTGAAATGGTGCTTTTTGCATAGGGGAACGCAGCTCCACAGTGGGTCCAGAGCAGCTTAATGCCCACATCACCAGAACTTGGCAAGTGGGAAAGAGGAGGCACCTATTTCAACAGAACTCTTTTCATTCAGTTACATCATTTTGCAGGGGGCTCCCAAAGGGCAGCCTTGCAATCAGCTAGCAAGCTTTAATGGATGCAGCTTCTGAGCTCTACAGATTTTTCAGTATTTCAGCCACTGCTAGTAAAATCATGCATGCATTTCAAATGAAAAAAAGTGGCAAAACACACACACACCTTCATTAAGCCAGACACTTCTCATGAAACATTAAGCTGCAAGCTTATGAACGTTCTAGTGGTTTCCTGCTTTGGAGAAAAGTTATCTAACCTGGACGTTACCCTTTTATATAAGTGTCTGCACCCAGGATATACATACACCTTGCTTTACATGTTGACTTCTCGAGGCTCTGTTTCCCATTCTACTATACTGCCTTGGACCTTTGCTCCAGTTTTGCAATTCTCAGCTATCCTGAGCCTTCAAGCCACTCTGACAGCACAATCCTATCTATGCTTATTTGGAAGTAACCCCAGTTTGTTCAGTGGACTTACTCCATAGTAAATATGTTTATGATTTTTATTTAAATAGTCTTTAAATAAAATATTGTATGAGCATTGTAACAAAGTCTTGTCATCTGTGACCACAAAATCTTTTGGATTAATTATGCACAGCTCACTAGACGCAAACGAGCTAACATCAAAAACAAAACAAAATCAATGCCTGTGGAATAGGGTTGGGAAAATCTCAGGTGGTCACTCATCCAGGCAGCTAAAATTTGTATTTTGACACACATGATTTTTCAAATACTTCTTTGTCTTTTTACAGGGCTGAACATTAGGGACCCAAAATATTTTTCCAGGCGATTAACTGGATAACTTTGGGAGGGACTGCCCAGATCACCTCAATGTGATCTCCTGCACAGATGTTCATTTCATTTCACGCTCTTAACATACTAGTTCCTAAGAAAATAAAAAAATTGTCCAGCAGCACCTTAGAGACCAACTTAGTTTGTTCTTGGTATAAGCTTTTGTGTGCACATGAAAGCTTATACCAAGAACAAACTTAGTTGGTCTCTAAGGTGCCACTGGATAATTTGTTTAGTTTTTTATATATTTCGACTGTGTCAGACCAACACAGCTACCTACCTGAATCGAGTTCCTAAGAAAACATTTAGCATGCATTATTCCTTTATTCTGGAAAAAATATATATCCAATTTAACCTGTTAGATCATGCATGTAAATTATCTCCATGTCTGGAATAGTTCTGCATTAATACATTTATAGTAAAGTCTTTTGACTTCACCCTTAAAGGCACACTCCTCCATTGTCTCCCGAGCCAGACGGATTCCAGAAACAACAAAGTAAGGTCTATATCTGCACATGCCCAAGCATGGTGGTGGTGGTTGTTTTAAAAAGGCAGCCACCATCCTATGTAACTAATTGGGAGTAAACCCTGCTGAACTCAGTGGCACTTACTTTTGGGGAAATATTTGTGCCATTTAACTGAGACACACAAAGGCCACTCTTGAAGAAGAATAGAGGAACAACATCAGAAAATTCCACAAGTCAAATGCAGCTTCTACCAACAGTCTTTGCAAAATGCTCTGGTTTTGAATGGATAAAAATGAAGAAACACATAGGAATAAATCACCAGCACTTACACAGAATTTATAAACAATCTTAACAATGAACAACACTAATTGAATGGAATTAAGTAAGACCAGTTCACTCAATATTTTTCATGTATCAGTTAAGGGTCTTGCACCATGCCTGCACCAAGATGTAAAGGCCTGGGGCGACCCGAGAGATTCAACATAACAGCAAATTTTTGCCTATACAGCCTGATACAGGGGGAAATGGAGTCTTTGGGGAACACACATAAAACAAGCCTTTTAAAAGTTTAGAACTGAAAGCTATGGCTACATGCTATTAAAAAGCATACTAACAGCAATCCTGGCTTGGTTACATTTTGCTGGATATATCGCTAGTCTTTTAATGTTGTAATCTGTTCATTACAAGAAGAGGGTTCATTTTCTGAGCTGCTACTCTATTCTATTTTATTTCAGAATTGATTAGCCACTCTACAATCAGAGAATACCCAAGTGATGCACAGGAATTGAATATAAAACCCAAGAGAGAAAACTGCAGGAAAAAACACTTCAGTCTGATAACATGGAAGTCTACACACTATTCTGAATCCCAAAATCTTTGGTTTTGTTAGGCCTCCCTGTAGCTGATCACCACAGGAATGCAGTGAGGGGGAGGGGCACCTCTCTTCCTCACTCTGCACTACAAGGCAAGAAGTACATTTTAAAGTTTAACAAATAAGAGGTAGTATGCTGGGCTGTTGGTTCATCTAGTCCAGTATCCTGCTTTCAAACATGGTCACCTTGGTGCTTTCAGAAAGGACATGAAGGTGTGTACTTTCCTAAATACCAGTAAAGTGTATTTTTTAAAAGAACTTGAAGTTGACAGCCCATCCCCCATAGTAACTGATATTCAGAGGTAGATACTGTCCCTGAACATGACGGCTCCAATTTGCTACCATGGCCAAGAAATGTCTGCAGACCCTTCCTCCTCTTTGAATGCATCAAATCCTGCAATTCCTGTTGCAGACCATTTACAATCACAGAAATAAGGAGGGTCCAAAAAGAATACATCTCAAGTGTGAAGATTTTGTGTCAGTTTTAATATGTTTTTAGTTTTTCAATTGTTTTATTTTTAAATGTTTTAAGCAGTTGTTTTTAACAATCATTTATATATGGAGAGAGAGTAAACTGCTTTGAGACATACCCCCCCTTTTTTTTACAATCAAACAGTATATAGATTCTATAAAACAAATAAAAGCCACAGTGCAAACATGCCAAGTCTTCGGCATGAGACCGCCAGTATACCACAGCAGCTACAGTGTTGGACCAGGACCTGGGAGAGAGAGTAAGGTTCAAATCCCACCACAGCCATGAAGCTCACTGGGAGACCTTGGGCCAGTCACTGTCTCTCTAGTCCTAACCTACCTCACAATTTATCCTTGTTGCAAGGATAAAATGGACAAGGGGAGGAACATGCCAGACACTTAGAACTCCTTGGAGAAAAGGAGTTTAGTCGTTTAGTTGTGTCTGACTCTTCGTGACCCCATGGACCAGAGCACGCCAGGCACTCCTGTCTTCCACTGCCTCCCGTAGGATATAATAAATAGCAATACAGTGGTACCTCGGGTTACAGACACTTCAGGTTACAGATGCTTCAGGTTACAGACTCTGCTAACCCAGAAATAGTACCTCGGGTTAAGAACTTTGCTTCAGGATGAGAACAGAAATCGTGCGGTGGCAGCGGGAGGCCCCATTAGCTAAAGTCGTACCTCAGGTTAAGAATAGTTTCAGGTTAAGAACGGACCTCCAGAACGAATTAAGTTCTTAACCCGAGGTACCACTGTAATAATGTTGGGGAAAATAAGGTTCTGTTCGGCTACAACAACAACAACAATGTTGGGGAGAATAAGGCTCTACAGTATTCGGCTACAACAACAACATTGGGGAAAATAAGGCTGTACAGTGGTACCTCGGGTTAAGTACTTAATTCGTTCCGGAGGTCCGTTCTTAACCTGAAACTGTTCTTAACCTGAAGCACCACTTTAGCTAATGGGGCCTCCTGCTGCCTCCGTGCCATCGGAGCCCGATTTCTGTTCTAATCCTGAAGCAAAATTCTTAACCTGAAGCACTATTTCTGGGTTAGTGGAGTGTGTAACCTGAAGCGTATGTAACTCGAGGTACCACTGTATTCGGCTATCCTACCACTGATAGGCTCTCCCTCCCTACCCAGCTGGATTGGGCCAAGCTGGGATCCATGGAGATCCCAGTACAGTGGTACCTCGGATCCCAGTACAGTGGTACCTTCAGGTTAAGAACAGTTTCAGGTTAAGAACGTACCTCCGGAACGAATTAAGTACTTAACCCGAGGTACCACTGTATTCCGTTTCCAACAGCGGTCAGCCAGACGAGCCCCCCCACCCCGACACTTTACATGAGGGAATGATGAAAGGCAACATACTGAGCCTGACCAGCAGCCTCGACCCCCATACCCGCCACCCCACAGAGAGCAGGAGGCGAGTCGGGAGCCCCGGCACCTGCTCCCAAGGCGGAAATTCTCTCCTGACAGGCCCCCGGCCCGGCCAAGGTCAAGCTCCCCCTTCGCCGACCCCGGGGACCTCCCCCTTGGCCTCCTGCGGGGCTCTCACCGGAGTCGGCGCGGGCTCCTCCGGCTGGCGCCTTCCGCCGCTCGCGGCCCTTCGCTCTCTCGAACTCCACCTCCGCCCGAACGGCAACTGTCACCTGATTTCTTCCCCTAGCCGGAAGCCCGGCCCCACAACAGGAAAGGGGGTCCCTTATCCCAAGGGCACACGCCGTCCCCCGGCGCGAAGGTTCTCCCTGTTGCCCCGGAGGCAGCCGCGACAAAGGTTCCGCCTGCCAAAAGGCCCGCCACTCTACGGAGGCGGCTGCTTCCTCGAAGCCCGGGCCGAGTTCTGTGAGAAAGGTGGGGCCGAGCCAAGGGCCACGTCACTTTAATGTATGGAAATAGACGACGAGGAGGAGGAGAATGAAGGATTCATGACGCGGTGTGGCAGCATTTGCACTTTGGAACTCCCTGCCTCTTGATGAGGGGCTGCTGCTGCTTCGGAAGCCTGCTATACATTTTTGTTTGGGCAACTCCCATCAGCCCCAGCCAGCACAGTAATCGGACTTAGCGTCATCTGGCTATGCTAATGGGAGTTGTAGTCCAATTCCGAGGGCACCGGGCTAGGGATGGGCTGAGCCACGAGGTCTGGACCACAGCGCCCAGGATGCACTGCGATCATGGGGATTTCCATCATGTCGGCTATCAGGAGTAGCAACAGCAGCAGCGGCAGCGAGGAGGAGGATTTGGGGCGCCTCCGGGAGGCTGCCTGGGACCCGGTGCTACAGCGAGCAGCAGCAGCGGCCCTGCTGGTGCCCAAAGGCGGTAGGGAGAGCCCTGAGCGGCAGGCCTGCCAGCACCTTCCTCTCTCTAGATAGAAACTTTACCCATCCCAAAAGAAGCCCTGCAGGAAACCCATTTTTGTGTGTGCCAGAAATAGGGCTGTATCCAGTTGATTTCTTAAAGCCAGGAATGGGGCACCTGCATCTTCCTTGGACTGCAACCCCTATCATCACTGGCTGGCGCTGATAGGGGCTGGGCGCTCCAAAAGCCAACGGCCACATATACCTGCCTTAGACTGATGGATAAGAAGCCTTTAAAGTCAATTAAAGATTGGCTCGAGGCACGTGACTCAGAACAATGATCCACAAAGGTTTTGATGCTTTTTTGCAGCACCAACAAAAATCTGTCAGAAATCAATCTTTTCGTGTAGCAGCACTAACGCTTTGGAACATCACTGTATTCTTACTCTTCGACACCTGCTAAGAACATTTTCATTTAGGCAAGCCTAGCTCAATATCTAGAACACTGGTGTGTTTTTAGTTTGTTGCTGGTTTTAATTTTTTTAATAATTGCTTTTGCTAATAATTTTATTGCATTATTCTTTTTGTAAACTGCTTTTGTAAAGGGCTCGCTAATGAATTTGAATTAACTTCGCTTTCATGTTGGGCCTAATTGTTAACTTTTTGCAGGTAACTTTAAGAAGAGCAAGTTGCCATCCGCTGAACTTAGCATCAGGTAACTTTGCTTTTTTGAAAGTTTACTGAGCGTTGTGTTCTGTTCTACTAGAAACTAAAATTTGAGCTACATAGCCATAAGAATCATGTGGTACATTGCCACTTATGTGACGGTTTGGTTCCAGGGGTCTGCATGCAAAGGCAAAATTGTGCAAAGTCAAGAACCCCTGGTAATCAAGTTTTTATTGAGGATAAAGATATATAATAAGAACAAGGGAATACTCTATTCCAAGGAAATACTCTGTTCCACAACTGTTTCCATTCTTTTTGACATGTTTTAGCCCCAAGAGGCTCTCACCAGGCATGCTGGTCTAAATGCATCCCTGAGTCCTCTGCCAGAAAGCTGGTCATAATTCTAGGTTTAATTATGCTTTTCTCCAATTTACCCAGGGGTAGGATAGCAGGACTGTACTTACCTAGATCTTAAAACAAAAACAAAAACAAAAAAACCCTAGGTGAGTTATAAGTCTGTTTCTCATACCTCCGTGTCATGTATTGGGCAACCTGAATTGGTGCCAAATGTGTTTATATAAGATCTTTGGCTTCTCTGCTTGGCATTCGCACTGAGGCCATAACTCAGATCTTTCATACTGCACAGCCCTCTGGCTGGCTCATTACAGTTTTCAGGATCTGATTCCAGCTTCTTCTTTTCAAGGCAAAGGGAACTGTTTGCTACAAACTTCCAAGATAATTTAGTAGTTTATTCTCTTTAAACAGAGAGAAGGTCTCCGATCACGGGCAGGATGGGAATGAGCTGCAGACCACTCCAGAATTCCGAGCTCATGTTGCAAAGAAATTGGGAGCAATTTTGGACAGGTATATGTTCTCAAAGGTGTGACATTGATGCTCCTTGAGCCCTTCCCCCAGATAAAAGAGGGTTCATATTTTCTGGAGAGTTCTAAGTAGAAATTGCTTTGGTGCAGAAATTCTTCAGGACACACCCAGTGCTCCAGATTAAAGGCAGATGCTAAAGCACTGACATCACATGATCATGAATTTTTAAAACCATTATCAAAGCCAGCCCCAAGTTTAATGCACTTCAGTCATCCAGGTCATGGATAACTAGCATATCAAGGAACAAATAAAAAGCTTTTTGAAAAAATAAAAATAAAAAAGCAACTTTGTAAAATTAAATTAAAGCGTTAGAACATAAACTCCTGTCTTTTTTTTTTTTTACTTTTGTTTGAGGGAGGAAGGGAGGGGCAGGTCATGCAATCACAGGCATGCTAAAATCCTGGACTAAAAAATTACTTCCACTCCAGGTGAGAGGGAAAAATAGCTATGAAAGAAACCAGGAAGTTCCATCTCTGGGCAACTGTGACTACATCTAGGATTTACTGTCTCTGTGGGTATTATTGCTGCTTCCTGGTCAATCCTAGCTGACTGCAGCAGGGAGTTTCCCCATAACAGGTGGGTGGAATAATGCCTGCACATTTCAGCTCTGGTTTTACAATCACAGAATTACAGAACTGGAAGGGTTCCAAAGGGACATCTAGTCCAACCCCCTACAATGCAGGAATCAGAGCTAAAGACTTGCTTCTTTAAAAACAAAAACAAAAAACAAGCATGATAATGAAAACTGGGAATCTGGACTGGCAAATGAGTACAGTGGTGCCCCGCAAGACGAATGCCTCGCAAGACGAAAAACTCGCTAGACAAAAGAGTTTTCCGTTTTTTGAGTCGTTCCGCAAGACGACTTTCCCTATGGGCTTGCTTCGCAAGACGAAACGTCTTGCGAGTTCTTGCGAGTTTGTTTCCTTTTTCTTAAAGCCGCTAAGCCGTTAATAGCCGCTAAGCCGCTAATAGCCGCTTAGCCGCTAAGCCGCTAATAGCCGTGCTTCGCAAGACGAAAAAACCGCAAGACGAAGAGACTCGCGGAACGGATTAATTTCGTCTTGCGAGGCACTACTGTACCAGATTGTCTGGCCAAAACCTAACCAACCAATGAGTCTCCTAGGCTTGCTGTATCATTTGTGTCATGCCAGTATTTTAACATGACCCCTGGTTTCCCTTATCGTTGTGCAAATGTAATTCTTTCTTTTAGCTCCATTACTATTTTGAAGCGTTCTCCAGAACCTGCACAGGACAATTTGCAGTCCTCAGAGACTGAAGACGATGGTGAGTGGGTTCTCTGCATAATCTAAAATGCTTTATATCAATTTAAGTGTTGCTTTGATTCTTTGTGTATGTGCATTCTAAACTTGTTGTGTCAGGAACTCTGGAGTTTGAAGCAAGGACCTTGGAGCCTGAGGCTGTGTATCCTCAAACCTCAAATATTTTATTGTTAGGTTTTTGTGTTTATTAGTCACATTTTTGTAGTTGGGTGTCTCAAAGCAACTTCCACAATAAAAATAGAAAGAACTAATACATTAAAACCAAGTAGGAAAACAACAATACCACCAAACTAAAATACTTTTTTTTTTTAATGATATTTATTAAAATTTTCAAAAGATACAAAAATTACACAAAAACAAAGAGTAAAAGTACAAAAAATAAAAATAGAAAAAAATAGAAAATACAGAAAAAAGAATAAAGAAGAAACAAAACAAGTTCATTATTTTCAGACCCTTAACTGTCATTACCTTCTTTCTTAGACCTCCTCCTCCTCCCTTCCTTTGTATTCTAGTTATTAATTATCCCAGCAAATCCTTTCCCCATGTTTCATAAAATTCTATCATTACATTATCCTCGATTAATTTAATCCTATCTTTCTAAAATAAAGTAAACCTTATAGTTTAAAACTTAAGTCTTAACCTTACCAGCTTCTTGTGATCATAATATTCTTTCATAATTCTTTATGCATCTTTACTAAAGCCAGGTAATTTCTTCCAACATTTTTCTATCATTCATCAACTTTGTAAAACATTCTAATAATAAAAGAAGAGAAAGAGAGATATAAACAAGTCCAATCTTTATCCAGCGTCCCTTTCTCCTGGTTCCGGGATTTGTCAGTCCTTATTAACCCGGTAACCTTATGTCCGAGGCCCTCAAGTCACTTCCATGGCCCTTCCGCAGCTCTTCTTCATACTTATAACTGTAATTTCCCTTATCTCCTCGTGATAACTCCAGCTTGACAATGTCTCTTGCTCGTGGTAACTCCAGCTTAGTAATGTTTTTAACCCTTCTCGTCAGATCAGACCCTTTTCCATATTCATCGCTGCATTCCATGTAGTATTTAAAAGCATGTTTCAAGGGCCCTCCAAATTTGAGAGCCCCCACAGTCCCAAACATATCGCAGCCCATTGCCATATTTAAAAAGTCCAGACATCCCAGCATAGGGGGGTCAATCCAGCCCCCCATTTCCAAGCCACACCGAACTTTCCCTTTCCAGATCTGGCTTTTTCCAAGTTCATTTGTCCAGTCCGAAGGATCATACTCCTGTTGGGTCTGTTCTGTCAAAACACACTCCTGATTTACTGCCCCAAACTCCTGTTCTGTCAAAACACACTCCTGGTTTGAATCCTGAGTAGGCTCCACATATTTTCCCACAGTCTGATCAAGACATTCCACTGCCTGTTTAAGATTTCTAGTCGAAATGGCCATCCGGTTCACCTTATCATGTAATTCTTCCAGTAGAGCATTTGTTTTGTAAAGAACGCGCACCAAGGTTTCTGAAAACATTGTTCTGCACAATCAAACACTTTCCCACGGTTATTTTGTAACAGATGTCAATTCCCTGGAGTTAGTTACAGTTTCAAAAGCTCCCCCTAGGGGGAAGACTTATATTTATTTTTGCTACAAAGTTTCCCTTTTTTTCCCCAAAATACATAGGATACTTTGTCCATATATATTCCTTTAGAGTGCGAAAGGGAACAGTAGAATCACAAAATTTCTCTTCTTTTAGCTGTCTGTCAAAAAACAATTATCTTGGTAAACTCACGTCAGTCCTGACACCCCCGCTCCAGGATCAGGACGGAGGAAAATAACTTCCTTTTGCAGTTACTTCAAATAGTCCAAAAAAATATTCCCAATTTAAAATGTTGAAATCATTCTTTTAAAAACGATTTTCTGAGCTCTAGTGTGAATTGCCTTTGCTTTGTTCTATTTACAAAAGAACGGAAGGGTGACTTCCTGTTTAGCCCTTCCCGCTCCGTACCAAATTCAATAGATTTTTTTTATAGTCCGATTCTGTCCTTTTCACAAATCTTTATTTAATATCCCATTTGTTCAAATTCTAAGTACTCACGGGTGTTTGTTTTAAAGTCCAAATTGTCCCAGGAAAGAAGGCAGCGCTCTCCGGCAGCAGCTATGCGGCTTTGCTCCACGGAAATAGCGATTGACTCACAGCACCACGCCGCTTCCCCCTCCTCACTTCAGAGCCCGTTAGTGGGTTCCTTAGCGGATTGGGGGGGCGCTAAAGGTGCCCGCCGAGTCCCACGGTCACAGGCTTCATCTGCCTGTGATTTGAAGGGGTCCCCGCTTCGCCGTAGCGGAGTAGACCCTGTTTACCGCGGAGCCAGTCCCTCCAGTTCAGAGGGAGTCCGCCATTGCCGGTGGCGCCACCCCGGAAGTCCACCAAACTAAAATACTAACCCAGCAATATATTTTAAAAGAACAAGTCCTTTCCTGCCCCACTTAAAGGATGAGCACAAATCTTGTTAAGTACCTTCCCAATCAAAAATTAAAAAGGCTTGGTAAACAAGTGTCTTCTTGACTGTTGCCTAAAGACAGACAACAATAGCACCAGGCATTCTTCCCTGGTAAGACCATTCCAAAGGTAGGGAGCCACCACTGAAAAGGCCAGTTCTGTGCCACCACCCTCCATGCCACAGAAGACTTGGCCTCTGACGGCAAACACAGTACTCTGTGGAACACACTTCAGGCACAGTAAGGGATAGGTGTATGCAACACCAGGCTCTCAGATTGACAGGCAGTATGAAGCCCCTGGTTTGGTGAGGCCTGGTAGAATTCCAAGAAGCCATACCTGCTGCCCTGCTGGTTAACAGAGCGAGGACCACTTGCACTCCCAGCCTCTCGCTCTAATACAGTGGTACCTCTGGATGCGAATGGGATCCGTTCCAGAGCCCCGTTCGCATCCTGAGCAGAATGCAACCTGCGTCTGCAGGTCGCAATTCGCCGCTTCTGCGCATGCGCATGACGTCATTTTGAGCGTCTGCGCTTGCGCGAGCGGCAAAACCTGAAAGTAACCCATTCCGTTACTTCTGGGTTGCCACGGAATGCAACCTGAAAATGCTCAACCTGAAGCGTCTTTAACCCGAGGTATGACTGTAGTCTTTATTATTATTTTTATTATTTATTAACTTTATATACTGTCCTTCATCCAAAGATCACAGGGTGGCTCACAGCACAAAAATAGAAGACGAAAACACAAAATGTCTAGTTGGGTTGGAGAACTTGCATTCCTACATGTCCTTTGGATATGCGGTCCTGGTGTGACCCCAACACAGAAGGTGCCCTAATAACTTCCCCGCTTTTCTTCCAATGTCTTAGGCTTCCGCCTCTTCTCCTCATCAGTGCCAGGAGACTGTGGGGAGCCAGAACCTCAGGCTGTGGGAAGGCAGCGACAGCGGTACTGCAGCTCCAGGTGAGATGCTGCTCTGGCAGGTGTGCATGACAGAGGTGGAACTGGCCAGCCAGGCAGCTGGCTTAGAGGCTGCAGCTGATGACAGGACTCATCTCTGATGGGGAGGTCTGGCATTTTACACATCCTGCAGCAGGTGGTGGGGATCCCAGGTCGCCCACCCAGCTGTGTCCGACCCTTGCGATGCTCCCAAGGCTACCCCCTCCCTTCCCCAGCACTTGGGATTCCCAGGTGTGTCGATAGTGATTAATTTATAATAAGCATGGCTAGTAGTCATCCATAACCCTCTTCTCCGTGAATTGGTCTGATCCTCTTTTTAAAGCCATCTTAAGTTGGTGGCCGCTGCCGCATATCGCAGGAGCGAATTCCAAGGTTTTAACTCTACCACCGTTTTGCCTGTAACTCTTTCCAGTGAGCAGGACAGTGACGAAGAATGGCAGAGGTGCCAGGAAGCCACGGTGACAGCAGCAGACATCCTGAAACATAGCGGCCTCCCAGCAGTACTCCAGAATTCCAGCCAGGACCACCACTGCCCGGCCACGGAGCCCAGCCAGAAGAAGAAAAGGAGGAAAAAGAAGGCAAAAATGAATGGCGAGAACAGCAATGAGCAGGAGGCCAGAGAAGGAGCATGTCATGGGACTGAAGGGCCCTCGGGCTTCGATGGAGCAAGCAGGAGAGGAGAGAATGCGAGTACGGAGGATATGGCAGTGATGAAGAAGAGGAAGAAGAAGAAGAAAAGGGGGAAAGTGGAAATAAGGATGGAGTGATGTTTTACAAACACTTGGTACTAGGAAGAGCTACCTGATGTGGCTCTTGATTGGTCTGACCTGCATTGAAGGAAACACAGTTGAATTTTATATTTTATGGAATCAAAGAACTTAGTTTGGCACTCCCTGCCGCGAGGGATGCCCTGTAAAAACGCAGAGGAAACTCCCCATGTTACAGAGAATGAGGACTTGTTGGAGCTGCTTACTGGACTGCTCAGGTGGGCAGTGGGTGGGTAAGACATCCGTGGATGGCTCTCCTGGGTCCCTTTTCCCCCCCCTTGGGCCTGCGCAGCTTGTGACCTCCCAGGCTGCCTACTAGCCATGGATCCAGTTCTCCCAAGTGCTCGACAAATCTCTCTACTTTTATATTCTCAAGCCACAAAACCAAGAGGTTCATCGGGGCCCCTGCTCAGCTCAGCTGCCCCATGTGGCCAGTGGGCTATGATCAACTTGGTGGGCAGGCTGAACAGAGCTCGTCATCGTCAAACACTGATAATAGCAGTGGATGGGTGCCTTCCTGACAGGCATGTCACAGTTTGATGCAGACTGATTCCATCTCCCCTGTAATGTCGTCTCAGGGATATTTCTTTTTTAAAAAAATAATAAATTTTTTAGTTGATTTTCTTTTTTTCATAACAAATATCCAATATCAATAACATTCATTTTCCAATTTCCCCCCTCCCTATTGACTTCCCTCGGCTTCCATTTCTGGTTTATTACGTCAGATGTTACATTCTGCTGTTTGTATAAAGTATTGTGTTGTCACATTGTTAAATAAAGTTGTAAGTGTTTATTTAAATCCTGCCAGCGGTCCGTTTTTTTGTTGTTTCTGCAAATATGTTGTAAAGGTTCCCATTCTTTTTCAAAATCACTATTGTCCTTTTAACGCAGTTTATCCATTAACTTTGCCAACTCTGCATATTTCATCAACTTTTCTTGCCATTGTTCTTTTGATGGTATTTCTCCAGTCTTCCAGTTTTGTCCTATTAAGATTCTTGCTGCTGTTGTAGCATACATGAACAATGTCCATTTTTCTTTTGGCAGCTCTTGTCCTAAAACACCTAACAGAAAAGCTTCTGGTTTTTTACAAATGTTATTTTAAACATTTTTTCCAATTCATTTTATATCATTTCCCATTTTTAAAAAATAATCTTACAATCCCACCACATATGGTAAAATGTACCTTCCCCTTCTTTACACCTCCAACAGTTCTTTTATTCTGTTTTATACATTTTTGCCAATTTTGTTGGTGTCACATACCACCTATACATCATCTTCATATAGTTCTCTTTCAACAATATACAATCCGTAAATTTCAAATTCACTTTCCAAAGCCTTATCCAATCCTCAAATTGTATATTGTGACCTATATCCTGTGTCCACTTAATCATTAACTTCTTCATCTTTAGTTTCCCATTCCAAAAGTATATTATACGCCTTCTTTAATAATTTGGACTTATCATCTATAACATCCTTTTGCAATTTGGAAACTCTGTAAGTGAATCTTCCCTTGTTATCCTCTTTGAAGATTTCATTTAATTGTCTGTGGGTCTCAGGGATATTTCTGACCATGAGCTCCATGGTGTAATTTTGGCTGCAGTTGCCAGGCATGCAGAAGCAGCTACTTCAGCTTCTGGTGATGAAATGACTGCTGAAAATGTCCTTGCTCGAGGGCTGTCAGAAGGGCCTGCGCAGTTGAGTTCACAAATGGTTTCTGGCGTTCCAGTTAGTGTCTGCTGCAGCTACAGTTTTACTGTAGCACGTACAGAATGGTTGAACCTTATGCACAATTAACTTGTGGGATTTCAGCTGCTTGCAGTTAACCTTGCATGGGAAAGGAGTTTTAGCTCTCTTCCTTGCTAGAGGGGCAAGACCCACTGAGCATGCCGGTTCTGGGATGCTCTTGTGAGATCTCGTGGGACCGTCAAAGTTCCCATGAGATCCCACATGACCATCCCTGGCCTTCCGTAGTTTGTTCTGTGTCCTTCCTGCCCACTGACCCATTATCAAATTTATTTTTGTATGATATTAAATCTGCTTGAAGTGGGTTCAAATTTAACCAGAGCCGTCTCTCTCCATCTCCTTTCACAGAGGTTGATCTATCTTAAAAAATCTACCTTCACTGCACTTGCTCTGACGCTTGGTAGCTAATGCAGGGCAACTTTTCCAATGGGAACTTGGTTGTCCTCAATATCATAACCCACTTAGAAGCAGCAGGGAGGCACTGTGACGATTCTGAGGGTTTCTGCAGAGCTGGCCCTACTGTTGGGCAATGGCCTCAAGTTGCGGGTGCTGCAGAGAGAATGTGTTTGAGAGCAGAGCTGTGTGTGCCCTGCAGCCCTTAAGCTAGCCTGCTCCTCTTAGGGAGAGAATTGTAGAGAGCTCTACAATTCCATTATTATTATTATTAGTAGTAGTAGTAGTAGTAGTAGTAGTATGCCAAGTGATTTACAACAAAGAAAAATATACAACAACAACTTATACTCCGTCCATCTGGCCGGACCTCCCCAGCCACTCTGGGTAGCTACCAACAGAATATTAAAAACATGATAAAACATAAACATTAAAAACTTCCCTAAGCAGGGCTGCCTTCAGATGTCTTCTAAAAGTCAGGTACTTCTTTATCTCCTTGACATTGTGATGGGAGGGCGTTCCACAGGGTGGGCGCCAGTACAGAAAAGGCCCTCTGCCTGGTTCCCTGTAACCTCACTTCTTGCAGTGAGGGAACCGCCAGAATGGCGGTTTCTATGGAGAAATTATCTGAATGCTTTGGCGTTGAAATCGCACGTGTTAGAGGGAATTATAGGGACAGAACTACCTAAAATATATAGAAACTTATTCATGTATGCAACTACAGCAGCAAGAATGTTACTTGCCCCAAAATGGAAAGAAGCAGAAGTCCCGGCAAAGGAAGAATGGATACAAAAACTTACGGAATATGCAGAAATGGCGAAACTCACCGGACGAATAAGAACTTGAGATAACAAATTTTGAAATTAAAGAATGGAAATGGTTTATTGAATATTTACAGATAAATTATAAACAGATAAAAACTTTGGCAGGAATATTGTAATAACCTGTAGTTTTATAAGAGTACAGTGGTACCTCAGGTTAAGTACTTAATTCGTTCCGGAGGTCTGTACTTAACCTGAAACTGTTCTTAACCTGAAGCACCACTTTAGCTAATGGGGCCTCCTGCTGCCACTGCGCCGCCGGAGCTGTTCCCATCCTGAAGCAAAGTTCTTAACCTGAGGTAATATTTCTGGGTTAGCGGAGTCTGTAACCTGAAAAGTATGTAACCTGAAGCATATGTAACCTGAGGTACCACTGTATGTATTTAAAGAAGATGAATAAATGAGCAAATTAAGTTAATTTGGTTATGCAGAAGATATTAAAAATGAATTTAAAGAACTGCAGAAAGAGGGGGTAGGAAGTTGAGTTTTGAAATGTTAAAATGATTGTAAAATTAGTGAAATGTATAAACCTGAAAAGCATAATTTTTAATTTTTTTTAAAGTGCAATTTCAACCAGCCAGCCTTCAAGACTTAAATTGCAAGAGTTAGATGTGTGCAATATGCGATTGTACAGTACCTTTAAATGGCAACAAATTCCCACTTGTGCCATTTATTACTCTGTTTTTGCCACAGCCATATGAGAGCCATTGCCGGCCGTGTGGATTTGCTGATACCTCAGGCTGTTTCTGCTCCCGATGTGTTTCCAGCTTCTGGCTTAGCCTTTGCGTTTTCCTTTGGGGGGGCACCTGCAGTTAAAGTGGAAGCAAGGAGCAACAGTTCCTCGTTTCAGTACTCAGACAGACCTGGTCATCTTCTCAGTCCATGTGCAGCCCCAGGCAAGGAGGGGGCGGCCGAGGAGACCAGAGTCCTGGGCATCAAAAGTAAAACTCCTCTGGCTGGCTTTGCAAGGTGGGGTGAGGTGGGGAGGGTGAAAGGTGAGGGGGTTGTCTTTACCTAGCTCCTTCTGGCAGTTTGAGGCATTTGGAGGCATTCAGGAGATTTGAATGGAGATTGGCCAACTATTGACAACAGATTTGGTGTGTCCGATTAAATTAAGAAAAGGGTAAATAGGTCAGAGGGACGCGGGTGGCGCTGTGGGTTAAACCACAGAGCCTAGGACTTGCCGATCAGAAAGTCGGCGGTTCGAATCCCTGCGACGGGGTGAGCTCCCATTGCTTGGTCCCTGCTCCTGTCAACCTAGCTGTTCAAAAGCATGTCAAAGTGCAAGTAGATAAATAGGTACCGCTCCCACGGGAAGGTAAACGGCATTTCCGTGCGCTGCTCTGGTTCGACAGAAGCAGCTTAGTCATGCTGGCCACATGACCCGGAAGCTGTACGCTGGCTCCCTCGGCCAATAAAGCGAGATGAGCGCCGCAACCTCAGAGTTGGTCACGACTGGACCTAATGGTCAGGGGTCCCTTTACCTTTAAATAGCCAGAGAATTCTCCAGTAGGAATCAGCCTTATGCCTAATTATAGAACGATAGACCTGCAGAGTTGGAAGGGGACTCTGAGGGTCATCTGGTCCAACTCCCTGCAATGCAGGAATCTCAACTGGAGCATCCATGACAGATGACCATCCAACCTCTGTTTTCAAAACCTCCACAGAACGTCTACCACTTTCTGAAGGAGCCTCTTCTACTGTCAGACAGTTCTCGCTATCATAAAGTTCTTCCTAGTGTCTCTTTCAGAATCCCCTAACTATAGAATACTAACTATAGACGAACCATTAAATAATGCCAAAGAAGTTATTAAAGAAATAGAACAATTTGGAAAAGTAGCAGGTTTTAAATTAAACAAAAGCAAGACTAAAATATTAGTTAAAAATTTGAAACAAGACTTGGTTGATATGTTACAGCAGGAAATTGGTATAGAAGTAGTCAAAAAAGTTAAGTATTTAGGAATTTGGTTAAGCACAATGAACATAGATTTATTTCAAAATAACTATACACCGGTGCGGAATGGAATTAAGAGAGACATGGAAATATGGGGAAGAATGAAATTATCATTTTGGCGAAGGATTTCAACCATCAAAATGAATGTGCTACCAAAGATGTTATTTTTGTTTCAATCAATTCCTATAATCAAGGGGGCAGCAATTTTTAAAGAATGGCAAAAAGCAATTTCAAGATATGTCTGGCAGGGGAAGAAACCAAGAATACAATATAAATTGTTAACAGATGTTAAAGAAAGAGGGGGCTCCGCCCTGCCAGATTTGAAGTTGTACTATGAAGCAGTATGCCTCTGTTGGTTAAAGGAATGGATGCTGTTAGGAAATACAGATTTGTTGTATTTGGAAGGTTATGACAATAGATTTGGTTGGCACGCATATCTATGATAAGGTAAAGGTAAAGGTACACTTGCCCATCAGGGCCAGTCGTGACCGATTCTAGGGTTGCGCGCTCATCTCGCTCAAGAGGCCGGGAGCTGGCGTTGTCCGAAGACACTTCCAGGTCACGTGGCCAGCGTGACTAGCTGCATCTGGCGAGCCAGCACCAGCGCCGCACACGGAAACACTGTTTACCTTCCTCTAGAAAGCTGTCCCTATTTATCTACTTGCACTTAGGGGTGCTTTTGAACTGCTAGGTAGGCAGGAGCTGGGACCGAACGACGGGAGCTCACCCCGCCGCGGGGATTCGAACCGCCAACCTTTCGATCGGCAGGTCCTAGGCTCTGTGGTTTAACCCACAGCGCCACCCGCATAAAACAAAAATCCATAAAGGATTTGGTAATCACATAATTTCAAAGATCTTTATATGAGGTATGGGACAGGTATAAAAACTTATTAGAACATAAAACACTGTGGTGGTTATCTCTATTAGAAGCTATGAGTGTGAAAAAGATAAATATGAGTAAAAATTGGGTTACCTATGAGAAATTGTTGAGGGGGAAAGGAAATAAATGGAAAATGAAACCATATGAAGAGGTTAAAGAATATGTAAAAGATTGGTTGCACTCGCCAAGTCAATTAAATATATAAAGAGGATTTAAAGGGAAAGGATTTGATGATAAAAAATCAAAATTTGAAATAGAAATATAAACAATGAATGTAAAACAATGTCTAAAATGTATAAAATACTGTTGGAATGGCATTTGAAAGATGAGGAAGTGAAATTGGTAATGATACATTGGGCAAAAGACTTTGCATATAATATACAGCTTGAAGAATGGGAAAGGTTGTGGAATGAAAGGATAAAATTTACAGCCTGTAATGCTTTGAAAGAGAATATGATGAAAATGATGTATAGATGGTATATTACATCAGTGAAATTAGCTAAAATGTATAAGACAAATAATAAATGTTGGAAATGTAAAGAAAAAGAAGGAACATTTTATCATATGTGGTGGGAATGTAAAAAAGTTAATAATTTCTGGGAAATGATATATAATGAGATGAAAAAGATGTTGAAATATACATTTTTTAAAAAACCAGAAGCATTTTTACTTGGTATTATAGGTCAGGACATTAATAGGCAAGATGTTAAATTGTTTTTATATGCAACAACTGCGGCAAGAGTATTGTTAGCCCAGAAATGGAAACTAGGAGAAATTCCGACGAAAGAAGAATGGCAGACGAAATTAATGGACTATGCAGAATTGGACAAAATGACAGGAAGGATTCGAAGCCTGCGGGACCAGAGATTTACAGAAGATTGGAAGAAGTATATGAATTATTTGAAGAGCAACTGTAATCAACAAATTACACTAGTAGGACTACAATAAGTTTTATAAGGAGAAATATACGAAGTGTTACAAAATAAAAAAAGATAGAGATATTGGTTATGAGTTTGAAATGTAATAGGGAAGATAAGAAATGCATACTGAGAGATTAGATTGGAAAACTTTCAGACAGGATTGATGGAAGTAAAAAATTTGAATAAGATGTAAAAGTATGTTTAATTACTGTTGAAAATGATATGTTAAAAAAAGTAATAAAAAATTATATATATATATATATAAATGAGTAAACACTTACAACTAAGAAAATAAGCATAAAAGATAAGGAACAATGATCTGGAAAGCAATTAAGTGCAAGATGTAATCTGAATGATATGGTACAAAAATGATAAGAAAATAAGAGCATTTAGTTAAAAGATTTTGAAATTAAGGTAAAATAATGTAAGCAGAAGCAGCAAATACTTAAAGAACCAGAATGGGAAGTTGAGGGAAGTCGCTTGGTGGGGGATGGGGGGAGAATGGGATTTATGCATTCTTGTTGTTTTTTCTTGTTTATGACTATGTTGATATAAAACTGTAAAACCCAATAAACAAATTAAAAAAGAGAGAAGTTTGATTCATGTGGCAAAAAGTTCCGGCTTCCTTTGCTTTTGCCAGTTGCTGTGGAGCCAGTTAAATGACGCTGCCTCCACGGTGGCAGTTATGGAACTGTGTGAGAATGGAATGCTCAGGAATGCTTCATTCCCAGCAGCAAACAGACGCAGCCATTACCCTCCAGAAACTTCCTTTCTTACAGACCCTCTTGGGTGCTGCCTCTTGGTAATTTCTCCTCCCTCAGAGGCTCGCAGTGGGGCATCTATAGTGGGGCATCCTCTGCACACCTTCCAGCTTGTCAACATCCTTCTCAAATTGTGGTGCCCAGAATTGGACATATGAATTCAGGTGTGGTCTGGCCAAGGCAGAAAAGAGAGGGACCATTACTTCCTTGGATTGGGGCACTAGCCTTTGTTGATGGAGCCCAGAATAATATTAGCTTCCCCCCCCCTTTTCTTTTCTTTTCTTTTCTTTTTTTGCTGCTACTACTGCTGCTGCATCACACTGTTGACTCATGTTAAGCTTGTGGTCCATCAAGGCCCCTAGATCCTTCTCCAGGTGTCCCCCCCATCCTATATTTTTGCATCTGGTTCTTCCTGCCTAGGTGAAGAAGTTTACGTTTGTCCCTACTGAAATTAATTCTGTCAGTTTCGGCCCAGTTCTCCAATCTGTTAATGTCATTTTGAATTCTGATTCTGTTTCTGTGGCATTAGCTACCCCTCCCAGTTTGGTGTCATCTGCAAATTTGATGAGCATCCCCTCAATTCTTCATCCAAGTCATTTATAAAGACGTTAAACAACAACTTGCCCAGGACAGAACCCTGCGGAACCACACTTGTCACTTTTTTCCAGGATGACGAGGAACCATTAATAAGTACTCTGGGTTTGGTCAGTCAACCAGCTACAAATCCACCTACCAGTTACCTCATTCAGCCCACATTTTACCAGCTTCCTCATGAGAATATCACGAGGGACTTTGTCAAAAGCCTGACTGAAATCAAGATACACTACGTCCAGAGCATCCCCCTGATCCACCAAGCTTAACTCTGTCAAAGCAGATATTCTGCCACTGAGCTATGTCCCGTCTCAAAGGGCCTCCAGGGGTGTGAATGTATGTTTGGATTCTGTTCCTCCTAAAGGAATTGATCTGAATATGGTTTGCCTTGGAGTACTGGAAATTCTCAGGCAGGGTGGGAGGTGGGGGGAGAGAAAAGATGAGAGCTGGCTCCACTTTGACCTTAGTCCCCCCCTCCCTTGTTTCTTTGCAACAGTTAAAATGGAAGAACCCTCTGAGAACAGGAATGTTGTGCAAGACCTGAAGGAAGACCTCGAGGAGCAAGACCTGGCCCCTAGCCTCCCCAATGGATCCCTCGCTCACAGCAGCCCAGAGACAGGGATTGACCTATGGATATGGGTCCCGTATTTAGCGGGTGAGGCAGAGTCCAGACAGGGTGGGGCAGATGGACTGGTTGGTTCAGAAAACATGGGGTGGGAGGGTATCTGAAGAGAGGAGTGACGCACTCGCAGTGACTGGAGAAAGCAGAAGGGATCTACGCTTGTCCACACTTAGCCAGGTCCTGTATTCCACCAAGGGGGTTCATCCTGGCCTGCCTGGGGGGCTCTCTCCCTAGTTACCTGAAGCAGGTGCATTGGATCTCCAGCTCCCATTCCAGATTCTTCCCAGGATGTGGGGCGATGGGAAGGGCCTCCAGGTACCCTGTTGCTTCCCATTGGGGGACGGGGACTTCTGGCCACAGATTAAGGGGAGGGGAGAGGTCAAGTAGAAGAAGAATTTGCAGACAGTGTGGTCGACAGAGGAAACTACAGTGACATCAACTGGCAACACAGTAGAATTGCAAGCAACTTAATTCCTTATTATTTAGGACATCTCGTGGCAAAAGAGAGGGAACTGCAACTAAAGAGCTCACTAAGTTATGAAATTGAGCCAGTCTTAAAGACTGGACATAGTGACAGTAGATAAAACCTCAATACATAATTTTCTGTCAGAGATACATAAATTAAATTAAATCAAATCAAATCAAAAAAGAACAAGAGAAGACAAATTATGACAGCAAACCAAAAAACAAAAAACAAAAAAAACAACAACCAGGCTCCTCAGCTACTTTACTTCAACAAGGAAGAAGAAATTCAGGAATGGATCCAGATATGGATCTGAGAGAACTGATTTTGAACTTGAAAACAGATATAGGAGAAATGATAAAAAGATCTAGGTGAAATGAAAAAAGAAATGAATGAAAGGGTTAAAGGAATAGAAGAGAAATTAGACAGGAAGGAAGAATGGAGCCAAACTCAAAAGTCTCAGAAACATTTGTCTGGCAGGTGAATGAGCAAATGAGTACAGAACAAAGAACACTAAAAAAAATACAAGAAATAAAAAACGAGACTCAAGGTCAGGAGGAAGTTATGAAGAAAACAACAAAAGAGAATACAGAACCAAGGAAAGAATATAATAAGTTTTAAAAAAAGAAATAGATGAGTTTAAAATTAAACAAGAAGCTACCTAGGATACACTTGCAATTCTACAAATGCAAAGTAGAGAGAAAATACTCAGATTTTGAGGGATACCTGAGGAACCTGAGGAAAATTTACAGAAGAAAATAATAGATAATCTAACCACCTGGTTAGGATTACAGAGAGAGGAGGTACTCAGATACACAGAAAAAATATTCAGAGTCAACCCCGTGAAAGCGAAAGCTAATAAATGGCCAGGAGATTGTATTGTAAGGTTTACTTCAAATTGGATTAAAGATAAGATACTAATGACAAGTAGAGAAAGGAAATTAAAAATCGATGGAAAGGAGATTATAATTTTAAAGGAAATCCCACCCCATCTGCTTAAAAAAACAGACAAATTTCAATTTCTAGCGAAGGCATTAAAAACTAAGTCTATTGATTTTAGGTGGGAATTTCTGGAGGGAATTTCTATTTCAAAGGGAAAAGAAGACGATTTGAAATGGTAAAGGATGCTAATATCTTCTGGATAAAATACTGGAAAGAACTGGGGGGGGGGGGGGGATGGGGACACAAACAGCCCATAAATGGAGACTCTAACAACAAACGAGATCTCCGAACCGGAAGAAGACAGCGAATAATCAGCTGATGAACAATGAAAACACGACTGACTGCTATAAAAGTAGAGTAATAATTATACTTGAACCTCAACCTAAAATATATTTCCCTCCCTCACACTAGTAAGTGATGTAGCAGAGCAGATGCCCCTCAGTATAGCTGAAAGCTAGTTTGCAGGTTCATTTTAATCTCTTAGTTAAGTTTATTCCTGGTGTCCCCTTTTGATCCCTCTTAAAAAAATAAAGACACAAGAGTCTTTCTGAGTAAAGTAACAAAAGGTTGACACATTTCCGTTCGTAATATGATCCCTGAAAGGCAGACTTTGCTTGATAGTTGCACAAAGAAACTGTGTGAGTTTGTCTCATATGGAAAGTGAACTCATGTGCTGCTGGCTGAGAGCCAGCAGATAGCAAAATCACATTAAGATCACAAAATGGCCGCAGGACAGCAGCATGGCAGCAAAAGATCAGCAAGACAAGAGAGAAACAACAACCGAGAAAATGGCTGCATGACTCGGCTCTTTTATGGAGACAGCCAGAGCCAGGCGCATCTCCCAGGTCACATGAAGGAGGAGGATATCCAGACCAGTGGAACAGGCAGTTACACTGAATGGGCGTCCCACTGCCACTGCCCTTCTAGGCAGTGGCGTAGCAAGGTCAAGTGGTACCCGGTGCAAATATATTTTTGTCGCACCCCCACACTGAAGTTTCCCCTCCCTCCCTCCACGCCCATTGAAGAATGCTATGCAGGCAGCTATCCAATGTAGATCCCGCCTTCTCCTCCTCCCTCCCTCCACCCCTTGTCAAATAAAGCCACGCCCTGCCCTTCTCCAGCAGCATATATAATGAATAAAAACAATAACTCAACAATAAAAACAGCATATATAATCAATAAAAACAACAACCCAATAATCCCCCCGAATAATAGAAGATCAAACATTAAAAACTTCCCTATACAGGGCTGCCTTCAGAAATAATAATAATTTTCAATGTTTGATGTTTTAGGGAATGGCTAGTCTAACTATTTTAATTGTTACGCTGTTTTAATGTGCTTGTACATTATATATTTTAATTATGCATGTTTTAAACCTGTTGTTTTACTGTAAATTTTAATTCCCAGTAGCTGTGTTTCTGCAATCGGTTTGAGTGTCGTTTTGCTGTTGCCCTTTCTTAAGATACTATCCCCGTCTTGCATGGGGTTGGTCTAGATGACTCTATGAGTCCCTTCCAACTCCATGATTTCTTGACTCTTTTGGTATTTCTTCTTGGAATGAAAGTTGGTACCTGGATGAACAGCAGCATGATGCAGTTGTGTAGCCGACAGCTTTGCATGCCCTTTCTCGGTAGGACCCAACTGGAACAGCGCCCCCTCGCAAGGCCTGGAGCGGTGCCTGAGGGAGCTGCCCCTTAACACCCCCAGCCAGCCGTGGTCACCAACTGCCAGCTCCTCTGACAGCAGCTCCTACGTCAAGAGGCTGCACCCGTGGACCATGGAGGAGGTGGAGGCCCTGAGTTCAGCCCAGGAAGGTGAGCCTCTGGGGTTGCACCTCTAGCAAGGCAGTGGAAAGGGCAAGCAATGGTGGTGGAGGCAGGTGATTTCGTCTGCCCTGCACCTTCTTGGTAGGGCAGGTGTACATTTAAATAGGAGCTTACTGACATGGCACCAGTGCCTGGAAAGCCTCTGAGCACCTACAGCACCCCTTTAGTTGTGAAGGGCTGAGGAGGTTATCTTTTTTTTCTCTTGAAAAGTAAATAGAGCTGAAGGAGTAAGTGGGGAAGAGAGACACTCGTTCCCACATCCTGTTTTTCTCTCTCTGAGGTTTCAAGGTGCAGATTCTATCGGATCTGACTTTGACCCAGATCCCTTGGAAAAGTAAAGTTTGTGTGCAAATAATAATAATAATAATAATAATAATAATAATAATTTATTATTTATACCCCACCCATCTGGCTGGGTTGCCACCTCCATGTGGCTCCCAACAGAATATGAAAAACACGATAAAACAGCAAACATTAAAAGCTTCCCTAAACAGGGCTGCCTTCAGATGTCTTCTAAAAGTCAGATAGTTCTTTATCTCCTTGACATCTGATGGGAAGACGTTCCACCGGGTGGGTGCCACTACCGATAAGGCCCTCTGCCTGGTTCCCTGTAACCTCACTTCTAGCAGGGAGGGAACCGCCAGAAGGCCCTCGGACCTGGGTGCAGTGAGGGAATCGCCAGAAAGCCCTCTGTGTCCGGGCTGAACGATGGGGGTGGAGACGCTCCTTCAGGTATACAGGGCCGAGGCCGTTTGGGGCTTGAAAGGTCAGCACCAACACTTTGAATTATGCTGGGAAACATACTGGGAGCCAATGTAGGTCTTTCAGGATCAGTGTTATGTGGTCTTGGTGGCCACTCCTAGGCACCAGTCTAGCTGCCACATTCTGGATTAGTCGTAGTTTCCGGGTCACCTTCAAAGGTAGCCCCACATAGAGAGCATTGCAGTAGTCCAAGAGGGAGATAACCGGAGCATGTGCCACCCTGGCGAGGCAGTGCACTGGAGAACCATTGCTGCCAGCTGATGTAGTCTTTCTCAACCTTGGGTCCCCAGCTGTTGTTGGACTGCAACTCCCATCATTGCTAGCTAGCAGGTCCAGTGGTCAGGGATGATGGGAACTGTAGTCCCAAAACAGCCGGGGGCTGAGGCCTCAGAGAGGAGAGGCATCCCATCCCTCAGCGCCTTCAGTTGGAGTGTTTTTGTTCTTCCTAGACATGGGATCAAAGGTGGATTGGACTTTGTGGCAGAAGGGGACGGAGTTCAGGCCTTGGAGCACATTGCTCACTCCAGAGGAGGAAAGGGGGCTTCCTTCCACCCGAGAACCAGAGCTTGTCATCATGGACAGCCAAGCTTCGTCGGCCTCCCCACTCCCCATCGTGGAGAGATTCCTGGCCAACATTGCCATGAGCCAGCTGCTTCCCTCCAACATCCCACCTGACGATGCCAAGAGTCCGGGCGACGTGGTACCCAGGAGATCCTGGCAAGGGATGGTTGGATCACATCCCACAAGTAAGTGAGGCTGTGGGTAGCCCTTTATGGCAGTAGGTTTGACCAGGGACCTGCACCTTGCTATTAATTCATTCATTAGTATGCTGTTCATCCTCCATAGATCTCAGCGGGGTTCACAACATAAAAATACAAGGTAAAAACCCAAAATGTATCTAAACCAAGCCTCCTCTTCAAGCCAAGGAATCTCATGGACTTCCCTTCTCCCCATTGTGGGTGCTGCCGTTAATCATTTCCTCCTGCATCTTTTATGATAATCCACATCTTTTACAGCTCCATTGTGTCCAAATTTCACCCTTAAATCGCAAGTGATATTCCAATCCTACTAACGATTTTAACTGTTTGCAATGGTTTTTAAGATAGGTTATACATTTTCCCCATCCCTTATTGAAATTTTGGTCTTCCTGACTTCTGATTCTTCCGGTCATTTGGCCATTTCGGCATAGTCCATCAACTTGATCTGCCATTCTTCTCTGGGAGGGACTTTATCTTCTTCCCATCTAATGGAAAGAGTGACACCTGAACTTCCAGCAGGACAGCCCAAACGCTGATGCAATGCATCCCTTGATTTCTTTTGTTTCAGCAGAAGCTGCTGCAGATCCCAGCCACCAACCTGTGCTAGAGTCCTGGAAGGAAGAAGGAGCAGCGCAAGGTTTGTAAACTTGGGGAGGAGGAGGTTTGGGACAAAGGAATGGACCTGTTCTCTTGGCACAGTCTGTGATGCTTGTTCCACCATCGAAGAGCTCTTCCCGTCAGAAAGTCGTTTCTGTGATTGAGTCAGAATCTCCTTCCTTCTCTCTCTTTTTTTTTAAATAATTGTTTTCATTTGATTTTTTTAAATATAAACATACAACAAACAACAATTCAAAATCCAAATACTGAGATTACTCTGAATCTCCTGACTTTCCCCCATGCCTTCCATGGATCCTAATGGAAATAATTACAACTGCATATCATATTTATTTATTGAAATAAATATTTATTGAAATATTTATTGAAATATTTTTCCTGCTGAATTGTCAATAGTTTCCTTTACATTACAAGTATGTTTAAAATCCTGCCAATGTTTTAACCTGCTTGCAGTGGTCTTGTATATAAATTATAAACTTTTCCCATTCTTTTTTAAAGTTCTTGTCTTCTTGATTTCTGAGCTTCCCAGTTAATTTTGCCATTTTGGCATAGTCCATCATCTTGATTTGCCATTCTTCTCTGATCGGGGTTGTCTCTTCCTTCCATCTCTGGGCCAGTAGCATCCGTGTGGGTGTTGTTGCATACATAAACAATCTTTTCTGATCCTTTGGAAACTTGGTACCTGTAATTCCTAATAAGAAAGCTTATGGTTTTTTAACAAAAGTTATTTTGAACCTTTTTTTCATTTCATTATACATCATCTCCCAATTTTTTCTTTACTACTTTACATGTCCACCACATACGATAAAAGGTACCTTTTTCTTTACATTTACAGCAAGTATTTGTACTCGTTCTGTACATTTTTGCTAATTTAACAGGAGCCAAATACCTCTGGTACATCATTTTCCTGTAGTTTTCTTTTAGTGAACAACATGCCATGAATTTCAAATCTGTTTTCCATAGCCTCTCCCAATCTGTCCTTCTCATTTGAATCCATTGGTTCAGGTCCTTCACTCTGGAGCAGCAGGAATCCATCTTGTTCCATCTTCCATGGTGGGACAGCCTTTCAGATATTTGAAGACAGCTGTTTGGGGGGCTGATGGGAGTTCTAGTCCAAAACATCTGGCAGGGACCCATTTGGGACGCACGAAGGCTGACCTGTTTGCACTGCCCCTCTGGATAGCGGTGAAATTCCTGAGTCTTCTTCACCTTCCTTTCCCAGCCTGGCTTTGTGCCGCTTCCCCAAACAATGACACGGCTTGTTATTCTTCTTGTTCAGAAACGGCGGCAAAGGAGAAGCCCCTGAAAGGGGTGCTGAAGCGCCTGAAGGAACTGATTAACAGCCACCCCCCTCACATATTCCGCAGGAACCACAATAGCAGCTGGCAGTCAGCCCTGCGACAGAAGATGAGGAAAGGGACCTGTGGGTCTCCCCCTGGCCAAGGTGGGTCTGAACATTGCAAAAACACACTCCGGTTTAAGGATACCCAGCAGTTCCTTCTGGTCCACCCTAGCACCTTGCTTGGACTTCCTTGCTTTGCAGGGGTTGAACTAGATGGCTCTTGGGGGTCCCTTCCAGCTCTACAATTCCGTTGTTGTTGTTGCTGCTGCTGCTGCTGCTGCTGCTGTTGTTATATCGGAAGAAGTGTGCTTACACACAAAAGCTTATACCAAGAACAAACTTAGTTGGTCTTTAAGGTGCTACTGAACAATTTTTTAAAAGTTTTTTTATTTTTTTTTAGAAGGATTCTAAGACTTTCTTAGGACAAAAAAACTTGATTCTTTTAAGGGAGTTTCTTTGGAACAATCTTCTTAAAGACATTTATTTATTTATTGTTTGCCAAGTGATTTACAGCAAAGAAAAATATACAACAGTCACCACCACCACAATTTATTTATACCCCACCCATCTGGCCAGGCCTTCCTAGCCACTCTGGGTGGCTACCAACAGAATATTAAAAACGTGATAAAACATCAAACATTAAAAACTTCCCTAAACAGGGCTGCCTTCAGATGTCTTCTAAAAGTCAGATACTTCTTTATCTCCTTGACATCTGATGGGAGGGCGTTCCACAGGGCGTGCGCCACCACTGAGAAGGCCCTCTGCCTGGTTCCCTGTAACCTCACTTCTCACAGTGAGGGAACCGCCAGAAGGCCCTCGGAGCTAGACCTCAGTGTCCGGGCTGAGCGATGGGGGTGGAGATGCTCCTTCAGGAATACTGGACCAAGGCTGTTCAGGGCTTGAAAGGTCAGCACCAACACTTTGAATTGTGCTTGGAAACGTACTGGGAGCCAATGTAGGTCTTTCATAACTGGTGTTATATGGTCTCGGCAGCCATAATACCATGGGGGGGGGGGCGGCGGAGGAATGGGGAAAATCGTATAGCGTAACATTCATAGGGTGGAAAAAGCATACTATCCATATAAAGAGGAGTAAACAACATTATCAAAACTCAAATAATAAACGAAACTATACTCTGGCTGACTAATTAGCAAATAAACAATATCTCAACCCGAGAACGACTTCAACTGGCCAGCTAAATCAGGTGAGGGTAGCTGATGGGTCTCAAACCTTTGGGGAGTTAGGGACCCAATTTTACTTTGGTGGTTTTGGTCCGGTAGCAGGCTTTAAGTTGAACAAGATGAAAACTAAGGTTTTAGAGAAAAATCTATCTGTGATGGAGAGAGATAAGTTTCAGAAGGAGACAGGATTAACACCGGTTAAGAAAGTGAAATATTTAGGGGTTAACATGACCGCTAAAAACGTGAATTTATTTAAGGATAACTATGAAAAATGTTGGACTGAAGTGAAAAAGGACTTAGAAATATGGTCAAACTTGAAGTTATCACTGTTAGGCCGAATTGCTGTGATAAAAATGAACGTATTGCCAAGGTTGCTGTTTCTGTTTCAAACATTGCAGATTTTGGACAAAATGGACTGTTTCAAGAAGTGGCAGAGAGACATCTCTAGATTTGTCTGGCAGGGCAAGAAGCCTCGAATAAAATTTAAGATATTAACAGATGCTAAAGAAAGAGGTGGATTTGCCCTGCCAGACCTTAAACTTTATTATGAATCAGCCACTTTTTGTTGGCTGAGAGAATGGATGCTTCTTGAAAACACTGATGTGTTGGATTTGGAAGGTTTCAACAATGTATTTGGTTGGCATGCATATCTGTGGTATGATAAGGTTAAAGCACACAAAGCGTTTAAAAACCATATTGTCAGAAAAGCACTGTTTAATGTCTGGATAAGATATAAGGACTTGTTAGAAAATAAAACCCCAAGATGGCTGTCACCAATGGAAGCAAAGGCTCAGAAAAAACTCAATATGGAGGCCAAATGGCCAAAGTATTGGGAAATTCTGGAACAAGAGGGAGACAGATTAAAACTGCAGAGTTTTGAAAAATTAAAAAACAGAGTGTGAGATTGGCTCCATTATTATCAAATAATGGAGGCATATAATTTGGACAAAAAACTAGGTTTCCAGGTGGAAAAATCAAAATTGGAAACAGAATTGTTAGACCCCAAAGTTAAGAATTTGTCAAGAATGCATAACTTGCTGTTGAAATGGAATACTCAGGATGAAACGGTGAAATCTGCTATGATTAAATGGGCACAAGATGTTGGACATAACATTATGATGGCTGACTGGGAACAATTATGGACCACAGGTATGAAGTTTACGGCATGTAATGCCTTAAAAGAGAATTTAATGAAAATGATTTACAGGTGGTACATAACACCAGTCAAGCTTGCAAAAATATACCATTTGCCCGATAATAAATGCTGGAAATGTAATGAGACTGAAGGTACATTCTTTCACCTTTGGTGGACATGCCCAAGGATTAAGAATTTCTGGGAGATGATTTATAATGAAATGAAAAAGGTATTTAAATATACCTTCCTGAAGAAACCAGAGGCCTTTCTCCTGGGCATGGTCGGCCAATTGGTGCCAAAGAAGGATAGAACTTACTTTATGTATGCCACAACAGCAGCAAGAATACTTATCGCAAAGCATTGGAAGACACAAGATCTACCCACCCGGGAAGAATGGCAGATGAAGCTGATGGACTATATGGAATTGGCGGAAATGACTAGCAGAATCCGAGACCAGGGAGAAGAGTTGGTGGGAGAAGATTGGAAAAAATTCAAAGTATACTTACAGAAATATTGCAAAATTAATGAATGTTAGTAGGATGCTGGAATGAAGTTATATTGCTTTAGCAGAAATGTTATAAAGAATTAAGCAAAAACTGATTGTTAATGGGCCAAAGAGGAAAATTTAAGGTTAGATTGTGTTAAGATAAATTATAGAACAAAAAATTTGAGAAAGATGGAAAGGATTTGCTGAAATAGCTAATTGAACTAGAATACAAAAGAAAAAAAAAGAAAAAAAATTACCTTGGTGGTTTTTGGGGGGCAGTACTGGTAGTCTGAGATGGTCCTGATTCCTTATTTCTGTGCACAGTTAAATTGGATGCAGAGGATGAGGAGCTGCCTGCCCCTAGCCCGGAAAATGCTGCTGCACGAGGTGGATCTAGCTGTCCGGTTGCTCCCTCAGATCGCTCTTCCACCTTCCAGACTGAAAGAGGCAGGAAAAGAAGCTGGTCAGAGGCGGAGGACAGGAACATCTTTGCAGTGTGTAAGCTGTGGGGTTTGTTTACGTCAAGGACATATTTCCTGTTGCCAAATCCAGTGCCTGGTGAAAGGGGACAAGGTTCAATGGGCTCATAGCTCTAATGTAGTTAACTCTGGGTTTATCCACACTGGTGCTTCTTTTTATCCCCAGGGGAAACTGCTCTTTAGCACTCAGTTTGGAGCAAACAGCAATCTGGGTTTTCTCTGGGTTGACATCCACTCTGATTTAGTGCTGATGTAGAGTGGGTTCTCCCTGGGAAAGGAGCGGGGCAAGGGGGAAAGCGTTTGGACACAGCATTCATGTTTTTGAGTAACCAGCAGTCCGTACTCCCTGAGCCTCTCCCAGATCTCAGGAGAGTGTCCCTGTCTCTTAAAGGCAGGAGACTAGATCACCACAGGGGAAGGGGGTTCAGCAGGGGGCTCTTGCCATGGGACATCCCCAGTGGAGAGACCGCAGTGAAGTTCGGGCAGCAGCCACTGTGATAAATTATCGAAGTATGGATGCGAGCTTAATGTGTCATGTAAAAGGTTTTCCAAGTCTGTTTCAATGCTGTGTGAATGCATGCAAGATTTCACATCTGTACATGCATTTGTCCTGCAAGACAACACTTTAAGCTTGGTAATGGTTTTTTAAAAACATCAGTTAAATTTGTAAGAACAGTTGAAATGCTCAGGTGGAGAGCTTTGTACACAGGTTTAGGGGCGCCCGTTCCCTTAAGTGGGGTATTGGGGGGGTCGGTTCTGGAGTACAGTACGATCACATCGTATGCAGAGGCTTGGTTCCAAGGGTTCTGCCTATCCGGAAAAAACATGCATCCTCTGTACACCTTCCAGCTTGTCAACATCCTTCTCAAATTGTGGTGCCAGAACTGGACATATGACTCCAGGTGTGGTCTGGCTAAGGCAGAACAGAGAGGGACTATGACTTCCTTGGATCAGGGCACTAGACCTCTGTTGATGCAGCCCAGAATAACATTAGCTTCTTCTTTTTTGCTGCTGCTGCTGCATCACACAGTTGACTCATGTTAAGCTTGTGGTCCACCAAGGCCCCTAGATCCTTCTCCAGGTGTCCCCCATCCTATATTTGTGCATTTGGTTCTTCCTGCCTAGGTGAAGAAGTTTACATTTGTCCCTACTGAAATTAATTCTGTTAGTTTGTGCCCAGTTCTCCAATCTGTTAATGTCGTTTGGAATTCTGATTCTGTCTTCTGTGGCATTAGATACCCCTTCCAGTTTGGTGTGCATCCCCTCAATTCCTTCATCCAAGTCATTTATAAAGACGTTAAACAACAACTTGCCCAGGACAGAACCCTGCAGCACCCCACTTGTCACTTTTTTCCAGGATGACGAGGAACCATTAATAAGTACTATGGGTTTGGTCAGTCAACCAGCTACAAATCCACGTACCAGTTACCTCATTCAGCTCACATTTTACCAGCTTCCTCATGAGAACATTATGAGGGACTTTGTCAAAAGCCTGACTTCGTCCAGAGCATCCCCCTGATCTGCCAAGCTTAACTCTGTCAAAGCAGATATTCTGCCACTGAGCTATGTCCCTTCTCAAAGGGCCTCCAGGGGTGTGAATGTATGTTTGGATTCTGTTCCTCCTAAAGGAATTGATCTGAATATGGTTTGCCTTGGAGTACTGGAAATTCTCAGGCAGGGTGGGAGGTGGGGGGAAAGAAAAGATGAGAGCTGGCTCCACTTTGACCTTGGTTCCTCCCCCCCACCCTTGTTTCTTTGCAACAGTTAAAATGGAAGAGCAATTTGAGGACGGGAACCTTGTGCAACACCTGAATGAAGCCCCTGGGGAGGAGCGAGACCTGGCCCCTAGCCTTCACTTGGCTGTGGAAGAAATGAAGGGACAAAACTTTTATTAATTTGGACACAAATGAGAAGTTATTAAACATTTTCCTTATGTGGGTTTGAGTCTTCCTAGAGGTTCACGTATCCTGTTTGAAATGAAAAGTTATTTCCTGGAAAATCTCTGTCAGGAATGATGTTCCTATAATGCATAGGTATATACACACAAAACAAAACCTGATGAAACAATAAACAACAACAACAACAACAACAACAACAACAACGAGACAATTCAGAGTGGGAGAACTCTGAAATTTAGCTGTGGAAAGAATTTTGCATGTTATATTTGGAACTTGGCAACCTTTTCTGCATTGTTGATGGTTCAGTACTTAACCGTTGAGGCCTACAGAGGCCAACCAGGGAATATTGAGAAGCAAAGCAGCTAGTAAGCCTGATCTTTATTAAAGCTGTTGCAACAGGGTGCTCCCCCACACGTAGGAGGGAGGAGGAGACCCAGAACAAAGGTGTGCAAGCCCCCTTATATAGACTTTGAAATTGCCACCCTGTAGCTCAGTACCAGCCCCCCAATACATACATCACAGGAGGAGGTGGTCCCCAGCAGAAATACATCACAGGGGTGTGGTCTACAGCAGAAAACCTGTTAATCTGTCTGCCAGAATACCTGATAATGGTCGATAATTGCATTACCTGGGCAGTCTGGCCACTCTTTTGTGATGAAAAATACTTAATTCCTGAGTCCAGGTCACAGGCTCACTCTATTCATACACAGATACACCCTTAAGACAAAATGTTAAGACTTATTTTGTATGCAGTATGCAGCTATCCATGTGACATAAAAAGAAACTTGGAAAATATTTTATATTACAGATATATGCTCATAACCACAAGGTATACTTCAATCTAAAGCATTAAGACAGTTTCTTCATATAGTCGCTGTTGTGACTGAGACGGAAGGGGGATTACTGTTGTTATAGAAATAGGAGGGGATCCCCCTAAACACTAGGAACAAATAAATACTAGGATTTTGACTGGGATATGGATTAAAACATAAACTGCAGGGCTGTGTCAGTCAGGGAATTCCTGGGCTGCCTTATGCAAACCAGCCTGGCTAGCTGAGGGAAGAGCATTACAACAGAGAGCCATTGAGGGTCTTCAGGAGCTTCTTGTCCTGGTTGTGACCAGGGACTGAGATTTGGAAGGTTGCCAGGGTAACTGTTCTGTGGGTGGACAAGGTGCTTCTGGGAAGAAGAAAGGGGAAGAAAGGCCGAGATCCATCTTGGTGAGGTAGAAGGAAGGACTGCATGCAATCCTTTGGGTTGTGCTGTAAGATCTGGACCTCCTCCATGCAGACTGAGGGTGTAAATAGGCAAATAAACCCTAATTCTTAAAGCACAAGAGTCTCCACAGTGTCTTCTATTCCCCAAAGGGACACCTGTTGGCGCCTGTGACCACATAAGCTCTGGCCACTGCTTGGCAGAAGGAGGGTGCATGTACCGGGCAGGTACTATTATTAATAAATGTGAAATATACTCAGAGTTGAGCATGGATTTCATGCTCTTTATTCAGCTCCTAGTAGTGAGCCCTGCAGGAAACCCATTTTTGTGTGTGCCAGAAATAGGGTTCTATCCAGTTGATCTCTTAAAACCAGCAATGTGGAACCTGCAGCTTCCTTGGACTGCAAGAATTGATAGGAAGGAATCCTCATAACCTCATGACACAATATTAATACTAATGTTCATGTTATGTATTGAAGTTCTCACCCTGGCCACCAGGAGTATTGTATAGATAGTTTTCACTCAGGTCCACGTCAGTTATTTTAGGCGGGAAACCCTGGTTGTTGCTACAATGTTGACAGCCAGCTGCCTATAAAAGCAGGCCAGCTGAGCTGTTTGCTGTTCAGTTCTGTCCTGGCCTGTGAATAAACAAGAGCTGTTTAAAGAATCGCTGTGTCGTCTGATATGTTCACCCACAACTTAACACTGGCGATGAAGGTGGGATCGATGGACATCAGAGCACAGCCAGATGCGGCCACTCTCTGAGCTGAATGAACCAATTCAGAGCTGACTGTTCTGGATAGAGCACTGTGTTCCATCCATCGCCCTTCACGCCGGCATCGGAATCATGGCTTCACTTGTGCCTCTACCGCCATTTGTGCCAGCCTCTGAATCATGGGACTCCTACCTCGCTTGGTTTGACTGCTACCTCCAAGCCAACAAGCTGACAGAAGTATCACAGGAGCGGGGCCTATTCCTCAGCCTCTGTGGGCCTGAGGTGTTTGAGACGGCCCGAGCATTGGTTGCACCTGTAGCAGTCCAGGCAGCACCGTGGGACACGATTCAAGAGAAGCTCCACAACCACTACGCGCCAAAGCCGTCCAAGATTGTTGCCCGCCATGCGTTCTACCACTGGAACCAGGCAGAGGGGGAGTTAACAACTACACCACCGCCTCCGACAGGCTGCAATGCACTGCGAGTTCCGAGACTTAGACGATGCCCTGATGGATCGAATCGTCTGCGGGGTCCGGGACATCCATCTGCAACGGTGTCTCCTCGCCAAGCCAGACCTCACGCTGCAGAAAGCCATTGAGGAGGCCGTGGCCTCAGAAGCTGCTAACCTCTCCACCCAGGAAATCCGCACGGCCACCCTCTGGTACTGGCCCTCGGCGATCCAGCAGGGTTTCATTTAAGAGACTATGTTCACTGAACAATAATGCTTATGTGCCTCACTGAAACCAATAAGGGTATTGCTGTATGTAATGGAACCGTTATGATTGTAACTAATGCCTTATGTCGGTGGGGAAGGGTGTTATGTATTGAAGTTCTCACCCTAGCCCCAGGAGTATTGTGTAGATAGTTTTCACTCAGGTCCACGTCAGTTATTTTAGGCGGGAAACCCTGGGTTGTTGCTACAATGTTGACACCCAGCTGCCTATAAAAGCAGGCCAGCTGAGCTGTTTGCTGTTCTGTCCTGGCCTGGCCTGTGAATAAACAAGAGCTGTTTGAAGAATTGCTCTGTCGTCTGATATGCTCACCCACAACTTAACAGTTCAGGTATATGCTGAATCTCTTACAGAATATATGTGATTTACTAAGATGTTTTTAAGTCATAGGAATACTCTGCGAGAAGCAAATGTGATATATTTAGTATGTTTGATGGGTCTGAATGCAGATATGAATTTAGTCCAACCCCCTTCAATACAAGACAATGTAACCATACGGGGACCTGAGACTATATAAGGACCTGGAAGGCCTTCGGAACTTTGCGTGCTGTTCTACTGCAGAGGATGCCGTCCAGAGACTCATAAAAGAACCTGGCCAATTCTTTCAGTGAGTCTGACCATCTGGTAGGTATGAAAGGAATGAATGAGTGATGAATGAATGAGTCCTTATTGCTTAGTGCTTATTACTTGTTAATCAATAAAGGGTAATCTGAAGAGAACTGTGTCATTTCGTCTTTCTTGAAAACACTCTGATAGAGGTAAAAAGGGAATTAACTCTGTTTTCATAAGAAGCCTACCCCAATATCTAGAACGCTGATGGATGGATGGATGAATGAATAAAACTTTATGTGCGTTAGTTAGCCATCGGCCATAGCAACAAGAATGCTGTTGTGTTTTTAGTTTGTTGCTGGTTTTAATTTTTTTAATAATTGCTTTTACTAATAATTTTACTGCTTTATTCTTTTTGTAAACTGCTTTTGTAAAGGGTCATCTAGTCCAACCCCCTGCAATGCAGGAATCCCACCTAAACGAAGGGAACTTCTGGGACATGAGATGCCCTCAGCAGTGCCCCCTCTGAGCAGTCCAGTTGATGGGCACTGATAGAGGAAATGAACGGTGGCTCCGGTAGAGGCGTCAACCTTTTCGTCTGATTCTTCTGTCTCAAACATCAGCTTCCTATTGTAGCTGCAGCACAGCAGGCAAAACCAAAAGGCAATAAAAAACCCCTCACATGAGGGAGTTCTGACAGCCCCCTTTGCTTACTGAATCTCTGCATCCTGTCTGAAGTTAAAAGTGCAGGAGGATTGCCAAGGAAAACACGGTGACAGCCTCTCCCAGGATCTTCTCCCCAGGCACCAGGTTCCCTCAAGTGGAACTAAAGCGGTTTCCTTCTGGTCTTCAGCCTCAAATGCCGCAAAGTAATAGGAGCAGTCACAGACCCGCCCCCCAGCAGTGCCAGGTAATTTCCTGGCTTGGGCACATCATTGGAGAGGCGTTTTAGACACTCTTGGGTTCTCCTGAAGCAGTCCTGCAAACCAGTGATCACCTCCATAGTGCTGTTTGAGTGGGGGGGGGAATGGAACCCCAGAATTTCCAGCTCCACCAGGCAAAGATCACCCTATCTTCCCTGTCCCTTTTCCCTGGAGTGTTGTGATTTTTAGATGGTAAGCCTGAGGGTAGGGACAGTCTTGTTTTGATTGTGTGTAAGCTTCTCTGAGAGGGATGCGGGTGGCGCTGTGGGTTAAACCACAGAGCCTAGGACTTGCCGATCAGAAGGTCGGTGGTTCGAATCCCCGCGACAGGGTGAGCTCCCGTTGCTCGGTCCCTGCTCCTGCCAACCTAGCGGTTCGAAAGCACGTCCAAGTGCAAGTAGATAAATAGGTACCGCTCTGGCGGGAAGGTAAACGGCGTTTCCGTGCGCTGCTCTGGTTCGCCAGAAGCAGCTTAGTCATGCTGGCCACATGACCCGGAAGCTGTACGCTGGCTCCCTCGGCCAATAAAGCGAGATGAGTGCCGCAACCCCAGAGTCGGTCACGACTGGACCTAATGGTCAGGGGTCCCTTGACCTTTAAGTTTCTCTGAGAGCTGCTTTGGCTATACGGTGGGGTGAAAAAGTGCTGGAAATAAATAAATAATATGGTTGTGCTGGGTGGGGCTCATGGAATATGTAGTCCAAGGAGATCTGGAGGGCACCAGGTTTGCTAAGAATCCAAAAAAAGAAAAAAGATGCAATGATAAAATATGGCTCCTCTCTGTCTCTTGGCAACTGGCAAACATTTTGTCTCCGTTTTCCTTAGGCATGGAACTCTGGGCAAGGATCTTACCAGACCTTGATTATACTTGCACTTTTTTGCGGGGAGGGAACTATTAAAAGTCCATTGAACCACAGCTTTGCTTAGCTTTATAAACAGGCAGCATGACACAGTAGTCTTATACATAACAATCCTTGCCCCACCCTCTGTTTGATTTACTGACAATTTAAATATATTTACAAGATAGAGCCAAACTGGCGATTGATGGCCGGAAGAGGCCCTCTGGCACTGGGTGGAACAGCAAACACTTTGGGCAGTGATGCTTGCTTTATTGAGACTCCAAATAAGCAGAGTGATGGTTTAAAGGTCCCGGGGGTTATTGGGTGGGTATCATTGGGTGCTGTTTCCCCCTTCTGTTTGCAATGCTTGAATACTACTGATTTCACTTCTTTCCCCACCCCCACCCCCTCAGCTGTGGCACGTTTTGGATTCATTTTAGCCACCAAAAAGGGCTTTTCCTGCTCTGGCATGGCACTTGAGAAATCGGTCATCATCACAGAGCCCAAGGGGTGCCATCCCCCCACCCAAGAAATTATACAGGGAGGAAAATTGAATTCTGCCAACTTTGCAGCTGGCATTATTTAGGACGGGAAGGAATGCTCACATTTCAGATCATCTCCTTCTCTTGCTAGGCCAATGATGCATCTCTATCTCTCTCTCCTGAGCGCTTTTCAAACTAAGGAATGATGAGAGCTACTGGGGTGCGGGGGGAGGAACTGAAATCCTGTACTTAAAAAAGTAATGTCTTGTGGTGATTCTGGTGCAAATTATGCATTTTAAGTGTCTTTATCAGGGTGTGTTGGACAGTTAATGCCGTAAATGGGATTCTGTGTAGGCTGGGAAAGGAGGCTAGGGGTTCTTCGGGTTAGGCAATGTTTCTCAAACTTAGGTCCCCAGCTGTTGTTGGACTACAATTCCCATCATCCCTAGCTAGCAGGACCAGTGGTCAGGGATGATGGAAGCTATAGTCCAACAACAGCTGGGGACTCAAGTTTGAGAAACACTGGGTTAGGGTGTAGGGGGGCTTGCTGTGGAAATAACTGGGGAGGTCGAGGTTTCCATGTGTGAAGACCTACTCCCTGACTATTGGAAGCTTCAACAATGCCATTGCTCACACAAGCTTTGGCTTTGCTTTGGGCGTTGTTTTTTTCTAGCTACCAAGAGGACTGGCAACTTGGTTTGCTTGTTTTGCAAAGTGAGGTTCTTAGAATGCTTGTTTGCTTGTTTTGCAAAGTGAGGTTCTTAGAATGCAGCGTGAATTACCAGATTCTGCACCTGACCTGCATGTTCTAGGTTTCACAGCTTGCCTGTACGAATGCTTCCTTCAGTAGCAGGGACAGGGGAAAGCGGACTTCCAACCTCCTCTTTCTGGCCCTCACAATTCTTGTCAGGTCACATTCCTTACTGGCCTTGCTCAGTGCCCTTAGGTGGTTTATGCCTGGCTGGAATGTGTCTCTGAACTGCACTTGATTGGCTGGCTGGAGGGACTTCTGTGTGTGGCTGAAATGTTAACCTATCACAAAACAGTAAGAGGCACTTCCGCTGCCCCATGCGCTTTTGCTTCTTGCCACACCCAAAATTGAGCTTCTGAAAATGCTTCCTGTATCATATGTTATTCCTATTAAAGACTACTTTAGAGCAAGTTCATCTAGTCCAACATTGCAGAAATCACAGCTGAAGCTGGGCCTCTCTTTTCCCTCCCTTTTCCTGCAAAGGTGTCACCCGTGGCTCCTGTAAGGCGATCTGTGGCTGCCAAGAGCCAAAGTCCTATTTTCTCACGCCGATGAGCAGGAGACTTTATAGAGTCTCTGGCTCTGACCCGTTGGCTTCGTGGCCTGGCTGAGCTCCTGAGTTTCCTCCTCAAGGGCATTTGCTTGACCCCAGGCAAGCTTGTATCTTGATGATCGGCAGGAACAATGAGTAAGAGGATGATTTTCTTTCTCATTTTGCACCAAGATGCGCCTACCTGCACAGGGTCTGCCTGAAGCTTCAACCTGTAGACAGAAATGTATAGGACACATGTCTCTCACTGCCGCCGGAGCCAAGCCCTCCTTGCTTCTGCCTGCAGGGCTGGCTGGCTCTTGCCTGGTCTAAGCTGGGCTGCAGCTTCTATTGCAGTCCTGTCCTGAAGGCAGTGAAAGAGCAAGGGCCAGCCAGCCGTTCCTCTCTTGTTTGAAAAGACACAAAGTTCCTCTTGGCATTCATAAAACAGTTGAGTTTGAGAGGAGGCTAATCTAGTTCAACCTAAGAATCATGGCTAAAGAATCCCTGACAGATGGCCAGTCAACCTCCAACAAAGGAGAGTCCACCACCTTCGAAGGGAGTCCGTTCCGTTCCTTGTGCGCATATTTTCACCTCTTGAGGAGGGTTTGGGGTGTGGAACAAGGGTGTGTGTGTATGCACACTGTCCTGGAGGAGAAAAAAGGCCCCCTGGCTGCCTGCCCCCTCCATCCGAGGCAGGCAGGCAGACATCAGCGGGTGGTGGCAGCTGCGAATGAGGCTTCTCTGCATTTTGGGTCCTTGGGTGGTCATCAGGCTACTGGGTGGAAGAGGCCATCTGGGTGGAGATAAAAGTCTCTATCACACCATGAGTGGACGGCAGCAAGTGGCTGTGACTGTTGGAGGAGTCGGAGCTCTGGTAGAGCACCAGGCTACTGGAGGAGACTGTTTGGAAGGAAAGGAGAAGAGGGGAGGGGAAAACACCCATAAGCACACGTGAGTGTAAGCAGGGACAGATCGTCACTTGATATGATGCGATAATATGATAATCTTTATTGTCATTGTCCCATACAGAACAACGAAATTGGAAAAACCTACATCAGACATTCAAAAACCAACAAGCCTGCTATCCCAGCCTGGTTAGCCCCCTAAAAACTCTGATACCCCATAATTAAATACAATATACTCCCATAGAGACTACCTTATACTGCGTTTCCTTAGGAACATAGGCTGGCTTACACTGTAATGGACCATTGGTCCAGCTAGCTCAGCAGGGTCAACACTAGCCAACAGCAACATATTTCAGGTAGGGGTTGCTCCAAACCCTACTGGAAGATACTGGGGATTGAACCAGCCATCGTCTGCAGGCAAAGCAGGCACTCTGGCACGGAGCTACAGCCCTTCTTTCAGTTCCTACACCCGCAAAAGGGAATATACACACATGTGCACACCCCCCCCAAGCATTTTAGGGTTGCAGTGCTTAGTTCAACCTTCCCCAACTCCCATTGGGCCAGGCCAGCACAACTATATGATACTGGAGCAGAAGAGAGAGCAGCTGCGAGTCAGTGTAGGCAATACTGAGCTCAATGGGCCAATCTATAAGGTGGTTCTTTGTATTCCCACAGCACAGATGTGGTGGCTGGGGCTCATGGGAGTTGCAGTCCAAATCATCTGGACAGGCATCAGATTGAGGGGAGACGGCTTGGACAAACTCCAGGGATAGCCCACCAGAAGTAGACTACAACTCCCATCATCCCTGATGAATGGCCATACTGATTGGGCTGATGGGGGTCGTAGTCCACATGGACTGCCCCAACACTAACCAATAAACACTGCAAGTTACTGTCTTGAGGATACAATGTTTATGAAATCCCCCTGCTCCACCAAAGAATGGAAAGCCCTCAACGTTGGCAGGAGCTTCAGCTGCGCATTCTTCAAAGCAGGGCTCCCCACCCCCACTTACCAGCAGGGCTAGAGGTGAGTCTATGGCTGGGCTGGAGGTGCTGGATGGTGGCATCCTGGTTCTGTAAGTGTATGGTGGAAGCCTGCACGGGGGGCGTGTGCATCCCAGACTCTGTGTGTGCCTCAGAGTCTGATGTGAACACCTGTAAAATGTGGGAGGGAAAGAGAGATTAACAACACAATAAGAAATCTGGAAACTGCTGGTTTTGGAAATTTCAGACATTTCCATTTCCATTAAAATTATATTGATTGAATAGAAGAATATCAACAAGCTGGAAAGTGTGCAGAGAAGGACAGCCAAGATGATCAAGGGTCTGGAAACAGAGCCTTATGAGGAACGGTTAAGGGAACTGGGTATGTTTAGCATGGAGGAAATTGAGAGGTGATAGAATAGCCAGATATCTGTCGCAAGAGATATGGAACCAGCTTGCTTTCTGCTGCTCCAGAGGGTAGTGCACGACGGATGGCTGAACTGATGGATTCAAAGGACAAGGAGATTCTGGATGTATATTAGGAAGAATTTTCTGATGGTAAACGCTGTCCAGCAGTGAAGCAGACTGCCTCAGAAGGTGGTGGACTCTCCTTCCTTGGAGGTGTTTAAACAGAGGTTGGATGAGTTCAGATTTCAGGGCATCTTTCCCAGGTTCCTCCTTTCCCAGCTTCCCCATCAGCCCATCTTACCTGCTTGGTTGGCGTCAGGCTGGCCAAGGCGCTGAGGTTGGCTGTGTCTGTGATCACCATAGTCTGTGGCAGCAGCCCAGTGTGGGCATACTGAGCCATCTCTGGTTTGTGGCCGTAGAGAGCTAGGGGACCAAAAAGGCATGAGAATAGAGGTTGCATGGGGGACTCTTGAGGGAGAAGGGAACCATGGAGTTAACTCCAGCTTCCAAGCATCTCTAGGGTGACCATTATCCCTTATTTACTTTTTAATCATCCTTTGTACCCTGCTCTCCTTCATCCAAAAGCTCAGTGCTCTTAATAAGGGAGCCCTTCTCGTTTCATCCTGAACAACAACCCTGCAGGATAGGTTCCCTCTCTCTACCACCACCACAGCTTCTTCTTCTGAGGTTGTCTTCCTGGGGCTGAAAAAGGAGGAGGGTGTTATTTTAGAAGGCGACCAGGGGAAGGAAGGGAATGCTTTCAAGATGGCCGTACAAAGGCGTGGGGGATAAGAGGAGGTGGAAGAAGAGAGGCCCAGTGTGGTGTTGCGGTTAGAGTAACAGACTAGGACCGGGGAGAGCTGGATTCAAATCCCTACTCAGCCATGAAGCTCACTGGGTAACCTTAGGCCAGTTACCGACACTCAGCCTAACCTATCTCATAGGATTGTTATGAGGATAAACAAGGAAGAGAACTGCGTATGCCACATTGTGCTCCTTTGAGAAAAGGAGGGGAATAAATGTAAGGAAACATAATAATAAAACAAGGTGGAGGCAATTAGCTACGCTTTCCTCACAATCCATGTGTTCCTTTTAAAATGGGCAGCCTGTTCTTCCTTTGCAAAGCTCTGTGTGACTTATAGGAGCCTCTCCATTTCCTTCCATCCAAACGCTGCAGCATCTGATATTCGGAGGCAGACTGCCACTGCCCATGGAGGCTCAGTTTAGCTGCCAAGTCTAGTAGTCATCCTCTCTGCATTTGCCTTTTCTCTAAACCACCGCATCTTGCGGCAGGAACGTTCCACTCTAGCCTCCCTCCCCCCACCCACAACCTGATGTCCTGCAAGTGCTTTGGACTACAAGTCCCATCAGCCCCACCCAACACAGCTGTATGATGAGAACACAGCTGTGCTGACTAGCTGCAGATGATGGGACATGGAGTCCAAAGTATCCGCATTCAAGTTGAACAAGGCCTGCCATGAGTCCTTGGCCCACAATTCCAGGGAGCCTCCCTCCCTGCCTTGCTGGCTCCCCAACCTACCGTGAGGTGCCTGGATCTGGGCCATGGTGGCCATGAAAGGGCTCTGGTTGAGATGGCCCTGGACCTGTTGCATGATGGGCTGCTGGTACGATGGGTGCAGCTGCTGGGAGAACTGGACTGGCTGCAGGGTGGTGAGGCTGCTGCCCATGTTGTTGATCACTGGGACACTCTGGGGCTGGGTGGAGGCCAAGCCTGGAAGACAGGAAAGAGCATCTTCAGCAGTTCACTTCCCTCCCCCAAAAAACACCAGCTAGTAACAGCCATCCAGGGAGCAAAGTCTCCCTCCCTTTTTTTGCAGGAAATTTGCAGCGGTGGAAAGCAAGAACCAGTGCTTGTCGTCTTGAAGCAACCTGGCACTGTTCTGCAGCTTTACTTCAGTGGCTCTTTGAAATATACTCAGAGTTGAGTGTGGACTTCATGCTCTTTATTCAGCTCATAGTAGTGAGGAGGAATGGAAGTTCCCCCGAACAACCATATGTCAGGAGTGCTCTGATGGTGTTTCCTGCTTGGCAGGGGGTTGGACTCGATGGCCCTTGTGGTCTCTTCCAACTCTATGATTCTATGATTCTATGATTCTATTCTATGATTCTATGAAATGTCTGCTTTATATACATTATTTACACAATGGGCCCCACGTGATTGGCTAATTCCAGGATTCTCCTGTAGGCCAATCAGATTGCAGATTTACTTCCACCTGGAGTTGGATTGGGTGGCTCCTGCGGACCAATCAGACTGCCGCATTCTGAAATCCTATTGTTCTAGGACCTATCAGACTGCTGCTATTTGGATCCTATTCAACTCAGTACATAACAGTCTTGCTGTACAACGAGGACTAGAAAGCTATTTGTTTGCTACTGTATGCAAACGGCATGCCTTCCCTGTGTCTCTCCTCACTTACCGATAACCAGAGTGGAGGCCCCCGTGTTGGTGAAGGCTGGTGTAAGCGAAGATGTGTCTCCCGGCCCAATTGCCATGACGCCTGGGAGTGATGCCATGATGAGGTTCTGGGTTTGCTGGCTCAGGGTGTGGTTCTGCTCTAGGCTGTGCAGGGCTGTCAGGGTGCTAACTGGGGGAAGAGAGCCCCCAGGAGCAGAGATCTGTGCACAGGAGAAATACGGAAGAATATCAACATGCTTTTTGAGGAGAGTTGCAGGATTGTGGGATGTACATTTGAGATAGCTTAGAAGTGGTGCGATATCAATTGCATTTATTGACAAGCTTGGCAGTAAGTAGAACCACTGGGAGATTTCTGGATGACTTTCAGGAGATCGGCAAGGATTTCTGGTCCCCAGTTGTTCAACAAGAGCAGCAACAAAATGGCTCCCAGCCATCCAGTGGAGGCTAGTTCCCCTTTGGGACTAATAGGGTGCAAGGCAGGGAGCCCAACAGTAGGTGGTGCCAACGAGCCCAGGCAGTGCTTGACTCACCAGCTTTGCATCTCCTGCAGAACTAACTGAACACAGGCCAGGGGAAGAAGCATGGTGCAAGATAGTCTGGGTGGTCACAATGGAATTGCTTCCCCCGTGCTGGTTGCCGTCTGAGGAATCTGTCTCACTGACGGGTTGCTGGTTGTACCTCATGCCGGAGTCGGAAAAGGAGAGTTGTTGTTGTTGTTGCTGCTGCTGTTGCTGCTGCAAAGGGGATTGTTCTACAAACAAACAAAAGAAAGGGGGGGGATAATTCTTAGTAATTTGTGCTTAAGTTGAGGATTCTTAGCTCTGATCTCAGACAGGGCCGGCCCTACCCTTAGGCACAGTGAGGCAGTTCATTTAAACCATTAATTTCTTCCTCCACTGGTTCTGCTGAGAGAACACATGTCATGGCCTCTTACTCAACTGTCACCCAGCAGCAGCTAATCCATCTGGCTTTACCCGAACGAGCGTCTCCACCCCCATCGTTCAGCTGGGACATGGAAGCCCAGCTCCGAGGGCCTTCTGGCAGTTCCCTCACTGCAAGAAGCAAGGTTACAGGGAACCAGGCAGAGGGCCTTCTCGGTAGTGGCGCCTGCCCTGTGGAACGCCCTCCCATCAGATGTCAACGAAATAAACAACGATCTGACTTCTAGAAGACATCTGAAGGCAGCCCTGTTTAGGGAAGTTTTTAATGTTTGATGTTTTATTGTATTTTTAATATTTTGTTGCAAGCCGCCCAGAGTGGCTAGGGAAACCCAGCCAGATGGATGGGGTATGAATGAATGAATGAATGAATGAATACATAAATAAATAAATAAAATCTGAAATGCTTCCATTGCAACTGGCCATTGTGTGAACTGTAACTTGTAACAACTTGTCCTGGACTTTAATTTCCCCCCATCCTCCCTCCCTCCTCCTCGCTCTTTCCTTTTGGGCTGTGTCCTTTAGATTCTAAACTGGAGGGCAGGAACTGGTGGTGGTGGTGGGGATTGATCCGTAAGCTACTCTGGGAGTCATTTTGGCTGAAGTCTAAGAGGTGTGTGGGTGGGGAGAGATTTCAAATAAATAAATAGTGCCTGACACTCACCATGGACCTTGCTTGGTGAGAGGGGCGTTGCTGACTGGAGCGAGGAAGAGCCCAAGGTGGGCACAGATCCGGGCTGCGGCCCACTGTAGCTGTCCATAGCGAGCTTGTGCCGGAAAGCCTCCTCCTTCCGGCGGTTGGCAAACCAGTTGTAAACTCTCACCTCAGTCACCAGGTTCGAGCCCAGACCCTGGGCCTGGGAAGGTGAGACACCGCGCTGGATGCACTCTGCCCTGCCGAGAAAGGCCATGGATTTGTCAGGTTAGGGACGGGGCTTGTGTTAAGGCGAAGCCATTTCTCCAAAGGGAACCCCTTCAAATCAAAGGAGTGGTGTGTCTGTTGCACCATTTCCAAAGATATATGAACTGCATGAAGAACATAAGAAAAGCTCTGCTGGACCAGACCAGTGGCCCATCTAGACCAACATCCTCTTCTCACAATGAATCTTCTCCATTAATCTGTCCAATCCTCTTTTAAAGCCATCCCTATTGGAGGCCATCACTGCCTCCTGTGGGAATGTGTTTTGTTCCATTTTCCCAATGTTTTCTTCCCTGAGAGTTTTCTCCTTTAATGTGACCCTTCACTTGCCATAAAGGCCACTTTCAGAAATCTAGCAGAACCTAGTGGACGTTTAGCACACCCTTCCATGTTAGGAAAATAAGTCTGTTCCCGCTTCCCTGGAAAATCATGGAATGAAATCTGGGGCGATATTTCAGCTTTCTCAAAGGATTCTGAGCCCTGTAGTTTGTTAAGAGTTCTTGCTTCGAATTGTAACTTGGTGAAGAGTGAACCACCATGTCCAGAATAATTTGAGGAGGGAAAAATGTGCTTTGGATGTATTTTAAAGGTGTGAGGAGCACACAGCTGACAGCCCCGAGCTATGAAGCATTTCATAAGATCCCAGTATAGGGTGCAAAAGAATCCTATCGTCCCTGACTGTAGAGGTGCTTTCAGGTAATTACTTTTGGCGCCTCCTCTGCATTAATTATAGTCTAACCATAGTTGGCTCAGATCTCTCTGTACTTTTGCATTTTTAGTCCTGAGGTTCATCTAGACCTCATAGCTGATTATATGTTTAGGTCTAATTTGGGGTGAAATAGTTAAACTGGGGGCACAATGAGCAAGGAATTATTAGCCTCAGCTCAGCCAAAACCAAGAATTTACTTTCCCCACCCATTTCTTCCCACCCCTTACTTTGTGTAACATGAGTAAGAGCTTGCTGGATCAGGTCAATGGCTCATTCAGTCCAGGATCCTGTTCTCACGGTGGCCAACCAGATGCCTGTGGGAAACCAGCAAGCAGGATTTGAGCAGAAGAACACTCTCTCCTGTGGTTTTCAGCAACTGGTATTCAGAAACATCACTGCCTCTGACTATGGAGGCAGGGCATGGCTACCGTGGCTTGTAGCCCTTGATAGGCTTATCATTGCATTAATCTGTCCAATCCTCTTTGAAAGCCATCAAAGTTGGTGGCCATCGCTGCCTTTAGAGGGAGCAATCCCCATAGTTTAACTATGGGTTTATCCATACTCACCTTTCACCAGCCCTTTCCAGGCACAGTCTGCACCTTAAAGCTCTGTGTCCAAGCGCCTTTCTTTCTGCTCTGGTGCTTGCCCTGCGAAAACCCACTCTTTAAAGCTCTATCGGAGCAAACAGCAATCTGCGAAAAACCAGAATTGACTTTTTCTCCAATGGAGCACTAAAATGTGGGCTTTTGCAGGGGAAACTCTGGGGCAAAACCAACCAACCAACCCATGCTCGGACAAGGAACTTTTAAGCGCAGACTTGTGCCTGGAAACAGCAGGGCAAAAGGTAATTGTGGATAAGTGCTATGTAGTGCATGAGTTTTTTTCGTCTAGGAGAACAGGATGCTGGGCTAGATGGGCCAGTGGCCTAATCCAGCAGCGTCTTCTGATGTTCTTACATTCTTAAAAGAGGGACCTTCCTCCATTCACCTGTTGCACTCCTCCACTAAGGCTTCCCGTTCCTCCTTGCTGGGATTCTTCTGCCTCTCATAGGCTTGGAAGAGGATTTGCTGTGAAGCTGGGCCCCACTTGAAGCGATTGCGTCTGCCTTTCTTCGTTGGCAGGTCCTCTCCCATTGCATCTTCCACCATAATGCCCTGGCCAGCGTGGGTGAATTCTGGAACCACAGAAAGGGTGGGGTGCAACCATCTCTGGGGCAGCCCTTATGTTGTGGAACTCCCTCCTTCATTATTCTTTTTTTTTTCTTCCCCAAACATACATCTCTTTGCCCAGGACTTTAGCACCTAACCCACCATATCCTTGTGGTTCTAAATTGTTTTAAACAGTTTTTAATGTTGTATTTTAAATTGCTGTGTGACCGTAGGTTGAAGGCTGATAATAATAATAATTATTATTAACTGTCCATTTCTTGAAGAAACCAGGTGGGAGGAGCCGGGGGGGGGCAAACAAAGCAAGGCAACTAACAACTCAGCGGAATTACAGAAAGTTGAATGAGTTGGCAGCAGGGATCACACATGGGGGGGGGGGAATGGAGTCACTAGAACATTTTCTAAAAAATGTTTAGACTCAAGAAAATCACTGTTTTATAGTTCAAATCGGGGGAAATAAATACAGTAAATGGACAAAAGTACAAAGATTCACAAAATGTTTAGGGTATGCGTTCCCCCAGAAAAAAAGCACTGCATAGAAACATAGATATAAAAGCATGTGTTAAGGGTAGAAAAAAACCCCATCTCATTCTCTGGCTAGGTCACTTCCTGGTTCATACTATTTTTAGCATCCCCAAAGACAGAAGCCCACCCTACAGGAAGTTGTTGCTCCCTGCGTATCTTCTAAGGCTGAGTTGAAGGATGCTCCCCTGAGCCGGATCATTCATCTAGATATGCAACAGGCAGCCTCATCTAATAGAGGGAGACTTCTTTTTGGTTCTGCAGTAGGAATGAATGAATGATCCTGACTGCAGGCTGACTGACAGGCCCAGGCAGAGGATCCGTGGTCAGCCTCTTCTATGGGAGTGGGTCCTTTGGGTTCTAAGCAACCAGAGGCTCCCATGTGCCTTTGGCAAGGACCTGTATCAGTGCTTCCCCATCCCTTGCACCCTTGGCAGTAGGGCTGGGTGATATATATCATCCAGAATTTGTTTGAAGTCCATATCGTGATATCGGTTTCGTAATTTTTGACCTGGCAGTATATCGCAAATCATTATATGGGTGGCTGCTATGCAGAAATCACAATGTGGGAAAAACCGTGCAGCCAGCCAATGCATCTACATAGCTCCATCCTTATTTCAGACATGGTGATATATCAGTATATTGTGATGTTTAGCTGTTGATATAGCACAATGTTGAAAACCAGAGGAGCCTAACCACCTTGCCTGGCCATCCAGGGCAGCGGTGGAGCTGGCTGGCGGGTTCCTAGTCACTCCAAGCAGGAGTGGAGAGGCACGGGTTTTGTGCCCCCTGGGCCTGCACCCTTGACAGGGGCCAACTTGGCCAACCCCTGGGAACACCCCGGGCAGCGACGTTTAGTCACTGAATTCATTTATTTCTCGCAGCACATTTGAAGCTGCTGGCCATGTTTTCTCCAACTAACAGGAGCAACATTTTTCAGACATGGAAATTCAGCGTGCATCATGGCACACGAGTGTTGCAAATTGGCCCAGAATCCCTTGCAAATGTTGCGCTGACCGGCTCTGCTGCTGTTGAGCAGGTAGATAATGGCCTTGCTCTGGTACGTGCTTTGGGACTAGGAAAGAGCTGCTGGTTGCTGTACTTACGCTGAGCCACCTCTCGCTGCTTGCGGACGTACCAGGTGTAGAGGGCAGCCCTCTTCTGAGTTTTCATGGGTGTGCCCTTGTTGAGATGCTGGGAGAGGTGCGATTGATTCAAGCCTGTGGTGTCTACCACCTCCCGCTGGGGAATATTGTGCTGCTGTAGGTAGGATTTCACCATCTTGGCTACCCTCCAGGGATCCTCTCTGGAGGGAATAGAAAGCACACACTACATGAAAGAGGATTACAGGGGGTTGGACTACAGTAGATGACCCTTCGTGTCCTTTCTCCCTATGAGTCCTGAGAAGCAAGGAGAATCAACCAATTACATTTCTGGTAGTAGATGTTGGGTCAACACTAGTAGATGCTGTTCAGTCTCCTCTGTGCGGCAGGCTGTCCCAGCTGAATAAATTTTTCTTTACCATGAGTGTCTACTTGTTAGGGTTTTAGTCTTGTTTTAAATTTATTTGTCGTTTTTGTGTTTATAAAGTGTTTTTCATTATCTTATGCGTAAAGGGCCCTGAGATGGTGGTTTAGAAGGTGGTTAATAAATTATTTGTAATAGTAATAGTATTATATACAGTAGCACCTTGGTTCTTAAATGCATTGGTTCTCAAACGCCTTGAGAACCAAACATGTTTGGAACTCTGAAACCCAGAACTAAGTGTTCCGGTTTTTGAAAGTTTTTCAGAAGCTGAATGTCCAATGTGGTTGTCAGCTATTGTTTCTGGGGCACCTGCACCAGTCAGAAGCCGCGCCTTGGTTTCGAACGTTTTGGAAGTCAAACGGACTTCCGGAACTGATTAAGTTTGGCGCTTTTGTTTTTGCTGTTTATTTTGCGTTTCTGAGGCTTTTTCAGTTAATTTGTTTTTGTGACTGTGTGGAACCCAGTTCAGCTACTGATTGATTGATTGTGTGACTGCAGAAATGGACAAAAGCCCCCATCCAAACAACTACTATCATCAGTGCTGGTAAGAAATTTTTATTATTATTATTTTTTATCATGTACAATACAGTCTTATTTATTTTATAGTACAGTACATTGATTATTGCTTTCATTTTATGGATCAATAGTCTTTTTAGATAGTAAAATTCATGTTAACTTGCTGTTTTAGGGGTTCTTTTTAAAAGTCTGGAATGGATAAATCTGTTTTGCATCGCTTTCCATGGGAAAGCGCGCCTTGGTTTTGGAATGCCTTGGTTTTGGAACGGACGTCCGGATCTGATTAAGTTTGAGAACCAAGGTACCACTGTAGCTATTAAGTTGTATGCACAACATGGAGATTCTTGAGTCAACCTCTTTAGAACATTATGGCATCTATCCGCCCTCTTTCCATACCTTAATCTCGTTCCTATTCTATTCCTATCCTATTCCTGGATCAAGCCAAAGGGGCCTCACTATAGTTGTGGTCTCAAAGTGGCCAACAGATGCTCCAGTGAGGAACCCTCAAGCAGGATTCGAGCACCAGAGCACTCCCCACTCATGCTTTACATTTTGTATTCTATGAATACTGGTCATTGACGATAATAAAGAGTTGAATAGTTTTGTATTGTACTCCTGTGCTCCACTCCATATTGCTGTTTTATTGTGCTCCTGTATTTGGCATTTTTATATTTTGTTGTTTGGTGGAGTTGGGGTTTTTCAGGGGAGATTGTGAAGCTGCTTTGTGGAGGAAGTTCTTCAAAAAGCAGTGGAACACATTTTTTTTAAAAAAACCACGGAGTTAAGGGAAATCCTGAGCTTCTTTCAAATGATCGAAGCGTGAATTAGCTCGTTCCTTCATAGCGCAGTTCAAAGTGGTACTGTTCAATGTTCACTGTCTCGCAGGCTGCTTCCCACCTGCTAGGCCTCAGCCTGCTGACACTGGTGCCCCTTATTATCCCTCTCTGACCCTTTTCCCAGCACCAATTCAAGCTTCCCTTTTCGCTGGGCTTCTGAGGTCCCTTTTTTTAAGGGCTTCTCACCTCCCTTTTGTTACCTGAACAATAAGTAACCCAGGTAGTTAGTTATAAACTCAAAGGGAACAAGAGCCTGGTTGATAATTTATAGCAGCATCACAAATTTAAATGGAAAGTAAATATCAAGTTGTTAGCATTAAAAGAAAACCCAATCCCGGAGAACTGGGAAAGCAACATTCATGGGGGGGAATACCTCGATGTTCCAGTCCTAATGAGCCTTTTGCTTAAATGTTATTTTCCTTTTTTTATTTTGGTTTAACTTGCCCGCTTTCCAACATCTGTCTTCTTGCTATTCATTCTCTATGCTGCCTCCCCACCCCATTATTCCCCACCACTTCCTTGAGCAATGTTGAGCTGGGTTTCTGAGACCCATTCTTGGTACAAGAAAGAGGACCTTTGATCCCTTTGAAAACTAATTTGGGATTCCTGCTTCGGACCAAGCCCTGGACTCAAGATCACCACCGCTCACACCATCCCTGGTCTTTGAACCCTGAAGCCTGCATCTTTGTTGATTTCATTGAATAAATTGGACTTGGAAAGGACAGAGGAGGAAGAAAGGTAAGAACTGTTCCTCCTGGTAACATTTCCCCCCCTCTCTGTTGAATTTGGCCTTTAGGCTGGCCTGTGTACTGTGTGACACAACAAATATGATGTTGCAATTTGAGCTCAGAGCCCCAACAGCAGTTGCCATTCGCAGCAAAACAGAATCTAAATTTTACAAAACCCACATGCATTCTCCTCCACCGCATCAGAAAATACAATCCACTTTCCTACTCCTGCCTTCCCAAATTGATTAACTTAATATTGCAATTTTAAATTCTCCCCCCCCCTCTCTCTCTCTCTCTCTCTCTCTCTCTCTCTCTCTCACACACACACACACACACACAAAATTTTCAGTTTGCTCTTCAAGGAAATATTCACATTTTCCTCTTGGAAAACCCCCAATCCTAACACATTTTTAAAAGTGATGTTAAACACCCCATTTTAATTCTCCGCTTCTATAATTTGAACAAAGTAATGGCATTGAGAAGCAACAGAAAATGATTGTTCTCTATAGCACAGAGATTTTCAGGCTTTTAGGATTCTGTTCAGCGCTAGTCTACTGGCAATTACCGGCACAGAGCATAGAGTTGTCTGAGGCTGCACATTGTAGGGTAAGATTGGTAATGGTGAACAAAACTTGCTTCCAATAAAGTTTTTCTGCCGTTACTGATCCTCTCCCAAGAGGAGGGGAGGTAGCCAACAGGGTGCCTTACAGATGTTTTTTGAGCCCAGCTCCCATCAGCCCCAGCCACATCTGTCGGGCATCACATTGGTTTGGAATGCTTGATCAGCTTTTAATATTTCTGCAGAAGGACACTCTTTGGGGGGAAAACCCACTGCTGGAGCAGATTTACAGCACTTAAGAGGGCTATATCGGTCTCCCCACTGATGTTTAAATTACATTCTTAGCTTCACTTGTCAGAATACTCGACTCTTACCAATGGAAATGCTGCTCTCATTCCTTTTTGTCCTGTATTAGTACAATAACTATCGTGGCGGATAGGGCCTATGGATGGCTACTATAGCTGTGCTCTGCCTCCACAGTTAGAGGCAGCAAGGTTTTTGATTACCAGTTGCTAGAAACCACAGGAGGAGAGAGGGATCTTGTGTTCGAATCCTGCTTGCAGGTTTCCCTATGGGGCATCTGGCTGGCCACTGTGAGAAGAGGATGCTGGACTAGGTGGCCATTGGCCTGATCCAGCAAGCTTTTCTGATGTTGTTAGGATTGTTCCAAACACGTCCTGGGACTCTTTGTGAATGCAATGGCAACATCTTGTTCAGGGGAAGGGTTGTGTCTCAGGGGTAAAGCAACTGTATTGCATCCAAAGGTCCCAGGTTTAATCCCTGACAGCATCTCCAGGCTAGGTTGGGAATGTCACCTGCCCGAAACCCCAGAGAGCAGCTGCCAGTTAGTGTCAACAACACTGAGCTTGATGGACTGATAAGTCCTGACTCAGTATAAGGGAGCTGGTTCCTACCTGAGGCCGTGCCTGATTCCAGTTATTCTTCTGTCCCTTTCCTTTATGGGGGGAAAAACCCCACCCTCTCCGCAGGGTGGGGGAAGGCCTGGTAAGCGGAATTAACTCAGCTGTAAAACCTGCCTAGGTACTTTTGGTGTTATCAGGACATTTGCTACAGCCAAAGTCCAAACTGCTTCAGTGGATTGAGCAAACTAATCATCTGGCATGGCTGAGCATGTGTTTGCTCTCTTCCTGAGCTGTGGGAAGCACGAGGTAGTTAGCTATAAAACGTGAAATTTCTATGAAGCAACCCAGAGGTCAGCCTGCTAATGTTAGAGACCCAAGTTTGGGATAGAACTGGATTGTGAACTTAAAACATCAGATTTGCTGTGCATGGCCTGATTGATCAGGCCTGAGACACAGTACAAAGTGAGGCAGCCACCTCAAGTGGTAGGTTTTGAATGCTATCATAAGCAGAACCTTGGAAAGACCTCTGGGGCATTGCTATGTTCTTGCCTTATCCCTGTTAACTTTATGCGCTTTGCACAGCAGAATTCCTGTTGGCTTGAACTTAATGATTAATTTATTTATACTCTGCCTTTTACTCTGGCAGGGACTAGAGGCAGCTTACAGATAAAAATAATAACTAAAAACATAGGAAAAAACCATTAAAATTAAACGTTGTTAGAATTAAAACTATATATAAAAATCTATTTAAAACACACAGATAATTACAATAAAAACAGTGTGGTGCCAGCTGTTTTGTTAAAAGCAGTCAGTTACTAAAAGCCAGTTGGAACAACAAACTCTTTATAGGGTATAGGGACCCCTGACCATTAGGTCCAGTCGTGGCCGACTCTGGGGTTGCGGCGCTCATCTCGCTTTACTGGCCGAGGGAGCCAGTGTACAGCTTCCAGGTCATGTGGCCAGCATGACTAAGCCGCTTCTGGCGAACCAGAGCAGCGCACGGAAACGCTGTTTACCTGTGAGTAAAAGAACAAAAAGGGGGCAGCCACTCTAACCTATTAAAAATAGTCAGTTCCTAAAATCCAGTTGGGACAAAAAATTCTTCACCTGCCACTAGAAGGGCAACGATGAGGCAGCCACTCTCAGCTATTACCACCCAAAGTCCCATAGTATTTTGGATGCATCCTCCAAAAGCTGTTGTATACATCTTAAATATAGTTAAGAACATAGGAAGAGCCGGCTGGATCAGAAGAGTGGCTCATCTCGTCCTGCATCCTGTTCTCACAGTGGCCAAGCAGATGTCCCTAGGGGGAAGCCCACAAGCAGGTTCTGAGCACCACACCACTCTCTCCTAAAATAGGAGCTCAAGGCAGAGTTCATAGCCCGGTCCCTCTCCACTTCATCTTCACAAGAACCCTCTGAGATAGGTCAGGCTGAAGGTTGGTGACAGGCCCAAGGTCACCAAGTGAGCTTTGTCACTGAGTGAGGATTTGAACGCAGGTCTACTCTGCCTCTGTAACTCAGTTTCCCCAAATCTTCCCACAGCACATAGTTAAACTATAGAACTCACTCCCACAGAAGGCAGTGATGGCCACCAACTTGGAAGACACCAAGAGAGGAATAGACAAATTCACAGAGGAGAGGGCTGTTGATGGCTACTAGCTCTGCTTTCACACTCAGAGGCAGTAATGTTTCTGAATACCAGTTGTTGGAAATGGCAGAAGGTGGTTGTGCTCTTGTGCTTGAGTCCTGCTTTGAGGGTTTCCCTTAGGAGCACTTGGTTGACTACTGTGATGGCAGGATGCTGGACTAGATGGGGTATTTGCTTGGTCCAACAGGCTCATCTTATGTTCTTAACCTGGTTCCTTCCAGATGTTTTGTTTTTATAACTGCCATCAACTCCAGCATAATACAACCATGTAGATATGTTACCACCCAAAACAGCTGGGTGGCACCAAATTCGTGGATGCTGCTCTCACCAATACATCACACTCCCTCTCATTAAAACACACCAAGCAGATAAAGGTAGAACTAAGCTGGTTGTCTAAACCTGGTGGAGTGGTCTGGTGGAGTGGCTACAAGTGTGAACTGGTTCATCTCTGGTTCAGATTTCACATCAGTGGGCAGAGGGTCCGTCCAGACTGGTATGTGTGTGTGTCTGTGTTCTGCAACACGGCATTGATGCAATAACAGTGCACCAGTGATGGATTTATACTGGACCATCCACACTAAACCATTCTAGTTTACGGGTTTTTCTACTCTGCTTCCCTTGTGTTGCTGCTTTATTGCTTTCTAGAGGGGCACTTTAGCACTATAGTGCAACACCCTTCCTCCCCTGCCCAGAACATTTGTGGTATAAAAGGTTACAGGATATTACCAGGACATTACTGGAGATCCACTGAATGGAAAGGAATCAGCATGCCCACCCTAAAACCTGTGCAGGCACAAATAGTATTCAAAGCAGGATCAGTATAATTGGGTATAACATGCCCAATACCATCATAAAAATAACAATGAACCCAAAATTAAAAGGACATATGGGAGGCCCCTTAGAGAAGCCACTCTCTTAGCCTTGATCCTTTGCATATGAGAATAGTAATGCTACTGACCTACCTAGTAGGAGTGTCTCCACCCCCATCAATAAGCTGAGATCTGAGGTCTACTTCTGAGGGTCTTCTGGCGGTTCCTTTACTGCAAAAAGTGAAGTTACAAGGAACCAGGCAGAGGGCCTTCTCGTTGGTAGTGCCCTCCCTGTGGAATGCCCTCCCATCAGATGTCAGATTAAGAACTACACAACTTTTAGAAGACACCTGAAGGCAGCCCTGTATTGGGAAGTTTTTAACATTTGACGTTTTGTTATGTTTTTATATTCTGCTGGAGATAATGCATGTGAATATTAATAGTACTGGGCCACCTCATAGGGTTGCTGGAAGGATTACTGAGATAATGCCTGTGAAGTGCTTTGAATGCTCAAATATGCCATATGAAATGTTGTGTCCTCATAGTTGCAATCCATTTTCATGAATACAGCCCACTAAGCATTGGAGGCATTTTAAACTTGCCATCACTTGAGAGCCCAGTGTGAACCCACCCGCAACGCTCCTTTCCAAATCCTAATGGCACGATCCTCCCCCTCTTTCACCTTTTCACGGATGTCCATCACAAAAGAGGAGAGGAGAACAGGTGTTCTCCTGACTCCTTTGGCTTCCTCTGAGAGGAGACACCTGACAAATCATCAAAAGTTAATGATCAAAAAGCTTATCTGAGCCTTTTCGTTTATAAATTTATAAGACAAAAGAGAAATAATAAAGCCACTGGATAATTAGTAACCAGCTCAGTCCTGAGGCTTTGGAAATCAAACTGACCCTAGATCTCGACACAGACTCTGGGAGAGGTGGAGGGGAAAGGTGGGGTGATGCAAGGGGTCATTTGGGAGTCGGGGAGTTTTAAAGATCGACCCCCAAAAGGGGAAATGAGCAAAGAAAGATGATTTGAGGGGGTGGATGCGGTTAAAAATAGGAGAAAGAAAGAAAATACAAGACAAGAAGGAACAATGGTGGAAGAAAAGGACTTTTGGAGTCTTGAGGCCTTTCTCCTTCCACTCACAGGTAAGAAGAGCCTCTTGCTTTGCTTGTGACACTGGGCTCAGAAGCAAAAGCAGTACAGCTAATTAATGTGACTCCATTGGGATCTGCATCACAGGGGTGGCTATTGCAAGGTCTTTGCTTAGTTTTTGTCAATCTTTTTGTCCAATGTAGACATCCCTGAGATTAAGAGTTTCATGCTCTACCGAATGAGCTATCCCACAGATTCCCCACTGACCTGCCTTCCATTTGCTCCCAAAATCAGAGCTGTGGTCTTCACAAGCTCTCCCTATCAGTAACAGAAGGGGCTGTTTTTGCATTCATATTTTCCCCGAGGAGCCCTTCCGAAGGAGCTCATGTAAATCCCCTCCCTGCATACAGAGATTCTCCCCCAGCCCCTAATAAATATTATTACATTTGACAACAGTCTGGAATTTTAAAAGAACATTTTTACTCCCCCCACCTCCAAATGGAGCTCATTTATAAGTAGGTTGTGGATATATTATGGTTAGCAAGAGTGGGAAAGAAAGTAAGGGAGATAGGAAAGAATGGTCACAACCTTCCTGCTAGGAACATTGGCATGAATTCCTAGGGAATCCTGTCTTTGTCCAAGGCTGGCAGCGCATACTTTGAACATGCCTGTTTTGTCAGTAACAACAAGATGGCTTATCTGAGTTATTCGAGACTGAGGGCAAGAGTGTTGTGTGTTTGGGGAACATGTCTCATGATGGCAACTCTATGGCGCTTCATTTCACATCTTTGAACACTTCTGCTGTAGGAACAATCATGCGGACAGTTCCCCATGCTCATCAACCCCAACTGCCCGAAGATAGTTCCTTGCTTGCTCAGGTTTAGAAAAACGATTCTGGGTTCTTCTACCTCCCATGCAACATCTGAAATGGCGGACAGGATAAAAAAAAAGAGAGATGTTTGCTGAGTGAGTTCCAAAGTTATTCCTCACCTAAAGAAGTACCTCCTTATCTGAATTGGACTTTGGGGCACTCTGTTGGCATGGGCCTGAAATTTTAGGTTTTAACTATACCTTTTATTTAGAATCATCTCAGACAGGGAAGCTGGGTACTTGTCCAGTAGTTGTGCTACAACATGAATCTCTATGCCTTTAGATCGGCTGCTAGCACTAAGGAAAGGGTTAGGGTGATTTGAGAAGGTAGAGGATAAAAGGGGACAGACAGACAGAGAGGGAGAGAAAGAGAGAGATTAGGCAGGAGATGCCCTTACTGTAAGAGTCTTTCCACCACGGCTTTCTGGTGTGCAGCCTCTTCTGGGCTTAGGTTTTCCAGCTCCTTCATTATTGGCGGAGTGAAGTCTTCTCCATCGTCAGAGGTCTCCTCTTCGGACATCCTGGACTCCCCCATCCCATTGGCAAGAGCCGTGAGTTCTGTGCAGGGTTCTCTTTTCTCGACTTGGATGGTGCTGGCAGTCCGCTGCTGGCTGTCGCCATGCTGTGGGTAGGGGTCCGATTCCATCAGGGCTTTGATCAGTGTCTCCTTGCTCAGCCCAGATTCCAGGAGAGCCCCCAGCAGCTCCACCTGAAGATGAGTGAGTTTGGAAACCATGGTCTTTTAGTTCTGGCCGCTTCTCCTAAGGCCCGAGGTTTTTCCGACGTGCTCGACGCAGATCCCTGTGTTTGCTACACCATGTTTCTGAAGTCACCCGTCGGAGCGAAATAGAAATGGCAGAAGGTTCGGCCTTTGCAACCCCCCCCCAACAAAAAAATTCCCCAAGAGGGGGGGAAAAAAGCAGCTTCAGACCCCCCACAACTGTCCTGAGTCAGTGCTGATAAAGGGACCCTCGCCTATCTGTTTACATTGGAGCAATGCAAATTCTCCAAGGTTCATATTTATCTGTGTGCTTAGGCAAGTTACTGAACTTTGGACTTCGGCATTGCAACAGCAGTTCACAAAGTGCCCAGGAAGGGAGGGAGAGCGAGAGGAAAAATAAGAGGGGGAAGAAGAGTGGAGGAAAAGGAGATGAGGCCGCACAGGAGACACCTCTTGAAGAAAAAGAAGGGACCAGGTGGTGGTGGAGAGGAGCAGGATCTGGGCATGGGAAGAAGTTTAATGGCATCTCCTAGAAAGGTACATAATAGAATGATACCAAGCTCAGTAGCAGAACATCTGCTCAGAAGCAGAAGCAGTCCCTGGCATCTCTAAGCAGAGTTGGGAAATAATCTTGCCTGAAACCCCGGAGAGCTGTTGCCAGTCAGTGTAGACAGTACTGGGTGAGATGGACCAATGGTCTGACTTGGTATAAGGTAGCTTCCTGTGTACCTTTGGGATGTGGCTGGAAAGTATAGAAAGGGCTGGCCCAGCACATTCTGGGGCGTAGATGGTCCTGTCCTCCTCAAATGGTTCTCTCCCTCAGCTCCTAACTCATTGGGTCCATCAGGAGATTGTCTTCTGGAAGAAGCCCCGTTGCAATGAAAATAAGCTGCGGAAGTGCATGGCCACGCTGTTCATGATAGATTTGACTTGAGGATGACAACCTATCTGTCCCACGCTCTGCTGCCACCAAGGATGGGTGGATCTGTCAGTCTGGGTTTCCCTCACTTGTTCATATTTCCAAGTGTAAATTCAGTTCTTCATATTTCCATATCAGTTTGTGTTGTTTTTTTAAAAGTCCTCATGAAAATTCATCAGAATTTTGGTGCAAATTTCTCCTAATTTGCACATTTTTTATTCTTCTTGTTGCTGTTTATATACAGCTTTTCCCCCAGACTCCTACTCAAGGGGACTTACACAAATTAAAACAACACAGATGAAATACAAAAAGCTAAAAAGATGATAGTTTAAAAGTAATTGGACTAATAAATTAAAACAATATACAAATTTCTATGCAATTTTCCATGATATGTTATATGTCCCTATGTTATTTTCTCCTAATGTATGCATGTTAATGCACACTTTATCCCAGTCAATACAATTTTCTTTTTCACATTCGCTGGCTAGAGAACTGCACTGCAAAATTTGTAAAAGTGCACATTTTGAAGGATGGTTCTGCATTTCAGTCTGTGTATTGTTTCAGAAAGTGCAAATTCAGTAGGACTGCCTTTATAGGAAAACCAAAATGACTTCCAATGAAAAACAAACCTGAGTAATGCAATTCCCAGGGCAGTTCTGCAATTACACATTTCCATCCATGTTTTAAAAAATAAGATAAAAGACAAGTACGGTATACACTGAGGAGATGTGATAGCCCTATATTCAAATATCTAAAGGGTTTTCACATGGAGAATGGATCAAGCTTGTTTTCTCCTACTTCAGATGCTAGGACCCAAACCAATGGATTCAAAGCTACAAGAAAGGAGATTTCAACTTAACATCAGGATGAATTTTCTGACAGTAAGTGCTATTTGACAATGGAACAGACTCCCAAGAGAGGTGGTAAAACTCTTCTTCGTTGGAGGTTTTCAAACAGAAGATGGATGGCCATCTGTCATGTATGATCTAGTTGAGATTCCAGCGTTGCAAGGAGGGACTAGATGACCCTCAGGATCCCTTCCAACTCTACAATTATTATTATTTTTTAATTCTATTATCAGGCAGGCACCTTCACAGTACTCTCTGGCACCTGCTTACAACATTTTGGTTTAGACAAGTCTATCCAGATGTTCAGAAAGTTGATTAGAGTTTTAATCTATTTTTAGTCTATTATTTTAACTTTTCAAAAGTGTTAAATTCCTGTATTGTTGCTAATTATTCTTATTGATAATCTTAGGTAAAGGTAAAGGGACCCCTGACCATTAGGTCCAGTCGTGACCGACTCTGGGGTTGCAGCGCTCATCTCGCTTTATTGGCCGAGGGAGCCGGCGTACAGCTTCCGGGTCATGTGGCCAGCACGACTAAGCCGCTTCTGGCGAACCAGAGCAGCGCACGGAAACGCCGTTTACCTTCCCACCGGAGCGGTACCTATTTATCTACTTGCACTTTGACTTGCTTTCGAACTGCTAGGTTGGCAGGAGCAGGGACCGAGCAACGGGAGCTCACCCCGTCGCGGGGATTCGAACGGCTGACCTTCTGATCGGCAAGTCCTAGGCTCTGGTTTGACCCACAGCGCCACCCGCGTCCCTTGATTGATAATCATACCATAACCTTATTGTTTATTTATTATAATTATTATAGTAACACTTTGAACTTAGCCTATTAACACTTCCACTCCTCTTTTGCAAAAGAGCCCAGGTTGGGAAATAAAGCAGGAAAACAGAGCTTTTTAAAAACATGTAGGAACATCTGAAAACATTTCAAAGCAATTCAGTATCTTCACAGTAAATAATTTAATGGTGCCAACAGTGCTATTTTTCTAGAAAAGGAGGTGCCACTGCCAGAACTCACCATGAATGCCACCCTTGTTCTCTTAGAATGACAATGGTGCCCACCTGAGAGCTGCTGGAACTCAGTTCCAGCTGAAAAAAAAGCCCTGGTTGCCAGTAGCAGTATCTGTCAGCCTTCAAAGGCCTGGGTGAACATGATTATTATTTTTTATAAAAAATCTTCCTGAATGTTGTTAAGGAGGGAGACAGATGCACCTCTCCTACTGGGAAGGTGTTCCACAAACAGGGAGCCACCACTGTGAAGACCCTGTAGTTTATCAGCACCAACTGGACAGTTCCATGTTGTGGCACCACCAGCAGGGCCTCCCCTGCTGATCATAAGGCCCAAGATGGTTGATATTGAAGAAGGTGGCCTGCCCTTGGATACCCTAGGTTTCAACCTTTTTGAGTCCACGGCTCCCTTGACCAACTACAGTGGTACATCGGGTTACATACGCTGTTCTTCAGGATGAGAACAGAAATTGTGCTCCGGCGGCCTGGGGGCAGCAGGAGACCCCATTAGCTAAAGTGGTGCTTCAGGTTAAGAACAGTTTCAGGTTAAGAACGGACCTCTGGAACGAATTAAGTACTTAACCCGAGGTACCACTGTACATTCTTTCTGTGGCACCCCTGTGGGGCTCAGGAGCCCAGTTATGTCACCCCTCACCTGCAGAGTTGGCAGCCTCTCACCCTTTTTCGAATACCCTCCCTTGTGGAGTGTTCCCTCTTCCTCCTCTCCCCTCTCCTTGGGAGTCCTCTGGGCAGCCACTGCTGCTGCCCCTGGTTTCTTAGCTTTGCCCCCAGCCACAAAGAGAGGTGCTTTCTCCCACTGCCCCACAGGGGCCTGGGACTTCTCTGTCCATTCCCAGCAGCAAGGGCTGGTGGACTGGCTGGGATCCCTCACCCGCTTGCTTGCTTACTCCAAGGCCACCTGAGTTCCTGGCAACCAGCACCCCCTGGCCAGCCCCAGAGGCACCATTTGCCTGGGGAACTTGTAGCCAGGGCTGTTGCACAAACAGCCACACAAGCCTTTGGGAGGCAGAGACGCAAGAGGACATCAGAGGAGGGAGGGAAGGAAAGAGGAACAGAGGCCAGTGTTTTCCCATGGCTCCCCTGACCATCATTCAAGGCACCCCAGGGTGCCACGGCCCACTGGTTGAAAACCATTGCCCTCGTGCTTTAATAGACAATCTGTGTATTACATACTCCTATTTGGCAGCTCAGGAACACAAAATGAAAGAGCTCTTGACAGATCTCATCCTCCCCTTTACTTCCTGGCCTGTGATTATCCCATTATAGAACCAAGCCAGGCGTCTCCCTTGATGACTGGGCTGGTAGCTCCACCCAAAGTTTCTACGCCCACCTGTCCACAGCAGCTGACAGGTAACTTATACAACCTGGCCGGAACCAGCTTTCCGCAGGGAAACTTGCCATGTCCAGGGCTTGGCTTATGGTTTAAAAGGTTTTTGGTCAAGTGGTCCTCAAGGCAATATATATTGATAGCCATCTGTCAGGGATTCTTTAGTTATGATTCCTGCAGGGAGCTGGACCAAATTACCTTTTGAGTCTCTTCTAACTCTAACATTCTATGATGGCGACTTACAACAGATCAGTCTTCACCAACCTGATGCATGCCCGCACCCATGTTTTTTGGACTACATCTCCCATCATCTTACCTTTCCATCCCTTACCTTTCCCGCCCCGACCTGGCCACAGTGATCCATGCGACAGTCACCTCCAGGCTTGACTACTGTAATTCGCTCTACGCGGGGCTGCCCTTGAAGCTGTCCCAGAAACTCCAGCGGGTGCAGAATGCTGCAGCGAGGCTCCTCACGGGGTCTCTGCCATGGGAGCATATTCACCCAGTGCTTTTCCAGCTGCACTGGCTCCTGGTGGAGTACAGGGTCAGATTTAAGGTGCTGGTTTTGACCTTTAAAGCCCTTCACGGCCTAGGACCCTCGTATCTACGGGACCGCCTCTCCCGGTATGCCCCACGGAGAGCCTCAAGGTCCATAAATAGCAACACCCTAGTGGTCCCGAGCCCTAAGGAAGTTAAATTAGCTTCAACCAGAGCCAGGGCCTTTTCAACTCTGGCTCCGGCCAGGTGGAACGCTCTGCCTCACGAGACCAGGGCCCTGCAGGATCTGATTTCTTTCCGCAGGGCCTGTAAGACAGAGTTGTTCCACCTGGCCTTTGGCTTGGAGCCAATTTGATTCCCTCCCCCTCTTTCTTTTTTCTTTTCCTTTCTCCTCCTGCGATGAGGCTACAGTTTAATATTTTAATGTTGTATTTTAATTTTGTTTTTAAGTTGTATTCATTCAACTTGTTTTTTATTATTGCTTGTTAGTCGCCCTGAGCCCGGCCTTGGCTGGAGAGGGCGGGGTATAAATAAAAATTATTATGATTATGATTATGATTATGATCAGCCCCATCTAGCATGGCTGTGCTTCCATTAACCCCAGCATCACTCGGCTGTGCTGGCAGGGCCTGATGGGAGCTGTAGTGCAAAAGATGCTTTAAATGTGCGAGGTATATGCAGCCAAGCGAACACATGCAACTGCTTCAGCGGAGGTGCTGAGTTGGGGCTAAAGAATTTTAGAAGCAGTGAGCAAATCCAAGAAACACAGGGCTGGGGGTTTCTGTCCTCGACTGCCGGATTTCTGATTCTTCTTTTATCCAGGACGGAAAGGCAAGAAGACCGAAGAAAAATGTGGATAGGATGTGCACATTGTTGGTATCGGAAAGAAGAGTGCCACTTAGTGGCCAAACTGACCTGTAGCACTACTTTGAAACAGCCTGTTTGATGCATGGGATGCAGGAGTGACAAACTTTTTCAAGCGGAGGGCCACAGTCCCTTCTGAGCAACCTTACGAGGGCCACATGCTAAAAGTGGGCAAGGCCAGAGGCAGAATAAAAAGTGGGTGGAACAATGAGTGCAAACTTTGTACAGTAGGCTTGTTTCTACACACCTCACTCTCTCCTCCACCCAGACAAGCAAGAGGCATGATCGGAATTCAAGGGCACGTTAGGGCTGGGTGATATCTGATTTTCAACATCACCAGTTGAAATATATTGAAATATATTTCAATATATCACCAGCTAAACATCGCAATGTACTTATATATCACCATGTCTGAAAGAAGGATGGAGCTATGTAGATGCATTGGCTGGCTTCACAGTTTTCCCCATATTGTGTTTTTTTACTTGCACTTGCACGTGCACGCACGCACGCACACACACACACACTGTTTCACAATACAGTATATTGCCAGGTCAAAAACTATGAAACCAATATCACAATGTGGACTTCAAAACGGTTTTGGAGGATATATCACCCAATCCTATTGTGGATATAATTGGATCTCACCTAGTGACTCTAATGCCACTTCGAGAGACTTGGGTTTTTTTTACTGGATAGTGAGGTACATAATAAACAAATAAATAAATGTATATTAAAATTGTGTAGATCTGTCTTATATTTTTTACATTTTACTGCACCTAGAAAGCACATGCTAAGGAAATTCCTCCCCCCCCCCCAAGCACTGTAGTTTTCCCCTCACAGAGTTACAGTTCTAACAAGCCTTAACAAACTACTATACCCATAATGTTTGTGGGGGCGGGGGCGGAAATGCCTTTTGAATGTGAGAAGAGGATCCTGGACCAGGTGGGCCTTCTGTCTGATCTAGCAGGCTCTTCTTATATTTTTAGGAAGCGACAGAACATGCCCAGTTCAAAACAAAGAATTATGTATGCAGTTAAACTAACAAAAGGTCCAGAGTCCAGACCATGGGTAGGCAAACTAAGGCCCGGGGGCTGGATCCGGCCCAATTGCCTTCTAAATCCGGCCCGCAGACAGTCTGGGAATCAGTGTGTTTTTACACGAGTAGAATGTGTCCTTTTGTTTAAAATGCATCTCTGGGTTATTTGTGGGGCATAGGAATTCGTTCATTCTCCCCCCCCACAAAAAAAAAATATATAGTCAGGCCCCAGACAAGGTCTGAGGGACAGTGGCCCCCTGCTGGAAAAGTTTGCTGACACCTGGTCCAGACAGCATTGAAAGCAGACAGGTCCTTTATCACCTCAATGCCACCATGAGCACAAGTCATTGTGACGCACAATAAAATGGACTTTGGAGGAGGGGCTCAAAGGCTGCTACTCAAGTGTTAGATTCAGTTCCCTGTTAAAAAAAGAAGCCACCTTGTGTACTGACCTTTTCATTCTCTAGGAGAGGAATCATTTCAAACCAAAGCAGCCTCGGACAAACCCAAGTGCCCTTAACTATCAAACCACTAAAATTGGTTCCCACTGATGAATCAACCTGTAGCTGGTGCCCCAAGGCAAGCTTGCAGCCTAGCAGAGCTGTCTCCTCCAGAACTACTCTCAAAGAAGCCCTGCTTACGTCAGCAGTAAAACAAGTGTAAAAGGAGCAGCAGTTAAAAGACATGTGCAAAATTGTGAAACTTGGGCTCCAGCCTGTTTCACTTCATGTCTCTCCCCCCCCCCCCATTTTCCCTTCAATGTGGGAAACATTCATTTGCCATAGGCCAGACGACGACTAGCCCAGTTTCCATCCCGTCCCAGTGGGGGAAAAAGACTGCTGAGGAGGAGCAGATGAGGCTTAACAGTGTTTAAAGTAGATGAAGCAATTCCACTCATTATCATTATGGTAATAATAGTAATTATGCCATTAACCTTTCTAGCAACTTTCCCAAGAGAGCCAGCGAGTGCTGTAATGCAGACACATCATAATGATGCTGTGGTCATACAGGCTGCAATCTTCAAACCACTTACTCTGAAGTAGTCTTATTAAAGTCCCTTGGGCACTTCTCAAGGGTAAGAAGTGGGAAGAGACTCTGTTTAATGTGTTCACGTCAGGGTTCTGGAGTGACAGGGAGTGTGCATACTCTCTGTGTGTGTCGTGATATCTTTTCCAGCCCCCCCCCTTGATAAACAGAATCATTTGGCAGGTGTGGGAAATGCATTATTTTTCTGTATTATTAAAACTGCAGAAATGGCAGTTCTACTGGGTTTTATCCAACTAAAATTTTTCTCAGAGTAGATCAATTGAAATTAATGGGCCTAAATTAGTCTGAGCATTAATTTCAGTGGACCTACCCTGAGGACACTTGACTATCACTATCTTCAGTTGTATTGCAGCAAATTAAGGGTGCACAATGAAAGCTGATTTGGAGCGCAAGAGCCTGCTGGTTAAGGCCAAAGGGGAACCCACCCAGCTCAGCAACCTGTTCTCATAGTAGCCAACCTGATTCCCCAAAGAAAAGCCCTCGACCAGGACCAGAGAACATCAGCACTACTCTCCTCAATTGTGATTCCCAGCAAATGGTCTTCAGAAGCATACTGCCTCCTATATTATCAACCTTGGTGAAAGTCAGTGTAAAGAGAGAGAAAAATGATTAAAAAGTTTTACTTTTTTTAAATACAATGATTGTATTTACAATGATTGTATTGTTTAAATTGAAAAATATTTATTTCATTACAGAAAATATAAATCTGTATATATGATATATTATATTATAAATTTATGTCATCTTCTTTTCTTCTTCTTTGAATTTATATACTGCCCTATACCCAGAAGCCTTAGAACGGTTCACAGAACAAAATCAAAATATAAAAGCACAAAATATATACAGAGGACCCTCTGGATACAAATTTAATTCATTCCAGGGGTACGTGTGCACTCCAAAAAATCTGTATCCAGATGTGCCTGTTCTGCGCATGTGCGCGGGGCAGTAGCCCACTTCTGCGAATGGGGTGGTGGCCCGCTTCTGCACATGCGTGACCGGTGGTAGCCTGCTTCTGCGCATGTGCGGCCGGCAGGAGCCCGCTCCTGTGCAGGTGTGGCCACCGAAAGCCTTCCTGTTACTTCCGGGTTCGCTGCGTGTGTATCCTGAAGAATATGCAACCAAAGAGGTACGTAACCTGAGGTTCCACTGTAATCGAAATAAAAACAACCCAATAACTGCCCCTCCAAAAAACACCCACATTTTAAAAGGGCATAGGATATCAGTCAAATCAACCAAAGGCCTGGTTAAAAAGGAACTTTTTTGCCTGGTGCCTAAAAGTGTATAATGAAGGTGCCAGGTGAACTTCTCTGGGGAAAGCAATCTACGGATGGGGAGCCACTGCAGAGAAGGCCCGTTTTCGTGTTGCCACCCTCCAGACCGCTCTAGAAGGAGGCACATGAAGAAGGACCTCAGAAGATGATCTCAGGATCTGGGTAGGTTCATATGGAAAGTGGCAGTCCTTGAGGTATTGTGGTCAAGGCTTTATAGGTCAAAACCAGCACTTTGATTTGGGCCCGGAAACTAATTGGTAGCCAGTGCAGTCGGACCAGGATCGGTGTAATATCCTCAAACTGTCTTGCTCCGGTGAGCAACCTGGCTGCTGAATTCTTCAGTAGCTGAAGTTTCCGAACCGTCTTCAGAGGCAGCCCTACGTATAATGCATTGCAGTGATCTAACCTTGGAGTAACCAGAGCATAGACAACAATAGTTAGGCTATCCCTGTCCAGATAGGAGAGTAGCTGGGCCACCAGCCAAAGCTGATGGAAGGCAATCTGGGCCACAGAGACCACCTGAGCCTCGAGCGACAGCAAAGGATCCTGGAGTACCCCCAAGTTACGAACCTGCTCCTTCAAAGGAAGTGTAACCCCTTCAAGAGCAGGTGACCTCCCAGCCATCTGGTCTAGGGAACCAGCCACTAACAGTGCCTCAATCTTATCTGGATTTAGTTTCAGTTTGTTGGCTTTCTTCCAGTCCATTACCGAGTCAAGACACTGATCCAGCACTTCCATTGCCTCACCTGCAGATGTAAAGGAGAAATAGAGCCAAGTGTCATCAGCATACTGCTGACAATGTACTCCAAATCTCCGGATAACCCCACCCAGTGGATTCATGTAGATGTTAAACGACGTGTGGGATAGGATTGAGCCCTGCGGAACCCCACACTTTAGGTTCCAAGGGCTGAAAAGCATCCCCCAAGCAACACCCTCTGGGAACGACCATCCAAGTAGGACTGGAACCACTGCAAAGCGGTGCCACCCACCCTAGTTTGGACAGTCGCTCCAGAAGATACCATGGTCCATGGTATCAAAAGCTGCTGAGAGGTCGAGAAGAATTAACAGGGACATGTTTCCCTTGTCTCTCTCTCAACAGAGGTCATCATAAAGGGCAACCAAGGCAATTTCTGTGCCAAAACCAGGCCTAAACCCCGATTGAAATGGATCCAGAAAATCAGTTTCTACCAAAAGCACCTAGATCTGGTCTGCGACCTCTTGTTTAGGAAAGGAAGATTAGCAACTTGCTGGTAGTTACATTGTTTTCTGAATCCAGGGAAGGTTTCTTAATGAGTGGTTTTACCACTGCCTCTTTCAAACAGGAAGGGACTGCCCCCTTTCTTAAACAGGCATTGATCACCTCCCTGGCCCAGCCAGCTGTTCCTTCCCTGCTGGTTTTTGCCAGCCAAGAGGGGCAAGGGTCTAGAGCGCAAGTGCTTGCCCTGACTGATCTGAGCACCTTGTCCACATTTTCGAGCCTTACCAGCTGAAATTCATCCAACACAACAGAACTAGACTGTGCTCTGGACGCCCCATGAGATTCATCTGCTGTAACAGCAGTCAAGGTCTTGGTGGATGCAAGCAATTAATATAACTAATAATAGTTATATTAACTATTAAATTAATTCAATTAGATATATTAAGTATATTATTTTTATCTTACCAGTAGATACATCACTGCGGGGAAAAACATGTACATAAAACAAAAGCATCTTTTTGGAGATCAGTGCCCCTTGTAAAGAAGAGTATCTAACAACGCCCCCACCAAATGAAATTTAGAGAATCTTCAACAAAAGGGGATACCTGTTGGCATCTTTTGAAATTAAAGAGACAAAACCTGAGTCAAAACTGCAAATGAATTCACTATCCCTGAAACTAAAGCCATATAACTTTTTGGGGAAGTCTTAACAGCTGTCAAAACTGATCTTTCTGGTGTCTTGCAGGTGCTGCCCTGTGTAGCCCGAATTCCAATTGTATTTGGCTGTATGTCATCTGCATTGGCATCTTTTGTACCATCAAATTTGTCACTTAGAAATTTAAACCATCTGACGCCTGTCAAATAACAGTGCAATCGTTTAAAGAAAACATTTCTTTCTCTGTAAAAATGGTTAAGAGTGATGATACTTCTGCTTATTGGCAGAATATGATTACAGACTTGGTGATTGACTATAATGGCAATATAGAATGTAGACTGGCCACCATTATAAGAGTACAAAGGGTGACCTTGGGCCAGCCACTGCCTCTTAACCTTACCTACTTCACAGGGTTGTTGTGAGCATAAAATGAGGAGATGGAGAACTATGTGTGCCAGCTTGAACTCCTTGGAGGAAAGGTAGAATATAAATGCAGTAATAAATAATCATATTTTAAGCAGTCATTGCAATTGTTCCTCTTAAACTAAGTGGGTGTCCAGAGGTCCAGAACAAGGCTGTGTATACTTCTGGTCGCCTCACCTGAAAAAGGTTATTGCAGAATTGGAAAAGGTTAAGAAAAGAGCAATCAAAATGATAAAGGGGATGGAGCAACTCCCCTATCAGGAAAGACAGCAGCGGTTGGGACATGATAGAAGTTTATAAAATTATGCATGGGACGGGAAAAGCGGATAGAGAAAGGTTTTTCTCCCTCATAACACTAGAACTTACGGACATCAAACGAAACTGAACGTTGTTAATATTTAGGACAGATGAAAGCACATTATGGAACTTGCTCCTACAGGAGGCTGGGATGACCACCAACTTGGATGGCTTTAAAGGAAGACTGGAGAAGTTCAATAAGGCTATCAATGGCTATTAGTCACAATGGCTATTCTCTCCTTCCATGGTCGGAGGCAATAATGCTTCGGCATGCCAGTTGCTAGAAAGCTTAGGAGGGGAAAGTGCTCTTGTACTTGTGTCCTGCTTGCAGGTTTCCCACATGTATTTGGCTTGCCACTGTGAGAACAGGATGCTGAACTACATGGGCCATTGGTCTGATCCAGCAGGCTCACCTTGTCTTCCAAAAGAGAGCCAGCGTGGTGTAGTGGTTAAGAGCGGTGGACTCGTAATCTGGTGAAATGGGTTCGATTCCCCGCTCCTCCACCTGCAGCTGCTGGGTGACCTTGGGCTAGTCACACTTCTCTGAAGTCTCTCAGACCCACTCACCTCACAGAGTGTTTGTTGTGGGGGAGGAAGGGAAAGGAGATTGTTAGGTGCTTTGAGACTCCTGAAGGGGAGTGAAAGGCGGGATATCAAGTCCAAATTCTTCTTAATTGGAGAGTCCTTGTCACGGACTCTAGAGAGCTTTAGGGGGATCAGGACCAAAGGTCTACATATTTCCAAAATCCTCTTTCCCACTGTATAATGCAGCTTCCTATGTTCCCATCGTTTGAACTACACCACTGCATTGAATCTACACCTAGAAGGCCTATGTATAATATGCATAGGCTGCAGGAACAGCTCGTCCACTTTGTATGCCAGCAGCATCTTCGGATATAGTTCTGCGCTTCCAGTAAATGTGAAAAATATTCGGGAAGCACAAGTAGGGAGGAAGGACAACACAGTTCACTGGTCTTCACTGATGGCTGTGGAACGAAAGGAACCCAAACAAGTAGGCAGAGCCAACAAATTATAGGTTTCTTCCAATCCTCTTTCCTGCTGAGTTCAACAAGAGCAATGCTGAAACTGAGGAGGAGGAAACTGACAGCCGGTTCCAAAAGAGAAGGCAGGCAGGTGGGAGCTGGCTGAGAGCAGAATATGGTTGGTGGGGCAGATCCCATTTGCCCTAATGGACCAGCCTCCACTGTTCATCCACCATCTCTTAGAACAGAATAAAATTAAATAGAAACCCACATTGAAGCTTAAAAACAAAATCCCACATATGGACATCTCCAAAGCCTACAATCAGATGTTTCAGCTGCTGTGGATGCCGATAAGAAGAGCTTACTGGATCAGGCCCAAAGGCCCATCTAGTCCAGCATCCTTTTCTCACAGTGGCCAACCAGATGCCCCATGGAGAATCCGTAAAGCAGGACCCCAGTACAAGAGCGTTTTCCCCTCCTGCGATTTCCAGCAGCTGGTATTTGGAAGCATTGCTGCTGCCGGAGGCAGATGATAGCCATCATAGCTAGTTCCCATGGATAGCCCTCTCCTCCATGAATTTGTCTAACCCACTTTAAAAGCCATCTAGATTGGTGGTGGGATGCAGGTGGCGCTGTGGGTTAAGCCACAGACCCTAGGACTTGCCGATCAGAAGGTCGGCGGTTCGAATCCCCGCAACAGGGTGAGCTCCCGTTGCTCGGTCCCTGCTCCTGCCAACCTAGCAGTTCGAAAGCACATCAAAGTGCAAGTAGATAAATAGGTACCACTCCAGCGGGAAGGTAAACGGCATTTCCGTGCGCTGCTCTGGTTCGCCAGAAGCGGCTTAGTTATGCTGGCCACATGACCCGGAAGCTGTACACCGGTTCCCTCAGCCAATAAAGCGAGATGAGCATTGCAACCCCAGAGTCGGTCACGACTGGACCTAATGGTCAGGGGTCCCTTTACCTTTAGGTTGGTGGTAAGTTCCGTAGCACCACGTGCTCACTAAACGACCTTGGGGGCCAGTCGTGAACTCTCAGCCCAACCTACCTCACAGGCTTGTTGTAGGGATTAAATGGAGCGAACTATGTATGCTACATTTGAGGAAAAAGCAGGATGCAAAAGTAACAAATATAATACAATACTGCACAATTCTATAAAATTATTGTAATTGTTTTAGATCCTCCTAGATTTTTTAAAAAATTATGGTTTCTTTTTTAGATATATAGCAATTTTATTGAATTTTCTTTTAGCATTTTAAAAGACTAAAATTCAAACTCATTTATAAGAAACAAAAAACGATTCTCTCTAAAAAGAAAAATAATAAAGAAAAAATATAAAACAATCTTTACAAAACACAATTGATTTTTTAAAACGCTGGTTTCAATGTACTGTATATGTATGTGTGGTTTTTCCGCTTAACATATTTTAAGTTGCTATGGCAGAAAAACACCGCCTAATAAATTTAATAAATAACAGCAACAATGCTATATAAAGTATATGTGTATATTGCCAGCTCATATATAAACAGAACAATCTGTAAACAGCACGTGCTAATAACAAAGCAATACTAATAATACTCGCTGGTGCGAGTGAGAGAAACAGCCCGCCCGCCCGCCTGCATTTTCCGAAGGAGCTTCGCCGCACTCGGCGATTCCCGGCGGGGGAAACAAAAAAGAATCCCTTCTACCCACCGCGGGTGGATGCCGCGCAGGCGCAATAAGATCATCTTAATCATCCCCGCCCCCTCGTCTCCTTAAAACTCGCCTCCATCCGCCGGTTCACCTTCATCCCAACAATATCCCACAGCGTGCTGCGCGCCGGCCCTCCAAACAAACACATAATGACGAAAAAAACCGTCTCTCTCCCCCATCTCTCTCTCTCTGACTCCTTCCTCCAAGGCTGCTGCGTCGAAACACGTGAGCCTGTTGTGAGCACGTGACCCGCCAGCGTCGCTAGCCTGGCTTGGTGTGCGCGCGCGCTCCCTATCAAGCCCCGCCCCCTCGCGCTCCCTCTCCTCCTCCTCTCCCCCCCCCCGCCGCCCGAGGACGCGCGAGCGAGCAAGCGCGGTCTCGCCTTCGGAGTTGTTCGTTGGCCGCCCGTTCCCCCTCACACACCTCGGCCAGCGCCGCCGCCGCCGCCTCCTCGTCGTGGTAGCCGTCGGTCATGAGGCCCGCCCGTCGTCGCTGGAGCGCGGCCCAGCTGCTGCCGCTGCGGTTCGTGTGGCGCGGCTGCCGCTGAGGCGTCTCCGCCCGGGCGGAGGGGGTTCCCTTCTTCGCCTCTCAGCCGCCGCCGAGGCCGCCATGTTGGGCCGGGAGCCGCAGCGGGACCGCCGCTGAGCCCTCTGAGAAGGGGAGAGGGAGCCAGGAGGACACGACGAAGACGACGACGGGAAGGACGAGGAGGGAGAGGAGCGGCCGGCGCCGGCGCCATGGCGGAGCAGACCTACTCCTGGTGAGGAGGCGCCGCTGCTGCTGCTAGGCCTCTCCGAGTGGGGGAGCATCTCTCTGCCTGCCTATGGAGGGGCTTCCATGGAATGCCCATCACCGCCGCCTCGGCCTCTTCCCTCCCGCCATGGGAGCGAGAGCTCTCGGCCTCAAAAGCAGGCTCCGGCCCTTGGCTGAAGGGAAGAAGAGAGAGCGGGGCAGGTCTTTCCCCCATAGGAATAGTTTTCTCCCCACACCCCCCTGAGCGAGGTGGCTCTATATTCTGCTACTACTACTGCTGTTAAAGGCACAGGAGAAAAGGCCCGTGGGGAAGTTGGCATCCAGCAGCCGCTACCCCTCCTTTCTCTCCCCCCCCCCTTTTCCTGACCTACCCCGCTTTAAACCCACCAGCTGGACCCGAAGGATGCCTCCTACAATGGACGGTCATTGCTGTGCATGAGGCGATAGGACGTAAACAAGCAGGAAAGATCTGCCCAGGGGAAAGGCCGAGCTGCAGCAACCTGTTGAGAGGTTGGCAGCCTTGCGCACCCCCCACCCCCAAGTTTATTTCGTCCAAACTTGACACTGTGTCAGAGAGAGCAGTGGGATCTGTAGGCTCCTGGCAAAGCTGCCCTTGCTGGTTCCTGCAAGTGGCTTGGCAACCTCACTTGCCTTCTTTTTGGGCCGTGTGTGTTTTGGAAGTATCAAAGCATATTATGGGGGTGGGATTCATTCATAGTTGTCTCCTAATTCCCAAGTTCTTGAAAAGTAGCCATGTAATAATGATCTTTTGATAACTTGAACAATTTACAAATTACTGTGAAGAGCCTCCTGATTCAGATGCATGAAGTAAGTGGGCAGTGGTGCTTGGCTGGTGTGTATTCAGTATGTGTTTATGCATCTTGCAAAATCTGATTCTCATACCATGAAAAAATTTACAAGTGTATATATACACTAGTTTCACTCTTCCCCGCGGTGCTTGCTACAGAAGATCCTGTTACAATAAACTACTTGGGTTTTAAGGCGCCACAAAATCCCAGGTGCACACCGTTGGGGTGGTGATGTATTTCACCACTTGCTAGGCTGAATTAGAGACACCTGTCTGTATGGTGCAATCTATTTTGCCATCAACCAGTTGTTATTTAGAAACCTGGTAGTGAAAGAGCACAAATGTGTCTCTGAGAAGATAATTTCTTACATTAAAAATGTGGAAGTGTAGAAGCATCTTTCTCAGGGTCCAGGTGCAGTGTACCTGGATTAAAGGAAGAAGACAAATACTATAAGCTTACGTTGTCTTGATGATGTGGTTATAATTTGCTTGGTCATGGGGACAACTCCAATATCAGCTTTTGGTGAAGGGTGGGTTGTGAAATAGTCTATAGTTTGTCACACACCTTGCAGAAGTGGTCATGTTCTGATGTCTCCCTGCTGTAATAGAAGAGATTGTGTTTGAAAAAAAGCATTCCTATTTCTTTGCATATTTACTGAAAAGTAAGTATTACAGACTTATTCTTGAGCAGCTATGCATAGTTGCAGCCTAACCCGAAGCAGATTTGCTTGGGATGTAAGTCCCATAGGCTTGAATGCAAGGTGGATGGATAACATTGGAGCTAATGTCACACAAAGTGCTTAAGAAAAAAACACCTGTTGTTGGCTAAATAAGTGTTTTCTACTTAGTGCCTTCTATTATACATTATCTTTGTGATCATTGCAACAACCTACTAAGTCATGTTAGGTTGATATGAGCACTGACTGAAAGTTCTCAACCTATATAGGATGGAGTTGGTTTCTTATCAGACATTGTTATTATCCCATAGTAGGAGATTAAGTGAATGACCTGAGTTGGGCTGTCTAGGGACTTCTGGCTGAAGTAAAATTTGAACTAGGGTCTTGGTGGTTCATATTCTTAGTCCCTTTGCTAAACTAAAGGGCTAGCTAGACTTACTTTCAGTTTGTAACAGTTGCCAGCCAGATGCCTCTGAAATTGCACAAGAGGGTGTGATGGGAGTACCATCCTCTCTTCCTCCTAGCATCTGGTACCCACAAGCACACTTCTTCTAAATATAGTGTTTCATAATAAAATTGCAGGGAGATAGGTTTTAAAGTGATGTGATCATCCAAGAAATGGTGTGTAAATTCTGGATGATGGCTTCGATGGGGAAGATAATGGTTCAAATCAGTTTTTAACTATGAACTTTATTGGTTGGTCTTGAGCACATGGCAGTGACCTGGTTCAGATGTTACAGACAGCCGCCAATCTATGTTTGATGGTTAGGCTTGTGTCTTGGACTTCTTCCTTCACTTTTCTTTGCTATAACTATAGTTCGCTGTAATGTCCAAATCAGGTAAACTGGGATGGGGAACCTGTGGCCCTCCAGAAGTTGCTGGATGCCAACTCTCATCAGCTCCAGTCAACATGGCCAATGGCCAGGGATGGTGACAGTTGTAGTTGACCAACATCTAGAGGTCTAAAGGTGAGCCAACCTTGAGGTAAGCTATGGTTACTGCAACCAAAGTTTGCTTCCAAATCAGATTTCTAACTATAGTTTCTGTTTTGGTGTGGAAGCAAACCAATAGCTGTAACAAACCAGGGATAATTGATGGGGAGATGTGATATTTCATTGACAGTGTCTACCCTTGACTGATGTATATTCTGAATAGCTCTTATGTGCATCCTGGGATTAAATAAAATGTAGAAGGAAGGATATGCGTGCACAGCTTTTTCAGTGTTACTGGGGGTGCTGAAGAAACAGGTTTCCTGATGGTATGGAAAAGCCAGTAATGTGGGTTTTCTAGATTCAGGCAGGTAGTCATGTTGGTCTGATGCAGTAGAAATAAAAAATAAAAAATTGTCCAGTAGCACCTTAGAGACCAAGTAGGTTTGTTCTTGGTATGAGCTTTTGTGTGCATGCACACTTCTTCAGATGCTTCTTCAGGTGTCTGAAGAAGTGTGCATGCAAACGAAAGCTCATACCAAGAATATACTTAGTGGGTTTTCTAGAAATTTTTCTAGAAAGCCTTCAAGGCAATTTTACACAGAGCTAAGTGGGCCTTGTTGAGCATGTTTAGTTGACTTGCATTTATATATTTATTTACAGCACTATTACTGTACATGCTGTTTTACAAAGAACAGGTATGACAGGTCCCAAGCCCAAAGGGGCTTACAGTCTAAAATAGACACAAGGAAACAACAAAGGAAGGGGGTTGGAAATGGAAGGCACAGGATTGCTTTAATGACATGTGCTAGTGGGGTGATGAAAAGGTTTACCAGGAAGGTTGAGTTTTGAGGAGGAATGGAAAAGAGGCAAAGCCATAAACCAAAGTAAGAAATAAGGTCATGCTAATTTGGCATCCTTAATAAACACATGAAAAGCTTCTCTCACAAATAGCCAAAAGTAGTTGAATTGAAATATTAGGCTTCCCCTCCCTCAGTAATGTTCACTTGTGCTGCAGTCCTATAGGCATGTGTGATTTAAATATGATAATCAAACAAATTCAGAGGCTTATGTGATTTTTTTTATTGGAATACTAAGATGTAATAGCTTATACGTCCCTTACATAGTTTAGATTTTAAATCAAAAATTGAAGACACTGAAAACTGTTAGCGTACTATGTTCCAGTCCAAAAACCGCAGGTCAGGTGTTGTTGTTTTTTTAATTTGCAAGGAGCTTGTGCATGAAGCACCCTTACTTTTGAGTGCAGTTTTTTAGCTATGAAGGCACCCTTTGGCTGCTCTCTCAGCTTAAGGGAGACATGGAGTAGGCAGATTAAGGAGGTATTTTGATTTAATGTTAGTTTTAACTTGTTTTATTTTTCTTGTATCTGTTTACTGTATACGACTTAGAGACTGAAGTGTTAAGTGGTATATAAACTGGGGAAATAATAATATTAGAAAGCATGAATAGCTCTTCACAGAAATATATATGATTTCTAGAGAAAAGCATTAATTAAAATTGTAGTTTTAGATCTAAATAATATTGTAGGCATTTCAGTTGCCCAGTCTGATTTGTTATATTACTAACTGACTTCCTGAAATAGACATGGATGTTGTTTTGCCAAAAATATAGCAATGAATTTTCTTCTAAAAAAGGAGCCCCCCCTTAAATCACTGGTCCTTATGCACATACACCTATTACACATGCAGGATCTATTTATAACCTGAATGTAAGTAGTGGGTGGGAGCTGTTGCTATGATCCCACTTCCCTCCATTCAAGTGTGCATTCATTATCCTCAGCTTGTCATCTGAAAAGGACTTACGGTTTGCAGTAGCCATGATTTGGATGTCTCAGCAAATTAATACTGAGAGAGGTAACAGTGTTAAGTCTGTTGCAGCAAAAAAACAACAAAGACTCATGTAGCTCCTCAAAAACTATCATATATAATGGTATAAGCTTTTGTGGACCAGAATCCACTTTTATCAGATGGCAGTTATCATTTTCATGAACTAGAGAGGAGGGAATGCATAAATCTGAGGCCTAACCCTGCTGGGCAAACTGGTTTTTTCTTGATATCTAAATCTCAGCCTAAAATACTTTGTAGAATTATTATGCTGAAATTCTGCTTTGAGGCAGATAAAATCAGTGTTAAAAACTCATATATTATAAGATAGGCATCAAATGGCTCCTTAAACCAAGGTTACAGTTGCTAAAACAGAATGCCTAGTTGCCATTTTTGGGTAAGACAGCTCTAAAGTTTATTTTTTAAATGATGGACTGACTGTGATTGATTGTCAGTTAAGTACCTGATAACAGCTAGATTAAGAACTTGGAGAATATAAAGAAAACAGGCACTTGATCCACGGACAGTCCAGTTATATATTGGCCTATTCCTACCTCTTTTTCTTAATGGTGACAAAGACCATCCATAACGTAAGAATATTCTTCACAACTGAGAGTACAGCACTGGGGTGGGGTAAGTGAAAACAAGCTACAACAAGTAACTATAATGTTCATTGCTCCTGCTCAGGCTGCATAGGAAAAAAAACACATTTTGGTTCCTGAAATTCATTCTGATTGTGCAGATAAAAAATAACTGATAGAATTCTACGGGATGTGGTATTAGTGTTTGAAAACAGTCAAGATACAATGATCTTCAGGCATGCATCTCCAGATGGTGGAGATGTCAGATGTCATCCTGGCGCCCAGGCGTCTTCACTTGGTCACAAGTGGCTGACAGCCAGGTGCAAAATGTGCCTGGTTAGTTTCGAACACTGGATAAAATGTAACAGGATGGCTAGAACTAGAAAAGAACGGATGTTCCTGATTTCAGGTTTCTCCAAATACTTAATTATCTTTTGTTTCTCATATTTTTGTTTTTGCTCAGAATGCTGATTAGCAGTATTTTACAGACCAGGGTTAGCCAGTAAGTTGTGACTTTGGAAGTGAAAACACTAATTCCAGAGTATCACAGCCTAATATAGCACTCCAGATTTTCTTTTAAACTGTGGCAGCACACCTGACATGTATAGTTTTTCACAGAACAAATATAGTACTAGTTTCAGAGAATTGCTTGTTGTTGAAATTATAAAGTGTCAATATGTAGAAAAGAGTTAATCATTATGTTACTATGTAAAATCATACTGACTTGCTTACAGAGTTATTACAATTAGATCATGCATGTGAAGTGCTTTGACCACTTGAAAGTGCTAAACAATTTTAATAATAATAATAATAATAATAATAATATTTTTTTATTTATACCCCGCCCTCCCCAGCCAAGGCCGGGCTCAGAGCGGCTTACAAGCAATAATAAAAACAAGATGAATGATTACAACTTAAAAACAAAAATAAAATACAACATTAAAATAATGGAACATTAAAATATTAAAATGTAGCCTCATTGCAGGAGGAGAAGGAAAAGAAAAAAGAAAGAGAGAGAGGGAATCAAATTGGCTCCAAGCCAAAGGCCAGGTGGAACAACTCTGTCTTACAGGCCCTGCGGAAAGAAATCAGATCCTGCAGGGCCCTGGTCTCGTGAGGCAGAGCGTTCCACCTGGCCAGAGCCAGAGTTGAAAAGGCCCTGGCTCTGGTTGAAGCCAATCTAACTTCCTTAGGGCCCGGGACCACTAGGGTGTTGTTATTTATGGACCTTGAGGCTCTCCGTGGGGCATACCAGGAGAGGTGGTCCCGTAGGTACGAGGGTCCTAGGCCGTGATGGGCTAAAATACTAAATCACTACAGTGCTCTGTGGAGCAGTAGTAGAGTTTTCCTTGCCTTTGAAAATTTGACAAATCTAAAGGTATGTCTAAAGTATGATGACACCATGTGCAGTTTAGTGGGGAAAGGGAGAAATGTTATTTAAGGGTTGGAGAATTAATATTTAAAAGTTAAGATGTGTATAAGAGGGCTAATAGTAATCCTTAGTCTCACCCTACTTTTGCAGTTGAAGCTGAGCTCCTGCTTTAGGCCTCAAACAAAAGACCAAGATAATGTTCCCAACTGCATTTTTTTTTTAATGATTTATAATATTCTTAGCTAACTTTTGACATCTGTCGTATGAAGTAACTCACTAGATCAAGGGCGGGAAACCTTTTTGGCCTTGTGGGCCAGATTTTCATCTAGTTCTCCTGCCACCTGTGGACCAATATTTGACAGTTGGGCTGGAACACACCTATGAATAATCTGATGTAATAATATCAGGTTATTGACATGTTGGTTGCCCTGCCCACCTTCCAAAGTTGGCGCACCATGGAGATAGTAGCCAAACAGAATTCAACTCATCATCAGCTGATGGGCCAAGTGTTTCTGGATATCTTAAAACATTTTCTCTTCATTTTGAATTTTTTAAAATAAGGTTAATGGGTGCTTCAGGTTCTGTTTTTAATGTAATAGACTAAACACTGGTTCTAAATTTATAATCTCTTGAGGATAAGCTCTTCAATCGTCTATGCACGGAGCAAAGGAAGATAACGGTCAGCTTGGATTTACATTGTTTCTAAATACTCAGTAGATTACTAAAGCTTAAATTCCTTTTGTATTGATGAGACAGTAGTCAAAAATGCCATGGAAAAATCTGTATTTGACTTTCACCTGTACAGTACTTGTCTTGTACTTGATTGCCTCTCCTTTGTTCTGTGATGCAGGGCTTGCTGGACCTCAATTCCTGTATGCAGGGCCAAATGAAATAAAACACACACACATGCAGCAACCTAATTTAAAAGTGGAATACTTTGTTCTCTTGTTTTATTTCTCCTCTTAACCTATGAAACCCTGCATTTTTTAAGATACAGATGTGTACAATGATATGGAACATATACCAATCCTTTATTTTTCCATGAAAATTTTTCCATTTCATGAATTCTTTAGTAAAAATGAGTGGATGCCAATTGCAAATACAATATTAGGTGAGCTTATTAAAGTTTTCAGCTTTATTTACAAGATTAGATCACTTTCTAGGGCATCAGAAAATTTTCTGATACAAATTACCTTATGCTGGGATTTCACAAAGATGAATAGTTCCTCCTTTGCTGCTGTTAACCCCTGTTCTTTCTAGTTATTAGACCTAGTTCCATTAGTTTGTAGTGGAAATAAATTACTTTCCTACCCTGTGCATTGGAGCTTTTGTGGGTTGAGGCTTCTGTGTTACAGCCTAAGCAACATTTTAAGAGAGGGGAAAGCTCAGTGAGACATTTATTTTCTGCATTCAAATTATTATACATGGGATGCAGTGGGGCATAAGGGTTTGGTAATAGGCTTTGACTTCAGTGTTGAGATTTACTGCAGCAAATATTTTCATTAATTTAACAAAGTTATTTGCCTTTGTTGGGAATGCTAGTTATGTAGCTTGTGATGAAACTTCATGGTACCCCATCCCATTTGTGAAGCCCTATAAAGGGCCAGAAAATAGCTTTGAGTTTGTTGTTATGCTTGTCTTCCATTGCTAAACATAAGGTGCAAGAAATGTCATTCTCTGGTCCTCTGAGAAATGGTCTCCCTCACGTCATGTTGTTAAAAAGATGCTCCATGTGTATGTTAGCGTGGGTGTGTTTCTAGAAAATTCTTAATTGAGAAAACTGGTATTCAGTGTCTTCAGTGCGATGCATGGTGTTTGATATTAATATTGTGAATATTTAATACTAAATACATTATATGACCTGATGTATAGGGATCAACAATTTTTGTCTACCTGTGCTAGGCATGTCCAACATTGTAGTCACCAGGAACTGAGTTGGTCCTGCATAGGGACCAACCAGGAAAGTTTATGCCTGTTTGGCTCAGTGTTAGAAACTGGGATAGAAGGGACCTGGGTTGTGGGTGCCAGAACAGAATGTCTAGTTGCCGGGTGTGTGTGTGTGTCAGTGACACTTTTTATTTATTATTTTGATAAGCAGGAGCTAATATGTAATTCACATAAGCGAAACATTGTTAATATGACATTTGTAGCAGAAATTGTTAATACATGTCTAAAATGGTGTTTATAATAAAAATATTGGTACCGTACTTTAGTTTTCAAAACACTCTTTATTGTTAAACTCCTTAACATATTGTCTGTCCTTAACATATACTTTGAGGCTTCAAAGCACATACAGTGGTACCTCTGGATGCGAACGGGATCCGTTCCGGAGCCCCGTTCGCATCCTGAAGAGAACGCTACCCGCGTGTACGCGGGGCGCGATTCGCCGCTTCTGCGCATGTGCATGATGTCATTTTGAGTGTCTGCGCATGCGCAAGCGGCGAAACCCAGAAGTAACACATTCCGATACTTCCTGGTCGCCGCGGAGCGCAACCTGAAAACGCTCAACCTGAAGCAACTTTAACCTGAGGTATGACTGTACATTTCAATAATGCTTGAGTGTCAGCCAGTGAAAAAAATGGCACCCAGTCTTTTTGAGGTGCTCACAAATGGAGAATCTTTAGGTGCAAAATGTGCATGGTGCCCTGCTAATTTCGAACCCTGGTTTGACTGCTGCAATGTGTGCTGGGTACCTCAGCAACTAAACAACCAAACAACTCCCCATCCTTCTTCCCAGCATTTGCATTTGGAAGGGAGATGGAATTGCCATGTAACTGCTGGGATGATGCTGGGAAGGGAGGAAATCTGGTTGCTTGTCCTGTTTGGCATAAAGTGGTAGCACAGTTGCCATGGCAAACATGGCAAATAAAAAGTGGTATTATTTATTAGTTTATGTGTTGTTTTGTACACATATCCCACATAGAGAATCATAGCACCATGGGGAAATGTTAATACTTGATTGCAAAAGGTATTGGCCACTTGTTTGTTCTGCGAATCAAAGACTGTTTTTTTTGTTTTGTTTTTAATTATATATATAAATATATTTGATGAGGGAGTCATGAATCTACATTTATTTAGTGTAGCACCAGTGTTTGAAATTAGCCAGGTGCATTTTGCACCTGGCTATTGGCCACTTGCAACCAAGTGAAGATGCTTAGGCATATTTTTGTTACTGTAACCTTGGTTTCAGGAGCCATTTGGCGCCTACCTTATATATCTGAGTTTCTAACACTGTATACTGCCCTTCATCCATAGATCTCAGGGAGGTGGTTCACAACATAAAAATACAATATTGAAACATGAAATACATAATAAAAGCAAAAGAACAAAAGAAACCCACAAAGCAATAAACCCCCTCCCCCTCATCCCACAAACACATTTAAAAGGTGTGTAAGATGTAAATCAGCCAACAGCCTGTAAATCAGCCATCTTGAGCAGCATCCTTCTATCTAGAAGGCTTCCAGCCTCTGTAGCTCAGGGTTACTAGGATGCTGGCGATTCCAGGCCACAGTCCTTACCTAGCTTGCAAATAATAGACCTGTTGCTCTGCCTTGATTGGTATGAATATTAATCACTGGGCTTGCAAGGACAGTGTACACTGTATAGGTTAGGGAGGATTCTATTGTGTGAAAATAGTGAAGGTGTTCATGGATAGAATGATTTGCATAGATAAGATTGCAGTAACTATCGGGGTGTTTTTGATTTGCTCTTTCAGAATGTTCATATTAAAATAACTGATTAAAATGCTGGAGGACTTTTCTAGAGTAACAGTTGTGAATAAAAAAGAAATCTTTTCCTATATTTTGATGCAACTGTTCTGAAAACAAGAGAATAATTGTTGAATCTCCTTACAATTGTGTCTATGATGAAGCATTTGGTGCTGTGGCGTTGCAAGTGAGAAGGAATTGTGTTTGAACTCAGACATTTTCCAGACAGCCTCCCACATGTTGGCTGCAACTTAAAGCATGATTGGCAAAGAACAAGCAAAGGAAAATGGTTGTCTTTCCTACAGCAAAACTTAACAATTGCTCACCTGCTTGGTTATTGTTTCAAGATTAGAACTCTGGTTGTTGACAGAATCTCATGGTTGACTTTTATAATAACTTGAATATGTTGTGCAACTTCATTGGGTGGGGGAAAATAATAAAAACAAGAAATCAGTGTACTTAAAAGTTGAGTAAAGTTTCATGTTAGAACAAATGTATTAAATCTTAATTGCCTTGCAGTCATTCTTGCTCATATGGAATCTCATGCTAGTATTGGCTACAGAGTCTATTAGGACATTGGATGAGACTTGTTTTTGAGTTTGTTCCATCAGCTGGAAACTACTTGCTCCTCAGTGTACTTAGGTAATGAATAACCCTGCTGACCACTGAAGTTCTTCACAAAATTACCTTCAGTTTTTTGTCTATATTCATTAAAGCACAGACCTAACACAAATGTTTGCATTCTGATGGATTGAGAGACTGTGGCTGTAGCATCTACACCAGACACCCCCAAACTCGGCCCTCCAGATGTTTTGGGACTACAAAACCCATCATCCCTAGCTAACAGGACCAGTGGTCAGGCATGATGGGAATTGTAGTCCCAAAACATCTGGAGAGCTGAGTTTGGGGATGTCTGGTCTACACTTTTTACTTAGTTTGGGAAGTTCCAAAGGCTTGATATGATTAAAAGAAATCCCACAGTATGCTACTTAGTAGAAGTATCATGTAAAAACCACATATAATAAACCCTTTGCATACATGTTAACTCAGAGGTAAGCCACATTGAGTTCAATTGGATTTGCTCCCAAGTAAGTACATAGCATTTCAGACTTGGGCAAGTATACCAGTTGCAACCGTACATGGACGGGGGGAGCCTGGCTTCAGTTGACCATGCTGTGGTAGTCTCTGGAATAGAGGCTGTAATGTGCTTAACATGGGACTGCCTTTAAAGACTGTTTAGAAACCAGTTAGTGCCGTGTGTCTTAAGATTACTAACTGAGGCTAGACTTTATGATCACATTATGTCTGTCCTTTTCTGGGCCTAATTTAAAGTGCTAGTTTTAACCTCTGAAATACCATCATCTGGTGAGAGAACCAAACTTTTTCTGTTTTTTAACATAGCAGTTGAAATCATTTTGCCTTTTGTGTTTTTCCACTTGCACTTTGCATTTTTCTCCTATTCATGATAGTGTCATGTAGCATTCTGATGGGAACAATGGTATTGATGGAGGATGGAATATAAATTGTATGAATGAATACCTTTACAATGCTATAATATGATTATTGATTGATATTTTTTTTAACTGTCAGGTGTATTCCATCACATTGTCTGGAAATGTAAACCTGACTGTGAAGAACTCCATTTTCTGGAGATAGCATTTCAGAGTCATAGAAGGCGTATAACATCTTCAATTGCATGTGATCAAGCTATTGAACAAATGTGCCATAAAGATGCAGAATGAAAATGTGACTTGACTCTAATAACTATGGGGTGTCTGTCTTACAACATCTTCATTTCTTTAGAAAACCATGCCAGCAAAATGATGCTCTGTACCATTGCCACAGAAGAACAAATTGCTTTGCAGGTTAGAATGAACCACATGTGTGCTTCTTCCCACCTTAGCCAGGGCTGACATTTAAGGGAAGACATATTTGCTATCACCTGGTTGACTAGATGTCCAGCGACTGACAGTGTACCAAAGGCAGTGTGTACTGTAGCCTCAAGCAAATGACTAATCAAGCATTGAAATGTCCTGCTGTTGGGCATTTTTGCCATGAGTTATATAAATAGAGATGTGTGAGAACCTTTGACAGAAAACAGAGAATCACAGAATTCATAAAGTGATATGTGTGATGAGACTGACTGTAGTATGATGATTTGAGTTAAGAGCAGAGATGGGCAGTGTTATCTTGGCTAGACTGAGAGCAGCTAGAAGGGTTGCTGAAGCTGAAACAATAGACATGATCAGTCATTGGAGGAAAGACTACTGGATGCCCCAGTGGTATTTTAAGCCATCATTGGGATCTATTGGAAGGGCGAGATATGAATTCCTGTAATAGATAATGACAGAATGCAGTAAAATGATCAGAGAGTTTTCATTGAACTTGATAACTAACAGATATCTATTTTTAGGATGCCATGGTAATTGCCTTAGATAATTAGCTGTCCCTTCATGTTTTTGTCCATTCCTATTTTGTTAGAAATTAAAACATCTGTTGAGAAAGTACAGCATGATCTGTAAGCCTGTGTTATGTGCTATATTTGTTCACTAGCTTTGTGTACGCTATTTCTCTATAATGTCGCCAGTCAGCTAACAAACACTATTTCCCCATGAAAACAGATGCAGTTGTCATTATTTCAAAATGCAGTTACTGTTAATCAGGTGCCTAACCTGTGGCTTGCATTTGCCCCTTCTAAGAAGTTTTTTGTGGCCTTTAAGATTTTGCCTCCTTCGCTCCCATTCTAGCTATATCAGATTGCCAGTGTCTGACTTCCACTGAAAAGAACTCTGTCCTGAAGAAGTCAGTTGCAAGAATAGACAGTAAAAACCACCAAAATATTTTTAACTGTACTGACAGGATGGGCTTAGCACAAATGCTAGGTTTTGGTGTGTGCATATGGTAACCAGAGCTTTGTGAAAACATATTGTAATTGTATCCTTAAAGTGAAAAGCCACTGGAGAAAGTTTGTGTGTTTGTACTTTCTTCTCCCAGTAATTCATTTTAAAACATAGGCTGGCTTCATTGTGTATTTCACCCTAAGCAATAGGAATAGTTATGGAAAAGGGTGGTACGTTAGGCTAACGCTGACTTGTAAGTAGCCACTTACTTGTCTTTGGCTACCCGATGAGTCCCCATTCTAGTTCTAAAAAGCTACTGGCTCTTTAAGACTAAAAGTCTGCATCTTAGGTAGATCGTGTCTCTCTGGAAATACCCCTGGGCCCCTTCACATTGGAGTTCACTACTTCCAGCTACAGCTCAAAGATTTAAAAAGTCAGCCCCTCTCCCTCTATGACAGTGGAATGGGTAAGGGGGAACTCAAAGGCTTGTAGCTGCATGAGCACCTTCTTGTGTGCTCCATTGCTATCCTTTCCCCTTCTACAGATAGAAAAAAGGGACTGTGCACCACATGGGAAAAATACAGTGGTACCTCAGGTTACATACGCTTCAGGTTACATACGCTTCAGGTTACAGACTCCGCTAACCCAGAAATAATGCTTCAGGTTAAGAACTTTGCTTCAGGGTGAGAACAGAAATTGTGCTCCGGCATCGCAGCAGCAGCAGGAGGAGGCCCCATTAGCTAAAGTGGTGCTTCAGGTTAAGAACAGTTTCAGGTTAAGTACAGGCCTCCGGAACGAATTAAGTACTTAACCCGAGGTATCCCAGTGTACTCAGATGGCTGTTAGCCCAGGAGTAGAGCCTGGTTACCCAAGCACTTGACAAATGGATATGCTCCTGCTGCATTTTCTGAAACTTTTTGCCTTCTGGCACCACTCCTTCCATGAGTACAAAAAGTGCAGGATGAGACAGAGCACTGAGTTGTATTTGCATCATTTGCCTGATGTGACAGATATTTAAGTGAAATTGAGATTGTGATCTAGCTGATTGAGGGTTGTGGTTGAGGCTGATGGGTGTGTAGAAGCAGCAACAGGGGTGCCTGATGTGGCAACTGTCTTGGCTCTGCTCTCTCGTTTTCCTAGCAGGGTGGTGGTTGGAGTCTCATCTGGACTACAGAAATGTAGCCATTGCAGGAGAGCAGGAGAAAGACAGGGAGCTTGAAGACCTAACCATAGATCATGGTGGCTATAGCATCTTTCTGAAGGACATTCTAGCTGTTGGGCTTGATGTCTGCCTGCCTGCCTGCTTGCAGTTTTTCCTTTGCTGTAGTGGTTGGATTATTGTGCCAGGTGAGGTGAGGGAAGGGATGAGAGTCTTTTGGGGCATAGTGAACAACATTTGAGCCTTGCCCCGCATAGCCCTTGAAGGTATAAGGACTCTTACAGGTTTCTAGAGTCCTTCTGCCTCCTTCCCAAAGTGCTTTCCCAGCTTTGGGAAGGAGATGGGAAGACTCCAGGACTCTGCCAGAGCCTCACACCTCCTTCCCAAAGCCCAGCACCTCGCATAGCTGATTTTGGGAAGGCAGCATGAAGGCTGGGGTGTATATCAAATGTTGGCCTTTCCTCTTCCTGTGACAAGGCAGTGTGTGGCCCACAGGTCCCATGTCGAAGTACTCTTGAGGTCCACTTGATATGAAAAGTTGGACTGCCCTGATTTAAGTATTTATAATATTTATTTCCCACTTTTGGCAGCTCACTTGTAACAAAGCCCAAAGCCTTCATTTATGCTTGCGCATTGGATTTACTGTCCACAGTACTTTCCACATATTCCTAGTGTGTAAGTGTGTGTGTAACTGGATTTTCTTATAGTTGCTTCTTGCTGTGCATCTCTCTCCCTTCTTTGTTGTCCTTCTCACTGTCAAAGCATAGATGGGCACCTGCTGTTTTGCTGTTATACTTGTAAAGCACAACACACATTAATGATGCTGGGTATATAGAAACAGTTCTAAGGTGATGTAGTAAATACTGTATGGAAAATCTTCATCAGGGATGGGGGGACCTGTGTCTGGTCTCCAGATATTAATTGGGACTCCAACTTCTATCAGCCCCAGCCTGCATGGTGAGTGGTCGGGTGATAGGAGTGGAGTCAATCAGCAAGGACAAGGCTACAAGTCCACCACTACACTAATACAGTCAACAACTATTTTGTGCAGGAGTTCTGTTCCTGGCCCCTGTGTGCGTTGGAGGAGCATGTATAAGTGTATTCAGCTACATTCAGCCCTTCCCCCTTTCCCCCTGCCATGCCCCCATTCCACCCTTTTTGTGAAATGTTGAGTGATGTTTTTGGGTTACTACAGCACTGTGCGTGTGTGCGCAATCATGTGTCTTTTGGATGAACGTTAATTGGTCGTTGCCTGTACAATAATTTCCCATGTCTCAAGTTAACCCATAGTAATCATTTAAGTGAGAATGTTCTGCTCAAATGACTTTTAATGCAAGTACCAATAGAGGTGGGTTGTGTATACAGAGACGTGCATAAGAGTCCTTCAGCTGGATCCAACCAAAGGGGTCCAAGCCAGCGGGCACTCTTGTTCTCACAGTGGCCAACCAGAAGCCCGTGGGAAACCTGCAAATGTATAATTGTAATTTATTTAATTTTTGCTACATGGGGCTCCCCCCGCCCCATGTGGGTTTGTAGGATTAATTACTTTGCTATTCTTAGAATATGGCTTTGGGTGCATGAGCCACAGCATGACGAAACTTCTGGTTTGTCTGGTTTTAACTTGCTTTGTTTTATTTTATTGTTGTTGTGATTTTGGAATTTTATAGCTGCCTTGTGGGATCATCCTTGTGGCCAAAATGTGGGACAAAAATGTGGGGTGGAGGGGGGGGGTGGAGAGGGAGAATAGCAAATGGGATACTCCAGGACTTCTATGAAAGAACCAACTTGCCTGGATAGCCAGGATAGAGCTGCTAATGGATATCGAAAATGTAAGACATTCTGAGACTTGCCTCCTCGTTCAGTTTTGTTTGCTTTGAGATGAAAAATTTTGTGGGATCTTCTCCCCAGTCCCCAAACTATGCTTTGCAGAATATAGCAGATCTGCAGAGTTTGACAACTGTTACCAAAACCTGGAAACTGTTTTCATTAAAAAAACCAAAACAAAATGTTTCATGATTTCAGAGAGATGCTTGGAAACAAATGAACAATATCTGCAAAATAGTTAATTTTTAGAGAAGTGGTGGAACTTCTTAACCCCTTTGATGCTGTTGGTCCACTTAACCTCTCAGGCTGCTATCACAATGGGCTGCAAAACCTTTCCCCCTCAAATTGCCCTTATTTGCATAGGATTTCCCCCCCTCCCCTAGTTTATTTATTTGTAATAGAAAACCACTTGTGACACTCAGTCACAGATTTCAACAGATTTGCCGCAGGGCTGCCAGTTACTATCCCCTGTGTGGTGGTTTGGATGTTTCGTGCTAGTAAGGGCCAGGATGAGTACTGATAGTTCTGTGTGTCCAAGGGGGAATTTGGAAATTGATATTTACCAATGTGGCAAACAAGTAAGTAACCACTTGCTCAGTTGGCTGTTTTTCCTCTAGTTGAGTAGGCATGGAAACATTTGTAAATGAGAGAAGTGTTTGTTTTGTTTCCCCCTACAATTCAGGCCATCAGTAAAAATGTTTGTGGGCTAGAAACTTCAGTGAACTTATTTGTAAGGCTGTAACATGGTTTAATTTGTTCTGGAAGCGCTCTCTCGCCCCCCACCTAACTAGCTAACTGGCTAGCTATTTGACCCTAGCAGCTGCTCTTTCTCTGCCTACCATTCATTCTGACATTGTCCATTTGCATTGTGCACTGCTAGAAAGGTCGAGTTGGAATGTCTGGAAGGACATATTTTTCACGTTGGAAAACTTTGGAGCCATGTAGCTGTGCAGTGTGAGAAGCAGAGTCATTCTTGGAATTGTTCTGTAGGTAAAGATCTGTGGAGCTGTCTGTGACAGGCTAGAGAGCTAACTGCTTGGTTTGTTGTTGTGTAGACAAGAATGAGGTCATTGTAAAACATGGGAGGCTGACACCCAGAGCTGTTGCAGAACAGTGCTTGTTGTGTGCTTCTGGGCATGCCCTTTGCGGGGGCTGTGTAGCACTCTCCCCCCTTCTGTCATTAGCAAGTCACCATCATCCAGGGGGTCTTCCCTGGGATAGAGCAGCACATTGTGAACTTCTCTTTTCACTGTTCAGCTATTCTTTGCCCAGGCAGCCATTGGTGACACCTTTTAGGGAGAAACACTTAATATTTAGGGTGGGAGTACTATTTAGGGTGGGAGGAGAGGAATACATTAAAACTCTTATAAGGTCACAGAACATTTTTTACAAAGTAGCTAACAGAGTTTGTAACACCAGAGGTGGGCAGACATTAGACTTTAGTCTTCTCTACGCTTAACTAGAATCCTGTTTCATGTAGGTAGCTGTTTTGGTCTGACGCAGTCGAAATATATATAAAAATAAAAAAATTGTCTAGTAGCCCTTAGAGACCAACTAAGTTTGTTGGTCTCTAAGGTGCTACTGGACATTTTTTATATATATTTAGAATCCTGTTGTTCACCAATCTGCGTGTTCATATGCAAAGGAAACATAAATACTCATGATCACTGAACATACACTAGCTATGCCTTAATTGTTAACAGACCCTGAGATTGCCCTCTCGCTTAAGAAAAGAGTGTTCTTCAAGCACCTGGGGAGCCCCAGCAAAAGCAGAATCTTCGTAATGTGACAAAACATCAAGGTGTAATAAGTGAGTTAGGCACCCCTGTGAGAAGGTAACTATTATATAGTAATTTATTAAAACATTAGGTGAAACTGAAGCAATTCCACAGGGAAGGTGTCGTTCCAGCAGGTAAATCCCAGGTGTGTGTGTGTGTGGATAATCCCATAAAAAATTACAACTCGGGAGCTGAATTTTAGTTGCAAAATTGTTGTAGATAGTTCCATAATTGCAGTCTTGAGCGCCTGCAGCTACCAGAAATCTAGATTAAATTTAATTTTGAAGATTAGGGTAAAAACAGTGTATAATTCTACAGTGCAAACCTAGCTAGTGGAAAAGCCAGTTTATAATAAAAACATGCAGGTTTAGCTTTCTGTTCAAGCTCAGTGTTTGTTTGAGTTATTAAGTGCAGCATGGAAACTTGAGTGTATGCCTCAGTCCAAGTTAAAAGTTCAACTTTTAGTTCAGGTTTTTTCCCTGTTTTAAAAAACAACCTAGAGTGTAACTTACAAAAATTTGCATTGAGGCATGTTTTAGAGGGATTTGGATCATAGCATTCCCAGAAAGGGCCTTAACTGCCCACATTCTCACCTTAATCCCCATTAAATCACCACCCACTGTCCACCTCTGACAAAACTTTACATTCACAGTGACTGAACTGACTTAATTGCGTCTTCTGAATTTCTACTCATTTCATTTCCGTATATGAGCCCCTCAATCTTACTACAGTACTAGGTGGGGAAAGCTAGCCATGGCTATATGTTTATGGTAAGGTAGCAAGAGAGCCAACTGTGCAAGTACAAAGAGACCTCATTCTTCATTTGTGTGGAGAGTCCCAGCTGAAGCACTGTGTTAGCTTAAGTGACAAAGTGTCTTGGTAATAAGCAAGTAAGGCACCTGTGCAAGTTCAGCAACATGTGGAAGAGGCAGGGTAGTTAATGCTCCCCCTTATTGATCTGCACAATCAAAAGTTTTTAAATAAACTAACTCAATAAATAAAAACAACAGGTATGCAGGTAGAAAGCCAGCAGGAAGGGGGGGGGGCTATGCAGTATGTTCTAAAGAATGTTGCATGTCTGCTGAACAGAAGTTGTTTAACCAATGGGTTTGTTTTCCTTGTCATTGCTTATCAATCTGTAATATACATTTTTTATTGTAAACACAGTAATCCTTACTATTGTGGCTCTTGCAGGGTGATTGCAACCATCCTATGCTTTCTCTCTTGAGTGTCTGCCTAAGAGAAATAAACAAGCAAGCGTACTTTGTCATTCCTTGCTGTGCCTGCTCCTGCATTCACTTAGGCAACCCATCAATTCATCAACAGCCCAGGTTGCCTCAGTCATTATCTCCTGCTAAGCTAGTTCTTTTCCAGCTCACAGAAGGCTGTGTGTTTCCAGGGGCTCAGCCTCTTCCTGATAACTCCCTTCTGCTGACAGGTGAGGCTTAATCAGGCTTCTTTCCCATGTAGTTACAGAGAAAAGAAGGTTATCAGGTCACCCTGCTGAGAACCCATGATGTAATTTCACCACAGTGGTTTCCAAACAAGTAGCTTAGCACATACTTCTGAAGCTTGGCATTATGTCTACTGTATATTTTGAATCAACGGTATGTAATAAACATGCTGCACTTGCATTACTGCTGTGTATGAGAATTTATTTTATTGCTGTTCATTTCTTTGGAATTAATGTGTCACTCTGGCAGCCCTGATGTTGTTGGCTCAGTCGTCAGATGTTTGGGTACTTAGAACCGAAACACATGTGTACACATGGGCCTTGTATTGTGCAAGAGAAGCTTAGGCTTAATGTGGAGCTCCTCTGGTCAAACGGGTTACCTTGCTGTATTATGCATGTGAGAGAACTGATCCCTATAACCTAAGTACTAGATACCTAGATTTAACAAGCAGGCAGGCATTCTGTCAGCAGCCTCCTGCCTAGAGTGGAATGTGTGCTGATGTGACTTAGAAATTCCTGTGCTTGGGTCTTGTACCAAGTGATACGGAGATGGTATTGGTGACTGGTAGTCCTTTTTATGTAGGTGGGAACAAGTAATCTTATCCAAAAACCGTTCAGATTTCCGGTCATAAATTGTAACTTGGCATCGTTCCCTCTTCCCCCAGCTTCAGGTTTGTGGGTTGTATCCAAAGCTAGTCCTATTCAGACTTAGACTAATTGAAATCTTGCTTGTTAGTTGCAGGAGCTGCTGTTGCTTGTTCTTCTTCCCTTCTGTGCCTGAAGGTGGACCAGAATAGTTCACATGGCTATGTCCTGGCCTCAGGCCACAAGGCTTCTCCTGTAAATCCTGCCCCCACCTTTTATTTGAGTTTGCTTCTCTGGAATTAAAACAAAGTGCCTCTGGGTTATCTGTCTTTGGTGATAATCCAGTCATGTGAGTGGGTGAACAATGAGAAAATGAGTAAATTCCCGGCTTGTTTAACTTACTGTTGTGTTTAGACAAGTGTTTGGGTTTGTGATAATTTAAAAACTGAACAAATGTTTATCAGTTTGGTTCTATAATAATATACTGTACCTCTCTGTCTTCCTTTCCAGGGCTTACTCCCTTGTGGATTCCAGTCAAGTATCTACGTTCCTAATTTCTATTCTCCTCATAGTTTATGGTAGCTTCAGGTACGATTATTTTCTTTGGTATATATAACAACCCCGCCCCCAAAAGAAAAGTCATGAATTGCTGGCCGTATGTTGATGCAATGTTCCCTAAAGGTAATCTTGTAGAACCATAATATATTAGGTATATTCTATGTACCTAAAGGGGGTGGAAATGGTAGGTGAAGCAACATTCAGTTTGATCATGACTTGCTAAAGCTGTATTTTAAAGAAAAAATGAACATTTTGCCAGTTCTCATCCTGGAGCATGGAGGCTTGCTTTATAGATACACATCACTTTCATTCTGGAAGGTTTAAGATTGTTTAGGGGGATGGAGTGACATGTTTTTTGAATAATTTGGTGGACGGATCCAGAAGGGAAGCATCCAGAGCTGCCAGGCAAGACTGGGTTGAGTTTTTTTTACAAAATTACTGAAAGCATTTTGAATTTGCTATTCTTTTTCAAGGCAATTTCATGTGAGTGCAGATGCATCATCTCCACCTTTGGTTGTTGGATGACTGTCAACTGGGGGAGTGGGGGAGAGACTCTTGGGACAAGCGACTCACTCCATCCTTGAATGTTCAATGCTTGCTTTGGACTCGACTAAGCACTTTACTTCATGGAATCATGTTCTTGACTCCACTTCTGACGGTCTATAGATTTGAAGGATACAAATCTTACAATTTAAATAAAGAAATGAATAAATAATCTGTTTAGACTTCCCTTCTCTTTGCTTTTAGATATCTGTTGATGTTTTTATTTCAGCAGGCCTTTAACGTTCTGCTGAATTCAATGGTTTTTCTCCCCCTTTTGACTTCTGCTTCTAAGCTTGTTCTTACGTTTGCTGCTTTTAAGGTTTTGTTGCAGCTGTTTATACATTGCCTTTGTAATTTTTTCTGCTTACTGTTTCATGTTTGTAAGCTGTTCTGAATGTTCTCCAGAAAAGTAGGGGGGGTATAACTTTTGGGCAGCCTCTTAGTAACACTCATTAAATTTTGCGTTAAATTATATCAAAGCTATGTATTAAATTTCAATAACCACTTCAAATATAAAATAGAAGGTTTACATGTATTCTTTTGTCTGTAGGTCCCTTAACATGGACTTTGAGAATCAAGACAAAGAAAAGGACAGCAGCAGCTCATCTGGGCCCTTCAATGGCAACAGCACAAATAACAGTAAGAACTTCTTGCTCCATAAGCTGAGGATGCAGAACTTGGACTGACCTTGGTCTTGCAGGCTTGTGATTGAGGCCATCCTATCCACTGTTGGAACAGGGCTACCCCTCCTGGGTGTGAACCACATAACATGGCTGTCCTGTACAAGCCCTGCCAAATTGAAGGGTGGATAATTGATTACAAAGTCTTGTAATAATTCATTTTGTTTTGCATTGTTGACTTGAAGTTCAACATTGCACTGTGTATGTGCTGTAGATGAGTGGTTCTGTCATTGGTGCCTGTAGTATAAAGTTTTGTTTGAGACAGGTAATGCTAAACTGGTCAAAGCTGGGCAAAGCTACCTCCTTTAGTTCTGAGGCACATTTGTCTTTCTTTACCTGCTGTTCTACTCCATTAATCAGTCATCTGATGAGTCACAGATTTTCCCCCTTCACAAGCACACACGTTTTTTCCACTTCAGTACAGTATACAATATTATATCTAGTTTTCCATGCAAGATACACTGTGTCCTTTTTCTGCTTCTCCAATTTCCATTGCCTTTTCTTTAGAGTAGAGACCAATAATGCAATCCTATGCAACTTTACTCTGCAGCAAGACTCACTGTGGAGCTTATGCCCGATTTAAACATGTCTGGGAGGTACATGTAAGCGCATCTGATGCAGGCAAGACCCAATCTGTGTATTTGATGAACACTGACAGTATGCTTTGAGGGTGGGTGGGGTGGTCAGCTCCTTGCCCTCCCGGTTATCTCAGTTTGCTACTTGGTGTTACCGAGAAAGAGAAGGTGAGCAAGTGTGTAGAGGGTGGATTCTGCGCACATCCGCGTGCGCTCCCCCCCTCTATCTCTCTTTGGGTGGCATGGTGGAGCGTATTATTAGGATCGCAGAAGGAAGGGGGCAGAATTTTTTCCTTTCCTCTCCTGCCACAATCCTGACAAAAATTTCTCCTTTGCAGCTGCAGTTTGCATTGAGAGGAGAGCTCCCCTTGGCACCCTGAGGCAATTTTCTCCCAGTGCAAATAGCAGCTTTGGGACTGCAGCAAGAAAGGAAATGGTTTAACTCCACTGCCTGTTGCAATCTCTGATTATTATCAGCTCCCCTCCTCACAAAGCACGGGCACACCAACTGCAAAAGTATATATAACATCATGCCTAGTTAGGCCTAAGCTTTGGTTGTAAAGGGGGAGGGGTGAACTTCAGGTAGGAATGCACCTGAACGTTACATGTGTGCCATGTGATGCCAAATAACAAATGTTTCCTTTCCTTTAAAAACTAATAAAATAAAATTCCTGCAGGTATCCAGACCATTGATTCAACACAGGCGTTGTTCCTTCCCATTGGGGCATCTGTGTCTCTCTTAGTCATGTTCTTCTTCTTCGACTCGGTTCAAGTTGTCTTTACAATATGTACAGCAGGTAACTGCCTTCTCTTCACTTTCCCCCATCTTACATAGGGACTCATTGTTGCTGGAAATTGACACAGTTTTGAGGATATATGAAGAAACTGCTTGTAGAAATACTGGTGGTTTCCTTCTATTTTTGTATATAACAGCTAGAAACTACCTGTCAATGTATATAAAGTCAGGCACATAGAGGCTGCAGTGTTTTGTCCATTACTTGCTTTAATATTTTTTTTCTCTGTTACAACTTTCTCCACTTTAGCTGAGCAGCAGATTTTTAAAAACAAGTCTTGTTAAACGTACTTGCAAAATCACAGGCATCTTGGATCCTCTTAGAGGCACTTCCTCCTTTTTCTCACAGGGGCATAAATCTTCCAAGATGGTGCCTTTTGGTGCATCCTATAAACAGAGTATGGTGTGGGGTTTTCTCCAGAACTATTGTGTTTGTTCATAATGCAGGTTTCATTGGTCAGCTTCCTGCCCTACAATGGCTTTTGTGATGAGCAGTGGCTAAAAATATTTTAAATAAATAAACTGGTAGTCCCATGCACATTTGCATAGAAATTCCATTAAGATTGGTTGAACTTCCTTCACAGGAAATAGAAATGGGCATATTGATAAGAGATGATTGATGATTTAACAACAATTCATTCTAAGAAATGATTGAATTCTCTACCACAGGGTTTAGTAAGGGCCACCAGCTTGAATGGTTTTAAAAATGGATTAAACAAATTCTTGGAGGATTTACAGTGGTACCTCGGGTTAAGTACTTAATTCGTTCCAGAGGTCCGTTCTTAACCTGAAACTGTTCTTAACCTGAAGCACCACTTTATCTAATGGGGCCTCCTGCAGCTGCCGCGCTGCCGGAGCATGATTTCTGTTCTCATGCTGAAGCAAAGTTCTTAACCCGAGGTACTAATTCGGGGTTAGTGGAGTCTGTAACCTGAAGCGTATGTAGCCTGAAGCGTATGTAACCCGTGATACCACTGTATTTAATAAACTCAAGTTGCTGATTCAAATGTCAGTGTCCGTAATAGACTTTAACTTATATTTCTCTTGATGTGATCTGTCAAGCTATCAGATTTGGTAGGTAGTTACCTGGAGAGGAGCCTTCTCAGTGGTGGTGCCCTCCCAGTAGAATCCTCTGCCTAGGGAGGCTCACCCCAGTACCTCCTCTATTAGAGGATTTTAAGCAGAAACTAGATGTTAATTTAGGGGTTTGTAGGAGTGGGGTTTTTTTGCACTTTGGCAAATGGTTGGACTAGAGCAGGCACGTCCAACAGGTAGAAAAGATAGACCGTGATCTACCAGGAGATCACTGGACTTCTGCGGTAGATCACTGCCCCCCGCAAAGAAGCTCCAAAAATCCCTTAAAAAAGCTCAACAACTTTGACCTGAACCCCCCAAAAGTGGGTAGATCACTGCTAGTTTTTAACTCTGTGAGTAGATCACAGTCTCTTGGGAGTTGGCCACCCCTGGACTAGAGGATGTTGAAGCCACTTCCAGCTTAATGATTCCAACTCATTTTTGCACCAGACAAAGAGAGTTTTATTTTCCCATGCTTTTTATCTTGCCTCTTTTATCTCTGCTGATTGCTTTTACACTCTTTTGTATTTGTTTTATTTCTGCTATCGTGTTAATGTTTTTGTCTTTACATTTGCCTCCTCCTCTGTAATTTGAATTATTTGCAAGTCACCCTGAGAACCTGTTGAGAGGTGCGGTATAAATTCATGAGAAGGTTAATTAAAAAGAGAACTGCAGAATTCTCCAAAGCCAATGGGCACATTCTTCTGAGAAGTTCTCCTGTAGAATACCCATTTAAATAAATGCCATGCAAGGGGCCAGAGCCCTGTTTGTTTCAGTGGGATTTGCATGGGAGGACTTCCTGCAGGATTGTGCTCAATATGTGGTGATGCATTTAGATGTTTGCAACAGTTAAATATTACCCATGGAAATTAGTCTCTGCGTTCCACATCTTTGGCCCACTGACAAAAATGTGGCATTTCAGAAGAGTTTCCTAGCCAGACTTAAATGTTTTGGGTCAGTCTTTTGACCAAAGCATTCTGTGTGGGCTCTCCCCACCTTAGGAACATACTAGTTTCATGATTATAATTTACTGATAAATTGCTTGGACTTCAGATGTTTTCCAGCAAAATGCAAAAAGCCCTTCACAGACGTTTTAATTAAAGTTCAACTTGTGTTTTGGCCACAGATTTTTTTTTTCTTCACATCCTTGGCCACAGATGTTGACATGTGTTAGTTTTCTGTGCTTGTCTTGGAGTTTTTGCAACATTGGTCTGTATTAACGTTTTCTTTCTCTCTCTCTCCATTTCTCCAGTTCTCGCAACAATAGCCTTTGCTTTCCTTCTGCTCCCAATGTGCCAGTATTTAACACGACCTTGTTCACCTCAAAACAAGTAAGGAAGGTTGTTATTTTTTTGTTCTGTGCAGTGCAAAGAACCTGTTGTTGATTCAACAAGATGGGCCTCTCTGTTGTTGGTAGAGCTTTTGGCTCTGAGAAGAAGTTCAAATACAGTCCTGCCCCTGCTTTCCACGCCTGTGTTTATAATGCACAAAGAGGGTATTGCAGAGTTCTTCTGCGGTGAGCTCTAAACAGGGCTGACCCACATTTGATACCTCCCCACAGTTAATGTGAGGCACGCTCTCCTGGGAAGTTCTCCTGCACAAATAGCACTGGAACGAAGAGGAGCTTGCACAACTTTCCTTCATCTCAAGGCTTTCATATTCAGAAGAGCATCCAAGCAGACTTTGCCTTGGGAGTCACAGCTGCCTAATTCCCACTCGCCTGCTCATGGTGGCTTGAGACAGCTGCTTCCCCCAGGTCTTGAGGACAATGTGTTGCTCCCACCCCTGCAAGGCTCCTGCTTTTGATCTTATAGCAGAAGGGGTGGGGGCAAAAGTGTCACACACACTACTTCTCTTTTTACGGCCGCTTCTCAGGAATCACCACTTCGCCGTGCCAAAACTGATGTATATGGTTATAGGCAGAAATAATGACCTGTTTGGATTGACGCCAGTAGGGTTGGTTCATAGTGGTGGTACTTTTGTAGCTTGGGGACAGAAACACAGTTGAAATTCATTTTTTTGCAGGGGGAGGGAAGAATTCTGGTCACAAGCACTGGCTCTAGAGATCATAGGGAACGTTTAAAAAAAGTCCAGCTTTTATGACAGCTTTGGAATAATGTCTTCTGAAAGCTGTATCTTAAAATGACACCCCCCCATCCCCAAATTGGCATGAAGGGGTAGAACACTTCTGACACCCTCTCAGCAGAAAGCCCAAGAATAGAGTAGCCAAAATAACCCTTTCATCTAATTTTAGGATCTTGGCAAATGAGTCAGGTTTGTGGGGGAGATCCTTGAGATCATGCCTTCAGCACCTTTCCTTTGACAAAAGCCTTGTCACTAGGGCATTTCTGGTGCTCTTGAACCCAGTCCAAATAAGAGCCGCAAGAGATCCCCCCTCCCACCTCCTTCTCGCTACATACCAGAGAAGAGCCTTCATTGTTTTTGTGTTTCTGGTGGTGTTTTCCAGGATTTCTTTTGGCTGCTGTGGGCGTTTTACAGCTGCTGAGCTGCTCTCTTTCTCCCTCTCTGTGATGCTTGTCCTTATCTGGGTCCTAACTGGTCACTGGCTCCTCATGGACGGTAAGTGCTGCTGAATATGTGGATCTGGTTACTTGCTTATAATAGTGACAGGTTGAAAAATTGTTAGTGGAAACTTTTCTTGCATTCTTTACTCAAAATGAACTCTATACTTGCCATGGAAATGTGTGTGTGCATTGTGTAAGGCAGTTTTTTCCAAGTAGTGTGGCAAGAGAGATTAATAAACTGAAGGTCCCTTTGAACACAAAGTCCCCATCCAGAGAGTATGCTGTTGTTGTGCCTCTGCCTGATTCACTGCTTTTTCATTTGACTGCATGGGATGTGATGAATCCTAAAATCTTGGAAGGCACCCAAAGGTCATCTAATCCAACCTCCTTCAGTGCAGGAATCTCTGCTGAAACATCCATATAGAATAAGAGAATCTTACGAGTAATCATAGAATCTTGATCATTCAATTGCTCTTGATGCAGGCAGGCAGCAGAATGGTCCACCCTTAGAGGAGACTGCCTGTTGTATGTCAGCAGCAGAAACTGTTCAGGGTTGGAAAGAAGCAGGCAGAAACATGGAGATCTGTACTATGACATAATTTTAGTGACTTTCATATAAAGCAAATATATAAGGAGGAGTGAAGTTCTTCCACTTTTAATTTAGAAAAAAGGGGGTGTCCAAGCTATCAGAAGCTCAGAAAAAGCTCACACAATTACTGTGAGCCAAAGAAAAGTGCTCTTTTCTGTCCAAAGTGGGGTGTGGGTTTAGAATTAGTCAATCTAACACTTGTCATTATGTAATAGACTGCAGAGAAGGAGAAGTGCAGAACTTCCAGGTTCTTAGGAGTGGCAACAGCTTCACTGGTGCACTCATGGAGGAGTAGACAGTTGTGCAGACTAGTGACTGATTTTCAGAGACAGAACACATTCACACACATAATGAGTCATGGCTCAAATACAACAACAAGCTTAGCAAAGTGAAACATTTTTGAAGTGCTGGTGTCTTCAGTACTTTTACATGTAGTACCTGACGCAGAAAGGGTGCAGCCTCCATCACTTGTCACACAGGCCTCAGCCTCTTTTCCAAGGGGCGGAACGGCAAACAGACAAGAAAGTTCTCTCTCTGCAGAAACTTTAGTTCAAGTCTATGCTAATGTTAGCTCAAGCCTGTCTGTTGTGGGGGAGGATTTCAGTTTTACAAGTAGCTTGGGGAGAGTGTTCTTCTTATTGTTCTGAAAATTAATTATTAAAGTCACACATGTTTCTCTTCAGGCAGCCCTTCTCATGGTTGTGATCAAACCATTAACATTACCATTTGGTTGATTGCCTTTCCCACATGTGGATAATTATTCCAGATGAGTCTTACCTTTCCCAACCTGTATAAAGAATTGGCAAAGGCACTTTTGCATTGATGTCTCTTGTCTTGAACAGTGTATCTCATGTCAAAATTACCAAAATATTATTGCCTATATGGAGCATGTCAGTAAATTTTGGCTAATGAATCATGGAGTGTTGTGTACATTCTGTGCAGATTTACTGAATGCTTTTCGTCCTCTACTCTCTTTGCTTTTAATCGTTCTTAATCTCTAACATTTGAAAATGTTACATTGTGTTAATATTACTGACATAGTTGGCTTACACAGATACTGAAAGAGCAAGTTTCTAGGCCTTAAGATTCAGAGAGATAAACCATTCCCTTGCGTTCACCCATTTTGTTCCCTGCCCAAAGCAATTTAGGATTTTTGAGAGGTTGATCTAGAGAAGCATGTTAAACTATGAAAGCAGATTAATTGCTTGGATATACAAATTTACACAACATATTCAGAGGACGAAACAGGATGTCTGCCTTGCAGAAATTAGATTTTTTTTTTTTTTGGCCAAATACACATAACCCTATATGTCCGTAGTCTACACTGGCAACTTTCCTCCATTTTCAAGCTGCCACTTCATTTCCAAGAAGTATCCCTACTCTGGTGTGTCTGGGTACAGTAGATGTTTTGTCTGTAGTCTTAGGCTTATTTACCAGCAACTGTCACCTTGCATAGTGATCCAACTGTTTTGTTGCATTTCTGTTTTGTAGCTCTGGCCATGGGCCTGTGCGTTGCAATGATCGCCTTTGTCCGATTGCCCAGCCTCAAGGTTTCCTGTCTGCTGCTCTCGGGGCTATTAATTTATGATGTCTTCTGGGTGAGTTTCTTCTAGTTTCTTACGTATCCCTATAACCAGACAAAGAGTTCTTCTGACCTTGGAGGCAGGCTTGCAGGACCCATCACCTTGGACATCTTGAAATACTGTCACTGGGTACCAGGGGGCATCTATAGGCACACCCCATTTTGTTGCTGCATCTTTCAGTCATAACTTTCTAAAAGGCTTTCCCCTTCACTTATATTGTATTTTTTCCATATCACTCCCTGGGACCTTCCCCAACTCAATTTTATCTTTTTCATAAACTTCTTTGAGATTTGTTTGTTTACAATCTAGCAGCCTATAAGTTTAATTAATTAACAAATTCAACTTTGTGTAGGAAATAGGTGATGAAGATCCCCCCACTGTCCGGAAGGGGCTGATTACAGACTTTGGCACACCTTAGAGGATACCACCTTGGTCTCACCCAGCAGCCACCCCCAGGCAGTCAGAGAAATTTGCCTCTTTAGAAAATTTATATGTGGCTTTTCAATTAAAAAATGCAACATGGCAACCATATAGCTCCACTTTTTTATTTTCACGTTTCATTGCATCTTGAAGGCCACATTGGTCAGATGGTATCAACACCTCTTTTTTTCCTGAACACTCTTGTGGAGGAAGCTGTTGGAGCTTCTGGGAGAACTGGTGTGAAAACTTCTCACCCTGTCCTCTTGTTGATTACGTCTTTGTGAGGCTTGCAGTGGCCGCAGTGCCCCCCACCCAATCGTCCTGGCAATGTGTTATTGACCACCAGGTCTAGATGGTACAATATACACTAAAGGAACATCTTTTGAAGATGTTTTACAGGTTGTATATAACTCCCAGCAAAATATCCAAAGTGTATAAAACGAGATCTTATACGTGCTGGAGGTGTAAACAGGCAGAAGGGACACTGTTTCATCTGTGGTGGGGTTGCAAAAAAATTAAGAATTTTTGGGATATTATATATGAGGAATTTTTTAAAAAAATGTTTAAGCAAACTTTCATAAAGAAACCAGAAGCCTTACTCTTAGGCATTTTAGATTCAGATATTCCAAATGAAAAAATATAATATTCTTATATGCTACAGCAGCAGTAAGAATATTAATTGCCAGAAATTGGAAAGGAGAATTAGTACCAACAAAAGAGGAATGGCAGGATAAATTATTTCAATATCTCAAACTGGCAAAAATGGCAGAAACCATTAGGAGACAGCCAAACCAAAAGTTCAAAAAGGAGTGAGAAATTTATAAAGAATATTTTAAAAAACAGTGCCCTCAAGTTAAAACCTGGACATGCTTTGATTAATTTTCGCAAACCACAATATGGATTATAAGTATAGTATTCAGGTAACAAGAAGTGACAAAATGATTAAAGAAGCCGTTTTAGTAAACAGATAAGAGAGACCTGCTTTGAGGAAGACAGAAGTCTATTGGGGAAGGTAAGGAATTGGGAATTAAGAACATGGTAGCATAAGTTCTTTTGTAAGAACTTATGGATTTATGGATGGATGGATTTTTTTTATTATTTTATCATTTTTGTTAATTTCTTGTGTGTGTTTATTAAGTAAGAAAACTAATAAAAAGCATATTAAAAATAAATAAATGGCACAATTGGTTGGTGCCCCCAAAGGGCAGGGGTTGTTTCTCACCTGTGTGGGTGGTATCAACAGGTCCCTTTTGAGCCAGCAAACATGAGTGTCCTTGTGGGTGTGTCCACTGCTGCCATCTTGCATCTCCTATAGATGCAGGTGGGCTTCTGTCTCTTAAGGAACATAAGGCTATCATGTATATCAGCCCCTCTTGAGACCAAGCAAAAGGGTTAGTGCCATGTCACTAGGAACTAGCAAATCTGCAAATCCTGTATCGTTTCATCTACTTGCTTCACTTACTGGTTTCCTGGCTCACAGGTTCTCTTGATCCTAGGCTGGATAATGAGAGAGATGCATAGCTTTTGAGGTGATCAAAAACAGCTTTTGTGTTTCCCCTGCCCCCCCCCCCCAGGTCTTCTTTTCCGCCTACATCTTCAATAGCAATGTTATGGTGAAAGTGGCCACACAACCAGCTGATAATCCGCTTGATGTTTTATCACGGAAGCTCCACCTTGGACCAAATGTAGGTCGAGATGTCCCCCGCTTGTCACTGCCTGGCAAACTTGTATTTCCAAGGTAGGAGTCACCTTTTTGCCTCACATCCTTTACTGAGGCTTCTTTACATTTTGCTCTTGGGAAATTGTTTTGTGGTAGATATGCTGTTTTAAGAAGAACCCAAGAAGCTTTGGGGCCACAATTAGGAAAGTGGTTTCCTTTTTGCTTGCACCCTAACCCGAGAGTCTGTGTGCTGATGGTTGGTCAGAGAAGAAAGGTTAACCTAGCTCCTTGTTTTCCAGTTCCACAGGCAGCCACTTCTCCATGCTGGGAATTGGAGACATTGTGATGCCTGGCCTCCTTCTCTGCTTTGTCCTGCGTTATGATAACTACAAGAAGCAAGCCAACAGCGATTCCTGTGGTGCTCCAGGACCAGGGAACATCTCTGGACGCATGCAGAAAGTCTCCTATTTTCACTGCACACTCATTGGATACTTCGTAGGTAAGGGGGAGGGATCTGTGCAGAAGTTGATGCGGTGAGTGCAGTCTGGATGAATCTCCCCCCCCCCTTTAAAGTTTGATGTATCTTGCAATTGTGTGCAAGATGCTTTTAACTGTAATGTTTTTCCTAAAGGTTAGAAGGTGCTCACGCAGACATCTTGGTTTGGAGCACGTTGGTTTTATTTGCCAGAAGCGAGTAGACAAAGTTGCTGTTTGTAAACCTGAACTGAAGAGTGATAGAAGAGGAAGCTTTAAAAGTGTGCTGTAGGATACGTTTCTGGGATTGAGAGACAGAGCAACGGTTGCACTTTGGGGTGTGCTAAAGTTGTCTTTCCAAAGAGTGAATGGAATTCAGTCACTTGACATCAGGCTGATATTGGAAGAACAAGAGGACAGAAGTCTTCCATTGGCAGTGACTGTTAAAGAATTGGAATGGTTAAATTGCAAGACTTAAAATTTCATTGGGAGCTATTTTGTAAACACGTGAGCTCCATTTATAGGCTTCTGGAACAGGAATTAAAGCAAACTTGTTTTTATTTTGAGAAGTTGTCTTTGTTACAAGCAGGATTTTGATGTTTTTAAAAAAACTTTCCAACAAAGGGTATCTTAAATCTAGATATTGAAAGCAAAATACCGAGAATAGCCATGCATGTTTGATGTGTTGACTGCTTGCAAAGTATGTGTACAAAACATGTGTGTTTAGGGGATTTGCAAAGAGGAAATTGGTTTTGGAGTGCAGAGGGCAATTAAAGCAAGGAGTAAAAGAGCTCAGGGGCAAACTTGCCTTCTGTCTCTTTGCCTTTGCCTTCTGTCTCTCTGCCACAGAGATCATTTCTGTGCTTTGAAGTTTTTCCTCACTACCATGAGATTAGAAGCCATTTGCTCTGGAAAGTTAAAGCAGAGGCTTATTATTTAAAAGCTGTTAACAGAACTTTAGTTCAGGAAGCCGTTCACTTGACCTTGGTGCAGTTTGCATTGTGGAATCATCCTGCCATGATACACAGTGTCTCTCTCTCTCTCAAGAGAAAACAAGACAGCAAATATATCATCTAAGAGAGAAAGGCGCCCATTTGGGTGCTGTCATGTCATCTTGTCTTTCCTTATATTGCAGGCCTCTTAACTGCGACGGTCGCTTCTCGCATCCACCGGGCAGCTCAGCCCGCCCTCCTCTACTTGGTACCCTTCACCTTATTGCCACTCCTCACTATGGCCTATTTAAAGGTGAGAGGAGTGTTGGGAGTCACGTCTGTGGGAATCTCCTTGGGCACATCAGTGATGTACTGTCTAACCCCCTCCCCTCCCCAGCATCTGCTGTGCTATTGCAAGGCCCATCCTTTTGAATTGCTGTGCACAGCCACTGAAAGCAGCAAAAAGAAGAAGTTATTTTTGTTAGGGTATATGCATCCTACAACATACTACCACTATATACAGTATATACTGTACAGTATACACTATATACCTCCCCACTTACATGTGCTTGACTTGGGCGCATCCTCATATAGGGCAACTCCACGAAATAAATAAATCAGTTCAAATCTGGAAATGGTGGGAGAGAGCTGGAAATTCCTTGTGACTCTCAAGGAGACCCTCCCCAGAGCCTGAAGAGGTTTTAAAGGCAGAAAAAAACCTGTGGGCTCCAAAATAGTGCACGGGAGCCCTCCCTGCTGCCAGCCTAGGCCGCTCAACAGCTGTTGGGCGGGAAGCTGTAATGCGGCAGGCTCAGTCCTGTTCCCTGTCCGTTCTGGCGATCTGGAGGCAAAGATACAGTATAGGTTGCTTTTTGTTATGTAGGGTTCCAAAGAGCTCTGAACTTGTTTGTTGTAAAAGAAGAAGAAATCACCCTGGTTCCTCGCCCTGACAAGGTTCCCCACTTACCTTTCGCTTATGCGCATGGGGGTCTGGAACGTAATCCCTGCGTAAGTGGGGAGTTGCCTGTACAACATCAAGAACAACAACAACTCCTCTAAACAAATACAATAAAATAAATACCTGAAAGTCAGCATAAAAGCCCACTTAGTAGGTATTAAGGTTCACAGTTGGTAATGAAATGATGTCAAGATGGGTGCTAGGGGAGCATTCCCTGAGTTGGGTGATGCCACTACCTGTCGCTGCCTGTCCTACCTCCAGCTGGTGCATCCAAAGAGGTCTCTGCTGTATCAGCCTGAGCTGCCAGAGGGCACTTGATACCATGGAAGCACTGCAGGCCTGGCCCTTCCTTGTGGGCTGGGGCTGATGGGAGTTGTAGCCCCAAACATCCGGAGGGCGCCATGTTGGATCCCCCTGGCGTAAACGTTACAGAGCAAAATAGTCATCGTCCAGCTTCGCTTTCTGAATTCTGCCATCCTTGAGCCCCTTGCCCCAAAAGGGAGCCTTAGCAGCCTGTTATAATCTGGGTGCAGGAGCAGCCCCTTTGAACTCTGTGAGTCTGTGCACACTCAGTTGCTCACTCTTCTGTCCCTTTCCTTAGGGAGATCTGCGTCGCATGTGGTCTGAACCATTCCACTCCAAGACCAGCAGCTCACGTTTCCTGGAGGTATGATGGAACGGATGGAAAGTGACCGGAACTTCTGCCTGGTCCTTTTTTTGTGGCTCACAGCTTGGTTGTCCGTCCCTGTGGCTGGGCTGGTACTCAGGAGAGAATTACCAGTTTGTGGAACTTGTACAAATGGACTTGCTTTCTGGGAAAAGGAGGAAAGAGCAAAGGCGTTTTGGTGGTGGTGGTCGAGGGAGTGGGGGCTTCTCCCCTCCCTTCTTGGAACTGGAGACAGCTTGCCATGGCAGCCGCCTCCCTCTTCTTCCTTCCCCTTCCCCTCCTCCTCCTCCTTATGGATTAGTGCTAGGCCATCCAGTGTTCCTCAGGGGAGAAGAAGGAGGAGGAGGCAGACTGACAGACACTTTCTGGTGAAAACGGCATAGAGTCATTGAGGAACTTGTGAACACTAAGAGGAGACAAATGGTCACTGCGCTTGGAGTTTCTTGGGAAACCCTACAAGTACTTTGGGACCAGTTTTCTGTTGGACTCCGGTTTCAGAGAGAACTGAGACAGAGGTTTTTCTGTCGCTATAATCTTTTTTTCCCCCCATTCAAATTTATTAAATATGTTCTGTGGTGTGAGGTGACTTATTAAATCCACAGACATTTGAGTGACTTCTTGCAGTACACGATATAAAGACTTTGTTGTAAACAAGTTACATTTCCACCCAGATGTCATGTTGCAGTGAACAAGGGCACGACTTTTATACACACACAAATGCATACACAGAAACACACACACACACATGCAATGGGAAAACCTGCTAGGATCATGCTTTGTAGCTGACAGGGGCTTGCTGTAATTTTTAGCATGTAGAGCAGTTTACTCTGGGCTTTCTTGTATATGGATCTGCAAATATGCTGCTGTCTTTCCCATTTCCCTCCATGAGTGAAGCTTCAGTTAAAAAAAACAACCAGTGTAGTATTTTGTACTTAGTGTGCTCCTGGATTTTAGGGGATTCTTTGATTTTTTCAATCAATGTAGCAGACTTAGGGGAGGGAGAAAGCTGAAGCCCTTGACCCCCCCCCCCCCGGCCGAACCCCTATTTTTGTTTGTGGGTTTGTTTTTTACAACTTAATCCATTACAGGTTTTTAGTAGCTCCCCTCTTGACCCTGTGCATGTATTATAGCAGCTGTTGTCTCTGTGCGTTCTGATCATAGTAATGTATGACTTGTAAATACATTTTTTCTATTTTCTATTTTTTGTATTTATTTTTTTTTGCATTGTTTGATTAGTGTGCTGTATTTCCCCCCATTCCCTTACGTTTAAAAAAAAAGGGAGAGAGAAAGAGAAAGAGAGAATCCTGTCCTCTGCTGTTGTGATTGGTCAAAGTTTGTGATGACTGCTTTGTACCTGGGAGTCTCTTAAAACGTGGACTTTTCTAAACAAATTGTCCTGGCTATGTTATTTTTAACTGTTTCAAAGGTTCCTAAGATGAACTTATCTTTCCTGTCAAAAATGAAAGTTTCCTTTCTGCCCACTGGTTTAAAAGACCTGCCCCTGTAATGGGGTGTGTGTTAGCTTAGCCCAGATTCTGGGAATTCCTGGCATTAGGTGGTGGTTTTAAGACCTTTCTTGTCCTAGACCAGATTAGGGAATCATTTTACTGAATATTTTCTCCCCTTCCCCCCTTTTCTTGCTGCTTCCTCAATTCTTTCTGGGGAGGGCTGTGTCTTCATGTCCTGTGAGAGCTTTCCAGGAGCATCTGGCTTGACTACCTTGGGAAACAGGATACTGGGTGCACTTCTGGCCTGATCCAGCAGGGCTGGTCTTATGCTTTATGAATTAGAAGCTGCCTTGAGGGAGGAAACAGGACCAGAAGATAATAAATAAATATGGAAACCTCATATTTTTATTTGTTTATTTACCACATTTATATCTTACCGTTTCTTATATCGTGGAACTCAGGGCAGCAAATGTGGGATCCTGAGGTGGTCTTCTCCTTGCTCCACCCATGCATTGACTGAGACCTGAGTTCTCTTCATTTGCCCTCATACCATGCTGAGGACAAGCAAAATCTTGGAAGAAAATACTTAAATGAAATGCTATTTCACCCCCATCTACCGCTGCCTTTTTTTTACGTGTCAAAGGGAGTAGTATGAGCTGAAAAGTTGGGATTGGTTGGGTCGTTCCTAAATGATTTAGGGAACAGCTGCATACAATTCTTGCATACGACTCCACACAGAATTAACTAAACCCTGCTTTATCCTAAAGTTCTTTTGCCAAGAACAGTTCTTGACCATCCTTGTGGACACTAGGATTATTTTTTTTTTTTAAGATGCATTGTTTCAGGAGACATGCTGAGGAACCTCATTTGAACAGATCAGTGTAAAGTTCTTTTGCAAAGCCACGAATATTGAAAATAATGTTCATGTTGGTTTGTTCAGCCGGCAGAGCAGGAGACTTGGCTTGCAAAAAAGGAGGGCTGTGTTCAAAAGTTTCATTTGTGGGGACTGGCATTTGTGGGGACTTATATGCCACAATACTGAAGACTCATTCTGTTTGGTCACCTGCAGAGGTAAGATTTTTATTAAAGGAACAGAACATCACAGTTGTGTGTGAAGAGCACCCATTTCCTACATTCTGCTTGGAGTTCTGTATCCTAAACATTCCATTTAATTTATTCTAACATGTGCTTGCTTTGCATAACTTGTGCACCCCAAGCCAAAGTACCTAGACTTTGGAAGTGTGAGCCGTGAGCCAGCTGTTCTCAGATTTGGGTATGTGAAAGGTTGGAGGTCTGGCAGTGGGATGGGGGGCAGGACAAAGGGGCATTGAAGCCCCTTCTAAATGAATGTGAATGTTTTATTAATACGGCCAAACAGCCAACATACCCCCTCCAAATGGTGGAACTTTTATTGATTGCTGTCCTAATAATTACAAATTGTTACTTGCAGTTGTGAAGGATATATTTGTAATTTTTAAAATGAAAAGCTCTGGTCATTAACTTTTTCAGACAGCATCATATCATTGTTCATCCTCAGCTTAGCAGCCTAGTTGTCAGTATGAATTAACCTTGTTGCTTAAATGTATATACCAAACGATCAGTGCTCCTGTGAGGATGGGCTTTTCTAGTGAATTTAGAATTGGTGCAAGATGCCTGTGTTTTGAGTTAAGTATCGAAGGCACCAGTGGGGCCCACCCAAGAGGATAGTAATTTGCTGTGGCCCTCCTGCCCTGTTCCTCCACTAGCTGCATGTGGCAAGCACACTTTGAAACATGCAGGAAGCAGGTCTGGCCACCTTCGGTAGAAACAGCCTTCAGTACCTAAGACAAGCCTGCTGCGTCAGGCCAAAGGGGGCCCATCTAGTCCAGCATCCTGTTCTCACAGTGATCAACCGGATGTCTGGGGGAAACCTCCAGGCAGGATTTCTGCACAAAAACACTCTCCCTTCTTCTGGTTTCCAGCAACTGGTATTCAAAAACATTGCTGCTTCCAACTGTGGAAGCAGAGCATAGCCATCATGGCTAGTTGCCATTGATAACCCTCTCCTCCCTGAATTTGTCTAATCTTTCAAAGACATCAAGGTTGGTGGCCTTCATTATAAACCCAGATTACATGTTGTACAAACTTGTGGAAAGGCTCTCCATGCCATGTAAATCTTACTTTAAAACTCAGCAATTTCAAATTGGATTATATAGCAGTGGAATCTGACTCTGTCATGGTGCAGTAATTAATGCCCCACCATCATCCAGAGTGCCTATTAATTTGCTGCCTGTAGTTCTCTAAGATTTCCTAAAACCAACTGTGTGGAAATTATACATAATTGAGGCATTGACTCTCAAGGCCCTGTTTACTCAGAATTCTTTTTAAAAAACGTTTTGTAACCAGCTCTCTCAGCACATAAGGAGGTGAAACACTGTACAATAGTGGGTTAAATAACAGCCCTTACTTAAGACAGGTAGCATTTTCTGCTTTGACTTTCCACTGCAGGAGGAAGGTATGATTTTATAGTTGATGTTCCACAACCTTCAACATTACGTACCTGCTGTGCATTTATGATCACTTAAAACTCTCATCTGGTTTAACTGGGTTTAAGCTAGTTCTGTAAGAGACGGATTCATTTATTCCACTACCAGTGATACTTCAAATACGGCTTAAGTATATTCCTTTGTATTCTCTTTCTATCCTGAACAGCCATAATATCACCCTGTTATGTGCCCTCCTGCTGAGGGGGACAGTGGTTTGCTGTGTGGTCATGGCTGGTGGAACTGAAGCAGGAGGCTCCCTGATTCACAGCAGTCTTTGGAGCCATTTTGCCACACGAGCTATCACAATGCCAACTTCACCGTAATCAATTTGTCCAGTATCCTGGCTCTCTTTACAAAGCAGGTTTTCCTGTGGAAGCGGCAGCTGTTAATCCCACTGTTGTGTAATTTGGGATTGGGCCAGGAGGCGTTGGCCGGGGTAGTGCCTGCCCAACCTCACTGTATTGTGTTGACAAGTCTAGGGCTTTACTCAGCAGTCCTGTGCAGTTCCTGAAGCCCTTTGCTTGCTTCACTGGCACCACCTTGGGGAATTAAGGGCACACAGTGCTGTTGAAATGTCTTTTGCTGAAATCCTATTCAACTGCTGCGTCGCCTCCCTTGTGCTTTCCGCAGAACTCTTCCAGGAGGTCGGAGGAACAGACAACATTTAGTGGGTGTTCACATGGAGGGGGGAACATTCAATTGCTCAACAAGAAATCTTTACACGGTTGAGAGTAGTGGCACCAAATTGGATTCTACCCCTAGCAAGTGCCATGAATTCTACAGTGGCTGCAGCAGCATTGTATTGAATTGGAAGGGGCAGTGAAGTGTTCAGTCTTCAGTGGACAAAAAATGGCTTTGGATTTTTTTTCCTTGCCTTGTCTGCAGCATGTTGGGGGGCACAGCATCTGGAAGTTAAATTCTTGAACTGATGAGGAGGCTTGTCCATCCTCATCATTATTTATTAATTAAATTTGTATGCCGCCCTTCATCTGAAGATTACAGGGCGGTTCGCAACAAAAACGCAAGATACCTAATAAAACAAAAGCAAAGCAAAACAAAACAAAATAATAACACCCCTCCCACAGACACATTTAAAAGATCGTAGAATGTTAATCAGCCGAACACCTCGGTGAAGAGAAAGGTTTTGCCTGGTGCCTAATGATATGTAATGAAGGTACCAGGCGAGCCTCCTCGGGGAGAGCATTCCCCAAAATAAGCTACCACAAAAAATAAGAGGCCTATTCCCGTGTTTCAACCCTTCAAACCTCCAGTGGGGGGGGGAAGAAACATGAAGAAGGGCTTCAGATGATGGTTGCAGAGTCTGGATCAGTTCATATGGGGAGAGGTGGTCCTTGAAGTATTGAGGTCCTGAGCTGTATAAAGCTTTATAGGTCAAAACCATAGAATAGCGCAGAATAGCATTAGCTTTATTTGCTGCTGCATCACACTGTTGACCCATGTTAAGCTTGTGGTCTACTAAGAACCCCTAGATCCTTTTCACATTAATAATGGCAAGCCAGGTGTCCCCCATCTAATATTTGTGCAGCCGGTTATTCCTGCCTAGGTGTAGAGCCTTGTCCTCATTTAAATTCATCTTGTTCATTTGGGTCCAGTTTTCCAATCAGTTAAGGTAATCTTGAACCCCGATTCTGTCAAGATTATCTTTCCATTCTCCCCATGGGCCTAGAACTTGCAGAGGCTGGTTTTTGAATGTAAAACCATGCAGCTGAAGAGCACTGAGAGTTGGTGGTAAACTATTTAGGGGAGAAATGTTTCCCAACAGTTTTCGAGGAGCAAAAACTGTCAGAAATCACTTGACGTGCCCCACAAGGGTTATATTCGCAAAATACTTGTTTATAAAGCTGTTGTACTACCAACCTTACTATATGCTTGTGAAACATGGACCACTTATGAACGCCATCTCCAACTCCTCGAACGATTCCATCAATGGTGTCTCCGAAAAATTTAACACATCACTTGGGAAGACAGGCGAACTAATATCATAGTGCACTAGAAGAAGCAAAGATCACCAGTGTCGAAGCAATGATTCTTCAACATCAACTTCGTTGGACTGGTCATGCTGTGTGGATGCCTGGTGATCGTCTTCCAATTGTGCGTCTTCCATTTGTGCTTTTACTTGTGTTTTGATGAAGGGTGGTATAAAAAATAGTAAATGGACAGGTTGCTTGCTGTATAGTTCCCAGGAAAGAGGCAAGGGAATTCACTGACCTTCACTTAGCACAAACGGAACTGCAGATCCGGCAAGCTTGATAAAATGCTGAATAAGTTACGCTGGTTGCTATTGCCCTCTTTAAATTAAGAAAAACTTGTTGGGTTAAGTTTGGTTTGTTTGTTTTTTTAATTAAAACTGGGAGCCCAAGTTGCCTTGTGAGCACAATGCACTCTGCCGGAAGCCATATCTTTCATTCATACTCTAGATGAGGCCATGCAGACTAATTCCCCAAGTAAACAAGAAAGCAGCTTTGGGATTTTTCTCAGGCATCAAATTAAACATGTTTATGGCCTTTCTAGGTTATTGTGGGGCATGAGTGTCCCCAGAGGAGTGTTTCTGGTGTGGAGGAAGTAGGATTTGCATACAGAACAGGGATTGCCACTTCTACCCTGGCTTCTTACTGCAAGTGGTGCTGAGAGTATTATGTTCCCACTAAGAGCTTGTTCTGCTGCTTCAGACCAAAAGGCCACCAAGTCCAGAACAGTTTCCACTGTAACCAGCAAGTTATTTTCGACACATTCATAAAACACGTTAGAAAGCTGACTTCTCTCATCAGTTGTCTAGTGCTAAAATCCTATAGTAAGAGGTAGAGTGCTGCTACTTGAAGTTTATTCTATTATCATACTGAATAGCCACCACACCTTATCCTGTATGTACACTGTTGTATGGCAATAATTGTTATCCATGGTAGGAAAGGTGGAAATCAACCACAGATGGCTGTCTGCAATTCTAAACATTGATTTTAGAAATTGGGCAAGGAGGTGGGGTTTGGTTGTATTTTTAGAGTGGAATAAGTGGCCTGCATCTTGAATCTCCTTGCCCAACTGAAGAGGAGCCATTAGCTGAGAGAGCATTTGCTATAGGAGTTACTCTTAATTGCTCTTTACACCAGGGGTCGGCAAGCGAGACCCCACATAGTGGAGACCCCAGCAGAAGGAAGGCTGGCAAGATTCCTTATTGTACGTGAGAAAAAGATGCACAGGCACCTCAGTTTCTTTCCCAGACACTTCACATCACAGAAAGGATAAGGAGGCTGCCTTTCACCAACCAGTAGGACATTTCCTAAGTACCCAGAGCAGCTGTGACTTTCATCTGTTGCCACTATTAACAAACATGAACATAATCTTCCATTTATTGCCTATGGTCCATGGCAATAATTACTATGCTTCCAGATTTTTTATTATTATTATTATTATTTATTATTATTTATTATTATTATTATTATTTATTTAAATTTGTATACTACCCTATACCCACAGGTCTCAGTGGGTATTCTTAGTGGGTGCCCACCCCCTGCACCCTACTAACATATTCAGGGCAGTATCTGATGCTGGAGAAGAGTTTTCATTTATCCTTTTATCCACACAACAGTTCTGCACTCCTGATCTCTGCTGCAGACAAAGGTAGTTTAAAGAAACATCACACAAATGAATGTCCATTAAACGCAACCTGAGGCTGTAGTGCAAAGTGGGGTGAGGAGAGAGAAATCAAACCCTTGGTAGTGCAATTTATTCATTTTGTGTATGTATATATATATCTTTATCTAAGGCACCTTAAAGGCAAGGACACTTTTATCTTGCTGTCTTGAGACTCTCCGCTCTGGCTTACTGTTCAACTCTCACAGTGAATGCTGTGGCATGCAGCAACTGGTGGCCCGAGTCTCCTACTCTGCCTAAACTCTGGCAAATGGGGCTCTGTGTTGGCTTGTAACCAGACCCAGGGTCTACCATCAGAAATCGCACGTGCATCTCTACAAGAAAGTAGGAGGCGCTGAAACACAGATCTTCTCCCCCTCAGCCTCGATAAGCTTTCAACAGCTGCCCTGCAATGACCAGCCTCTGTATCTCGCTAGTTCCCTCGTAGATCTCCGTAATTCGAGCATCCCGGTAGTGGCGCTCCGCCGGCATCTCTGTCACGTAGCCCATCCCTCCCAGGATCTGGATCGCCTGAAATAGAAAAGCATCCCAAGTGCATCAGCATTGGATACTGTGGCTGCAGCATGGCAACAGAGATGAAAAATGGGGAGGGATGCACTTACATCCAGGAGATGGAAAGGAAGCATGCCACTCGCTCCCCCTACCGCATGCTTTGTTCGTTTGCCAGAGTCACTTAAGAGCCCCACACACCTACAGGGACTCCTTTGTGGCCACAGTGACAGAACGGTCCAAGGAGAGAGATTCCAGCTGTGTCTCTTGCTCCACGTAAGCCAGCAGCGTGCCAGCTGTACGGAAGGGGAGAGCTTCTCCCTCTGTGCTCATGGGCATGAAGAGGCACAGGCTTACCTGATGGGAAATTGAAGTTGCAGCCTCGGAGGCAGACAGCTTTGCCATCGCAGCTTCCTGTTTGGAGTAGAGGAGAGAAAAGTGCTACAGTCCAGGCAAACCTAACCCCACAGCCCTAAGTGTTGCGTGGTTATAAGGAGAGTCACTTGCCACACCAGCCCACCTTGCAAAACGGGGTGGGGTGGGGGATTTTCTATAGCCCAGGGAACGTTGTTTTTTTTTGCCTTTGCACACATTTCTAGGGTGCCTGCAACCTGTCCGTTATCTGTGAAGACAAGCACTATTACCTTTGTGTAGGGCTTTCCGTTGTCCTTCAACATGGCGGCTCTCCATGTCAGCAGACGGGCGCTCTCGAGGGCCAGTGCCATGTCAGCCAGCTTGAACTACAGACACAAAACACCATGGTAGGTTGAATAACTCTGGCGGCCCTAGATATTCTGCACCATCCTTCCCCAAGCCAGTGCTGTCCACATGTTTTGAACTACAACTCCCGTTTGGGGCTGCGCTGGCTGGGGCTGACGGGAGCTGCAGTTCAAAACATCGAAAGGCAAGGCTGGTTCTGCATGCAACAAATCAAAATGAGCACAGCAAGTACTTAACAGAAGCTCAACCACTATCCAGTTTCTGAATAAAGCAAAGCATATGCCTTGTCGCACTAATTTTGAATGTCTTGCAGGAACATCAAGTGGAAGACTAAGAAATCCATCCCATGTGGAACCATACACTGGGGATGATGGTTCTTTGAATGCCCTTGTGCCCCATGTAATTATAGGAGGAAGGGTGTGCCCTCTGGGCTGGTCCTAGTCAGGGAAACCATTTCACTTTTAAGATATTGATGTTCCCAAAGTAATCAAGTTGTGCAACAAGTACACAATGAATTCCAGCTCTTCTGTTTTGACATTTTTCTCTAAAACAGATTGGCAAACCTGCAGCCCATCAGCTGCTGCTGAAGGACAACTTCCATGCTGCCCAGAGCTGATGGGAGCACTAATAATAACAAGAATAACATTTCTGTATCAGCCTTCATCCAAAGATCACAGGGAGGATTACAATATAAAAACACAAAAATACATAACACGGTAACAAATGAAAACAAATACCCCCCACAGTTTAAAGTGCCAAAGATTGTTTAATTAGCCAAAGGCGTGGGAGAAGAGAAATGTTTTTGCTCAGCACCTAAGTATATGTAACAAGGGTGCCAGGCAAGCTTTCCTGCTCTAGTTCAGCAAAAACAGTGGGGCTGCAGGTTAGCCTCCCTGATTATTATTATTTTTTAAAGTATTGATGAGTCCTGGAACTACAAAGAGAATAGCCCCTGTAAGAGAGAGATCTATCTATGTACCTGAATGGCCTGCAGCTTAGTAATGGGGGAGCCAAAAGCCACCCTTTTCTCAGCGTAATCCACAGCACAATCGAGAGCTGCCTGGGCTATTCCTAATGCCTGAGATGCAATTCCAATCCTCCCAGAGTCCAGGGTTTGCTGAAAGGAAGGTGGAAAGACAAAAAAATGAGTTTGTGCACTACAACCAGCCACATCAGGAAAAGCCAACTTTAACTGAAGACTATGGAATGACTGGGCAGACTTTGCAAAGCCCAGCATCCAGTAAATACAGGCAGCTGTTAGTGAAGCATGGAGTGGGGCAGTTTTGCTACTACCTCCAGATCAGCCACAATGAAGAGACACACACAGTACAAACTGATATTGTCCTACACTATTTTAAAACTATCCTGGCTTTGCCAGAAGATTCCTGGGAACTGCAGTCTGGCAAGGATGTTTAGAGAAGTCCAGTTCTCACAATCCCTGGGGTGGAAGCAGTATTATACCAGTGTAAGTAGATTATGGCTTCAGGCTTTGCTGTCTCAGACTGTGATCCACCTGACCTTATCTCTTATCTATGACAAGAGACTAATCTCAAGGCCTGCCTTTGTATCTTTCCATTACTATTATTTATGATATGAACCACTTTGGAAAAGCAAGAACATTCTTAAATGGGGGGTTAAAAAACCACAGTGCAGCTCTTGGGATTCCCCAGAACTACAAACCTTTCGGAAGGGGCACATACTGGAGGACCTCCTCTCCCACTGCCTCCCACTGCTTTAATGTCTGCCTTTAGCTCCGTCCCTTGGCAGCATGGCCAGGTTGAGCCAAGGAAGGAAAAAAACATCCCTAAATCCCCTGGAGAGCTGTTGCCAATCACTGCCAACAATACTGAACTGGATGGACCAATGGTCTCAATATAAGGATGCTTAATAAGGACACAAGGTGCCTTTGCTGGATTAGGCCAATGGCCCATCTGGTCCAGCATCCTCTTCTCACAGTGGCCAACTGGATGCCCCAATGGAAAGTCCTCAAGTAAAGGACCCATGGACAGTTAAGTCCAGTCAAAGGTGACTATGGGGTTGTGGCGCTCCTCTCGCTTTCAGGCCAAGGGAGCCGGCGTTTGTCCACAGAGAGCTTTCTGGGTCATGTAGCCAGCAGGACTAAACAGCTTCTGGCACAATGGGACACCATGACGGAAACCAGAGCACACAGAAACACCATTTACCTTCCCACCACAGTACCTATTTATCTACTCGCACTGGCATGCTTTCAAACTGCTAGGTTGGCAGAAGCTCGGACAGAGCAACAGGAGCTCACCCCGTTGCAGAGATTTGAACCGCTGACCCTCCGATCGACAAGCCCAAGAGGCTCAGTGGTTTAGACCACAGCGCCACCTGTGTCCCATGCCCAAGCACAAAAGCCCTCTTCCGTCCTGTGGTTTCCAGCAACTGGTATTCAAAAGCATTGTTGTCTCCAGCTGTGGAGGTAAAACACAGCTAACATGGCTATTGGCGCCAACCTCTTTTAAAGTCATCCATGTTATTGTCCCTCGCTGCCTCTTGTGGGAGTGAGTTCCAGAGTTTAATTCCCAAAGTGGAGTAGGTGCCCCCCCCTTCCTCAGCCAGGGGATACACATTATTATTTAGCAAGTTTTACATACCACTTACAAAATTGTATAAAACATTTGTTAAAAATAGCAATAAAAAACGCTAGGTGTAATAAAAAATTAGCAAAAACAGAAAATCAAATTTAAAAAAACCACAGATGTTCTCATAGACATAGGCTAGTTCCTACGTACACTTGGGCAACAACTACCTATCCAGACAAGCAAGAGGCATTTATTAGAGTTCACAGACAGGCAGTGAAAGGGGTGCATTGTCTAAGGAGGGGCCTGTGGGCCAGACAGAGAGGGCATGAAGGACACGAGTCTTCCCCAACACACACTTTAAAAGAAAACAGCAACATAGTGATCCGCCAAATTCCTGAAAGGCTGAAAACAGGGCATGGAGGGGAAGAGGGTGCGAAGGCCAGAACCGCCACCCTTTGTGCTTCCAGTGCAGGCAGAGGGTGCTGCTTAACCCCATTCCCTCCCCTCTTCCTCACCGTTAAAAGAATTTACTCACCATGGCAATCTTGAAGCCCATCCCCTGCTCCCCCAGGAGGTTGGCCTTGGGGATCCGGCAGTCCTCGAAGATCAGGTTGGCGGTGGAGGAGGCTCGGATCCCTAGCTTGTCTTCTTTCTTTCCCAGGGACAGGCCAGGGGTTGGCATGGGGACGAGGAAGGCGCTGATGCCCTGCACGACAAGACAGAACAACGTTGGCAAGTTGCTCACGCAGAAGGAGGTCTGCTGGCATGACCGGTGATCCACCAGTGGCTTGACAAGTCTCTCCAGTGTGGTGTAGTGGTTAAGAGCAGTAGACTCATAATCTGGTGAACCGGGTTTGTGTCTCCGCTCCTCCACCTGCAGCTGCTGGGTGACCTTGGGCCAGTCACACTTCTCTGAAGTCTCTCAGCCTCACTCACCTCACAGAGTGTTTGTTGTGGGGGAGGAAGGGAAAGGAGAATGGTAGCCGCTTTGAGACTCCTTCGGGTAGTGATAAAGCGGGATATCAAATCCAAACTCTTCTTCTTCTCCTGCCTGCCTGAGCTGGGATCCCTGGCAGGCTATTTATGAATTGCATTCCACTTTTTCCTCCAAACAGCTCAAGGTAGCTCTGAATCCCCACAATGACCTTGTGAGATTATCAAGATTGAGAGGCAGTGACTGGTTTACCCAGTGAGCTTCATGGCCATGTGGGGATTTGGATCCTAGCCTCCCAGATCCTAGTCCAACCACTCTAACTACTATACCGCCTGGCTGGCTATAAACCAACCTTCCCCAACCTGATGCCCTACAAGTAAAAGGTAAAGGTAAAGGGACCCCTGACCATTAGGTCCAGTTGTGACCGACTCTGGGGTTGCAGCACTCATCTCGCTTTACTGGCCAAGGGAGCCGGCGTACAGCTTCCGGGTCATGTGGCCAGCATGACTAAGCCACTTCTGGCGAACCAGAGACAAGTATTGTGGACTAAAACTCCCATTGGCTTCAGCCAGCACGGGAGCCATACTCTTATGGGAGTCGTAAGTCCAATGCATCTAGACCAGCGGTTCTCAACCTGTGGGTCCCCAATGTTGTTGGACTACAACTCCCATCATCCCTGAGCTCTGGCCTTGCTAGCTAGGGGTGATGGGAGTTCGTAGTTCAACAACATCTGGGGACCCACAGGTTGAGCAAGGCTGATCTAGACCATCTATCCCATTTCTACTTCTGTTGGGCAGAGCAGGGAATAAAGGCTAGCAGCAGAGTCAAAAGTTTCTCGGTCCGTCTTACATCACTGGGGAAGGCTGCATTTAAAAACAAACCAATACACCCAATGGGACAAAGCCCCTTTGTGTGGGGACCTAGCTCAGCCCCAGCTTTCCTGGTTGTGAAGACTGACCCTAAGGGCTACACTCACCTTATGCTTCAGAGACTTGTCTGTGGTGGCAAGGACCACCGTTGCAGAGGCATCCCAGGCGTTTGTGATCCAGGCTTTGGTGCCGTTCAGGACCCACTCGTCCCCAACCAGCCGTGCAACCGTTGAAGCAGCTCCGGCATCGCTGCCGTTGCCTTAGCAAGAGAAAACCAAAAGGGTTTCTGACCCAAAGACCTGGCGCTGCTCCCTCTCCGAGAGGGGACTGCGAAAACTCAAGTCTTGACTCGGCAGAGGAGTCCCATCTCCTCGTGTAGCCCCATCCTCCAGCTGTATTTCAACTGCAGAATAAGCCTTTTTAACACACCCACCCCTCTTTGCCAGACTAGACTTTCTGGCTGCTGTTGGTAAGAATAAACAACCACCCTGAGCTAGAGACACCACCAGTTGTTTGTCTCTGTGTGTGTGTCCCTCCATCCTTGACCATTAGCTATGCTGGTTGAGAGTGATGGCAGTCACTAGTCCAACCGCCTCTGGGGACCCATGGCTGGCACGACTAAATGTCATAACACAAATTCCTTAATGCTCCACATGCCTAGGGAATGGATAACAACTTGCGGGGATCAGAATGAATGCAAAATATGCTCATTTGTGGTTCCCATATCACACTAAGCTTTATCTCCTCTAGGTTATTCCAGTTACAATAGTTTTGTACGATTCTCCTATTACACGCAGGTAAGTCAGTCCAGACCTGCCAATGGATTTATATTTTTGCAATGTTATTTAAATAAACTCTGTACACTTCCCACTCTCTATTAAATTTTTCATCGGTAACATCTCGGAACCTTGCTGATAACCTGGTTAGCTCTGCATATGATCGCATCTTATTTTGCCAGTCTGATTTGGATGAGATAGCGTCTCCTTTCCATACAAGCACTGACTATGGAACAAATGTTTGTTTATATGATCTTTTTTCTGTTGATTACATATGCTACATAGTTTTTTTTTAAACAATAAAGCATTATTATTATTATTCTTATTTTAAAAAGCAAAATATACTCATTTGTGTAATGTATGCAGGACACAGATTCTAGATTAAGAGCATCAGAGTAGCTCTGCAGATGGGTAAGGCCAATGGGGGCTCATCTAGTCCAGCATTCTGTTCTCACAGTGGCCAACCAGATGCCCAAATGGGAAACCCACATGCAGGGCATGAGGGCAGCAGAACTCTCCCCACTTGATTCCCAACAACTAGTATCGGAGGGATCCATTGCCTCTGACAGTGGAGGCAGAATATAGGCAGTAGCTGCTGATAGCCTCCTCCTCCATGAATTTGTCTCACCTTCTTTTGAATCCATCCAAGCTGGTGGCCATCACTCCCTCTTACAGGAAGCTGAGTATAATTTCTTTTTAAGGACCCCAAGGTATTACCTGTGTGCCTAACTTACCGGGTTCACTTAGGGCAAAGCACCCTATTTTCTCCCCACTGGTGAAAGGTGCAATCCACTTCTGTTTCTGCTCTTCAGACCCAAACTTCAAAATTGGTCCTAAATAGAGGGACTAAATGGGGAGGGGAGGTAAGACAAGTTATACCAGGGGTTGGCAACCTAAGGCCCATGGGCCACAAGCGGCCCATGGGGGTCGTTTAACTGGCACACGAGCCACCCCCGAATCAAGCCGCCTGCTCGCCGAGTCCCCATGCGCTGCACTAAACTGGCGCAGCGCAGCACGGGGACTCGCTTTCGTGGTGCCGGAAATCACGTCTGTGCAGACATTGGAAATCGCGGGTGATCCGACCCACGGAGGGATCTCCACTGGAGTGAACCAGCCCAGGCGAGGTAAACCTTGCCAACCCCTGAGTTATACTGATTTACACACCTCCTAAAAACTTTTTAGGTCCTCCTAAAAAGTGGCGACAGTCATAAGTGCAGGAACCAAAAAGTATCCTATGAGGGGGTTTAATAGCTCAAGTCCATATTATCATCTGCAAATAAATTTAGTAGAGCAAGCGGACAGGTTCTTCCTAACAGACTGCCACGTAAGTCTGTCCATTTCATTGAATACTTGGAACACTGATTACCCTGACACATGTCTGTTAGATGTGTTTATAGCTATCCCTTTCACAACATTCCTGTCAACAAATTGCTGAAACATTCCTATAAATATATGATCACTTTAACAGGGTAAGGTACCACTTTTGCATTAACTTCAAGCATCAGGCACTCCAACTGTGCCGGCTGGTCAGTGTAGGAACAACTGTTTAGAAATTTGTGCCTGAATTTTGATGGTTTTCCTCTTCCCTCCCTGTCCTTTTTGCCTTGTGTGCCATGTTTTTTTAGATTGTAAGCCCACCAGGTCAGAGATTGCCTTGTTTTGATTGTATCTTAGCCACACATGAGAAGCCACCTCATGAGAAGAGAAGACTCCCTGGAAAAGACCCTGATGTTGGGAAAGATTGAGGGCACAAGGAGAAGGGGACGACAGAGGATGAGATGGCTGGACAGTGTTCTCGAAGTTTGACCAAACTGCGGGAGGCAGTGGAAGATAGGAGTGCCTGAAATGCTCTGGTCCATGGGGTCACGAAGAGTCAGACACAACTAAACAACAACAAGCCACTAACTCTTAGGTACAATGAATGAATGCTAATCAAGGTTAACATCTGTGGGAATCTCTTACATTATTTACACTCATGATCACGCCAGTAGATGCACAGCCTCGGCTGATTTCCTCAACAGCGATGGAATAGGCCAAGTAATCAAGACCAGCTCCTCCATACTTCTCAGGTACGTCCATTGCAAAAAGTCCAAGGCTACCCATTTTATTGACCTGTAAGTGGAGAAGGAAATGATGATGTAAAGCTGATTAGGGGAGGCAGCACAGTGGCAGAAACAACCCAGCTGAAAGCCGAATTAAAGCAATTCCACACTGGATTACGCTTGCCCTTGTCAGTCATCCAGCAGCAGCCATAACTTCTTCCCTTCCTAGCAGAAGCATAGCAATTACTTAATTACAGAACAGCACATACTGCCAGGAGAAAGCGTACCACACGTCGTGCAATTCATTCTTTTATTTACATTAAACTGCTCTTTGAAAGAACATTTGTGCAAGGCAGCCTTACCAATAAAATCTAAGGAGTGTGAAGCCAGTGCAATACAAAACAAGGTAATTTGTGATCCGGCAGCTAGGATGGGCATGGCTGCTGTTTCTCAGGACAGAAAAACTGGTTATGAGAGAAAGCACAATTCAGTTTTGTGAATCTTGGCTTTCATTTTATTTTTTTTACTCATTTTATAAAATTTACAAACCACTTGGTTGCAGAAAAAATCTCAAAGTGGTTTACGAAAAAAAAGGTGTTTCAAGGTGTGTGTGGAGGGGGAGGGGTTTGTTTTTAAATAAATCAAGTTCCTAGCCCTCATGGTAGAGAAAACATGCTTGAAAGCATATGAGGAAGGTAGCATCTTAGAAGCCAGGAGGATAGCAGAATAAGCAGGCAAGAGGAATGGGTTCAGTGCAACAGAGTGCTCATGTGGTCAGGTCCTGCTTGTAGCATTTAGTTAGTCACTATGAAAACAGGCAGGATGCAGGACTAGACGAGCCCCTTTTGGCCTGATCCAACAGCCAGGCTTTTCTTATGTTCTTAGAATCAAAGAAGCAAATTTGGGCATAACAAGGTAAACAGCCTGCATTATACAGGTTGCAGAATTCAGCTTTTCTGGATGCAGAATTCTGGTTCTAATACAGTCAAACCTTGGATCCTGAATGCCTCCATTTTGAAACGTTTTGGCTCCTTTTTTTTTTAATGCTCCAGTTTTCAACGTTTTTCAGAAGCAAATGTCTGACACGGCTTCCGCTTGAGTGCAGTAAGCTCCTGCAACCAATCGGAAGCCATGTCTCTGTTTTCGAACATTTCGGAAGCCGAACAGACTTCCAGAATGGATTACATTCGACAACCAAGATTTGACTGTAATCAAGTGGATATGAGCCAAAGGATTAAGAGTTTGTTCCTGACTTGGGCATTGCCGAGACCAAGCTAAACATCCCGATGGTCAAGGAGACCAGGGCATTAGGTCTCAGTCTCAACATGGATGCTCTTCTCAGGGACAAACTTGCTGGATTGCGACAGGCCTTTAGGGTCATTCAGAATATCAGACAGGGGACCTGTGTTACCCGGAGATGAGTCACATACATACCTGCTCTGCAGGGAAGCGGTGCTCCTTGTCCAGCTGAGCAGCAATGGGGGCCAGCTCCTTTTCAGCGAAGTCCCGGCATGTCTGGCGAAGCATCTGGTGAGTTTCCGGCAATTCTACCGTCTGGTATACAGTGTGCAGCCTTCGCAGACATTGAAAAGTCCAAGCTGCAAATGGAAAAGCACGAAGAGCCCTTTCAGTCTGGCCCAGAAGACGTAGAGCTGGGCTGCTAAACAGGACACCCTGTTGGGGACGGGCCGTAGCTTGGTGGTAGAGCATCTGCTTTGCATGCAGAAGGTACAAGGTTCAATCGACAGCATCTTCAGGCTGGGCTGGAAGAGACGCCCTGCATGAAACCCTGGAGAGCCACTACCAGTCAGGATGAACAATACTGAGCTTGATAGACCAATGGCACAAGGCAGGGGTTAGCAAAGTTTTTGTGGCTTGGGCCAGTTCACAGTCCCGCAGATGCCGCAGTGGACTGGAGTGTGCACGCATGTGTGCATGCACGCATAGAAAAAAGCTACTTCCAGCGTGGATGAGGTGTGCACAGCTTCCCAGTGGCTGCAGGAGCTTCCTGCAGTCAATGGGAAGCCGGCCAGCATCACGGAAGGCGGTCCCCGCTCTGCTCCGGTTTAGTGCAGCGCACGGGAGCTGATCAAGCGGGCGGCAGGGGTCCATGGGCTGGTTAAACAACCCCCATGGGCCACTTGTGGCCCATGGGCCTTAGGTTGCCGACCCCTGGTATAAGGCAACTTCCTGTAATCCTACTTGGGAATGGCTGAAGCTCTACGAGCTTGGCATGCAGAAGGTCCCTTACAGCATTGCTAGGTAATATAATAATAATTCAGTGGTACCTCGGGTTACATACGCTTCAGGTTACATTCGCTTCAGGTTACACACTCCGCTAACCCAGGAATAGTGCTTCAGGTTAAGAACTTTGCTTCAGGATAAGAACAGAAATTGGGCTCCAGTGACGCAGCGGCAGCGGGAGGCCCCATTAGCTAAAGTAGTGCTTCAGGTTAAGAACAGTTTCAGGTTAAGAACGGACCTCCAGGACGAATTAAGTACTTAACATGAGGTACCACTGTAATTTTATTGTTTATACCCCACCTATCTGGCTGGGAATCTCCGAAAGCCTGGAGAACTGTTGCCAGTCAGTTTACACATTACTGAGCTCCATGTACCAATGCTCTGACTCTGTCTATGTTCTGGTCTCTGCAAAGGGGCAAAAAGAAAAAAAGAGATGTCTCTAGCCATGTTTAACAAAAGAGTCTGCAAGGTTTCTTGCGGCATTAGCTGCTGAGTGAGCAGAAGAATTAGTCAGGCTAGGCTAGGCTGAAGATCTGCCCCTGTCCCTTTCCACTGGGGAGGTCAGGGTTAAAGTCCTCAGTGCACAAAACAAAGGGGGTGACACAAGCTCCTAAAACTCAAGCACACAGAAGCTGCTTTGAACCTGCACCCCCAGCACCCCGCCTCAGGGTCTTTTCATTTTACAGCACCCAATGCAGAGGAGACAAGTAGTACTCCAACTTTACAGCAGGGGCAAAAGTTTATCTGCCTATAAAAGACACCCAGCTTGTAAAGAACAGAAGAGGAATTGCAGGGAGATGAATTGCAATCCGAGAGGGAGCAGCAAACCGACAGATGCCCACGGGCTCCTGGCCAACTGAGCGGAAAGGTGAAAGGAGCCATACCCCTCCCTCCGCAGCCCCCTTGCTAGAGGTGAGAAAGCAAGCAAGGCCTCAAGGCCTCCATTTTCCTGGCTGGCCTTTTGCACATTGAACAACACTTGCCACCCCCTTGCATGCAGAGGGTCCCAAATTAAATCCCTGGTAGGGAGGGCTGGGAGAGGCTCCCTGCCTGAAATCCTGGCTTCTGATAGTGTTGACAATACTGAGCTAGATGGACCAGTAAGGTGGCAGCTTCCTTGTTACTATTTAAACCAGGTCTTTATCCAGAACAATGAGGACTGGAATCTTACTGTATTTATAGAAGGGCTATAGCTTCTTTACTCAAACATGCATTTTGTTGTTGTTTAGTCGTTTAGTCGTGTCCGACTCTTCGTGACCCCATGGACCAGAGAACATGCATTTGGGGACTCCTAATTTATTTAAAACTAAATAAATGGACCTCCAGAACGAATTAAGTACTTAACCCGAGGTACCACCGTACAGAACTTATTTCGTTCTGGAGGTCTGTTCTTAACCTGAAACTGTTCTTAACCTGAGGTACCACTTTAGCTAATGGGGCCTCCCGCTGCCGCCGCAAGATTTCGGTTCTCACCTGAAGCAAAGTTCTTAACCCAAGGTACTATTTCTGGGTTAGCGGAGTCTGCAACCTGAAGTGTCTGTAACCTGAAGTGTCTGTAACCTGAAGTGTCTGTAACCCGAGGTATCACTGTATTTGTATGGTGCCAGTGTTGGGGATGCAAACCCCCATTTGGCTAAGGCTGTGACCTGGTAGTCCCACTCAGTTGAAGACTGGCTTTTAGGGGTGCTGGCTCCAAGCCATTTATGGCCACTCAGGTTTTAACGGCAGCATCTTGGGCTAAGTCTGGAAATGCACAAGTGGGGCTGGTGGTGCAACATTGGCGTTTGGACAAGCATTTGCTCAGCTACAGTTTGCACCAGGAAAGGTTTCCAAACAGTCTTCAAAGGCAGGCCCACGGAGAGCGCATTACAGTAATCTATATTTTTATACATATACAGAGAGTGAGCGGGCTTGCCAACTGAGAACCAAAGGGCCACTGAGCCCGGGTGCAGCTTCTGGATACTTGCAATCTGAGCATGAAGGTGGCTGTGACTGCAGCCGGTATTATTTTGAGATAGACTGCCCCGGTCCATGGAGGGTCCTCTGAGCTATCCCACAGTGGTATGCGAAGGGTCCCAGGGGTGTGTGGAAGAAGCCCCCAGAATGGGAGCCGCTCCTTAGATTCCCTCCCCCACCCCAACTGCTGCTGCCCCTCACGAAGTAAAGGAGTCTTCCCCAGTATTTTGCTCCCGCTCATCTAACCCCACCCCCCGCTTCCATCCCTCCTTGGTACGTGCCAGTCCCCCTCCGTAAAAGCCGTGCGGCTCCCGGCGTGTACCAAGGGGAGCGCTCAAAAGTTGCGGGGGGAGACAATTAAACTTGGTCGCCTCTGTTTACCTCCAATGCCGCCTCTGCGCCGCGCGAGGAGACCCGTCACCGCCGCCATGCCGAGCCCAGGAATAGACCGCCCTCTTTTGCTGCCCTTCCTGCCTGCCTCATTAAGCTCCGCCTCCTCATTAGCATTAATAAGCTCCCAGCCCCTCCCCAACTTTTCTTTTTTTTAAACCATTGGAAGATTTTTTATTTTTTTGGAAGGCTTTTTTTTAAAAAAACACTTTTCAGCACTTTGCACTGGGTCGGTTCATTTAATTTTTTTTGAAATGGAAAAAAATGCCTGAAGCTAAACCTCCCCCCCCACCTAGAAAAGGATGAGAAAGAAAGTGAAGGGTCTGGGCCTGTCATGCTGGTTTTAATCATGTTTAATAACCCATAAAGTAGATGCAAGTTTCTTTTTTTTTTTTTAACCTTTTCAAGTCTTTAAATTATTGATTATTCTTACGTTTCTTTTTCGTAAACCACTTTTGAGTTGTTTTTACTATCAAGCGGTGTATAACTTTTATGAAATAATGAGATGCGTTTTATTTGAGGTTATTTCAAATGTTGGACGCGGGTGGTGCTGTGGGTTAAACCACAGAGCCTAGGACTTGCCGATCAGAAGGTTGGCGGTTCGAATCCCCATGACAGGGTGAGCTCCTGTTGCTCAGTCCCTGCTCCTGCCAACCTAGCAGTTTGAAAGCACCTCAAAGTGCAAGTAGATAAATAGGTACTGCTCTGATGGGAAGGTAAACGGCGTTTCCATGCGCTGCTCTGGTTCGCCAGAAGCGGCTTAGTCATGCTGGCCACATGACCCAGAAGCTGTACGCCGGCTCCCTCGGCCAATAAAGCGAGATGAGCGCCGCAACCCCAGAGTCGGCCACGACTGGACTTAATGGTCAGTGGTCCCTTTACCTATTTCAAATGTTACATTTTGTGCAACCGCACATTTGAGGATTTTATTCTTGGAAAGTGCTAACAGGCGTTTATTAAGAATGTAGTTTTAAAATTTACTGCAAGGAAGCAAAATACTAACAAACCCAAGCACGTGTATGCAAGGTTCACCTGGTGCGAAAAGGTATGTATCGAACATGCCAGAGGAGCCTCTCTGGGGAGAGCATTCCACAGACGGGGGAATATGAATCTTGACATTCCAGAGCACATCATGAAGATCACACAATCCGTGATAAATCTTACTGACAGATGCAGGGGATAAACAAGTAATGGCTTCTCCTGTGGTGCAATGCGCCTGGCAACTAACCAGAAGGTTGGAGGTTTGAGCCCACCCAGGGCTCAAATGCAGGAGGTTTAACTAGAAGACCCTTCTAACTCTATGATTCTATTGCTACATGCTCTACTTGGTCACTTCCCAGAGCCAGCTGGCTGGTCTTGTGTCAGGAAGAGCCTCCTGGGCCAGATGGAGCTTCAACCAATGCAGTTTTTATGTCCTCTTAAAAGGTATTCCCATGAAATCATGCAAACTCATGTTGTTGGAGCAGCGACAAAGCCACGTTATATTTGGATGCTGGAACCAAGAGGGCCTCTGAAATGCTGCTCCTATTCTAGTCCAGAAACAGCCCCCACCATAACCTTAACCAGGCATTAAAGGACACTGATGAGCCCCTATCTCCTGCCCAGCCTCTTTTCAACAGCTAGCACCTATTCTAAGGTGATCTGGACCTTTTTATCACCCACTTGTATTTTCAGGGTTCTCAGATTTCCAGGTCCACAATACGCAAGACCTGCCTGGTCACCACCCACCCAGCTCCCAGCACTAAGGTCATGCAACAAATAAGACAACAGCAGCTGTGTGTTGATGGTTTTTTTGCTTTTTTGTTTTTAATTACTATTGCTTTCAACAAAGTAACATTTTATACAAACGAGTCAGCTAGTATACTGTAGGTTTAGGAGACACACAAGATGACAACAGCATGGCGACGGTTCAATGTGGTGATCGTAATGGTCACACAGACTTCTTGGGACACTCCTGTCATCCTCTATGGAAAAATACCTTGACAGAAAAATATAACGTCCGTGATCTCTTTTCTGGAATTCACAAGTTTAAAAGGAACAACCTGCCACTCTCCAAACGGTCACAGATGCACACAGACAGACCAAAAATGGGTATATTATTGTCAGGCAAGGACCACAATGGAATAGAAAACCCTATTTTAAAAACAAATCTTGCAGAGGAAATCTTTCCAATGGCCAATTCAGAGACAAACTGGAGAAAGATGCATTTTGTCACAGTCCTGCAATGTTCTTCTCCCTGCTGGTAAACTGATCGCATGATACCAGAAAAGTTTTCTTTTTCCAGTCATCCCAGGAACATCTCTGAAAAATCTGTGGGACTGAGAAAAAACTATCCCCTTGCCTGGGTCTGATGGCCTTATAAAACCCCCCATTAATTAAAAAAAAAAAATACACAGGAGGTCCAAACATGTTTGCTGGTGCTTCACCAAATGGGAAATGTAACAGAGCAGCCCTGTTATGACCAGGTCTCTCCATTAGTTAGGGTGGGGCAAGCAGACAATGCAATGCGAGGACTTCAGTGCCTGCACAGCCACAGAGTATGAGATGGAAGCAGCCGCTGTCAACACCATTGGAGGGCAACAGTGAACCTTACAGATTAATGCTTTTAAGGCAGATACTTTTCATGGCAAACCTGTCATCAGTATCAATCTGCATACAATACAGAAGTCAATGTATTTCCAGTTCCCTTCCTCATAGACACTTCTTGCTTTCAAGTGTCCTGTGTGGTTTATTCAACAGGGAAGGACTCAGTTTCATTAACAATTCTCCAGAGGGACGAGGACATGCAAAGAGGAAGACAAGGGCTTGAAATCAAGCCAGGGAGATGGCCTGCCAAACTTAGCAGAGGCCACGAGAAAGCCCCCGTCCCCCAGGTTATGGCTGGGGAGGAAGAACGAATCGTTGACACCTTCCAATGGCAAGTAACCGCTTGGGGGAGATGGCCCATCTATTCCAGTTATAAATTTAGGTGCCCCTGTCTTTGGATAAATGCTGTTCTTGTATCTAGCCCCCCACACCCTGCACTAACACTATGGTCAACATGGCAGAAGCAGACCCTTCCCCTCCTCTTCCATATGCAACCCACGGATGCAGTCTTAGTGCGACAGGAAGATGGCTCAGGGGGTGGGGGAGGGAGAGTCAGGCTTCCACACAGGAATGCAGCATGTGGTCCCAAGGGGCAGCAGCCAAATGAGTGACAGATAAAAGCGCCGGCTGGACAAGGGCAGGTTCAACTTCTATCTGGTGGGGCAATTCAAAGAGCCCCTCTCTCTCTCGGCACAAAGTGTTCCAGAGAGCTCAAATCCACACATTTGGGCACGTCCTCTGGGGCATCAGGATACCTGTCTCTCGCTGCCCCACACTTCCTTCCCCATTTCACATATTTGGTCCCGCAAGGCAGAAGCAGCAACAGGCAGAATTTAACAAGCAAGCCCCTCGCACCATTTCTGCTTTGTGATTCTTCTTGAGGAGATGGGAGCTTGCAAGGGACACATAGAGCATTAACACTCGGAAGGAATGGGGGGAGGCAGAGAGTTTCAGTTTTTGAGAAAGAAGAAGTGAGAAGGAGGAGAAGAGAAGAATCTGGAGCCCAGAGAAGGGGGCCAGCAGCTGGGAGTTTATTGCAAAGTACGGTACCTGCTCTTGGCTCAGATTGCCGCCCATCCTTCCCAACTGCTCCTGGGATAAATTCGTAAGAAAGCAAAGGCGGGACGTCCTCGGAAGGAGCCTGAGCAACAGTAAGAATGATGTTTAAAAGGCACCTGGTGTTTTTAATCACATTGACTCTGGAACCCCATATCACCACCACCTCCTCCTGTGGAATGAGGAAGTGTTTCTCTCAACTGTTCCTCTGGGAATGTGGCCTTCGACATGGGGAGAAAAGGCACCTTTCTGTGGAAAGCATCAAGCGGACTGCAGCAGAACTGACTACCATCATCAATCGGTAGAGACAACTGGGCCACACAGTGCAGGAGCTGGAACATCACAGGTTAGGAAGAAAACAAGAACAAAAAAACAGAGGGTTTTCTTTTCTTTTAACCCACAAACTTGGCTACACAGGGACAAAAAGCTCTGCCCTTTTCACCCTTATTACATCCCCAATATTTTGGGAGTGGTTAAGAACATCCTACCTTACAGCTAAAGAGTCCAAGCCATTTTCCTCTTGCGTTTCGCCTCCTACAAACGCTCTAATCTGTAACTATCCTCCTCCCCTCTCTAAAAGGGTTTGTTTCAGGGTAATGTGCGTGTGCCTCCACCCCCTCCAAAAAGGGCTAGTCTCAAGAGCCTGGAAGGCTTTCTCCCGTGCAGGCTGAATTAGCATCTGACACAGAACCGGCCCCTGACTGCAAGGCCTTTGAACACCAGCTTAACTTTGAAGCGAGAGAAAGGCCTGGGAGTGGAGTCCGACAGCAACAAAAATACTGCTTTGTAGTTGCCGACAGCCGCCTCAGGGCAAGATTCCTGCTTCCCTGGCTGATACACACCCTCCTCCCCAGGCCCTCATCCAGTACTCCTTCCTTGGATGTGCCTAACCAACAGGCATAGCGGCATCTCAGCAGCAAAAGCTGGCTGGTTTCCTACACATTTAAATGGAGCCAGTAAAAGCTCAGAGCTACAGATTTCAAGAGGGAAAAGTCCCTTATTTTCACAGCCACACTGATTCCGTTACATCTCATTGCACTGGGGAGCCTATGGAGCCCACTTCAATGGCGGCACAAACCAAGGCAGGCAATACAAGCTGGTTAACACCACCATTTCTTACACTAATACGTTTTGAGACACAAACAGAAGATTTCTCCTGGGAAAATCTGCCCTGCTGCTTGGACAGGCTCCACCAGGCAATTCCTGGCTCCCGGTAACCTTTGCCCACCTTAAAGGAAAAGAGCAAAACTGAGATGCAGAACGGAACCTAGGCTGAAGGCTCATCTCAGTCTCCCTCCCCCTAAGCTGGTTGGCAGAAAAGGCCTCAAAAGACCTCACAAAGACTCACAGTGGGACACAGGCCTTTTTTTTGCCAACCGGTACCCAACAGCGTTTAAGGAACATTCAAGACCACAGAACGAAGCCACAATCTGGAGCATCCCTTAAAAACAACAACACCTCTCCTCCTTTTTGTTTTGTTTTTCGGTTGGTTGTGAATGGTGGGCCCTCACAGTCAATCATACAGGCTGGGTCACCGATTTTGCCAAAGTGATTCACCAGCCCTGCCACACTCCTCCAAAGGGGGAAAACCTGCTAGCTACGTTTCATGGGCTACCTGGAAGAGGAAACAGCTTTGTGTCGGAGGACCCTTTGCCCACCGGAAAGGGGAAGAACATACAAGGAATACAGGCTAAGTGCGCCAAACTACAAGAACTGCTACATCAGTTTAACATTTAACAGACAGTCCAACCTGTAACCTGACCCAGGTGCCACTGGGTACCGAGCAGAGGACCAGAAAGGAACAAGGCTGGAAAGGGTTCGGGTTTGCCAGGGGAGCTCCTTTACTGTCACCAGTTGCCACCTCAGCCCCTTCAACATCGCATCTTGAGCCTCACAGAGCTTTCCGCAAAAGGCCTCGGAGTCCAGGGCAGCTTCCCTGCTCTCCTCCAATGTGACCAGGATGGCTGGCGGTAGTGCAAAGTCCAATGGAGGGGGGGAGGGGGATGCAGCGGCGGCGGCTACTGCCCTCCGTTGTAGGCATAGTCAGCCTTATTGTGCATAATCAGCTTGTTGTCCACAAAGTAGAAGCTGTCTGAGCGGGTCTCGTAGGGGTTCTCGACCATCAGACGGACTGCGTGGGGTGAAAGAGAGGGAGGGAGGGAGAGAAAGAGGAAGAGAGACAGAGATAGGTCAGTTAGCCTCAGCCATAGAACATAGCACGTAAGGAGATCTCTATATGTAACAACTCCCCTGTTGACCACTTACTAAAAAATTGAGACGTGCTACATGAGATCGCTTATTTTACGTGCAAGAGCAACTGAACTACATAAGTGCAGCCAGTGAATGGAAAGCAAATATTTATTTATTGAATTTATATCCTGCACCTACCTCTAAGCAGCCCAAGGTGGCAAACACATCAATAAGAATCCAATTAAAATTTCCAAAAAAAGAGTTTTAAATAGCTCAGTTGGAAGGTTGCAGGTTTGATCCTTGTATGGGGCAGCTGCATATTCCTGTATTGCAGGGGGTTGGACTAGATGTTCCTCAGAATCCCTTCCAACTCAACAATTCTAGGTTGCTATGACCTTCTAAAACATATTCTTAACACCCAGAGCTTGTAACGAACAGAGAAGTCAACCAATTCAGTGCTTCTCCGTAACCACATTCTTCCCCTGAATGAGGAATCTTTTGAAGAGAGTGAGCTGTGCTTACTCAAACTGAAATTAGCAGCAATACTCCCCACTTTTCTCTCTCTTTTTAGGCTGCGGTGGCCACAGTTCTAAAAGGCATGGTATTTGAAATATATCAAGTTCACACTTAAGATTTCTGTGTGAAGTTCTGTTTGGCCCTATCTTCTTCCTTGTGAAAAACAGCTTAAGCAGCTAGCAGGAAGAGGTTAGGTCAGGTTGAAGACTGTGCAAAGTTAGTGCAGAATACAGCGGTTGGGTTACTAACCACGAGTGACCACTGAACAGCTATTGCTGGTGCTACAAGAACTCCATCGGCTACCAACCAGCTTCTGAGTACAACTCAGTTTGAAAGGTTTAAAGCAATGCATGACGTTTGGTAGCTGATACTGAAGCAAAGTCTACTGTATCCTCTTCAACGTCATGCCCTCCAATTTTGGACTACAACTCCCATCAACCCCACTCTGCAGCCTGCAGTGGCTGGGGCAGATGGGATTTATAGTCCAAAATGACTTGGAGGAGACCAGGCTGGTCTTGAGCCAGCTCTGGGTCACACAATAGATACTTACTGAGGTCCTCTGAAAGTTGTGGGAACTCGTAGATGTGCTCACAAGTGTTCCTGCTGCTGGGGATGCAGAAGCCAAAATCAAAGTCAAAATTCTTGAGAAGGCGGTCTCTGAAGTAATGCCTCTCGATCATACGGAAATTCGACACAGGCTTGTCCCCTACTGTGAACTCCACGCTGCAGAGACAGGAGGGAAAGAGAAGAACAACCAGTTAGGTGGTCAAGATGGTCTCCTGACTAGAAGCCAAAACTTGGTTTCTGCAAGGACCCAGCCCTGGAGGCAACGCTGCCTGTGATGGGCACAGACAGAGCTGTAACTAACCTGCAGGAGCAAAACATGGGCTGCCCACAAGCACTTGTTCCTAAAGATAACAGCTTTCATTTCCTAAACAGAATAATAGAATCAAAAGTTCCTAGTGCCTATGATTATGAAGGTATGTTTGAAAAATGAGGCAGTGCTTAATGACATCTCAGCAACTCACAACTATTTGCAGCAAACAAGCCTAGGGCTCCTTGCTCCTATCCACAACTAGCCAAATAAATTATGCAAACTAATGAAGATGGCTGGGTTGTGACAAGGAAGTGAAATCAAGCATGTTGTGAATTTTTACAATTTGCACAATGACACTTCTAGTGTTGCAGATATATTGGGTTGTACCCAGCGCTGGTTCTCCTCCATGTAGACCCAATGAAGTTAATGAACCAGACTTAATGTAGGTCCTTTAATGGGCCTACCCTGAGTAGGACTTAGCTGGATACAACCCATTCCTTTTTTAAACTATTTTTTTATTGTGAATCACAGATTACACCGAGCCCCAGGCACAGCCACTTCTCCAATATACATTCTTTGTGAGCTGATGAACCTGCTTTATACAATCTCAGAATCATTTGATTGCAATCACAGGGTTAGCAGGGTAGCCCCCTTTCCCCCATCACTCCACAAGCTCCTACTCACGTTGCGCCAACTGTCCGGAGGCGCAGGAAGGCAGGCGTGAACTGATAGCGGACAAAGCGCCCTGCGCTGGTGTCCACCTCCCCGGCGTCGCCGTCATCATCCTCTTGCTCTGTAAGAAGCGACATTTAAGAAGCAAGTCACCCGTGAGATATCATGCACACCTTTTGCTGGCACTCCCTCAGCCACACCGTCAGGAAGGGGGCAGATTCTCCCATGAGGCCACCATGGCCTGCCACCCAAGCTCATATTTGAGCCTTCTTTGTGGCAGCACCTTGCTACTCCCAGAACTGCACCAAGCACTTTTGATGCAGAGCCCCCAACATCAGTTGAACAGTTTTAACTTACCCAGGTTGGTGACATTTTGCATGCTGAATCAATCACACTGTGGTGTCTTTGTTTGTTTTTACTGCTCTACGGTCACTACTGGTGTTAATGTTTTGTGCGTTATTGATTGTAACAGAAATTGTTTGCATGTTAGTATTCTTCATGTATGTTAAACCACTCTGAGGCCATGGGCATAAGATGGTCTATAAATGAAATTAATAATAATAACAATGATAGCGATAAGCCACTCTCTATCGGCTGGTGACGTGCTAAGCTGGTGACTTGAGTCATGTTACAGACAGATTTAGTTCAGCTGGGCTGAACTGCAGGGTGGGCAAAGCTGGTGGTGTTTAGAGACAGCAGAATCAGGGCCCTATTGTGCCATATACTGCATGCAAGAGAAAATGTAAAGAAGCCTTTCCCCAACCTGGTGCCTGCCAGATGCTTTGGACTACAACTCCCACCAGCTTGTCTATATTAGTGGTGAGCAATATTATCACGCAGAGTAGTTTATATAAAAGTTATTAAGTTGCCTTCCTAAGCCCTATAGAAAATTTGCAAACTTCTCCTTTAAAATATTTGTTGGGAACTTTAATGTCAGAAGGGGGGGAGGGAAGAAGAAAAAGAGGTGGAATTGCAGAAATCATTCATTTCTTTAGAAGAAACTATTTAGATTCTGAAATCCCAACAATTTCTAGATGGAGACCGGACCTTAGGCTTCATGTACACGCTCTCACTTTCTCTATTTTTTCTTCTTCAGGGCCCACTTACCTAAAGCTGAAGGTTTGGCAATTTCAAATAGCACCGTCCCTGTCTCCAGGTCCCTGATCTTGAACTTGGTGAAATCAATATTGTAAAAGTTGTCCTCTGGTCGGCAGAGATAGTCTAGGAGACAAAGGAAAGGAAACCTGAGAAGTCCCATGTGGGGGATTACCATTTGGGAAAGACAAGACAGGTAAAGGGATCTCGGGCTTCAGAGCTGGGAAGAGCCATCGCAGCCCAAAGCCTTGGAGGGCTACTGCCAATCTGATGGGTCCGTCCTGCTAGAAATAAAGCTTCATGCATACATAAACCCAAGGACCTCATTTTTATATACAGGCAGTCACCATTTTAGGTGAGTCCAATTGACGCGCGATCGCTGACACGCAGGTCCTTTTGGACCCGCAAGAAGGCAGAACAGGATCGGGGCACACTTAAATGTGCTCCATCGACGAGTGTGGGGGCCAGGAATGGAACACCTGCATGAAATGGTTGCCGCCTGTATATAAAAGAAAGGAGAGTAGATATTGCGGCAACACTGCAAATAAGCCCACAAATGTTACTAGCCTGCTCTCTGCCCACCCCCAAGTACTAGCTTCGTATAAAGCATGCACAAAAACACAGGCTTCTAGCCACTTGACAAGCTAGTACGGTGGTACCTCGGGTTATATACGCTTCAGGTTACAGACTCCGCAAACCCAGAAATAGTACCTCGGATTAAGAACTTTGCTTCAGGATGAGAACAGAAATCGTGATACGGCGGTGCGGCGGCAGCGGGAGGCCCCATTAGCTAAAGTGGTGCTTCGTTAAGAACAGTTTCAGGTTAAGAACGGACCTCCAGAATGAATTAAGTACTTAACCCGAGGTACCATTGTACTGCCTTTCCTTGCCCAGGTTTATTGAAGAAGGAAGGATAGAGCAACCCGCCAGTGTGCACAATAGTGAGTTAGACGGACCAATTGTCTGACCGAGGAGCTTCCAATGTCCCTTCTCCACCAGCCCTCTGTCTTATCATACTGGTTGTGGAGAAAAATGTTAGACACGGAGAGCCAGTGTGTGGTGTTGTGGTTAGGTAAAGGTAAAGATACCCCTGACCATCAGGTCCAGTCGTGACCGACTCTGGGGTTGCGTGCTCATCTCGCTCAAGAGGCCGGGAGCCGACACTTGTCCGCAGACAGCTTCCGGGTCACGTGGCCAGCGTGACTAAGCCGCTTCTGGCGGACCAGAGCAGCACACGGAAATGCCGTTACCTTCCCGCTCCCCACCGGAGAGCGGTCCCTATTTATCTACTCACACTGTGAGGTGCTTTCGAACTGCTAGGTTGACAGGAGCTGGGACCGAAAAATGGGAGCTCACCCCGTTGCGGGGATTCGAACCGCCGACCTTCCGATCAGCAAGTCCTAGGCGCCGTGGTTTAACCCACAGCGCCACCCGCGGTCCCTGGTGTTGTGGTTAGGGTGTTGGAATAGGATCTGGGAGACCGGGGTTCAAATCCCCACTCAGCCGTGAAGCTCACCTTTGGCCAATAACTCACTAACGTACGTCTAGGATTGAAGGAAAGGTGGGGTATAAATGCAATCAGTCAATCAATCAATCAATCAATCAATCAATCAAAGAAAGGACTCAGAGGAGGAATGGGCTGGTCATTGGCCTGCAGGGGATTCCTGGTATGGAGTGGAACCCATTGAATGCATTACATCAGTACAAGGATTTCTGTTTACACCACAAATTCCCTCTCCATCTCCCTATGCTCTCACCATATCTACTCTGAAGGAACAGATTTAGGGGGTGTGCTGGGGGGGGGAGAGGAGAGAAGTAGGGAAGTTCTGATGCACAAGTGGAAATTCTTGCACTGACAGAACACATTGATTAGCGTTATACTGGAACACCCTATGGTTATTACATGAGTTGTTAAATACAAGCCTGGGCAACCCTGTATTTCCACGATTGTAGGCAGACTGCAGAGAGAAAGTCATTCTAAGCCAGAAAAGACTGACGGCAGAAAGAAAAGAAGTTATTCAGAATTATGACTGCAGTGATGACTTTCAGGTGTGCTCACAGTTCTGCAAGTAGAAAAGCATAGGGAAGCTATTACCATCTTGTTAATTGAAAGTACTGTATTAAGTAAGAGGGAGTAAAGAGACTATTCAAAGGGGGGGGGAATGGAAATGCTCTTCAGAGTACCTGATATACTAATATGCGGCAGGGTGGTGCTAGGGTGCCTTGGGGCTCCCTGATTTTTGCGTCTTTGGTGGAGTTACTCTGACAGAAAAAGGGACTGGCTAGTTGGTAAGTAACTAGAGAGGTTGTGCACATGAAGTGGGGGGCAGCAGCAACACAGAAAGCTGATGCTGGTGTACTCAGGGTTTCCCAGTTTCAGGGGCACCCAGGAGTGAGAAGTTATGCATATCAATTCTTTAAATGAATGAATGAGTCTTTATTTGCGTCAGCCTTACAGCTGGGGCTAGACAAAGCCCTGAGCAGTTAAATATACATATCCTGAGTTTCTCTTAGTTGCAAATAGGGGGATAGATTTTTTTGAGTGAAACAAGAAAGCAGGGTGCATGCTCTGTCTCCCACAATTTTCCTGCGCTCAGGGACAGGAAGGAAATGGAAACCTAACAGACACTTGGGGGCCCTAGTTTATGGGTCTAGCCGGTGGGGCCATTAAAGGGAGGTTTCTTCGGAGCAAAATGCTAGCCGGCGTGTAAAGGGAGAATGTGCTCCGCCGCTCCCAATTTCCTGCGCCCTGATTGGAAAAAGAACATGACTACAGTGGTACCTCGGGTTAAGTACTTAATTCGTTCCGGAGGTCCGTTCTTAACCTGAAACTCTTCTTAACCTGAAGCACCACTTTAGCTAATGGGCCTCCTGCTGCTGCCGGAGAACGATTTCTGTTCTTATCCTGAAGCAAAGTTCTTAACCTGAAGCACTATTTTCGGGTTAGCGGAGTCTATAACCTGAAGCGTATGTAACCTGAGGTATCACTGTATTCAGAGCAAAAGCATAATCGATGTTGGGGTGCTCAGAAGAGTCCATAGAAGGGGCAACCTTCAGAGGCAAGAGAAGATTTTGGGGGGAGCGTGAGGACCACCCCTTCCAATTCCCCTGGCCTACGGAGAGGAGGGGCAGGGTAGATACATGGGTGCCCACCTAAGTGAATCCACGAACTGGGGCGGGGCGGGGCGGGGGCTCTGGGGAGTCGATACCGGGGCGCAGAGCGGGCTTGGCACAATGTCGGGGTTCCTCCTTCCTGCTCCTCCTCGCCCCCCTCCGGGGGCGCCCCTGCTACTCACTCTCAGTGACGCGGCTGAGCCCCAGGACGTGCTCGGGCCGGACCGCGTCCAGCGCCAGCAGCTCCGCCTCGGTGCGGGGCAACACGGCGGCCCTCAGAGGAGCCACGACCGCGGGCGACGCGTCTCCGGAGCCTCTCCGGCCTCGCAAGCGGCTCAGCGCCCCGCCGGCCCCCGACGCCACCCTGGGCTTCGAGCCGCTCATCGCCCCGTCGGGCCCGCCGCCGCCGCCGCTGCCAAGATGGCTGCCACCTCCGCCGCCGCCTCCTTTCGTAGCTATGGGAGCGAGGGGGCGGGGCCAGGAAGACGCCGTTGACGGAGGTGGAGGAGGGCGGAGCCAAAGGAGGCACGTTGGTGGGAGGTAGGGATGGTGAGGGGGGCGAAGAACGCCGCGCGCACGCGCACTCCGGAAGGAAGCTCCTCGGACCTCGGAGGGGCTGTTGCGGTTTTGGAAGGGAGTCGCGGCGCGAAGCGGTTTGGGGCACATCTGGACAGGGCAGGCAGGCAAATCTCCGTAAGACGGATTTTAGGCAGCGAAACCGAAACGTTGCAGGAATATCCTCCTCCGCAGCGGAATTCTTCATAGGGAAAGATAGCCGCGCGTAGAGGACAGTCCTCTGTTCTGTAAGGCTGTCGGGTCCCAGTTTGACTTATTATATTTTTCTCTGCGCTGGAACTCGCCTAGCCAGGTGGGCGGAGTATATATAAGACAACTATTATTATTATTATTACCAGTTTTTTTTCTTTTGCTATGGGAAGACGGATTAGGTGTCTACCCCACTAGGATGAGATCTATTTCATTGTTTGTGAGTCATTGTTTCTACGTTTGCGTCCACACATGCAAATCATCACGTGCAAGCTTCATGCACATTTTTGTGTCCTTTTCCGCCCGGCAAGGCAACGCGGCACAGCTCAGACAAGGCCAGAGTGGCTTGGAGGGCTGCAAACTCTGGCCAGGCAGGCTGTTTCTGGGCCACCACCAAGATCCCACCGACAGCCATCTACGGCTGCACATAGCAGCAGGGCAGCAGCAGATTTCTCCATGTGGTATAATGGCTGAAGTAACAAAACTCTGCATGCTATGATACCAGCACTGGCTTTCAGTAACTGCTGACTGGGCACTCCCCTCTCACCAGGACATGGTAGCCAGGGGTGTTTTGGGTTGTTGTTGTTTTTTTAAAAAAATAAATGTTTCACCTTCCATCTTTTGCTTTTTCTCTTCTTAAAAAATGAAGCTAGAAATACAATTATGGTGCTGGTGAAGCCCACTTTAAATCAAGCTCTATTATGTGACTATTCCACTCTAGTGCATAACAAAATAAATATTTCCGAAGAGGGGATGATGAATCACAAATTGATCATACCCAGGGCCTTGGCACAAGAGAGAGAATTGGACAAGGCCCAGCCACTGGGCCAATTCCAAGATTTAAGGGACAGATAGGAATGGACTTCTCTGCTTTTCCTGTGCTTGGGGGGTGCTGTCTAATTATTTCCCAATCTAAGGTGACACAACAGAATTCAGCCAGCTGCGGCTTTATTATCACAAACCCTCTACAAAATACATTTCCCCTTTTTAAAAATTGGACCCACTATTTACTAAATGTATGCTTGCACCCATTCACAGAACGGGATTTGATGTGGAGGAATAGGACTCCCAACTCACACATGAGCCACTCAGGATCAGGAAAGTTTAAATGCACAAGCCACTAGAATAGAGAGAAATGAGATGCCACCACCCATAATGATGAGCAACAGGGCAGTTTTCAGCAGAGGCAGGAGCAGAGTTGCTCGGATGCTGTAATAATTCTGAGTTGTGGTGATGCAGTTTTAAAAATTAAGTCTCTTTGCCAGCCTGCAATAGCTGCTGCAGTGCGGTTTAAGCCTCTGGCTCCATACAGCTGAGAGCTATGAACATTTTCTCTGACATAAATATGTCCCTCATTTATTTATTTGTTCGTAAGAAAAACACCAGTTCCTTTGAGTGACAATATAATTTTGTTTTTATTTATTTTTAAACACACTGCTGGTTAAAACTGCCAGCCAGTAGATTTCTGAACATTTTCCCTCAAACCAGACATCCTGGGAGAAAGAAAAGTAAACCCAAGAAAATTTTATTTGTTAAAAAAAAACCCAACCAGCTAAATGTATCAGGGGTGAAAATGGGGAGAAGAGAAATAAAGCAAGAATAATTCACTCATACCTGTTCCACTTCCCCAGGAATTTTTTTGGGGGGTAGTCCTTTTGCAAAGCCAGTACAATCACACACACACACACACCTGTGCTTTTTACCCTTTGCCCAAAGTTATTCAAAAACAAAACATACACCAATAAGAAAAGCTGCAGATGATTAGACATAGAAAGCAAGAGATGGTTAAAGACAACCCTCCTTCAAAATCAGGAATTAACTTTGAAGTTACAGAACTACCAGTACAGAAACTGATTCCATAAATCTTAGGCTTGTAACCTTCAAGCTTACATCTGGCTTGTCCTAAGAGCCCAGGGGATCAGCTGCCCGAAAGCACATCAATGCCTCATAAGTAAGCAGAGGCACAGATCCAAGCTTCATGTGTGTTGTGGGAGAGATTAATAGGATCCCAGCATGGTAAAGCAAGATGGGCCTCAATCATCTGAAAACTGCAGGAGTTCAAAGTTCCCACCTGCTTTAACAGTGATAAAGAGTATAATCTTGCTGAACAACTGATGGACAGGACAGGCGTCTAACTTTGACCCTACCTGCTTAGGAAGTAAAGTGGGGAGGGAGGAAAATGGCCTTTCCTCTGGAGTAACAGAAAGCACTCCCTAAAGGCACCCCAAAGATCACCCCATGTAAATGTGAAAGGCACAGGAGCATTCCAGGATGTGTTTAATAAAGAAGGACAAAAATAGTCCCTGTCAGAGGCCACTAACCTACTCCTGGATCTTCACTGCACTCATGACACAAGTTATTCGTTTTTTCAGACACAAGTTTTTTCCAGTGAAAGAAGGCATGCATAGCCTTTTAAAGCCTCCCCAGCTGGCCCTACAGACTATTAGTCTTCTTTCCTGCTTTTCTCCCTTCCCATCACTCAGTCCTTCAGACACCAGGTTTCCCTGGGCAGTCAGGAAGCTTTGTGGGGGAGCGGGTGATGAACCTCAAGGACTGGGGCAACTTGCCCCAGGAGTTCTGGAAAGAGGCTGCGGTTAAGGATGCCTTAAGAATTCCCGGTCTGAGATTTTCTGTGTTTCTAGACCCATACAAAGCAGTCAGCCTCTAAGGGAACAGGCTGCAGGCAGACCGTTTCTGTAAAACCTTTCCTTAATTGCAGACAACACTGACACACCCACGATTTCCTCCTCAAGAGAGAGATCTTTTGCGAGATAGTCAAGGTACCAGAACATAAAAGCATCCATGGGAGGGTGGAAAGCACTTCAGTTTGTTAGAATAAAGCATCTGCCCAAGGCGGGGGGAAGAAGGGACAGTAATTAAGGGGGGGGGGAGCATTTGATCAACACTGGCCCTTTCCAAACGGACAAGGCATACGCAACACCCCATAAAATAATCTTACCTCTTCAAAACCATTTCTCTAATGTTTAACTATAAGTATCTCCCCAGCTCTGGCAGAGATCCTTTCTACAACAGCTTACCCAACCTGGTGCCCTCCAGATTTTCAGACTAAAACTCCCATCGGCTTCAAGCTAGCACAGCTGTGCTCATGGGGAATATAGCCCCAAATATCTGAAGGGCACCAGGTTGGTGAAGACTGCTCTATGCTAATGCCAGCAGTTGCGATCATGATGAAAATGTTTTGGTGCTGCTGCTGCAATGGTCATGAGTTCCAGTGGCCTTTAAACACACTCTCCTTCTTCCTTAAGCTAAGATCAGGAAGTGCCAGACCCCAAGACAATAGTCTATTGACTAAAACTTCCTCTTGTTCCCGATTGGGTTTGGGGGAGAGAACATTTGCAAGTTCAGACAGTATTTTGACCCTGCAAGCTTATGTTGAACAGTCATTACTGAAGAAAGAAGCAATGTTTTAATCTGCATCCAACGCTATCCTTGGAAAAGCTTAGGCTCAGAGGCTCACAGTTGGTTTTACTCTTGTGGATGTCTTGGAGACCAAGAACAGATGCATATCATACATTTAAAGGACCTCCAATGCATATTTAAAGCACATGACTTTAAAGGCGCTGGGACTTGTAGCTCTGTGAGAGGGGGAAACTAGTTCTCAGGACCCTTTAGAGGAAGTCATGTGCTTCAAATGTACAGGTGTGGATCTGCCCTAACACTTTTGCGACTGGTTTCTTTCCCAAGTCCTGACCCTCGTTTTCTCTTCAGCGTATATAAAGCCAGGCTGCCTGATCCAACAGCTTCATCTCATTTTCTGGATGCTTTGATTCATGGTGCACTTAAAGAGGATTCTGTTTCAATCCAATCATATGACTGCACCGTGATCTCAGGATGATATGGGAACAACATGCTCCCAACATGCTGAAAGAGATGGTGCCTATAAGGAGGAGTCTGAAACTGCCTCACAAAACAGCAAACTCTCATAGCTGTGTCCCAGCACAGGTAAGGGCATTTGCGCCAACCTGCTCTACCTGCCAGGAGGGCATGTATTAGTGCTAAGACAATGCAAGGTGCTGGGGAGGAAGTCTTGCCTACTGTCACAGCATGGAGTGCTAGCAAATCCCAGTGCCTTGTAGAACTGGGCATTAACATCAAATCACCTGGGAGGCAGAAGGCTGGCCCCATGCTTCTCTTCTACCATTTTGCTCTAACCCAGTACCTGCAATACAAGAATCCAACATAGGGGTAGAACAATTCTGAAAGCCCAACCATTGACAGGCACTGAATATAAATATGCATGCTCTGAACTGATGCCAAGTCCCGGCTGTAGATCGGGATAGTCTCGATCAATGACTGTTCAGATCAGCCTTTCCCAAAGTGATGCCTTCTAGGTGTTCTGAACTGTAACTCCCATCAGTCCCAACCAGATTGCCCAATAGTTAGGGATTATATTATGGTAACTTTTGCTAACTGGTGCCCATCAGATGTTTTGGAGCACAAGTTCCCATTGGGGACTGATGCAAGATGCATTTCAACGTGTCTGAAGTGCACCAGGTTGGCGAAGGCTGGTCCAGAGGGTTCTACTGAGAAGACATTTGGAACTGCTGAGGAATTAAGCTTCCATTCTACAGTTCAGGTTTAGATGTGCTTTGTGGCATCTGCCAGTTTGCCTTTTCTGAAGCACAACTAAACTTGAACAGTAAGAATGGAAGCTCTCCCTAGCTCACCAGCATTTCCTGACAATGCATGGAGTAAGATGCACAGAGGCCGAACTTCCCCTGGGTTTTTGCATTTGTAAATGAGGAATGTCTGGTTCACAGGAGACTGCTTTCCCACCCATCCCACACACATTTGTCTGTTTGAAAAAGAGGAAACAGAAGTTCCTTAGAACAGAAGCTTCATTACAAGCAGAACCTGTTGTCATTTCACTACCTGAAAAATAAAGAAGGCACAAAAAAGATGGAGAGACATAAGATTCAACTTTGGCATTCCTTCGGTTTCCACCTGCAACGTCCTCCAAAATAAAAATAAAATAAAATAGCGCAACTCACTGCTACCTCTTAGATGCCAAACATTAGGAAAGGAAGAAAGCGCCCAAGTTGTCTTATTGCAACTTAATTCAAAAAGAGCAAGCTTATCAGAGGAGCTCTTTCTCAGATCTCCCGAAGCAAGGGCAGCATTCGGCAAACCCAAACTTTTCATTGCACAGCCACTGGAGCCGAGGGTGTCTTTGTTGGGAAAGTGACCAGATCATTTTTCATATCCCAAGCATGGGACTCTCAAGACAATCTTAGCCCTCTCACTGAATCTTTTTCTAGTGGGAGAGCTTTTGAATCAGCCAGTACTCTATCGCCTTTGAGAACCTTCAAGAATATAGGGGAGAGAAACAAAATCACATCATTTCCTCGCTGCGTGCAAGTTCTCTTGTAGCAAGGACCGATTTCTGACCTCACCACCAAATCCTGCTCAACCACACTGCATACATTTCAAGTCCTGCCTTACATCAAATGGCATCTTTCCCTCTTAATGAAACAGATGGGAACACAGACACATTCAGGGAGGCGGTTAGTACCCATCAGTGTCCTCAAGGCAAGAAGGTCCAGGGCTGGAGAGAAAAGGGGATGAAAGTGGGTTTGTAAGTTCCTACTGGGTAGTGGGAACTTGGCCCTAAACTGTTGCCCTCCAAATGTTCTGGACTCCCACTTCCATCAGCCTCAGCCAGTACAGTCGTAGGATGCTGGGTCTGATGGGAGTGGGGCTCCAAAACATCTGGGGGGAGGGCAATAAGTTGGGGAAGGCCAACGCTATCAATGAGTTACCTGGCAGGCAGAGGACTTGCTGCATGGTCCTCTTCTCCTGTGGCACCATTTTGCTTGAACCCTGTACTAGCTGCAGTTTTTCTTAAACTCTGGCCTTGTTCTGGGAGAGGTTAAACCTGCACTTCACCCTGCTTTGACCCTCAGAGGACATAAGATGCCCTGCCTAGGATGGAATCCTGCAATTCTAAAGGAATCAGGCTGCCTTCATGACATGCTAGTAGTTCTGTTTATCTGTCAGCCCCAAATGGGCCCAGAAATAAGCAGCTGTCAAAAAGGAAGTTAAATATGCAGGATCATAACGCACGAATGGTATGAAGACAAAAGCAGCCACCCACACTCAAGGCCATGTACCTGAGCTCACATCCCATCTTCCTGCTGTGAAGAGATTAAGCCAGCCTGACCTAACTGTGGCTGAGTTCAAATCAAACCCTTTGGGAAAGAGCTGGGATTGAAAAGACACAGCACTGCTTCCCTGCTCCATAAAGCAAGCTCTAGTGCTGGGAGAAGGGGCAGATGGAAGGAGTAAACAGCAGGATGGCAGTGCAATGGGACACCCGGCTTCCAAGACCAGGGATTATTCCACATCCCTGCCAGTATCTGCAGTTATGTGTTTAGATGAGGCTCAACAACCACGGAGAACAAAAACTGGGCAGACGGGTGGTGGTGAAAGAGGAGAAGCAGCATTCACTGGGGCCAAAGACGCAGCAGGAGGCTGAATCTGGACAGGCTCTCCTTTAAGCCAAGCAGCTAATGATTGGGTGGAGGAAAAGAAGTATCTGGTTGAGTTTAATGCATTTATTGGCAATGTGAAACAAAGGCCCCTTTCAGATACAATTTCCCCATCGAGACTGTACCTGGGAGGAAATCAGCAGAGGACCTCAAGGGGCGCATATGCCCCAACTGTTAACACAGGACAACTTATAGTAACAAACTGCAAACTTCTGCACTCTGAAGGGGTGAAGGAGGCTGCTCAGGGCTCAAGGCTCCCAAAACTAGGCCAGTCTTGCCAAGGACTGCAGGACAGAGGACACAAAAAAGCTGCCAGCCACATACTAAGACATCCTCAAGTGACTGTTTAAGGAAATGGCAGGAAGTTTATTGTGTGTGTGTTTGGAGCAGAGGGAAATAAGGGTACAGGGAAGGAGCACAATGAAGAGGCGACAGTCTGGATCAGCCACAATGGTTGGTCTAGGCAAGACCACTTCGGCTGGTGACATGAGGAGAAAGATTGCCTGCAAAAAATGGGTGCAAGGGGGGCTCCAGCCTTGCCAGTTGCCAAGTGCCAACTAATGCCCAGTTCACAGTTATGCAAGAATCTTCACTGTGCAGAAAGACAAGACAAAAAGCGAAATCAGCTTCTTTAAGCCAACAACTGGAGATGCGCCCTCTGTTTAGTTTCCCCATGAAAGGCCTTTCTCTATGGTGTTTTGTCCCTGAACTGGACTGCCAATTCTCACTCTCTTGTCATAGCAATGGAAAACCAGAAAGCCACAAGAACCCAATGTACAGATTTTAAATAATTCTCCCTGTTTTCACCGGGAAGCGGGAATCAGACAGGCCCTGCGATGTAGGTGTCACTGAAAACTGATCACAATCCAGGTCAATATGACAGCTCTCTCCTATACCACAAAAGGTTAAGGTGGGCATCTCTCTTGGTCATATTCTGAAACCCCCTCCCCAAAACGAGGAAAGGAGAAGATACCTACTTGGCTCATCCTTTCACAGTGCATCGCAAATATTCTGGCTGCACAGGATTTGCCACTATACAACCTGCAGTTCTCGGGATGGTACTCCTTTCTTTAAGGGCTATTTCAGACTGTTAATGTTAATCTCCCAGAATTGGGGGGGGGGGGAGAGAAACAACCAGAAACTGGTGGCCAGCAAACCAGTGAAAGTGAGATACACCTGATAATTCAAAAACAAAACACTGGCACTTGGTTTTTCAAGTCCATTTAAAAACACAAATACACAAACATAACACAACTGAAGCATTTCAAGGAGGTCCAGGGGCATGGAGACAAGTTGTGACAGAGGTCTCCCTGCGCTGGTGCTCCTAAAAACAAATGAAAAAATGCCTTCTTCAGCTCAAAAGGTGGTAGGTCTCCTGGAACAAGGGAGATTAAAAGGCCACCAAGGAAATCAAAAAGATCCTAAATCTTTGCCAGAACTCCAATCTTTACATACCAAGTTCTCATCAGGGACATGCAGAATGGAAAGGGGTCCTGAGTGTCAAAACAGGTGTGTGTGTACGCGTGTGTGCACGCACGTGCATTAGAATAGAGGGACATTTAAAGCAACAATTGATGGGGCATTAGAGGAAATCCCCCAAGGACAAGCAAATGGGAAGTGGGAACCATTCAGGGACAAACAAAGGGTTCTGTTTCTTTTCTCGAAACTGCCCTCTGGAGGCTTAAGCCTTTCCAGAGTGGCCGGTCAGAAGCTGCAGTGACCATGGAAAAAACATTTCTCCCAGGCAGGGCAGCTGAACAAGACCAACCTGTTCATCCTGCTCCAGTCACCAAAAGCCTTTCTACCCAAACAGCAAGGGGGAGCCTCTCTCTCTTTCAGAAAAGAAAAGAAGTACCATGGGTTGAGTTACAAACATTTCAGCAGGAGTCAAAAAGCCAGCCTATTTTCCCCACCCCCGCAAGCAGTCCTAGCACAAACGTGGATTATTCCAGCCAAGGCTGTGTGATGGCAAAGTCTGCTTCTTCATGCCAACATTTGGAGACGTGCCCCTCCCTGTTCGTTCTCCCTGCTGCTCGCCCTTGCCCCTCCATCCTGCTGTTCGCTGGGAAGATAGTTCATCTGCATCTTAGAGCCAGAACTACCCAGGCTTTGCTTTCAAGATTCTCTGGACCAGAAAGGTGGCGGCTCATGGTGCAGCTGGGTGGCTCAAGGAGGCGGCAGTTGCTGCGAGGGTGGGTAGGTGAAGGCTGCCTTCCTCAAAGAGGATGATGCAAACTTGCCCTTTATTGTACCTGCTGCTCCTTAACAAACCTTTTAAAATTTTCCTTAAATTATGAGAAACCGAAACAGCCTCCGCGCTTGGTCCAACTCCTCCCCTCTGGCCTGCCACTGGCCTTGCAGTCTCGTCCTTCACAACCTGCACAGGCAGAAGAGGGTAGGAATGAAGACACCAAAGGCCACTAATATAGGGAACATGAGGCTGCTGTTGTCCGAGGCATAGGGGTTTGGTGTGCGGGGGCCTGACTGGACCCGGTTCTTATTGGTCTGCTTTTTAGTGCTGGAGCCTTCTTCATACTCCTCTTCGTCTTCCTCCTCTTCTTTCTTCTCCAGGCCGGGGTGGGGCTGTAGCTTTGGGACATCTGTGGGAGGGAAGAGAAGGAGAAATGCCAGGGTCTGTGATGTACGCAGAACAAAGCCAACTGGAGTGTCCTAGAAAAACCTTCTCCGACTTCAGGAAAACCACTCTGTTTCCCAAAATTATTCCAAATTTGGCAAAAACTGAAGTTTTGCCATCCAAACTGGTTAACACTGAACCATATCATTTAATCTTTTCTCTTTTTTGAAGTTTAATACTTTTTTAAACATTAAAAGAACACATAATTAGCAAGAGAGACTTTTGAGACTCTTCATATAGCGAGCTTATTGGGGATTAATTACTACCCGACACTGACTTTGCATGTAAATCCTGCAAATTAATTAGCGTTCTTTTAATTTTTTCCATTTAAAAACATTTGGTCTTCAGTATATTGCTTGCTTAAAAAAAAAAAGTCTTTGAAACAGGAAAAATAAAACCACAAGACAATAAAATAATAATCATAATAATTAGAGAAAGATTAAAGAAGAATGAGTGGTGTAAAATATATTCCACAGTAGAATTCAAGGTTCATATTTGTACCAAACATACCAAATATTCATGAATGCTGCCAAATAAATTCACATTTAGTAAGAATGTTGCCACACATCATTTATTCTAAGCAGAGAGATCTCTGTTTGTTGGTGCAACATTTGTCTAATGTGGGTGTCTGTACAGAGATGCACAGATGGAAATTGGTCCAAATCAGAGAATGTCCTGCAAGATCCACAAGGATGCAGAAGAGCCATGCTGGACCACATCAAAACGCCTACCAGATGCCGGACTAATTTCTCCACAATAGCCATCCAGATACCTCTTGGAAAGCCCAACAGCAAAAGCTCTCTCCCACTGTTGCTCCCCAGACACAGATACTCAGAATACAGTGGTACCTCGCAAGATGAATGCCTCGCAAGACGAAAAACGCGCAAGACGAAAGAGTTTTCCGTTTTTTGAGTCATTCTGCAAAACGAATTTCCCCATGGGCTTGCTTCGCAAGACGAAACGTCTTGCGAGTTCTTGCGAGTTTGTTTCCTTTTTCTTAAAGCCGCTAAGCCGTTAACAGCCGCTAATAGCCGTGCTTCGCAAGACGAAAAAACCGCAAGACGAAGAGACTCGCGGAACGGATTAATTTCGTCTTGCGAGGCACCACTGTACTGAGAACCTCTACCAGGGGCAAGTTGAAGCTTTCCTTTGTTCCTATGAGGGTGTCATAGAATGGGGTCTAAGGGAGGAATAGGGTCTTACTTGAGCAAACTTTTTGACTGCAGTAACAGAAAAGGCAACTGGTGACCAGGAGGAGGTTAAAATTGGAGGGGTTATAAGAAATAAACTTACCGTCCACTGTTCCCCGGAGGACGTATAGTGCACAGACTTTTGGATTATCATAGTACCCCTGTAAAGAAAGAAGGAAGCAGAGATGAGCTTCATTCTCTGTCAGCTACTCCAAAATTGTCTACAATGCTGATTCATATAAACCATACCAGTTTTAGAAATTCTGAATATTGAGTGGTATATAAATACTTGAAATGAATGAATGACTAAATAAGATAAAAAAACAGTTTGAAGTCATCAGTTCCTTTAAAAATTAGACCTTTATTTACAACAAAAACAAAGTTAAGTTTAAAGTATTTGAAATCTATGGGTCTGAATGGCAAAAAAGGGAGGGGGAATCCAAGTTTGAATATTAGGGGAACATTCAAATTTGAGGAAGGCAAGGGTTCCCAAATTCAGTAACACTTCCAATAAACCACTGATTTAAAGTACGGTGGTACCTCGGTTTTTGAACAGCACAGTTCCCGACCAACTTGGAACTTGAATGCTGCAAACCTGGAATTCAGTGTTCTGGTTTGCAAACTTTTCTTCAGAAGCTGAATGTGCTCCTGAGCTTCCGTTTTCACTGTTGCACTGCTAATTTGCGTCCCCCCATTGTAATCAAAGCCTTTTCCCTCCCATTTTCACGGTTGGGCTGCTAATTTGTGTCCCCCCTCCCCCCCGTAATCAAAACCTTCCATTTCCAATTGCAGTGTTCTGAGGTGGTATTTGGAGCTTATATTTGGTGTTTTAGTTTTTGCTAATCTTTTTTGCGTTTTTGTGGCTTTTTTGTTTTTGTGACTGTGGTTTGTTCTTCGTTTTATGATTGATTGATTGATTGATTGATTGTGACTGCTGAAATGGATAAAAGCCCCCCATCCAAACAATGACTATCATCAGTGCTGGTAAGAAAAAGTAATAATTTTTATCATGTACATTGATTATTGTTTTCATTTTATTGATCAATGATCTTGTTAGATAGTAAAATTCATGTTAAATTGCTGTTTTAGGGATTGTTTTTAAACGTCTGCATTACTTTCTATGGAAAAGCGCACCTTGGTTTTGGAATGCTTTGGTTTTGGAACAGACTTCCGAAACGGATTAAGTTTGAGAACCAAGGTACTACTGTAATAAAAAAGCACTGATCTATATCAAGTTTTCAACTTACTCATTCAAAGATTTAACAGACAAATTCATGTGCAAATTCATGTGATTACTAGATACACATAAAATGTTTCTATTTGCAGCTATGCAGAGCCAAAAACCTCTGGGCATGCAATCCATGTGCCTTCTGTAATATACAGAAGCTTTGGTCAACATGGGTTTACAGGGGGTGGGGGAGACAAGACATCCAAGGAAAGGGATGTGGAGGGGGAAAATAGAGGATGGAGACCAGCTGGACAATGTCAGAACAAAGTGATGAGATGCAGGCAGGCATTTATAGCCAGGCTGATCTCTCCTTGCTGATGGGTACTGAAAGGGGTGCTGTGGTTCCTGATGGTGCCAGAGGCAAGAACATGTTTCTCTTCATTTTTGCAATCCAAATATTACAGGCAGTGTTTCTTTTTGGCAGGGGTGAATGCTGCTTCCCTGGCTAGTGGAATGGAGCCAGAATGGTTGAATTGTTTCCCCCTTGTGATGCTCTATCTAGGAGCCAGATGTGTGTGTGTGTGTGTGTGTGTGTGTGTGTGTGTACACAAAGAACTTTCCAGTAGTCCTAGGCCCCTGTACTGCCTAACAGCTGCAGTCATGGGTTGCTTCTCTTGGCTTCCGCAGCCTCAGGGCAACTATTCGGTTCTCTATGTACATGTAAGGCTCTGAAGAGCGAGCCATGAAGGCTCAGTGCTCAGAAGCTCCTAGACACACAAACTGGCAGTTACTGAGCAGGACAGTCCATTTCCACAACATGGAAGTAAATAGAGTAGCCATTTCATCTGATATCTGCCGTGGCCCAAAATAATTCAGCAAAGCGGAAAGTGGAATATCCAAGAGCAAAACCTGTACACATCTCTGTACCTCTTGCTTGTTTAGTTGTATTTTAAAACACATATTGAAAGCCACCTTGAGAACTCTGGTTAGTAGATGAGCACAAATACTCCAAGCAAACATATGAAGATTTACTTCCATGTCATGCTTGTATTCCATGTAGATATAATTGTAAACCAAGTTATGTAAGGACACTTAATGTCAACACATTTTATTAAGACATTTTACTTTTTTGTTTTTGTTTTCTTTTTAATCCATCTGGGAAAGGGGTGAAATTCCTTAAATCTCTGTTAATCTGGCCCTGGAAGACTATTTTGGATAGTCCAAATGTTGTGGAAATTTGCTTACTCACTGACATCATGCCATTGTCAATAGGATTTCTGATCTTTTAAAAGAGGGATATTTTTCTCTCAGACATAGGAAGGGAAGTATGTCAAGGGAAAGATTGCCCACACAGCTTGGGGGTGCAGTCCTATTGCAGCCCTTGCTTCAAATCCTGCTTGGGGGTTCAACATAGGCATAGACATAGGGGGTTTAATATAAGTTGGCCATTGTGAGAATAGGTCACTGGACTACATGGGCCCTTGGCCTGATTGAGCAGGCTCTTCTTATGTTCAGGACCTTTGCCAGCAGAGACTGCGTCAGATCTGACCTCCCTACAAACATTTCTCCATGTTCAGCACTTGACCTTTCTCAAAAGGCATGAATAGTAGCCCTTTACCTGAATAAAGGGAGGCTGGATCAAGAACGTGACGAAACCCATCATCACTGCGAATCAAACCTGCTCTTGCCTAAGCCTCCTCCTGGGGATAGTTGGGCCAGGGAATGAGTGAACCTTCCTAATCCATACCTTGTGTGTGTGTGTGTGTGTGTGTGTGTGTGTGAGAGAGAGAGAGAGAGAGAGAGAGAGAGAGAGAGAGAAGCCACTTGTGAGCAATGGCCTTTTCTTACCTTGACAAACTCAATGTTGAGTTTCCCTGTGAAAGTTGAGACCTCTCCCTGGACGCTCAGCTTCCCTTTCTTGATGCCAATTGGAATAATCTCATCATGCGCTGTGCTGTGTCCGACTCGGTCGAAAATGTCCAAGTCCTTCACCACCACATGGCCATTCAAGCGCACATCAAAAACCTTTGGAAAGAAATATGGCAAAGGAATGAGGCCTCTTGCAGAGTAGAAGTCAGATTAGGAGCAAAGATGGGAGGACAACAAGCTATGGATTGGAGGAACGCCGATGCAGGAAAATCATCCTGACCTTGCTACTGTGCAGGGCCAGGAGAGAGGCCTAACTGACATCTTTCAAGGTGTAGCAGCATACAAATTTTCAAGTTCACACAAACTTCTTAGGGAGGATGGAAGCAGGGGTCTCTCCCATGTCTTTCCATACTGCCCAGTGAAAAATCCTGTGTAACAAAAAAAGCCTACATGTGATGCTACCAACAGTCATTGAACTAAGAGAGATGCTGCCTGGCTGATTTTGTATCTCAGCTGGAGGAGTGTGTTTGTGCCAAGACCTGGAACTCATCTATTGGCAGAAAAGCAATTTCCTTAGCTGGTCAAATAAAGAAGACAAGCAACTTTTGGTTTTGCTTGTAAAATAGGTCTCTATTTTATGGGAAAGGGCCTGAACTCAGTGGTAGGGCCTCTAGCAGCCAGGGGGGTTGGGTGAGAGGGCTGCCCCAGGGTCATGGGGTCGTGGGTTCAAGTGCCAAAAAGATTCCTGCATTGCAGGGGTTGGACTAGATGATCCTCGTAGTCCCTTCCAACTCTACAATTCTATAACCACAACCTGTCAATACAACCGACTGGAAAGAGCAGCAGCAAAAACATATTTCAGAGCTGGAAGGACACACGGTTGTCTTTTGATCTCTAGTGCAATGGATGACACTGTATAGGAAGGGTCTTGGCTCAGTGGTAGAGCATCTGCTTTGAATGTAGAAAGTTCCTGGTTCAATCTATGGTGCCTCCAGGGCGGTCTGGGAGAGACCCCTGTCTGAAGCTCAGGAGAGCTGTGGCCAGTCAGGGTACATGCTAATGAACTAAATGGCCTGGGTCATAAGAAAGTAACTTCCTATATTCCCATGACAAAGGTCAGTTAACCAACTGGTAACAGTGACTTCCACCAGCAGAAATGGTGCTGATAGGTCCTGGTCCACCCCCCACCCCCCGCCGAGAGAGCATCTGTGTGTGTGACTCCAGGATACTTCATTTTGGGGCGGGGGGGGGGGGACATGAGTTCTGTTGTATGCTGGAAGAGTGAAGGCAAGCACTCCCATGTCGTGAAAGGTGTGCATGCTTGAGTCCCACATACTCATATGGCAAAAGCAGCAGGCCTCTGGCACTTGACCCAACCACTGATGGGTGTTACTCAAGGGAGTCCTTCCAGAACAAAGTACTTTTTTGTTTTACCTTCTGCTGGGACTGTGCAAAATAGACTTCAGCAAACTTCAGCACAAGAACGTAGTCTCCTTCCTCCTTGATGGGGACCTCATAGCCAAAGGTTTCCTCATTGTAGCGTTCCGTCTGGTAGAGAATCTGATCCTCTGGGTTGGATCGCAAGATCGGCAGTTTCATGCCATAATCGGAGGCTGAATTCCAAAAATAAATGGCAACACTCTCAAAATACTTGCTGGAGTTTACCTCTGTTCCGTAATCCCTCCCCCCTTCCCACACTTCTGGCTACACACCTGTCCCTACCAAGAGCTCCTCACCCAAACTCAGCATTTTAAGGGCAAAGTCCTAGATCAGGGGGCAGATCAGGTGCCTGGAACACTCTGTGAGAAAGACTACAGCAGGGGTGGGGAACCTCAGGCCCATTGGCTAAATGTGGCCCTGTGTCTCTCTGCCTGGCCCTCAGGGCTCTCTCCATGTCCTGCTCTGCACCTTCAGGGTTTTTACCTGGGTGGAATGTATCCTTGTGCTCTAACAATGCCTCTTGCTTACCTGGATATGGAGGTGTAAGTGTGCAGAAACCATTGACTTTTGCATGGATGGAATACAGCCTGCCCACTTTTGCCTCTGGTTCTGCCAGCCACTAGCATACCCCCCCCCCCCCGACGCCAAGTTTGCTCACAAAGAAATTTGGCCCTGGACCATGAAATTTGAAAGAAATCCCCACCCCTGAACTATGACACACATGCACATACATGCCTTAATTTCTCATTTCTAGATGTCACTATCTGAAATGATAGCGATGAACACAAATGAACTCCTTGGGTGGAAGTTCTGACAAACTCTCACATGAAAGAGACACTTGATGCTGCGATCCACAAGTGACAAACACATAGGTGAACCGGTCCTCTTTGGGGACCACTTGCTGAGCTTTCAGTTGGGTCTGAGTCAGCAATGATAATCCCCTCTACATGTTCCTCTTTCAAGAAGATGATCTTTGAGCAGCTTTTGTGTTCCAAGCAGACCTCTGACACAAGACCACAGAGTCACTTCACAGTTTTGCAGGGCACTGGAGTCTTGCTCTACATGCCAGAAGCAACTAGTCTCTCTCACTGAATTTGGGGCAGGGTGTGGGGAGAACCACCAGGAAGTAAAAGCTTTTATGCACAGTGTTACAGGGCCCAAGGTAGCTGTACTTTAGGGGAATTCCATGTATCTTGAAGAAATGATATTGGACTACCCACGTTTTCATGATCAGGTCCCTGGGCCTACGTTACCACGACCAAGCAGAAGCATGAAGTTTGTTAAGCTTCCACAGAAGTCTTTGCAATTTTCATAATCAAATTTAAGGGCTACCAACACACTACCCCTAGAAATTACTGCTGGGCACCTGCCAGATCAGCTGCTCCAATCTGCTTTCCTTTCTATCAGCCTTTTCTGATGGCTGGACCACTCGGCTATATGGGAGTGACTGAACAATCCAAAGACTCCCGAGTGCAGAAACACCACAAACAACTCCTTCAGGGGAGGCTGCCCACTGCACCTCTGCATGAGCCAAGTAACACAGAGCTTGGGCTCTTCTGAGGGTTATGAAAGTGTGTATTGTTTCCTTCTAAAAGTAATGCTTTCCAGGGTGGGGGGGATGCCTCAACTATCAGCAGTTTGAGAAAGGCCTGCTGCGAACTGCAGTGTGCATACAAGCCGAGCAGCTAGAACAGCTGTGGACTCATAGAGAAATACTTCTAGAAGCAGCCAAACATAGCTCTTCCAAAGAAAGCCTGTATGAATGATAGAAAATTAAAACCATCACTACCTCCTTGCTTTTGTTAGCAATGAGTAGCATAGTTTGGGGAGGGGGAAATGGTCAAACTGCAAACGGTGGGGATGAGTGGATCACCCACAAGAAAAACAGGCCAATTCCTCTCTCGACTTTTCTTTCAGAATAAAGACTGGTTAATGTATGAGTTCTGTGTTTCTGCTGGACTACAGATTTGAGTACAGAGTCAAACCCCTCTCTGCAGCTGTAAATACAGGAGGAAACTGCCGCCAGCCCCACCTTTGATGGAGCTTTGAAGGAGGTTTACATGCGGTCTAGCCCTATGCCACTTCAAACACCTGCCTGAGCACAGTGACACCAATGGTCCTGAGTTCACTGACAGTCTGTTCCTTCCTTCCCACCCACCTCATAGCACTTTGGAAACAGATGTGTTGTTGGTTTGGCTATTTTAGCTACCAGGAAGGCTGTGCTCAGAACCAGTGTGACAAGGTGTGTCTGAACCCACATGGATGTCCTGCACTTATGTGTACTCCTGCAAACACTACCAAGAGGTTTAGGACCTTTTGCTATAGTTACAATGTGTGTTTGTTATGAATATGTGTTTGCCCATAACCTTATACCCACAAGAAATTATCTGGCAAAAGGAATAGTTTGGCTTATTGCATGAAATGAACGTTGCAGAATATACAGATGCTGCTTCGGACAGCAAAGCTACAATATAAGCAAGCAGCAAATTTTATAGTACATACACACCCTGATCTAAAGAGCAAAAGAAGAGTCCCTATCAAAAGCCTAGAGAGAGAGTGTGCGACATTTGTCACAGACCCACGCTACAAGTTAAGCAAGGGAGTACTTTACTCCAATGAACATAAAGAGTGCCCGGTGGATCAGATCAAAGGTCTACCGAGTTCATCACTCTGTTCCCACATTGGACAAACACATGCCTCCTCTGGAAAGCTCATAATCAGGATATGAGTGCAAGAGCACTCTACCTACTTGTGACTTCCAGCAGCACTGGAGGCAGAGCATAGGCATTGTGGCCAGTACACATGGATAGCCTTTGTCGTCCATGACTTTGTCTAAAACCCTTTTAAAGCCATCCAGGTTGGTGGCCATCACTACATCTAGTGAGAGCAAATCCCAGAGTTTAACTATGCACCGTGTGAAGAAGTACTTTCTTTTCTCTGTCCTGAGGCTTTCAACATTCAGCTTCAGTGAATGGCTCTGAGTTCTAGTATTATGAGAGTGGGAGGCAAAGTTATCCTTGTCCACTTTCTCCATACCATGCAAAACTTTTTAATGCCCTCACTATATTTTCTTTCTAAAGTTAATGCTCCAACCAATGTAACCTTCCTCATGTAGGAGGGGTTGTTCCAGCCTTGATCATTTTGTTTTCTCTTTTCTGAACCTATTCCAGTCCTACAATAACTTTTGAGGTGCAGCAATCAGAATTGCTCTTGCTTGTAAAAGAAATTGTTTTTAGTCCTCATTTCTTGCCGAACAGAGCAATTTGAAAGGGAGGAGGCAGGTTATACTCGCAGAAAAAATAAATCTTTAGCAACACTTCAGTGCAGTGACACTTAACTATTCAAGGTAAGCAATATTTGTACTAACTTGGCATGGCTCTGAGTGAGAAATCTGGATTTTTACTTGGTACAATGGTGCTAAGAATATTTGAAACAAGAAGACAAGAAGCTTCTGCAACATGATTACAAGAAAGGGATATACTTCAAAACCACATCCTAGAACTTTAAATTTGGAAAGTGATTCTAAAGGTAATCTAGTCCAACCCCAATACCCAGTACAGGAATCTTACAACACCTCAGAGAACCATCCCACCTCTGCTTACAGAGAGCCTGCCATCTGCCAAGGCAGCCTATTCCATTGTCAAACAGCTCTAATCATTAGCAAGTGTCTCCTAACATTTCATCCAAATGTGCTTCCTTGAAATTTCCACCCTCTGCTAAGCAAGATATTGAGCAAGACTAGAATGCATGGTAGACTAGAAACATGACTGCAGCTTACAACCTGTATTGCACAATCATGGAGTCTGTTAAGACGTTTTCCCCAGCATGCCTCCCCACCCCAACAAGACGGAAGTGTACAACTGTGCACTGCAGTTTTGTGGCAAAGTCCTTTATACACTTGAAATCTCCTTGCAGAAGTTTGCCTCTCAGCCTAGATTTGGCTGGCTACCTGACAATTAGCAGGCACAGACGCCAGCAGCCAGCGTAAGCCAAGAGTTTGGATTAGATGTAAGAAGAAAAACTGCAGCCAAGCGAGAGAGAAAGCAACACACACATCCACCTTGGTGAAATTAGCCTGGAAGGATAGTGAACTTCTGGGTAAATGACAGCGAACACAAGGGGCTCTCTTTAAGAAGCTGAGCAATGACTTAACATATGCTGTCCTCCAACACCTGAAAGGATCAGCACAGCACAGAAGGAAGGAGAAGGTTAACAGTGAATATGTAAATAAAAAGGAAAAAAATGGTTGGGGCCGTCTTGTAACACAAGCAGCTATGAGTCTGATAATAAGCAGCTTCCGGCTTACAGTAACCACAAACGGTTCCCAAGAAAAGCACCTGGAACCTTCGTGGAACTCATTTTAGCAAGAGTCAGCAGTCACCCCACCCATCTCTACAGAAACCCACCCCACCCTGTGTCGTGCACCAACCAAAATGGGAACAGACCACATGCTCATTAAGTGTCCAGTTCCCCATGTTTGCTGTTCCCTGTTCATAAGCTAGCTATGCGGATTATAAGGGAAAGGGGGACAGCCCCTGAAGGGACAAAGTCCAGCCGCAAGAGAGGCCAATGCAGTGTGCATTTAGAAAGGGATCTGGGTGAAAAGAGGACACAAATGGAGTGGTTGTGTGGAGCAAAAGAGACAGAAGCTGGCTCAGTCCTGGGTGAAGGAAGAGCAGAACGAAGGGAAGCAGGCCATTGCAGCAAACAGGAGGGACAGTGGGAGCAACCTTTCAAGGTCACAGGAGATGGGTTACCCTAAGCATTTTATAGCTCAAGAGAGTGGCAAGGTGGAATAATATTGTGCTGCTTTGAATTTCTACTTCTAAAGAAAGGAGAGTTGACATGATGATAGCATAGGAAATATGGTGGGGTTCTGTGAATGCAAATATGGGTGCAGGAGAAGTGGAATGTGGGACAAAAAGACAACTTGCCCAGGAGACAAGGCAGGAGCCCAGAGAACAAAAAAAAACCACCCCTGAGGACAGGGATTCTCTCTTTTTTAAACTGATTTGTAAGATGCTCTGAGGGCTTTTTAAAGCTGAAAATTGGGGGATAGGGGGTAAGAATGCTTTCAACAAGTAAAAAAATAAAAGCAGACAATACTTTATTCTAGCATAAAGAAAACTAGAATTTATATGGCAAATAATATGATTTTTTTTGCAATTGACTCTAGTGTTTTAGAGTGTTCTAAGCATTTTGCCTACATTCTCTCAGAACCATCAGAACAACGTGCAAGGTAGGCCATTGTCCCAAGTTTGCACCTCAGTGGGTGGGGTAAGAGACTGGCTGTGCATCAGAGAATAGCTTGCCTAAAGCAACCCAGGGAGTTCACTGCTGGGGTAATATTTGAACTGGGGACTTTCCAGGCTACCATCTCAGCTGCTACACCAGCTTCAAACTATTATTAACCACTATTGCATCATACAGTAACTATAGGGTCACATAACCCACTTTAGCCAGAGTTTTGTTGTTAAGAGCAGGGTAGTTTCTTTCTCAGTTAGTGCTTCCAATTCATGTTAGCAGGCATGAACATTCCACATGGCATCTTACTGCTACTAATGACATTAATCCAGCTCAGTCAATCTGGAGCTAAACAAGAGCATGGCTTTATAATTCCAGTGGAAAGGACTCTTAGGAAAGGAAGCAGCAGCAGACTTGTTGGAGTAATAATATAAAGAATTGCCCTGCTGAACCAGACCAAAGCCCCCTTAGTTCAGCATTCTATCTCCAAAGGAGCCACTCTAGTTGCATCACATTCACAGATGTGCTGCCTCTGCATATAGTTCCACGTAGTTAACATGGCAAGCAGCAATTGATAAGATTTATCTTAATCCATGAAGTTGCCTACACAAAACCACCTAGTGGCTGGCTATGCCATTCCTTCTAACAACTGCAAGTTCCATTATAGCAGCCTTCCTCAACCTAGTCGTTTTAAGCTAAAACTTCCACCAGCCTCAGCATCATACACGGATGTGCTGATTGGGACTACAATGCCCATCAACCCCAAAGAACTGGAGGGCACCAAATTGTCAAAGTCCACATTATGTGCTATATGAAGAAGTGCTCCTTCTAATCCTGAACCTATCTGCCAATAGCCTCCATTGACAACTCTGAATTCTAGCACCAAACAAGAAAAACAACTATATGCACCATGCATAACTTTATAAGCCTCTACCCTCATCTGTCTTCAACTGGTGGGTTGTGACCCTACCTGGTCACAGCCTGATCCAAGGTGAGTCACAGCAGCAGCACTTCCACCATAGAAATATACTGTAGAAAATTAAGAAATGGGCCCCCAAACAAGTGTCCAGATTAAAGGTGGGTGCAGAGTCAAAAAAAAGGTTGATGACCACCTAGCACCCAGTGTCTGCAACAAATGCTCTAAGAGCTGGTATGCAGGACGCCATAGTTGTTCTCACCGCTACCACATCAGGCATCCTACCCCTGCGCATGAAAGCTGCATTTTATTATTACACCCAACAAACCACCCCATTTCTCCCTGCTGCTTTTAACAGAAGCCACCTAAGGCAACCTTTTTCCAGGAAAGGGGTGGGTTGGTCCAGATGTTTTGGGCTACAACTCCCCATTTTGGGGCAGTAGTGCAAAACCTATGGGAGAATCCCTTTCCCTGCTATAGTCAGTTGGCTGCCTTAGGTCCTTTTTAAAAAAATTAAAATGTGGGTGCAGAGACTATGATTGCTAAGGACAATCCTTCACGTGTAGGTGTATTATTCCTGGTGGTGGTGATGAGAGATATTGAATTACGCGTCCCCCCTCCCCCCTCAACTCCTGTGGCAGTGAGTTCCACAGGCTGACCAGGCCCGTCTGGACGTTCTCACCTCGTCCCACCCGTCCTTCGAGGGGGTCCTTCCGGAAGTGGATGCCGTGGACGTCCACATGGGCCTCCCCGCCCGCGTTGACCGCCCAGATCACGTTCTCCGTCAGGCCGGCGCCTTCCACGGCGTGAGGCGGCTGCGGCGGGAGCAGCAAGAGCATCAGCGCCGGCAGGAGGACGGAAGCGGCCAGGAGCGGCGGCCCGCTTGAACCCGCCGCCGCCACCGGAACCGCCGCCACCACCGCCATCTCTGGCTCCTTCCTGGCTCCTCAGCTCGGCAACGGTCCCGCCCCGCCGCGGCCTCAGCCGCCGCCGCGGTGCCTCCTGCTCATGCCGCCCGCGCCTCACACCGACACCGCCGCTTCGGCTTCAGCCGCAAGGGGGCACCCTAACCCGCTAGCCTTTGCCGGCTGCCCGCGACGCCGGCCAATCGCCGTGCGGCGTGGAGGGCTCTCTTCTTCCCGTTGGCTGCCGGAGCCCCGCTATTTGCATATCGGCAGAGCGCGCGCGGGGAGGGAGAAAGAAGAAGAAGCAAGTTGCGTTGAGAGCGCACTAGCCGTGGGAAGTGGAGACAGGCTGGCGGACTGGCAACTCTGGAGGAGCAGGACGGGGCGGTTGGGGTGTACCATTTGCTCAATGACGCGAGGGGGGGGGGAAGAGAGAAAGCGTTTCAACCGTCACAGCGCGCGCGCTTCCCGCCTTCCATTCTCAGAGTGGGTGGCGCGTTCCATGTGGTGTGGTCCATTTTATTAACGCGGTGGAAACAATTCGCTTTCTACTTCGGAATGCCTAAACTGTTTGTATAAAATTTGTATAAAAATAAACCATGATAGGAGAGGAGGGGAAACGGCATTGCCTTTTTCCTGGCATCCCATTTGGCTTGAACGGTCCCTTAGGAATTCACCCCCCTTCCTCTGAACGTGTTGGTAAGCCCCGAGATCGACCAATCACAAAGCTACAGCGCGGCCGATGAGCGCAGGTAATGATGGGGATTTAGCGCCAGAAGGAAGCCGGAAGCCGGCGCTTGGGCCCTCGGAGGCCTAGTTGTAGTCATGGCAACCGACTCCACTCCTCCACCAGCCAGTTTTTATAGTCCTGTAGACTCTTGAGTGTTAAGACTCTTGACTGACATGAGTTTGACCAAACTGCGGGAGGCAGTGGAAGACAGGAGTGCCTGGCGTGCTCTGGTCCATGGGGTCACGAAGAGTCGGACACGACTAAACGACCGAACAACAACAGATGACAGGACTCTTGGAACTGATCTCAGAAAGTTGAGAGAAAAATTGTTAGAACGATTATACCTTAGAACTATTTTTAAAAGTATACAGACTAAACCAGCTGCAGCCCCTAACTCAATATACCTAGGAATAAACCCGATTGAATTCAATGGGACTTCTGAGCAATGGTGGTTAGAAGTTCATAGGAGGAAGTTTCATTGAACTCAGTGGGGCTTCCATGCACAAAATTGCACTTTTAGGACAGGAGTAAAGCCCGTTGAGACTTCATGTGGGATCAGTGCTCAAAATAGCCAAATATGTAAAGGTAAAGGACCCCTGGACTGTTAAGTCCAGTCAAAGGTGACTGGGATGTGGTGCTCATCTTACTTGCAGGCCGAGAGTGCCGGCATTTGTCCACAGCTTTCTTGGTCATGTGGCCAACAGGACTAAACCGCTTCTGCTGCAATGGGACACCGTGACGGAAACCAGAGCGCACGGAAAAGCTGTTTAACTTCCCATCGCAACGGTACCCATTTATCTACTTGCACTGGTGTGCTTTTGAATTGCTAGGCTGGCAAGAGCTGGGACAGACCAATGGGAGCTAACCCCGTTGTGGGAATTCAAATCACTGACCTTCTGATCGGCAAGCCCAAGAGGCTCAGTGGTTTAGACCACAGCACCACCCACATCCCCTAGCCAAATAATGCAGATATGGGATTAGGCCTCCAGAAAGACAGGAATTGAGCTGGTAGCTTGTCTGAAGGCTATTTGCATGTCCCAAGGGAGGTATTTTACAGCATAGGTGTTGCCATGGAAAAGGCCTTGCCGCTAACCTTTTATAACAGCAGGTCCAGAACAGCTTCAGGAGAACAAGAAAGGCCCTGCTGAATGAGGCCAAAGCAGGAAGGGGATGGGGGGCTAGTCCAGCACCCTGTTCTTATAGTGGCCAACCAGATTCACCAAAGAGAAGCCCACAAGCAGCCCCTGAATTATTATGTACCTCTTGCATGCCAAAATGGTTTCTATGCAGTTTAGAAGTATAAAATCCATTATTAATAAATATAGTCCATACATAATTAAAATGCATAATAAAATGCAACTGCCCTCTCCCCACTTGCAATTCCAAGCAATTTGTATGCAGCAGTGTACTCAGAGGAGAACTTTCGGGAATGGAGCAGCTGAACAGGAATGGCTGGTCACTGGCAACACGCAGGAATGTCACAATAGTTTGGTAAATGGGCTGTGCATACTGGAAAGCGGAGCTGCAGGGCAGGTGGAAGTAAATTGAGGAGATGCTGGGAGTGCAAAAATGCCAAGATTCTGCCTCAGCTGTGTGTGCATGCCCTAGGCTAGGGACAAGCACTGCCAGTATTTTTGGAGGAGGAGGAGGTACTGTAACAGCTTGTAGGCTAGGTGGAACTCCGAATTCCAAGCTGAGAAGAGCCTGCCTGTTCTGATCTCCATTAACCACATGGATCCATTGATGCAATTCAAAGGGAGTGACATGAAGTAGCAAGTAGCAAGACATCAAGAATGGAATTGCAAGAATCATATCCGAGGCAACTCTAGATCTTTCAGTGTGCAGGTAATGCTGCTTAGTAGGACTCAGTGGGGCGGAGAGACACCAATTTCAGTTTGCCCCAGAGCAATAACAACAGAAATCTGAGGGCGGACACAATGATAGCCTTACACATGCACATTTTCACAACTAGCCTGAGTTCCGTGATATTACATACCTGTGATTTGCCTTGAATCCCACCATATTAGATAATTATCAGCCAATTTCCAACATCCCATTTTGGGGCTAGGCACGGTGGCATCTCAGCTTTAGGGGTTTCTCAAGGAGACATTATCCAGATTCACTTCAATCTGATTTCAGGCTTTGTTATGAGATGAGACTGCTTTTGTCACCTTGGTGAATGACTTATGCTGGGAATTGGATAGAGGGTGTCCCTGTTGGTTCTGCTGGATCTCTCAGTGGCCTTCAATTCCATTGAGTATTGTGTCCTTCTGGGCCACCTTGCTGGAATGGCACTTGGAGGCACTGTTTTACAGTGGCTCCTTTCCTTCTTGGAGGGGTGAACCCAGAAAATGGCGCTGGGGGACTCCTGTTTGACATCTTGGTAGCTTGCCTGCATCTTGGTAGCTTGCCTCAGGGTTGTGTTCAGTCCCCCATGCTAATTAACATCCACATGAAACCACTGGGAGAGGTGGTCTGAAGTTTCGGGGTTCGGTGTCACCAGTGCGCTGATGATACCCTGCTCTAAATCCAAGGAAGCTGTCTCAGTTCCAAACCAGTGTTTGCTATCAATAATGGCCTGGATGGGAGTAAACAAATTTAAACTTAATCCAGACAAGACGGAGGTGCTCTTGGTCGTTTGGAAGGCAGACCAGGGAATAGGGATTCAGCCTGTGCTAGATGAGGTAGTGTTCCCCCTGAATACACAGGCTTGCAGTTTGGGTGTGCCGGACTCAGTTCGGAGCCTGGATGCCCAGGTCGCTGTGTTGGCCAGGAGTGCATTTGCACAGTTAAAGCTAGTGCGCCAGCTGTGCCTGTTTCTCCAGATGCCTGATTTGGCCACAGTGACACAGACCTTAGTTCCATCCCATTTGGATTGCTGTAATGTGGGGCTGCCTTTAAAAAGTGCTCAGAAACTTCAAATTAGCTCAGAGAGCTGTAGACAGATTGTTGACTGGCACTGGTCTGCAGCTCCACTGCCTACTGGTCTGTTTTCTGACACAATTCAAAATGCTGGTTATGACCTGTAAAGCCCTGCATGACTTTGGTCCAAGCTATCCGAATGACCATATTCCTTCATAAAAACATGCTGAGACTCAGAGATTTTGGGGGGAGTCCCTTCTCACATGCACATTTGGTAGGGATGCGGGAGAGAGCCTTCTCTGTGGCTGCTTCCAGACTTGGCAAATCCCTAGATGTTAGACAGTACATCAGGCTCCCTCCTTGTTGTCCTCCTTGTTTCCTTCTGCTTTTAATGAGGAGGCTGGTGTCTTGCTGTTTTTGTTGTGATTTTCTGTATGTTTTAAATAGATCTTATACAGTTTTAATTTTATTAATACTTAATTGTTTTTCAATGATTGTTGCCCCCCCACAATATGTTTTAGCTGTTCTTATTTTATCAGTAAAATGCAGGATATGAATAAATATATTCCAATAGTTCTTATTATAGTTCAAACACAGATTTAAGCAAGCTCAGAGGAAAACATAAGCCCCCATTTATGATAGTATTTTTCTCAGGCGACAAAATAATTTCTTTCCACCATCTCTGAAAAGAAAAGCCGTATAACAAATTGACAGGCTGGGTATAGATTTCCCCTGTGTTTCAGTTTGGATGTTTTTGGTTTGTTCATCACTAGTTAATAGCCAAAGGAAAAAGTATTTGCTACTGTAGCTTCTGACATAAATTTCATAAAAAATTAAATTGCCGGAAAACCGAAACCCTGGAGAGGTACTGGAAAAGCCCCCAACTGATTCACATCAAGGTGATCTCTCTCCTGCTTTTCTTGATAGCTTACGGCCACTTTGCAGTCTGCAAACTCTTATTAAAGTAAGATGCCAGTTTGCAGACTTAGTGCAGAAAGTATTGATCTGATGTGTAGAGATCTTTCCTATTCTGATTAATTCAAGAGGGTTCTGGAAGCTTCTCTGAGAAAGAAACAAGCAGAAGGTTCATGATGTTTGGGTTATTCCTTCTGTGCTGCGAGTTCGGGGGTGACCGATCCAGCGAGACACTAAGGCAGCTGGCCGGCTCCGCCCTCCTGCACACCTAGGACTGGGCAATCGGGGGGGGGGGGCGCCAGGCAGATCTTTGCAGCCTGGTGCCACATATGCTTAAGACAGCCCTGGATGGAGCCTCTATTTTTACACATACTAAACAGTGGATAGCAGTGGAATGATACTGCAATCCTATACATGTCTACTCAGTGATAAGACCCACCCCCCTATGTTCCTGCCACTGGGAAAAGATCAGGATAAAATATATTGTACATCAAGAGGATTATGATCAATTAACCACCCTTCACCCTAAGGTCCTAGGACTGGTTAGAACATTAAAACACAATTTCAAAAAAGTTTAAAACAACTCACAATAACAAAACTAAGGTGGGTCCTGAAAATATGCACCTCAAGTGCCAAAGGCATATTCAACATCCACTGGAAGCTGCATAACGAAGGTGTCAGATGCACCTTTATGAGGAGGGAGTTCCACATTAGGGAAATGGTGCCTTGTGATGTCTTTTTATTTATTTGCACCCCATCTTTCTGCAGCGGAATTCAAGCCAGCCTCACACAGGGCCCCCAGACAGGTCTCCCATCCAGGCACTGATCAGACCCAGGCCTGCTTAGCATCAGCGAAGGTGTTGCTGTGGCAGGTACTTTCAAACAATGCACTTCTCTCCCTGCTTCAACAGACAAGGTGATCCATAGGCTAACTCAAGCCCAATCAGGCCCTTCTTCCGGTGAACTTATTCGGTTCTTTTGGGGGGGGGGCAGCCAATTAAGAAGGAAGGGAAGTTGGGAGGTGAGAGTGGAAAGTGAAGCAGTGCACTTAATGCTTCCTTCAGTGACATTCTGGTTTCAAAGAGGTGTTTGATCTTTGACTTTTCAGACTCTCCAGTAAATTATTCAGCAGCATTTCCAAAGTCTGCAGGGAATGCCCTAAAAGCTGAGTCGCTTTAGTGAAAGGAAGCCTCCACAAGAGCCAAAGCATTTGTAATGAATGCAGGAGAGTGTTCCCTAATGTACCTTTTCATTCAATTTGGGCAGCCGGTACTCAAAATGCACAGATTGGGTGCTTGGTGGCGCTGTGGAGTTATAAATCCCACTCAATCGCTCCATGCCCTCTGCAGATTTCGGAAGAAAGGCTTTAGCAATCACTTGTTCAAGGCATGTTGTTGTTTTTAATCAAGCAAGCAAGCAACCTCCAAAGAAGATGGTCCTAAAGCAGTCTTGCATAGCCTAGTATGTGCAGCAAAACATATGTCATATTGGGATGTGGGAACTGGCTCAAGTTCGCAGAAGCAAGCCCCTCCAGGTTTGCTCAGATCCTGGTACAAAGTTAGTCAAAGCACACTCATCCCCAGAAGGAGGGAGACCTACAGCGAGGCAGATTTAGGACCCCAGTGAAGGTGGCAGAGTTGCAGGCTTAAAAAAAAATACCTTCCAGGTATCAGGCATCCATTGTTAGAAGTCCATGGCCCCACAGCCCAGCCCCTACACAAATGACAGCCTAAATAACAGCATTTTATGGGGACAGCAGCAGACAGACCTGGCACCAGCACCTCTTCTGACATAGACACTCGGGAGCTACTCCTGGTCACTAGAACATCATTTCTGACATATTTTAAAATTATGAAAGCAACCAAGCATGTACACAGGAGCACAGGAGGTTGTTTTTTACTGAATCAGACCTTTTGTTCACCTAGATCTGTATTGTTACAAAAGTTGGGTGCCTTCCCCTCTCTGCTGAGCGGTAGCAAGAGGCCATGGGGTTTCCGACATTCACCAAGGGTCTGTGTTCCTTTGGAGAACTGAGACACAGCGGAGACTGTCGTAGCTTTAAGAAATATGGTTTATTCACCTATTTACACCTTCATTCTTCATGGAGGGAGTCCAGATCTTACAGCATGGTCCTTTCAAGTGGGGCTTGTCCCCTATAGCAGTGCAGCCAGCCTTCAGCCATCCTGCCCAAGATGGAGCCCAGTCTTTTTTCTTCCTTCTTCTTCCCAGAACACCCTGCTGAGGAACTCTCTTTTCCTGTCACCTCACACTCAGTTACTTACAAACTCCCCTTCTCTGTTCACACCTCAGGGCAAGGGGGTGCCCTGCATTTCCTTGCGTTTCCAATGGCACTCAGTTGCCCTGTATTGTTTCTTAATGACCCTGGCTTGACTAGGTCATTTTGCACAGGCAGCTTCTATTTCTCCCTTCACATTCCAAATTCCACATTTATTAATTTATAGGGTTTAGTGGGATCCCACCCCCCAAAAAATCTGTAACAGTTTTGTCTACAATAACCGGCAGTGACTCTCCTGCTCTCATAGGGCTAGAACTTGTGGACATCCAATTATGCTGAATGTTGGAAGATTGACAAAAGAAAGGACTGCTTCACCCTAGAGAAGGCAGTGATGGCTACCAACTTGGATGACTCTAAAAAGAGGATTAGACAAAGTTATGGAGGAGAAGGCTATCCATGGCTACTAGCTCTGGTGCCTATGTGTTACCTCCATGGTCAGAATCAGTTATGCTTCTGATTTCCAGTTGCTGGAAACCACAGGAGGGGACATTGCTTTTGTGCTTGGATTCTGGTTGCTGGTTTACTAGAGGCATCTGATTGGGCACTGTGAGGACAGGATGCTGGACTAGATGGGCCATTGGCCTGATCCAGCAGGCTCTTCCTATGTTCTGCTGCCCCTTTGCCAGTGTTGAAATAAGGCTCAGCTGCCCGTGTCGCCAGTTTCTCCGCGTGGAACGAAGGTGGCACCATCTCAGGCAGCAAAAAATCTCAGGCCGGCTGGCCAGAGGCAGGCCTTGTTAGGGCTCATTTGCACTGATTACAGCCAATCCTCACTAATCCCTGAAGATTTCTCAGTTTAAGCTGTGACTAGTCCAGGTCGGCCACAGGGCTTTGAAGCACTTAAACGCGGCTGGGGTGACAGGTCAGTGGAACAAGTTATTAGCTGAGAAAGGGAAATTAAGCCCCTGCGGTCCCCCAGGGTGAAGGAGCAGCTCAACATGTGTTATGTAGGACTGTTACTTGATGAATATTTTCGTGCTGTTTTTGTGTTAAATCAGTGATGTGATTCTGTTGTTCATCCTTTGCAATACCCAGAGCTCTTTAAGGGCGATGCATAAATAAAATTAATAATAATAACAGCAGCAGGAACAACTTTGCAGCTGAAACAAAGCTCTTCCATTGCCCTCTCAATAATGGTCCACATTTTAACATAATAGTCTCTCTTGGGGAAGTGCCATAGCTCAGTGGTAGAGCATCTGCACTGCAGAAGGTCCCAATTCCCAATGGCAGGTAGGGCTCCTTGCCCAAAATCCCAAAGAACCACTGCCAATCAGCATAGAAAGTACTGAGCTGAATGGACCAGCTGTATAAGGCAGCTTCCTGTGAAGTCTTAAGTAGCCAAATTACCTGCCAGCAACTTGGGAGCTGTAAACGGGTTGCCACCTTTTCAGTGGGTCACTGCAGCTGTGCTTTGAACAGCAGCTTAATATGTGGGCATCAGTAATAAGTGATGGTGTTTCTCTCTGTTGTTTTTCGATGCCTAAATTGTCTGTGTCCCTGTGAATGGGAGCCAAGCCCATCACAGCCTATCAACTTAAGGAAGAGGTGGTGGAACTGATGCTGGGATTCACCAGGAGAGCGACCAAGTCTGCAACAGAGCTTGTCAGCGATGTAGCCTCCTGCATAGACTACTAGACAATGTGTTCCTGTGCATGCTGCTGGAATACAACGCTCATGATCCCTGACCATTGGCCACGCAGGAGGCTGGGGATTCGGGGTACAGCAACCAAACCTGCAGGGTCACAGTGAGTGAGCCAGTGTGGTGTAGTGGTTAAGAGCGGTAGACTCGTAATCTGGTGAACCGGGTTCGCTTCCCCGCTCCTTCACATGCAGCTGCTGGGTGACCTTGGGCTAGTCACACTTCTCTGAAGTCTCTCAGCCTCACTCACCTCACAGAGTGTTTGTTGTGGGGAAGGAAGGGAAAGGAGAATGTTAGTTGCTTTGAGACTCCTTCGGGTAGTGATAAAGCGGGATATCAAATCCAAACTCTTCTTCTTCTTCAAATGCTGCCAGTCACTCTGAATGTTAAACTATCAGCACTGCACACTCCACAGCACCTCTGTATCCTGTTTATTGCTAACATGCTTAGCCACCGCAACGCCTTAGCTGCTCTGGATTTGTGCTAGTGACCTACAAGTGAAAGGCTCAGAGGCCTCTGTTCCTGATCTTGCAACACTGTGGTTAAATCAGCATGAGTCATAGAATCATAGCTGAAAGCCATCTCAAAAGTTAGCCCTCTACCAGAACTGGACATTTTATTTTAGTTTTTTTAAGTTTATTCGTATTTTTTAATCTATTGCTGGTGTTATAGCTGTTGCTGCTGCTGTTATCTTTATATTTCATCTTTCCTGCAAGCAGCTCAAGGTGACAAACGTAGCTCTCTGCCCATTGCTTTACAACTTGATAGAAGTTTATAAAATCACACATGGCATGCAGAAAGAGGCTAGAGAAAAGTTTTTCTCCCTCTCTCATAACATTAGAACTCACAGACGTTCAGTGAAGATGAATGATGTGAGATCCAGGACAGATGAGAAAGTTCTTCACAGAGTTACGCTATGAAATTTGCTCCCACAGGAGGCAGTAAGGACCACCCACATGGATGCCTTTAAAAGAGGACATAGTCATGGAGGAAAAGGCTATCGGCTATCAATGGTTAGTAGTCACCATGGTTATGATCTGACTCCATTGTTGGAGACCATAACAGTTCTGAAAACCAGTTGTGGAAGCCACAGGAGGGGGAGAGCGCTGATGAGCTCAGTTCCTGCTTATGGGCCTCCCATTGACCCATCTGGTTGGCCACCTTGAGAACAGGATCCTGGATTAGATTGGCTACTAGCCTGATCTGGCAGGCTCTTCTCGTGTTCTTATACAAGGTTCTCAGGCTCTAGGAACCTGGTAAGCAGTATTGGACTCAAACTATGTTGGCAGCCTCATATATCCAGCCACTTAGAGTGTGGTGCTGATAATGCCAAGGTCGCAGGTTCAGTCTCTGTATGGGACAGTTACATATTCCTGCATCGAAGGTGATTGGGCCAAATGATCCTCAGGAAACCTTCCAACTCTACAGTTCAATGATTCTATTATTGTGGGTTCGTGGTATACACAAGCTTTGTGTGAAGAGGGTTCCACGGTCAATTATGCTTGGGTCCTGCTTTCTGGTTTTCCTTTGCGGCATCTGGTTGGCCACTGGGAGAAGAGGATGCTGGTCTTTCCTTTGAGATACATGAGGCTGAGAGAAGGTCACCTACCTAGTGAGATTCATGGCTGAGTGGGGATTTGAACTCTGGTCTGCCAAGCCCTCAACCAGCACCTGAACCACTGCACCATACTGGTTTACACTGCAACAGCATCAAATAAGTGGCCAGCCAACCCCCCCAAAAACAGGCAGCTTGTTTCACCAGACCAGCCTTGGCCAACCTACTGCTTTCCAGATGCTTTTGACTACAACTTCCATCAGCCCAGCCAACATGCCCTTTAGAAAAGGTCACTGCTTTGTGTTAACACCGGTAGAAAGAGGTCCGCTGAGAGACAAGGGCCATGGGTACCACAAAGAGCTGCAGCAACAGAAGTCAGATTGAAAGTAATGGGTCTAAGTTAACCATGTCCATTCAGTGGGTCTACTCTGAGTTTGACTAACATTGGGTGCAAACCATGATTTTTATCCTTAAAAATATATTAGCCTTTTCTATAACAAAATGGTGCGAATCCCCAAATAAATGGGTTTAACATCAGGGCAGCAGAACCAAACACTGTCTTATTCCTGCAGTCATGATGGTGAATGAGTTTAAAATGCAATATCGCACATGCTCCAAGAGTATTTCTTTTTATTTTCATCAGGGTTGGCAAACTGCTTTGGGAGGCATCTCTCTCTCTCTCTCTCTCTCTCTCTCTCTCTCTCTCACACACACAGACAGAGAGAGAGAGAGAGAGAGAGAGATGGGAAACCACAGGCCTGAGGACCAAATCTGGCCCTCCCGGCTTCTCTATAGGCCTTAGCACTCTCCACAGCCATAACCAAACCCCTCACCAGCCCTGAGTGGTTTTGCCTAACTACGGTAGGTAGACTGTGTCATTGAGCTCTGCTAATACCTCCTGTTTGCCTGAATGGAGGGAATGAAAATCTGTTTAGGAATCAGCGTTCTCCACAAAGGTAAAATTTACATCCGTTACTCCACCCACTTTTACCTCTGGCCCCACCTGCCACTGGTATATGGCCTCCCAGAAGGTTGTTTAGAGCACAATGTGGCCCTTGAGCTAAAAAAAAGTTCCCCACTCCTGCTCTAACCTATCAGGAAAGTAAAAGCAGGGTGGCAAGAGAAGTGTTTCTTATGTGCATCTCACAACTAATACACGCAGCTGTCTGAAGGAGGCCACCATCAGGTTATTAAGACCAGGGTCCAAACTTTCCTGGCTGCATTCCTAGCTGCAGCACATAGCTAAAGGCAGAACCATGGGGGCAAGTCACACTAGTATGGAGACACGGCGCTTGCATGCTGAGCAGCCTAGCTGGGCGGATCCTTGCTCTGCTTGTGTATTGTCTGCAGGGCAGCTTGGAATCTCTCCCAGTGCTGGCCGGGAGATGAAAGCAGAGGAATAATCCCTGCAATGAGATTATTAGATTGAAGGTTTAATCCCTGAACCTGCCTGTACAAGAAAACAGCCTCTCTCCTGCTGAATTTGGCTTCCGGAGACTGAGTTATACAGAGAAGGAAGCCATCCTTTGGTCTGCAGAATGGGAGGGCAACTCTCACACTCTGGCTTATTCCCATTTTGGCTAAGGCTTGTCCAATAATACTTGGGCAGGTACAGGAGGGCTGGGTGGCTGCACCGCCAGCGGATGTGAACTGTGCATTATAATGTATGTTGCAAGTAGAGCACGTCATTGAAGGCCAGCAGGCCCAGTGGTATCAGCACCTAAAAGGGTTGCAGCTGAGGACGATACCTGGCCGAGTCCAAGGACAGTTGCTGCTGCTCTGAGTAAACCAGCCTTCGCTAGCTTAGTGCCTTCTAGATGTTTTGGACTACAACTCCCATCATTCCTTGCCAGCAACAGTCAGGGATGCGCTTGTTACAGAGGGGGCCTCTTGGTCGTTCCACTGTCCTCAGGATCTCAAGGGCTAGTGGCCCATGAGAGGACATCCTCTGTGCCACCCCGTTAGTTGTGCAATGCTCTCCCCCCAGAGGTGCATCGGGTGTCTTCACAGTACAGCTTTTGTCATCAGCTGAAAACAAACCTCTTTCTGCTGGCCTTTCCCACTAGAGAGGTGTATTTTTAAGACCCACCCTGTTCTTGTTATTCTGATTTGTTTCAAACTGTTTTTAATATTGCATTTTTAGTTGTTGCGACCTGTCGCGGGACCCCGGTGTGAAGGGTGCGTAATAAATCAAAGTAATAATAATAAATACATCTAGAGTGGGGGTTTCCAAAGTGGGCAGTATTTGCATTCCCAGGGGGCGGTGGGTTTACCTAGGGAGGTGATAAGAATCAGACAGGTGGCAGCAGAGTTCTGGAGGTGTAAATGGCTTTCAGACTTTGAAAATCACTGGATGAAGTTTGTCATTTTTGTTGAATTGATAACACTTACTGGATTTTGAATAAATGTGCATTAATTGTTGCTGTTTTGAATGTTATGGTGCAATTATCTTCCTTAGTGGGCCGTGCAAACTGTTGTTCTGGATATTTTTCATAGGGTAGGGTAGAGGCAGTGCTTTTTTTCTGGGGGTACTCAAGGGTACACAGCCCTGCACATCACCACCACCCCGTGTTTAAAGCATGGGACTTACTGTAACAACTTCATGGTGAGTACAGTGATACCTTGGGTTAAGAACTTAATTCGTTCTGGAGGTTTGTTCTTTACCTGAAACTGTTCTTAACCGGAGGTACCACTTTAGCTAATGGGGCCTCCTGCTGCTGCCGCTGCGCCACCAGAGCACGATTTCTGTTCTCATCCTGAAGCAAAGTTCTTAACCCGAGGTACTATTTCTGAGTTAGTGGAGTCTGTAACCTGAAGTGTCTGTAACCCGAGGTACCACTGTACTGGCGCTTCCCCCTCCCCCAAAAAGAGCACTGAATAGAGGGCAGTGGGGATGAGCTTATGGAACCAAGTGGGCAACAGCTTGAAAAAGCTTGCAAACCACTGCTCTAGCGAGCAGACAATACAAGGTTAGCTGGGCCGATGATCAGCTCCACAAGAAGACAGTTTCACGACACATGTAAGAGCTGCAGTTGAGTTATGGTCCCCCCACCCCTTTTCAGTTATTTTACCATCAGAAAGAACGTGGGGTGGGACTCTGCTGCATTTAGAATATATCAGCCAGGAGTTGGAGCCTCTTACCTGCATAACCAGGGATTTCTAGTTTAGAAAGAAAAGGCCCAGGAGCTCCTTGATCCATGTTGGAGGTAGAGGGCTGTCATCTTTTTTGCCCAGTGGTTGGGCTGGCATCAAGGCTCAGCGTGGTCCAGCACCTGCCAGGAGAGCTTACACCCCAGCAGCAGGACCTGTCGACAAGATCCTGCTCCTCCCCTCCACCCCTTGCAGCCTGCTTGCTTGGTTCATCCACTTCTTACTCTGACCCAGACTGTAGCAGTGGTGAAAGGAGGGTCAGAAGATGCCCCTGGTCTGCTTGCTGACTCACTGGGCTCTGCCTGGCAAGCAAGCAAGTAGTACCAATGATGATCAGGAGGAGAAGCAGCAACTGGTGATTGCAACACCCTGAGGAGCAGTTAGGCTCTCTTAGCAAAGGGGTCCATGGATGGTATCTTGCTGACAGGCCCTCCGGAACCTGAAGTGCCTCAGCTTCTTCAGACCTGGGACTCACTTTTAGCCCAAACGTTCATTTGAGGACTTGCTTCTTAATTCATTGCTTTTTAAAAACCATATATTTCCATGTGGAGGCTGTGATTGAGCTTAGGTTAAGCTGAGACCCGTCTGTGGGTTCTGATCCACCAGCTGAAAAGATCATTGGCCCAGGGCAGGCATGGGCAGACCTCATGCTTGTCAGATCTACTCAGGGATTGGTTTCCCCCCTACTAGAAACCCAAGATGTACCTTACAGCATCAGGTGGGAAAGACTTAAAGCACATCTCCCCATGTGCCTCTGCAATAAATCCTGGGAACTGTAGTTTATACACTGTAGCTCTATGTCTGCTTCCCTCCCCCCCCCCACTTTGTTCTGCTGCCACCAAACCCTATAGGGTCTTGAGGTTTACTTAGGGGGCTGGATCAGGCCCCCAGGCTGCTGGTTAGCTACCCCTGCAATAGAGAGTTCTTCTAAGGAGATATGCTCAGGATTGTGCTGCCTGGTGTGTTGTGACTGCCACTAGAATGGGCAACAGATCAACGTGTGCTAACATGCTTCCTCTGCTATCTGTGGCATCAGGCAAGTGATAGCTGTGACTGCTGGAATTTACTTTGGTTATGCCAGGCTCTAAGGCTGCCTTGGAAATGTGACCCCTGGCATCAAGCTTGCTGGTTTCAGACAGAACTTCTGCCCCACCCATTACTCAGAAACTGGAGTGGAAATAATTCAAAAGAATCCCAGAAACTGTAGTTTAAGGGTGCTTGGGATTGTAGCTCTGTGAGAAGGAAACTACAGTTCCCATGATTTTTTTGGTGTGTGTGTGTATATGTGTGTGTGTGTGCTTTAAATATATGGTGTGGATGCAGCCAGTGAGGCAAAGGACATGTTAGTACCCTTTCCCCCCATTTTGATGTACAGAAGCCAAGTGGACTGGCAGCTGATTCTCTCTTTGGCACTAGCAAAGCGAGCATCCTCCATGGCACCTAAGGGCTATTGGTTAGTTTGTGCAGCACACACAGCTGTGTGTTTCAACAGAGGGATAAAGAGGAACAGATGGGGAGGGGCTGCCTTTTCCTCATCAGAGGAGCCCTGATGGATCTGGTCAGTGGTCCATGGAGTCCAGCCTCCTGTTCTTGGAGTGGCCAGCCAGATGTCTTGCAAATGGAACCTGAGCAAAACAGCACTCTTCCACCTGGGATTCCCAGGATTGGCATTTGGGGGCTTTTACTGCCTCTGACAATGGAGGTAGGACAGAGCCACCAAGGCTTTCCTCCTCCTCCTCCTCCTCCTCCTCCTCCTCCTCCTCGCACCTGCTGTCTCAAGCAGTTGTCTAATGGTAGGGCCGGCTCCATCGCTGTTGCCATCCCCACTGCCTCAAGCCACCTCTCCTCCTCCCACAGAAGAGCCAGGCCTACCAAAGTCTTGCTCTTGTTATTTATGTTTTGCATTTCAAAGGTATATTTGCTCTCATTAACATAACCGCAGGGAGACACAAGAACATTCCAGGGAGGCTATAAATAACTCAACACAGATGATTAACAACACAAGGAGGCATGAGGCCAATACACAGTCAGTTCACCAAGGAAAAGAGTGCAATCCGTGGCAGGCACCAATCCCAGGTGGCTTTTTGCCATAAGCCACCAGTTTGAGAGAACCCCTTCCTTCTCTTTCACCTTTGCAGTGCTTGCCGGAAGAGTCAAGGCAGGGAAAGAGTTGTCACCTTCGCTTGCAAACGTGGCTGGTCCTGGAGCCCAGCGTCACCCAGGAACGCTTCCAGTTGCTGGAGATCGTCTTTTTTCACAGTGTGGAAGGGTGAAGGAGCATCAGGGCCACTTTGGGTCAGAGAGGCAGGTTGGCGTCTCGCACTGTCTCGAGCACAGCCAGTGCGTCAGCCTTTGCATAGGAACATTGGGGCTGGGCGCTCCATTCAGGTCCTCGTCTTCCCTCAGCTGCTGATTCGTTTTCAGCCCAAGAACCATACTCAGCGGGACATCATCCTGACAAACTCTGCAGGCAAGAAGGAAAGAGTAAAAGGAAAAAAGATCCACATCATACGTTTAAAACACATTTATGTAGCACTTCAACAGTCCTAGCTTTCCTCAATAATACTGGGAACCATAGTGCATCCCTCACTAGGATGACGCGATATGTCATCCAAAACTGGTTTGAAGTCCATATTGTGATATCAGTTCCATAATTTTTGACCTGGCAATATATTGCAAATCATGATGTGCATGCATGCTATGCAAAAATCACAGTGTGGGGGAAATTCTGAAGCCAGCCAATGCTTCTCTCGATTCCTGCAGCCCCTGTTAACTCTGTTGGCTCAGTTCTCCCCTGATTCCTGCAGCAGGCATCGAATCACAAGAGCAGGCACCAGCAAAAATCACAAAGCAGGAAAAACCATGAAGCCTCTACATGTCTCCATCTTTATTTCAGACATCATGATATATTGATATATCACAATGTTAGGTAAAGATAAAGGAACCCTTGACCATTAGATCCAGTCGTGGCCAACTCTGGGGTTGTGGCGCTCATCTCGCTTTATTGGCCGAGGGAGCCGGCGTACAGCTTCCGGGTCATGTGGCCAGCATGACTAAGCCGCTTCTGGCGAAACCAGAGCAGTGCACGGAAGCGCGTTTACCTTTCCGCTGGAGCGGTACCTATTTATCTACTTGCACTTTGACGTGCTTTCGAAATGCTAGGTTGGCAGGAGCTGGGACTGAGCAACAGGAGCTCACCCCGTCACAGGGATTCGAACTGCTGACCTTCTGATCGGCAAGTTCTAGGCTCTGTGGTTTAACTCACAGCACCGTTAGCTGGTGATAAATCAGTGTTGAAAACCAGTTTTCGCCCAGCCCTATCCTTCACAGTGCTGCAATTTCCAGCACTCCTAACAAACTACAGTTCCCAGGATTCTCTGGGGGTGTCATTTGCTTTAAACTTATGGTACGGATGTGACAATAGAGAAGGTGCGTAGAAAGTGGCCTTATACTGAGTCAGGATACTGGTCGATTAGGGCAAGTAAGGCACTGCTTTGCTAGTCTCAGTCTGCCCAGACATTCTTCGAGCTGCCTGCCTTCTTGCAACTAAGCCAGGTGGTGGCCCTGTTTGTCAGCTTCCTCCTCCTCCTTAGTCTCAGTGTTGCCCCTTGTAGAACTCAGCAGGGGGACAAAACTAGAATTACCGTATTTTTTGCACCATAACACTCACTTTTTTCCTCCTAGAAAGTAAGGGGAAATGTCTGTGCGTGTTATGGAGTGAATGCCTGTGGGTGGCGGGGGGGGATCTGCTGCAGTCATGAGCAGAGGATCCATGGTTCCCCTTCCTTCCCTCCTCCGTGGTTACAAAGCATGGATCCACATGGATCCTCAGGATTTTTGCATTGGGCTACTCCAAACTCACTGTCAGATCACATGTCTGTGGCCACAGCATGAACCACAAAAATCATATATCCACTATTTCGTTTAGAATATTTTTTTTCTTGTTTTCCTCCTCTAAAAACTATGTGCGTGTTATGGTCTGGTGCGTGTTATAGAGCGAAAAATACGGTACTTAACTATCATAGGCTCTGGTGCCACCTACTGTTGGCCCTACCAGTCCCCCAACCACCACTGCCTACACCAGCCTCCGCCAACCTGATGCCCTCCATATATTTCAGCCTACAGCTCCCATCAGCCCCAGTCAGCACAGTGTGTGCTCTTACCAACCCCAGTATCAAATGGCCATACTAGGGTCTAACAGAAGTTGCAGTTCAAGACATCTGGAGGCCATCAGGTTGGAGAAGGCAACTGTAAAGTACTAGATGATCTGAGGGCTGTGCAGGAATAGTGATAATGAATAATCAATCACCTGCTGCTTCAAGCACTGAATATTATTCAGGACATTTAATTTTTTAAAAAAAATATATCTTTCTTTGGTCTTCACCAGCTTCTAGATAGCAGCTTCTTAGAAATGTTGACATTATGAACTGACTCAGTTGAGATTGGTCACAGATGGATGAGAGCCAAAAAGCTAAAGGAGGTTCTATGGAAGAACGGTTTTCCTGACCAGGGAGTGGATTTGGCCCTTTCTGTAGGGGGTTGCATGCCCCCTTAAGGATCAGGTTTACACTGTATGTGTGTTTTATTGTTAGATCCAGGCTTCCTGTTGGAGGTCCAAATGTCCATGGCATGAAACACTTTTCACATGTTTAGGAGATCCTCAATGGGCAGAGGTAGCCTGGCCACAAATATCCAGGATGTGGCCCTCCAAGCCTCTCTTTCTGGCCCTCAGGACTATCCCTAAGGCCCTGCTCCACACCGTTATTGAGTGCTTTTGCCTGCCTCCAATGTTTCCTGCAAGGACAATTCCTGACGGGACGTATTGTCGGGTGAGTGCCAGGAGCAGGTCAGTAATAACTCACAGTGAAGCTGACTCTTTATTCAAAGAAACAAATAGCTCAGGAGGCCAGACTTAACGAGCACAGCAACTCTTCCTGGTAGATCTTGCCCCAATGAGGCAAGATTGTGAGGACTGAAGGTCCCTGCCTTCCCATAGATGCCTCAGGCTCCTCCTCCCCTGGGTCCTTCTCAAGCAATTTGAGACTCAGTCAACAGGTCTCTCTCTGCTCCACCGTCTTCATGCCTCTTCTGATCCTGGGAAACCAGGGGGGAGGGCAGCTGGTTGCAGTAGGAGGGCACTCCCTTGAGGGTTACCCAGCTGGTGCCTGCTACTACTCCTCTGCGTCCAGCTAGTCCATGACTCACATTGGGCATGCCCTTCATTGGAACCGGGAGCAGATCTGCTACTTGTCTAGTGAGAAACTCCTCACTCACTCACTCACTCTCTCTCACCTTCAAAATCCACTCGTCCGTCTCCATTCAGGTCGACGTCCCTTATTATATCTTCTATGTCCCGGTGCCCCACTTGCTGCCCGAGCAGCTTCTTCATTGCTTCTCGTAGTTCATTGGTGCTGATCTCTCCATCACCGTTTGTGTCGAACTGCAAGGAAGCAACAGATGTCAGGGACTGTTAGAATGGAACTGGTCAGATTTCTCAGGACCCACCCCTCTCATCTCCACAGTTGCCAGTGTCCTTTCTCACCTCTTGAGCCACTCTGGCAAGAACATCACCTGATTGAAACCAGACTGGTATCTCTGCTTTTTGCTTTAAGTTATTTATATCCTGCCTTTTGTGGAAAACACTTTAAAGGTGCATTGCAAAGGTAGGGAGGAACCTGTCCACCCCCACCCTCCCCCAGCTCCCACCAAGCTCTGCTAAATGTTCTGGATGGTGAGAAGTCTAGCAATATCTGGAGGAGGGCACAGAGGAAGATTAAAACTCACATTTTGATTTATATTAGACTGCCCACATGCAATTCTGCTTTATTAGTTGTTCCAAGATGCTTCCCCATTACTGCACTTTTGCCATCTGGGACGCACCCTTGCAGTATAGCACAACAAATGTGGGACAAATGCTCCTCAAACATTTGTGGTAAGGAAAGTTACAGGCTTCCAGCAGGAAGTTATAGGACATGCACTGACTGAAAGCAAAGCTATATGTGCATCCTGAAAATTTTGCAAAAGTATTGAGAGTGGGATCACACATAACTGCCCTGATGTCACCAGGAGCACAAATCATGAATGCACATAAAAAAAGGAGTGTCTAGAGGGGTCCTTGGAGAAATCCATGGCACTCCATGGCCATGAGCCATGATGGCTACGTATGTTGGAGGCAGTGTGCTTCTGAATACCAGTGGCTGGGAATTACAAGTGACTAGGAATTACAAGAGTCCCTGCTGTGCTCGGGTCCTGCTTCTGGACTTCCAGTCAGGGCATCTAGTTGGCTACTGTGATAACAGAATGCTGGGCTAGATAAGCTCCCTTTGGCCTCATCCCACTTCAGGGAATTACCTGTATTCCCTGCCTGTGAGCTTCCACATGCATCTGATTGGCTAGTGTGGGAATCAAGATGCCTGATCCATTTGCAGGGTACAGAGATGGGTTGTGCATATAAGGAGCTAGATGATCTTTCAGGTATCCCGATCCCAAGCTGTATACCACCTTGAACGGGTAGATAGTTTGCAACACACTGAAGGGGCTGCACAATCTGGCTCTCACCTCCCTGAAGGCATCGCGTAGCTCCTTGACCCCAATCATGTCTGCCGTCTCTGCCAGAAGCTTTGGTCCCATCAGCTCCACAAAGTCATCGAAATCTACGTGGCCGCCCTCTAGGAACACAGAGCAAGGAGGGAGTACAGTAAGATACTGACCACCATTTTAAGAAGAATACAGACAAATTGCAATGGGTTCAGAGGAAGGGCAACAAAGATGGTTAGCTGCATGGAAAACAAGTCCTGTCAGGGCAAGGAGAAAGAGCCAGTTATGTTCACCCTGGAGAGGACTCAGGGGGAACATGTTTTCAAATACTGCCAAGCATCCACAGGAAGGGGTCCCATTCCTGACTGTGAAAAAAGGGAATATTGCATCCACGGCCTGCACCCAACTGAGTCCTACTTAGAGTAGACCCGTTGAAATGGATGGATGTGACTTACTTGGCTATGCTGTGCTTCCATGGCCAGAGACAGTAATGCTTCTGAATACCAGTTGCTACAAATCATAGGACGGGAGAATGTTCTTATGCTCAGGACCTGTTTGTGGGTTTGATGTTTTAAATCAGGCATCCTCAAGCTCAGCTCACTGTAACTCCCATTATCCCTAGCTACCAGGACCAGTGGTCACGGATGATGGGAACTGTAGTCCCAAAACAGCTGGAGGACCGAGTTTCAGGGTGCCTGTTTTAAATTGTTAGAAGCTGCGAAGAGTGGCTAGTGCAACCTAGTCAGATGGGCAGCATATAAATAATAAATTGTTGTTGTTACTAGCAGAACTTAGTTTGATACAACCGCAGGTCAACTTTCTACAGATTTCTTCGACACCCCTAGTTCGAATAATCCAGTCTGGAAGTTTGCCAGAGCATGGAGTACAGCAGCCAAGCCTAAGCTTAGTCTAGAAGTGGCCTGGGGAGTTGTGCTTGTGCAGAAAGGCAGACCAAAGGGAGATGAGGAAGACATTGCCCGGAAGACTGGAAAAACCTAACCGGGAGTGAGAGTGGCACTGTGGAGGGAGGAGGGATGCCCCCTTGGCAGGTGACTGGCACTCACGGTTCATGTTGATCTGCTGGGAGAGCTCAATGAGTTCCATTTCCGTTGGCATGTAGCCCATGGTGCGCATGCAGTTGCCCAGGTCTCGACAGTTGATGTAGCCATCCCTGTCCTTATCAAACTCCTTGAAGGCTTCTCTCAGTTCTGTTGAGGTGAATCCAATCAGAGAACGCGGCTGTCAGTGGTGGCTACAAACATGGCCTGGAATGAACCCACTTTGGAAAAGAAGGGCCACAGGTCATCCGTGGCAGAGCAGCTGCTTGGCATGCAGAGAGGCCCAGGTTCAACCCCCAGTGGCATCTCTAGTTAGGGCTAGCAATTTCTCCTTGGTCTGAAACCCTGGAGTCAGTGTTGACAGTGTTCTCAATGTTTTCAATTAAGGGGTGATTAAATAGGATGCTAACTTATACTGAATCAGACCTTTGGGCCATCTAATTCAGTACAGTGGTACCTCAGGTTACAAACGCTTCAGGTTACGAACTCCGCTAACCCAGAAGTAGTTGCTCTGGGTTGCGAACTTTGCCCCAGGATGAGAACGGAAATCGTGCGCAGGTGGTGCGCTGGCAGCAGGAGGCCCCATTAGTGAAAGCAAGCCTCAGGTTAAGAATGGACCTCTGGAACGAATTAAGTTCGTAACCCGAGGTACCACTGTATCATCTACACTGATTGGCAGCAGCTCTCAAGGATTTCAAGAGTGGAATCTCCCCCAGCCTGACCTAGAAGTGCCAGCGATTTAACCTGTGACCTTCTGCACGCCAAGCAGATGCTCTACCACTGAGCTATTTCCCTTACCGCTGTGGGTTGACTGTGCCTCAAATTAATGACTAGGAGGGACAAACCCTATGGATTTTCTGCCACAGGCCCTGATCCTCATCATGTTGTCTAGGTCCTCCTGCTATTGAGGCTAAGCTGTGTGAGGTGTCCACAAAATGGACCGCGCCGTATGATCTGACATGTTGCTGGTATGGAGACAGAAAGGAGTGTGTGAAAGGTCTGTGGCAACAGAATATTTTAGCACTGCCTTCCCCAGCTGGGTGCCTTCTAGGTGTTTTGTTCTCCAGCTCTCATCAGCCCCAGCCCAGTGCTACCATGCGTCTGATCCACATGGAAGCAAAAGGGAAGCCAGGAGTTCCAAGCAGACAGGAAGGTGAGGCACCAAGATCAGCACCTTGGAGAGGGACATAGAGGTGAGTTTCAGGAACATGGTCAGTAATCCTACAGCTGAGGCACAACACACAAGTTGCTTCAGCAACTAGGAGATCTTTATAGCCTGTGCTAGGTATTCATTGGCCAGAAGTCTTACTCCCTGAATGCTGCATCTGGCCAGTAAAGGGCTACTATTTTCCACTTCCAGGTCCTGGGGTTTCAAGCTGTGGGATAGCTTCTCAGGGCTCTTCTGATGCTAGAGGAGACTTTAGGCCAGGCTTCCTCAGACTTGGCCCTCCAGATGTTTTGAGACTACAATTCCCATCATCCCTGACCACTGGTCCTGCTAGCTAGGGATCATGGGAGTTGTAGGCCAAAAACATCTGGAGGGCCGAATTTGAGGAAGCCTGCTTTAGACCAATCCCTGGCCCCTCCTCTCTTCTTATGGTTCTTTGAACTGGAAGTAAACTGGACTGTCCTTGAAACAGAAAGAATGCCTTCAAATACCAAGGCTATGCTTCTCATAGTACAGGAGTGGGGAACTTCAGGCCCAGGAGCTAAATATGGCCCTCTAAACCTTTCTATCCAGCTCCTGGGACTCTCTCCCTAAACCACACACCCTCACTAGCCACACCTCTCAATGACTCCAGTTCACAGTCCCTGAGAGTGCTTTCACCTGGCTGGAATGCATTTCATGGCCTGCTGTCCCAGCTAAGGAAGGCACACATCTGATAGCTGTCTCTTTATTGACAAGTGAAGCACTTACAGCAGCTCCCCCAGTGCTCCAGATATACACATGCACCCATATTTTTAGGCTCTGGACAGCTGTCCACAGGTCTGGATCCTGCGAAGCAGTTGCAGAAATAGTGGGTCCACTCCCCTCCTTTGGCTTATATGCCCTTATATGTGCCCACAAACTGAGACTTCTCCTACATGGAAGTCATTGCTGCTCTTCCCTCTTCAAACCCCTCTTGGTTCTAGGTGGGGAGTCGACCGGCTGTTCCCTTGTCTGAATAGTTTCCTCTTCCTCTACCACATCCTGCTTGCCTTCCTCTGTCTCAGACTGCCCTGACTCTTCCTCCTCCCATGGGCCTGGCTCCTGCCTTGTGGGTGGCACCTGACCCCATTAATTGCTGGTCCCCTCTTCTGAGTTGCACTCCCAGCCCCTGGCCTTTGCCACACACTCTTCAGACCCCTGCCAGTCTCTGACAATGCGCCCTGGAACTCTTGCTAGTCTGGATGGAGGAGAGAGGTGCTTTGTTTGTTCCTCATAAGGAAATGTGAACTTTAGTCGGATGAAGGCTCCCCACCTATGGTGCAGTAGGATACATGGCTACCCTAGTTTAAATAAAAGCATGCACCTCCAGATGGATAGTGAGACAATGCAACTTCTTATACTTCCTCAGTTTCAAGGAGGCTAGGACTATCAGTGGCTACTAGGCAGGATAGCTGTGCTCTGCCTCCACAGTCAGAGGCAGTAATGATTCCAAATACAGTTGTACCTTGGAAGTCGAACGGAATCCGTTCCGGAAGTCTGTTCGACGTCCAGAACGTGAGGAAACCAAAGCACGGCTTCTGATTGGCTGCAGGAAGCTCCTGCAGCCAATCGGAAGCCATGGAAACCCCATCGGACATTTGGCTTCCCAAAGAACATTCGAAAACCGGAACACTCATTTATGGGTTTCAATCATTCGGCAGCCAATTTGTTTGGCAGCCAAGGCGTTTGGGATCCAAGGTACGAGTGTTTCTAGGAATCACAGGAGAGGAGAGGGCTCTCGTGCTCAGGTCCTGCTTGCATGTTTCCCACAGGCATCTGGCTGGCCACTGTGAGAACAGGATGCCGGACTAGATGGGCCATTGACCTGATATAACAGGCTCTTCTTATCTTCTTAAATAATATGTGAATTATCATTCAGGTCGGTACAAAACCAGGAAGTGAGGGTGGCTGGCATCTCATTGTTGGAAACCCCAGAAGGCCAGCAGTGCTTTTCCCTCAAAAGCAGCATATGAGCATCAGAGCTGCCCTGCAGCCGAATCAGGCTAAAGCTGTGATTTCTGCGCTGCAGGGGGTTGGACTAAATAACCCTTTGGATCCACCTTGCGACTCTGAAGTTCTGTGATTCTAAAGGGGCATGTAGTCCAGCCTCTCACAGGGACTACTAGACGCCACTTGCAGCTGCCCTGCTCCCACTCTTGTAACCCTGTAGCTGGCATTCAGCTGGCCTGCTGTCTCTCATCTGGAGGTATCATATAGCCAGCATGCCTAGCTGTCACAGTCTTATCTACTCCATTTTTATAGGTATAAAGAAGACAATCAAGAACCTTACCATCTATTTCTTCTGGCCGTAGCTCTCTGTCCTGCAAGGGAACAACATCAGGGATTAAAGCCAGCTCCTTTAGACGAAATCAGGGTTAAGGCAGGAGCCTCTGAGCATATGTAGAGGCCAATGTCATCCATTGGTCCATCAAAGCCAGAGTATTGTCTCCTGCAGACTTCACCAACTTGGTGCCCTCCAGATGCTTTGGACTCCTCCTGGCTACAGCCATATTTTCTCCTCCAGCACAGCCATGCTTGCAGGGGCTGATGGGAATGGTAGTCCAAAATAACTGGAAGGCATCAGGTTGGCCAAGTTGGTCTACTCTGACCAGCAGCAAATATTCAAGATCCCAGGCAGGGACATAGGGTTCTTTTCTGGCCCTGGTTCCAGAGAGAGCATGTTGAGTGGAGATGTTGCCAGGAATTGACCCTGGGACCTTCTGCATGCAAAGCAGGTGCTCTGCCAGTGGCCTACTGTCTCTCTCCCAAGGCAAAAAGGCACATGGAAGAATTAAAACCCCATGACATTATCCTTCCCAGCAAGTGAACCTGAGAAAGAGCAGCCTTTCTGAAGCCTATCCCACTAGCCAGGTCCTTCCACATCTCAGATTTACACCAGCTCATTAGAGATGCTCACGCCAGAGAGCCAAGATTGCCTTGTTTCCAGGAACAGAAAGTAGAAGGCAGAATTAGGCTGATGGCCATGATGAGCTCTCCCTGGAAGAGCTGGGAGCTGCTGGTACCTCCCTCCCAGCAGCCAGCTAAACTGGTGGAAACATCTCATGCCAGCTGAGCCCCTCCCATGTTGCCCTGAGATCTCCAAAAAAAACCTGGCTAGTAGGAAAAAACTGGGGCTCTGGAAGCTGTAGGCACCATCTCAGGAAACCTAGGCAGCTGCCTTCTACTGAGTCAGACCATTGGGTCCATCTAGTTCACTGTTAGCTACCCTGACTGGCAGTAATGGCTCTCCAGGATTTCAGACTCAGAGGTCTCCCCCAGGCCTACCTGGAGATGCTGCTGGGGATTGGACCTGGGACCATCTGCATGCAAAACAGATGCTCTACCACTAAGCTATGGCCCCATCCATTCCTCAGATGCCTAGGGCAGAAAGGCAGCTCCTGAGAGAGACTGGAGCATCTGCAGACAAAGGTAACATGAGACAATGATTCAGCCCAGGCAGGAAGTACTTGCAAATGCCCAACATTTTGTTTTCAAGGGTAGATGGGATGGGTGGAGAAAGCTGCAGCAAGAGAAAGGAAAGCCCAAGCTGGAAATGCACTGCTGGCTGCCCAGGAAGAAGGGGCAACATCTCCAGATCTCCAGGCAATTGAGGGCAGAGGAAGGTGGGCAGACCACTCCCAGTTCTCAGCCTCTACCTCCTTGCCCCCATCAAGCTGCTCTAGGCCCACAGCAGGTTCCCACAAAATGGAGTCCTCCATTTCCTGGGTCTCAAGCCCACAAAGCTAGTTCCCCACCGACTCCTGTGCTTGTGAAAGAACAGCAGGTGCTCAGAGTCTCCTTCCAGTGGGGCAAACCCACTGGGTTGCAGAGGGGTGGGCCAGAGATAGGGCTGGGGAAATCCCTCCGTTTCGGTTTCTCTCAGTTGCTCATCTGTCCATCCCAAAGTTCAGTTCTCTGCATTTCCACATCAGTTTCTGATTGTTATTTAAGAAAACAAAAGCCCTAATGAAAATTCATCAGCAATTTAATGTAAATTTCTCCTAATCAACTCATTATTGTATGCAGTTTTGCCTAACGTAGCACATTTTTGCAATTCAGTATTCCCCTTACATAATGCATTTTTTAATGTTACAATATGTGCATTTTTCTGGACTCGCATAAGCATTTTTCACGTGTTGCTTAGCTGGAGAACTGCATTGCAAAATTGAGAGATGTGGATTTTTCAAATGACAGCCGTGTTTTGGTTTGTATGTTGTTTGGGAATGTGCAAATTAGGTAGGATTCACTCTTCAGGGAGAAATTAATCACATTCCTGCCCGCTCCCTAGCCAAAGCAAAGATTCCTCTCTCCTTGTTGGAGGAGGATCTCTTGAGCTGAAAATCTCCCTCACCAAGCCAGCAATTTCAAAGTGTGCCATTATCCAATTTCTCCTGCTGCTTTTATTTAGACTGATCGGAAGGGGTGGCGGCAGTAAACCTTAGTGGCAGTTTGCCTAGTTCTCTCTCTCTAAGGATTCCCCTCCCCATGACATAGGAAGGGCCAAAGTAAGGGTTATTCTCATTGACAAACCTGGAGTAATAGATGTCCAACTTTACCCCATAAAACAGGGTTGGGGACCCTTTTTCAGCCTGAGGGCCACATTCCCTACTGGGAAAGCTCCAGAAGGCCACATGCCAGTAGTGGACAGGGCCAGAGACAACAGTGGGTGGAGCAACACTTGTAAATGTTACCTTTGTACAGTCAGCCAGTTTCTACACTCACAGCCCTCCTATGTACCCTCCTTCCAGGGAAGCAAGAGCCGTGAGCAGAGATCAGTGACACATTCCAGCCAGCCAAAAACACTTTGGAGATGGGCAATGAGGGGTGTTGCCTGAGAGACAGCTAGAGATGCTGGGGGGGGGCACATTTGACCTGGGCCTGAGGTTCCTCACCACTGCTGTAAGGTGTCTCAGGAATCATAAGTCTGTAGAGTTGGAAGGGATCCCCAGGGTCATCTAGTCCAACCCCCTGCAACGCAGGTATCTCAGCTAAAGCACCCATGACAGATTGACCGATGTAATGACTCAAAGTTGGCCCTGTTGATGTGGCAAAGTGAAGTGACAGGTTTTGGATGCTACTTAGCCGGCCCTACCATTAGGACTGGCCCTACCACGAGCCAGAATGAGGCAGTTGCCTCGAGCAGCTGATTTTGGGTGTCGTGAAAGGGCTGCACGTTTGCTTTATTAGCATTGTGTTTTATTGAACCACGGGTATGAGAGGAGAAGCGATTGTTGGCCGTAGTGCTGACCATTTCTCCCCCCATTCCCCACACCCCAACCATTCTGGGCTGGGAAGGAGGTGATGGGGATCTCTTGAGACCCAGATGGCGACATGCTTTTTTTTTGCTTTCAATCCACAGGAGGGTGAGGGCACATGATTCCACACACCCTCTGGGCTCTGCAGTGTTTGCCTTGCCCATCCGGGTGCAACTTACGTACTGGCTGCCTGTTCTCTGCGAATCCCTTCCTGAGGAAGATACACGCCGGCCCCAGGATGTTGTGCATCACAGCGCAGTTCTGGGCCAGCACCATGAGTGGGCCTTGGTACTCCCCGGCTGTTGACCCCTCCTCGCTCGTCTGGACAGCTGTATAGCATGTCTTGTCCTCATGGTGGATCTTCTCCGCCAAACCAGCAGCAAGCAAATGATACAATAGAGGAAGTTACCTCCCGGTTCCTCCCAGGTCTGCTCCAATGCTTTCAGTGAGCAGAGAGGCCAGCCTAGCCCTCGGCTAACCTTTGGCCCATCAAGGTGTTTTGGACCACAACTCCCATCAGCCCCAGCCAGCATGGCCAGGCCGGGGCTGATGGGAGTTGTGATCCAAAACGCCTTGGAGGGCACATGGTTGGCGAAGGCTAGTCCAGACTTAAGGGGAAGACAGACGTAACCATCTGAACAGAGGCTCTTTTCCTGCCACAGGAACCTGGCGTCACCATTTGCAGCGCAAGCAGAAACTGTGGACTGACTCTTTGAGCTACCCTTGTGCTTTTAAGGAATATCGCAACGTTTTAAGTATCACATTCCCCCCCCCTTTCACCACACCACCTCCACCCACCCCTAAATAACACTCTAAAACTATTGAAAACTGTAAAGCTGTTGAAAATGTACCACAGGGATTTGTGCAAGGGGAAATATGCTGGCGACATTCGGATACTAGCCAGTAGGTGCTCAGCACCTACCCCTGTCTCCTCCCCTGCAAGGACTTGCTAAGAAGCTGCAGAACCTTTCTCCCCTCCCCGGAGAGGTATACGTGTGTACAGGACAGCAAAGATGTGTATAAACCATTTCCACCTTGCTTAGTAAGTTACGTCTGTCTCCCCCACCCCCTACCCCTCATCTTTCAATACATACCACTTCACACATACACACCCCTTCTGTTTGTTACAGCTCTGAGCAGCCAGGGACTAGAATTCACTTTCAGCGGCCAACAAAGGTCGTCCCCCCCCCCACTTTGGAAATGACATCAAAAGCCCTCTGTGCACTGCAGACGTCCTTCCAGCAACTAGAAAGAGGGCAGAGAAGAAGAAAGGGTTTCTCTGATCTCCTCTGCTGCCTGGACCAAAACAATTGGAGGTGAAATCATGCCTAGCCTGCAAGGCACAGGCGTAGCTCTTTGTGAGTTCAAGAGAAGGCTGATGACAGAAGTGTCTCTTGGGGCTCCTGCTGAACATGAATTGGGCGGCCCGTACATCCTGGAAAGACACTTGGAGCAGCTGCATATTAGTAACCACAGCGCTTCCCATGTGTACCAATATAAGTTTGCTTACAATACACAGGGCAGCCTGGTATTCCCAAGGTGACACTGCTGGAATGTCAGAACTGCATACAGAACTGAGTTCCCTGAGAATGTCAGTGGGCATTTTTAAAAAAGGGAAAGATTTCCAAAGTTGCTAGTCTCTATGAAGCCTGAGAAAGAGCAGGATGCTGGAGAGGCCTCAGGCCCAAATTGGGCATTGCAGGGGCAGGTGCCACCCACCTGCGTCTCTCCAATCTGTGTCTACCCTTGGTGACACCTAGGAAAAGATATTGTGTGAAACACCAGCATCGCAGCTGGATTTCCCTGCTCCATTTCAACAGCTGTCTGTATGCAGGAGACGTAAGGACAGACTTAAGTTGTCTGTTCAGAAGAGCCAATGAATAAACTGGTGTTCTAGTGGGGCCATAATCCCACCTTTATCTCCATGCATTCAATATACACTATTTGGTCATTTGATCAGGAGTTAGGTCTGGCCATATGGGAACAAGCACAAAATGGGCAATGGCCACAGAAGTAAGTGTCCTGCGACTCAGGTTTTTTAAAAAGTAAGTTTCTAGTCCTTAAAGTTACCTACATGTTATTTGTACATTTCAGGTTGTTCTATCCTTGTTTTTATTGTTCATTTTTTTAAAGATGCTTTGCGTTTCATTTTTGAAAATAGTGAAATAAATAAATAAATAAATAAATAAATAAATAAATAAATAATGTAAAGGAAGATAGCAGAAGTTGAAATTCCTGTTGCGTGTTGAAATTCCAGAAGTGACTATCTGTGCATTTATGTGATCAGGATTTCAAAGAGCAGGGCTTCAATGCCGAGCGTATTTCTTTTTAGAAAAATAGCAAGTATTACAGGATCAGTGGCAAAGGGCACAGTGGGCCTTTGGTCATTCACTCAAACCTAATGCAGGCCTGTTTGGCTCCCTCGCTATCAGAAATCCCACTCAGTCTCCGCCACCCTCCTCTGTTCCACATTACGTGGGGTGCTGTCTTGTTTTGCTTTCACAAGAGGCACCTCCCAGCAGCATTCTGGGACCCCAGAGTGGAATCTGGTCTTGAGAGTTCCTGGCCCCACTGGAGAAGCAACGGCTGCCTTATATAGCAATGCATCGGCCTGGGTTCTGGCAGAAACGTTTCATCCTGACATTCTCATGCAGCTATAAAAAGCTAGCCGTCTTCCCTTCACAGGGACCTTTGGATCGTACGCAGTAAACATTAACAACCCCATCGTTGTTTTCATGGGAGACAGAGAAAGGGAGCTTGTTTCTTCATGGTGCTGCTGGCAGCTTTGGGCAATCGCCTTCCAAAAATTAAAAAAGGCAGTGCTGCAAAGCATTGCACCCTCCTTTTGGCAGGGCTGAGAACATGGACACAGATGCTCACAGATTTGCATGCACGGCTGTGTTTAGAGGCCACGTGTGTTTGTTGCACGACACACATATCCAGCTTGATGGGAGCTGGCATTTTTCTTATTTTAACAAAAACACACAGCCCTGAGTCAATCTGCCAAGGTATGATGCTATTGGCATCACGGCGCAAGAATAGCATCAAGGCCAGAATCCACAACAACAACACATATGTGACAGAAAGCAAAGTACACGGCTCGGTACAGAAGTGTCCTCATGAAGACCACACAGCAGAAGGGATGTCCCTCTGTTTGCTACATGGGACAGAGAACAAAGTTTTCCAGAGAGGGAAGCATGGATGGCATTGTGCTCCATGCGAAACAGACAGGTGTGTGTGTTTGTATGTTTATATGTTGTCTCTGGTGAAACCCAAAACAAGCTCTCGAAACAATGCAAAAATTATTTCATCATAGGCATTGGTGGGATAACTTGAGTGTCAGTTGACCCTACCATTAGGCAGAGGGCCGGCTCTACCATTAGGTAGGTGAGTGTACGCACACAAAGAGAGAGCACTTCCTCCTTTCATTGGCTTGAAACTTCTGGAAAGAGAATTTCATCGGCCCTGACCTTAGAATCCTAAGTCAGAGATTCGGAAAACTATTAGTAAGATGTATCTGGCCAGTAGGATGTCAGCAGTTTACATCTGACCTGCCCCACAAACAATTAATGGGTTAAATACATTTGGATAGTACCAGGGGTGCCTCTTGGAGATACTAAAGGAAGCACAAGACAGCACACGGCATGTCAAAACAAAGGCTCTGTTCATTGGTACATGGGATAGTTTGCTGCTTCTTTTTGTTATCTAGGAAGACATGCCTGCCCTGAACAAAAACACTTCAACTATTAGTAAAAATTGGCTCCATCAACCAGTCAGTCAACTAAAACTTTACTTTGATTAATCTATCAATTAAGCCTTGTGAGTCTGTTCAATATCCATTTGCTAGGCGTCTCAGCAAGCAAATTTAGGAAGCATTTTGTCCAGAAGTTTATTTTGAAGTTCGCAATGGTGGAGAATCAGCTCCATTGCCAGCTCAACAGCCACCCATGTTACCGCTACACTGCTACTGCTGCTTCTGTGTCCACAAACTATTCTGAGCACTTCAACATAAAGCAGTCCACTGGCTGAATGCCAACACTCACACAAACCACCTGGGAGAGGGAGGGATCTGAAACACAGACATTTACATACCAGGAGCACATATGTGGGGGAAGCTTAAACACATGCCAGGACAGATATGTGTTCATAGAGGAGAAGGCCACCCCACAGATAGGTGTGGGGCATAGATGTGAGCATCTGTCCATATGTGTGGCTACGTCACTGTACATAACTGGATCAATGTGCGCACAGATACATGCAAAGGAGCACAGACGTTCATCCCACAAACTCACAACCTTTTGAACCTGCCCAAATATCTGCATCTGCTTACTTCACTTATTCCTTCTGTTTCAATAATCCCTTGCTCCACTTGTCATTAAGAACACAGGAAGCTGCTTTATACAGAGATCAGTATTGTCCTCACTGGGTGGCAGCAATGGCTCTCTAGGGTTTTTAGGCAGGGAACCTTTCCTGGCCCTACCTAGAGATGCTGCCAGGAATTGAACCTGGGACTTTCTGCATGCAAAGTGGGTGCTCTGCCATAGAGCTACGGCCCTTCCCTGTATCACCAGCATCATCCAATTACTAACAGATGGCTACTGTTCCTGCACTGCCACTGATGCCACAACAAGTTGGAAGTGCCTGGTGGTGTTATTGGGCAAATGTGTGCCCACCTTCCAGGTTGAACTCCATTCACAGTTCAGTCGTGGGGTGTGTGTGTTACTTATTTCCACAAATATACCTTTTTGCCAGAGCATAGAAATGGAAGGGGAAGCGGGGAATCAGTAAATGCTATGTGGGTGCTCTGCTGTATTGCTAGTTTTATTTATAAAGCCTATCTGTTGCATTCTCTGCCAAAAGTTACTTGAAGTGATTACAGCAGAAAATCACAGGAAGATTCAATAAGAATGTATGGGGGGGAAGAACCTTGAGCACAACTGATCACGCAGCTAAAATCCAAACACTTCGCTATAGACGAAAACACCCACTGAAACCCTCAGCCGAGTTATAAACACAGAACTTAACAGCAGCATCAACAGCCAGTTAAGATTAACTACTTAAAAATGTGTTTTTTAAAAAGCATCGGCAGTGTGCTGAAATTAACGTTATGGCTTTCCCACAACAAATAATTCCAAAGGGTACAAGCTATCCCAGCAAAGGCCCAGCAACTTACCCTCATGGATGGGGGAGTCAGGACAAGGCCTCAGAGAAAAGGGTGTGTGAAGCAGCACATAGGAAAACGTGCACCCTAAACGATGCAAAATCCAGTCCATTTCATGCTTTAAAGGTCATTGTTGTTTACCATGGAAGTGATTCTTCCAGGGTAAATGAGGACTGGCACATAACTGCCGGAAGGGCTGACCTACATTAATGCAGAAGGTGGGGCTGAAGAAACAGTGGCTGGACCCACCCCCCAACAGAAAACTGGGGAAGGGCAGAGGGGGATTTGGGAAGGAGGTCACATCTTCCCCTGTCCCAGAGTGCAGTAACTGCTAGCAATACCCTAAAATCTTTGTTTCAACAGGGATGACAGATCACAGACCCTCATGGAAGCACGGGGGACAACCTAGCCAGGATATGCGCTTGTGGCTTAAACAGCCTGATTGCGATAACACAAAATGCACCGCAAACTAGACACCATTTAGTTGTGTCCCTAATGAAGAATATGCGCTAATGGATTTGCACTCTGCACATCTATGCACAAAGCAACAAGTGCACCTACACCCATAGAAAGATGCTTCAGTTGGTAGCTTTGTACAAAACATGTGTGCTAGTATGTTTAGGTACAGAAACGTGAACACACTTGTAATCAACCAACAAGGGGCACAACCAGTGCTTTTTTCTAAAAAAATGTTTAGGGATACTCTCATTTTCCTACTAATATTGAAATACTGTCCCTCAATGAGGCCAAACTTAGATACACAAAACGTTTAGGGGTATGTGTCCCCCCAGAAAAAAGGCACTGGGCACAACAATCCCGAGAGGATCTCCTGCACAATTCTCAAGGCAATTAATGGCACCTATACCAAGAGGAGCATCTCCTGCTCATTTATATGCAGCTTGTGCTGGAGTGCTTCCTAGTGCCTCATGCCCCATGTTTTGCAAACATGTGCCCACAACTGCACATACCTCTGTGTCGACACACAACTGCACATGGACGGGATCATGCTTTCATGCACACAAACACCCACAAGTGACTGTTCTCAGCCTCTGTGCTGCCCAACCGATGACCAACTTTAGGCGGGGAGTTTGGGAGACACATCTCCACCTGCTTCCCACAAACCCTCCCTACCTGTTTAAGCGACACCAAGTGGTCACCCTGTCCCAAAGATGCTGGGGGGAAACGTACCTTTTTTGAGAGGTTTCTCAGTGGAGACTTCACACAGTTGCCCATAATATGCTGAAGCTGCCTTTCCGGGAGACAGGCTTAGAAAGGGAAGCGGGCAATTGGTTCCATGAAAGGCAGTCCTTAGGAGCAAAGGGAGAGAGGCGGCAGCAGTCAAATCTAGAGCTCCACTGGGCACAAGTGGCAGGGCGCCTCTCTTCTGAGAGCTCTCTTCTTCTTCCCTTCCTTCACTCATTCATCTCCTTCCTTCCTTCCCTCCCTCTCTTTCTTTCTGCTTGTTAACTTTATGCTCACTTCTTTGAAGAGATGAAGCAGGAAGGGAAGGGAAAGGAGGGGAGCAGCAGCAGAGAGGGAAGGAGGGAGGAACGGAAAGAAAGAGGAAGAGAAGGAGGGAGTGGGTGGATGGATATAATCTACATCAGATTAAAGTTCTGATCCCTCCCACCACTCAGGATAGGAGGAGGAGGAATCTGGTTTGACTCATTGGAGGGAGGATGAAGAGCAAAGAAGCCCCCGCAAGAAGTCAGTTTCTACCTTTGCCCTCAGTGCTCAGAGACTGCCACAGTGCTCCGTTCTATCCCCTCAAACACTGAGCATTTCGATGCCCAGAGAAGACAGCTGGGAGGAGCGCAATCCACTTAGAGGCGCTAAGAAGGGCCTGAGCAAATTGAGTGCAAGACAACAGATGAACAGAACACATCCACCACCAGTGCAGGGCTTCTTGAGAGGTTTGGCAAAACTCCTTGAGCAGGGCCTGCATCACACAGATACGGACAGGTGTGGAATGACCCTACCCCTCCAACATTTGGGGGATTCATTCCCCACCCTCTCTCTCTCTCTCACACACACACACTGTAAGGGGGGGGACAAAACCAATTTTTCACACTAGGCTTTGAACAGCTTCACCCAGCAGGTTAATCAACTTAAATTTTTGGTTGATTAATTGGTAGTGGCTGAGGGTGATGTAAGCTAAGGGTTTGCATTTGGGGGCTCTTTGGGTTTTGGTGAAAGGGAATAGAATATGCCAGTATGAAGGATGCCCTTCCCCTCTAGTAATACACGGCAGCTTTTGCTTATACAACATCATCATTTATCTCACAAATCCTCTAGTAGTTGAAAACAGAGCCTATATGGGTGTTTAAATGTGCAAATTGATGTGAATTTAATCAGTTCATGAATCTGCTGAAAAGCAGAGGATTACTCAACAAAATTAGACTTTCTATCTTTGGGGATTCTTTCTGTATCACAGAAACCTACAAAGCTGCCTTATACCAAGTAAGAACACTGGGGTCCATTTTCTCTACACTGACTGGCAGCAGCTATCCAGGGTTTCAGACAGGTGTCTTTCCCAGTCCTATCTGGAGACACCAGGGGCTGAACCAGGGACCTTCTTTATGCAGAACAGATGCTCTACCACTGAGCTATGGCTCTTCCCCTTGCTTTCCCCCAGCTCTATACTTGAAACTGAGAGCCATCTGTAATTGACCCTAGAACCCAAAGCCTTGCATACACCATGAAGCCAGAACTAAGTGGCTGAAGTATTTCTATATGGGGCTGCCAAAAAAGTTTGGGTCCAAGTTCCTAGAGCCTGAGAACATTGTATAAGAACACGAGAAGAGCCTGCCAGATCAGGCAAGTGGCTCATCTAATTCAGCTTCCTTTTCTCACAGTGGCAAACTAGACACCTCAATGGGAAGCCTATAAGCAGGACCTGAGCTCACCAGCACCTCCCCTCCTGTGGCTTCCAGCAACCAGCATTCGGAGGCATTTAGTGGCTCTCACAGTAGAGGTAGAACAATAGCCCCCATGGCTAGTAGCCATCAAGATGAATTTGTCTAACCCTCTTTTAAAGCCATCTAGGTTTGTGGCCATCACTGCCTCCTCTTTAAGCAAATTCCACAACTGAACTATGCACTGTGTCAAGAAGTCCTTCCTCTTGCCTCTCCTACATCTCCCAACATTTGTAACTGGAGCTGCAGGCCACGTGCTCTACGACGGAGCCACATATACCCACAACATTTGCCGGCCTGAGATGCCATTTCCTTTCCTACTTCACGTAAGTGGTTTCCTATCTTATCACAGCACCGACGAGAAAATGGGCCTGGGAGAAGAGAGAAGGGCAAAAGAGAAAGAGGGAGACATAGCAGATCCTCAGACCTCCGGGGCACATGAGTCCCTGAAGGCAGATCTGGAATGGTTGGTGCCACCATGGCATCGCTGGCGCGAGTGCTTCCTCTGAACTGGTGCCCATAAGTATGAGAGAAATGGATGGTGGCTGACGGAAGCAGATGCTCAGATCCTGACTTGTAGAAATGTGTGCACAGAACATGAGGAGCAGGAGCAGCAAGGCCTCTAGCCGTTTGAGTCATTTTAAGCAGTAGCTGAGAATCTGAACTAATTACAAAGGGGTTTGCTCCGGGTCTCAGTTTGGCTACCTTCTCAGGTCTGGAGATCATGCAGCAGAAGAAACCTCTGTGTGTATCTTGTAACAGGCTTGAAGAAGCCAAATTCAGCTGCCACCATCGCCACCACACATTCTCTTCCGTAATAGTGTGCCTTTGATTGTTTTATTTCAGTTTTTCTACCCTATTTTCCCAAAGAGACTCATGGCAGCTAACAGACACTCATAATAATAAACCAAGCAAAACAAACATAACCCCTTAAAAATGTTTTTAAGCTCCACCTAGGCTTTAATTTAATTTTATTTTTTTCATTCATATTATACATAATAAAAACATAGATGTTTTAAAGCAAAATCAGAAGCTTTACAGAAGATAGCAATTGCTCCTTTTTAATTTATTTACAGAAATCAGAAGCTTTACAGAAGAAAGCAATTGCTTCCTTTTCATTTCTTTGCCAAAAAAAGAGAGAGAAAATATGAGAACAAGATATGCACTGAGATGTCAACACATTGCAGCTCCAAGGCTCCTATTTAAGTTAACATTATCCAACCTGTTTAACAAATTGCAGCAGCACGAAAATAACACTGAACTGAACCAGAAAAAAATGACACAATTAACTGAAAGTTTCTCAATGGCAATGGGGCCTGACAGACCTCACCTGGGAAAGCATCCCATAGGGTAGGAGCTGCAGCAGAAAAAGCTCTGCCCATAGTTGACACCACCCTTGCCTGCTGAGGGATTTGGAGCCGGGCCTCAGATGTCAATCAGAGGGTGCAAGGAAAAGGCAGCTCCCAAGGCACCCAGATCTCTAGCATTCTGCAAATTATGTAGAACTGGAGTGATAAAATCAAATTTCCAAGCCAAGAGGCCAGTTGCACCTGTAGTGGCCGGCAGACACTGTTCAGCTTCCTGAGTCACCCATAAACATAGGAAACTGCCTTCCACCAATCATTGTCAGTCTACCTCAGGACTGTCTGATCTGACTGACTTCCTGGAGTTCATGCAGGCAGGTATTTCCCAGCCCTGCTAACTGGAGAAACTGGGAATAAAACCTGGGACCTTCTGCATGTATAACATGTGCTCTGCCAATAAGCCACACAGCCACCAGTGATTTCTGGTAAATTCAGTGCATCTTGGTAAGGTTGTGAATAAGCAATCAGACAGGGAGGCAGTGCAGTCCAGGAGGACAAGAAGGCTTGGCAACTCTGCTTGGGAGATCTATTAAGGACCAGTGCCTCTGAGGATGCCAAAAGGGGCAACTGATGACTCTCTGCTAGTTTATTCTGGGACTTCAGCGCGTCAGCCTGTGGCGGCCAGTGCCCTGGTAGAGCAGAAGGCATGGAGCAACAGTAGATGGAGCCAGAGCCAATGGCAGACAGAGGCAGAGTCAATGACTGGTGGAACCAGCTAAAGCCACATTCACACCATATATTTAAAGCACTATGATACCACTTTAGACAGGCATGGCTTCCCCCAAATAATTATGGGAGCTGTAATTCAGGGTGATGAGGGTTCTATGGAGACAATGACAACAAAGATTATCGTATCGTATCATATCATATCGTATGAGCACATTTGCTACTATGGAATCCATATTCCATGGCTCACTAGAGGAAATTGCTGTCCTCCTTCGGGTTTTAATGCTCCCGTTGTTTTGTGTTTCCTTGCTCTGCTGATTTATTGCGACCCAGCGGCTGCTACTTGGGCTGGGTCACTCCGTTCTTTCCAATCTTGTCTGAGCTCTGCCTGGAGAATGTGATTCATTGGCCACCATTCCTTGCCTTCCGAGGCTGTCTGATCGGTCCACCCCCCTTATCAAAGAATCTGAACATCTGCACTCCCTACGTCATGCCTCTGACAAAGTGGGCTCTGGTCCACAAAAAGCTGATGCCGTAATAAACTTGCTAGTCTTTAAAACAAGCCTTTTGGGGAAGGGTCCCAGCTCAGTGGAAGAGCATCTTCTTTGCATGCAAAAGGTCTCAGGCTCCATCCCTCTGTCCTCTGCATCTCCAAGTAGGGCTGTGAAAGGGTGTTTGCTTGAAACCCTGGAGAGCCGATGCCAGTCAGTGTAGAACAGGGCTGAAGAACCTTTTTCAGCCCAAGGGCCACATTCACTCCTAGGCAACCTCCCGGGGGGGGGGGGGCACATGCCAGTGGGGGGTGGGATCAGAGGCAAAAGTGGGTGGAGCAACTGATGCAAATTTTACCTTTGTACAGTAAGCTAGTTCTCTCTCTCTCTCTCTCACTCACACACACACACACACACACACAGAGAAACACAGCACCTCCCTTTCCTCCATCCAGGCAGACAAAAAAACCCCATTTATATGCTTTTGCACATGTTCTAGTGGTTTTATACTGTATTTTTATTCTATGTTTATACTTTTTGTGTTGTGCTTTTTAAATATTAAGTGGTTTGTAAATGTTTTTAAATAAATAAATGAATAGAATTCAAGGAAACATTCCATCACTTAGTAGGCTAGAAAGCCCTGTGATGCAGCTGACCTCAAGAGGAAGGCTCATTGATCAGTGGTACTGCGTCTGCTTTGGATGCAGAAGGTCCCAGGTTCAATCCCCAGGTAGGGCTGGGAATGCCCCCTGCCAATCACTGTAGACAATCCTGAGCTAGATGGACTAAAGGTCCGACTCAGTATAAGGCAGATTCCTATAGCACAGCACCTGCTTTACATGAAGGCCTCAGATTCAGTGCTCATCGGCTCTAGGGCAGGCTAGGAGACACCCAGCCTGAAATCCTTGATCGCTGATGCTAGTCGTTGTAGGCAATTTGAACTGGATGGAATAAGCTTTTGATATTGTGCAAGGTTTACATTCCTATGACCCACTTCCTTGGGGAGCTTTTTTGTGCCATGTGTAGGAGACCTTATCTGTTTCTGCAGAAATAAGAAGAGCCTTCTGGATCCAGCCAATGATCCATCTAGTTCAGGTATCCTGTTCTCTCACTGGCCAAGCAGATAAGCCAAAGGGAACTCTGCAAGCAGGACCTGGACACAAGGGTCCCCTCCTCTCCTGTGGTTTCCAGAGACTGATATTCAGAAACATTACTGCCTCCAGCTAGAAGCCACTGATAGCCTTGTCCACCATGAATTTGTCTAATCCTCTTTTAAGGCCACCTAAGTTGGTGGCCATCACTACCTCCTGTGTGAGCGAGTTCCATAGTTCAACTGTGGGCTGACCTCTGCACCATAGCAGGTGTGGAAATACCTCCCAAGTCTGAGAAAGGCAGAATAGCTCCCTCCTCAGGTCAGGGGAACCAAGGGGGAAGCACTGAGGATCATCCTCTGAATGCAGCAGCCTTGTTTCATTGCCGCCTGAATCTTCCACAAAGGGGCCAAATCTGAGAGTCATGACAGAGTTTTTCTTCTTCTCAGTGTTATGGCAATGGCATAGCAAAGATCCCCCACACTGCTGCTGCTGGGAAGTGCAATCTGACCCCAAAGGCAGATTGAAGCACATTTGATTCTTTGCAGAACACTGGAGCACTTTCTGCAAGGGTCTGGCGTCAGCAGCCAATAGCATTTCCAGTCCATCTGGAGCAGCTGTTGATGTTATGACCAACAGGCTGGCTTCACATCACGCTGTGCATTGTGTGTTTTTTAAAAGGCTTCAAAGAGATTTTGGGGAGACATAAAGCAGTCTGCTCAAACCACACTGGAATTCCTCATTTGCAAAGGAATTAATTATTTACACACACACGAACACACACACATCCCCTTTTTCCAGAGACGTCAAGCGCTCTCTGCATCTGGCATTTTTATGAAGTTCTGTGAGCCTGATGAGGGATGTTGGAAATGTCGTGAGCAAAGTCATCTTCATAGGCATGGCTTTTACCATTTAACCATCTTTACCAATTATTGAGGCCACATCCTTGTTTAGATAGCAATTAAAACTTTTCTATTCTGCCAGATCTGTGCAGGCAATTATGAATACAAAGGTCAGTTCATAAGTTTATTGTTCTAGAGACAAAGGCCATGACAAACTTGTATTAAGCAATAGTATTAATGAAATAATTCAGAACATACAGGCAAAATATAAAAAAAGACTTTGCTAAGATTCTGAGCATTAAAACACAGTTTTCCTTGTGCATCTCTGACAGCTCCAATTCTAATACTATTTTCCCTTTTTAAAATGCAATTTGCCAACATCCGTGGTGTAAGAGAAGTTACCAGAGACACCAACAAACTCAAGCCCAGCTTGATGTCAAAATAAATCTCTGAATCACCACATCAATATATAATTTTTTTTATCTAACTCCTTTTGCCTTGGTTGTTTTGCCTGCATTTTTGTTTTGTTTTTTTGCAGCCAATGCATAGAGGGCCACTCTTGTGTGTTACAAAGCTATTATTGCCACTCAAAAGAAATTGAACCATTTCTGCTGGGCTGTGCCTGCTTGCTTGTTTCAGAAAGCAATCTCTGGGGTCTCTATTTAAGGCTAACAGATAATGAATGAAGTCTTCCACCTGCGGTTGACCACAAATACAAAGGCTGCCTGCTTATGGGACCTTGCTGTAGCAGCCTTCCAAGAATGCAGTGGTCATCACTTGGCAACGCAGTGCAATAAATGCAGTTCTTAAGGAAACTGGTCAGAGTTTAGTCATATAACAAGCTCTAAAATGCTCTCTTCTCAAAAGTGGATACCAAGGGGGAAATCTGGTGTTTCCAGTTTAGTTGTAGGTCCCTCCTGTCCAGAAAAGCCAATTCCTTAATTGACACTTATTCAATGTCAAAGCAGAGTTCATTTCTAAAACACCTTGACAAGCTGGTTATCACCCAAGTCCATACAGCACAGGAAAACTCTCAATAGGCATAGTAGCAGTTTTTAAAATATACTTTAAAGGAGCACTGTCCGCTCTTGCCTTAATTGTTGGCCATGAGGATTATGTGTGAAAAAGAGCTTCTGATATTCCTGATGGTAGAGTATTTTTAGATAGATGATAGATGATTGATAGATAGATAGATAGATAGATAGATAGATAGATAGATAGATAGATAGATATAGATATAATATATTCTGCACACTTTCCAAAACCCAGACTGCAAAACCTTAGAGCATTTGAATAAGCACTATCCTACCAAATATCTTTAGGGCAGGTTCAATCAGCTTCCCTCCTTTATTGTAAAAGAACTTCATCAATGCCCCATGGTTTTCTGTGCTTTAACTTTCACTGCTTCCGTATGACACTTCCAAGAAAGGCTTTCACTAAAGTGTACACCCAGGTATCTAAATGAGTAAGTTTGTTCAATAGCTCACTGATCTAAAAAATCATTTATACCTAGGACTGTCTTTGCCAAAAATCATAATCTTGGTCTTAAGAGTAATTTATAGATAGGCTTTCCTGTTTACAGCATGTGCTAAACACCCCTCAAGAGATTTTTGAGGCCCAATCAAGAAAGAGAGAGGAGCACTAATTCATCTGCATACATCAATAAGGAGATCTTTCTGTTCCTAATTACTGGAGAGGTGGAGCTTGCATTGGCTAAATATTTCCCCAAATCATTGCTATAAAAGTTAAAAAGAGTGAGAGCCAGAATGCAACCTTGCTTCACTCCTTATGACATTTTAAACGCATCAGCCATGCCATCATTTAAACCTCTTTCTTGTATTGCTGTATAGTTCGTGGATGAATAGCAGAATTCTGTAGTCAATGTTAGCAATTCGAAATTTCTCCCTGTCTGTTTCAATTAGTAGTCGAATGCTGCAGAAAACTCAATAAAGGCTACATAAGGATAATTCTTAATGTTCTTAGTATATTTCCTTATGGTTAAGAGTAAAACATCGATCATTGATGCTGTGCCCTCCTCTGAATCCCACTTGTTCTTCACGAATAATGTTGCTATTTTGCAACTAGTCTGATAATTTTGAAGGAGATACCATGCCTATAGCTTTGAGGAAGTGTCTAACCAGCTGATAGTTTTCTGGATTCTTCCTATCTCCTTTCTTATAAATCAGGAAAATAATACTCAATAAAACCTCAATATCTTTCACTGAAATCTTAATAAAAATTATTTAAAACCTCAATACCCAGAGGACATTTGGCCTGTGTTGTTTATGGTGGTAAATAAGCCAGCCAAGATAGACTTCCATGATTCCATGTATTCTTTATAGAGCTCAGGTGGAAGAGTATCTTCTCCAGGAGCATTATTTGAAATAATGGCCTTTATCTCATTACAGGAGACTGGTTGCCAATCAGGTAGGTTTGAGAAATCCTTAAACACTGCTGGTACATATGTTTGCCCAGATTTTGTTGTTGTTGTTTAGTCGTGTCCAACTCTTCGTGACCCCATGGACCAGAGCACGCCAGGCACTCCTGTCTTCCAGCTTGGTCAAACTCATGTTTGTAGCTTCGAGAACACTGTCCAACCATCTCGTCCTCTGTCATCTCCTTCTCCTTGTGCCCTCAATCTTTCTCAACATCAGGGTCTTTTCCAGGGAGTCTTCTCTTCTCATGAGGTGGCCAAATATTGGCCACCAAATATGTTGGAGAAACATTTAACATAATTAAAGGGAGGAATTGAGGCTTCTTGTAATGATCTCACTTCATTTAAACTCTGGGCCACCAGTTCCCAGAATTTGTCTTCCTTAATTTCCATTACTGCTAGTCCCAGTTCCTGCCACTGGGTTTTTGTATATTCAGCTTTCTTGCTTTTGAACAGAGTCTTGTATTCCAATCTACATTTGATCACATTTTCTGTGGAAGCCTCTGATGAATTCTTATGCAAATCTCTAATTGCTTTAACCAGAACTTTCTTAGCTGCTTTGCATTGACCATCAAACCAGTCAAGGTGTGTTGTCTCTGTGTTGTTATTAATTATATAAGCTATCAAATAGGGCCTGGGTTCTGTGACAATTTGCTGGAAGACATCAACAAGATTTGGAGATTTGCTCACGAAAAGGTGGCTCAAGTTTGTCATGTCCTGTATTTCTCAACACACTCTTGAGGATTTGGTAGTTAGTATGTTTTCTGTTAAAGGACGTAGGATCACTGATATTGGAAAGTAGTTGCTTTCTGTTTGTTCTAGCACTTCAAAAGTGTTCACGAAAGTGAATAAAAATGTAAAGGTAAAGGACCCCTGGAGGGTTAAGTCCAGTCAAAGGCAACTATGGGGTTGCGGCACTCATCTCACTTTCAGGCCGAGGGAGCCAGCGTTTGTCCACAGACAGATTTCCGGGTCATGTGGCCAGCATGACTACACTGCTTCTGGTGCACGGAGGACCATGACAAGTGCCAGAGCGCACGGAAACGCCATTTACCTTCCCACTGCAACGGTACCTATTTATCTACTTGCATTGGCATGCTTTTGAACTGCTAGGTTGACAGGAGCTGGGACAGAGCAACGGGAGCTCACTCCATCGCGGGGATTCGAACCGCCAACCTTCCAATTGGCAAGCCCAAGAGGCTCAGTGGTTTAGACCACAGCGCCACCCCTGTCCCCTACAAAAGTGAATAATGAAGGAGAGACTATAATGTGATTGAAAGCACTTCCAGCATGCTTGTTCAAATAAGTATATTGACCCTTAGATATGTCTAGAGGACTCTTGTGAAGAACATATAAATTATGCTGGAATACAAATTGCAACAGTTTCAGGCTCTGTGTGTGCATCATCTTGTCCAAAGAACAATGTGAGGTTAGGAAAATATCTTCTGAGTCTAAGCGAAAAGGTACCAAGAGACCCTCTGCAGTTGCTCCAACTGAGGCATTAAAATCTCCACAAAAAAGTACAAATGCTGTGAGGAATTTATGGCTGATCTGCTCTAGTAGGGATATTCAACCTGACTAAACATTGGTGGTCAGTGACATACTGTTAGTAGGAGGGAGGTAGATATTTATTTATACAGAAAAGAAATGCTCCTAATTCAATTTTGATTTCTACTGACATAAGATAGTTATTTTGAATTCGAAAATCTGCTATCAAAACTTCCCCTCCTAAATCAAGTGATAAAAAGTAATCAGGCCCCCACTTCCTTGGCCCTTTTAAAATTACGATTGAGAATATAGCCTTCCATAATAATTAATTGGTGTATGTTTTTAACTCTATGGTTTTATGTTTTTAGTGCTGTAAACAGATTTCATATACTATCTTATCATATACAAATATATTTTATAAACAAACAAAAAACAAATTTCTATAAAACAAAATCACCACAATAGCTGGCAATTCAGCTGTCCACAGGAAGTGCCCCCTTTGGACCTTGGTCCTGGGAATCAACAAATTTGTCAATTTTGGTGTCTCCAATGTGCTTATTTTTAAATCTCCACATATCCACATCAGCTTGAGATTTATTTATTTTTTAAGTTGCTCATGAAAATTCACCAGCATTTTAGTTTCAATTTCTCCTAATATACACATTTTCAAAGTAGCTTCCCGGGATATAATGCATTTTTTAATATAATTTACCCTAATATATGCAATTATATGCATACTTTATGCCAGTATATGCATTTTTGTGCACATCACTTGGCTGGAGAACTGCACTGTGAAATGTGGAGAAGTGATGGTTTTAAAGGGTGGCTGTGTTTCGATTTGTGTATTATTTCAGAAAGTACAAATTAGGATCAAGCAAATGGCTCATCTAGTCCAGAATCTTGTTCTTATGGTGGCCAACCAGATGCCCCTATTCAAAAGCCCCCTAGCAGGACTCATGGACAAGAGCATTTTCCCCTCCTGCGGATTCCAGCAACTGGTATTCAGAACATCGCTGCCTAGGCCTCCAAAGCAGGGCCAGTAACAAACATTTCCCAGTGGATTGCACCCCATCAGTCAGAGTGGCCCATCTCCTGATACACCCCAAACCTGGGAACCAGCAGCTTCACTTTAGCTCCTGTGAGGGCCACTTCAGCTTGCTGTGCACGTCTCACATATCATAATGCCAGCATCTGGGTCCACCTCCACCAAGGCCCTTTGCTAATATTAAGCAATTATGCTCCACCACACCCACATCCTAACCTGTCATTAGCCTAATGCGACACTGCGGCTGGTGCTCAGGCACAATGACAGAGCATCTGTTTCCCCCCCCCACCTCCCCCCTGGTATTGCTCCGCTGCAAAGAGAGAGAGAGAGAGCTGTGCCAGGACTGTCAGCTTGGCCAAGCGTCTCAGAAAGCCCATTATTGAGACAACCACTGCAGCACTGATGAGATGCCTTGCTCTGTCTCCTGTTGCCTGCACTGTGAGCCTCTTCTTTTCTCCTTGGGACGCCCTCTTCTCCAGCTCAGGGACACTTCGCACTGCTTCGATAGCACACTGTGTGAAGTCACCCCTCCAGCTTGGGGCGTTCCACTCAATGGCTGTTGCAGAACTAACAGGAGGAGCTGGGCTCCCTCCTCTCCTCAGATGGGGAGAGGTACACTATCGGGCTGTGATGTATTTTGATGCTAAGAGTAGCAGGACTTATGTGTGCTTCAAGGAGTTCTTTTCTGCAGAGCTTTTATAGAAAGGAAGAAACCGCCCATTTTGCTCACTAAGAGTCATCTGCATGATCAGGGGCACAACATCTGCTCTGCATACAGAAGACCCCCCCAGGTTCAATCCTCATGTAGGGCTAGGAGAGACGCCCTATCTGAAGGGCTGCTGGTCACTATAGGCCAAATGTTAGGAAACTGTAGCCATCCAGATGTTGCTAGGCTACAGATCCCCTCATCCCTGACCATCCCTGATGGATGGGTCCATAATTAAGACCATGTTCATCCACCAGTCTAGACTAGGGGTTCAAGGGTGAGGGTGAGGCTTGCTATTGTCCATATAACGACCAACTCCTTTGCCAGAAAACTTCTTGATCTTGGACTTAGAGCAGCAGTTCTCAATCTGTGGGTCCCCAGATGTTGTTGGACTACAACTCCCATCATCCCTGAGCTCTGGCCTTGCTAGCTAGGGGTGATGGGAGTTGTAGTTCAACAACATTTGGGGATCCACAGGTTGAGAAAGGCTGACTTAGAGGGTCTTAGAGAGACCACTTGGGTATGCTCCTAGTCTATTTATTGCCCTGTTGCCCAGCAGTATCCCTGATTGGGCTGTCCAAGGTAGTCTCTGGGGTATTGTTGGATTTCAGGATGATTGTCTCGAGTGACCTCAATATCCATGTGGAGGGAATCAGTTACAATGGGTCCAATCCTAACTCCAGGACCAAATCAAGAGACTAGCATTAGGTGAGTGCTTCTCACCCCCTGGGTAGTTATGTTAATGGGGTGCCGCAGAGCACTATCTTATCTCCAATGCTATTTAATATCTATATGAAGCCACTGGGAGTGGTCATTAGGAGTCTTGGGGCAAGGTGCCATCAGCTCTATTTCTCCATAACATCTGAACTGGGAGAGGCTGTGCAGCCCTCTGGACCAGTGCCTGGATGCAGTGGTTAGATGGATGAGGACAAACAAAATGAGCTTGAATCTTGGCGAGATGGGGACACTATGGATGTGTGATTCCTGTGTCTGAGAAACTGGTCAACTGCCTACCTCTGAAGGAGAAGGTTCGGAGTCTGGGGGTGATTCTGGACCGATCTTTGCTACTGAAAGCCCAGGTAGCCTCAGTGGCTAGAAGTGCCTTTTACCAGCTCCAACTGGTATGGCAGCTACAATCGTTCCTGGACTGGGAAAGCTTGGCCACAGTAGTTCATGTACTGGTTACTTTAAGATTAGATTACAGTGGTACCTCCAGTTATGAATTCGTTCCAGAGGTCCATTCTTAACCCGAAACCATTTTTAACATGAGGTGTGCTTTCGCTAATGGGGCCTCCCACTGCCGCCGCACCATCGGCACGTGACTTCTGCTTGCATCCCGGGACAAAGTTTGCAACCAGGAGCATCTACTTTCGGGTAAGCGGAGCTCGTTACCCAAAGTGTTCGTAAGGAGGACAGCACATAACCCGAGGTTCTACTGAATTGCAATGTGCTCTAAGTGGGGCTTGCTTTGCATTTGATCTGGAAGCTGTAACTGGTACAGAATGCTGCAGCACGACTGCTGTCAGGAGACCCTGTCAACATACAACATTTGTGCTCAGAGATCTGCACTGGTTGCTGATTTGCTACCAGGCCAAGTTCAAGACACTTAACAACTTGGGACTAGTTTACCTATGAGATAACCTTTCCCCACATGTGCCCTCTCATCCACTTTAATCAGCAGAATGAGCATTACTATGGGTGCCATATGATACCCATTCTGCATTTGTAAGAACTCCATCATTTCATATGGCAGCGCTTACCCTTTGGAACTCCCTGCCTATTGACATGAGGCAGGTGCCTTCACTGTACTCTTTCTGTGCCTGCTAAAAGCATTTTTGTTTAGACAATTTTTTGTTTAGTCAAAGCCTATCCAAAAGATGTAGAATGTTGACATGTGCTTTAACCTGGTTTTTAGCTTATCACTGATTTTAATTATTTTTGAATTATTTTTTTTACTAACAATTTCATTGTTTTGTTCTCTTTCTAAAGTGCTTTGAGGACTTTTTACAACCCAGCAGTATTTCAATCTAGTGAAACGAAACAAAAAAAGCTATGCTGACTAGAGCTGATGGGAGTCTAGCAATACCTGGAGGGCCACAGGTTCCCCACCTCTGATGTAGACAAGGCATTACTGAGCTGAGCGAACCAGTTCTCAGTTCTTGATATAAGACAGCTTCCTATCTTCCTACAAGACTGACGCAGGGAGGGGGACCAGTTTGCCAGCTGGTATGGTTTCTCTCCTTGACATAACACATGTAATAAGAGGAGACTGGCACTCTGCAATCCTGATCATTAAGGCGCCCCCTGAGGTGCTCAGTACTCCTCTCCACAGACTCCTCCAGGCAACCATTTCACATTTCCATAACTCTGTGTATGGGGGAAGTGCATGTGGATGGACAGTTAACCACCCTACTCGCTCCAGTTCTGCTGTCATGACCTGCGGGTTCCTCCTGTGTTAGGGTTGCTAGGGGGTTGCCCAGAAGGCTTGAGCCCTGGGTGTTTTCTTCTGGGCCCCTGATCTCCTTCCCCTCTGTTTTTAAAAAAATAATTCTTTTTTTTAAAACTTTGCTTAGTGATAAAGATAAGGAGGATAAGGTTCCAAATCGCTATAAACCTTGATGGTTATGTTCTGCCTTCGCTGTCAGAGACAATAATGCTTCTGAATACTAGTTGCTGAAAACCACAGAGGGGAGAGGGCTGTTGCGCTCAGGTTCCCCTCCTAGGCTTTCCTTTGGGGGCATCTGGTTGGCCACTGGTAGAACAGGATGCTGGACTAGAGTGGGGGCAGACTTTGGTAATCTTTCATAATACAGTGCCCTGTGTGAGGCCAACATTTGGTGCCCCCGAATGGATCTCAATTTTGCATCTCTTTGGCTCAGTGCCCTGTGCAGGGGAACAGCTCACACAACCCTAAATCCGGCACTGGGTAGATGGGCCACTGGCCTGATCCAGCATACTCTTCTGGTGGTCTTATGCTCTTGGGAAGTCCACAAGTAAGGTCTGAACAGCCTCCCCAATTGCTTGCCTCCAGAATCTCGTCACTAAAACCCTACCTAAATATGCCAGGGATTAAACCTGGGACGTTCTGCATGCACAGCAGATGCTCCACCATCAAGCTACAGTTCCCCCTAGTTTGTCTGAAAAAATGGTGTCCTGCCTTTCCACCAAATGGTACTCCGAAGAGCACACTTCAAGGAGAGCGCATAGATTGGGAAAACTGCTCCTGCAGACATTACCGCACACACATGCCAATCTAATGCCAATCTTCCCCCCAATCTTCCCCAAAGAAGACAAACTGTGTCACACAGACAAACTGTGTCACACAGAGCTTTAGATGCACTTACTCTTCATCTCCCTGGAGACACCCCCAACTCCTAGTCTGTCATCTCCTCTTCCCAGTCCCCAGCTGCATGAGAAATACAGGTTGGGCTTGTGATACAATGCACCGTTGGAGAGCCAAATCCCTCTCTCCTTGCATTTCAAAAATCCTCACTTTGGTTTCATGGACTGCTTGTGCTAGGACAGTGTGTTGTCTGGGGCTGATGGGAGCTGTAGTCCAAAATGTCTGAAGAGCACCAAGTCAGGACTGGTTGGTTAAGTTACACACTGTAGCCCCACCAAGATTGAGATAGGTTGACAGAGGTTGTATGAAACCTGAGCAGAACAGTTGGGGGTGTTAATGCTTCTCTCTCTCCCCGGAGGGGAGTCAGTGGTGGCATACTGGTTACATTGTTGAACTAGGACCTGGAAGACCAGGGTTCAGATGCCCACGCAGCCAGCAAACTCCCAGGGTGACCTTGGGCCAGTTACCATCTCTCAGCCTAACCTAACTCATGGAGTTCTTGTGAGGATATGTTGGGGAGGAAGAGAACCCTTGAGCTCCTTGGAGAAAACGTGGGATATAAATGTGATAGATAAATAAACAAACCGTAAAATTAATTTTCTTCCTTATTGTGAAGGAAAGAAATTAACTCCTCCTTCCACCTCCCTCTTTTTCAGAGTTTTCAGGAATTTAATTTGGACCTGCCTTTGCCATCCTAAGGACCTCCAGATGTTTCAGAATACAACTCCCAGCTGTGCTGGCTGAGGCTGATGGAGGTTGTAGTCCAAAACACCTGAAGAGCAGCCAGTTGGTGAAGAGCTTGCTAGAATACTTCTGGGAGGAAGCATCTTATGGGATGGTCTTCCTGCGCCTTCCTGCTCCATCCCTACAGATAGGCTGCAGAAAGGGACAGGTTAGAGACAATCCCTCTCTCTTTAGCCTCTCCATCACATAGGGAGGATTCATTCCCAGCAAGAACACTTGGACGCCATCAACTTGACACAACAGCATCAAGAGCCAGCCTAACCTATCTCACAGGGTTGTTAGGAGCATAAAATGAAGAGGAGGAGAACAGTGTATGTCACCCTGACCTCCTTGAAAGAAATCTAACAATAAATAACTAACAACAAACAAACAAACAAACAAACCATTCTACGCATCCTGCTCAGTTTAAAATCCTGACTGTCTGAAGATTTCAGACCTGGATAAAAAGGACTTTAAAAAAAATACTCATGCAGAGAGAGCTGTTATCAACCAAATGTTTTGTGAGTGGCAGTGCGGGATTGGACCCAGAGCACAACTTAGCAACTGAAGCAAACACTCCCTGTCCCGCTCTCTCCACCATGTCTAATTCTGGTGCTCTTTTATTTGGCTGACGCATCAAAATAAAAATGCATATTTAAAAAGGGTCAGTTAAATGGCTGGAATTGGCATTTGCCACTCCCGTAAACTTAAATGTCAAACCTTTCTGGGTGGAAAGATACAGGGGCCACCTGCAGGGAGAAGATTATCAGCACTATTAAAAGGTGGCAGAGAAAGAGATAGAGATGGAAGTTGCTGAGGTTCTCTTGCACAAGCATCCCCTGTTCATTTCAATGGGACTTGTGCAAGAGACCTTCCTGTTCAACTGGGCCTCCTCTTACTTTGCCAAAGGGGCATCCTCCAGATGTTTAGGACTACAACTCCCATCAGTATGTCCATACTGGCTGGAGCTCATGGGAGTTGTCATCCAAAACATCTGAAGAGCACAGGTTGGCGAAGCCTTGCATAGCTTGCATAGGTGTCATCCTGTGCCGCTGGCACCCAACCCAGACTTGGTCCTGAGACAGTTTTCACAAGTGGAACACCCAGAAAAAAGAAGCAAGGGAGGTTTTCTCACCTTCAAGGTGCATCTATGTGAAAATGGTCACCAGTGGACATGAACAGAGCAGTGTTAAAATCAAACCCAATATTCGAAGGTCAGCTACAGGAGCTCAAAAGACAAATAAAGGGATAGGCAACCCATCCTTAGGTTTGCTCAGTGTCTATTGCATATTTTTTTAATGTATTATTTTTAACTGTTTCACTAATTCACCGTCTTTGCACTTACAGTCTCTCCAACCTTCAGCCCGCCCCAGCAACACACAGGACTGAAGCATAAGCGGTGTCTCTCCTCTCACTCAGAAAGACAGGTTAACTTGACCCCAAAGCTTCGGGGCCGATACCCAACACACAGGGGTGCGCTCAGGCACAATTCGCACACGTACACACACCAAACCGCTGAGCACGACCCCTTCCCGCTTGCTGCGTTCTTTTGCTCTTCACCAGCTTCTTTTCCACGGGGATTGCTTTAGGTGGCTTGTTGGTCCCTGCCAATGTCTGCCCGACCCACTTCCTTTCCCTGGCGACTCCTGAGGACTAGCTGCTTAGCCCTGCCTCACTTTACCGGTGCTCTCCCGCGCGCAAACCTCTGACCCGGCGGTTGCCTTGCATCACTTTACCGGTGCTCTCGCGCACGCACACTTCTGACCCGGCGGTTGCTTCCTCCTGAGAACCTGGGGAAAGGTGCACAGGGAGGACTCCAGGAGAATTTGGAGTGGGGGCTTTGCAGGGAGGAGGAAGAGAAGCAGCTCCAGCGTCTGTTTTCGCCCCCTCTCGCCCCCTCCTTCCCTTCCAGCATAGCTCCGCTGGAGTTTCCTGCCAGGCAGCCCCGAAGCAGCGCATTTCCAGCCAGAAGTTTCCGAGCTCTCTCCTCCCCAACCCCGCATCCCGTCCCAAAAGGAAGCGCAGGAAAGAGAGGAGTGGCAAGGAGGGGGCAGCGGAGTTAGAGGAGGGACGAAGGGCCCCTTACCTGGCCAAAGACCGAGCTGAGGATGGGGTGGAGCTGGTGGAAGAGTGGGTCGACTTCCGCGCCGGGTTTGGAGGCGGCGGAGCTCTTGCTGCTGCCGCCGCCTCCGCTGCCGCCGGAGGTGCCTTTGGGGGACGCTCCGTCGGGCAGCTGGAGGGACTCTCGGCTGGCTCGTTTGCCGCCCAAGTCCTGCCCCCGACCCGCCGTCGCTACCCCGTCGCTCTCCGCCTCCTGGCTGGCACTCCGAGAGGAGCCGCGCGCCCGGCCGCTCCCGCGTCTCCGCGGAGCCGCCTCCGCCTCGTCGGGCTCCCCCAGGCGATTCTGCTGCTGCTGGTGCCTCCTCAAGCTGCCGTTGGAGGAGACTGTGGCGCCGGCTCCTGGGTGGCACAGGGGCCTCCTGGCGCTGGGCTCGGGGCTGCCTTCCGTGCGGCCCCCGGAGCTGCGCGGCTGCGGCTCGCTGGGCGCCCGCCTGCCGCTCCCGCCGCCGCCCGTCCGCAGTAAGGACGTCTTGGACTCGCTCTTGCGCACCGAGGAGGAACTCATGGTCGGCGCCGCCACCGCTCAGCGGACCAGCATCTCTTAAGCCGCCAGGAGGAGGAGGAAGCCGGGAGGGAGGGGGTAGAGAGGAGGAGGAGGAGGAGGTGGGGGGGACGCGTCTTTATATCTTCTCCCCCCCCCCCCACCGCCCCACGCCTGGGGAAGCTCCTGAGCTGGAGGCGACTGCCGCCGCCGCACTTCAGCACCACAGCCCTCGGACAGCGCCCGGAGCAGCAGCAGTAATAGTAGCAGAGGCGCCGCCAGGCACAACCGCCGCCGCAGGTGAAGCGCCTGCAAAGCTGCCGCCGCCGCACTTCAGCACCACCGCCCGCGGACAGCAGCAGCAGCAGTGAATGGAGAGAAGAGGCTACGCCAGGCAGAGCCGCAGGTGAAGCTCCTCGCCCCGCAGAGCCGCCGCCGCAGTAGCCGCAGCCTCCCTCCCTCCCTCCGACCGCCGCATCGGCTCCCCGAACCTCGCGGGAGCCCCGGCAGTGGGTGGGAAGCGCCGCGCCGGCGGCGGGATGAAGGCGCAGCGCTGGCCTTGGGAAGGAAGGAGGCGAGGAGGGAGGGAGGGAGGAAGGAAGGCGACCCTCACTTCCCAAACAGGAGTAGTGCGGAGGGTGGGGAGAACCTTCGCCAAAAGATGCACCAAAGCTTCCCCCCCCCACTCCCCGCCTTAGCAGACACCGGATCCCCTCCCTCCTCCCCCCTCTCCTCGCTTCCTCACCTGTGGAGTCAGCCAACTTTCAACGCCAGGCTCACCCTGGACCAGAGCATGAACTCGTAGATGGGGAATGAAGGCAGAGAGGCACTTTGGAGAGCTCCAGCAGAGGAGGAGGAGAAGGAGGAGGAGAATGGCAGCAGCAACAGCGCCCTGATGGAGGGGGGGCTGTCGCTTGGCACAGCCAGATTTAAAGGGTCCCAAGAATGGCACCCTTGTCACAAGACCATTCTATTGCCCTCGGAGAGATAACAAAGTACTCTTGGCATCCACATGGGTGAGGTGTATCCTGATGCCTGCCTGTCCTGCTTCCCTATGGTCAGCTCAGGAAACAGAATATGGATGTCACAGAGGGCATCAGGGTGGAAGGCCTCAGAGCCCTGGGTCAAAACTGAGTGGGACATCCTCAGGCACAAGTCCCACCGGTGTGACTGGCACCCTGTTCTGTGAGCACCCCCCACATTCAGTCCGAAGGGGGCCTGCACTGACATTCATTTATGACAGTCATCATGGAACTCAAGATGAGGCACAGGAGCTTTTGCTAACCTGGTCCCCCCCCATGGGAGTTGTAGTCCAAAACATCTAGAAGGGACTGGGTTGGCAAGTACAGGTTTTCAAGCCCAGTCCTAGCTTGGAAATAGCTGAGAACCTCCTGGTGATTGATAAGGACAGCCAGTGGTGATCTGAGCTAGCAACAAAATCGGGCAGAGCAACAGACACGGCTGTTATCTTTGCACACTTGGCCACATTCCAGTCAAGCAAAAGTCAAAAGTTCCTAACATCCATTCCCTCCCCTCCACACATCTCTCCATCCTCCAACTCCATTCCCTCCCCTCCACACATCTCTCCATCCTCCAACTGGTTATGCAACCCTCTGAGCTCTGGGCCCTATTCAAAGTGTTCACATTAGTGCTTTATGCTCTAAATAACTTTTGGCAACAAATATCTGAGAGACTGCCTCCTTCCGGAGAAATCCTCTTAGAAGTTAAGATCAACAGAGGAGGCCTTCTTGGTAGTTCAACCATCCTCAGAAGTTAAGAGGGTGTTGGCCTGGAAGAGGACATTCTCTGTGTCAGCCCCTAAGTTGTAAAACTCCCTTCTCCCCACAGAGGTGCATCTGGCAGCTTCACTGAACGGCTTTTTGGGGATGCTGAAGAGGCACCTCTTTACTCTAGTCTTTGACACCTGAGAGGTGTGTTTTCAGAACAGCCTCTGTTTCTGTGCCTGTAACTTCTTCTACCTGATCTAAAATCTTTCAATTATTGTAAACTGCCCTGGGATCTTAGAATGAAGGGTGGGTGAAAAATGAAATTAATAGTAAAAATAATTAGCAACAATCACACAAGCAGGAGGCATTATTGCACTTCATGGAGGCCACATCCCCATCAAGGAAAGGCATTCTAGGAGGGTGCAGAACAGGGACAATGATGGGTGTAACCTAGGGGGAGGGCATGTGGTTTGGAGGGAATCCTGAGAGCCAGCTAGAGGAGACTGGAGGGTCATATCTGGCCCATGGGCTGGATGTTCCCCACCCTTCCTGTAGCTATTCTGCAACAGTGTCTACTTATAAATTCATTAGGTCAGGTGATCTGGCTCAGATCCATTGTGAAGCCCAAGATGCCTGACTGGGAACATCTCATCAAGTTATCAAGTTCTGTAGTGTAATCAATATTGGGTTAACTATCCCTCAGGGGTTGGGGAAAGGGTATTAACATGTAATTGGATTCTCTTGTGCAAAAGTAAATGTGGAAACTGTCCAGGTAGATACCCAATATCAGCAGCCAAAGGTCACACCCTTTTCCACTCTTGTCATTCTCATGTACCTTATTGACAAACATCCAGGCAGATAATCTCTCCCTGGTGGAGTTAGCTTCCCTGCCAGCTATTTTTATGTCAGGGGAACCATCTGAAACTCAAATTGAGTGTAGGTCCTTTGGACCATACACCACACCACCAGGAAGCCCTCCAGCGTGATATGAAAATGACCTCGTTTCCAGGCTTTTTGCTTCTGATGCCCGGACTTCAGAAACACAGACTGCCTCTGAAGAGAGAGCTTCCATTTTGCTGTTGAAGTTATCATCAAAGCTGGTGGCTATTCCCACATCTTACATGGTAGGTGAGGTTCAGCGATATAACATAGTCTGGCCTCCCCTAACCTGGGGCCCTCCATAGGTTTTAAACTACAATTCCCATCAGCCCCAGCATCATAGATCCATGCAGGCTGGGGCTGATGGGAGTTGTCGTCCAAGGTATGTGGAGACACCAAGTTGGGGAAGGCTGATGCAGTCAGTGCCAAGCTAGATCTAGCAATGTTTCAGATTCCAAGTAGTAATTGCTTCAAGGAAGCTTTACTTTCCAGCTGGAAACCTCATCAGGGTTGAAAGCAGTTGCCTTATTAATAGAGAGGAAATCACTGAGGCAGAAATAGGAACGAGACATTGGCTTTGAAAGCCCTCCGGGGATCAATACAGCAAAAAGTTCCACTGGCAGCAGATGGGCAACACTCCTTCCCAGGAGGAAAGCTACATCAAGGAGGCCTTGGTAGATTAACCAACCCACTGATACTTTATCACAGGGCTGGTACACCTGCACATGTTGCTGAATTCCTTCTGTGACCCTGACTATTGGTCATGTTGGCTGGGCTAATGGCATACAAAGCACATGCTCTGCCATTAGAACGTAAGAAGAGCCCTGCTGGATCAGGCCAAAGGTTCATCAAGTCCATAGAATCAAGGAACCATAGAGCTGGAAGGGATCACAAGGGTCTAACCATAGGGACCATGTAGTCCAACCCCCTGCAATGTAGGAATCTTTTGTTCAACATGGGGCTCGGACCCACAATCCTGAGATTAAGAGTCTCTTGCTCTACTAACTGAGCTATCACAATGGGCAACCAGATGCCTCTTCTAGGAAGACTACAAACAGGATCTGAGCACAACAGCAACCCTCGCTTCCTGTGATCTCCAGCAACTGATACTGTATTTAGAAGGTTTTTTGCCTCTGATCATGGAGGCAGAGCACAACCATCAGTTTGGAGACAGCTGCTGTGCTCTGTTATACTCCAGGTTATGATCACAGTCTCTTTGACAGCACAAGACCCAGGTCCAGCCCAGGCACAAGGAATGTCTCCTGCAATGACTTCAGTGGGAGGGATTTTAATGGGCCTGCTGTAACCTGGTCCAAAACAGGTCATAAATGGGAGTCAGACTTCACATGTTGGCTCATTTACTTTTTATGTTCTCAGCTTCTCTCCTCCTGATCAGCACATTCAGATCAGCACATAACAGGAGAAGGACATTATACTTTTGGAATGCAAAAGAGCTGGCTGGCTGGCTGGATTGATTGAACAAGACCAAGAAACAAGCCCAAGGAGGAAAAGAAACTAACACTGCTAAACTGCTCTCTGCAAGAACCGCCTCTCCAGAGGGAGTATGGATTATTTGCCATCTGGCTGGACAGAATTGTCAAGACACTTAATATCTTACATAATACGCTTATTCGCTGCTTGCTTCCCAAGGTGGAACAAACATTTCATTAAGTAACGTCATACAAAGTCAGAGGCAAGACCTACCCTTGATGCCGCTAAGGTGGGGTTGCAAGTCATGGCATCTGGATGCTAGTGCAGCAAAACAGGACAAGGCATCATTGGTGCAGCAACTTAGGACAGCATTACATCACTCACACAGAGGGCAATGTAAAGAGGGGCTGTAGAGCATCTGCTTTGTATGCCTGGCATCTCCAGGTAGGGATGGGAGAGACCCCTGTCTGAAATCCTGGAAACCTGCTGCCAGTCAGTGTGGCCAATACTCAGCTACATGGAGCAATGACATGCTGTGTTGTGAGGCAGCTTCCAATATTCCTGTGTAGTGCAAGATTGTGGCAGGGGCTGTTCTAGGGGCTGGAAATTTCTCAGCTTCATATTCAGATAGTACCTTCCCTGCCTGGCTAATTAACACAGGGTAAAATCTCCACCACAAACCTCATTGAATTGAATGGGACTTGAATGAAAGCAGAAGGGTGCAGTAGCCATTTACTTCAGTGCAGCAAACTTCCCGTGCAATTTGGCCCATTTTAATTACCCAGAGGCAGGATAGGCCGTTTTAATTTTCCACCTCATCTGGGCACCAAAATATCCTGAGTGCAGATTCCAAGGAAGGATCATTTCACCTTGATTCATGCACATGACCTCCTTTTCATCTGAACTGCAAAAAAGTCAAAGCTCTTGACTTAATGAACCAGTGAGAAAACCGATGGTGGGGGAAAAGGAATAGAATATAAGCAGAGTTGGAAGGGGCCCCAAAGGTCGTCTAATCCAACCCCCTGCAATGCAGGAATTACAGTTAAATCTGCCTTTGTGTTGTGTGCAACAGTGGCATTCAGCTGCTGCTGGGAGAGAAGAAAACAAGCTCAGTGGCAGAGCATCCCCAGCCTAAAACCCTGGAGTGCTGCTGTCAGTCAGTGTAGACCAACTGAACCAATGGTCTGAGTTGGTCCAAGGCAGTTTCCTGTGTTGCTATGTCATTCAGCTCAGCACACAATACCCTTTTAGCTGCCTTCTCAAACTTTTAATTTCCTAGGTACTGAGTGCTTGAAAGGGCCCTGCGACTGACTGTAGGTCCACAGAGAAAAATGTTCCTTGAAACAGATTGTCTGGAGGGTGCTAAAGATCATTACCTGATTGGAAATGCTTTGAGAGTGCTCAGAAACAGGGAGATTTGCTTTATGGAATAAATTCTGCTGGTTAACCAATGAATATGCTGTATGAGTGTCACAGCAAGAATGTGTTATGCTAGCTAGATATTGGAACAGTGGAGGAAAGCTCAAATTCCTGTCCTAACGGAATGGGAAGGGAAATTGTACAAATAGGCACTTATGGCAAAGCTATTAAGAGTCAATTGAGGAAAGTCCCTTCCAGCTCTACAATTCAGTGTTTAGACAGAACTGGAAAGTGTTTACCGAATGCTGTCTTTAACCAAGCACATTCTCCACAAGATCCAAAATATTTATTTGAGATGATATAATACAGGGGTTGCCAAACTTTTTTGGCTGATGGGCAGATTTAGATTTTGAGTGAGTGTTGAGGGTGCCACCCCTTCTCTCTCTCTCTCTCTCTCTCTCTCTCTCTCTCTCTCTCTCTCACACACACACACACACACACACAGATGAGAACCCTCCCACAGAAAGACAGAAAGACTTTTGGGCACACACTCACACACTTCAGTTTTCCAAAGGATCTTGGTAAGTCAGATCCAGTAGAATTAATCAGCACCTTGAAAATTACATAGAGATGAAAGAGGAAGTGAGAAAGAATGTAACTTTTCTAACTTCCTCCTTCAGCTGTAGGTACATTTCAAGGGACAAAAAGCTGACTACACTCGTCAACTCATGACCATGGAGGTAGAGTGAGAGAGGGCTCAGAGCCTCCAGAGGAGAACCTCAAGAGTGATATAGTTATATTATAATGCCTACCAAATAGTTGATGCAATCCTTTATATTTTTCTATTTCTTTCTGTTTGTTGCCTTTTTTCCAAATAAGTATGCTTGTTTTATAAAACTGAGCAGAAATGCTAAATTGAAAATAAAACCTGTAAAGGAATGTGCAGGCTTTAAATGTGAATGGGATGCTATTTGGCAAAATCGTTCAGAAAGAGAAGAGACATTTGGTTTCGATACTGCTCATTGGGATCACTTATTGTACAGATAGGAAAGGAGACCGTGAGCAATGAGAATTTCAGTTAGGTTTTGACCTGGCAATCTCTTGGGTGCTAAAGGTGCTTGTTACAGTAAAGGCAGAAACTACCATCCTCTCCAGGGCAAAACAGTGCCATCAAAACTGATTAATAAGAAATTAGCTGCTGCAGCAATGACTCGAAGTTTACTTGGACGTACAGCCAATTTGCATATGCATGGAATTTGGGCCATTTCCCAAGGAACACCATCCCACACAAATAGAGTTTGCATAAAGTTTCAGTAATTGTTTTGAGTAGAGGGGGCAGCTTCAATTTTGTTCTGCTCAGCATAGGATTAGAGGGCCTCATAATGGCTACCAGGCATCCTTGTTCTGTTTTTGTTTGCTTCCTTCTACTCCTCCTCTTTGACCTTTAACAGCAGCCTGATCTGCACAATGATGCTTTCCCTAGCATTCTGGGATGTGTGTTTGTGTGTGTAGATGTACCTACTGTACATTTCTGTCTCATGGTAGGGCTGGCCTGGATATTTCTGTGCAGGGCTGGCCCTACCATGAGGGAGAGTAAGGTAGCTGTCTCAGGGGGCAGATGGCAGGGGCAGCAGCTGTCCCTCCACTGCCCCCCACTCAAGTCATTTAAGCCTCCTCTCTACCTTTTAAGCTAGTCTACTGCCCCCGAGTACAGAGTTGGACATCGTTCCACAGCCTTGAAGTCAGATTCAGCCACCAGCCAAGTAGAATTCTGTATGTGGAATGGGAGCGCCAGCTCATTTAGATATGGGGGAGAAATTCTGTTCACATTTATAGGCAATCTTACCTTACCCATTTTGTGCTTTCTAAAACAATATTAAAATATCCCAAGTTTCAAATTGTGCACTTCTCTGAATTTTGCAGTGCAGTACTCTGGCCAAGTAATGTGTGCAAAAATTCATAGATTAGTGGAAAGAACATACCCAAGTTGCTTTGCAAAAATGTGTATATTGGGAAAAATTGCATACAAACATGGGACAATTTCACACTAAAAGGCTGGTGAATTTTCACGAGGACTGAAACAAAACTGAGAAATGTGAAGGATTAAACTTAAAAAGCAGAAATTAGAAACTGAGAGACACTGAAATTGACAGATTCACCCATCCTGAATCTTTGCTTTCACTGTAGGCAGCAGAATGATTTGGGATGGCCCTGGTGCTGTGTGTTGTACTCCCAACATACAACACTTGCTAGCTATGTCATTGTACTTTTATGAAGAACCCTAAACATCACCTTCCCAAAAGGCAGTTTTTTAAGGCTGCTTGGCAGTGCCTCTCACTTGGGGTGGCCTGGCCAGTACTGGTTAGTTTTTTGTTTGTTTGTTTCCATTAAGTGCTGTGTGTTCTCATTTTACATTTTTATGTTGTGAATTAGCCAGTGATCTTCAGCTGAAGGGCGGTATACAAATTTAATAAATAAATAAATACCATAAAAAGATTTTAGGGTAAAGCTGCCCTGGATGCTTGAAGGGTGTCCCTCAAATCTTAGTGTGACTGTTCATACGGTGATGCACATAAAGTCTGAAACATTTTCTAGGCCTTGTTTTGTTCCTGCATTGGTGGAGCATGAGGACAGATACTATTTTATATCAGGCCTACTTTTCTCATCTGAATGATGGAATGATCGCAGAAGCTGCACTCACAGAAATTCTCCCTTCTAAATGCAGAGGAGCCCTATTAGGAAGGAACGCTTTTACTTTAGCAACAACAGTAACAGGATTCTGTGCCTGTGAAAAGCTGGACACTGCAACCTGTTATCAACCGATGTGCAAGATGAGCAGGTTTGTATTAATAATACAGTGTGCACCTTACCTGACCGTTTTTGCCACAGTGTTTCATCATGGAACTCTTTGTCATCTAAGTGCTAGAAACCTGTTCTCCTTAAATAAATGGAAGTAGAGTTGCAAGGAAATGACAGCCAGTGTCCAGTGCTGCATCTGTGGAGCCACAAAGTACACATTCAGTACTGGACCTATTAATATTTGGCAGGGGGGAAGAAGGGTTGTCAAAGATGAATTCAGCTGGGCAAGCTCTGCCATGGATGTAGCCTTATACTAGGTTGGATTTGCTCATCTAGTTCAGTATGTATATATTTATTTTTCATTCTGGCAGATGCTCTCTGAAGCAAATTCTGAGGTCTTTCTTAACTTCCCTTCCCACTCCGCCTGAAATCCTTTTCATTGGAGATGCCCAGGATTGAACCCCAAATCTTCTGCATTCACAGGAATGCTCTCCCACTGAACGATAATGAGGGGCAGGGAGGAGGCTGCAGTGCAGCCCATTTACAGCTGGAGAGTTATTTGCTGCTGCCCAGCACACCAGGCTTCGCTTCACAGGAGAATAATCCCAACAGCAAAGAAGACTTGGGGGCTTTTGTGTGTGTGCTGGCTTTAATCCCCGCACAAATTGTGATTTACACTGGTAGAGTGCCTGAGAGCAGCCAAGGGCTCACTGTACCCAGCCAGTGGGGAAGGTTGGCTGGAGACATTGTGAGGATCAGAGCTTAGGGCGGTCTACCTGAACCAATGGATTTGAGTTAGAAGAAAGGAGATTCTGACTAAACCTTAGGAAGAGCTTTTTGACAGCAATAGCTATTGAACAATGGAATGAACTCCCTTGGAAGGTGGTTGATTCTCCTTCCCTCCCTGGAGATTTTTCCCTGCATTGCCATCTGTCAGGGATTTTTTAGCTGTGATTCCTGCATTGCAGGGGGTTGGACTACTAGAGGACCCTTCAGGTCCCTTCCAACTCTACAATTCTGATCTGGGGCAGATCTACCATGAAACTAATGAAGTTTAAGCTTCAGGGCCCCTAATCCAGGAGGGACCCCACAAGAGACTTTAGTCCACATTGCTTTCTTAAAAATTGCTTTTAAAAAGGCATCATGCATGTATATTTTCCTAAAGGCATAGGATTGCTGGTTGCGAAAGGGCCCCCACATCAGTTCAAGTTTCAGAGCTCCCCAAAATATAGGTCTGCCACTGATGCTGCCAGATACCTTTCAGATACCCTTTGAGGGGGTCGCATAGCCACCGTGTCCCCCCCAGAACCCCTCAAGCAGCTGCATTTACCGTGGAGCCTCCGTGAAGCACACCCGTCTCGGGAGACGATGAAACTGGACTCCCCACAACATACTTTTAATTACATGGCTTCCCCCAAAGAATCCTAGGAACTGTAGTTTACCTTTCATGGAGCTACTGTTCCCAGCACCTTTAATAAACCACAGTTCACAGGATCCTTTTGGAAGAAGCCATGTGGTTTAAAAGAAGGGATATCCTCTTGGTCTATGGCCAAGAGCCAATGATAGCATGGATTTAGTAAGGCCTGTTATGCATTACAGAAAAAAAGAGACCAGTTTGCATAAAAAAGTCCCCTTGGTGGTTTATATCTATAGATGCACATTGAGAAATAAAGGATTGTGTTGTGGGCTAGACCTACTCAGGTCTATTCATTCCAATGGGTCTACTCTGAGTACGACTAACATTTGGATACAACCCAGTTGCTCTAATTTAAATAGAAATATGACACATCTCAACATAGCGGGGAAGAAACCAGGTGAGTGACTTGTGTGCCTGCTTAGCCTGATGACCAGGCACTGCTCTGCTGTCTCAGAGGTAAGCAACATGGTGCCCTCCTGATGCTGTTGGATTACAACTCCCGTTGTCTCAGTCTGTGAGCATTGCTGGCTGAGGCTGATGGGAGATGAAGTCTAGCAACTCGCTCCTACGGGAGGCAGTGACAGGCACCAACTAGCCACAATGGCTATGCTCTGCCTCTACCATCGGAGGCAGTAAATGCTTCTGAATACCAGTTGCTGGAAACGACAGGAAGAGGAAAAGCTCTTGTGTTTGGGTCATGCTTGCAAGCATCTGGGTAGCTACTGTGAGAACAGGATGCTGGACTAGATGGGCCCTCTTGGCCTGATCCAGCAGGCTCTTCTGATTTTCTTAACATCTGGAGGGCAATATGTTAGCTGCCCCTGGGCTGTATTTTTTAAATAAAACATTTTATTGCTTTCCAACAAAATACAAACAAAACATTAAGTTTCCCCCAGTTCTACCCATCTCCCCCTCCCCAGAGCAGAATATTAAGATTTTGCCTTAAGCCTGTGGTGCCAGTCATCAGAGTATTCATTTGAATATTTTATAAGGGGTACCATATTCCGAAAAAATCATCCCCCCATTGCTGTGGATGGGCTCCAGTTCACAAAACTCCACATTTCATTGGGCTCTGATTCCGCTGCATGGACTGATGGTCCCTCCATGCTTAGTCACAGCCAGAGGCACCCTTGGGGATGGCATGCAAAACCACTAGGCAGCATGGAAACTGGGGCAATCTTCTGTTCCTCAATGAGCTACGGTTGCATTTGCAATGCAAAGGAGATGGCCAAAACCAGACTCTGCATCAGAGGAAGGGATTTGGCCTTTAAATACAAATTGAAACAGGCTCAAGCACTTAACACTTGCACACTTTTCATGGCTTTATGCGAAAGAGCAAGCCAGGACACACAAACTCAAAAACCGTTCCTGGGCACTTCAGATCTGACAAGCTGAGTGTGCATAAGGAGGTTATATAAGACACCCCTTTCCGGATATCACTGAAATCTAAGACAATTAAAACAGAATGTTAATAAATGTCTTACGCATGAGAGGGAGAGAAATCCTTCCAGCTATTAAATGGATTAAACTTTGGCATCAGTGGCAGGGTTTGAGGCTGAGTGTCAGAATTGTTTTCCTGTTTCTGAGCAAAAGCAGGAATACAGACACAGCCAATATTATCTGACTAAAGATGAGGTATGTGATCCTGGGACAAGCCCCGAGAGTGTGAGGAACCCAACATGTTTTTAAGGGTGCTTGTGACATCATAGATGCCCCCCCCCCCAGGACAGGAACATAAGGAAAGCCCTCCTAGGTCAGACCAAGAGTTCATCTGAGGACTCATCAATCAGTTTTTTTGTGCATTGATGTTTGTTCTGTTTCAGCAGTAAATTGTGGGTTTTCCAAGGGAAAGTGGCAGAACAAAAGAAAAACCTCTCGGACCCACACCTAGAAATCAAGAGAAGTGTGGATGAGCCCTAAGTCAGCACTTCTTAGCAGTGGAGGTAACAATTTGGGAAAACTTGCAAGCAGAGCATCTGTGTCTTTGTTCATCCACAATAGTGAGACCCCCCCAGCAGGGGCATACCTAGGGATTGTTCAGGTTGGCCCTCACCAAGAGCATAGGCCCAGGGGGTGGGTGCCACAAAAATTGTGTCTCTCCACTCTGGCTTAGAGTGGCTAGAAGCCAACCTGCATGCTCCCTGGGCTGCTCTTCTGGGCAGCTGGGCAAGACACAAGCTCCTATGGTTGCCTCAGTGGAAGAATCTGATTGATGGCATGATTGATGCGGTGGAGGGCAGCAGCACCAGAAGAGAAGCTCAGGAACTCAGGCTAGGTGCTCCCCTAAGAAAAGGTCAAGAAGTTCCCGCACCTCTTTTTCTAGAAAAAGTGGGGCTTGGAGGTAGCATGAGAGTTGATGGAAGAAGAAAAGGGAAGGGAGGGAGGAAGGAGGCAGAAGGGAAAACAGCCAGTGGAGCAGAGCTTTCCAAACTGTTCTTGTTAGTAACACACTTTTTAGACATGCATCATTTCACGACACAGTAATTCAGTTTTACTAGCAAACCGGAGGTTAAATTAACCCCTTTCCAGCCCCGGGAGGAGCGCAGGGAGCGTTTGCACAACACACCTACATACTGCAGCCGACACACTAACATGTCACGACACACAGTTCAGAAAATTCTGCAGTGGAGGGAGGGAAGGAGGAAGGCCAAAGGGCAGAAAGATGCACCAATGGAGGAGGAGGAGGGGAGGCAGAACAAAGCAGACCCAACCCTGATGGCTGCGAAGAAAGTCACTGGCAGAGTGCAAAAGGAAACAAATAGCAAACTTTTTGATTTTCTGGTCCATGGTCTCTCCTGGCTTCGGAGGTGCTGACACAGTTCTTTGCTAAGGGTGCAAGGGAGCCTAGGTACACATCTGCTTCCCAGATCCACTCCTCTGAACCTGAAGGCTCCATTGGGATCTAATGACAAAGAGCTGTTCCTGGACAAATTCTCCCCAGCCTGGTACTCTCTAGATGTGTTGAACCACAACTCTCATTAACCCCAGTTAGCAGGCTAGAGCTAGTGGGAATTGTAGTCCAACATACCTGGAGGGCACCAGATTGGTAAAGAAGGCTGTGCTAGCATGCCCCACAAATGTGGCTAATCAACCTTTAAAGAGAGTCACCATACATGACTGCTGGCAGGCACACTCAACTTCATGCGTCACCTAGGTCCAGGCCTAGCTCAGCTGGTGCAGGCTGCTCCATTAGGGTTAAAGCAGCACTGCTCCACACCAGCCTCAGACTGCCCTCAACTAGCCTAGACCTGCCTGCCTTCTAACAACCAGTCCAAGGGGATACAGCTTCCTTCTTTTTATCAGTGTTGCCCTTGTTGAACTCAGTAAGGAGGAGGGCTAGGATGGGGCAACACCAGAATTAGTTGTCTCTGCCTGCCACCTGTTATGGCCCTGCCTACTGTCGATCTCCCTGCCTTCCTCACCACCAAACCCTATAAGCACCAGCCACCAATGCTCAGGGCATTGATATATCTGGCTTCCTAGCCATTTTCTGGGGCAAACCATCCAAAGTGCAACACCTGACATGCAGAGAGCAGCACAAGTAGCCCCTGTGTTCAAAATGAGAACAAAATATAAGCTTGCCAGTGGCCCATCTAGTCCAGTGGTCAACCAGATGCCTGTGGGAAACTGGCAAGCAGAATTTGTGCACAGCAACCCCCCCCCCCAGCCCTGTGGCTTCCACTTCCATCAACTGGTTTTCAGAGCCATTTGCTGGCTCTGAGAGCAAAGGCAGAACATAGTCACTGTGGCTACTAGCTGTTGATAGCCTCCTCTTCCATGAATTAGTCTGATCCTCTTTTAAAGCTGTCCAAGCTGATGGAGAGATCCTGAGAAGTCCTGGGACCCCAAGGCAGGAGTAAGAAAGGGGGACTGTCATCAAGAAGGAGCTCTGGAGACAAGCCACAGAGTGCAATTCCCTTGGAGAGGGGAGATTATCAGAGAATGTCATGCAAACAAGACCTCCCTCCTCCCAGCTGCCTGACCCTTGCATGCATGCACACACACGCACACACGGCTTTTGCAAAGCCATGGAACGGAAATAATTTAGGTTGAATCCATCAAGCATTAAAATCCTTTAGCTGAGGGATTCAAGTGAAAAAATGAGCTGTAGACAGGAATTAGAAGTTCTCTGCCTGGGCTGTCAAAAGGGATTTCCCCCCAGTGACAGAGAAAAAAAGGAGCAAGGCTGGAATGGCAGGGAGCAAATCCTTCCTGAGTCTCTGATAGGGTTCAGAAGCTCCTTCAGGCTCCAGGTTATGGTGGTGGCCCTGACTGGGGATTCAATCCTCAGCCAAATTGTGCAGGTCACTCAACACAAGAGTCTTGTTTGCTCAACGCAGAGGAACGGTTGGCATGAACCTCAATGCATCCACAAGTGGAATGGACAAATCTGTCCATTCTCTCTCACTTAATGCATTTGAAAGTTGTTTTCATGGGTAAATGTAGTTTTATCTCCATTTGCCCCAGACATCTGCAGTCTGGTATGCATCATTATTTTTGGGGGTTGCAGAACCGCAATGAGAAGTACATTTTGGTTCTTGTATTGGTTTAAGAAGTGCAAATTGGGTAGGCTGCAAATCCTCCCCCCACCTCTAGACCCCCAAAGAGAGGAATGAAAAAGCAAACGTAGTGATGGCAACCAACATGACTGGCTTTAAAAGAGGATTAGACAAACTCATGGAGGAGGAGGAGGTTATCAATGGCTAGGTTCTACTTCCACCATCAGTGAACACCTCTGAATTCCAGATTCTGGGAATCACAGGGAGAGAGAATGCTGCTATTGCACTCAGGTCCTGCTTATGGGCTTCACACTGAGGCATTTTCTGAAGGCAACTTCAGGCATTTTCTGAGGACGTCGTATCATGAGGCAAAGTGAGACAGTGGAGTTTGGGCAGCTGAGTGGGGCAAATAGACAAGACACCATCTTTGGGGATTTTTTCCCTGCAACTGACTACCAAAGAGGAATGAAAGGAGCATCATAGTGATATCACAGGAGGCTGCCTTACACAAAATCAGAGCATGCTTCAACTAGCTCAGGGTGCTCCCAGGCTGCCACCATACTGGACATACTGGACAAATCAGTTTGTTGGGAGCCCTTGCACAACAAACTTGCTTTCTTAGTAAAAACATCCCTTTTTGTGCCAAAGAGAGTGATGAGAAAATACCCTGGAAAGTATAAAGTAACACTTGTTTTGATGCAATCACACACCTTACATGTAAAACACATGGCTCCCCCCACCAAAGAATCATGAGAACTGTAGTTTTTCAAGGGTGCTGCTAATTGCTACTCCAGGAAGAGTAAACTACAGTTCCCAATATTATTTTAGGGAAGCCTTGTGCATAAAATCTAGGGTGTGGATGTGACCCCCTAATCCCTCTGCAAACAAATCTGAATGAATGCTCATAATGTAGTCAGGCTAGCCTATTTTACCTGCAAACCAATCAGGATGAGTGCCCAATAAACAAGCCTGGAAGTGCTCTTAGAGTTGCAGGTGTGAAGCGTGAATAGAAAACCGATCAGGATCTCCTCCTGCATTCCTTCAGTAGGCAATATATTCCTATGAACATTACATAGCACTCAGGTAAGTTAGGGAGCTGCCTGTGTGCCAAGATTTCTGGGGCCTGCCTCTGCTGTCTGGAAAATACCCTGCAGACAAGCACTGCCTGTACATTTAGAGGTGGTACCCTGGGGCATCATGATGACAGCTTGTGGGTGAAACCTAGAATTCCAGGGGACTGGACTGAGAAGAGTTTTCCTGGCCTCATCTCCACTTGCCACCTGGCACACTGATGCAATTCAAAGAGGAGGTGAAGAAGCAAGGGATAACATAAATGGAATTGTGACAATCACATCGCAGGCAACTCTTGATCAGCTGCTATCATCCTGCTCATTAGCATAGGATAAGATAGGAGGGAGGAAAGATTATAATTTGCTCAGGGTATCTAAAAAAGAAAATAAAAACCTTTAGTGGGTCCTGCTTGGATGAGTCATCCAGCTGACTGGCAAGATGTTCCCAAGTAACAAAAGGGAGCCCTCCTTCACACAATGCTTAATTAATTTAAGGAATCTGCTGTCATAAAGTGTGCTGATGGCCAGATGCTGAGATAGCCTCCTCCTGTTCTTGCTTCTGAATCTAGGAGGCATTAGAGAAGAAGGATGGAGGGGACAAGGGAGCAGATTGCCCAGAGGAACACAAGCACTGTGAGATCATAGCTAAATAGTTGCTTCCTCAAGTAGACAATCATTTTATGCGCAAAGGATTCAAGGACAGAAGTTCCTGTTACAAGAATACATGCAGATGCCTTGCTCTTTTGTTTGATCTTTGATTGAAAACAAACTAACATTACTTAGCATTTGTACAGGGCTTTCAAGTGTTCAAAGGACTTCACATGTGTTATCTGGCTGTGCTCCTTTACAAGAGGGGTGGCCCTCAAAGAATTCTTTGGACTTCAACTCCCATCAGCCCCAGCCAGCACAGTCAATGGTCAGGGATGATGAGAGTTGTAGTGTAGCAACATATGGAGGCCCAAAGGCTAGTCAAGCCCCAGTAAATTAACCCAGAATTATTATTCCTCATATTGCCAGGGTGGAATGGGTGGGAACTGACACTGAGTTGGCTGTATGTTTGCCCTTCCGGTATGGTGAAGGGGCTGAATATTCCACCTTCTTATTATTTTTGGCTGCAAAACAAATCTTCTGGAGTTGAAGACACCCCTTCGTCTTCTTTTTTTATAATTTAGTTTTCAAATATACCCCCCAATAATAGCCAAATTATAACAATAACAACACTGGGCAACAATTTTTTACTTTTTGAATGTTGTCTAGATTTCTACAACTGATTTAGGGTATTTTTGCACTGCTGAATCAGGAAATGGCATCTGTTTCTCTCCATCAGGTCAGGTTTACTGCAAACTGAATGGTGGGCATTGATAAAGGTAAGTACACGTAAATTGCATGTTGCTTCACCATTTTTCAAACTTCAGGGCTTGAACTTCTGTTTCTTGGAACTCCAGGAATGCTCAGTGGCAGGGAGGTCTCTCTTCAGAGTCCAACAGTAGTCAGCCATCATGACTGTGTCCCAGCAACCCTGATACCTGGTCTCCATCTCTTTCATGACCTGATGGAATCTCCCCCCCTGCTCGTCACTCATTGAACCCAGGTTCTCAGGAAACCGGTCCATATGTGAAAATAGGTAGTGCATCTTGATGCTCATGTTGCAGCCCAAGTTTCTGAAAGCAGTCAGCTTGTTGTTGACAAGTTCTGCGTAGTTTCTGGCCTTATTGTTGCCAAGAAAGTTCTTCACTACCAGAACAAATGCCTTCCATGCTTCCAGTTCCACTTCGTTCATTGAGTTTCTGAACTCTGGATCTCTGATGAGCTGACGGATCTGAGGACCGTCAAAGATGCCAGCTTTCAACTTCTCCATGGTCAATCCTGGAAAAGCCTGGCACAAGTAAGTGAAGCAGTCACCATCCTTGTCCAGAGCCTTGGTGTACTGCTTGATTAAGCCGAGCTTGATGTGCAGCGGTGGGAAGAGTATTCTGTCTCTGTCCACCAGAGGGTCGTTGATGACGTTCCTTTTTCTGCAAGGCACCAATTCCTCCCGCACAGGCCAGTCCTTCTTCATGTAATGCTGAGCACGGTCCCTACTATCCCACATGCACAGAAAACATGGGTACTTGGTGAAGCCAGACTGTTGTCCCAACAAAAAGTTCACCATCTTCAGGTCAACACAAATAAACCACTTATGCTGATCATAACCAATTTTCTCCAGCACATACTTTACTGCTTCATAGTTCTCCTTCAGTGTACTCGAGTGAGCCAGGGGTATAGAGGCAAACTGGTTGCAGTTGTGTAGCAGAACACATTTCAGTGATCGCTTGCTGCTGTCAATGAACAGTCTCCAATCTTTGGGTTCATACTGTGGCACTCCAAGCTTGAGCAGAAGCTGCGCAATATCTGCACAGTACACCAAGTACTTCTCTCCCGAGAAAAAACGGAGGTACTCTTGACGCCTGTTGCGGAAGAAGCTGATGCGAGCACTGTCAGAGAGGAGGTTTTTTTCCTTCAATCTGGATGCCATAAGTTGGCGCATACATGGGTGGAGTTTCCTATACACTTTGTGGGGCGGCTGCCCCATTAACTTAGTTTTGATCCCCCAACTTTATGCTTTGCAGCACCAATTTATGGAAGATTTCGATGTTTTATGACTTCAAACTGATCCCTTTTCGACATAATCACCCAGACCTATCAGACCTGAATACTTCTTGTCATTAAAATAATCATTTCCAATCAAAACAATTATTCGACATGGCATTTTACCCCCACCAACTTCTTCTAAAATGCTCCACACAAGCGTACATGTGAACAAAAATGTAAAAAAAGGACATGTGGCCATAACTCAAAAACTTGACCTGATTGAGCAAAACCAATGTGATTTTTGGATTCAGCGCATCAGATTTGTCCTAAATCAACTGAAAAAACGCAGACAACAAATTTGTTGTTGACCAGTGCAATTAATTCCCAAATTATACAATTATCAAAGTGCCAGTCAACTTCCAATTAATGCATTTTTGTTAAAGTGGCTCCCCACATGATGGTTTGGGTGCATTTCTGATCTTATATCACTGTGTTCCATCATCTTAATTAATGTCAGTTACATATCAGTTATAATAATAATCCCTTAGTCAACAGCTACATAATTAATGATTTCCATTAGTGATGTTACAATATATAAATTTATAAAACTTTAAGTGAGGAACTCAAACTATTATCTTTATTCTGCCCTGTATGTGAAAACTGTTATATCCATGGAGATTCCTACTGTCCATATATGGTGTTGTCTCTTTCACTTCCCAGCTGCTGTTTTCTCCCATCGTGGCTTGGGGCAGAAATGAATCTCAAAGTTTCTCAGAGGTCTTATCTCTCCGTCCCTTGCTTCGGTGTCTCAGAACAGGTGACAGTCTGCTAGAAACCATTCTGTCTCACTAGTAAAATATGTCACAGATCTTCCCTCAGCCTAGAAAAAGGTGGGCAGTTTTCGAACGCACTGAAGATTTAATACTCCTTTCCAGCTCCCAGAATCTCTGCAGCGTTCTTATCACAGCCCCAAAATTCTTTTCCTTCCAACAAGAGATTTATGGCCCAATTAAACTTTATCTTAGATTACATTCCGCCAATAGCACACACAACTCTCAATCTCTTTTTACTGGTCTGTTGCGAGTGAAGCCCATTTCTCCTGTCCCTGGAGGGAATTTGCAAGGATGATTTACCCTCTGTCATCCTTGTTTTTGTTCACCAACAATCCCCCGCTTTCGTGGGGGCTGCCTCCATTAAGGCAGGTGGGACCGGAAGCTGCCCTTCTTCTTCTTTTTAAGAATCAAACCTGAAAGGCCTGATTATAAATAGATTCTTCCTGCAGCTCCCAAATGAGCCGTTGAGATAGAATGAGTCAGTTTTGCCAACTCCGTGGCGCTCCCCAAACCACTGGGCCAAAAATATGGCTCTTCTCCCAATAGCAGTGGCCTGGCCCAACAAGGTGTGTGTGGGGGGGGGAAGCTCCATTAATAAGACACCCTCTGTCCACAAATTCTTGGGGTGAAACCCAAAATGGATTCAAAATATATTCATGACATTGGTTGTAGAAGGTTTTAGGTCAGGGTACGGAACCTTTTTCAGCTTGAGGGCCACATTGCTTTCTGGGCAACCTTCTGGGGGCCACATGCCAGTGGTGGGCAGGGCCAGAGGCAAAAGTGGGTGGAGCAATGGATGCAATTCTTACCTTTTTACAGAATGAAAAATTCTAAAGACACTCTCACACACCTCTGTTCTTCATCCATGCAAGCAAGAGGCATTATCACATTTCACACAGTCCAAATTGGCAAAAACATCCCAGCTGCACAAAACGTTTTGAGGCTTTTCAGGGCCTTCAAATAAAATTATCCTACTTGCTTCTTACTGAGAACATCAGTGTGATTGCAAGTAAACAGCTTATGAATTGCCTGCTGGAACTACCTCTCTCTGAATTGCCTTAGCTTCAGTTTCTCTTCCTGTGTGTAAGAAGGCTTTAATTATTTATTTCCTCCCATTTCTTTTCTTTTCTTTTTAAAGCACAATTTCAATATGAAAAGTGACTATTTCATTAAAACCTCCTCACATGCAGGAACACAAACTGACATTGGGGACAATTCTGAGAGAGAGGCTGTTCCAGGGGAGCAAATAATCACTAACCCCCTAGCAGGGATAAATAGGGAGAAATAAAACAGACAGAACCTGCAAACAACAAGCTTTTAATTAAAGTTGCCCTGGACCTTTGCTAAACAGGTTTTATCTATAAGTAAACGCTATAAGAGGATGTGGCCACAGGGAAAGGCATCGCTGCTGCTGCTGCTGCTGCTGCTGCTGCATTATGGCATGACATTAAACTTCTGTGTCTTTGGAATTTCTATTGCAATTCCATTCCCAGCTATTGTGGCAAAGCAATGCCCCAGTGCTAAAGTGTGTAAACAACTAAAGGGGCCTGAGGGAACCCAGATTACTGGAAGGGTTGCAGCTCAGGAGAAGAGCATCCACTTTGCACATATAAGGTCCCAGGTTCAATCCCTGGTAGCATCTTCAGATAGAACTGGGAATGCCCCCTGCCTTGGAGTCAGTGTAGAAAATACTCAGTTCCAAAGTGAGCTCTGGAATGAGGTCCAATTGCCACCTATAGGAGGTTGCAAAGGACCTGGAATCTGTCTGAATTTGGGGGTTTGAGACTGACTCCCACATTTTTCAACCAAGGAATTGAGACCTAAACACAATTCACCCAGGCTTTGGAGTTGGCAGGATTTGATGGGAGTTTGTGCTCCCTGTGATTGGATCTCTTACTTTGCATGACATTCCCACCCCATTTTAAATGGAACTTCCAGTTTCCAGTGTGAATAGCATTCAGCTAGCATGCCTAGTCAGATGCAGTAAATCTTCTGAATACCAGTTGCTGGAAACCACAGGAAGGGAGAGAGTTCTTGTGCTCAGGTCCCGTTTGCGGGTTTCCTGCAGGCATCTGGTTGGCCACTGTGAGAACAGGATACCAAACCAGATGGATCATTGGCCTGATTCAGCAGGCTCCTATTATGCTCTTATGTGTGAGCTGCCCCCTCCCTGACAAAGAGCAGCCGAGAGAAACTGAAGCTGGGGGTGGCAGTGGTGGTACTATTAATAAATGTTTGCAGTAATTTAATCATTTTGCTAAATTGCCCTCCTATTCCTGATGGCCCCCAGAGCCTCTATGCTGCTGCTGCCTGCTCCTCCTCCTCCTCCTCCCTAGCGGCCTCCTCATGCTCAGACATGTGAGGGAGAGCAAAATAGCAAGGAAATGCTCATCCCACTGGGCTGCTGCAAACTAGGAGGGAAATTAGTCTTGACAGGTGACTCCCTTCCCCCATATCTTCCATTTAGGAACAAGCCAGCGGCCCATTAATGCTACTTGCCATGGCTGTCATTCATTCAGAACGCTAGCAGGTCTTGCTCCTTTGCACCCAGTTGCTGACCCACAGGAAGGGATCGCCCTATCTTTCCAACATCTATGGGGAAAGGGCCATAGCTTGGTGGTGGAGCTTCTGCTTTACATGCAGAAGGTCCCGTGTTCAATCCCCAGCACCTTCAGGAATGCCTGGGAGCGACTCCAGGCTTGAAATCCTGGAGAGCCACTTCTGCTCTGTGTATAAGACAGCTTCCTATTTAAATCATCCCTTTATTCAGAAGCTTGAGTGCTAGAATCTTACTTTGTTTTTAAGGGAAGGACCATAGCTCAGAGGCTGAGCATCTGATCTGCATGCAGAAGGTCCCAGATTCAATCCCCAATAGTATCTTCATGTAAGGCTGGGAATGCGCCTTGCCTGAAACCCTGGAGACATTCTGGTGCACAAAAACAGATTACATAAGAGATGCATGCAAACATTTACTTTAATGATGGATATGCTGAAAAGCACTGCAGATTGTGCATTTAATATTTTTTAAAGTGCATCTTTTATGTTAGGGGCAGGGACAAGGTATGTACAATTTAAATGCAGAATATTTCTGCAACCTTTCAAAAAGTCTGAACTAAACAAGGAGCTACCATCGAGTGCTGGTGAGATTGAAATGGGAAGCAATCAGGCCTTTCCTACTGAAACCCAGGTTGGGCTGGGAGTGTCCTGAAACCCTGCTGCCAGGCATTGTTTGAGAATACTGAGCTACAGTGGTCTTAGATGGCATTTGGGCATGTAAGTGGTGCATAAACAAACAAACAAACAAACAAACAAACAAACTGTAAAGGTCTTCAAAAGTAAGCACCGATAGTTTAAAATGTGCTTGGAAACTGACCAGGAGTCACCAATGGAGCTCTGTAAGTGGCATGGTGGTCCCAAAGACCTGTCCCAGTTCAGCAATTGTGGCAGTTTCTGGGCAATCATCAAGGACAGCCATTACAGCAATCTAGCCTGGACGGGTTGCCATATGACAGGCGACTCTGATTACCTCTGTCTGTCCAAAAAAGGGTTTCAGCTGGCAATGTTATGAAATGGCAGCACATACACGATGCTGAAATCCTTTCAGCCACTGCACCAGCAACTGTAATATTTTTGTTGGTGGTGGCGGGGTTTAAAAGACAGCTGCTCTGGCCAGAGGCACACTGTATCACAACAATGTGGTGCTACATTATTACATTGGCCACCACACCAAAAGGCAATGCAGTGGAATGTGGTAACAGGAATTGGTGGCGGCACACCACTCTCTAACTGAGCCTTTGCCAACCTGGCACCCTCCAGATGTGTTGGACAGATGTATAGCTCCTACCAGACCAGTGTTATTTCTACTCCAGCATGACCATGCTGGTGGGAGCATTAGGCTGTATACAGACTCACATTAACGCTGCATCTAGTGCACTCCCACCGTTGGTTTGGGAAATGGTATAGACACCACATTAGCAACAATATAGATCCATCTTGCCATTTCTTATGGAATACTATGTTTTGATGCATTTCCCCAGCAAACGAGCAGCAAAGGAACAGCCTAGCTGTGGTTTAAGTTGGTAAAATGTACATAGCTACTGTCCATCAACATCTGGAGGTCACCCTGGTGGCTACCCCTGCTCTATAGCCAAATTGGCACAAGTCTGTCTCTGCACCACCACCATGCAGGCTCCTTCCTACCGGCCTCCCTGCTGGGAATTTTGATGTGCCCTTTGTTGTATTATCCAAGCATCAAATGCAAATTCAGCCATGGTGGCATTTAGCTTAATCCTTCATCTGCTTCTTCTCTGTCCCTCCCTGGACAGCATTTTCTTTCATCTTAGCTGTGCAGGGACTTGAATTGAGGTTTCTTTTTTTTAACAAAAAAAAAAGCAAGGGGGGAAAAGCAAGTGCACAGCTTATATAATGTCCCTTCCTTATTGCTTATTAATGATTTTGGGAAACAAATCTGCTTTGCATTGTGGGAATTATGCAAAAGCAAGGCTGAAAGGCACTCTTGCCGTTACTTATGCAGGAACCTTAGTGCGCCAGGAAGAGGAGGAGGATTAGTGTGTCCTGAGAGGCGCAGAAGCTTCTGACAGGGCGGCCTTACATCCTTGAGCTGACTAGAAGACATGACAGACAAGGTGTCCCATTTTGGGGTAATTAGGCACAAGTGCTTTTCTGGAGACCAAAGGCTCAAGGCAAAATTACTTCAGCTACTTAGAAAGTTTGATAATCCTCTCTCCCCCCGGATGAAAAACCGTGAAGAGGTTGATTGCTATTAAGAAGAGAAGCTTATGAGTCATAGGAAAGAGCACATCAGACTGGATTTGGGAAGTAATGGTGTTATAACATCATCAGCCAGGGGAAAGAGTGCAAGTTGTTACTAGATATCCAGAGCAATGCTTATTCCAACATTTATATCTGGGCCTGGGGTGGGGAACCTTAGGCCCATGGACCTAATGTACCCCTCCAGGCCTTTCTATCTGACCCTTGAAGTGTCCCCAAGCAACACTTCTCACTGGCCCTGCTCTGGCATTCTCAAGTGTTTTTGTCATTGGAGTGCATCCTTGAACTCTGATATGCCTCCTGCTTGTCTGGATGGAAGATGGAGAGATGAGGGTGGGAGGTATAGAAAACTGACTTTATTGGGAACATATCAGGGACGCGGGTGGCCAGAGACAAGGGTGGCGCTGTGGTCTAAACCACTGAGCCTCTTGGGCCTGCCAATCAGAAGGTCGGTGGTTCGAATCCCCGTGACGAGGTGAGCTCCCGTTGCTCCTGCCAACCTAGCAGTTCAAAAGCACACCAAAAAGTGCAAGTAGATAAATAGGTACCGCTCTGGTGGGACCGCTCCAGCGGGAAGGTAAACAGTGTTTCCGTGCACTGCTCTGGTTTCGGTGTTCCATTGCGCCAGAAGCAGCTTAGTCATGCTGACCACATGACCTGGAAAAACTGTCTGTGGACAAGCACCAGCTCCCTTGGCCTGTAAAGTGAGATGAGCGCCGCATCCCAGAGTCGTCTGCAACTGGACTTAACTGTCAGGGGTCCTTTACTCTTACCTATCTGTACAGAAGGTAATAATCACATCCCTTGCCCCTCCCACTTTTGCTTCTGGTCACACCTACCTCTGGCATGCGACCCCTGCAAGGCTGCACATAAGAGAGATTCCCTGCCTCTGCTAGATATTCACATTTATCTTTACCTTTACCTTATTTACTTCCAAAATGGCCAACTTTACCAAATGGGGGGAATGGAGAGAGCACCAGGATGCTGCAAGGACTCTGGTGTGACTCCCTTTGCTCTTCTATGCAACCCATCTAGATGGAGGCCATATCCTGCCCCACATCAGAGGCAGGAGGGCAATAGCATCCCAGAAATGATAGTGTGCTATGGGAGCAGTCTATGTTGGCTTGGGCTGATGGGAATTATAGTTAGGGATGGGTGAAATTGTCAGTTTCACTCCAATATCTCATTTTCAAGTTTTGTTTTTAACATTTCTATATCAGTTTGCAATTATTATTTTTAAAAAGTCTTCACAATGATTCAACAGCATTTTAGTGCAAGTTTCTCCTAATACACACATTTTTGTGTGTTCTATTTTCACCAATACATTTTTTATTTTTATTCTTATCACCCACCATTCACCCGAAGGTCCCAAGGCAGGCTGCAACATTAAAACACAATATTAATAACAGTTTAAAGCAACTTACGTGTCCTTTCTTATAAGTCTACAACCTATATGCTCTCTCTCTTGCACACTTCCTCTCTGATATATGCATTTTTGTATACATTAATCGAATCACAGAATCAAGGAATTGTAGAGCTGGAAGAATCCAAAGGGCCACCTAGTCAAGTCCCCTGGAATGCAGGAATCACAGCAGGAATTGCAGGTGTAGGAATTTGGTTGGAGAACTGCCTCTCAAAATTCGGAGAAATGTGGATTTAAGTGTAAATTTGATAGAGTCACATCTAAATGTGAATTGAGCCAAGGTGTTCTCCCCATCTAAAGGTGTTCTCCCCGGTCTAAAACCTCTGAAAGGCACTCGGTTTGGGAGTGCTGGGACATACAACTGATTTAAAGTGAACAAAGAAAATGATTCTTTGGCTTCTCTAATGCCAGAATGACATCTCTGGTTATCAGCACATGATGGGCAGGGGGGGAAATACAGCAGGAAAGGGGGATGTTTTGAGGCGGATAGAAGGTAAACCCAGACAGTGCAGATAGTGTCGGAAGCAGAAGACAGAACTTGTGCTTCAGGCAACCTAGAAGATGTTGGAGAACACAGGGCCCAAATCATCTCCCATTAAAATAGCTGGGTTCATTCCAAGAAGGAACGCAGTGCTCGCTTCTAGGGCATCCCCATTGGTTGGGTATCAGGAGTTCATGCGATATAACATCAACTGCTTGGATGCAGAGCCAGCTATTCTAGAGGGTGCCATCCAAGGGGCAGCAGGTCGGCACCTCCAGTCCAGTGCCTGAGTTAAGTACTAGAGTGATGAACTACATCCAGCTCCTCAAGGGGCCCAGCAGCCTTAGCGTGTGACCTGCCGGTAGCAAGCACAAATCATCCTTGATGCCATTGCAAGCTCCCATCCCTCTAGGGCTGCTGGTGGAGTCCATCAACCGAAGGCTACAAGATAGATTTGGGGTTTTTAAAAATAAAATATATATTTCTTTGTCCGATGCCATTGCTTTTTCCTGGATGAAGAGCTGACTTAGAAAAAGTGACAGCTCTTTCCAGCTCCTTTGACTCAAGTGCAAACATGTCTTGAAAGAGCCGAGAATATTAAACATATTTTTTAAAGCAAACCTCCCACCCCCCCAAAGTGGATTGGGTGCCTCTGAGGCTCAATGTCTTCTTTGGCCTAATTTTAGAGGATGCTCCTTCAATACATTTCCTCCCTCTGAACCAGATTCCGAATGGGTTCTAATGTGCAAATCCTGAACTGCCAAATCGACTCAGAGGCAGAATGAAAAGGTGGGTGTGTGGGTTCCCCCCCCCCTTTCAACCAATACTTGTTAGCTGCATCCCCTTTGCAGTCTAACCCCACCCCCAAAAAAACCTCTAGTTTGTTGGTGGTATGTAATGGCTGGGATTTGATTGAGGCTGGAAGAGACAGATGGCTAGGTCTTTGTCGAGGTTGCTCAAACACACATTTTAGATTTGTGCACCCTGGCTTGTCAGTGATTGGCATCTTTTGGGCACTAAGCTGACACCAGCACAAGCTGAGGGCCCTCTGGCTACCAATCAGAGCCTCAGCCCAGTATGGAGCCAATCCGCAGCTACTGTGCTTCATCTCTCCAAAGGTTACTTCTGCCCTGCTGGAAGCCCATGTTGGGAGGAATGGATTAGATAAGGTCATGCCAGGCTGCCTGTCTTCCTGCCATATCCCTCTGAGCTGTGTGAATAATAGATTTATGGACCAATGGCTTTGAGAAGGATAGGAAAGGGCCGTAGCTCAGTAGTAGAGCATCCGTCTTGTGTGCAGAAGGTCCCAGGTTCAATCCCAGAGGACATCTCCAGGTAGGGCTGGGAATGGCTCCTCTCTGAAACTCTGAAGAGTCTCTGCCAGTCAGTGTAGGCAGTACTGAGCTAGGTGGACCAATGGTCTGACTCAGTCTATGGCACCTTTCTATCTCAAAGGCATTTTCAGGTTTGTGAAGTCTACAGAACTTTTTATTTTTCACTTTTAAATTACAGCAATTGTTTCTAAATTTCCACCTGCACATATAAATGTACACATGCCATTTTTTGTGCAAATACGTTCCTCTTTTTTTGCACAAAGCATGACTGAGTCCCAGCTAGGCCAGGCCAGCTGCTGCATGCAAGTGGCTCAACTAAACATCAACCATGCTAAGAACACAGAACAGGACCCAAGTGGAATTTCGTCCTATGACCTCAGGCTCTGAATGCTACCCATGTGACCGAAAGCACTGGAGAGTTCAGTTACATCTGTGGACCTTTTTAAGCAGATGGGATGACGGGCTTATCGTGTGTGTGCCCCCACCCACCCACCGGTCCACTGAGCAGAAGGAACAGATGCTCTTTCAGAAGGGGAATCCAGAGGGCTGGGATGTTCGTGCGTGCGTGTGTGCGTGTACAAAATGGCTTTGAAAAATGCAGATTTTTGAATTATCTAATTAGCACCTGGCTTGTAAGGCTAGAGGTTGAATGAGAACTCTAGAAAAAGGCTTTTATCTTTAGCGACAAGGGTCAGAGATGGGGTTTGTTTGAGGCCATGGGTCTGAGACAAAGCAAGTGTGTGGGGTGACAGGGCCGCAGGGGCTCACATGGAATCCTTCTTAGTCCATTAGGCTCCAGGACAATGTGCCCAAATGCGGATGTTCATTTCTGTTTCAGTGACCTTGGAGAATGAGGAAAGGGGGTGGTGGGGAGGATGACAAAAAAGCTTCAGGCAACAGCAGACGGAGGCTTCAAATGGCTGTTTTAATTTTAGCCAGATTGTTTTGTGTGTTCAGTCGAGGTTATTTTAGGATGAAAAAATATGCTTTTGGTGGAACAGCCATGCAGAAAGGATATTGGTTGCCTTCCCATAATCACAAAGACTTATGTAAACGCCAGCAACGACAACAGCCAATTTGACCACACTTTGGCTGACCAGGTGATGGTATCATGTGCAGGTGTTGCCAGAAAGATGCTCCTCCGTTTGTATTCTGTTTGCACTGCCTTCCTCCCAGGGGCATGCCTTATGCACCTAGCAGATTTTGTCCCAATCTCATTCTCCCACCAGCGTCCTCAACCAAATAACTGTGGTACTGTTGGCATTTGCTAAAAGGACCACAGGCTTTGTGAAAACATGGAACAAAGTGTGGATGTTATGATTTGTGATATATGCTGCATGAAAAGGTCACATCTAGCAGTGCAAACAGGAGCACTGAGAAAATCCCCGCAGGGCAGAATATAGATGGTCGCAGACAGAAAGAAAGGGTTTCAAAGGATCCCAGGAGAGTAGTTACAACACTCTGCTCCACGGATAAGACTCGGTCTTAATCTGGCTGAAGGAGAACTGTTCTGAGATGGTCTTGCTTCCCTTATGCATTTCTACAGAGAGCTTTTTCTCTCCCTAGAACCTAATGGGGTCATCCAATGAATCTGAATGTTGGAAGATTCCAGATGAACAAAAGAAAGCAATTTACAGTTCTATGATTCTATTACACGGCACATAGCTAAAACTGTAGGCTTCACTCCCACAAGATGAAGCAATGTCCACCAACTTGGAGGGCTTGAAAATAAATTGGGCAGAGGGAATGGCTGGACTAGATGGGCCCCCTTTGGCCCGATTCAGCAGCTAGGCTTCCGTTCTGTTCTATGAAGGCCAACTGAAGTGCAACTGACTCAGGATGGTCTCTCCAGACATTTTTTACCCCTTCCTTAGTACTTTTTTCACCTGTTTTTTTCAGAAAGAATTGAAGACATTTATGTTTCAATAAGCTTTTCCAGTTTTATAAGCTTTGGAGATTTTATTTGTTCTTTTGGGGTCTTTGCTTTGGTTTTTATTAGCTTTTAAAATCCTTAGTTGTCTTTTTCTATTGTTTTAAACTCATTTTTAATTGTTTTTATTGTATGAGTGTAAATTCCCTTGAGACTTGTAGAAAGGGAGATTCATATATTTAATACAACAGACCGTTGCCATTTACTGGGAGTCTGGAAGAAATGGCAATAATCTGTGCATTATTTGTGCTTCAGCCTCAACCGCTCCCTTCCACTCCAGTTAAAACAAATCCTGTGCAAGGCAAGGCAATTGATTGTGAAGGATGGTAAGAGGGCACCTGAACAGTTGTGTAGAAGAAGGAATTTGGGCAGGTGCAATGTGTCATGAAGGGTTGAGAAAAGTTTCTTCATAGAATGCTTAATTAACTGATGGAACTCACCACCACAAGAGGATAAGGCTTTCAGAAAAAAAGTATTAAACATATTTGTTTAGGAGGAAAATGCGATGAAAACAGCTGCATCTTTAACAGTCTGAGGAAGAGTAATAGCTTAGTAGAAAAGCAGCTGCTTTGCATACAGAAGGTCCCAGGTTTAATCCCCACCAGCATCTCCAAGTAGGGCCAGGGAATATTCCCTGCCTGAAATGCTGGATAGCTGATGCCAGTCCACGTGGACAATACTGAACTAGATAGACCAAGGGTCTGACTCAGTACAAGGCAACTTCCTGTATTTTGAGGACTTAAGCTTCATTTCAAGATTGCCACTTGCTTGGACAGTGTAGGAACTATCACAGATCCATCCTGTGTGTGAATTGGGAATCTGTCACCCTGGCATATATTGCCTCAATCCCTTTTTCTTCCATCTTGTGAGATGTATTCCTAACTAGCCTACTTGTTGGCAGCAGATCTGCTTTCCTGCTTCACCACCTGCTAGGTGGGAGCTACGTGCCAGTTCCTCTTTCCCTCCCCCTCCCCATTTCTGCTCTTATCCCAGGAGTTAAGTGGTGTTAAGTACTTTGGGAGGCCTGAGATGTTTGGCATTCTGCCTCTGCCTCACTGAGTGGTGATGATGAGTGAACACTTCACAGGAAAGTAATCAAAATCCCTTCTCAGGTGACCACCTCCCCACTCCTTTCCAGGTAAACTAGTGGGAATTAAGATGGATGGGAGTTCTCCACAGGAGCTAACAATTGTATATTTTAGAAAATTCATGGCAATATATATATGTGATGGGATTATGAGCTGCTTGTGCATAAAATCGTATTCCCTCAGAGTTTGTTCAAGTCCACAAACCTCTGTCTGTGACTGAGCCCCTCTGACATGGCTCCTCTTAGTCACTAGAAGATTCCGACAGTGGTTGCTTTCGTAATCGCTTCCAACATAAAAGCTCCTTAACGGAAACACGTCTTCTGGACTCTCTGCGTGACAGTTTCCGGCGAGGAGTGGGTGTCGCTACAGGAGGTCCGGAAACCTCACCACTGTTTTCGCTGGAAGTATCTCTGAGCCATCCCCCCAGCTCCCTTTCCCTCAGTTCAGCTTCTCTCCCCTGCTGGTTTCCTCTTCAGCTGCTAAGTCTCTTCCAACCTGTCTGAGCCCTTTCACCTCCCTCAGTTCAGCTTCTCTCCCCCTGCTGGTTTCCTCTTCAGCTGCTAAGTCTCTTCCAACCTGTCTGAGTCCTTTCACCTCCCTTCCTACCGATGGCAGTTCCCTGACAATATACACCACTTGATAGGGAGAAAAAACCCTCAAAGTGGTTTACAAAAAAAACAACACATTAAAATTCTCAATAGACATCATTTTAAAATGGGTATTGATAAATATTCAAGAGATTATTGAAATCAACAGTAAGCAAAAAGAGATTAACACACATTTCAGCATTCTACATACCTGGATAGGGGTGCCTATGCAAATATATTTTAAATAGGTGCTGAAAAGAAAATAGAGAAGGTGCCTGCCTGATGTCAAGAGGCAGGGAGTCTCAAAGGCTGGGTGCTGCCACAGTAAAATATTTTTTACTTACAAGTTCAGAAGAAGAGTTATGTGGCACCTGCAAGTCCGTGCCAGATCACAAAGGGACGCCATTTGTGTCTCAAGCAGGAATTGCCCAGGTACACTTATGGTACAGAGGCTCTTTTCTATACCCTTTTGTCTTCTCTTTGTAGAAGTTACCTAGAAATGCAGGTTGCAGGTTGCTCATCTCCCCCAAACCCAGACATTTTGTAGTAAGGAACTTTTTGCAGCATGGTCAAGGATTCTGGGAGTTGTAGTCCAACAGAAACGGGAGTGGGTTCAAGTCCCTCGCCCACCCAGAAGAATGGCTGCTGAAGCAAACCGCTGGCTGATGGAGCTGCATTTTGAACATGCACACAGAGAAGGAACCAACTTCAGCGTTGCCTGTTTCCATCACACCTGGCTCACGGACCTCCCAGGGCCAAACCAGAATGGATGTTAGTCACATCATTAGCCCACTCATGATGGGGTTTCTAAATAAATAGTAGTCACACTATTAGGGGTTGGGAGAAAAGTGGATTAAGACTGCATATGCATAATAAATGTAAAATACATCCCCCAGGAACTGTAGTTTACCCCCTCGCAGAACTGCAATTCTCATCACCCTGAACAAACAGTAATTCTGAGGATTCTTTGAGGTAAGTGCTTGTTAGTTGAAGAAGTCTGATAAACAACAGCAACCTTAATTACTTGTTATCTAATGCCGCAAGCTTCCTTTTTCTACATCATATTGGCATCTATCCAACTCTTACTGTCATGGGCAATAATTGTCTCGCTATAAATCATATAATAGTAGCTACAGTGGTATCTTGGGGAAAATGAAGGAAGAAGGATTTCTCTCTCTCTCTCTCTCACTGAAGATTCCATTGCTTTGGCTTCTGTGTCTCTCCTAATCAGGCTCTTGGGCTGAAAATAGATTCCTTTTGCTGCGCACAGAGCCCAGCTCACCGCCACGCACTGTGCACACGTCCTATCAGATTACAGGGGAGACCGCACTCACGCGGCCCGCTTTGCTGGAGACCCAGCTGCGCCTTTGTTCAATGGGGAAGGGGAATTAGGGGGCCTGGGTGGCAGCAACCTGAGCCCATACAGTTAGAGGACAGAAGGTGTCACTAGGGGGTGTTACTGGAGCCCTTTCCTAGGACTGCCCACTAGGGCTTTGTGTAAGCAGCCTAGGTAACCTATGGTTAGGGAGTAGGAAGGATGCCTTTAGGATCAAGGGCAGGCTGGGCACACCCCTGGCTGACACTCTGGAAAGTGGCTGCCTATCAGGGTAGACAATACAGAGGCTAAATGGACCAAAAGTCACAATTCAGCATAAGGCAGCTTTTTCCGTTTCCACATTTCTGTCTAAGTCACCACACAGAGAAGTTTTTCCAGACCCCCAAATGTTGTGATGTTAGGATCACAGGAATCTGCCTAGTTATTGAATCAAACCAGTAGCCCATGCAGCTCAGTATTGTCCACACTGGCTGGCAGGAATGGCTCTCCAGATTCAGGCAGGGAACATTGTACTGAAAGTGCAATGAAAAGATGTACAGGCTGCTCAACTTAAAGAGGGATATGCATCAGAAATAATAAATGCCAGGAAAATCAGAGAAGCTTATAAAGACCATACAAGGCAACAGTCCCAAGACAAACCCTTTTTATGAGAGGGTGGAATCGGGCTTTTGGGTTGCAGTGTGGGAGGGAATGGATAACTAGGGCTGTATACAGACTACGCCTTTAAAGCACATTCAAAGCACATACTTTCCTTCCAAGAATTCTAGACACTGCAGTTTGTTAAGGGTTGCTGCTGGGAATTGTAACTCTGTGAGCGGTAAACTACAGTGCCCATAATTCTTCAAGGGAAAGAATGTGATTCAAATGTGCTTTAAAAGGATGGTATCTACACAGCCATGCATTTCCTTCTTGTAAGGCTAGTGACCCCAGGCAGGCTAACCATGTGTCTCTTGGACATGTTTTTGCCCTGTTCACATCTAAATAGGGATGTAGGATCTACTCTAGGTGTCACCAACCAGTGGATGATCACATAGTAAATTCTGAAAAAGTGCTACGGCTGTCAGTCACAAAATGGTTGCCATAAGGGTGTGGTTTAACACTAAATGGCTGTCATATCTGAATGAAAGAAAAGGAAGAAGGACACCAAAAGGTGGTACCTACATCAATTTCTATCCACTTTCTCTAGGCCATGCATGATTTTATAAACTTCTGTCATGTTGTAATGAAATGGGGATGGGGAGAGCCATGTGTCACCTTGAGCTCCTTGCAGGAAAGGTGAGATAACAGGAGAAGCAGCAGCAATAACAATAAAAAAATACAAATACAAAAAAAACCCCACCCCAAAATAAAACATCCAGTGCTGGCACAGAGTTAGCTTTTGAGGTGGCTTTCAGGTATTATTCTATGATGCATGCTGATTTAACCATAGCGGTGCAAGGCTATGAATAGTTCAGGCAGTCAGGCTTGAGTGCAACAATGTTCTCCCCCTCCTGTGGTTTTCTGGTATTCTGAAGCACACTGCCTCCAACAGTGGAGGTGGTACATAGCCATCAGGGTTGGTGGCCACTGAACAGGAGTAGCAAATTGTCCTTTGTGCATTTTACAAGGAATGTATACAGAGACTTTTTGCGGGAACCATGGAGAGGCATGAGTGGGTACATTAGTGCCCATGGGCACTGTGTTGGCAATATCAGTCTGCTAAGGGAGTGTGCAGCAGAGAAGAGTGAAACCTGCCACCTCTTCATCTGATCTCCCTGTTCTGTGATGCTTGAAGCAATTTTCTGGAAATAGAAGTAAACAGAATTGAATTGGGGTATATTTGTGAACATGCAGGGGGAGCAGGGGTGAAATTTGGGTTGTCTGTCACAGGCAACCCCATCCTAGGCAGGCAGTGGGGGCAGGGAAGTGGATAAATGTTCCATAGAGTCCTTTGTGAACTCATCAAGAGCATTTATGTGAGCCCAGCTGGACTGCAACAGCAGAGGAGTCGAGTGGGGGTGAAAACCAGGGGGATATAATTTTGTGGCTGTCTGCCGCTTCCTGCTTCAAGCCCAGGCAGGCCAAGGTTTGAAGTGCAAATGAGGCAGATGGGAGCAGAAAGGGAACATTTGAAGCTACAGGATGCCACTCTCATCCCATTCCTATAATGTCACCAATTTTCTCAAGGATGCCATAAACATCTTGCACAACATCATGGGGGGGCCACCAGAGCACCCAGCAGGCAAACCAGCAGGGGTTCAGAGTGGAAATATCCCCCACCCCCTGCTGCCACCACACACATACTCAGCTTTACTGGGGATAAAATGTTAATTTTTTAAAGAATTTGAATAAATTCAGTCTGGCTGTGGTTTGCAACAAGGAAGAATCCTTGCACCTACTGCTGTGTTGGTGGCCTTCATTTATATACATAAGGCAGAGCATTTCAAACTGAAAAGCCCCAGAGGACTGTGGAGGAATACAAGGAGGAAAAACGAGTCGTTAACTAGGGAGATGCAATTGCACTTAATGAACAGCAAGAGGGTTTTTATTTATTTATATAACATGTTTGCCCTCCTCAGTCTGCCTGACAATAAGAAACAACTAAATAGCATCAAACCAGTTTAAACTTTATGTTAATGAATACTATAGAGCAACACCGAAAAGAGCAACCCACCCTTTTTTGCCTGCAGTACTGTATTTTGGATTTGTGACCTGGCCTGCATTGAAAAGAGCAATAGTCCTCACCCTTTTGAGACCAAGGAGCCACCCTTTAGCCCAAGCATGCATTCAGGGAACCAATTATTCATTTTCCAATATATGTTTTCATGGTAAAAGCATTGCTAATCTTAGGTTAGGCCTACACACCATCTGAAGACCAATGGATTAGAGCAGTGGTTCCCAATCCTTTTTAAGCCATCGTTCTCTTGGTTCCATAAACTCATCCCCAGTGCCCCATACCCTATAAAAAGCATCATTCATATTAACACTTTACACAACCCACTAAGGAAGAAAATAACACAATACAATTCAAAGCTGTTACAATTAATTTCACATTTATATAAAAGTCAGTTAAAACTATTTAGTTGAATCAATCCAACTGTAGCCTTATGAGGCTTTGCCCTCGGGTGGGAAAAATATTGTGCCCGGGAAAGGGAAGTGGGAGTCAACAGACACTCAAGGAATAGTTCGGAGAAAAGGCTTTTTATTTCTACCATCCATGAACTGGTAGAAGGAGCAAGTGTGATAGTTCACAAAAAGCATGCACGAAGTTCACAGTCATGTGCACAAGCATATATATCCCTTTCCAGTTCCCTCCCCCTTTCTCCTCCTTCAGGAGTCCTGCCCCATGAGTTCCTCTGAGCATGAACAGAAAGCATGAACAGAAAGCTGTCTTGGGACTATTGGGACTCTTGGCACCCTTCCCAGGAAAGGGGGAATGAGAAGCCGAGGGGGTGGGTCGAGGAGCCTTGGTGGTTCAGCATGTCCAAGATGTTGCAACCGAATGAGATAAGATTCATTTCTCAGGCCTGCTATGAACAGAGCCTATTCATTAGCCTTTAAAAGTAACATTTTGCCTTTTGCCACAGCATCTTGTGAGAAAAGCAGGTAAGAGCAGAGAAAAGCTGTTTTGGATTTTTAGAAGACAAAAGGAGTTTTGGACAGTTTTGAGGCCTGCTTGATTATTGAAGCCTGGGGTGATTTCAGACAGAATTTGGGTATCCTGTCCCTACATATGATAGCAGGTTTTCAAAGCCTGTTAGTCATTTACACCTCCAGCGTCCCACTGCTGCCCCCTTGGCTCTTAGCGCCACCCTAGATAATCCCACAGCCTCCCAGAAGTTGGTACCACCCACCATGGGAAGCACTGGATTAGAGGGAGATGCATTGTTTGAAGTAATAGGTTAGCCTTCCTCAATTTGCAGTCCATGAAATGTTTTGGACTACAATTCCCATCAGCCCCAGCCAGCAGAGCCATGCTAGAGTAGACATTAATCCCTGCTGCATAAGATCAATTTGGAGAGCATGGGGGAATCGGAATTGGTATTTAATAGGCTATCACCACCTATGCTACAGCATATGAATTTACAGATGATACAGGGGTTCCTAACTGCAAACGTGCCTGCTGTTACATGTATGTACAATGAATGCAAGATAAATTTTGCCACCGTGCTGAGTTTTAACTTCCAGTGACCTGGAGAAGCAGAATGAAAGATGAAGAACAGTGACTTGAGAATTTGCATTTGGAAAATATTGAAAAGGCACCCCCCAAAACAAAGTATCGTATTTTTTGCTGTATAAGACTCACTTTTTCCCTCATAAAAGGTAAAGGGAAATGTGTGTGCGTCTTATGGAGCAAATGCAGGCTGCGCAGCTATCCCAGAAGCCAGAACAGCAAGAGGAATTGCTGCTTTCACTGCGCAGCGATTCCTCTTGCTGTTCTGGCTTCTGAGATTCAGAATTTTTTTTTCTTGTTTTCCTCCTCCAAAAACTAGGTGCGTCTTGTGGTCTGGTGCGTCTTATAGAGCGAAAAATACGGTAGTTCCAGGGGGCAAAGCAGGAATCAAAAGACTCCTTTTGATCCATCGGAGTCCAGTTTGTCAGGTGCATGAGGTTGGATCCTCAAATGGTAAGTTTATGGATGTAGAGGAAAAAATAGCCAAGCATTAAGACCATAAAAAGAGCCCAGTGGCTGATTCAGGCCAAAGCAGACTGATCTAGCCCAGCATCCTCTCAGTGGCAGAATAGCTGCCTCAAAGGGAAGCCTACGAGCAGGACATGGGTCCTGCAGAACTCTCCCCATGTGATTCCGAGTGACTTGACATTCCAGCACCATTTTCCACTCCCTTCCTTCTCACCAAAGCCGGGGAGACCTTTTCAGCATGACAGTAGTGTGTGGAGCCAGAGGCAAAAAGTGAGTGAAGCAATATATGGGCTCTCTTACCTCACTCCTTGGTCCACAGCTTCAGTGATCACGCTTGCAATCAAAGTGTTATGTACTGAAGTTCTCACCCTGGGCCAGCTGGGGGATACTGTAGATAGTTTACACTCAGGTCCACATATGCAAATAAGGGATTGAAAGTGACGTTCAGTGATTGGATAGTTTCAGAAAGTTGTTACAGTTACGTTGTACTGGCGCTCTATATAAGCAGGCTGGCTGAACCCTTCAGTTCAGTTCTGTTCTGGCTTGTGAATAAACAAGAGCTGTTTGAAGAATCGCTGTGTCGTCTGATATGTTCACCCACAACTTAACACAAAGCTCCCTTCAAAAGAACAAGACATTAATTGGACATTATCTGCAGTTCTTTGAACAATAGAAAAGCACCATGTCAAATATTTACATGTACATGTCTCTATGTATATGTGTATGTTTCACATGAAGTTGACCTGCCAGATTGACTTACCCCCAGTGCTTTTTTTCTTAAAAAATGTTTAGGGGTACTCTCATTTTGACCCAAGAAAATCACCATTTTATAGTTCAAATGGGGGGGGGATGCAGTAAATGGACAAAAGTACTGCATTTGTCTGCATTTGTAATAAATCAGTATTTCAGTTTAGCAACTTCCACACTTTGGAGTTCCCTACTGACATCAGGCACGGACCTTCACTGTTCTCTTTTCAATGCCTGCTAAAGACATTTCTGTTTAGGCAAAACCTATCCAGACAGTTGTCATGTTTTGATCTGGTTTTTAGCTTATTGTCGATTTTAACTTTTTTGTTTGTTTGTTTACAATAGTTATTTGAGTTCCAGTGTTAGCTTATTATTTAATTTAATTATTCGTCGAAGGCTTGAAATAGTTGTTTTTAAACTGATAATTTTATTTATTCTTTTTGTTAACTGCTGTGAGGTGGCTGTTGTTGTTTTAAAAAAAGAAGTGGTATATAGAATTCTGCTAAATTGAAATATATATTAATTATTTTGTGGAACACTATACTCGTGGCCTGTCTTCTCTCCCTCCACCCTTATTTTTTAAAATATAAAATTCTGTTTATTTTATGTGACCCATACACGAGTACTATATTTCATGAGGTGAGAAACAAGAAACGGTTTTGCCCACCTCAGCGCTCTGCACTTTAGGCGGGAAAACGCCGAGCAAAGCGCTCGCACGCCACCAAGCGGCGAAAAAGTTAATAAACTCCTCCGTGGCTCCTTCCCTCTCGGAGGGAACCAATCTCATTTAAACTTGAAAAAAGGCGGGCGAAAGAGGGAGTGCATGAGCGCTCATTGGTCGGCTGACGGCTGAACTCCGAGGGAGGGAACTTTGAAAGGTAATGACGGTTAGTACGCTAATAGTGCGGGTGGGGGGGAGGAGGCGTGACCAATGGGAATGTGATTTTTTCCCCCTTCCCTATTAAGCCCGCCTCTTCTGAACGGTTATTGGCTGATATGAACAGAAGCGCCCCTTGTATCAGGCGGTTCATGCCTGAATACAGACTTTAACTGCTGAGAGAAACCAACGCAGAAGCTCCCGGATTCGCCTAACGATGTTGTCACTCTTCCTTTTCCTATCTCTGTGGTGTAAAGGGCTTCTGCCATAGAGATTACAAGGGCTAGAGCGAAGCCACTTAGGAAGCCCATACATAGCCAATGGGGGCTCTCAACTGGTGCCGGAAGTTTGGGCCTTTTGCCACTCTATAACCTCACTGTCGCCGGAAGTTCAACAATAGCTGGGGTTTCGCTGTAGAGATGGTGAGGTTTAAGAACAGGTGAGGCTCTTTTCTTTCCTTTTTAAAAAACTTATCGCTTTTCTGAGGCGGCTATTGGTCGGTTCACTTCCATGGTTAGCTGCTCCCTGCCTTGCCTGCTTTATTAGTTATTTGAAGCCTGCTTTCAAAAAAATTTCTTCGCCTAAAAAGGCTCCCAAAGTGGTTTACAAATGTCCGTAATAATAATAATAATAAGAAGAAGAATTTATTTATATCCCGCCCTCCCCAGCCGAAGCCGGGCTCAGAGCGGCTAATAACAGTAAAATGATACAACATTCTAAAATCATTTCATTATAAAGTCAGTTCAGATCAGATTAATGGCAACCATTGGGCTAGAGTTCAGTGAAGAATTGCCAAAGGAGGGGGTCAGGCTGTGCCTTGGCCAAAGGCCTGGTGGAACAGCTCTGTCTTGCAGGCCCTGTGGAAAGATGTCAAGTCCCGCAGGGCCCTAGTCTCTTGTAACAGAGCGTTCCACCAGATCGGGACCACAGCCGACAAAGCCCTGGCTCTGGTTGAGGCCAGCCTAACATCTCTGTGGCCCGGGACCTCCAGGATGTTTTTGTTTGAAGACCGTAAGATCCTCCGTGGGACATACCAGGAGAGGCAGTCCCGTAATAAACATTACAGGCACGGAGGGGAATGGGGAGGGGGAGGAGGGAAAGCAAGCTCAGTCACATTTTCGTGGTTACAGAATTCCAGCAATGACCAGCTGGAATGAAATGATTTCGAGGAGAAGGATCCCCCAAGGTTGCTGGTGTTTTAGCAGAACTACAGTGGTACCTCGGGTTACAGACGCTTCAGGTTACAGACGCTTCAGGTTACAGACTCTGCTAACCCAGAAATATTGCCTCGGGTTAAGAACTTTGCTTCACGATGAGAACAGAAATTGTGGTCCAGTGGTGCGGCAGCAGCAGGAGGCCCCATTAGATAAAATGGTGCTTCAGGTTAAGAACAGTTTCAGGTTAAGAACGGACCTCTGGAACAAATTAAGTACTTAACCCGAGGTACCACTGTAATTGAGAGGCCCTTAATCCCCATCTCTTCCTCTCCTGTAAACCTGACTGGAATGGCTACTGCAGGTGATAGCTGGGAGAGGAGCCTGACAGAGTGAATGTTTCATGGGTCCTTCGTAGCTCAGCCACCTCATCACCTTTTGCTCTGCCGTAATGCCCATTTCTCTCCGTCTCTGCAGATACTTCGTTTGCGAGATCATCTCCGAGGACCCTCATTGTCTGCAGCTTATTGAGGAGCGCACTGTGCACAACGCAGTGAAAAATGCTGTTGCACGAATTCACGGAGACTTTGGACTAGCCTGCTGCTCCATCGCTTTTTCAGGTCTGGCTTCTGGAGCTTTCTTTGCAGCCCAATGTGCCAACCTCCCCTCTTTAAGGAAATCTGTGCAGTTTGGGTTCCTCTACAATCTCCCTTTAGCTCTCTGTCTGTCCTGTGCTTTGGAAGATATGCAAATTTTTATTCTAAAATGAGAACTATTGACCATTCTAGTAATTTCAGACCTGCTAGCACACCAGCCGCATATTATGGTCCCCCAAATACCTGGCAATTCTCCTGCAGTCACAGGAAGGCTGCAGATTCAGGATATATTTAGCGTGTTGGGACCCAGTTTATGCATACCTGGTGTCAGAGGTGTGTTGGTATCTTAAGTGCTAACTTGGCTCCATTATTTTGTATAGCAGTCTTAAGATGCAAACTGCAAAAAATCAGAGGGCACTTTGTACAAAATCTGTATAGGGAGGGCCTGATAACAGTTGTAATTTGTCAGGCATGGATGAGGCAGAATATCCCTGAGCAGAAACTACTCTGAAGTTGAACAGGCTACTACACAAGTTGAAAATATCAGTTGCACTTCAACAGCACACTTGCTCTTGAGATTTAAGTTTGGTGAACATTGAAAACAAATTCCTCTGAGACAATCAAAAAGCAGTTTTTCCTATGACTTCATTCTTTGCAGGTGCCAAAAGTTAGGTGTTTGAGGTTTATTTTATTCTCACAAGCTGGGTTGTTGGGCTGCTTAAAGATATTGGGTGGCTTTAGACAGGTCACTGAGTTTCATGTCTGAGACTGGGATTTAAATATGATTAGTCACTGCACAGATAGGCTGCTTCCATATCTTTGCCATCGTATTTCCGAACTTGCTGCTAAAAGCAGCTAAGGAAACATGGGTTTCTTTTTGGGGTGGGGGTACAATTACATTTTGCTCCTGTCCTGTTGAAAGCCTGTGCTGAACTTTGAAGGGTCTCTTCTCTGTGTTGTTCCAGTAAAGTACCTCAACGCTTACACAGGAGTTGTTCTGTTGTGTTGCCGGAAGGACTTTTATCGGCTACTTGGTTCATCTCTTCCCTTCATCAGTCACCTGGAGAACAAGAATCAGTGTTATCCCTGTTCTTTTAACACGCTATATGTTGGAGGTGAGCTCAGTTCTTTAGGATTCTTATTTTTCAGCAGTTTAATTTGCTCAGTGGTCTCCTCTTGTGTGCTGAAGTCTCTTAAATGGGGATGCCTAGACTTTATTTTTGTGGCAATTATTTGCTGAAAGTGAACAATGTCAGGGTCATTCAGTCTTACCTAATACTGAATATACTGGGCACCAACAATATCACAAATGTAATGATGCCAGAAGATGTTTGTTCAAAGCAGCTTATAATAACTAAATATAAAAAAATATTTTGGGGTCATTCCAAAGCAGGTGATTCAATTTTTTTACTTTGTGCCTCAAATTTTCTTAATATTTTCTACACATGTTGAATGATCAAAACTGAGTTTAAATTTAAAATTATATTTTTTTAACTCATCCCATTTATTAAGTTATGAGGGTTTCAGATTTCAAAAAATTGACAATTTTGGCCTTGTCAGGCTACACAAAAACCTTAAAAGCTCAGCCCAGAATTGAGATACTTCGAAACTAAAAATACTGATCTCTTCAGAACTTTATGGGCCTTAATATATGTCACATGATGGGCTTACTTGAAAAAATTAAGTTAAATTTTAAAAAGTGATTTTAAAAAATACAATTAAAATTTTTCCCAAAAATGTATTGATTATTTAATATTTCTAAGAGCTACCTGCAAAATTTCATATTGGGATCTAAATGGGATCACAGTACCAAAAAATATTTTGTACGTACATGCCTGCCTTATTGGGTTCTATTTAGGATAAATTGGCCTTATTGGAGTAAAATATAACAGAATAAACAAGACTTCAAACTATAGTATCAGTTACTTCAGGCATTTCCTTAGAAAGTTATTCACTTAACAGGTATCTGAAAAGCTAGTCAAGCTTTTCTTTTTAAAATGTGTTCCAAAGTAGAGTGATAGAATTAACGCTTCGAAAGAATTCTTGTTTGTGATGGCCACCAACCTAAATGACTTTTTAAAAAGGGGATTGGACAAAGTCATGGGGGAGAGAGCTATGCTCTGTCTCCAAAGTCGAAGGCAACGGTGCTTCTGAATACTGTTTGCTGGTTTCCCACAGGCATCTCTGTGGCTGCTTTGAGATCAGGATGCTGGACTAGATGGGCCATTGGCCTGATTCATCAGGGCTCTTATGTTCTTACCCATTAGTTCACTCCTCCTCTGGGTTTCCTGCTAGAGTAGAGGTTGTCAACCTCTTGGAGTCAATGGTTCCCTTGACCAATTGCATTATTTCTGCAGCACCCCTGTGGGGCTCAGGAGCCCAGCTATGTCACCCCTTGCCTGCAGAGCTGGCAGCCTCTCACCCCTTTTCACCCTTGTGGTGTTCCGTCCTCCAGGTAGCCACTGTTGCCGCCCCTGGACTCTGAACTCCAAACCCTGATGCCCACTGCCCCACAAGGGCCTGGGAAGAGGATGCCCCCAGCCTTAGTGGCCCAATGGAGACTGGCCAAAGGTGAATGTGAGGCCAGCACCTTACCTTGAGAGACAGCAGTGGCAGCTGCTGGGCCTGCATGGGCACTTCAGCACCGGGCACTCAGCTCCCAGGCAGGCCTTGCACACAGTAAGCACAAAAAAGGCCAGTGCAACACCTGCCTGCCTGGCCTCCCACTTGTCTTGTCCATTCCCAACAGCAAGGGCTAGTGGACTAGCTGGCTGGGCTCCCTGGAGTGCTTGCTTGCTTGCTTATTCTGAGGCCACCTCAGCTCTTGCCAACCAGCACCCCCTGGCCACTGCAGAGGCACCATTTGGGGAGCTGCTGCAACTAACAGCCATGTAAGCCTTTGGGAGGCAGAGACATGCGAGGGCATCAGAAGAGGGAGGGAAGAAAAGAGTCACCCCTATCCCTCAAGGCACCCCAGGGTACCATGGCACACTAGTTGAAATCCACTGCACTAGAGAATTTCAAGAGGATTGCTGTAGGACAGGCATGTCCAAAGTCTGTTTCAGGGGCCTAATCCAGCCCGCCGGATTCCTATGGGAAAATCCTTAAAAAAACCTCAACAACTTTAGTTGGCCCTTTGGTTGGCCCTCACGGCCCTTCACTTCATCAAATCTGGCCCTCTTTGAAATAATAATAATAATATTTATACCCCGCCCATCTGGGCGGCTTCCAATCAAGTGTTAAAAACAACACAGCATTAAATATTAAAAACTTCCCTAAAGAGGGCTGCCTTCAGATGTCTTTTAAAGATAAAATAGCTGCTTATTTCCTTCACATCTGAAGGGAGGGCGTTCCACAGGGCGGGCACCACTACTGAGAAGGCCCTGTCTGGTTCCCTGCAACCTCACTTCTCACAATGAGGGAACCGCTAGAAGGCCCTCAGCGCTGGGTCTCAGTGTCCGGGCTGAACGATGGAGGTGGAGACGCTCCTTCAGGTATACAGTTTGGACACCACTGCTGTAGCATGTAAGCACAGTTGCCTTTGCTTCTGGCGTTGTTGATGCATATGCTCTCCTTTTCCTCCATCAGCTACAATACGGAGGTGTCAGAAATTCCTAATCCAGTACAACAAGGACCAGCTGCTCCTGCTGCTACGCAATTGCTCCAATGAAGGTAACAAACTGCTTGGCTTGCAACGTTAAAATGGAGAAAGGCTAGACTAGAGCCTCTGTGAGAAGAAACATTAAAACAATTAATTGTTGAGCTTGAGGCAGAGTGGAATGTGGAGGCTGCTTCTCTCCTAGTGGGTTCAGGTGGGGCACCGCCTCTCCCTCTGAGCAGGTTGTGGGTTCTACTGAGTTTCCATTGATCTGGTTGTGGGTAGCATGCTGCTGCCACGTGAGTATTTACCTAGTGAAGGGCTGCCTGTTAGTTTTGTGGGAGCATTAAATAACAACAACAGGGTTGTGGGCCAAGCCACAGCTATAAAGGGACATCTAGAAGCCTTACAGTACACTCCAGATTATTTCTCAGGCAGGTGGGGCATTCAGCACCAATTGCAACCCTTGCCAGGACTGGCTGCATTTGGGAACTCAAGTGCAAGTCTTGCTTTTGGCAGGGACTTTTGTAGCCTGCTGCTTCGAATTCAAGAAAAGCCTGCAAATGAAGAATCGGCAGCATACACAGTGTGCCCTTAATTCTCCTTTTGAATCATATGATACCTGGTGGCTGATTAGCACAGGGAGACTAGCCATTTTTCTCAAAAGTGACCCATGTAGGGTGAGGCCATAACCAGTTCTGCACCCATACCTACTGGATAGGGTAGCAGTGCAGATTGCTTCCAGGCAATCTCTGTTTTTTAAAAAAGTTTCTAGCCTTTACAGCTGGTAGGCTGCCCAGAATCCTTTGCAACAGTAGAAGAGGGCTAACACAAAGTTAGAAAAGCACCACCCTAGACTGCCTTGTAAATCACAATGTCTTTTGAGTTTAACTTTTCTTTTTTACACAGCCGACAGACAAGCCATCCAGAAGTCGATGCAGAGCTGTGCACTTGTGGGAGAGCAGCAGTTTCAGAGTCACGATGAAGACAGCGATGTTAGCACAGAGATGGCCTGAACAAAGCAGTAGTCTGGGGACTCTTGTAGGACAAGGCCATTTATATGAGGGATTCTTGCTGGCAAGGATCAATATTTCTCTCCTCCAGTTCTTTTTACAGCAGTTAATGTATATGGTAATAAAATAGATAAAAGCAAATAGTTATGTCCATGTACTGTCACCTAGTTTGCAGCCTGTTCATAGTGAAGGCTTGTGCATAGCAGTGTCAAAGTATGATGCTACTGCTAGTATCCACAGAACTCTACATCTGCATCTGTCCCCCTGCTGAGCTTAATACTTTCTTGGGAGAGCAGCCCACCTGTTGCTTGCACGCAGAGCGTGTTGTAAGTTTGATAACCCCCTGATCTCTTAAAATGGGATGTCTTACTATCACAAGCTAGCTGAAACAGAGCAGTCAGACATTCCATTTTCATCCAGTTCTTCCTCTAAAGCAGTCTTTCCCAACCTGGTGCCCCAGAGAGGTTTTGGACTCCCATCAGCCAGCAGTTGTAGTCCAACATTTCTCAGGCTGGGGAAGGCTGCTCTAAATCCTTGAAGGCCACATTTGTGGTGGGCTACACATGCCCCTTGGCACTGGGAAGAGCTAATTGACTGCATGGTTTGATGGGCAGAGACCATATTGGCACTGAGAATGATGAGGCACAATTTGCCAAACAACCGAGAATAATGCAACTGCAATGGGGAGGAAGAGGCATCATGTGAAGTGTGTTCCCTGCCACCTTCTAAAAATATGTTTGGTGGTAACAGCTTGGCCTTCTCCAGTGAAACAATTGCTGTGTCAATAGAACCTGCAGCCAAGCGGGAAGGAAAATATCCTCTGCTTTGTTGTTTTAGTCTGGGCCAGGCTTTGTGCTAATGTGGTGCCCCTTCCATGATTTGGAGGAGAGTGCTATTGATTGCTACTGGCCATGATAGATGCTATATGCTCTGACTTCACAGCTAAAGGCAACAATGCTGCTGAATACTAGGTGCTGGAAGCCACAGGAGGAGAGTGCTCTTGGGCTTGGGTCTTGCTTGCTGGTTTCTCATAGGCATCTGGTTGGCCACAGTGAGAACAGGATATCGGACTAGATTGGCCGCTGGCCTGATACAGGCTCTTATGTTCTTATGACTCACTAGATGAGAGCTGTAGTCCAAAGCATTTGCATGGTTCCAGGTTGGCAAAGCCTGCTTTAGGCTTTTGTCCAAAATACAAAAATTGTAAATGCTCAGCTGCTAAAGCCACATTAAATCTAAGCTAATTCAGCCAAAATAAAAACTGGCACCAAGGTCAGCTCTTGTACATTACAGCTTTTAGAGGACCCTCGGATACTAAAACTGTCTTTGGTGTCTTCCCTTAAATAAACGGGAAGCCAGGTTTGGCTGGAAGACATTTGTTTCCTGGTCACAGAAAACTCTGTTACCAGGACCTAAATGAAAAGGGCTTGATGCAGAATAGTCTGTTAAAAAGAGAGTAAGGTACAGCTCAGGGAAACACCTTGTGCATATGGTTTATTGCAACTAATTTCACCCTTGCTGGTATGGTACACTGAAGTTCATTGTATTCAACGGAACTGACACTTTTATTTTTAGTAGTAATTAGTTTCAGATCAAGCCACAAGCAGTGCAGAATGAGACCACTTCTCAAAACAAAGTAGGGGCTGGAGAGTGAGAAGAGAAAAAGAATGGAAGGCTAAAATGTACATTATACAAACCCAAACTGAATCCCAGAACCAAGCAAACGGAAGACCATGACCTCCAGATCCTTAGGGGTTTGACCTGCATGTGCATACAAGCTACCTGTTCTGCGCAAGGGGGGGGGGGGAGGCATTCTAATTTCTCTCCAAGTAACCTTAGCACCATTAACACCCAAGAGCAGCAGAAAGGGCTAGTCTCTTGCCTAGCTGAATACAATTGGCCTCCAGAACCCATCAGATTACTCAGGAAAGCCTTTCCAAAGTACCTTTCCCCAGCTTTTGCCCTTTGGGGAAAAGATTAAAAATAGCAGGTATAAGTTGAATTATTTCCTCCTCCACTACCCCCCCTCAATTCTTTATAAGCAGCGCTAATCAAAACGACACAACAATCAGTGTATGCTCTATAGCCAGGTTCCTTTAGTTACCAATTTGCCAGGAGCAGATGTTATCACCCAGCCCACTGCAGTCAGTAGACTCCTTTTCACACAGGCCAGAAGCAACTGGAGCTCCCTGCTTGCCTCAAGTGACAAGCAAGTGTGCCACCCTGACCACACTATTATTCCCAGGTCAAAGGAGTTATACTTGGCACAGCCCTGGCACTTTGGCTTCTGCGATGCAATACTTCGTTTTGGTATTAACTGGACAAGTACTCCTTTTTAATTCCTATGCACCTTCCCAAGTCCCAGAAACAGACTTATTCTGCTCAAACTTAAATACTTTTTTTCTATAGCAGCAAAAACACAAAAGCAAACAAAAGAGAACCAGGTGAAGAAATCTGTCCATTAGTATGATCACTTGGTATGAACCACTGAAGTGCTGAACAGCAACTTTTGCTTCTGCTTCTTTTTCTTGCCTCTTTTTTCCTCTGTAAAAGAAACAACAGCCTGAGTCACCAGAAGCAACATGTTCCCTATCAGAGATGCTAAACTAATGACTTACTCCAAAGAAGCAATTTCCTTTTATATATACACACACCCTGCATTAAGGGATCATCCTGCAGCTACAGGAGCCCATTTAGGCCTTTGACATGTTGCTGGACTCCAGTTCCCATCAGCCACAGCAGCCTGCATGGCCCAAGATGGTGGGAAATATATAGTCCAGCAACCCACCTCTGCAGGGCCACAGGTTCACTGTCCCTGGGCTAAATAAAAACTCATCCCTGGAAATATAGAACCAGGGCAGGCTTCCTGCGGGAAGGTGTCCGCTGGCAAGCTCTTTCATTCTCAAGTCCCCTAGCCTTTGGATCAAAAACTTTCAGCTTCCCATTCAAGCCTTCGAAACGCGGATGCCTGGCTGGTCACTGGCCAGAGCAAGGGTGGGGACATAAGTTAGTGGCAGTAGGTCCCATGACCAACCCTCCACACCTCAAAGAATCAAGCTGGGCCAGTAAATTCCCACAGCATCAGAACAAAGATGACTGTGAGACTGTATAAGCATTGTTCAACATATCTAGCTAGGTTTGCCCTGCACTGTACTCCAATATTACGTACGACTATCAGAAGCACCTGAATTGGAGATGGCCATGACAGGCATCACCCAAGAGGGACAGTGCAAATGTACCATAGACAAGCAGTTGAGCAAGTCTCCCCCTACATCAGTGTTAAGGGGCTGCACAACTGAGCGCCCCCACCCACACTACTGGGCTATTTCCCGTCTCTTCTTACCCAAGAGATGGTCAGAAGTGGACGGCTTGTCCAGTTTTAGGAAGGCTGCCTCGATAGCTTGGCTGAAGGAGTTCTGGAAACTAGGCACAGGTACACGGTCCGAGTTATCGCTCTCCCCATCACTGTCTCCTGGAGCGGGAGGAGCCAGGGTGGAGTTTTCCTCTGAAATAAAAGTGGCTGTTTTTAAATCATTGGGGAGTCTGAACAGGCCTCTGTCATAAGTGCTCTGAGGCACCATTGAAAAGAAACACACATAGATATCAGGATATCAGAGGTGATATCCTTCCATTGTAAGACAAAGGCTTTTATAAATTTAGACAGGCCTTTGGCTTGGCTGACTTTATTTATGGCTCCTTTTAACTTGCTCTAATGCAGTCACTATTTGGTGTTTCGTGGCTAGCGACTTTATTTTTTATTTCAAAATGTAACTGATAAACATCTTTAACCATTTCATCGTAATTTTTTAAGATTGGTGTTGACAATCTTGGGTGCCATATATAGAAAAGTTGGCTATAAATTGAGATAGACTCAACTCTACAAAGGTCTTGGAGACACTAAGCTAAGAAGAATCACTTTGCTTACCTTTCTTCTTTGGCTGAAAACTATTCCATGTTTCTGGTTTAGCTTTTCCAGCCCTCAGCATCTACCAAAAACAAGTACAAGAGTCAGATCAGCCACACGCTACCAATCTGTGACTAAAGGTGGCTTGAGATCAATGGAGGGCATTTCAACAGGACAGCTAAAGCTACTTTAAAGGTTAATGCCAGGAGCTGGAGTAAGGAATAGGTCAGCAATAAAGCACCTGATGTCAGTGAAGTTAACTCATTATTCAAAGAAACAAGAACAGCTCTGTCCTAGTGGTCACAGCTGGTGCCGCCCACCACTCTGCATCCAACCAGCCCATGACAGTTAATGGTAGCAAACACCTTTTCGTGGTTTACTCAGAAGTGATAAAGCAGTGTGGACAATTTTGTAGTTCTGGGTTCAGGCTTCATTTATGCTTGAATCACAAGCAGATTCCTTAAACAATTCTCGTAATGAAGAACTGATTGGGTGCAGCGGAAAGTCCTGCACAAAGCACACACCTGGGCAAAGGAGGGGAGGGTAGATTCCTCCTCCAGATTTCCAACGAAGAGTGAAGGGCTGCCAAGACTGCCTGCGGGAGACAGTGGAGTATACATGGATTCTGCAAGGAGAAAAATCACACATTTACTATACAGACTAAGAGTTGTGTTATTAAGGAGGCATGATAGCAGGTATAGGCTCTCATGCACCTGTGCATCCTTCTTTCTCAGGCACTGGTCTTCCAAGTCTCATTAGTTTCATGTTTGATGCTATTTTAAATTCAGCTGGGGACTCACATTCCTTCCAGTAGCTGCTGTTCAGGAGTTCCCCTCTCTTTTGTCTGCATTACCCCACCCATGGATGATTCTGCTAAGGAAGTGGAAGTAAACCTTTAGAGAGTGAGCACTGGCTGGGAACCCAGGTCTCTTTCAGCTGCTCACCTGATTGAGACATGGGACTTGAACCAACAGGAGACAGCAGAGCATCACTCTGGTTCTCAGTGCCTGCATACTCTCCTGAGCATGCGCTGAAGGCAGGGAACTGCTGCAAGTTCTCTAAAGCAATATGAACCTCTGGATCTAGACAGAAAACCAAAAGTTTTATCTCTGTGACAAAAGTTATTCACTCCTATGCCAATGATTCAGATCAATTCAAGTGACATCTACTCCCTCATGCATCTTCTTCCATTTCAGAGGGGTGTTAAAGCCATATTGCCATTGAGAAATTCCTTAGCTTCACTGCTTAAAATATGGCATTCCCACCGTCTGCCATTTCTACATACTCACTGGCCTGTTTCAAATTATACCACCACCACCACAAAAGGCCAACGTGAGTCACAACCGCCCCCCTCTCCTCCCACTTACTAAGGTGCTTCCATCTACAGCAATCGTCAGACCAAGCACTTCTTAATAGATGAGGAGGGCAAGGTTGCCACTTACATCTGCCTTGCTTCTTGTTCTCCTCCATCTCAATCCTGCGCTCCCGACGTCGCTCATCACGAGCTTTCTTCTGTCTCAGACGCTTCCTTTTCTCAATGTCATCTAAGAGCCATTGGGAGAGTTCCCGGGTGAGACAGACTGCTCAGAACAGCAAAGAAAAGGCACCTTCCCTGTCCCCCTTTGGTAGTAGTCCCCAGTGGCACCTCCTTTAGAAGCCCAACAATGATGGGGTTTCAGTTTCCATTTTCTGTTGCATGATTAGACTTCACGGTTTTCCAATATTTGTTTCCAAACCCAAGCAAACCCACATCCATTACCTGCCCCCCTCTCTTCTCAGCACTGAACCTTAAATCAGGGTGGCTAACATGGTGCCCTCTAGATACTGTTGGACTGCAGCTCCCATCATTCCTGCCAACTGGCCAAGCTGGCATGGGATTGATGGGATTTGGGAGTCCAACAACAACATTGGGAGGACACCATACCGGCTACTCCCATTTTGAGTTACGTGGAAAGCAACTCTTCAGCTACGACTGGGAATTGCAACAGAAAAACAGAACTTCCCAATGCTCACCTGAGAACATCTGCAGTGTTTCCTTCGAAATGATAGGAGGCTTCAAAGCTAGTTCACAGATACTGAACTCACAGGTGAGTGGCAAATGACACAGGTAACGATGACGCTGCCGCACGTCCTGCAGGTGGGGTTGGGGGTGTAGAAAGAAGAGAGCTGGTTGTGCAACCTTCAAACACACCTCCCTGCCTGGGCATATGACAACGCATAACAGAAATGTTGATTTTTTTGGCGAATTTACTTAGAAATAGCTCAAAAAATGAAGATTTTGGGGGGAGATTTTGAAAGAAAAAGCTAAACTTTTGTGTCTGGATTTTCACTTTTTGAAATATGGTAACCCTACCCCATACCCATTCCCTGAAGTCATGTTGTGTAAAGAGAATGCTGGTCAATATCAATAAAAAATGCCTTATTTTTACCAAATAAAGCCAAGCAAGTGCCAGTTATGAGTATTTCCAAGTGTGAGAAACACTCAAGTGAACCTAAACCCACCTCCCGGCACACAGCCAGAAAATCATTCCAGGAGATAATAAATCCTTGCAAAGGCAAAATCTATGAAGGTACCTATACCTCAGACAGTAGCTCAGCCACAGTCAAACTACACACTGAGGGCAATCCTGGGTGTCGTTACCTCCGTCATGGAGTGGCCAGATATCTCCACCACAGTGGCTGTGATCTTCTCTGGGCTCTTCTCCAGGCTGCCGTACTCGTGCACAAGACAACGGACATTCACTGGGTGAAGGTACAGGCACTGCCCGTCCTCAGCTGCAGCACGGGAAGAGAAGTTGCAGGACAGTTATGGAAAGCAGGGGAAACGGGACAACGCGCCGTACTCTCTTGACCCACTTACGAGACACAGCAGCCCCAAGTCTACAGTGCTCCTCTGCATGCACCTGGGGCTGCTGCACACAGGTTTTTAATTGCCAAATGCCACTTAAGCAGCATATAAATTAATAATAAATAATAATGGGAATAATCCAGTAAGGTATTTGATTCTGCCTTGAATAGCCACCTCACTCCAGTTCCAAAACGTCAGTTGCAAACCACCTTTGAGACTCTAGCAGGGACTGCTGTTCAATAGTGTTAAGCTTAATTATGGCATCCCCGGAAATGCAGTGGGTTGTTAAGCATTTATTTGCACTTCTGAGAGTCCACATTGATGTTTTGCTTTCTGAGCATCACCACCACTGCCTCCAAAACTAGAACAACATAGCAGATTCTCCTTATTTCTGAGAGTAGAGTACCAAAGAATCTCCTGTTTTCTTCAGGGAAGCAGCTCTCAATCCATCCTTGGGAACCAATAACCTAAGAGCCCCCTTTGTTTGTAGCACCTACCCACTCCCAGGCAGCACAAAACAGAGAGGGCATCGCTCCATAGGGCACTGGGAACCCCTCACTTTTTGTTCTGCTATGTGTCTCTGGCTCAACCAAAGCTCTTAAGGCCATAAAGTAATTAAAGGTCACTGGGCCTTTTCCCCGCCCCCAAAAGGCTGGCTTCCCTTGAAGAAAGTTATTGTTGGTGAAGCATGTTACACAGTGATCTTCTGAAGCCTTACATCAGGGGTGGGGTACCTCAGGCCTGGGGTCCAAATGCAGCCCCCCAAACTTATCTGTTTGGCCCCTCCAGACCCTCCCCTAGGCCAGGCCTCTCTCCTCTGTGAGCAGATTTGCCTAGCTGGAATGGATCCTTGAATTATGATAGTATCTCTTGCTCATCTGGATGAAAGGTAGAGACATTGTGTGTCCACTGCACAAACATGTAGCCATATCCATCACTCTATGTACTTTTTGCCTTTGGCCCTGTCCACCACTGACATGCTGCCCCCCAGAAGGCTCCCCACGAGGAAATGCAGACCTTGAACTGCAAAAGGCTTCCCTACCCTTGCCTTGACATTGTTGAGCTAACCTTGATAGAAGTAGTAGAAAGGGGTGGTGCTTGGGTGCCCACTGCTGAATGCTGTTTCAGGTTTCTCGCAGGCAGGTTCAGGCAGACTGGCTCCTTCCATCTCACTTGTGCCAGGTAGGTCCCTGCCAGATTCCTCGGCATCATCCACTCCCACTGCCTCTTCCACCTCAAAAGGGGGCAGGACAACAGCCGCAGAATCTACAGGAGGTGGCTCCAGGATTTCTTCTTCAAAAGCAGAGAGATACTCCAGAATAGGCTGTTAAGAAGAGAGAGTAGTTCACATCCATCTTTCTCAACCCATTCAAGCAAGCCCTCAAAACCCCTCAAACCCCTGCAGTTATCTCTGCCATCTCTTTCCTGAAGTCACCCTGGAGTGTCTAGCTTAATGGTCTCTGGGGCACAAGGACTCAAGCTAGGTTCACCCAATTCTAATGACCTTAAAATAGTTATTGAACAGAGTGAGATAACACTATTTCAACAGCACTCAAGCTCTCACCTTCCTCTCCTGGGTCGCTACTACTGCTGCTGCTTCTTTGTCAGATGACTCCGTCACGATGAGAGCCTCCACAGCTGCCGTGGTACCTGCAACATCACTCTCTCTGTTTTTGTCAGACATCAAGTTTCCCTCTCGATCCTAAAAGCCAAGCCAAACATTGTTAATCTCAGCATCACATCAACATATACACCAGGCTTTGCCAGCCTGATGCTCTCCAGATGTTTCGGACTGCGCCTCTTGGTGTTTAACCATCACTTATGCCCTACCAGAGAACAAGAAACAGGCACTAGTGACAGTGGCAACAAACTATCTGGGTTCTGTGTGACTTAAAGTCAAACTTATCTTGTAAGGTTATTGTGAAGATGAAAGAGAAAACTGGAAGCATCATGTAAACTGGAAAAAAACCCTTAAAAACCATTATTCCTAAATAAATAAAGACAAGCCTACCCAGATACTTAGAAATGCTGGTGTGGTTTTTAATCTCTTTTAGTATATTAATTTCTTGCATGTTTTAATATATTGCAAATTTCCCGATTTTATGGCATGACCTTTTTGTAAACTGCTTTGGGGGTTTTTACAATCAAGTGGTGTATAATTTTTTACAAAATAAATAAAGATTCCTATTTGCTCAAGCTACAACTTCAGCAGTATTTGTGCTTGTCAACACCCCCCTCCCCCCAAAAAAACCCCACACTTTGGCCACCTGCCAAAATAGGGAAATACACAATAAAAATGCTCAGAGTCACTCACATTGAACAGGTGCCATGAGCAACTAGTAAAACGCACAGATTTCCCTACATCATATTACTCAAAACCTGGCTATGCCTCACCTTCAGCTCCTGAATGGCAGCCTCAATGAAACATGCTTCAGGTGTGTGCTTGTCCTCCTCATACTGGCGCAAGAGTGCCACCTTCTCCTCCAGGATAACCTCCTGCAGCACCTGAGCCTTGGAGGCCAGAAGTAGCTTGGAGTACTGTCCATGTTGCTCATCTGGATAAAGACATGCCAAGTTAATAGTACACTGGGATGAACGTAGCCAACCAGTTGGAAGACATCCTACAAGTTAGCACTCTTGTGATCTGCTTGCTGTCTTTATAGCCACAGCCTGCATTGATGCCAGAGGTGCAGCAATGCTTTCCCAGCTGTTTAGGGGCTCTATATAATTTGGACCTACATATGCCTGCAGAGGCCTTCCCTAGCAACCACAGGGGTTGCTCTCCTCCATTAAATTAGGCTTCAAAGAAGCCTTCACTTGCAGCCTATATACTAGGCTGCAGTGAGTGCTTGGCTGCCTGGGATTTGTGGTGCCCGTGACAGTCTCTCTGGGTTGCAAGGACGCCCATGGGTGCGAAAAAGTCAGCACTCCCTATTTTACCACCTGAAACCTTTTGTTCATTCTCTATCTGCTATTAGGGTCCAACAGACCCCTCTGAAGTCCTAGCTGGAAAGATATAGCTCCACTTAACATAAGAAACAGACATGACTGATACTGATACATGACTCTAAACATGTAGTCTAACATGGAAACTAATGAGATACACTGGACCCCACAACACTGGAATGTGCCAAGCAATTAAGTTACTAGTGCTCAAGTTATCTTGCTTGATTTAAGGACAAGCAAAGTTTTGGACATGTGACTGTGGAAAAGGTGCAACCGATCAATTAGGTAATCTTCCTCACTGGGCTATCATGAAGCCCTGGTGGCGAAAACAGAAGAGGAAGCAAAACAGAGACTTAAAGCAGAGGTGAAATACTGGACATAACAGTAAATAATGGAAGGGGTCAAATGGATCACTTTAATCATTTGTCGATCACAGAATTGTGCTTAGTCCAACCTTGCACTTAAGAAAGCACTAGTTGGGTGTGGGGAACACCTGTGGCCCTCTAGATTTTGCAGAACTACAATTCCCATCATCCCAGCCATTGGTCATACTTACTGCTGGGAATTGCTACATGCTTTTTGAAGCAGGGAATCTAGGCAGTTTACATACAAGGAGCAACAGCAGAGTAACAGTTCTGCCACCTTCAAGGAGCCATGGCCAAGAATGATTTTTGTGCTGCTCCTATTCATTTCAAGGCAGCTCAAGCCAGAAAACTTTGTACTAGATTATGCCCCAGATACTGCACAAATGGCAGCAAGGTCTACCCAACTTCCCTCTTTGCCGCTCACCTCCTAGATGAATAGGCTGTTCCACATTCACCAGCTTTGACTTGGGCTGTGCTATCAAGACACCTTTCCCCCGTCGCATCAGCTGCATCGTAATTGTGTCGCCAATTGCATACTGACGGGTTTCCAAAGCAACAACGCTGCAAAAACAAAAGGGAAGTGATGAGCGATAGGTAGCTTGTGAGCCAATAAGAAATAAGGAATCGCTCAGAGAACCTCTTTTACCTTTTCAGGTCTTTCTTGTGAATCGAGCCATAACAGATGGGGCACTTACTCCAAGTCTTCTCACTCAGAGAGAGATAATGCAGGATGCATGCCCAGCAGAAGATGTGCCCACAGCGAGTGATCTTGGCAGCAGTAGGCGGGTATAAGCATATCGGGCAAGAGGGGACTTCATGGCTGCAAATCCGCTGGGAAAGTGCAACAGAGTACCATTTACTATGCTATCGTTTCACTCTAAAATATGACCTTAACAGATTGGAGAACTGAGCCCAAACTCAAGTGGTAAGTGGCCAACCTAAGTTCGTGTAATAAAGCTTTCAAGGAAAGTGCATTGCTACTAACCACTTGTTCCACAAAGTCCCAGTTGACCAAGGTGTCTGGGTCAGTGAAATGAACAGTGTAGTCCTGGTCATCACACACCACAAACTGGCAGCTGGAAAGCAAACACAGAAAAAACACAAAATATTGAATACTTATCTGATGCTAAGCTAACTGAAAAGAATCCAGAAATACAGGTATTCAAGATCACAATTATATAAGACTAGTGATGTTAAATTCTCAAGAATAATCTTTTGGAGAATATTCTCGAGAATATTCTTAACTAATGAAAATATTAGAGATTTTTCATTTAAAATAGGAGAATATTCATTTTAATGCATTGAAAATGATATAATTAGTTAATATACATGTTTATTCATGGATAAACTTGTTCAGATGGCAACCAAAAACTGTACAGATACTTTTATTCAATGGGGCAATGCAGTCAATTCACATTCTTTGATTTTTTGCACTAAACCTGAAATTGAAAATTCAACCTGAATGACTCACATTAATCACTAAGCCTGCCACTATTGACCATCAACTTTGAATTCTAATTATGTTGTGTATGTATAATGGATTAAAAAAAATGATTATTCATTACTTACACTGACAATATCACAGCTTGACTTATTATTTACTAAAAAAAAATAATGTGGGTTGTAAAACTGGTTCTTACATTAGAATTTACAGTTTGTGGAGATTATTCTCTGGAGAATTTTATAGCAGAGAATATTCTCACCTCACATCACTACATAGGACAACATAAAAAATAATAGCAGAATCACATTAGTGCAGGGGTGGGTAGCTTATGGCCCTACAGATGTTTGACTCCCATCTCCCATAAGCCCCAGGAATCATGGCCAATGGTCAGAAATGGTGGCAACTGTAGCCTGGCAACATCTGAAGGACAACAGGTTAGTCACCCCTGCTTTATTACAGTATTACCAGTATGTGGATCAACTTCATGCAGGAAGCCAATCCAACACTTACAGATTTAATAAAAAATAACATGGTATCAAAGAAGAAATATTGAAAATGCCTTCATTTCCTTAAATTATTACCTTTCAAGGCTTACTCTCAACTTACTCTCGGAATTACCACTACAAAAGGCTTCTAAAGTGTCTATAGAAACCAGAGCATAAAATTTAAAAGTGCACACTGAATCGTTCCTAGGTCTTTCTGCCCACAAAACCTTCCAAATAGAGACTGCTGCATAAAGTCTCATTAAAATGGGGAAACAGCACAACAATATAATCACAGAAGTTTCACTAAAATCACAGCAATGTAAGAAAATGAAAACATTTTCCATTTTTCTTTGCCTTGATTGTTTTTTGCTGGCCTCGTTCTCCCTTGGGCATATGAAAGGCAACCACAACCTTGTGTTGACCTCCTACTCACTTGGCCTGTAGGAAAAGTTCCTTGCTGAAAGGCTTGTTCTCCCATCTGTTCCTCTTGCCCCAACTGCCGCGGCCATTCCCAACGTAGCTTGCTTGGCCGCGAGGTTCAAAGGTGAAGTTCAGCAAGTGGTTCAGGCTAATTTTCTTGGGTCCAGAGAACTGGGCAGGGCTGAACTCTGCCCGCTGGGCCTCTGCTACCTGAAAAGACAATGAGTCACTTAGAATATACCAATAAAACAGTTTTCAAAAGCTGTGCCACATAAACAAGGTTTTTTGCACTGGTGTGTAGTGTAGGCAACACATGTACAAAGAGCATTTACTATAAAAGACTGCTGCACTGTAAGATTTAGTACACAAATGAGAGTAACACCTTCAGTGTTTTGGAGGCTCAATTCAGACAGCAATGTTCAAATCAGTCAGTTTCAAACAACTCTTATTCCACAAGTATCAACACACAGGAAAATTAATTTTACATCAAATTTGATAAATTACAAGCCAAACATCTGAGATCATTACTTCCCACTCAATTGCTAACTTACTTGTAAGGCCTATGATGAGCACATTTTACAGCATGAAATACCAATTGGTATTGGTAACAACTGGTATTTCAAATAAACAGATTACACTGTCTGTCAGATAAATTTTAGCTGCAGAAGAGGCCAGGTCAGATATGGAGACACAAATGTAGATCTTTCAACAGTTTCATCCATTCCTTACATATCTTTCTGCTAGTTGTACAAGCAAAACTTAACACACTACAGACTCATCAAAACAAAACACTATTTGTGGTACTTTAGGCATGTCATGTCCCATTGTGGCTGCATAAAAGAAGGGTTTTGATGTTTTTAAAAATGGAATTTCTACCTGAGCTATAGCACTAGGGATAAGAACTAGGGATAAGACCTTGCATATGCTGCTGGACTACAATTCCCATCACCCCTGATCACTGGCTATGCCAACTGAAGGACAACATCTAAAGGGCCAGATGTTAGCCACCCCTGGATAAGGGGCAGCAATTGAAGATAAGCTTCCTAACAGGTAAAGGAAAGAACTTATGGCACAACACTTTCTGGTTGCTGTTCTAGCTTCCTCCACAGCTGTTGGCACCAATTTAGATTTGAAGATGAGGTAAAAATCACTATACAGGATCCTTTCCCATTTTTCAGAACACAGCAAAAGAGCACAAGCACATTCTACACAAGATATGTAACATCACCATGCAATCATCCCATCCCAAGAAATATGGCTGGTCCAGTGAGACAGATTCTCACCTCATCTCGTCTTCCACCATTAGAAGAAGAGCTAAAAGGTTTGCTGCCACTGCCATGCCCACCCCTCTGAGGGGGCATCTTATTAAAAGCTTTGCTTTTCTGTGAAGAGGAGCGACGGGATTGGCTGGCGAAGTTATCATTTTTGGGATACGAAGTTTCTCGTTTACGATTATAACGCTGTTTGGATCCACTTGCGTTTTTTCCATCTAGAAAAAGAGATAAAGCAGTGGCTTTTTAAAAAAGCAATCCAAGTTCAGAGTCTCAGGGCTGGAAAATGGAATCTTGACTACAACTAAGCTAATCACCTTCAAGTAACCCCTACTGCAACATGCAGCATATACCATGTTAAAGCAACAAAAAGTCAGCAGGATAACCCAGGAGAAGCTTTATCAAGAAGCAGAACACCACATGCAACCCGAAAATTCACAGAAGCAACAAAAGACATGTTTAGTTATTGCAAGGATGCATCCACATTGTTTTATGGGCTTTGTTACTACTCATCCCCAGAAAAAGCTACTTGAATATTTGTCTGCTATTTTAACAGTGCTATTCTATACACGTCCACTGAAAAGCAAGTCCCATTGAAGTCAGTGGGGTTTACTACCAATTAACCTGGTAAAAGACTGCAGTCTCAGTGGTTTGTATTATTCATTGTTTTAAATTATGCCAAGAGAAAACTGCTAGTGAACATATAGTTGGCATTAGACCATGTGATTGAGCCTGTCTATAGTAAATAAATCTGTTTGTAAACAGTTCCATAGGAGCAACGTTTGTCTTTTTAAATGTGAATTGTTTATTTGTATGCTGAAGCTTTCTCCCCTTCAAGAGCAGCCAGTTGAACATATAGTGGACATTTGTTGAACAAAATCATATCTCTTGCATATATTGCAGTATCGTGTTAAAAACTTGTTCCAGGAAGATAAACCTTTGCCTCTACTGCCACTAGTTCTGTAGTGACTTATGCAGAATAATCCGAAAGAAGAAATTACAGCTAGGAAAGAGGATAGTGTTTGCATTTCCCTCGCAAGGATCACTTGATCCAGGAGCCCACATGGCTGATACACACTATAAAGATAGGGCAAAAAAGTCTGATATCCTCACGCTCCTACCTGTGCCAAGAGCACTTTAGTCAGTCATATATTTTCAGCTAGTCACACAACCTCAGCAAATACAGCTTACGTCAGGGGTAGCTACTGTGATGCTGTCGTCCAGATGTTATGGACTACAGCATGCATCAGCTCCAGACAGCATGGCTAATGGTCAAGGAAGAAGGGAATTTTAGCTCACAACATCTGGAGAGTACCATGCTGGCTACCACAGTATGCACATATTGAACTTCAGTATTACTGTTATCTCCATATAGATATTTTTCAGCATGCAGAAATTTTACCATGCCATTGTATTTTGTTATATTGCTTGTTATTTGATGGAGTGCTGGCCATTATGAATGAGATTTTAGGTCAGACTTCTCTATTAATTGGCTGTATATGCACATCATGCTAAATGGTTAGTTTCCTGTGATGTAAACAAACTGAAGGAACCTCAGCAGTACACTGGGCTTATACACTCCTTTCTGTGCAGCTAGGAGAAAAAGGTTGAAAGCTTTTGCAATGGGTTAACCACAGCAGCCATACTTTCTGCAACAATAAACTGCACTTACATTAACTATGGTTTAGGTTCAACAAGCCAACTTCAAACTGCAGCTTGTTTAAACCAACTATAGTGAAGATTAACTACAGTTCTGAGTCCAGACAGCACAGCAACCTGTATTCAATAGGAAACAGAAAAAAACCTTCCATACTTTCTCCTGGCTGTGCAGAGAGGAGTGGGCAGCGAAAAAACCTAAAGCTTACTGCAACTCGTCCTTCTTTTTTCTTATTATTTCAACTAGGCAATGGAGATACACCCAATAAACATATCCCAGACTAATAATCAAGACCTTTACCAACATCCAGCTGTTGTGATATCTTAATTATTTCCATACCACTGACAAGTGAGACGCAGGGGTCTAGATATATGAGGGATGGGGAACCTCTGGAGCTCCCAGACATTTGGCTATGCTGATTTATGTTAATAGGACTTGGAGCCCAACAAATGTCAAAAGTTGCCTCTAAGCCTACAATAATAATGGATAATCATAGTTTGCTAATTACAACCTTAAGACTCAAATAGCTAAACAGCTAACTACAAGTAGGGAGGGAGTAATTAGATTCCTTTACAAGCAATACAGGTGACTTTTGCAGCTTGAATCACGTATGGAAGAAGGGTGTTTTTTATGAAAGACATTTGCTAACTGCCAGCCAAGTAAAAGGTCACAATAATAGTGCAACTGCTTGTTACACTGACCTTAGCAGTATTTGAGGATTACGTACTCAGAATCAGCCACTTGCACAACTAGCTATGTAGATTAGAGTATAATCAGTGCCAGGACACATGGTCTGTGAAAGTCAGAAGTAGCACTTGCTCCACCCAAACCTTCTATCTCCACACTACATTCTTTAGCAGCAGCAACCAACCATTAATTCAGTGTATCATCAGTCCAAACACAGCACTGCTTCCAATTTTGGTTATAAATACAGTGTAAACAAGAAGCCAGACTTCATAACAAATACCCTTTGGACTTCAAAGACCATATTCCTGAAGAGAGGGAACTAATGGAAAATGCAGAATACAATGAGAGACACAGGCAGGAGCCAAAGAGCAGCTGCAGATGAATTAAAAGAATCCTTGGATGCATTCAGCTTTAGATTAGCATCTTGACCACATAATCTGAACCTAAGATTGAGAACATAAGAAAAGCCCTGTCGGATCAGGCCAATGACCCATGTTGTCCAACATCCTGTTCTCTAATAGCCATCCGGATGCTCCAAAGAGAAACCCCCAAGAAGAGTGGAACACAAGAGCACTCTCCCCTCTGCAATTCCCAGTAACTGGTATTCAGAGAAATAATGCCTCTTAAAAGTGGAGGTTGAGCACAGCCACTATGGCTAGTAGCCACTAATAGCTTTCTCCTCTGTGAATTTATCTATGCTTCTTCTAAAGCCATCCAAGTTTGTGGCCATCCCTACCCCCCTATGGAAGTGAGTTCCACAGTTTAAATAAGGGCTGCACGAACAAGTACTTTCTTCTGTCTGTCCTGAATACCTGGCATTTTATCTGTCCTGAACTTATGTTTATGGCTGCAGTCCTATATACACCAAGACCGGGGAAATCTGCAAGATGTTGTGGAACTTATTTTAATTCATACCTGCCCAAAAAGCCACTTTCAGGACATGAGGCACCTGTGGGATTTGGTCACACACCAGGAACACTGAAAGAAGAGAACCTTCCCCCAGCCCCTCCACCTTCCTATAGGGTACTGAAGAGCAAGACTTGTGTGCTACCCTGTATTTTAACGATGGCTTGCATTATAGCCCACCTTTTCCTCTAAGAAGCTAAAGATAACACACATGGGCTCTCTTCCTTCAATACCTGCAACAACCCGGCTAGCTTGTTCAGGTTGTGCCTGGTCCCAGGGCGAGCTTCCTGACCCGAGTGGGGATTCGAACCCTGGTCTCCCAGGTCCTAGCCCGGCAGTCTAACCACCGCACCACCGGCACCTACCACACACACAAACTGGAAGCCTGCCCAACTAACTCCCTTACCGCCTTTGGGCTTGGACTCTCCCCCGGCCGGGCCGGCCGAGTTAGAGCGGGGCTGCTGCCCTTTGCCTGCCGACGCCGAGGAAGAGGAGCCGGCGCCGAGGCCGGAGCCGCAGGGGTTGCTCTTGTCCATCACGTCGTGGGCTGGAGCTGCTGTTGCTGCGACGGGCGCGCTCTGGAGCATTCACGGGCGCCGCGGAGGCGCTCTTGCGGAGACTGCGAAGGAGGAGGCGGCGGCGGCGGCTGGGGCCGAGGCCCAGGCTCATGGCCCGGCGGCGGGGTCGGCGCAGCGCAGTCGTCTCGGCCACCTTCATGGCGACATTTTCCTCACGGCTTCGCCCTGAAGAGGGAAACGGAGACAGGTAGGCCTCAAGAGCCGAGTCAGAGGCGGAGGGGGAGGCGGGGGAGCCGGCCGGGCCTGCGGGGCCCCGCGGACGGAGCGGCGGCGGCGGCCGAGAGAGAGGAGGCGACGAGGAGGGACGGAGCCCCGCGAGGCCCGGCCCGGCCTTGGCTCGAGGGCGTCGGGAAGGCCGCAGTGTCGCCGCCCAAGGGAAGCCCCCCGGGCCGCCTCAGCCTCTCTCTCTCTCCGCACGACCGTTGCCGCCGCTGCCCTGTAATGGCGACGAATCGCCGACCACAGTGACGGCCAAGGGCCCGGATGAGGCTGTTTGGGAGAGGTGGGAGGGGCCAGCCTCGGCCCGTCGCAAGGCACGCTGGGCTTTGTCGTTTCTCCCTCTACTGACGGAACAGAATCGGAACGCGGGGAAACTACAGCTCCCGGCATGCTCTCTTCGTCCCTGCGTCGGGCCTCGCCTTTTATTGAGAGGACCGAGGACAAAAATAAAAGCAACGCTTCTGGTTTGCAGCTGGACCTTGCCGCATCGCGTCATGGGATTTGTAGTACCGACTGGACTTAACTGTCAGGGGTCCTTTAATGTCTCTTGGTGCCAAAGCCGCGATAGTATACCCAGCACAATAGTCTTGTGGAGTCTTGAAAAGTAACAAATTTGCAGTATTGCGGCATAACCTTTCGTGGACTGTTAAGACAGCTCATCAGATACATGAACTGTTATACTGAATTACAGGTAGATATATAAAAGCATTTATAAACTGCTATAAATCTGATACATATGGTGTTTTATGGGGGACAGTGAAGCCGTCTCCCTCTTACAAACAGAATTATCAGTGAGCGCTAGCCCATAAACGCTTGTGCCACAGTAGATTTGTTAGTCTTTAATACGCCATAGAGCTCTTCTGTTCTTGCAGTACAGGGAGAGTTGTTTTAGATTGCATTGCGGTCCTTATGATCGTCATGCACAAACTTTCATTTCACCCCGCAGTTGTGCTGAAGAGTCCTCCATGATGTGGTATAGCTAGGTACCACATTAAACTGTGTCTCATCATGAGAAGTTGGTAAGACGATCACGATGCATTTGCATCGTCCGAAGTAGGCATAATTTAGCATTTTCAGTGTGACCGTATATGTATCTATTCAGAAACAAGCCCAAATGAATTCAGCCTTTTGTATATTTTACCCCCCATTCTTTACACTTGCAAGTAAGTTCCTCTGACAGCCACAGAATTTAGCCCAAAAAAACTGCGCACGGAATTTTGGCCTTAAGCAAATTCACATGTCGTTTGCATAAGAGGAGATACCTAATTTTACATCCACGCCTTAATTACGTCTGAACAGTGGCTATCATTATTATACAGCTATGGCAATTCACAGCGGTGGTTAGACTAGTCTTGAAAACGCCCCATCAATTCCCTCCGATGTTGGCAATGCCCATGACGTCGGCGTCTAAGGAGGAATGAGCCCGTGCACCTGGTTCACGCCCTCTCCGCATCCCTTTGAGAATGGGCGGAGCTACAATGAAAGGTGACGTAGAACCATTGCGACACCTAGCAAGATGGCGGCCTCCATGGTTGTTGGCTCCCGCAGGGTTTGGGACGGCTGCTGCCGCGGGCAAAGGGTGCTTCGCCTCCTTCGGGGCCTGTGCAGCGGGGGACAGCGCCCGGCCACCGACGGAGAGACGCATTTCGGGTTCCAGACCGTGTCTGAGTCGGAGAAAAGCGAGAAGGGTGAGCTAGGCGGAAGGGAGTAGCCAGGCCTCGGCTGAGCGGAGGCGGACGGTTAATTTATTTGTTTTGTTTAAAATTGTCAATCGGTTTTGGGGCTTTTTTTTACAAAAGAAACTCAAAGCGACTTACAACAGTAAATAAATAACACATACATTAAAGATAGTGTGAAACTACAATAGAATAAATATCCTTTTGTTTTTATTTATTATAGCATTTATACTACACTAAAATCAGTGGGCCTACTCTGAGTAAAATATAGTTGTGGATACAACCCTGTGAGAGGTCCAAGGGTCACCCAGTGCTGAATGGGGATTTGAGCTCTGGTATTCCAGGCCCTAGTTTAACACTATAACTATTAACACCATGATTTTATTTTGCCCTTTATCACATTTGTGACCCTGGGAGGATTAGAAGAACAAATGCATAAAAAAAATAAAGTTACCTGAAGATTCAGTGACATACAACAAAACGTATAAAATTAATCGGGATTTAACATAAACTGAATATGCAGTGATGCAACAGAGTCTTGTGGCAAACTGAAGACTAACAAATTGGTTTTACACCATGCAGGAACTGAGTTTTCCAGGAGGATAGCCAGTGATGGCTCCAGTTGACAGGAGGGAGGGGATGCTGTAGTTTGAGTGTCAACACAGAAAAAGTCTTGTCCTAGATCATCACACAGTGTACCTCACCTGTAAGTGGGTCCATGAGAAGGGCACAGGCAGACTTATATTGGGAGAGGTGCTCTTTCAAAGATCCAGGTCTCAAGTCATTTAGGACTTTATATGTTAAAGTCAACACCTTAAATTAGGGCAGGAAAGGTAACTGGGGAAAGCTTTCAGAAATTGTGTGAGCCTACTTGAGCGTTTTCACAGTAGCATTTGGAAGCAACCACAGTTTCCAGCCCATTTTCAAGGGCAGCCCCATATAGATAATGTATAACAGAGCAGTGACAGGAATCTTTCTAGAAGAGAAAACGGCATCTACCAGAGCAGATACTCTACCATTGAGCTACAGCCCTTCCCTGAAAGAAAAAAAAAAAGTATCTTGCAGTATGTGGCAATGCAATCAACACATTATTTGATCATGATCAGTGATGCAGCTATCTTTTTCAGTTTACCAAGTTTTTGAAAATGTGGCTAAGAAGTATGATTTAATGAATGATTCAATGAGTCTGGGAATCCATCGTCTTTGGAAGGACAACCTGCTGCATCAAATGAACCCATACCCTGGAAGCCAGTTGCTTGATGTTGCTGGAGGGACAGGTGAGACCCATGTTGTTCATAGGCATCTTTTAAGGAGCTTTAGCTCCACGTTTGAGACCGTGTGTATAGTACTGTTTGAGACAATGTGTAAAGTCATTTATTTTTTAGGAACTTAAGAAGCTGCCTTATACAGAGAGAGCCTTGGTCCACCTAGCTCAGATTTGTCAACCCTGACTGGTAGCAGCCTCTGGGAAGTGAGCAATCCCCAACAATCTGTATTGTGAAGAGATTAATGTTATTCAACTTGTTGCTCTGGAGTTGGGGGTGAGCAATGAATTAGGATTATGGGAAGCTGCCTTTTGCTGGGTCAGACCACTAGTCAAAACTGCCTGTGCTGACCAACAGCAATTGCTCTCCAGGGTTTCAAGTATCGTCTCTCCTAGCCCTACCAGGAGATGTCAGGGATTGAAACTGGAACTGTCTGCATTAAAAAGAGATGCTCTATCACTGAGCTACAACCCTTCCTGTTCACTTTTTAGTTTTTCAGGTTATTTGTTTTTGTGTTTTGTTAAGCTTATTTGGTGGTTTCTAAATTGTATTTATATGTTGTGTGCAAATCAGGGTTATTCTAGCCTTCCAAAACCTGCTGGCCTCCAGATTTCGTTGGACTACAACACCTATTAGCCCTAGCCAGCATGACCAATGGTCAAGGATGACAGTAGCAGTGGTCCAAATCACTTGAAGAGCACCAGGTTGGGAAAGCTGGTTTATTCACACTTCTGTATACATTCCTGGGAGCTTCTGATGAAGGAGTGTTAATGACTCAAACAAGTAATTAACAGTAGTACAATCCTCTGCAGATCTATTTGGCACCAAGTGACACAATCTCAAAGGGAATGACCCCCGGGAAAGTGGGTGGATGTGGTGCTTTTTTATTATTTAGAATACTTTCCGTCAAGTGGTTCTCAACTTGGTTTTGCACAAGGTTGCAATAATACAAGATACTGAACACACACATGCTTTACCCTGCAACATTTAGTCCTCTGGTTGTTTGGGAAAGGGCCTTGACTCAGTGCTCAAGCATCTTCTTTGCATTCAAAAGGTTCCAGGTAGGACTGGGAGAGACTCCCTGCTTGAAACTCTGGAGAGCCATTGCCAGAACAGTGTAGGGAGCATTGAACTAGATGGGCCAATGGGCTGATTCAGCATAAGGCAGCTTCCGATGCACAATCTTTCCTGAGTGCTGCTGAAATTGGACTGTGCTTCCCTCTGGACAGTCTCAGGACAGTTGGCATTTGGAGCTGAATGTTCTCCCTAGGTTGAATAAATGAATGCAGCTTGAGAATGAATGACTACATTTTGAATAAACATTCACAATTTTTTTACTGATAATAATTAGCTAAATAGTTTGAAGATCTACACAACTCTGTAAGATGCAGAAAATAGTGTTATTGGAGAAACCAAAGACTGGAACTGAGGGAAGTCGGGGGGTGGGGTGGGAGGATGGGTTCTGTGGGGGGGGGGGAGGAAAAAATGGGGGGGGGAATAAGGATATATTTTTGGAAAATATGTTTTGTTATAACTTTGAATAAATATTTTTTTAAAAAAAGAGAGAATGAATGACTGCAGAAACTCCTAGTGTAGTACGTTAGTGCCCTTACAATACTTAAGCATTGAATTCTAGGGAAGAATCCCACATTATGAGTCTTCCTTTCAAAACTAATGCAGGAGACATCGCCTTTCGGTTTATCAATTACGTTCGTTCCCAGCGGGAGCGACGAATCCAGCAGCAGCTGAGATCCCATCAGAATTTATCGTGGCAGGAGATTACCAAGCTTTACCATGAAGAGGATCATCAATCCCTGGGAGGATCCCATGTTGTGGTTTGTGACATTAACAAGGAGATGCTGAAGGTTGGGAAGAAGAAATCACAACGCCTTGGTTATTCTAAAGGTAATAGACTGGCACTTCAGCAAAGGGATGGAAATCGTGTATGGATAGCCTAGTTCAACATCTAAGCCCCACCCTTTTGACTAGAAAAAAGTTTAACTTACATTACTCAGATTACCCCTTTACTTGTACAGTATATGTCAACCTGGAACACTTCAGTTACGTTGGACTACAATTCCCATCAGCCACAGCCAGTGAAGGCTGCTCTTAAGCATCCTGCCTATAAGCACTCAGCATACTGAATGATGTCTGTCTATAATTAGCAACAATTAGTTATTCTTTGAAGGCATGGAGAAGAGGTGAGTGACTGGTGACATGATAGTATTTAAAATTATGCATGGCATAAAGAAAGTGGATTGAGAAATAGTTTTCTCCCTCACATTTAGTTGAGATTCCTGCATTGCAGGGAGTAGATGACCCTTGGGGTCGCTTCCAAATCTATGATTTTATTACTAGAACTTAACAGGCACCCAATGAAGCTATATATTGGAAGATTCAGGGCAGATAAAGGACTTATTCACACAGCATCTAGTTAAACTGTGCAACTCACTCCTACAGGAGGCAGTGATAGCCACCTACCAGATGGCTTTGAAAAAAGAATTAGATAAATTCATGGAGGAGAAACTAGCCATGAAGGCTGTGCTCAGCTCTGCGGTTGAAGGCAGCAATGCTTCTGAGTACCAGTTCCTGGAAACCACAAAAGGGGAGAGTGCTTCTGTGCTTGAATCCTGCTTGCTGGTTTTCCACAGGCATCTGGTTGACCAGATCCAGCAGGCTTTTCATATGTTCATATGGAATACTACAGCTACAGCAGTGTCTTTTTAAGCTTTACTCCATACACGTGTGCCATCTTGTGCTGGTTTGCTTTAAGTTGACTTTTGCCTGTAAATGAGGGTAGATACTCTCCTAGAAGTCTGGTTTCCTTTGATGATACAGCCTTCCAGAAAGTTGCTTAGGGTGTGCCGCTGAGCAGTTTCCCTTTACATTCTTTCAAAGGATTATCCTGGGTGCTTGGAGATGCTGAAGAGTTGCCCTTCAACAATGACAGTTTTGACATATACACAATTGCCTTTGGTATTCGGAATGTCACTCATATAGACCAGGTGAGCATTGGTCAGATCTTGCTGGATTTTACTCTTTGAAGAACACAACAGCTTGCTCTGCTGGATCAGAGCAAGGTCCATGTAGTCCATGGGTAGGCAAACTAAGGCCCGGGAGCTGGATCCAGCCCAATCACCTTCTAAATCCTGTCCGCGGATGGTCCGGGAATCAGCGTGTTTTTACATGAGTAGAATGTGTCCTTTTATTTAAAATGTATCTCTGGGTTGTGGGGCCTGCCTGGTGTGTTTTTACATGAGTAGAATGTGTGCTTTTATTTAAAATGCATCTCTGGGTTATTTGTGGGGCATAGGAATTTGTTCATTCCCCCTCCAAAAAAAAGTCCCCCCCCCCCCAGGTCTGATGGACAGTGGACTGGCCCCCTGCTGAAAAAGTTTGCTGACCCCTGTGTAGTCAACCATTCTGTTTCCAATGCTAGCTAGTCATTTGCCTCTGGGAGAGAAGGGTATGGGTTTCCTGTGTTTATTATTATTGAGAGGGGTAACAGCACAAGAGCCCTACTGGATCAGACAATCTAGCCTACTATCCTGGCCTCATAGTGTCCAACCACATACCTATGGGAATTTGGCAAACAGAACTTGAGCACAACAGCACATATGCTCTCCAGCAACTGGTATTGAGAGGCATACTCTCTCTAATGCTGGAAGTAGTACATGCTCATTATCTGCCCATGTATTTGCTTAGTCAGCTTCTAAAATCATCCTAGCCGTTATTCATTGAGCTTCTTTACTTGAGGACTTGGGATTTAAGAGACTGAGTCAATATAATGCTGAGATTATGATCAGCTTCAGGAGGGAAAAAAAAGGCAAAAGGAGAGAGTAGTCTGCCCTGGGTCTCCTTGTCCTGTTACCAAACTTGCACAGGTGCCTAACTTGCTCGGTACCTTGATGCTTTGTCCGGTGGGGCTCCCCCCTCCCTTTCTCATAGATTGAGCTTCCACCATAGCTTACCCTATTTTTACATTCCCGGCTAGCTTCTTCCAGCTGCTACCTGGAGAATCTATTTAACTATTCATTTCTCTTGATTTTATTTCTCTTGCTGCAAAAATAAAGCTTTTAGGTGGACATCATTAAATTGAGAGGGAAGGCAGTGGAGGCCTGGAAAACAGGGACTGGCAAAAGGAATAGCAGCCTAGGATTCAGCTGCTTGCTTCTCACACAGCAGCTTGCTTCTCACTTGCTCAAAACTGGCAGTCACTGTCTCTAAAGGCAGCTGGTATATATTGAGAGTTTGCAACGGTTCTTAAATTGTATTTAGTGTGTTTATTAACATGAACACAACTTGCCTTGCCAAATCCATGTTCTGGATCTCAGAATAGCACTGTGTGAAGCATCATAAATATACTTAATGTCTTCTTCATTCCACCGTTTTTTTCCAGGCTCTTCAGGAGGCTTATCGAGTCCTGAAACCAGGAGGGAGATTCCTCTGCCTAGAATTCAGTCATGTCAACAACTCCTTCATTTCCAGGTTGGGTTAGAGATTCTCTCTCTTTTTCATCCCCTTAAGCAAATGTTGTCTACCTCCAGATGTTTTGAATTACAACTCCCATCATCCCCAGTTGGGACATAGGATTCTGGAGCTTGCAGGATGGCTATGCAGGCAGGGGCTGATGGGACTTAGGATTGGCAGATGAAGGGCCCCCCAGCCCCCATCTTCCTCTTATCATAGCACTGGAGAATACAGTTACTGTCATTTCTCCTGTGCACTCTCCATTGCAGCACTGGGCTGGGAAGAGATGTTTAAACCACCTTAGTGCACTGTAACGGGAATGAGTATAGTGTGTGTTTGGTGGCATGTGGCCCTTGAAGGGCTGGCCAGCCTTGAAGTACCACTCTGTTCTGCCTTGGTCAGACCCCGCCTGGAGTATTTTGTACAGTTCTGGGCAGCAGAGTTTAAAATGGATATTGACGAGTTGGAAGATGTGCAGAAGGCAACCAGTAAGATAAAGGGTCTGGAAACCAAGCCTTGTGGGGAAGGTTTGAGGGAGCTGGGTATGTTTAGCCTGGAGAAGATTGAGAGGCGTTATGATAGCCATCTTCAAATATATAAAGGGTTGTCACATGGAAGATGGAACAAGCTTGCTTTATGCTGCTTCGGAGGGCAGGACTCAAATGTTTCAAATGGCAAGAAAGGAGATTGATCTGTTTTATCTGTATTAACCTACTGGTGTTTTTCCTCCCTTTGCAGTCTGTATGATCTGTATAGCTTCCAGGTTATCCCTGTGCTGGGCGAGGTTATTGCTGGTGACTGGAAATCCTACCAGTATCTCGTAGAAAGCATCAGGCGCTTTCCGTCCCAGGTAAAAAAAAAAAATCCTTTTAAGTCTATAAACATTGAGGTTGCAATTGTACTTCCTAGGATTGTACACAGCAAGTGTCCCAGGTGAGGTGCACTGTGAAATGTTCGGGAATCCTGCAGTTTCATCACTTATTGACAGTATCACCATTGTTGCATTTCAGGTAGAATTCAAGGAGATGATTGAAGATGCAGGCTTTCTGAAGGTGGACTATCAGAACCTGGGTTCAGGCATTGTGGCTATTCACTCCGGCTTCAAGTTATGACTTTCATCTTACAGCGCACAGGTTTTAAAATGAAAGGGTGGACTGAACTCTGATGGCCAAATTCAAATGGTTATGGCCTTGCAACACACTCGGCATCACGCCATCAAAGCACACTAATCCCTTGGGGAATTAAATTTCAGTTATCAGTCAGCTGCTGTAGTCATGTGACAGCTGGGTAAGCATCTGCCTCATCTTGCTAGGGAACAACACGTGAACCACTGGAAGATGGGACTTTTATTTCAGTGAGAATTTTTTAAAAATCTGATGGGTTTAGGCAGTTCTGTTCATGAGGGCAGCTGCATTTTAAGACTCAAGTAATTTCCTATTTCAATCATGTCAGCCACCTTTTGTGTAGCCATGTGTGGCACCAACTAGCTTTAAAAACAAAGAGGTCTGCACTTACTGGGTAAAAGTCACTGAAGCTCCAGATTAAAAGTCACTGAAGCTCCAGATTTCTTGCTGTATTTATTAAAAATATATATTTTCAAATTTCTTTTGTTTCATTGAAATAAGACTTGTAATTTGTTTGAACCTCAAAATGGATGTAGCCTCTGTGTAGAGGACACATACTCTATAATTACCAAGATGGGAGGTCCTCATCTATAAAGGCTATTATTTATTGAATTTATATACTGCCCTATACCCAGGTCTATGGCAACACACACATAATCCTCATCTCCTGCTGTAATGTAAGCATGTATAACTACAGTAACTACCATGTTATTTCTTCTCTTAAAAAACTCTACCATGAGGTTAAGGAGCTGCCCCCCCCATCCTTTAAATAGTAGCATCATGTATGTGGTACTGCATGATTACAATAGATTCAAGTGTGAAGAGTTACATAAATGTTCCCGTATGTGAAGAAAGCTTGGGCACTGCCATTCTTGGTGTAGTGCTGCATCTCCTGAACCCAAGCCCCTGGATTCTGTTGAGTGGCAGTAAGTCTTCATGGACTGCCTGCCCTCCATCATCACTTTTGGCAGGATTGAATATCTACATTAGAAAGAGGAGTAACTAGCACAGAGGAGCAAGCATTTGCACAAACTACATACAGTATTTAAAGTTTGATGGAGGTGCATATTGGGTCTCTGTACTTACACCTACAGTGAAAGCTGGATAGCTCAGTTGGTTAGAGCATGGTGCTGATAAAACCAAGGCTGCAGGTTCGATCCCCATACAGGACAGCTGCATATTCCTGCATTGCAAGAGTTGGACTAGATGATTCTCCGTGTCCCTTCTAACTCTGCAGTTAAATGATTTTCTGGGCTGGCCTTTACTTCAACACCAGAAGATGCAAATAATTTTCCAGTCTGGATGCTATTGACCTCCCATCTACCCCCCCTGAAAAGAACAGGCGATGAGCTTGCATGACTACCACCAAGTGATATATTTGCAATGAAAAGTAGTAGCATCCACTGCAAAAAATAAAAATAAAAAAAATCTTAACTACCAAAGAGCTACCAACTTTTTACAAATTAATGTTGCATTCTCTAAAGTTGCAAATATTTTCAATGGAAAAGTAGAGCATGCACTCCAGTGTACAAAACAACAGGTCTTCGTAAAATGCTTGATTTGGATTGTGGGGAAAGGAGATCTGACATGTCAGTGAAACAAGCAGGAGTTACACATCCTGCTAAGCTAGGTGATAATTCTTTTTCCAAGCAGTGGTATGTTTTATTCCTTGGGCTTTAGACAGGCATTCTAGCACTGTTCCTTACATCAAGATGCCCTGCCATAAGTACTATGATGCCAAAAAAACAGTGCAAGTATGCTACTGGGAACAAGTATTGTAAATGCTTTTGATTACATTGTTAGAATGTTATGTATTAAAATATTCCATATTGGAATTTAAATAACCAGGCATCACTGAACATTTTTAGAGGCGACAATAAGTCTGGCACATATTTCTAACTAAAGAATCACACTGACCAGAATGTAATTTAAATTCAGTTGTTCCTTTTGTACACTGCATTAATCATCAAAGCATGCATACTGGTGAGTAAAGATCATCTTTGCAGGCGTTAGATACACCCTAGATTGCAGTCTCATGCAAAATTACTTGTAAAGACAATGAACACACTGGGATCCCTTCCAATTTATGCATAAGCTTGTGCAACCTCGTACATACTTGCTTCATAGTCCCACTGGATGAGTCAGTTATGTCATTTTACAAGTAAATGTGCTTAAGAATCAGATGCAACACAGGGAATAGTTTACAGGTCCTATTGGCTCCAATGCTAGCGCAGTTTTGCCAAAGGCAAATCTAGTTCATTCAGTAGACAGAAAACTATGGTCTCCAGATGTTTTTGGATTCAAACTCACACCAATCTCAAGCAACATGGCTAATGGGGGTTGTAATCTGAAACATCCAGAAGGCCACAAGTTAGTCACCCCTGATTTTGGCAAATAATTTGCTATTTCAAGTCTGCAGTGCAAAGCTGGTAGTCATAGGAGAGTTGGCCAAATATGGAAGTATTAGAACAAGCTCTTAAAGACTGAATGTATGCCCAAAGGTTTTATTAGAAAATTAGGACTTGTGGGTTGCTTTTTGTAAAGAAAATACATACAAGATTACTTTTTTGCTATTTTTTTATGGCCACAACAAAAACACAAAATGGTACAGAGGAGTACCTGTCCATTAAAACAACAAAAGGCTTGAAGATCAAGGTATGTTCCCTGGGGAAGGCTGAAGACTTCAGTCTATTTGGAATTAGCGTGCAGTCCTGTAACCAAATGCATGTTTGGGGTGGAACAGTCCCATGTTCTAACCGGATTTGAAGAGGAGAATGGCAACTTGACCCAGGTAGAAGTAGATGAAGTGTTTGGTCTCATGAGTCACATAGCTGCCAAAATTTCTTCCCACAATGCAGTGCCAAGTAGGATTGTATTTCTTGTCAAACTCCTGAAAGAGAATAACTTAATAGCTTAGCTTCTCAAGTGAACAGCTTCACTCATGTGTTTGGAAAGAATATGCAATGCAGTCTTCTAACCTCTTGAGCTATACATACAAGAAACATGCAACAACATAGCCCAGTGACTTAACTTTTGTTCTTGCCATGTATGAGACAAGGGAAGACTGCAGTCCACAAATCACATTGAAACCATAATAACATACTGACATTAACTGGACTATTTTGGAGCAAGTAGCTTGAGAAGTGCTGTATGGATATTCTAAGCAACCCATACAGACGTTCAGGCTATCTGGGTTTAGGAAGAGAAGTTACGCACAGGTCCTACTTTTGTAACAAAGTCCACCATTTCATCATTTCCTATGGAAATATTTCTAATTCGGGATTTGTCCAACCTCTTCACACACACCCCGCCCAAAGTTCCTGAAATGTATGCAGCTAATCTGCAAGAGAACAGAGGAAAAAACCAGATTTGCCTAACACAGGGTTTCCCAAACTTAGATCTCCAGCTGCTCTTGGACTACAGTTCCCATCATCCCTGACTAGTGGTCCTACTATGTAGGAATGATGAGAGTTGCAGTCCAAAACCAGCTGGAGACCCAAGTTTGGGAAACCCATGTCTTATCTCCCCTGCCCCAATTCCTTTGTTCTTGGCTCCCCACTTCCTGTCTCTCTGGTTTCTTCCCAAAAATGGCTGTTGCCAACTAGCAAAGCACAAACCAGCAAGGAAGTCAGTTCTTTGGATATCCGAGTCTACGGCGCTCATAGCAAGGTTTGGGCAGAAGGATAAGTGAATTTTCGCATCGCAAGCATGTGGATAGCAGGACCTGCACATATACAACTAATAATTAGTAGTATAATACTCCTCTGTGCTATCTATTTAAGTGTGGGTTCTTAATTCAACTAACTTAAGAGAGTAATGTCTATGGAACAATAAATAATGTTGTGAAAGAAATTGAGGGTTTATTAAGGTAATGTTATACTAAATCTTGGAAACAGGAATTCTCTTTTACAGAGGCTTGGAGCAGTTGATATTCAACCAATTTATATCAATATATTGCTTAGCAAATTTCAGAGTACTGATTTTTATAGGTATTAATCCCATCCTTGTACCAGACTATGCATTTAATACACTATTATATCAGCTAATATTAAATCACTTGTGTTCCTGTACTGGAGTTGGATTCAATCCAGGGGTCGGCAAAGTTTTTGTGGCTTGGGCTGGTTCACAGTCCTGCACAAGCTGCGGTGGGCCGGAGTGTGTGCGCACGCATGCGCAAACGCTATTTCCGGGGCTCCTTTTGGCACGGAGCAGGAGGAGAACGGGCAGCAGGGGTCCCTAAGCAGGTGTGGGGGTCCATGGGCCTTAGGTTGCCGACCCCTGAATCAGATCAATCCTAAACGTATAGTGGCTAATGCAGCAAGTCTTGAGTGTCTACCACATTCTTTCTCCCCCAGCCCATATGCAAAACAGTCTGAGTGGCCAGGTTTGTACACTATTAAACTGTAAGTTAGCACCTCTTTCAGTGTGCCCACAAGCTGATTCAATTAACTACAATTTACTGTTGCACTCAAACCATGAATTGTGGTTAATCTTAACTGGTTAATGAAAAAAGCCTTCTTTGATTTGAAACCAACCTGTTTCCACTAATCATAATTATAGCTAAAACTGAACAGTATTTCCAAGTGATCATCATACCAAATTGAGGCTAGGTTAAAATAGAAGCAAGGGCTACCAAACTCTTCAAAGTCATGCTGAAGAAGATGGTAGCAACCAACCATGAGGCTTGCTGTGGCTTGCCTTCGTAGTGCTGAATTGTTGAATAGCAAGCTGCTGTGTGAGAAGCAAATACAGGGTGTATCTTGCTACAACTTGTTAAGAGCTATGCTAAGGAATGTTTTAAGGTTTTGTACTTTTCTCATCTTCGAGGAACAAATGTGTATGCTTCCACACTGTCTTACTTATGCAGATATAAGCTTGCCCACTGTCACAGCAGATCTGGCAAGCTTCTTGCAAGCTCTGCCAAAGTCAGAAGATCACAGATGCTTGACAACCCTCTAGGAACACAGACATGCAGTTAGACCACCCACATAGACTAGGCTGTGAAGGAAATGCAGGAAAATGTCCAACTATTCCCTGGCAGGCCAGAACACTCCTACACATACAAAATCAGCTTTGCCAGTTAAGAAATCTGTGGACACATGTTTAGTTAGAAATAATTTTAACTGTTCCCTCCCTCAGTCTGAATTTTCCTCTTCCTGTAAGAATTCTAAACTAGCAGCATGCAACGATTATCAAGCTTAACCTTCTTTATGTGGGCAGCAATATCTTTCTCAATGTTGTATTTTTCCAAGGCCTGTGTAGCACACTCCACGGAGTCCTGCTGCATCTCCTCAGACATATCTGCATTCTTTATCACGGCCTTTCGATCACTCATGGTTACCTACAAAGCACAATGGACAAGAATTCAAAATGTTAACCTGTGCTGGTAGATCCATACACTACACCAGCTAAAAGTCTTTACTGTATAATGGCTTAATTTCCAGAACCATTCAGCCACTCTCATAAACACACTCCAGAATTTGTTCTGGAGACACAAAGTTGAACCTTCTGTTCGTATTTCTGATGAGCTGTTTTAACAAATCAAGCATGTAAGATCAAACATATAAATTATTTCTGCAAGAAGAGACCAATATGCTCAACACTTTGTGTGCCAGATGTACTTCAGTAAAACACAGACCCCATCTTGGGGGTTGAGCTGAACAACCTACACACTACTTAAATTAGACGGAACAAATGCAGTGTGTTGCAGACACCTTTTGCTGAGCTTGGCTCATTATAGGAGGACCTAATTGGCCACAGATGTCTGAGTTGCCCCACCCACCTCCGGGAATGCAGACCAAGGTATTCTCATCATTTATACCCACAGATTTAACTGTCTTCACCCTCAAGCAGAAATTCCACATTTTCTTACATCCTAGAACTATTTGCCCACAAGATACCCTTTGTACAGCTCGCAAGAGGACTCCCTCCCATCAAACAGGATTCCCAACTCCTCCTACATTATTTTGATTCCTTTCTTCTGCAAACTCTTTTTCTGTATTGCTTCAAGTCACACAACATCTAGCACATTATTTTAAGGTTATTTCCGAAATTAAATGATGCAGTTAAGGGACTTTATTGTTCTATTTTTTTAAAATACAAAATTGCAGGGTTGGACACGGGGACTAGTTTAAAGAAGTTGTACAATGCTTTGCAGAGTTACAAACAATTTGATAATGTCTTCATCAGAAACTTTCCCACCATCACCCCTCCCAACAACATTTGCACATCATTAGACATTTAGCACCCTCCCTCATTTGCCCATTTTACCCACAAGGCTTCAGAGATTCCTTGCCACACCCACACAATCATACTATGCCTTTTAAGTAAGCCTTGTCTCTCCCATACACACACTACAGACTGAAGTGTCAGTGTCTTGAGAGTAGGAATTACACAATAACTAGCACACTAGATAATACAGCAATACAGTGCAATCCACCACAGATCCTACCCCTCATGAAAAATATACGCCCAACAACCTATTCAGAAAACGTACTCCTGTTACATCCCCTCCTATTTATTCCCTTCCTTAGTTATTCATTGCAAACCAAAGAGGAGCTGGCTGTGGTTTCTCTTTTATCTCAATAGTTGGACCCCACATGGCACAAAACTATTTAAGAATACTTTCAAGCATTTCTTTTTAAATTTTTCTCTGTGGAGTCTAAAAATTAGGCTGCAACTCAAAGCAAAAAAAAAAAAAAAAAAGTTCCAACAGCAAAATCATCCTCCTCCTCCATCAGGTGACCCACAAACTCACTACAGGGCTCCCCAGTTTGAGTCTTCATTCAAAATAATTAAGAAAATCGGGAGCCGCAAAATCAGCCAACTGTTCAGGTTCACATGAAGTGGGGAAGAGAGGATAACTGTCCAAAATGCAGTTGGCCAAAACACTTATTTAAAAGGTTGCAAAATAAGCTAGCAAACATCCACGTTCTCCAGAACCCTTCATGATGCCAACACTATGTACCATGCTTAAAAGTCATTTCTATACCACTTTCTAATTCCACCCCTCCCCCTCTAATTTAGATTACACAAACTTAAGGAATTCATTTATTTTAAAACTTTTTTTAAAAAGTTTTGCATTATTATGTCTTTTAATGGTCTGTAAAACTGCCCAGAGAACCCAACTTTACGAGAAAACAAAATCTATAATAAATGAAATGGAAGAACGATTACCCATGATTCCGATTCAGTTGCGCAGATTTATTTGTAACTCCTCCCAAGGGGTTTCTCCCCCCCACCAAAAAAAATAAGTTTACATTTTACATATTCTGAGAGCCCAATTTATATATGAGCAGAACACAAACGTGTTCAATAACTCAAATAACCAACTGATAATAATCCCACATTAATCATGACCTGCTTTAATGGGTTTTTAAAACGCCATTTAAATTTTGTACCGTATTAGAATTATTCAAACGGCCTGTGAACATTCCAGAGAACCCAACTTTTATAGGATCAGAATTGCAAGCTATACTAATAATAATAATACCGTTTCTTCCCCCACACGCCCCCCACACTCCCATCGCCTCCTCCACCTCAGCAATCCTTGCACCGCACTAATATTAATCTGTATTTTCAAACGGCTTCTAGGCAGCTCGCAGAACCCAACTTTTTAAAGGCCAGAATTACATACCAAACTACTATTTTATTACTAATGATGATAATAATGTCGTCTCCCCCTCACCCCCCCCAACGTCTCCTCCTCGACAGTTCAAGTAACCGTAATGTCACTTTATATATCATTTTCTAACGGTCTCTGGACGGTCCCACAGAAGCCAACCGACACATGGCCGGAATCACGCTATAACTCTCCTCATATTAATAATGTCCCCAACCGCCCCCTCCCATCATCTCTGCCGACGCCATTATAATTTCCCCGCTTAAAAACCTCGCCGCCGCCGCCGCCCCTCACCGTGTGCTTCTGGTTGGCGGCGGCTCCTGCGGCTGCTTCCTCCTCCGAGAACGACGACGGCGACGGGCAGGGACGTTGGTGGAGCGGACGAGCAAGTTGTCACCTCGGCGCTCCTCCGGAGGCTGCCCCCGTCGCGTAACGAGCTGAGGAAACCCGCGCGCGCCTCGCCTCTGCCTTCGCCCGCGAACAAGCCTCGAGTGCCGCCTGGATGCCCCGGCCACGCCCTCCGCCCGCCGGCAGCGGCCACGCCCAGCCCAGCTCGCCGCCAGCTGCCATTGGCCACGACAACAATACTCCTCTGAGACTATTGGCCGCCTCTCCTGAGCCTCCCGTAGAGTTTTATTGTTGCATTTTGTTGCGGGCCGGCATGCACCGCGCCGGCGTCCGTTGCCGTGGCGACGGGGCCTGGTCAGCCAGAGGGACTACGAGGCGGAGGGCTAGGAGGTGGTGGTGCTGGGGGCGCCCTTGCAGGACCAGGCAAGCCGCAGCTCGGCGGGTGCGTCAGCAAACAGCAATATTCCTCTGAAGAACTGGGAGAGAGACGTTCTGGATGGCACTTCTTCAAGCTGAATGCTTCTGAGCTTATGCATGTATAAAACCAGAGAGAACAGTGTTCCTGAGCATGTGCAGAATGTATTTACTTTGTGATTCGGAGTGCTCCTTCAACTGTTAGCTGTATGTTGTTGCTTTTGGATACTGTTGTTATATCTTTCTTTTTGTTGTAATGCATGCAGTCTAATATGGTAGGAGGTATAGAAATGTTTTAATAAATAGTAAGTAAAGTGTTCAGAGGCTCCCTGCCTTGTGGAGTTAGGTGGTGCCCTCTCTTACCTGAGAGGAGATCACAGGTGGTTGTCTCATGAGTGGCAGCTAGACTGGTGACTGGGAGTGGCCACTGAGACCATATAACACCGGTCTTGAAAGACCTACACTGGTTTCCGATTCCCAATTCAAAGTGTTGGTGCTGACCTTTAAAGCCCTAAACGGCCTCGGTCCAGTATACCTGAAGGAACGTCTCCATCTCCATCATTCTGCCCAGACACCGAGGTCCAGCGCCGAGGGCCTTCTGGCGGTTCCCTCACTGCAAGAAGCCAAGTTACAGGGAACCCGGCACAGGGCCTTCTCGGTAGTGGCACCCGCCCTGTGGAACGCCCTCCCACCAGATGTCAAAGAGAAAAATAACTACCAAACTTTTAGAAGACATCTGAAGGCAGCCCTGTTTAGGGAAGCATCTAATGTTTAATAGGTTATTGTATTTTAGTGTTTTATTGGAAACCGCCCAGAGTGGCTGGGGAAACCCAGCCAGATGGGCAAGGTATAAATAATAAATTATTATTATTAGCGGATGAGGCTTGGCCCCTACTTCTGGGCTGTAGGACTAGCAGGGCAGCTGGGAAAACTTAACTGCCTGGCCCATTGGGACACTTTCCCCAGGTCACAAAACCCTCCCTGGCCCAGCATCACACTCACCTCAAAAAAATGTGCCCAGCTAGAATATGACCTTCATCAATTATCATACTTCTTGCTTGCCTTAATGGAGAACAGAGGGTGTATGGTTGTGAAAAAGCTAGCCTAGAGTGCAAAAGTAAAATTCCCATTGCTTGCCCAGCCAAATGTTTGCTTCTGATCACAGCTACCTTTGCCTCTGGCCCTACCCAACAAAGGCCCCTGGAAGCTTACCCAGAATTGAATGCAGCTGTCTTACTGAAAAATGTTTCCCTGCCTTTGCTGTAAAATTGTTCTCAGCTCCTCTCCGAGATAATCTTTTCTAGTCCAGAACATCATGTGGCTCTGCAATGTGCATTACAGCACAGCCACACCCCCATGTGACACATAAGTGTGGTATGACTGCAAATAACATACACATCAAGAATGGCTTGAGTGGATTTTTTTTTATATACTGTACCAGCAATTGACTCAAGAATGGAAAGCAGAAGGTAGGCGTGAACTGACAGTTCTCACACTGTCTGGGAATTAAGCATAAGAAGAGCTCTGCTGGATCAGGCCAATGGCCCATCTAATCCAGCATCCTGTTCTCACAGTGGTCCACCAGATGCCTGTTATAAGAATTTTAAGGTCTTATATATATAAAATAGATGTTCGTAAATGTACCAAGCAAACACATACAAATATGTAAACCACATGTCTGAAACCCACAGAAAAGTCCTGAAACCATTTTTTTCTCTCCCAAAATGACCTCAAATATTTCTCTGCAAGGTCGACGGAAATGGGAAATCTCCCCATTGTCTCTCTCACAAATCCTGTCTTAAGGTCACATTTAAGATATGAATAGTATGTGAGCCTGTGACCTGTGACCTGGATTCAGGAGCTGAGTAACAAAAGAGTGGCCAGGATGCCCCGGTAATTCAGTCAAGCAACCTAGCAAACAAGAGAAAAAAACAATGCCCTCAGATTTCTGTGGTAGTCCGCTCTTTCTGTGATGTATGTATGATGTTTCTGGGGGTGGTCTTGGACTCCAGAGCAGGCAATTTAAAATGTCTATATAAGAACTTGCATGCATGATTTAGGGTCCCTCCCCCCGCCTTGTGTGTGTTGGGGAGCACCCTGTTGCAACAGCTTTAATAAAGATCAGGCTTACTTGCTGCTTTGCTTCTCAATATTCTCCGGTTGGTCTCTGTTATTTTCTCCTACCGATAGAGAACTTATAAAAGGACTCTATGGGCTCTTGGGTACCCCATAATGGAAAAGGAGCAGTTTTTTCTCATAACATGCCCATTATGGGAAACTGGCAAGCAAGTCCTGAGCTCATGAGCACTCTGCCTGTCTGCAGTTTCTAGCAAGTGGTATTCAGAAGCATTACTGTCTCCAGCTTTGGAAGCAGAACGTAGCCATGAATTTGTCTAATCCTCTCTTAAAGCCATCAAAGTGGTCATCACTGTCTCCTGCTGGAGCAAGTCCAATAGTTTAACTGTGCAATCAAGCAAATACCAACAATCTCTGTTGGTAACGGATTAATGCTGTTCAGTGCTCTGAAGTCAAGGGTCAGCTGGTGGGCATCCATCTGTCTCAGGAAACAATGGAAGAGTGCACCTTTGGGACTGAAGTCAAACTGTTAGAGATTTACAATGCCTACTGTGGCTGTAGAAATGGATAGAGGAGAGACATGTTTTGTTGCAGCTGGAACAGATGAAGGCGTCTGGTTTTGCTGGGACAGATGCACCATGGCATTTCTTATTGTTGCATTCCTCCCAGCAGTCATGCATGCAAAGCAGATGCTTGATCTACTGCCCATCCCCAGCTGCAGCACAATGAATTGTTAAAGTGGCAAATGTGGTTCAGCGAAAGTAATTTTAAAATGATGCCTATAGAGGCAAAGCTTCACATTCATAAAATTTGAGCCCAAACAAAACCTATAACATTAAAAAATAACAAGGCAGGTAAATCAGCAATAAAAGCTAAAATCAAGTTAGAACATATTTAAAAGGTTGCTTATGGGGGCCACTTTGATCTTACCTGCCTTGAGTAAATGGTGTCTACCGATGCTTCAACCAGATTTGCTAGATAAACAGGATTGTGTAAATATCAGAAAGCATCCCCAACAGGGCCTGAAGCAAGTGTTGCTGGAAATTTTTAGTTTTGATCATGGATGTACTACTCTGTCTTGAGATTTCAATTGTGTCACTTAAGGGCAGCTCATTAGCAGGCATCCTTCTTGGAAATGTGCAACACACTAGGCCCCAAAGCGTGCGTGCATGCACTACAGGCTTGCCTTTTTATTTTATTTTTTTATTTAGAGTATTTGTACCCCACTTTTCAGCCCCAAAAGGCTCCCAGAGTGGCTTACATGAAATAAAGACAAGACACTATCTACCTGCAGGCTTACATTCTAATAAAAAAACAAAAATTCAACACACGAGAAAAAGAGCAAGGAGGGAAGAGGAAAATAAAACTCAAAAACTCAGGCCCAAATGTTTGGACAGCTGTTCCTATGTCTCCCACTGAAACAGCCTTTTCCTTAATGTGGTTTTGCTGATGGGTGGGCAGAAAGGAAGACAAAAGTCCAGTAATAAATCTGTTAAGTTGTGGGTTAACATATCAGACGGCAGAGCGATTCTTCAAACAGCTCTTGTTTATTCACAGGCCAGAACAGAACTGAACTGAAGGGTTCAGCCAGCCTGCTTATAGAGAGCTCAACTACAAGGCAACAGTAACAACTTTCTGTAACTATCCAATTACTGAATGTCACTTTCAATTCCTTATTTGCATATGTGGACCTGAGTGAAAACTATCTACGGTATCCCCCTGCTGGCCCAGGTTGAGAACTTCAGTACATAACAAAATCAGTGATGGACAAAGCAGACACCAAGTGTGATAGCTAAGCTGGCTTTTCATGCACAGGAAGGTACTGTGATACCGCTTTTAATAAGTCATGGCTTCCCCCAAAGAATCCTGGGAAGTGTAGTTTGTTAAAGGTGCTGAAACATATTACTCTGACTTCCTTTAGACCACATCAGCGAGGCGGGAGGGGGTGGGTCTTGTCGGGGCATCCAGTACCCCCATACAGACTGCCCGAGCTTGTGCCTGGAGGTCACTTTGGTGCTGCTATCCCCAGAGGCGCACTCTCGAGATAGAGGATGCCCACAATACAGTGGTACCTCGGGTTAAGGCAGCCCTGTTTAGGGAAGCTTTTAATGTTTAATAGGTTATTGTATTTTAGTGTTTTATTGGAAGCCGCCCAGAATGGCTGGGGAAACCCAGCCAGATGGGCGGGGTATAAATAAATTATTATTATTATTATATTCGTTCTGGAGGTCCGTTCTTATCCTGAAACTGTTCTTAACCTGAAGAACCACTTTAGCTAATGGGGCCTCCAGCTGCTAACATGGCGCTGTAGCACAATTTCTGTTCTCATCCTGAAGCAAAGTTCTTAACCCGAGGTACTATTTCTGGGTTAGCGGAGTCTGTAACCTGAAGTGTATGTAACCTGAAGCGTATGTAATCCGAAGTACCACTGTATCCCTATATTCCCTTTCCTGAAGCTACAATTTCAGAGAGGTCTAACGGCCAATCCTTCTCTTTCCAGGGAACTCTCAAGAGTTGCAGCCAGTCTGGCATCGATGGTTATTTCTTAACAGCTTCCAGCACCTTTAACAAACTACACCTCCCAGGATCCTTTGGGGCCTGAAGCCCTGACAAGTGGCATCACGCTATTGAACTGCGCGCATCCGCTCAAATATCCCCGCCCGCCCCGCTGGAGGCACCCTTGGCCGACAAAACCCGAGCATGCGCAGACTGCAGCCGCCGCCGCATGCGCATCCGCTGGCTCTTTCGCGCTCCCCCCTCCCTCCCTCGGAGTGAGGGTTTGCATAGGAGCCGTTCCTTCCCCCCCACCCCACTTCCCCATCTCTTCTCGGTGGCGCGTCGCCTCTCTCGCCTCCTCCCCTTTAAGCTGCGGTTCCCCCCCCTCCCCGCTCCTCATTTTTTGTCCTCCGTCACGTTGCTCCTTGCGGCGTGTGAAGGCCTGAGGGGGCGGCGGCCGAGGCCGAATCGCCTGACTGACTTGGCTGGCTGGCTCTAGGCCCCGGAGGCGTTTGCAGCGGCCTGTGAGGGACTCGGAAGGATGTCTGGGGGCTGGGGCCGGGATATGATGGACTACGGAGGCGGCGGGGCCGGCATGTCCGGAGGGGGCGGCCGGGGAGGCGGGAGCGGCGGCGGCGGCGACGGCCGCATCTACGTGGGCAACCTGCCAGCCGACGTGCGCGAGAAGGACCTGGAGGAGCTTTTCTACAAGTACGGCCGCATCCGCGACATCGAGCTGAAGAGCAAGCGCGGGCTCGCCCCCTTCGCCTTCGTCCGCTTCGAGGACCCCCGGTGGGTGACGGGGAGCGGGGCGGGTGGGTTCCCGGGTTCCCTCAGGCGGGAGATGTAGAGAACCCCCCCAATAATCTCTCATATTTGGGAATGGGGGGGGTTTCCCAAGCATGCCTGGAGGGTGGGGGGAGGAGGAAGAGGAGCCCCCCCAACCCCAATTTTTGGCATTTTGTGAATGTGGGGCTCTCCATCTTGCTGGCAGGGTGAGGTGCAAGCCCCGCCTCACCCCCTTCTCCTCCTCCTCCTTTCCCGCCTTTTTTAAATTTATTTTTATTTGGTTCGTTTTGGCATGTCACATGCTGGCTTTCTGCTATAATAATAACAATAATAATTTTATTTATACCCCACCCTCCCCAGCCGAGACCGGGCTCAGGGCGGCTAACAACCAATAATAAAAACAAGTTGATTAAAATACAATTTAAAAGATTAAGATACAACATTAAAACATTAGGATGCAGCCTCTTCACAGGAGGAGAAAGGAAAAAGAAAGAGGGGGAGGGAATCAAACCCACCTGCATCCACCCACCCAGATGGTTTTCAGATTATTATTATTTATATTAATGATATAGGGGGGTTGCTATCCAGCATTCGCCCATGCTCCAGAGAGTAGACCCGTTGAAATGGATGAGCCCCAAGATAGTTCGCGATCATTTCAGCAGGTCTCGAGTACTATTGAGTAGGATTGACATTGGATATGATCTGCGGAAAACTGATGTTTTGTTTTGGAATGGTTTTGGCTACACAAATAAACATTGCCTTACAGTGTCACATTATCTTCTTTATGATAATATTTTTTATTAGTTTTCAATTACAATCCAATGATAGCCTCATAATAACAATACCAATTTATAATACAATTATAATACAACCAATTTGTAATACAACTAATACTAATCATTCAAATACCGAATCACATTGTCATTACCCACCCTTCCCCCTAAGGTTCCAGCAATTGAAACAGTATTAAAAACAGCTTAAAACAACTTAGTTACAAAAATAAGACTGCCCTACAGTCCATTAATTTCAGTGGGTCTGCTATTCTTGAGTAGCACTAAGATGCAACCCATTAAAATTAACAGACATAACTTGTATGGGGTCCATCAGTTTCAGTGGGTCTGCTATTGAGTTTGACAATGGATACAATCTATTAAAATTGATAGGCGTGATTAGCATTGGGTCTATCAGTTTCAATGGACTTTCCCTAAGTAGAACTCCGTTGCCTACAATCCTAAAATAATCTATATGAATGTATTATGTTTATTTCCCACCTCACTTCCTTAATGGAAGCCAAGGTGGCATACATTATTATTATTATTATTATTATTATTATTATTATTATTGGGATTTATATACCACCCTATACACCTGGTAGTGTTTTCTCAGGCAGCCTCCCATCTAAGCAATGAGCAGACCCTGCATTGTATCCAATGCAGCCTACAGCCTTCACCAAACCCCATGTTGTCGGACTAGTTTGTGTAGAGATGGCCAGCTGTTGGAAGGTAACTTGCTGCGTGTCTACTTTTGCATCTGGCACATGAAAAGTTGTTCAGCAGGGTATGTGGCTCTTGATGTGAAAAAGGTTTCTCAGCTCTGGCCTGTATAGATTGGCAGCAGCTCTCCAGGGATTCAGACAGGACATACAGTACTGGATATGTAAAGGATTGAACTAGGGATCCTCTGCGTACAAATCGGGTGTTCTGCCTCTGAGGTATGACCCTTCCTGAACATAGGTGGATCAGATGCACCTAGACCAATATTCTTTGCAAGAATACCAGCCACTAGTTCAGGAGTGGGGAACTGTGGCCCTCCAGATATTGTTGGACTACAACTCCCACCATCCCTGGCTGCTGGGACTGTCCAATAACAAACAGCAGTGGAGGAGCCACAGTTTCCCCACCTCTGCTTCAAACCACATCTTGGGTTCAGTTTATTTATATTCTGCCTTTCAGGATACAAATCTTGCCTAATTCAAGGTGATGTGTTGTTGTTTTTAAAAAATAATTATATTTAAAAACACGCACAGAAACAAGATGGAGGATAAGATGGTGCCTTTTCCCAATTCATAAATGATTATTTGGGGGCAAGGGAGTAGTAAAATGGACTGTGAAATGTCTCATCTGCTGTTAATATTATACAGTCAGAGATCTAGATGATGTAAAGACCACTGCATCTTTAGTAGGTTGCCAGTCTCCTTCCTTCCTTCCTTCCTTCCTTCCTTCCTTTCTTTCTTGACAAATCCTGGAATGGAGCCTTTATGTTTATGAATTAATTTTTAATTCATTAATTTTTGTACTGCTTTTCAAGAATAAAAATCTTCACAATATGGTTCATATTAAATATAACAACAAAATGCAATATATAATATTTTAAAACATCAATAAATCCTATGGAAAGGGGTGTTTGCTTCATTTTTGCAGAACTGTTGATCATGTATATATTAAATCTGCTTTACAAATATGTACTGTTCTGATTCTGGCAAATTCTTGTTAGTATATCATAGTAATTTTCTTCAAATATAGAAGTTTATGCAATGTGTAGCTCAACACCACAGCATATATGTCTGACAGCAGACCATTAATCCTTAATCTGAGGAATGGAGGATTGGACTGCATCAGAAATTAGTCCAGTTACACAAAAGTCACAACCACGACCCCTTAAGTGGTGTAGTGAAGGGCTTTTTTGGGTTACCACATCAGGGATGAAGATTAACTACAAAAAATATGCTGGCATAAAGAAGCAGGCTGTAGGGGTTCCTAAAGTAGTGTTTGGAACATTGCTAATTGATCTGTAGAAAGTAGTCTGCTGATGGCATTCTTGTTGATCATAAGCATACAGAGAAGCTTCTTCATTTTGTTGTATCTCTTGAAAGTTGCCTTCTTTGCGTAACTGACAATGGCTTTTTGAAACAGCCGGAGCAGACTTCCGGGGTGGCGCCTCCGGAAAATGGCGGAATTCCCTTCGAACTGAAGGGAACCCGCTACACGGAGGCTTGGGTCCTGCCGCTACGGCGCAGCGGGGACCCTTAAAAACCACAGGCGGAAGAAGCCTGTGGGCGTGGGACTCGGCGGGCACCGAGAGCGCTCTCTCCCCTTGTACAGGAGCCCGGTAACGGGCTCCGGAGTGGGAGGTGCGTGGTGCTGTGAGTCGTCTGCTTCCTCCGTGCAGCAAAGCCGCACTGCCGTTCTCGGAGAGCGCTGCCTTTTTCCTGGACAATTTGGCATCTAAAACATCTATCCGTGAGTACCCGATCCTGGAAGAGCTGAACTACTTTTAAGATTGGTGAATAAATAAATAACATTGGACTTGAACTTGAAATTGAATTTAATTGGGACTCGGAACGGAAAGGTCTAAACAGGAAGTCGCCTTCCGTTCTTTTGTTACGTGAAGAAAGCAAAGACAAATTATACTAAAGCCTGAAAACTAAATTCTGAGAGAACTAAAATTCAACATCTAAGATTTCTGAACCCCCTTTGATTGCAGGAGAAGAAGGGGGTTGTTTTGATCTTTTCAACCCTGCGGAAGTGAGTTTAAAATAAAGTAATTTTCCACCGCCCTGAACCAGGAGCGGGCTGTCAGAACTGACGTTTTGAAGCTTATCCAGCTTGACAGATAGTTAAAAGAAGGGTAACATTTTGATTCCACTGTTGCCTCTTGAATTTGAAAGGGGGAATTTTGGATAAAGTGTTTCTGTAAAAATAAATATTGTTACTGTTTTTTTTCCCCATTTAAAAAAAAAAAAAAAAAAAAGGGTTTTCCATCTAGTGGAACTGAGTGAAATTGCAATGCAGAGAGTTTAAAAGAGAAGGATCATTCTTGTGGGAAAGAATTTTTTCTGACCTTGAAGGACAATGCTTGTACAAAGGCTTGAACAAGTGTTCCTGGAAGGTTTTGCAAAATTAAGTGCCCAGCTGGACCAGATGCGTCAGGAGTCGACCTTGATGAGGACGGAAGTTACCAGAGCACAGCAGCAAACAAATGAAATTCAGTTAAAGTCTATACAAGTATATGAACCTGCTGTAGCGACGGAGGCTTCAGAGATGGAGGGACCTATGGATGGGCAAGATCAGTCTTTGAACTTGATAAATGAACTTGGGACAAACCTGATTCGGAAAGATGAAATGTGGTCAGATTTGGAAATGGGGGGATGGATTGACACCCCTCTATATGGTTATTTGGACTTTCCGAGTCTAGTGATGGGCCATCAGAGGAATGGAGTAGTCGAAGTCTCCAAGTTTTGTGGAAATTGGAAGTGGTATTATCTGCTGTCTGGCTTGGGTAATGGGTTTGGGATGGACTTGCTGCAAAGAGTCAAAAGCATCTTCTTGCTGGAGTATCCACGACTGAAAGGGAAATATCAACAAGAGTGGCGAAAGGGGCAAGAAAGAGACTTGAGGGCCTCGGATACGAGACAACCAGGTTAAGGAGCTGGATTATTGAGGTTAAAAGGACTGACAATCCCGGGTCCAGGGAGGGGAGGCTGGAAGTTGACTGGATTGAATCTGACTTATTGTTTTTGCTTTCTTATTTTTTAATATTGGGAATGTTTATAAATGTTTGAAGGATGTTGAATGAAATTATATGACTTAAGTAAGGATTGGTAAGTGATTTGAAAAAGGTAATGATGTAAGAATTTGCTAAATATTGAATATAAGCTTTGAGTTTTAAAGTTTTTATATGACAAGAGGGAAAATAGAATAAGGAAACGCAATGATAGATTGTTATGAAAAAATAGAAAGGATTTGCTGTAAAAATTAAATACTAAGAAACAAGAGAGGGAAGGAGGAGGAAGTCTAGAAAGGAAGTTAATGGAGATCGTAAAGGATTTTATATTTCTGTTTTTCTGTTTTTCTTTTTTTCTTTTTTGCGGCTGGGTTTTTTCTTCTTTATTATTTCTGTATTATTTTTGTTTTTATTTGTACTTTCAAACTTTTTTGGAAATTTTTGTTGTTACTTGTTACTTTTTGAAAATTTAATAAATATCAATTCTAAAAAAAAAAATGAAACAGCCGGAGCAAAGGTGCCTTGGGCACTAATGTTTTTTAACCTGATTGCCACCTTCTTGATTTTACTCCAGGGAGACTAGCAAGTCAACATAGTAATTGACGTTCGGAAAATAAATAGGAACTCCCTGGTGCTATGATATGCTAACTGTTGTTGTAAGTGTAAGGCATGAATGTTCTGAATTCTTTTTATTGTTTGCAACATTTTGCATCCTGATGGTGAATACTGTGTCCAGTCAGTATGTTTCATTCTGCGACTTTCGTCCAAAGCTAGAAACAACTTTATCGCTCATAAATGTCAAGTGCTAACATCTTCCAGCTTAGAAACTGGGAACCTCTCCACTCTTTCCAGCCTACTATATCTAAATAGTTCTATATTTAAGTTTCAAAAGTACAATAGTTCCTAGGACTGCTCATTTTCCAGAGGGTTAATCTATTGCAATAAACACAGCAAAGTATCTCTTTGCACCTTAAGGAGCAACAAAATGTGTTAGTCTGTAAGGTGCCAAAAGACTCTTCTCTTGTTTTCGTACCTTTCCTGTGCTGTCTGGGCAATGCTAAATTCATGCATATATTATTTGTTCACAGAGATGCAGAAGATGCAGTTTATGGGAGGAATGGCTATGATTATGGTCACTGTCGCCTACGTGTTGAGTTTCCCAAACCTTCCAGAGGACGGGGTGGAGGCTTTGGTGGGGGGCCTCGTGGGAGGAATGGCCCTCCTTCACGGCGTTCCGAATTCCGAGTCCTTGTTTCAGGTATGTTGCCTTCCATACTTCATACTGGCTGGGAGCCATCCTGATGCCATGCCACATGTTTTGTTATATTGGGGAGAAGGAGCACCTTGCTTCCATAATACAGGGTTTCTTCTTTAATAAGAAAACTGTTCCTGTGAAGGAGTTTTTTCAGAGCTGCGAGAGGAGAAGACAGCTTTCTGGTTCAATTAACGGAGGAAGCCTATTTTAATTTGCTTTTGGAGTTCAACTTCGTGAATGAATGGTGAGCAAAAGATAAATCTCATCTCCACCTGTAGGCAGGCATGAACTCAATGGACTTGGAAATGGGCAACTGGGAGGGTGAAGGGAAAGAAGAAGATCCTTGTAGTGTGCAGGGCCAGGAGGACTGGGTCTCATAAAAGCAAATGATTCTCTGAGACAAAAAAATGAGCATTAAAGAGCTGCCTGAGCTGCTGCTGCTGTGCAGTATTTCTGCTTATTATGAGAGAAAATAACCTGAATTAGATCCCTCAGTTAATAACCTTGTGGATCCCTCAGAGGAACCTTGCCATATCTGAAGTAGGTGTCTTGTTTAGTGAGTTGGGAGAGACAGGTGGAAAATACCTCTTACTGGAGAGAAGTGGATGTATTTTGGAGGTTTTGCCATGGCGATCAAATCTCTGGAGAAAACTCAGCACTCCCTGACCAGTTTTATGGAATGGTCCACTTAAAACAAAACTCATTTTTTAAAAAACATGTTTATTCCCATGTACTGCTTAAGTAAAGTACAGTGACCTATCTTGGTGCTTCTCTGCATGGTACTGTGGCATCCTGGCTAAAAATGTGATTGCTCCCTGTGAGGAAACTACTGAATTGCAATCTCCTCAGCTTTGCATCAGGACCTGAAAACAAAAGTATTGAACCCCAGAACCACAGAAGCCTGGGAGGGCAGGGAGGATATCTGGAGGAATCTCTTTGACGTTTGGCATGAATGGGAGAACGTGCATTGCTAGAGAGTATTGTGAAGCGTTCTTGAAAACTGCTAGGAGCAGCAGTGTTCTAGTGTCTCCAGAATGCGATGTGGAACAGGGGAGCCACTTACCTTTGCCTTTACTTAATGATCATGCTGATAGTTAAACACAGGTATCCTTGCTTCGCTGCCCAAGGACCCAAATTGGAATCAAAACTCATACTGTTAGAAGGGGACTATCATTCTTGGATGGGAATCTGATCCTGAGTAACTTAAGTCGTATGTGGAGTACAAGCTGCCCAGGCAGAGTTAGGGGTGATGTTAAGTTTACCTTGGACCAACAGGAGGAGGATTCCTTTCAAAGCCCAGAACTCTGAATCCTACCTAGGGGACCACCTTGCTGACAATGAAAGGCTCATCTACTCAGGAATGGAACTTAACTGCTATTCTTTGGATCCTTAATAAGCAGGAAGTCTGTGGAAGTGGTGGATGGAGTCGCAGACCCGCTGGAGGGACCATTCCAGGGTGTGCAGCTTTTTCCGGCCCAGCCTAAGCCGCAAGTGCCATCTCTTTATGTAGTCTCTTATGTTTTGTGTTCTCACTGCTCAGGGCTTCCTCCATCAGGCAGCTGGCAGGACCTGAAGGATCATATGCGTGAAGCTGGTGATGTATGTTATGCAGATGTACAGAAAGATGGAATGGGGGTGGTTGAGTTTCTCCGCAAGGAAGACATGGAATACGCACTGCGTAAACTGGATGACACCAAATTCCGATCTCATGAGGTGGGTCCCTGCCTGTGGGTGAAGAGCATGTGCGTTGTGCCAGTCATGGAGGAACATGCGTTAACGTGTCCTGTTGTGATGCTCTCAAGAGGCTCCGGGGGCACAGTCTAGCAATAGTCTCGGAATTGGTGGCTAATAGTAATCCTTGTAGCATGTTAGGAATCCAGCTTAAAAGAGTGGTCAAGGCCTTGTGAAACCTGCCCCATGATGGCGTGGTGTGAGCCCTGACAGCCAAGGCCAGGTTTTCTGGGGTTCATTCCTAAGTTACATGGAAAAAACTAAGCATTTGGATTTACTTGCCTCTGTCTGCTTCTAGGTAAGTCGAGTTGACTTGCTTTGCCATTCTCCCTTTAACAGACCAAGAGTTGAACAGAGATTGCTAGTGGTTGGCTGTTGAATAAGCTTAGCTCACCTTTGCCTTGGCAGCCAGAGCTTGCATCCACAAACTGCAACGCTTCTCCCCAGAGATGCTGATGAGTAACCATAGTGGTTACAATAGCAGTCATTCCCACCTATGCATGGAATCTCTTCCTATGGTGGTCTCATGATGTCTCTGCCATGAACCAGTTTTTTTCCCCCCAGTCTTGGGGCATTGCTACCTCTCTTGCAACCACCTTCTTCCATCTGCTGCAACCACCCCCTCTGTCACAGCTGGAGGCTGCTTGCTGTGGGATTTCCCTTCAGAACCTGAGCTGCTGAGATACAATTAAATTAAGATGAGCTGGTGAGACAGTTCACCAAGGCATCTCCCAACTATGCTGAAGGACTCCACTAGATTACATCTCTTTCCCTCTGGCAGTTAAAAGTTGGAAACTATCGACATCTTCGCCCTTCTTAGTTAGATGAGGACAGAACATGGCTGTGTTTGCCTTACTAATACCTGCACCGTACTAGCTGTTATGTAACACATGCCCTTCGTCTGTAGACCCTCAAGGGCCAGATCAGAGCTGGCCCAAGGCAGCAGCAGTAGATGGACTCCTACTTACGTATATATGGAAAAAAAGCTATCTCCAGCCTCGAGCCACTTGTGCATTGGTTCCTGATCTTCATTTTTGGCATTCATTCATTCATAACGTTGACCACAGGATGTTATGCCAATGTTTGGGTTTTCTCTGTTTTAAATTCCAGGGTGAAACATCCTATATCAGAGTTTGTCCTGAAAGAAGCATCAGCTATGGCTACTCGCGCTCCCGTTCTGGTTCAAGGAGTCGCGATTCTCCATACCAAAGCAGGGGATCGCCACGCTACTCTTCTCCCTTCAGGCCATACTGATTGCACCCAACAGGGACTTCTAAAAATGTGAACTGAGCTCTTTATTTCTGCTCAGAGTTTACATTCCAAAATGGATGGATATAGTCTTTCGTAGGAAGCCTTGTTTCCCCCCCCCCTTTCTTATTCAATAAAATCTTTTTTTATGACTTACAGTTTTTACTAGGGAAGTGTCGGTAATGAAATACTATAAAACATTGCCACTTGAACTTCTTTTGTTTGGAAAATGTACATTGTTTTTGTTTCTCCTTCTGAACGAAGGGATATGAGCTTGAGAACTAGTATGCGTTAATGGTTGTCTGCAGGAAGGTGCTGTAAAGCAGTGGAGCAACCTGTACGGCTCAGCCTGTTGTGTTGTTTTGAAATATACTTAAATGTTTCTGTAACTCATCAGTGGGTGACTGTCTTTTTGTGCAGGTGGGAAGCTGGTGTAAAATACAGCTTTTAAATTCCTTTCTGTTCCTGGGTTTATCAAAGCCTACTGGTCAAACCGGGTATTGTAGTGGGGGGAAAAAAATCAACAGAATATTTACACTACAGTAATATAATTTAAAAGTTGCTCAGATATAATAACCCTGAGTGCTTTCAGATGGGGAGTGCATTGTGGAATTGGGGTTGCTTACACATATTTTTTTTTGCAGCATCTACACATTGTTTTCATAAAAATGCCAGCCCATACGTGTTCACAAACAATCCGGATAAAAACTGATAAGTGAAAATAACCCATTAATCATCCACAGTGACCACTGGAGTGGAAACGTGCTTGCGGCATGTGGGGGGAGTTTGTCACATCTGTTATTCTCTAGTGAATGTTCCCGATTGCCACACCCCTACTTCCGTTTGCTCCTCATCTGAATGTAGCCTAGCTGTTTCATTTCTGGCAGCAAAAATGACATGAGCCTGCCTATTTCCTCACTGCCACATGCAGTAGGCATGTCTGAAACCATTTCAGCAGAGGACACGTGGAACTATCTTGGAGACCCAAATTGCAATTGCACACATTGGACTTTTAAATAAAACCAATAGAACTTTATAGCAGAACACCTCTTATACTTCTCTGTTACATGTCAAGTAAATATCACTCTTGCAAAACACCAGAGTATTAATTAAAATTTTAAAAACTACAATTGTCCCTATGAAAAGCCCATGATCTTCTGTTTTGCCCTTTGTAAAACATAACTAAAGCTGATAACATTTGCTCTCGTGCACTTCCTGGGTTTTCTCTCCCTCCCACCACAAAAAAAGCTACAGAAGTACTTGTGCACCTGCCAGATTAGAAAAATTGGGGAGATGGGTGGAGCAGAAAAATACAGCACAGGTGCATTCAGTCAAGCTCCAGTATGGATGATGGAATAGCAGTGACTGTCCACAACTGGAAGAACAGACCTCGTAGTACTTCACATGCCAAATGCACATGACATAAATTGGTTATGAAGTCCCAGTTTTAAGGGCCTTTTCTAGAGGCCTCTGTAACTTCATGACCCCCAGTACGTTTCTGAGCACAAGGTGATGATCTACAAAGCCCTAAACAGCCTTGGCTCCATACGCCCTATCGTCCAGCTCCAAGGACCTTCTGGCAATTTCCTCACTGAGGAGCAAAGTTACAGGGAATTGGGTAGAGGGCCTTCTCAGCAGTGGTGCCCTCCCTGTGGAACACCCTCCCATCAGATGTTGAGATAAAGAACAACACAGCTTTTAGAAGACTTCTAAAGGCAACTCTATTGGGAAGTTTTTAATGTGTGATGTTTTACTATGTTTTTATATGTGTTGCAAGCCGCCCAGAGTGGCTGGGGAAACCAGATGGGCAGGGTATAAAGAATAAAATTATTATGAGGCAACATCAAAGAAAGATAACAGGCAAGGCAGCAGAATTAGTGAAGGGGCTGCTGGAATAGGAAGCACAGCACCAGAGCACAACTAATGGGATAGGTTCCTTCTCTGGCCAAAGACTTGACAAACACAGAGGGGTATTTCCTGTGCATCTAGCCAACTACTAAATCTGCCCAATTATTATTAATTTCATTTCTATACCACCCAATACCCGAAGGTCTCAGGGCAGTTCACATGAAATATAAAATACATACAAAATACATAAAATCAAAATGCAATGCAAGCATTTGCTCCTTTGAGAGGAAGGGTGGAATATAAATTCAGTTAATAAAGCTGTATTAAAGCCCCATTGCTACTTGACTTGTAAACCTTTGAAATTAATGTTTTGTAGTAGTTAACATGTAAAACAAGAGATGTTCCATTTCATACCTATGAAGTTGTATTTGCCTCAAGCCTAGAGGGCTTCCTGGCAAAGACACTATTGCATGCTTAGAGGCTGACTTTTCTATCTTGCCTGCAACCACAGAGAAAGCATTCTCCGATTATGTGATAATTTATTTAAGTGCCGGCCTGGATAATATTTGTTAAGCCTTGTAACAGCTGTAAAGAAGGCCTAACCTCAGGTTTGGAGCTAAGTTAAACTATTAAGTGTGCTGTATCATGTTAAGGCTGCAATCCAATCCTTGCATACAATAGAGTTGTGCTACCGGTGTCCATGGGATGCGGGTGGCGCTGTGGGTTAAACCACAGAACCTAGGACTTGCCGATCAGAAGGTTGGTGGTTCGAATCCCCGCGACGGGGTGAGCTCCCGTTGCTCGGTCCCAGCTCCTGCCCACCTAGCAGTTTGAAAGCACGTCAAAGTGCAAGTAGATAAATAGGTACCGCTCTGGTCGGAAGGTAACCGGCGTTCCGTTCGCTGCTCTGGTCCACCAGAAGTGGCTTAGTCATGCTGGCCACATGACCCGGAAGCTGTACGGCGGCTCCCTCGGCCAATAAAGTGAGATGAGCGCCGCAACCCCAGAGTCGGTCATGACTAGACCAAATGGTCAGGGGTCCCTTTACCTTTACCGGTGTCCATGGGATTTCTATATAAATAAAAGGTCAGACTGCATATGTTACACATAAACAGGTCAAAATGATGAGGAAATGCACTTCAGCAAATTATTTATTACATACAGCTCAACAGTATCTTGAAAACTAGTTTCCTTTTCTGAAGCAGAAATTCATATGCCAATATGAAAATGACAAATACTGCATAGTTGAGGATAATGTGCTTCAGTGCCTTTTGATTCCCCTTCTGAGCCAAATATTACTAGTCTGCTCTCATAGGTTTTGTAAGTACCCAACCATGAGCCCATCTCATAAATTAACTCTACAGCAACATTCTGTTAGAATAGTATCACAACTACCACTGAGCAACATGCTTGTTCCAAAGGTCTGCCATATGTTTCCAGGAAAACATATATCCTATTGTCTACTGTTGCCTGTTGTCTACTTCTCACAAGTTTTTATGTGTATGGCTTTTTAAAATAGTGATTCCTTTATGCGTATAACTATCTGTTGATACAACTTGTTCCCTGAATCTATGGTACCATTAAATATCACACCTATACTTCTCCCACGTTTTGAGAGGTGTGAGCTAACCCATAATCTCTCTTGGGCTGGATAGGAAGAAACTGCCAGAAGTCTGTGTCTCCCCTCTTTCATCTCGTATCATTCAGCGCATCACAGACAACCACTCCATCCTTGGGCACCTTTGACAGCTGGATAGCCTTGAGATTCTGCTCCCCCAAATATGTCAGTCTGCTTATCCAGACACAGAACACTGGACAATGACACATCAGTCCTTGCTGTGATCACTCTCCTTTCAATATACAGAGCTCAGAAATCTGCTACATTCTGCTATCTGGTTTCTCGATCATTTTTCTAAAACCATTTCCCCTTTAGAAGTAGAAACTTTGGTTTTGGGTGTTTTGTTTTTGAACAGGCGAAAGGGTTATGGTTGTGAAAATCTTTTGGCCATAACTAAAAATGGTGTTGGGTACATCCGAAGCCAATTGAAATAAGCAGGTTTAAGGACACTTAACTCTGGGTTGGATTGTTGCCCTCATTGTTGGATTGTATACACAATTTAAAAATGCCCGAGTCAATAATAACTTAGGCCTAAGCAGTACAGAAACAGCAGTCATTTCAGAGAGAAAGGTCAAGTTGCACAAGGGATGTGGTGAAGGTTTATCCTGCATGCAGCTTCATGGAGTAGATGCTGGCTGCTGAAGAAGTTGTGGCATCTATTGTGGCATCTGATGTAGAGCCTAGGACTCTTCTTTCCACGGAAAACTCCTTCTGTTTTCAAGCTCTGGTAAAGGGATGTTGCCTAACACAAAGAATAAAATTGGCTGGAATTAAGTGCTTGTTAGTATAGGTTTGCTTAGACAGCGTAAGCCATTCTCTCTTACACCCAGAGTAAATGTTTGTACCATCTAATACATAGTAAAACTAGCAGTGGTATAAAACATGTATGCCTCAGTTACTGATGGTTAAGCAAAATGGGCTGACTAATGCTTCTTTAGGGGTTATCGGAGCAACTCTGTTTCTTGGTAATTCCACAATTAGGTGTGTACGGTATGCATGCCTGGGGTGGTGGTGGTGGAGACAAAACAATAAGATACTGCATGCAGAGTTCTGCTTCTTGGGAATCTCAGCTTTAAAATCTAGTCCTTGTGTTGGCGAAACTGTGCTTGGGATGTAAGCAAGGCATTGTAAATCTACAAAAGGTAGAAGGGTTTCTGAGTAAGTTTTCCACAGTGGCTAGGGGACACTACTACCCTGCACAGTTGCTTATCCAAATCAAGTACAGTGGTACCTCGGGTTAAGAACTTAATTGGTTCTGGAGGTCCATTCTTAACCTGAGGTACCACTTTAGCTAATGGGGCCTCCTTCTGCTGCCGCACCACCACCACACAATTTCTGTTCTCATCCTGAAGCAAAGTTCTTAACCTGAGGTACTATTTCTGGGTTAGCGGAGTCTGTAACCTGAGGTACCACTGTACTAGCAAAATTACTGCACAGGACATCAAAAGCTGTGCAAACTCAACTGTTTATTTGCATAATTCAGGGTTGCTTGGAGGACCCCACCTTAAAAGACAGACTTGCTCTTAATCTCTCTTGTACATTAGCTGAATTGGAGATTGTCATTATTTAACTGAAGTTAGTTAGGAGGTGATTGTTAATAAACTCTGTCTAACACATGCTCTTAATCTAGAAATGCCAAAACTACAGCAAAGCCTTGACTGCATATCTGATGCAAGATAATACCTGGTGGAGCTACAAAATAGTCTTCAATGGTATCCTTGGCTTTCTCCAGTAGCTCCTCTGCACAGTTGCCTTCTGTGACTTCATCTTCCCTGAGGTACAGATATCTGAGGAGAACAAGTAATTATTCAACATTGTGGAGGTAGTCGGGATAAATACAGAATTGAAGCAGTTTACCACAATGCTTGTCACCTAAGGATCAGGTTACACTACCTGACCTCCCCCAAGGATTCAAGTGTTATTCTTTACTTCAAAAGCAATCAACATGATTTGTGACAACAAGCCTTATGGGCTATCTTCTACACATGCTTTCTCTGATGTTTATTTACTCTCTGGTTATGATGATGAGTAATAAGTGTTCACAGACTCTTACAAAAACAGCCCAGGAATATCCTGTACCAATTTCAGAAGAATTCAAGACTTTCCCTGCTGGACCAATAGGGAAAATTTTAACAGCTGATATGCAAGTGATCCTGATACTTACCTGTCTTCCAGTACTGAATCCATCGGCTCTACTCCATCTGTATTAACTGCATGGAGTTTTTCAGCAAATTCAATGGCTTTTTCCAAACGCTCCACACCTTCCTGATTGCGGAAATCGACAAGTGCCAGGCGCTCCAGGTGATCAAGCAATTCCAAAGTTACTTTTTTATCCTGGGAGAGGAAAAGTAATGCAATTAGATCCTGCAAAGAGGTCCTCAGTAAATGATAACACAAAGCAACTTGTACAGAATCACATCTGTTTCTTTCTGAAAATCCATTTTTTTCTTTAAAAATAACATTTGGAAGGAAATTTGTATTGCAGTTTCTCTTGGCTTTATATACTTGTTGCTCTTTCTGTTGCTTCCAAGTACTTATACATGTTTGGAACTCCAGTATCGATTGCATAAACTTGTTAAAACCCACACAGCTGAAATACTTAAACAAGCCAAACTTTCCTGAATTCAGTAATAATTGGAACAGAGGACAGCATTTAACTTATATAAACAGTGAATATCAGAGAACATAAATCCTACTGGAAAGAAAGTAAGGGTATATTCCAACCATGCACAAGCCATAGGTCATGATGTATACACACCCCCTCCACCCAGGTTCTGACAGCAAAAACTGCTAGGTTTTTAGCAGGGGCAATTAGAATAAGATCTATTATTTGATTATTGATGTAATACAAAATGTATTTTGTATAGTTAAGTTTTTACCTCTATCTTCAGTACATTTTATTTTATTGCTATGGCTAATGTCTGATGCTGATTCTTCTGATCTGATCCTCCATCCAGGTAAGGAAGAGGCATGATCACAGTTCAGTGGCATATTCCAGCCAGAAAAGGCACTCAAGCAGAGCTTGTGAGAGGCATGACATGGGCAGAATCTTGTGGACCTGGTAGATCCAGAAGCCCGCAATTGGCCCCAGGGCCTGAGGTATTCCACCCTGTGATGTACATGGAACATAGGAAGCGGCTTCACACACCCTTGGTCTGTCTAGCTCAGTATTGCTTACACTGTCAGGCAATGACTCTCCAGGGTTTCAGACAAGGAGACTCACCCAGCCCTAACTGGAGATGCCATTGGTGGTTGAACTATCCTGCATGCAATGCAGCTGCTATAGTCACTGAACCATGGCTGCATGATAATTATATAATAGGAAGAACCTTGTAAATCACCTTGAGCTCCTTGGAGGAAAGGTGGCCAACAAATCCAATTAATGCATCACTGTCATCACTACAATTTGAGAGCCCTTAGGCTAGATGTCCAAGAGCCCACCAGTGACTGCTGTTTTTTGTTTTTGTTTAAAAGACCTCTACACATGCTCAGAAGCACTCTCTCCTGACTGTCACCTCGTATTTCTGGGGACAAGCTCTGCTTCGGCGCCGCCGGGCCTTTTACTCACCCGGGGAGCCCCTGCTTCCCTAGGCGGCGCTTGGAGACCCCCTTCAGGAACGCCAGCCTGAGAGCAAAACCCCGCGCGGAAGACACGGGCGAGCCGCCGAGCCCACATGCCTTCCTCTGGTCCGGCGCTCCGGAAGCGCGTTGGCACGTAACCCCGCTTCCGTGCGCCAAAGGCGGAAGTCGCGCTTACTTCCGGGTTCGCGCTTGGAGGGTCGGTGCTGCGGTCGCCATGAACAGCGTCGGCGAGGCCTGCACGGAGATGAAGCGGGAGTACGACCAGTGCTTCAACCGCTGGTTCGCCGAGAAGTTCCTGAAGGGCGAGGGCGGCGACGGCAGCGGAGACCCCTGCGCCCAACTCTTCAAGCGCTACCAGCTCTGCGTCCAGGCAAGAGAGGGCGCCTCTGAGCACATGCAGAGGTCGGGGCGGCGGGGCTTGCGCTTCAGGCTTCCGCACCTCGCGTTTAAAGCGCTGTTTCTTGCCTCTCTGTCTCGCTTTATTTCCTCTAAGGAGCTGGAACATAGTCGCCTCCCCCCAATCTCATTTAATCCTCTGGGTGAGGTTGCGAGGCTGGGACTTCCTCAGGGTCACCCAAGTAAGCTCGATGGTCCAGGCCAGCCATAGCTGTCAACTTTTCCCTTTTCTTGCGAGGAATCCTATTCGGAATAAGGAAATTTCCCTTTAAAAAAGCGAAAAGTTGTCAGCTATGAGTCCAGCACTCTTGAACATAACGCCTAGCCAGCTCTCAAAACACGTATCTGAACCGCTTAAAAGCTACAATAACACTGTGATGGTCACAGCTCAGAACTCTAGAAACTTCAGTATGTTCAGGGTGCTGCGGGCTGTTAGGAGATGCTTCTGCTTGCCTCATGTAGCTGCCATTCCCAGAGTCCCCTGTGATGGTGAAGCCATTCTGGGAATTGTCGTTCCAGAAAGGGAATTCGGTGGTCTCTTAACAAATCTGAGAGTCAGCGTGGTTTAGTGGTTAGCAAATCAGACTACCAGGACCTGGGAGAACAAGGTTCAAATCCCCATTGGGTCAGGAAGGTCATTGGATGTACCTTGAGGCCAGTCACTCCCTCTCAGCCTAACCAATCTCATAGGGTTGTTGTGTGGATCAAATGAGGAAGGGGAGAATTCTGCGCACCACTTTGAGCTCCTTCGAGAAATAGGTGGGGTAGAAATGCAAATTTTAAAATAAAAAACCCAGCACCCTTGACAAACTACAGTTCCCCGGATTCTTTGGGGGAAGTCATGGTCCTTTAAAGTGGTATGATACTTCTTTAAATGCAAGATGTGGCTCTCATCTCTGTTAGGGGACCTCAGGCAGGGTGTGCTTGGTGGTGGTCAGTGGGGGAGGGCGTGCAGGTCTTCCTTTAAGTGAAGTCAGACAAGATACTGCCCATATTTTTCTGTGTATAAGATGCCCCCATGTATAAGACACACCTAACTTTTTCGTTAAAAAACCTAATCTTATACACGGAAAAATACGGTACTTTGCATGGGTTGCAGAGAGAGAAAATGGGGAGCATGTGTTTACGAACAGAAAAACACTTGCTTTTGCACTGTAGAAAAAATGTGGTAGTAGTTTGAGTAGTCTCCAGATGTTTTGGACTACAGCCACACCAATTGCAGCTGGTGGGAGTTGTCCCAAACATCTGGAAGGTGACAGATTGTCAAAGACTGCACTATGGACTGTTGTCTCGTGCTGATGGGAGTTGTGGTCCAGGACTTCTGGAGGCTACCGGGTTGGCCAAGCCTGGTCTATGTTTTACGAGTTCCACATTCTGTGGTATATGATTCTAATCTTTTTTTCCCTGTGTCTTAATACAATTTTTTTCTATTGAGACAATTAAGTAAAGTGACTGGGGCTTATGAGAATTGTAGTCCAAAACATCTGGAGGGCACTAGAGTAGCGCAATCTAGGTTGGACTAGGGCTGGGTTGATCCAAGTTCAAAATTCCCTATTTGGTCATTAAGCTCCTTGGGCCAGATGCTACCTCTCACCCTCAGGATTATTGTGGGGGAATGGGGGAGGAGGAGAGTTGGGTACACTGCTTTGTGATCCTTAGAGGAAGGGTTGAGTAAAGGGCAACATATTCACCAGGTCTCAAAATCAGTCCCTGGAACTTCTAGTGAGCGGCTCAGGCTGCAATAATTGTACACTTACCCCCTCCCCCAGACCCTAATAGAACAACTGGTTGGTGGAGGCAGAACTGATCAACATGCATACATCACACAAAACTCTGGAAGTCACAATCATAGAATTGTAGAGTTGGAAGGAACCCCGAGGGTCATCTACTCCAACCCCCTGCAGTGTAGGAGTCACAAGTCTCTGCCCACAGAATCTGGGTAGCATAGTTTATGACAGGGGTGGCAGCCTATGTTTTTTTGGCAGGGAAAGAAGTTGAACTATAGGAGAACAACTTTTGTTTTTTCTCCGAGTGCCATTTTGTGTTTTGCTTTTACACAAGCAATAATGTAATAGGTAATCCACGCAATAAGATGTTTGTGTGGGTGTCTTGCAAGGGAACGAGAAAGTTATAGTCATTACAGCAATTGCTATAATAGTATATGTCCTCACTTTAATGCTGTTTGTGTAGTTGTTGCTGTTTATACAGTGCTATTACCATATTTTTGCTTTTAATGTTCTGTGGATGGATCCCTGACCTCGGGAAGCTTACAATCCAGCATAGACAATAGCCAGGCATGAGAAATGCGTTTGCAAATACTTTGCAAATTTCTTTATATTCCACTTTTCTTCCTCCATGTCTCCCACGGTAGTGCACATTTAGGTGCTAGACATTCTCTCCTCCAGGCACTGATCAGACCCAGACCTGCATGTGCCCTCAGAATGTATCCGGGGACATTTTAGGAATGTGTACACAATTTTGGGAAGGAGCTTCAGACATAGGGAACAATTTTGCCTCTACCCCCAAATTTTGCAATTCTCTCTGTACAAATAGGGAAACCACTGTCCTAAGCATAATACGGAATTTGGGGGCTTTATCAGATGTAGTTCTAAGTTAAGGTAACTTATAAGTATACTAGTTTCACTGGTGAAATGTTTTGCAGCAGTGGATCACTGTTGAACATGAGAATGCAAAATTACCGTATTTTTCACCCCATAGGGCGCACCGGCCCATAGGGCGCACCTATTTTTGGGGGGGGGGGGGAAATAAAGAAAAAAAAAATTATTTCCCCCCAGGCACGGGGCTGGGGAAGCCCGAGCTTCCCCAGCCCCCAGAACAGGCTGCTATCCGCAGGGATGCAGGCAGCTCTCCGCAAGCCATGGGAGCCCAGTGCGAAGTCGCGCCGGGCTCCCACAGCTTCTGCAGAGCTGCACGAAGCCTGGGGCACGCTGAGCTCAGTGCGCCCCAGGCTTCGGGATGCAGGCAGCTCTGCGCAAGCCATGGGAGCCCAGCGCAAAGTTGTGCCAGGCAGCTCTCCGCAAGCCTAGGGAGCCTAGCGGGAACTCCCGTGGGCTCCCAAGGCTTGCGGATAGCTTCCCAAAGCCTGGAGAGCGAGAGGGGTCGGTGCGCACCGACCCCTCTTGCTCTCCAGGCTTCAGCAAAAGCCTGCATTTGCCCCTTCATTTTTGGAGGGGAAAAAGTGCGTCCTATAGGGCGAAAAATACGGTAGGTGTTTGGTAATGTATCTGCCATGCAACAAGTTTTGGCTAGCACAGCTGTTGCACTGGATTTCTCTGCTGTGGAGCATTAATTCTCACCCTTGCACTAGTGGGCAGAGAATGCTGAATTCAGCGCTTTGTGTTTTTTTTTTAATTTGGTTACTTTTTAGACCATATTTGTAAATATTAAAATATGCTTGCCTTTTTGCTTCTTCCAGAAAGCTATTAAGGAGAAAGACATCCCCATTGAAGGACTGGAATTCATGGGCCCCAGCAAAGGGAAGTCGGAAAACTCTTCTTGACCATGATGGTCACAGAAAAAAATATTCTGAACCCACACCAGCATGCTAAATCTAGTTGGCTGCTGGACAAGGACTCTAGCTATGTTGTCCATGGGGATGGAGAAATTCAAGGACTGTTCAGCCCATGAGCAGTAACATCTGCCTCATTAATCTAGTAGCAAGCTTTATATCTACTGACATATTGTGGGTTTTATCATGTGCAGAGTGGGATTCTCCCGATTTACAACTGAATGTATTTCTAACAAAGGAGTTGGGAAGAAATTCATGCCTGGTTTTTGATCAACCAGTTGTTTTTATTTATGTAAATCTTAACTGCAACTGTTAAAATGAATGTCGGGGTCAATCTCATACATTAATCAATGTGTTCTGTTGGGATTTTACTTTCTGTTTGTCAATTCCACTTCTAGTGGTAGCAGAGAATTCCACTTGGGCTGTAAGTTAACCTAACGTTAAAGGATACCATATTCAGTGAAATACTGCTGGAGAAATACTGTGCCTCTGAGGAAGTTGGCCTCGTTCTGTGTCTGTTTGTTCAGCTATTCCAAGAAGCCCAGGCCAGATGTAGAAGTTTAAAGGGTACAATGCTTTCTATTTACCAAAGGGAGGAAAGGTTTCAACTTCAGCACAGTGTTGTTGGGATTGACCTCAAAAACTTGAAATCTGTCTACAGCATAAGATGGATGTGTAAAAGGTGGGTCTCCATTTCACTTGGCGAAAGCCAGGTTATTAAAATGAGCCAGCATTGTTTTAACTTGTTGCCTGATTTATAAACCTGTAGGAGGAAATCTAGAATTGAAACAAGTTGGTAGCTGATATCAACAAGCATCTAGTGTCATACAATCTTACCATAGTAGCTAAAATGCATCGGTGTTCGTTCAGAGGCAGCTGGATCGAAACTCCTCAAAACCAGGAAACGGACAGCTCTGTATGTGAAGCTTTTTTAAGTTTGTTATGTGAGAGGGCTGGCCTGATACCCATCTCTTACAACCTTGACAAGTCTAGTTTCTTAAGCAAAAGGATTTCAGTGTAACATTAATAAGAAGTGTAGACATCCCCCCCCACATGCACATTGTTAATGGACTTTAGGGGCATAGCAAATGGGCTTCTCAACCCCATCTATTAAATCTGCATTTATTTTAATTTTTCCTAAACCAGCAGCATTTTTAAAAAGAAAAAAGCAGTTTGTTTCATATTAAAAGGACTGAATTCAATAGTTGGGTCACCTGCACAACCCCACAGAGAATTCTACAACCAACTTCTTGCAGCCCTGTTGTCAGTTGTTGGAAATGTTCTTGCAACAGAAAGTGCCTTCTGATATGATGAATCAGCTGTATGCATTCTGCTGTGTGCAATAACAATTAAACAAGAATAAAAAAAATAAAACTGTAGTGGCCTTTCACTTTGTGTAGCACTGCTTCGGAGTATCATAGGTGGACAGCTTACACCACTGGTGCTCTTCCCTGAACTAGGGAAGATACTTGCTGTATAAGTAGCTAAGATACCAGCTGTGAATGTCAGAGCTCAAGTCTTGCCTGCCTCTGCCATCCATTCAGTTCAATGGCCTCAGACAAATCTCCACCTCAGTCAACGCAGCTGCAACAGAGCTACTGGTCTGTCTTAATAGGTATGTATATAGAGCACTATGTAAAATTCCAATAATTACCAATTCATTTAGTCAAATAATCTTTTAAGTATGTAGCCCTCCTCAGTATTGGAGGTTGTGATTAGTGCATAAACCCACCATTAGGAGAACCCTGGGCTCCTTCACCGGAGGTACTAGCCCTCCCCTAACATAAGCTGGATAAGAATGTGTTTTGGGTTGCAAAAATAATAATATTTACTTCCATGAAAATTTTAATCTAAACTAACACATAAGAAACACAGTGGTTAAGAATCAGAATGCAAGCAACAAATGTGGCTGTTCTCTGCTTTTCTCATCCCTTTGCATAATACAGAGAAAATTTATCACTTCATTTCATAACATAATCTGCTCAAACATGAAAGAATGTAAGGAAACCATACAGTGGTTCATGTTCCCATTTTCCCACTGCTGTTCAAGTTGTCTTAAACCAAAATTGTAGCTTCCCCAGGATAGTTAAGAAAAATCACAGAAAAACTTGGTTGAAAGTGTTTTCTTTTTAATGTGACCTCTGGAACAATACATTCTGCTAGAGGTCAGAACTTCATCATTTCATAGTATAAGGAATGGAGAGCACTGCTGGTCCCAACGTGGGTCTTGGTCCAGCTACCTTAAATGGTCCACATGGCTGGCATGATGCAATTGCTTAATGGTCATCTTCATAGCCAGTTGGCAGAGGGTTAACATGGGGGTTGTGGAAGAAACTATGGTTCCCATCACCCCATGGGAAGGGCTATAGAAAGAAGAGATTAAAGTTTTTAGCAAGCTACAAAGCAGGAATTCAACTACTCATAACAGCTTATAAATGAAAAAGGCGCAGTAGATTATTTAAAAAAGCAATTATTCTGAAAATGATGCTTGAAAAGCACTAATTAGCACCAAACAGGAGGCTAGATCAGAAGTCACTGCTACAGAGCAGGGACAACTTGGAAACAGTAGTTTCAGAGTTACCGGTGACTCAAAGCAGATTACAATTAAATACAAACTACCAGCAAAACCGAGAGACAGAAGACAGAGCTGACACTAAATTATAAAAGATAACGGCTCTTTCAGTCAACACCACTCCCTGAATTGGCTACACTGAACATGGTAACCTATCCCAGAGCTTGGGAGCCCCTCCTAGAAGATTCCTCTTAGCCATGGTCATTAGACCGTCTGGAGGGCCTCAGGTTGGGGACAACTGAGTTAAACTAAATGCTTAAAATGACAACTGTATAGAATTGTAGATTCATAGAATCATGGAGCTGAAAGAGTCTCAGGGTCATCTTTTTAGCCCAACCTCCTGCAATGCAGGAATCTCAACTAAAGCAGCCATGATGGAAATTAGAGCTCTTTATCTTTAGGTATGTACATCCCACCCTGTTCCGTTCAGACCAGTGGCTGGGACAAAGTCACGTGGGTGGGCCCCAGGCAATGACCCAACAGGGCCATTTTAGTAGCTATTGGGACATTTAGAAAAAACAAAACACACATATATTTCAAATGCACTTTAAAAATGTTTTAGTGTAAAATAAAAGATAGATAACAAAATAAAGTGGGACTAAAATGGCACTGGCTATGGGGTGAAGGGCAGGACACATCTCAGGCTGGTGGGATCCACTTCATTTTTCATTAGGCACCCCAAGATCAACTGGCCAGAGCTGGGTGCAAGAAGACCTAGCAGACAGAATCACACAATGCAGGGGTTTTTTTTGGGGGGGGGGGGGAGACAGTCTGTCTTTGCTTTTTAAGTTGATCTTTAACATTGCCATTTTTTCAGCTACTTTTTTTTAATGAAATACAGCTTTTGCACTAACATTTACTACCTTTCTCTACTATATAATTTTGGAAAGTGGCTTGCCTCTTGAGATCTCATCATCAACCTATCTGGCATGATGGATCCCAAGGCAGGGGAATAGCATGTTTAGATACCACGGGATGCAGCTTTGCATCCAGATGGGAGGGCTGAACCTTTCCAAACTGCACTGATTTGGAAACCTCTTAAGGCATCATCATCCAGTTTGGTGCCATCTCCTTGTTAAGTGGTCCAAATAAATAAAGAACAAGACTTGCTTGTGGACAGGTTTGAGTCCAATACCTTGGTCCGGAGGCGCAGATGGGCATAAGGAATGAACTCTGGCCTTTCATGTTCTTGCTGAGACTTCAGGTAGCAGTTCAGCATACACACAGCAACACCAGGCAAAGCAACCACGAAGGACAGGATCTTCCACATGCGAGCTAATGGAAAGAATTCACACACAAGCAGAAACTGATTGGTTGCCCTGTTTTTTTGCAAAGGGAAAAAAAAGCACAGGACTGATAAAATTAATCCCTGAATGTCAGCTTCTTTATAATGAGATCCCTCCTCTCAACTGGCCAATAACTTAAGCAGTGTGTTTCAGAACAGTTTGCAGGCACTTATGGTTGGCGGGGGTGGGGAGTAAGGAAAAATAAAAGAACCTCAGCTTAAATTGTGCTTTTTTTAGAGTATGAATGTAAGAAGAACCTAATTGAATTAGATCACAGGCATTGTGTTATCAAAGCAACCAACTAGATTTCTCTGGGAAGCCCAAAAGCAGGACCAGAGTACAATGCTCACCCCCAGCAATCATTATTCAGAGCTATATTGCCTCCAATACTGGGGAACAGCAACCAGAGCTAGTAGTCATTAATAGCCTTATCCTTCACTGACTTGCCTAAACCAGGCTCCTCAACCTTGTGCCCTCCAGATGTTGCTGGGCAGAGTGGGCCTTTGGTCTGATCTAGCAGCTAGGACTGGGCGATATATCAATATATAATCCATAAGTGGTTTGAAGCCCATATTGTGATATCGGTTTCATAATTTCTGACCTGGCAAAATATCGCAAATCAGTGTGTGTGTGAGTGTGTGTCTCCACGATACAAAAATCACATTTCTGGGGAAAACCGTGAAGCCAGCCAATGCTCTTGATTCCTGCAGCCCGTTAACTCTGCCAACTCAGCTCTCCCCTGCCTCCTACAGGGAGCAGCGAATCACAATAGCAGTCCTTCTCCGTTGCCAGCACTAAGCAACTGGTAGACTGCTTCTGACCATGGAGGCCCTATTTAGTGGCCGCCAGAAAGAACGTAGACCAGTGGCAGGGCAACAGCTTTACATACAAAAGGTCCTAGGTTCCATCCCAGATAAGGATTGAATCCTATCTCCAAATATGGCTGGGAAAGACTCCCTTCTTGAAACCCTGGAGAGATGCTGCCAGTCCATGTAAGCAATGGTTGGCTAGATGGACCAATGGCCCGACTCGGTATAAGGCAGCTTCCTATGATCCTTTTGGGGAAGTGCTGTCACTCAGTGGTCGAGCACTTGCTTTGCATGCATAAAGCTCCAGGTTCCATCCCCAATGACATCTCTGCATAAGTTGAAACAAAATAAAATTTAAAAAAATTAAAAATTCCTTCCAGTAGCACCTTAGAGACCAACTTTCAAAAGCTCATACCAATAACTAACTTAGTTGGTCTCTAAGGTGCTACTGGAAGGAATAACTAACTTAGCTGGTCTCTAAGGTGCTACTGGAAGGAATAACTAACTTAGCTGGTCTCTATGGTGCTACTAGAAGGATTTTTTGTTTTGTTTTGACTACGGCAGACCAACACGGCTTTGTTGTTGTTTAGTCATGTCCTACTCTTCGTAACCCCATGGACCAGAGCACGCCAGGCACCCCTGTTTTCCACTGCCTCCCGCAGTTTGGTCAAACTCATGCTGGTAGCTTTGAGAACACTGACCAACCATCTCGTCCTCTGTCGTCCCCTTCTCCTTGTGCCCTCCATCTTTCCCAACATCAGGGTCTTTTCCAGGGAGTCTTCTCTTCTCATGAGGTGGCCAAAGTATTGAAGTCTCAGCTTCAGGATCTGTCCTCCAGTTAGCACTCAGGGCTGATTTCCTTCAGAATGGATAGGTTTGATCTTCTTGCAGTCCATGGGACTCTCAAGAGTCTCTACCAACACGGCTACCTACTTGTAACCAGCTCTCTGCATAAGGTTGGGAATAGATTCCCAGCCTGGAACCCAGAAGAGCTGCCGCCAGTACGTGTAGACAGTACCAAACCAAATGGACCAGGGACCTGGCTCGGCATTAGGCAGCTCCCTTTGTTCGGTGCCCAGAGGCGGCCTGTCCACCCCCCAACCCCGCCCGCTCTGCTCCTTGGCGGCGCCGGCAGGACCGCCCTCTTCCCCGCAAGGTCACCCGGTCACAGGCCCCACTTACTGGACCCGGCCTCGCCGTGGCCCGACGCCGCTGCCGCCGAGAGGAGCCGCTTCAGCCCGGCCCGCGGAGTTGGAGCCACCAGCTGCCGGGAGGCCTTCCCGAGCACGACCGCTGCCGCTGCCGCCATGTCGCCGCCGCTTCTCGACTAGAAGACTTCGGTCGCTCTCTCGGTGCCGGAAGCGGATGTAAGGAGACGGAGAGCGGGCGCTTGCTAATGACGTCAGCACCAGGGGGAGCGATGGGAGACATAGCGCAGAGGGCGTGCCTCCAACGTAGACTTGTAAGGGATAGATTCACGCACACAGGACTCGCTTCCGGGTTGCTTGGGGCAGACGTGGGAGCTGCTGGTTTACAGCAATGAAGGAAACTAGCATTTTAGGCTGCCATCCTAAATCCGCTTGAATTCCCCATTTAATTTAATAGATTATTTAGGGTTGTGTTTGCTGCCTGTTGTTTCTGATTCAGTTGTTATCTAATGTGTGTGGGGAGGAAATAGTTTTGTTGTTTGGTTTGGAGATTTTAACTTTTAAAAGTGCAAACTGGGCAAAAGCAGGCTTCAGATTGCCATTGGGAGCTAGACAGATCTGACCTGGTGGCCTTGCTTCAGCCACAGAGGTACTTTTGAATGGGGGATTTGTGGGTGGCACACTGATGTTCCTGAGGATCAGGCAAACAATTTGCAATTAGTTCTGTTCAGAATTATCCATACAGCTTAATGACCATCTAGGATATTACGAAATGGAAAACCAAATTACCAAATGAGATAAGTAAAAAAATTGTCCAGTAGCACCTTAGAGACCAACTAAGTTTGTTCTGGGTATAAGCTTTCGTGTGCTTATCATGACCTAGCAACCCAGTGGAACACAGCCGGCAGAAAGGGTGGTGAAAGTTGAATTCCTCTTAACTTGATCCTGAGCAGATTTTGGAATAGGTACAACTTAAGCTGGTGTGATCTATGTCATCATAAATTCTGCCAACTTTCTAGAGTTAGGATTGTTCTGTTATGCACACAAAAGCTTACACCCAGAACAAACTTAGTTGGTCTCTAAGGTGCTACTGGACAATTTTTTTATTTATTTTGACTGCGTCAGACCAACACGGCTACCTACCTGAATCTCAAATGAGATAAGGTTATTTATGTATGCAACAACTGCAGCCCGTGTTTTGTTAGCGAGGTCCCAACCAAATGGAATAATGGAGCGAGGTCCCAACCAAAGAAGTATGGCAACTTAAGTTGACAGAATATGTGCAACTTGCAGACTTAACATATAGAATAAGAGAACAAGAACATCTGTTTAAAGATTGGAAAACGTTTATTGACTATATGGAAAATAATTGTACACAGCTGAAAACGTTGGCAGCATTAAGATAAATTCAACAGTGTAAAATAAGTAAATTTTGAAGGATGCAATAATGGAAAGCTGATTGGTATTGCTTTTGTAAAATATGCAGGGATTTAAGATATGTAAAATGAACCATAGAAAGAGAAGAAGGGAAGTCACTGATACTTCAAGGATGTAAAATAAGTATTTGAAATTGTAAAACGGAAAACTTAATAAAAAATATTTTAAAAAAGAAAACCAAATTACCCCAAAAGCTTGCTGGAGGTGCTATTGAGGTCGCTGAATATATTAATTTTATGATCCTGGGAACTAGTTTGATAAAGCTGCTGAGGATTGCAGCTCTGTGAGACTACAGTTCCCAGGATTCTTGGGGAGAGGAAGTCATGTGCTTTAGGTGTGGAGCTGCTGTGTAAACCTAGTTTCATGGATATTTACTGCTGGTGTGACCCTTTGACCAAAGAATACAGAGAAGAGCTCCTCCTAGCTTATAGCAGTAATAGATCCTGGAAAGCCTGGAAAGATTAAAGCAGATCCTCAATACAGACCTGGAACATGGCTTGTGAGTAGAAGAGGAAAAACTGGCTTGTGGAAAAGGAAATAGACACTGGGCTCTGAAAACCATTTCAGCAGTGGAGGCTTGTCTGTTAGACTGAACGTAGTAAGTGGCGCTTACTTTCTAGCCATGCTTACCTAGATATATAAACCCCATTGGATTAAGCAGGAGGACCACTTATTTCTGAGTATAAATGATTATAGTTAGGCTATTAAAATCACCTGTAGGATGGGCATAGGTAGGAGGACCAAGATGCCCATCTGTGTACGTCTCTTGTTTTCTCCTCTCTTGGGGCTGGCAGTTTCCACTTGACAACAGCAATATGATGGCCACCAATTTGGTTAACTTTAAAAGGGGGTTAGGCAAATTCCTGTAAGGGAGGGGGGCACAGTTCGGTGGTAGAGCATCTGCCCTGCCTGCAGAAGACTCTACGTTTGATCCCCAATCGCATCTCCAGGTAGGACTGGGAGAGACTCTCATCTGAAACTCTGAAGAGCCACTGCCAGACAGCATTTACAGAACTGAGCTAGATGTGCAAGTAGATAAATAGGTACCGCTCCGGCAGGAAGGTAAATGGCGTTTTCGTGCGCTGCTCTGGTTTGCCAGAAGCAGCTTAGTCATGCTGGCCACATGACCCGGAAGCTGTACGCCGGCTCCCTCGGCCAATAAAGCGAGATGAGCACCGCAACCCCAGAGTCGGTCATGACTGGACCTAATGGTCAGGGGTCCCTTTACCTTTACCTTTGCTGAGCTAGATGATCCATTGATGTGACTCAGGGAAAAGCAGTTTCTTGCATGTCCACATACAAACAGATGCATCCCAGTTTGGCCAGGCTTTCCTTTAAATGATCAGGCCTCCCACCCTGTTGTCCAGCGGCCAAACCTCCCCATCATAGTGTCCTGCACTGCTGGGTGTGGCACTGTATTCTTCAAATTAAAAAATGGTGTGGGTCTGATCCTCTGGTCTGATCCAGCAGAGATCTTATGCTCAAAAGTGAGTAGAGCCACAGAGGTGGCTTTTACAACAATCTTATATTCCATCCACACAAAAGCCAGGGTTTTCTTCCACCTCATCTGTCCACCATGCAAGCAAGGGATATAACATCACTCAAGGAAGGTGTAGGGCAGGGTCAGTGAGGGGTTTGGCTGGGGAGAGTGCATTAGGCAACACAGAGAGACATGGAGGGCCACATTCCATGCCCAGTGGCTTCCCTCCACTGGCCTAACATAACAAACAAGGCATTGCTAACATTTTAGGCGAACAGCTCTGGAGAAACCGCCATCAAGGCCTGAAAGGTGGATAAATCATTGGTAGTACTTGACAGTTCCACGGGGCGGCAGGCTGAGCTTTCTACCGGTGGCTGACCCTGGAGATGAGATGTCCAGGCGACTGTTTCACATCTCAAAATATGCATTTTCTAGGCGGGAATGTAGATCCGCTCTAATCATGTAATTTACAGGGTCATTGTGCGGATAAAATGGGATAGACCCCATGAATACCACCCTGATCTCCTTGGAGACATGCCAATGTCATAAAAGGAATAAATAAAATCCCTTCCCTGCAAATCCACCACAAATTAGGTCCTGGGACCCCAAAGGACTTCAGATGCATTTTATTAATTAAGATGTTTTGCAAACACACTATACCTTTTAAAGCACATTCCTTTCCAGCCAATAATTCTGGGAACTGTAGTTCCTTAAGGCTTGGGAACTGAGAAGCAGTGGAGGCTGGTTTCGTGAGGCACTGCCCCCACCAACCTCAGCCTTTTACTTGTCTGCCTTCTTACTGATGAAGCAGGTGCCACTAGCGACCAGCTTCCTCCTTCTTAGTCTCTGTGTTGCCCTTGCAGAACTCAGCAGGGATGGGGAGAAAACCAGAACCGAGTTGGCTCTCCCAGTGGGCACCAGCTCCCAGTGGTAAGAGATAAACTACAGCATGCAGAATCTTTGCGGGAAAGAATGTGGCTCTGAATGCATTTCATAGTGTGTGGAAACAGAGAATGGTAAGCGTTAGAAGGGACCCCTAGGGTCATCTAGTCCAACCCCCTGCAATGCAGGAATCACAGCTCAAGATTCCCTGATAGATGGTCATCCTGCCTCTGTTTAAAAACCTCCAGTGAAGGAGATTCCACCACCTTCCAAGGTGGTCCATTCTGCTGCCCAACAGCTCTTAGAAAGATCTCCCTAGTCTTTAGTTGGAATCTCCTTTCTTGTCACTTGAATCCACTGGTTCAGGTCCTGTTCTCTGGAACAGCAGTGAAAACAAACTTGCTCCATCTTCCATGTGACGTTACTTCAGCTATTTGAAGGTGGCCCCTCCAGAAGAGGATATATTTATAGTCTGTGTACACACTATACCTTTAAAATTATTATTATTCATTCCTTTTCTATATCACTTTATATTTTTACGGGGGTGGGATCTCAAAGCAGTTTAAACATTATTGAAGAAAGTAAAATATAAATTATACATTCAAAGCAATGGGAAACTAAAACATTATCTTAAAGTTTTCAGGATATAACAAAGGAGGTCAGCTACAGAATGCACATTTTAACGCAGCAAAGTTAACCCACAAATGGGAAACATTACAAAACAAAGTTAAATATAAAATGCACATTTAAAGCAGCATAATTATCAAGCAAATAACATATCATAAGCATAGAACATACAGGTACATGCTTCTGTTGGGAGGGCTGTGTCTGTAGAAGCTCAGGCTCAATGACTTGATTCTGCACTAAGAGACAAGATGGTCTCTGGCCTCCAGAACTCACAACCAAGAGGATATAGACCCAGTTCCACCCACTGCATGCCCTGATAGGCATCAGGTTGGCTACTGTGAGAACAGGATGCTGGACTAGATGGGTCTCTGGCCTGATCCAGCTGAAGGGCTCTTCTTGTGGTCTTACGTTCCTCTGTTTCTGAACGTGCTTGTGAATCTGAACACAGCTCTCACTTGGAATGAGGCCTTTTATGGTTTCTGAAAAGTCCTATCTTATATAAGAAGATGCCTATGAAACATGTATTATGCAGATGAATGCATTGAGAAGTGCATGTTTTTCATGTTTTAAAGGGTGCGTTTTAATTACGTAGAATGTGGATTTTATCAGTGCGCAATTCTTTTTCCCCTTCTTTTTAAGTATCTACCAAGAAGGTGAGATGGAAGGGACCTATGCCTTGGTGCCCATGAGAAATGGGACAAATTCTGGGCTGTTCAGTCCACCCTTGGATGCTGCAAACTCTTGCATCACTTTCAACATGGAAAAAACCCCTGTTTGCCTCCTTTCCATAGACGTTCACTGGCCAGTCCTGGCTG